TGCCACTCATCCACAACTCTCGTTCCTAGATTCGTCTCGAACCATTTCCATAGGGAATCAGTGGAAGGGCCCTGTGTCGCCTGAGAAGGCAGGCCGCCTGTGAGGCGCGGCGCAAGATTGAGCCTTTCAAGGGGACCCTGGGTCAACAATTCAGCCCTGCTAAAATTCATAACAGATTCAAAATCGATGATAGCTGCTGGCTCACGGTGATGAAACACGTTTTTCAAGCAAGTAATAGACTTGGTTTTATGTGAGGCGTGCGTTCGAGACTGTGGCAGCTCCCTGAAAGATGGATCGATTTTTTGTCCATTCGAGCCAATTTAAAGGAAATAATTTTATATCCACTTTTGATATCTCGAAAGCTTTAGATGGTGGCAAAACACGCAGCTTTTGAAAGGTGAGTTGTACATCACCAACCACAGTTGAGCTTCAACTCGTCGAAATTATTTCATAATTTAAAGCCAACCCAGTGTTTTTTGGTAGCGATCGCTCTATCTTCACCAATGACGCTCTTCGCTCTGATACATAGAAAAAGAATCCTCTCTCAGGTTGGAGTGCCTACCCAAAGATTGCCTGATTCTGATGAAGCATCGGTGGCTTGCGATAGTTGTGGTAGTTGTGATCAAGTCAATGTCGTCGAGAGACACACTACGGTTTAGCAAGCACTGTCTTGGCTGTATCTTCCATAGTAGTTCACAATTATTCCACTTAATGCCAACCCAGTTTTCGGTAGTGATCGCTCTATGTTCACAATATGGGGTCTGTATTCGGATTTTCGGATACCGAGAAAATGAACCCTCAGTCAATTTGAAGTACCTGCTCCAAAATTGCCTGAAATCTACTAAATCATTGGAAACTTGGGATCAAGTAGAGACAGTTGGGAGAGACAACACGATTTAACAAGCACTGGCGATTGCTTGTTACACAGGAAGTCGATAGATGAAAGAATGAATGAATCTTCTCTTTTCCTTGTCCTTCTCGTTCTCGCGTTCTTGTGCACAGCAACCCGCGTTTTTGCAACCAGTGGAGGTGACATAACATAACATTGAATTCGTGTGCTTTACACGTACAGCCGCGTGCATCCGTGGAAAGGTACGCCTGTTGTAAGGAACTAGGGCTGAAGAACTGAAGAACATCGTCTGCATGTTTTGCTAGCCAGTTGGACGTGACGAATACCCAAACGACCACGTTTAACAATTTTATGGAGTTACATCACGACATCACGTTCAAATAAAATTCATCACAAACCCGTTTGGGTGTGATGTCATTGAATTGCAATTTTTTCAAACTCAAAATCCCAGCTCTCGGCCATTTGGTTTCTTAAGCAAGTAAATTAATAGACAAGACAAGTTCAACTAAGTAATCCATATACTTATAGAACTAGCCATCTTGCCAATATGAGCGAACAAAAGAAGGTCGTTGAACCTCCAAAAATGGACCAAGTGAAATCGTTTCTTGGTGGTGGATTTGGTGGTATTGGTGCTGTATTGGCCGGTGTAAGTTCTTTGCAACTCATATATAACTGATTGATTTGAATGCATCAGTCTCTTGTTTTGAAGCTATTTCTAACCTTTTGCCATCTTTTTCCAACATTTTAGCATCCATTCGATACATTAAAAGTGCGATTACAGACATCCAATGAGTACTCTGGTTTGGTAGATTGTTTCAAAAAGACTGTTGCAAAAGAAGGTCTGCTCGGTTTATACAAGGGAATGTCGTCTCCTTTGATTGGTGTTACTCCTATGTTTGCTCTCTCCTTCTGGGTACGTAATGTGAAAAGCGTTGTCGTATGTGGGCTCTATACTGCATGTGATGACGACGGAAATATTACAGAGGCCGTGTGTTGGTGTTCTTTATTCTACTTTTTTGTTCCACTCACTGTGCTCTCCTTCTCCCAAACCACAGTCATACGACTTGGGCCAGTCCCTCGTATACCAAATGACTCCCAAACGCGAAACAAAGGAACTATCCATGCTAGAATTCGCTATCGCTGGTGGCTTCTCCGCCATCCCAACCACAGTAATCACAACACCAATGGAACGAGTCAAGGTCGTGCTCCAAACACAAGATCAGATGCCTGCTGGAACAAAACGGTATAAGGGCATGTTTGATGCCGGCGCTGGAATGATGAAGGAAGGTGGTTTGTCGTCCTTGTATAGAGGTACTATTGCTACTTTGGCTCGTGATATTCCTGGATCTGCTGCATATTTCGTTGCTTATGAGGCCGTGTATCGTGCCTTGAAGCCAAAGGGACAGGAGAGTTTGTCTGTTGGAGCTGTTATATTTGCTGGAGGTCAGTGTTATTTGAAGTTGATCTGGCGACTTGTTTTCCTTGTGGTATTTGTACAAATTTTTAACCAATTTTTTGTGCTTAGGTATGGCTGGTGTCGCCATGTGGTCCATTGCAATCGTAAGCCATGAATCCAAATACGATCTCATTCTGCTGGACTTTAAGCTTACACACCGTTCTCAAACAACAGCCACCAGATGTCCTCAAATCAAAAATACAAGCTGCACCTGCTGGAACCTACTCAGGATTCACCGATGCGCTAGTCAAAACAGTCAGGAATGAAGGGCCTGGTGCGCTCTTCAAGGGTCTAGGACCTGCATTATTGAGAGCCTTCCCAGTAAGTGTGTTGCTCCATTGTAGCCATCCTGGTGGAGACCCTGTTTGCTTTTTTGTTGATCATCTGCATTCTCATTACCTTTTGCAACAGGCCAACGGAGCTGCATTCTTATTCAGAGCAGCTTCATTAGAAGTCATGCATAAAATGTGGTAGTTTGTCAAACCAGATAGAAAGGTTTTTTTTACATAGAAGAATTCGTTTAATCACGCATGCACCAAAAACATGGAGTATTCTTCTCGTTAGTTCGTTGTCATCTAATTAACCCTTGTGTGGGGATGTGTCAGTACGTGGTGAATTGTGATGTAAAGCAAGTAATTCCAGAGCTCCCAGTGAGCTATTACCAGTATGTTCAGGACGGCCTTTTTTGTTGGCTCACGCTTATGCCTCTCTCTTATAGTCATACGACTTGGGTCAGTTCCTCGCATCCCAATTGACTTCCAAGCGCGAAACAAAGTAACCACACATGCTAGAATTCGCAGTCCCAGTTTCAACCACACTAAGCACAACACGAATGGGACGAAGAGTTCAAGCCTTCTTTAACCCCAAGATCAAATCACTGCTGGTACCAAATGGTGTATGGGGACGCTTAATGCTGGTGCCGGTTTGACGAAGGAGGTTGGTGTGTCGTCCTTGTACAAAGCGATGATCACCACCTTGGCTCTTGATATACTTGGAGGCGTTGTCAAAGGGACCTGAGAGTTTATCTGTTCAGGCTGTTAAGTTGCTGGAGGATTAGTTAGTACCATGGCTAGTGTACGGCATGTGAGTACTTAATTCAATGTGGGTTTTGGTGCTTGTGAGTATGGCTGGTATTGTCCATTGCAATATCAAGGAACATCTGCAAATACCATCTGATAATATTCGACCTTGAAAGCTTACATCTCTTTCTAAACAACAGCCACTAGACATCCTCTAATCACACAATCAAAGCTGCATCTGCTAGAACCTACTCTGGATTCACTGATGCGATAATCAAAACAGTCAAGAATGAAGGGCCTAATGCGCACTTCAAGGATAAGCCTTACCGGTGAGTCTGTTTCTCCATTGAAAACATTTCTAGAGAGACAGCTTTTGCTTTTTTTCGGTCATATCCATGGAAGACACCGGTCTATAAACATGGCCAACAATGTCTGACAAACGATATATGTTTATTTTCCTCTTGCATGATAATTGACAGTTTCAAAACACGGTACCATCAGAAATTATATTAATTGGTGGTCCTCGTGTAGCAGGACGCTTTTTTGCAGCGATTTCCCTCCCAGCCTTCCAGGTCCTACAGAAAAAAAGACATTTGTTACTGAAAGATATAAGTGTAAGCCACATACAAGCGTCCACTTAAAAACTGGCGGAATTCTTTTTTCCAAATTTGGAGAGTAACGTACCCAGCCTCAAGCACCTTAACCAACGGCAACTCCTCAACCGACATCCCCAGCTTCTCACGCACACCCTGCCCAATCAAATCAAGCAACGCAACAGTCAGCACCCTCCACTCCACAACTACATCATCATATACATTATAAACCGGAATCCCATCACCATCCTTCTCTCCAATACTATCAGCCCGTAACTCCAACACACCGCTATCAACCAGCAATCCCCCATTCCGATACTCGGGCAGCCCAGTCATGACATGTGCGTCCCGTATCGTTATATCGAGCAGGGACAGCGGCTCCATTAACGAGTATGTAAGCCATTGCGATAGTTTATGGAAGGGGACTAGATTGTCTGCTGCGATGTCATAGGATGTGATTACTTTATCGTGTGATTTACGTAGCTGTTTTGATATTGATGTCATTGCGTTGCATGGCCATACGTCGCCTAGTGAGATATCGTTCAGTTTGGTCCGTGTTGCTGGCCAGACACCAGAAAGGCCGTCCATTACTACAGTCCATAACGCGTTGATTGATACAGATATGTTGCCATCCGTAGTAGTTGTTGTGGGATGCGCCAACAGATAATCCAGCATAAATCCAGGTCTAGCGATCTTCCCTTTACCGAAATACACCTTCTTCTCTTCCAGCACACGACCCAACCGATTCAGCAACTCACAGCGTCCGTCGACACCTACAAGTGAATTATCATCGGTAACCTGAAACGCGATCTTGATATCATCTACACTAACACTCTTCAATTTCTTGGCATCGACACGATGAGGAAATTTATCAGGCGACGACGATAATCCACCATCGTTAAACCAGTCGTACGAAGCTACAGCCAGTCCTTCAGATCGATTCATGATTGAATCGGATGATGTGCCTTTTGGGTGGTATTTCCACGTGTTTCCTGCACCTGCATCCAGTAACACGGAGATGACGAATAGGTCTAGGAGTCTACGGATTCGTTCTAGTGCGTCTTCGTTGTGTGGTTGTGGTTTGGTTGTTTTGGCTGTGGTTGATAATCGTGCAGATTGACGTGTCGGTGAAGACGGCGAGGAGACCGTGTTTTTGCGTTTTCGTTTACTTGTACTAGCATTCTTTCCTCCCTTTTTATCATCATCATCTTCCTCTTCTGCTTTATCATTATCTTCCACATCATCACCCTTCCACAGTTTCATCAACGTCCCAATACGATCTACCTTATCACCGCCAGATTTAGCTGGAGCTTCAAAATGCCGCCACCTGGAATGTGCTATATGAAAATGGAGCAGAAACATGAACATGAGTATAATGATAGTGTTGATAGCGATGATGAAACACATAAAAAGAGGTAAAATCATATTTCCTCCAACTACGTAAATCACCTGGCACGTCTTGAGGCGTCGAATAGTCTCGCTTGATTAGATCCAACACGGTTTGGATTACATTTGGCAGTTTGTCGAGATGTAGATTAAAATGTTGCAGGCTTTTGGGATGTTTGAGGACGAGTTGTGCACGTTCTCGTATAGATGGTAGCGATTGTAAATATTTGACTGTCTCCATTATTACTCGTTCGGGTTTGCTGTGAGCTGTCCTAAGTGTTTTGACGAAGACACGAAAGCGTTGGAAATTGTGAGCGACGCGCTGGGCGACGCGCGTGCATGTACGTGTTGAAGGTATTCTATTTACTACTGACTAATACTACTTTAAGGATAAAATATATGACAAAATAACAATACTTGGGTATTTCTTAAAATCCAGCCTTCACTGAACTATGATTCACATCGACACCGAGACCTCTACGTCTGGATCCCTATTCATATCAAGCAGCACCACCTGGACACTGCGATTAGCCAGATACGACCCAGGCTGCATCGGATTCAACACCCATTCAGGCATCTTCATAGCTCTAATCTCCCCTTCCTTCTTCACAGCACTTTTCAATAAACTAAAATCCATTTCGGATGTACTCCCAGACCACGGATCGGTCGGATCTGTGTGTTGGCCTAGCGGATGAAAAAGCAGTTATTACACTTCAAACATTTATGATACGACCTTGAATGCCTTCATACCTTTACTATCATAATGCAACCTATAGTAATCACTCCCAAAATGCCATACTCCGGATATAGCAATCAGAAGTATACTGACTCCAGCAGCGTAATTGGTTCGTATGAAATCCGACACCGAGTTTGTCAAGAAGGATTCCTGGAATCGTGCCGATAGGACTAGATACAAGATCACTAGCAGGATACTGTATATCATGGTGGTTCCCAAGATCGTTAATATGGCGTTTGCATCTAACGTTGGAGCGAAAAAGATGCGAGCTGGTCGACCATCGACCTCTGCTACACGAGTTATTGTGGCGAATGGTTGTTTTGCTAGAAGGAAAGAGAGATTCGAGTAAGTGAATTGTGTTGTCGTTGGAGATTGAAAGATTGTCTTTGTAAATAGAAGGATCAGAAACCGCAACGAGATGCTTTTCGATGTTTTGAATTGATGTTGATGATAACATCCGCTTCAAAGCAGGATCAAAGAGGAGAGGCATACCTTTCCTGGTCGTAGGAGCAACATTTTGTAATGGTATAGAAGGAGATCGTGAATTTATAGCCGAGTTTCGTTTAAATCTAGTCGACCAACTCAAGCCTGGAGAGCTTGTCGAAGGGAATGAGGTTGATGAAGAGGCAGAGGAGAGCGCTCCTGACTCTCGTAAAAGTCGCGGTGTACTCCTCGTATCGATCTCTGATGACTCCATCGTTCGCAATCTGCAAAAACGCCTAAACCTAAAAACCACAAGATTTGGGAGACGCACTGATAAAATGATCTATATGAAGCAAACTATTTTCTAACAGCATCTATGTTCTTCAAAAACCATTTGACGGTATCTTTCAAAGCTAGACACGTAAAAGCTTCAGCAATGGGTTCTCTGAGTCCTACCAAAACACGAACTTACCATCATCAAAAGGCACAAACTTGTAATCTGGCAGATACTTGCGCAATTTCTCGTTACTGGCTGTCTTCTTGTATTGTCCGTCAGCTTTTGACGTGTCCCAGGTGTATTCACCCTTGAAACCAACAGCTTTCACAATAGAATCTGCTACTTGTTTGATAGTGACTTCTTCCTCTTCACCAACTATGAAAAGGAGCGCTTAGCTGCCATTCTACGTAAAGAGGTGTGCATATCACGTACCAGAAAGAATGATGGGATCAATCTCGGTGTATTCTCTCAAAACCCAGACAAAGAGCCGTGCCAAGTCATGAGAGTAAATGAATTGTCGAAGAGGAGTTCCACTTCCTGACACGACAAACTTGGTCTTGTTTTCTAATAGACACCGATGGTTAGTTTCATGTGCCTTGTCGATGTTGTGCATACATGATCATACTTTTGGCGAGATAACACTTGTGAATCAATCCAGGAATAACATGAGAATCTTCCAAATTGAAGTTATCATGTTCACCAAAGATGTTTGTAGGAATCACTGAAGTAAACTGACATCCATATTGATCGTTGTAAGCCCTAGCGTGATTAAATTATGTCATTACAGAGTTTTGCTAAGAGTTTTTTTGGTTCACTCTCGCGTACTTGTTGATAACATCAATCATCCTCTTAGCATAAGCATATCCAAAGTTGGATTCGTGAGGAGGACCACTGTGGATCATGGTTTCGTCGATAGGATAGGTGGTCTTGTCAGGGAAAATACATGTTGACAAACACGACACTAGTTTTTTGACCTGTTGATTTGACAGAACTTGTAAGTGAGGCACTGTGGAAAGATAGTAATGTAGTAGTGTACCTTGAACTCGTAGCACAAGTGAATAATGTTATCATTGATCATTGCATTCTCTCGATAGAATTCGGCCTTGTAGTGCATGTTTGCAAACAGGCCTCCAACTCGAGCAGCCAGATGTATGACTTGGTTCGGTTTATACTTTTCAAACATGGCCTTTGCTGATTCATAATTCCTATATAAACACTTGTCTCGTCAATATCAACGGATCAACCTGCACCAAATGATAAAATGTTCACACCTCAAATCTCCGTCCTTTGAGGAGAGAAAGACCCAATTTTCGTTGTCTTTTCTTGCAAATCGTGGATCTTTCTCATTGTCAATGACATGTAATATAGCTTTTCCTACCAAACCAGTGCCTCCTGTGACTAAGACAACATGATCATTTACAACTTGTTCAACAACTGGCTCTTCGACTGCAGCAGGTTCGTCAGAGGAAACAGCTCCCTTCTTGGTCTTTCTCTTCTTGGATGGTGGCATCGTCCAGTACTTATATGCTAATTCGCTTATTCTAGGCCTGATTTTGTGATTTTGGAAATTGAAGTTGACGACAATGGCCCAAGACCAACACGATGAAGGTGGAAGGCAGCAATTACGACAAAAGATTCAAGAGTATCATCCTACGCAGCAAGAAGCGCGTGTCGTAGCGGCTGCTAATGAAGGATTTCTGGGTTACTGTAGGTGACATTTGGTTTGGAATTCAAGATTTTGAAGTTGGCTCATGCAAGCTCCTTCAAATCGATTAGATCTCAGCGGAATCATAGCGGGTATTGGAGCTGCTTTCTTTGTCAGTAAGTCTCACGTCACTCAAGGCGATGTCTGTTGATGTTTCGCCGATGCTTTACACTTCCATAAACCCAGCTCGTTGTGTCCAAAAACTGACTGGAGACTGAATCGTGGACTCTCCAAATCATACTTGTTCTGATATAGATTCCATTTGTGCAATTAGATTCTCGCCGAAAAGTCGCTTGGAATTCGACGCCTGGTGTCATGATGGTTATTGGAACCGGACTTGTTGGAGAGTTTGTTGGACGAAAATTTGGAGAGCAAAAAGCCAAGTCTGTATTGGCCAATCAGCTTCCACTGGACTCACAAATGAGGAAACTACTAGAACAAGGTTGGCTGTTTGAAGTCGACGTGGAATACGATCTAAATTGAGCTCCCCTCCGGAAACAAGTAGAGTAGTCTAACAAGAATCCTTAACCGATAGCAAAAGGCTTCAACATACCAGCTTCAGCCAGAAAAAGCAAAGAGGCTGAAGCGTCTGACCCGGATGCTGCTGAACCCATGCAACCTCAATTCACACCCAACATTTCTTCACCATTACCTGAAAATCGATTTACACCTAACGCTCCAACATCACAACCAGACGAACGAGCAACGCCACCAGAAACAACAGCCGAACAGCGAGGATGGAATCGATCAACATGGGATCGTATACGCTCTCAAAATGAAAGAGCAACCAGTATAAAACGTGACAATGTTACATATGATGAAGATGCCGATGCTGATACTGACATGGATAGCAACAGTGACAGGTCACGTCAACCAACCACAGTTATACCACGTACTCGTGAGGAATATGAGGCTGCAAAATTGAAGACCAACCAATATGGTGATTTGATGGCAGAGTAGTCTGAATGAAAAAAGCACAAGAGGGGTGGGGTTTCTGCGCAATAGTCAAGAAGCGTAGTAGGGATTTCGCATAGCAACATTTTAGGAATAAAACTACATATCTTTGCTCAATACATATCTATAGTATTTGAATTTCTATCGTCCGGATCGTCTTCAAAACATGGTGCTCAATGCTAGGAGTACCGCCTCTTCAGGACAAGCGGCAGTAAATATTTATAGATCGCGTTGACTGCATTGGGTTGAAACAAAGTGAGTAAAGAATCATCACTCACAAGTTTGAATGTATTTTTTAGGATGATTCTAATATCGCAAGTGCCGCTGAATCCCTCTTAAGCTCGAAACCGCCAATACTGCCATCAAGATCTCTAGACTCACTAACACCCAATAACCACGACAATGCTCCAACGCCGAAAGGAAGTCATCTGGTAAACGATGCTGCATACACTAGAGTGTGCTCAATCTTAGAAAGCTTGATAACCGACGCGAGTAAAAGTCTGCACTCGAGTATCGACGACGTGGATGTCAACGGACTCACCAGCACACCTCCAGACCAGAATGTTACTTCATTATCATCAATGTCGCTGCTGACATTCTCAGATCCCTCGGGACAGAGCGATCGCCATAATGAAGTTGTCGCAGAACGCACGATACTACCAAGGCCAACAATAGCAACAAGGCAACCAATAATAAGACCATCGAATAATCCGTCAATATTTAGTGTAGTGGTGCTATGGATGGAGACGTGCTCCTTGGTGTATTTCGCCTTGACGTTATGTACTATCAATCTGGTAATTTATGGCGTCAGTAGATTCACTTCGATGTTGTTGGGCTTCTTGCCGTTTCATAAACAGGAAGCTACGATTAGGAGAACACCGTCATGGATTAGGGGGCTGAAAAGACTTAGGAATACTGCTTATGCAATTGCCGGTTGGAGAAGTGCAGACGCAAACAAGTAGGATGGATACATTGCCATTGGATTTAAATGAACCTCAAAATAGTTTACTTCTGACCCGTTTCAAAAAAAAGGATTCGCTATTTGAGATACATACAACTGTGACGTGTGGTTACTGATAAAGCGTGCTATTCCAAAACGCGGTTTTGCAGGTCACACTGAGTAAGAAATCTTGATTGAAATACGCGGAAGCCGAGATATATTCCTTCGTAAATTGACATAGTATGCGATTATCAACGAGAATCTCCTTCTTTCCGTTCTTTCAGTCCTACTTTTCAATAGCTCAGAATTTAGCGACGATCTGTCGTAGTGCCTTCTGAGTCTTGAGACCAGAAGGAGGTTGGAAGCCATATTCATCGAAAGCATGGCAAGTCTCAAGTACATTATTTGCTGATGCCATTCCTTTAACAAATACCATTGACGAATCTAGAATGAAGAAACAACCACATTTATTGGCTTGCCAGAAGACATTCATCTCCACATTTTAGCAAACTGCGACGTTCAAACTACATTGAATCTATCTCGATCTTCTCGATACCTACACTCTCTACTCGCGTCGAACGACTCGACAATCTGGAAACCGAAAATTGATGCTCCCAACGCGCAAAAGTTGTTGCGAGCAGGAGAGACTTTCAAGCATTTCGTACGGCTAAAGGCAGCATGGACGTCACGTAAACATTTTTCTAGTGTTCCCACTAGTGAGAAGGCTGTGGACGTTATACCGGTGAATGAATTCGTGTTGGAGGAAGGGTCTAAAGTTATTGCTGTGCATGGAGCTGCTAGTGAAGATGCTTATGTATGTGGTAGTCGTGTTTGGACGAGGCAATCAAGCTTTGATTATTATGGGTTTGCGGGTGGGAAGGCGAATATTGTCACCTTCGATTTGTGTCGACCGGATATCGTACCTATTCTCGGTATGTATGCAGCATTCCTAATATCAAATTTTGATTCGATTCGCTTATTGCTCTATCATATCCAGTTACTTTACCAGACCGCGACTTTTTGCCACAACAGATGGAACAACTTGTTGGAAGTGGAAACTTTGTAGTTTTGCTATCTGCTATGGTTGGTAGAAGCCCACCGTTTTCCGTATCCGAATTACGGCGGGACTTATTTGATGGCAAGACTGGATGTTGGCTTCGAAAACTGGAGTTTTCAGTCCCTTTAACTGGAACAACAGCTTTTGCAGGTAGTTTCAGTTAAAAAGTAATAGGCAAACTATCGGCTTCCGTCCAAAATTGACCTTTTATGACTTAGGCGTTGTCTGCAACGACATGTATGCTCTAGTGGACTCGAACAACATGTTTCCAAAGAATGTGCTGTTTAAATTGAGCTTATGGAAGCTCTCACCTACTGCAGACCCAGAACTGCTATATTCCTTTAGTGATAAACTCCCCCGTGATGTATTGAGTCCGATGTGGTATGAGGATACTCGAAAAGTTAGATTGAATGAAGCGTTTGTACTGTTTACGCAGGGCAGTCACATGAACATCGGACGTCCTTCGTAAGTAATACCAGAGATTGATCTCTTGTTGGTATTTTGTTTTTAGATTTGACTTTTAAACATCATTTTTAGAATATTCTCACATGTGCTGGACACCAGAACAGGGAGGCACTTGTCAGACCTGACAAGCTCACATGCCATTACTAGACTTGTGAGCCGATTCACAATCATATACGACTCGAACCCAGCCAATGACGGTTTGTTGAGTATAAATCCATTCCATAGTCGTGTGAGGTCCTCTTACACGTTACCAGACAAGTCGAAATTGTGGTCGGAATCTGGCATTAGGTCTCGAACGCCAACTATACAGGAAGTCGCTATCAGTCTGAATGAAGAGTTATTCATGGTGGCTCCTGAAGTCGATACTTTGAATGTCACCAACATAATGAGTAGGGATATGACCTCGTATTTCGCGCTTGATGCTTTGCTTATAAGTACTGTTCGTGCCGTTGGCCGGTGTCGTATGTGGGTTATAACCAGGGACACGAATGATGCGGAATCAGTTATTTTATTATCTGTTCCAGTAGTTTGAAAACAAGAAAGAATAGAAATAAACTAACAGCACAAAGATAAGTGGTGACTAGTGTTCGCAAAAATGGTGGCGTGAAAGCAATCAACCTTGACCGGTCAACAGTTATATGTGAAAATACTTTGATCGTGTGTAAGGCGTGCAGTACAGTCTCCGAGTTTCCTTCTAGAATTGGAAGGGTGGAATATTCACGAGTTGCGTCGGTCAATAGTTTGTTTGTCAGAGTGTGTCTATGGACGACCCGGACGCTGACCTCCAAAGCTAAATATTTGCTTGTTGCTGACGCGCCTAGTGTTTACGGAGTCGACACTTGGATCTTTTTCGGGTTGGGGTTTAGTGATTGAATCGATTCAAACTGCAAAACACGTCGATTTGCCAGCCGTTTATTGCAATTAAGGAAATCTTCAGTGACCCGCACTGTACGATTTGAGTGTGCCCGATACAAGTATTCGATCGGGGAAACAGTCTGCTCTGGTTTGAGAGCAGCTCTGCTTGACGTGTCTGATTCATCAAAGAATAACGTGAACATATATGGTTTGGAACATATCACGAACTTTTTACAACTATGCCAGCACCGAAAAGGCCAGCTAATGCTAGGGGCGATATCTTGGCCCAGTCTTTAGATTCCTTCCAAAGTCATGATCCCATATACATCGACCTGTTAACCCACCGGAAAAACAGTACAAGTATTTCTCAACATTCGTCTATTTCTCAAAATTCGCGACCTACATCGGGTAGTGGTACTCCACGCCACGCCAAAATCCATATGGTTTTAGATGGTGTTTTTGATAAATTACTGGGCACATTCCGACGACCTTCGGCCAATGTTGCACCAGCCGCAGCAACCAACGACGTGACTTCGACTGACTCCTCAAAGCAATTGTTTCATTCTCAACCGTCGTTACTGCACTCGGCCTCAAAACCACCCCTATCCGATGTGTCACGGTCGAACTCCAATGTATCCTCAAAGGAAGGCAAATTTTGGAGGAGAAAGACCAAAAATACCGATAAATCCTGTACAAACAACTCCTCCTACACATCTGCAGCTACAATTGTGTCAAATATACCAGCAACAGCACGAGATATACCGGACGACACAGTCAGAATACCTTCATACAGCACACGGCATTCAACAAACAGCATCGAAACCAGCATACAATCATTTGCTGCTTCGTACAAGTCTGGAACCAGTATAATGAAACCTGGTCAAATATCTATACCGTCACGACGAAGCTCTGCTAATGGCGGTGTACGATTCGGAGGAACGGAAGAACAAAGCGAATATGCTTCACAAAGTACGATTAAAACTGGATCTTCTGTAACTCTACATCAACCATCACGCCAATCATTTGCATTAGGAGACTTTGACAAACAACACGACATGTCAAGCTCAAAGTCGTCATTGGCAATTCTAGACCCGATATATTCACCAGCAGATTTAGTACCGATTGCCATACAGCCACGATCGGATTCTGCTGATTCCAAGAAATCACGGAAACGATCAGTACCCAACATCAACACTAGGCCACAACAAAACCCATATGGTAGCAGCACATCATTGAAATGCTCCCGTGGGCTAGCTATCTCACATTCAACAGGAGAAATCGCCAGTACATCACCGTCGCAAACATCACCCGATACCAGCTTCTCGCCTCAATCATCCCAGTCGTCACTCCGTCTGGGCAAGCTTTTAGGATCAATGACATCTCGCGCACACAATATCTCGAATTCGGCATTAAGCATTGGATTACGCAATGACATGCCAGATCCATACCTGAGGTTGTCTGTTGGTGATTCCTTCAACAGTGTCGGCCAACTATCACTTCACCGTCCTGGATCCATACGCCCAATACGGGTGCGAGACTCGATTGATCAGATTTACCCACCTGTGATACCACAGCAGCAGGTGCAACAAGCTGGAACAAGACGGCATTCATCGTCTGATGACGTGTTTGCTGCACCTACACATCCTAAATGGCCACGACCACAATCAGCTCACCAGAATCTACCAACAGCACGCAGAAACCCATCTGTCGATATGGGTCTCCCTAAAGCTGGAATGTCACTCGCAGCATCACGATCACGATCAGTAGGATCAAGTCTAAACAACCTCCCAGACAATGTCTCATCATCCCGACGAAGTCTCAGCCGATCCCACCAAGTAGTCGAAACCACCACCATCTACCACCGCAACGAATCACCAGTATCCCTCCTATCACCATCAGGTGAATCCGAAACAACACAGGGAAAAGTAAACCAGTATTACATGGTCCGTGATATCGGGTCTGGTGCTTATGGACGTGTAGTGCTATGCAGACATGAAGAAACTGGTGTTTACTACGCCTGCAAAATCATTTCGAAATCTCGATTAAAGAAAAAGTTTCGATGGGCTAATGCTGGTGGTCCACCGCGAAGACGTCACTCTGGTGAAATTGGAAATTCGACTCCATCGCCTGACTCGCCTACTTCGACTAACTCGACTGTGGAGCCGGCTGATCATTTGACAGCCATTAAACGAGAGATTGCGATTCTCAAGAAGCTCTCCAAGCATCCTAATATTAATGCGCTAATTGAAGTCTTGGACGATGCCAGTGAAGACAATCTGTATATGAGTAAGTCATGGTTTGCACTTTCAGTTGTATTGTTTGCTTACGTTTTTTTGTTAACAGTTTTCGAATTGTGCGAGTACGGACCAGTAATGAAAATCGTACCCGGAGAACTTGTTAGACCATTCAGTGAAGATATGGCTCGCAAGTACTTTAGAGATGTGGTGATGGGATTGGAATATCGTGAGTAACTTCTTGGGATTGTTGTTTTTTGTCGTATCAAAAGCACTCACAAGTCAAGGACTTCTTCTTTTACAGTACACTTCCAACGTATCATTCATCGTGATATCAAACCAGAAAACTTGCTCTTGACTGCCGACCACACTGTACAAATTGCCGACTTTGGTATCTCGCACATGTTTCAAGAAGGTGAAGATGATCCATTATTGGATGATAAAAACACTTCGCCACTCTTCAGTCCACCGGAGGCTTGTGCGAGTAAGTCTTCTATGAAGTACTACGCAAGGAAACCATGGGGTTTTTTGCATTCCAAATACTAACATCCCAAAAACTCCATAGCTGAAACCAAACACATGAAAGGCAAAGCTGTCGACGTCTGGGCATTAGGAGTAACCCTATACTGCTTTGTCCACGGATGTTGTCCATTCGAGGATCCCAGTATTATCACCCTATGTCGCAAAATCACTGCCGAGGATCCACTCATCTCTCCCAACTTGAGCCCATACTTGCAAGACCTGCTCGAACGCATGTTGAACAAGGATCCCGAAAACCGTATCTCGCTCCAGGAAATCAAGGTCCACCCATGGGTGACTCTAAATGGCGCCTACCCAATGATGCCAACTGAAGAAAACTGTGTGTTGGCTGAAGTCACTGAAGAAGAAGTCGAAGAAGCCTTCCGACCAGCTGCAGCCATGATGTTTGTCACCAAGCTGATGAGTGTGTTACGAGGTCGACGATCCAAACCACGTAATTCGGAACGACCTGAAAAGCTAGCTGCTAGAAATGCTAAAGGGCATGGTGGTGGAAGTCGAGCACGATCTGCCGATATATTGAATCGCCCTGATTCTGAAAGCACTACATCCCATAGCAGTCAAAGCTCTGTCAACACTCCATCTAGTGCAGACATGAGTCGCTCAACTAGCGCCATTATGAGTCGATGGGCTCTTGGGTCTTCCCTGTCAATGTCAAGAACCGGCACTCCGTCAGGAACAACAGAAAATTTGCGTGAACTACCATTCCCACCACATCCACTACTTGGTGCCGTCCATGGTAAACGATCTAGGTCATTCGATCAAGCTATGTTGGCCGTCACTACACCATCGTTCATGTCAAACTTCTCCACCAGCAACAGCAATGGCAGCAAATCGTCTAATCCAGTCGAACCACAACGCCCACGATCAGGATCTGTAGATTCAGCTGCTGATACGCAGAAACTCAACGGTGTGGCAGCCCGTACACGAACAAACTCTAGTCTTCTACAACAAACCAAAAGCACCACCAGCATGCATGTAATTGCCGAAGAACATTGATCATAATTGATAATCTCATTTGTGTACATTTGACTGTACATATTTTTTTGATACCTTTAAACACTAGCTAATTTCTCTACTATTTAATGGTTTTTGCGTGCAAAGTTCGATATCTCAAGCAACAAACTAACCGATCACCATAGTCTGACGACTGATTACTGATGCATGAACGCACTTTATCAATAATTCGCTTTGATCTGACGCGTTTTCGTCTTGTGTGAAGAACTTGCGTACAATGACGTTCTTGTGAACTTGTTGTAAGCAACAACATCCGCTAGAAGATGGAGGCTTCAGCCATTAGAGAACGAGCTGCCACTGTAGAAAGGGTCACAAGCATAATCGCTGGAATCCTCTCTGGGGCTACAAAGCTTTTGGTAATAAAGCCAGTACATCAAAATGTCTGTTTTGGTTTCACTAACTTTTTTTGATAGATCGGAGTAAGCTTGTAGATTACATACAATAAACATGCAAGACGTAACTAAATCCGTCATCAATAGCATCCTTTCGATACAGTCAAGGTACTACTAACAAGAAAGAACGGTGGATGCAACATCTGAAAACACTTTGACTTGTTTGAGGATTACGGCATCCTCTTTCGAGCGTCTGATCAATTTCAACCTGAAAATCTGAATCGTTGGAAAATCCAGGATATTTAGCTGAAACTGATCGTACTTTGGTTCCCAGGTCCGAATACAGTCCGAAGGAGGACTGGGCAGATTCAAAGGACCACTTGACTGCTTACTAGCTACAGTTCGCCGAGAAGGGGTTTTCGCTTTGTATAAAGGAGCTACTCCTCCATTGATAGGATGGGGCTTAATGGATGCGACTCAGTATTTCGCACTGGCCAATTTTCGGCTCTTGTTGCAAGGAGGAGATCCAAGTAAACCATTGACAGTACCACAGCATGCTCTGGCTGGACTAGGAGCTGGCGTGGTGGTGCCTCTTGTTGCGACACCGGTAAGACAGCAAACCAGGATCAGAACCCATATATGTATATTGAGCTAACGTGTTTCAACATAGGTCGAACTTCTCAAGAGCAAACTGCAAGTGCAGTATGACAAGGCAGCTCGTGTGTATAAAGGGCCGATAGATTGTGCTAAACAGCTGGTATGTGGTGGGTACAAGGCCGTCTCGATCGACGACAAGCTCACCATGGTTACACCTCTTCGCAGATACGGAATAATGGTCCTGCAGCACTCTGGTTTGGACTTGTGCCAAACATTGGTATTTTTTTACTCGTTTAACTTTTTTTGGTTCACTTACGAACATGATTCATATTTTCTATCTTCCCACAAACGGAGATCAGCCTTCAGATCATGGTTTGCTGTCTTATGGGGCTCGTTTCCGATATATCAAGATATGCTGAGGTAATACACAACAGCAATACTCATTCTTGATAAGCACAAAATAACTAATCAACCTCGACAATATTTATAGAAAGCTCAAAGTTCCTGAAGTCTCGGTGGCCTTTTGGGCAGGTGGATTGGCTGCTCAGACATTCTGGCTGTTTGGTAAGGGCAGGCATTGCAATCACGATTTTAGCAAAATGAGTTGCAGCTAACACGGCTTGTTTTAGCTCTTCCAGCGGATGTCATCAAAAACAGATACATGTGTCAACCAGACATAAAGCCAAGAAGGTGGAATAACATGTTTGAAGTCACATCCTATATATACAAGACTGACGGTCTGAAGGGCTTCTTTAGAGGGTTTGGTGAGTGGTTTTGGAGTAAGACTTGAATTGACACACTCTTCACACATTCCAATCGCTAGTTCCTGTATCAATACGAGCCTTTCCCATGAACAGTTGCGCCATTTTCGTCATGGATTACACGATGAAAACCGGACGAAGATATGGTAATTATTAGAACAACTAGACAGAGCGTTGAGGTCGGGCTTCAACATCAAAGGTTAGACGAAGGCACGGCAATGCCGTGAAGTTAGAGGAAGCTAGAGACCTTGGATTAGATTAATTTTTATTTTCCATACGATTAATTTACTTTTACAAGACACAACGCTCGGTGTTTGTGCTCCCTATGCGCCGTTCTCATCTCGTTACTGGAATGTCAAATAAGTTGACGAGCAGATGCTGTTCAATGCTGTGTCCTGTGCGTTTAAAAGTGTTCTCCACGGTTCTCGTGCCAGAAGAACGTCACTGTCTACAATCGCGACTAAGGTCTATTGTCTCTCCAAGGGAAGATGTATTAACTGCAAACTCGAAGGGGATACGGACGTTGATGGACAGAAAGAGGTTCTATTGGTTTGCAAAGACACTTACTTTAATTTCTTTACACATATGTACAATGCAACTACTGTACTACTATATATGGTGTTTTTCCCAACCAACTACACTACTATATAAGGGATGTTGCCCACGTCAAGAATGGCCTCCAGACATACAACTTCTGTAGATGGAAACTGTGCAACTCTAATCTCAACACACGTAGCGTCGTTTCCATGAAAGTGCTGAGACAAGGGGTGATATATCCTTCCAAACGAGTGTTTGACGTCCGTGAATCTCAGACGTCGAGACTGTGCTAATTCTTCCAGTTTTGGCTTGAGGCGTTTATGCGTTCTCAGGGCTTCATCCAGTCGACGTTGGACACCCTTTCCCGGCATATTGGCAAATTCACCGTCAGCAGTAAGATATTCTGGTAGAAGGAACAAAGAGCTATTAATGGTTTGAAGGGAGAAAGTAAGAATGTCAAAACGCAGAGAAAACAATAAGAACACGGCACTTTACCCAGTGCGCCACGTGCATTTCTTTTGTTCTGTATTTTGAGTAGAAGATCTTGTACGCTAGCCAGTTTGAATTCTTTTGCCTAGTGGTTGATGAATGAGGAATTTATGTCCTTCAAATGCGTTAGCGAGTTCTTCGTACCTTGAGCTCTACCGACAGCTCCGTGATTCTGGTTGCAGAATGTTTGATGTCAGCAAGATGGCTGTCCTTGGCCTTTAGTAGTTCTGCCCAGGGATCCTTCAAAGAATTCCAAAGTTATTTACTGTTTGAAAAATCAATTTGCAACAGTGTTCTCACGATATTGGTAGGGGTGGGGATGGTGATTGTTCGTGCAAATGGCTGGCAACTGGCGACAACCGTTGGTCGTGACAGTGCAGCTGCTTGCCATCTGACTCTTTTCAACCTTGACATATTCGCTATTTTTGGAAATGTGTAGGTAGCTGCGTGCTATTATGCTGACCAAAAAAAAGTCACTGTGGAAACAGAACGAAATCCGCGGCTCCTCAACCCTCAACACGCGTTATCGCATAATCATTATTATATATTTATGATCATAGACACATAGTGGTTTCCATTGACAGTTTGTGCCCTCGAGTTCTGACGTCCGACATCGTTGCTGGATTGTTAAATAAGTTCGAGAGCTGATCCTGCTCAGATCCTACGCACTACGAACTTGTTTCTCGCGTCGCAACCTACGTGATCGTCCACAATGGAGTATTGACCCACCAATTGGCTGTTCTTTACTTGCCAGCCAATCTGCTCAACTCCAAGTGTTTGGACAACCACAACGACAAGTAGCCTCAATTTAAGGCTCCTGCACGCGTTTCCCCACTGCTAGGACACGCCCAAGGATTGAATCTGCTCTGCGAAATGGACCCAAACGCCAGCACAGAGGGTGAAGCAGTCATCAGCACCGAGGGTGAAGGAATCAGTCATGAAGCACCATCAAGACAAGACTCGCAGGATGTACTGGACAATTCATTCTTCTTTGACCCACGTATTCAAGTACGTTTCTTCATGTCATAACCGACAAACATTCAACCATTTGATGTCAATGCTTTTTGAAATTTCGAACTCGTGTTTTGACAATGACTGACGGTTCTGAATTATTTAGGAGCTTAATGAGACATTTCAGGTGCGCAGAGCTAGCTCATCTGGTCCTTGTAACCGTGTTCTGACGCGCAAGCTTGAAAATTCAACTAGGGATTTTTACTAGACATGTTACAATTTAGCTAGTGAGTCTCGAATTCCTACTTACGTTTACATAGGAGTTGCTGAATCCATTTCCTGCTCTTTCTAGCACCCACTCCTTCCCACCACACATATTTTCGTCACCACTCATTCCAGAAACGCATGATATCGATACAGCGGGTCTGCTTAATAGATTAGCATCGCTCATATCTCGTGAGATGGAAGACATGGCCTTATCACCACCTGATGAATCACCAGTCCCAAAAGAATCCCCCGAACAAGTACACTTCTCGATGCTAATGTCACAAATCAGCGCCGTGATACACTCGCCGGCTATAGTATCAACAGATCAGCGTAGAGCTATTGAACGACAAGTTGAAATGTCGGTTGTTGAATGGCTGAAAAGGGCGTTTGGGATCTATACTGTTAAATATGTGCTTTTCCAAGGTGGACTATACCCATCAGCCAATCCACTAGATTTCCCACTCGTGCCTGTATTACGATGTGCTCTACAGAAATCATCGGGAGTCGCGTCGTCGACATTATCGATACCCGTTATATACATATCAGCCGATACAGCAGCAGACGATTTTGAAGCTACAGTTTCAGTGTGCTGGCCTGTTGTAGGAAGCTTCTATGGAATCCAGAATGTGCTGGTACGAAGAATATCATGTTTACGGCATAGTGAGATTATGGATGTAGGCGATCTGGAAAGGGCGGTCAATGCTGATGTGGCTGCTGGTAAACGGCCTTGTTTGGTGGTTGGGAAGGCTGGGTCGCCTATAATGGGTCAAGTGGATGATTTGAAGGCTCTGAGAGAGATATGTGATCAGTTTGGCATGTGGCTCCACGTCACTGGGTAAGCGACGAGAATGATTTAATACTGTGACGTTCAATCAATGAATCCTTCTTTGCAGGCCTGCTTCTTGCCTTTTGATCACATCAGAATCAAATATAGTTGAAGGTCTACCGCCAATGGAATCTCCAGTACTGAATGTGCTCAAGTTTGCCCTTGCTGCCGATTCTTTGGAAACTCATCCGGGTTCATTGTTGTCTATCTCAGCGTAATTATATCACCATTATGCGAGTTCTAGTAGCTGAATTTTTTTTGCTAACGCCATTCCAAAAACTTAGACTTCCTGGATTTACATTCTTCTTTACCGTTGATCCTCGCGATAAAGACCCAATGCGAGCTCTGAGCACTCTCGTTTCAACTGGTCATGTCCCACTCATCCCTCCACAGCTTACAACAAATCTAGCTCGACCAGTCAGTACACCACTCGATGTAATAGTGTCAGGCCCCGGTAGACTCTCTATAACACCTCAAGCTCGAAAAGGTCGCCGAGGATCAGTAGAAAAGGGCTGGAAACATCCTGCTGAGCTCTTGACTGTACTGCCTATATGGGTGATCGCACAAACAGTTGGAGCCAGTATGATAGAAAGGACATTGAGAAAAGCACATCAGCTCGTAAATAGCATGTCGGATTTTATTGGAAAGGAGGATACGTTGTTGTGTGTGAATCCTCAGGAAGCTACTGCATTGACTTGTATTGTGCGGTTTCATCCTACGTTGAATCGAAATTATTTCGAGGCAAATTTAGATGTTATGCTGTCGTTAAATAATGAGCGAGTTTTGTCGTCGCCTACTCGTGGTGAAGACATATCTATGGAAGAACGAGTCGGATATTTCGCTCATGTTGGGGATGGAGACATGGGAACGAAATACGTAAGTCGGGCTTGCTGAACAATGAATACAACTTTATGAACCTTTTTTTTGGGGTGTCTGAGACGATTAAGATTGCTGATTATTTCTATGTTACCCGATACCCAGATATTCTCTCTATTTTCGGATGACATGAGACATCACCTTTGCTTAGATCTCATATCCGTATCCGGTTTACTTTGTATTCGATACCGACCATTAAGTGCAGATGCATCTCCTCAATCACAAGAAGACCAAGCACTCAACTTTACATCTCAACTCGCACACGAAGCAGAGAAGGTGGATTCCGCCTTGAAATACAATCATATATTTGAACATGTAGTCAGCAAGCACAGTCCTACACTACGGTATTTGAAGAGTTGGGCTGTTGGAGCTGTTGCCGATTCAGTAGTATTGCCACGAGGATCTATTGTGAGAGCATCGAATGGTGGTTCGTCGTTGACTGGCAGTACTGTTGATTCAATTGGAGGGCCGAGAACTCCACGAGTTGTTGTTGATGCTGGGTCTGATGAAGAGACTATATGGGTTGGTTTGGGGGCCATTAGGTAACATTCCGTCGGGCTTTCCTTGACTTTTCCTGCACTCTGACTCCATCTCATCACATCGTATAGATATACACCAATGTATGTCGAACTTGATAAGCCCAGTCTCTCAAATACTGTGTTGCGAGACTTGGACTATCTGAATGGTCGAATTGCTGATGAGCTAGCCAAGCAATATGGATCATTGTTCTCTCGTGGCCAAGCAGCAGCTGGGATTCTGTCTGAAGGCGGTGCTGGGATTTGTATACGTGTTGGTCTGGTAATTACAACATTGAGGCTTTTTTTTCCTCGAACGGATATATGAAGCGCACTCACACGCTTGTAATCGACTTTAGGACGAAGTACCTTTTACAGAAGACTTGATTGAACATTGTGTTGAGATTGTGCTCAAGAAGGGTATGGAATTGGAGAGAGATCCTGCTTATATGGAAGATATAGCCAATGTGATCAGGGATGGCATAGCTCAAGCAGAACGAGAGCTTCGGAGTGAAGCTGATGGTGAAGTAAGTTACGTTATTGTTAGTAATTGTAGGTCATTACTTCACATAAATCGGTGTTTGTTGCTGATGTTTGTTGTTTTGCTGATGTTTCCACTCTTCTCAATCGCTTTAGAGCATACTACGATCGATCCCAATCGTCGGAAGTCTCGTGTCGTACATTGCTCCAGAGCCATTGAAAATCAAGTCGAGAGTCAAGGCATTTACAATCTCATCAGGATTTTCTACCGCTCCACTTCAATCACCAGATGGACCAACTCGTCGAACGAGTAATGGTGAAGCTCTGAATCCTCGCACTTCGACTACAAGTGCTAGTGATCCATCGACATAGACACTATGTAACAGGCAGTATATACAATGTCTTGTAAAGTCAAAATCATCATACCAAGCATAGATTATATTTGATTTTAACCACGTTATTCCAACCGTCTTAGTTTTGCATAAATACATCCGGGATGAGATTTCTGCATTCACTTTTTTTCGCCATACGAATACGAAAAGCTGACCAACGAACGTTGACGTAGAATTTTTATGATACATTTCAATGATTTCTTAATGGAGATGCCTCGGTACATCTTGTAATGATAGATGTTTAGGAGATCTGAGGATGACCGTTTAAATGCGACGACATGGCTGCTGGCAAACGACCTGGTTGGTTGCCTGCGAGAACTGTCCATCAATCGGTCAAGTCGACGACGTGAAGGCATTGGATGGCTTTAAGCTGCATTTGTGACTACTTTGAAATGTGGGAGTCGATTCTCGAGGTTCACAGTTGTCGCGAAACTTCTTTTGACCTGCTTCATGCCTTCTCATCACATCAGTATCGAATGTGGATGAAGGTTACCACCAATGGAATCTCCAGCATTAGATGTGCCCAAGTTTGCTTTCGCTGCCTATCTTTGGAGCCTCATCCTGGCTCGTTATTCTCTATCACAGTCCGGTAATTCTTCCAGGACTATGAAGATGTCACGTCGGTTTTTTTCTGATACAATTTCCAAAAAATAGGACGCCTCGTATTCCACATTCTTCGTTGCGGTTGATCTGCACGGGCTTATCAGTGGTGATGAATGCCCAATGCTCTTAGCACTCTCCTGGCCGCGTCCCACTCATCCGGTCATAGTTTACAACTATTCTAGCTCAGTCGTTACGCCACTCGACCTAATAGCCACAGCAACTGGTAGACTCTATGTCGGTCCACAAGTTCGAAAAAGTCGACAAGGAGGGAAAAGGCACTGGAAACATCCTGCTGAACTCTTGTTGACCGTCTGGGGTGATTGTACAAAGAGTTGGAGCCACAGCGAAAAGATTTAGCTGGAATTCTGTTTGACGGAAGTGCTGCGATTTCTATACGTGTTTCTGGCAATATTACAGTGTGCCACAGCCCTTTTTTGCTTGTTGGCATTTTAGAAAAACAAACTGAAAGCAAGCGAAGGAACTACCCTCACTTTGACTTCACTCACAATTAGGATTTAGTGCCCTTTGCAGAAGAATTGATTGGACTTTACGTTTCCATCGTGTTGAAGAAGGGTATGAACTTGCAGAGGGATCTCCTGCTCAAATGGAACATCTAGCCAATGTAATTAGGGATAGTATTGCACGGGAGGTTCGTAGCAAAGCTTCAGGTGAAGTAATAGCATCCGAAGTAATAGCATCAGACGGGAGCTTCGTAGCGAGGGTAACGGTGAAGTAAGAACTGTGCTTTTGATTGGCAAGTCAGTGGGGGGTGGCTCCTTTTTTGCTCGTTGTTTTCACACGTCTCTCTTAACTCACTTAGGGCATACTTTCGATCGATTCCAATCGTTGAATTCATACATTGTGTCTGAGCTAGTGAAAGCAAATCCACGTTAAGGCATTTAATATCGCATCACCATTTTCTGTCCCTCGTTTTCAATCTCTAGAACGAACAACTCGACTATCATATTGATAAAACTCTGAATCTTTATCGTTAAGGTGCAAGTGCTATGGAAAACGTAAAATACGCAGCAATGGGGCAGTAAATAACATCTTGCAAAATCAGGTTGCGTATCATAGATATATTTGCTTTCTCAAACAAAGCCCAAAAAGGTTTCAAATTATTGCGACATCCAACAGCAGCTTTATGCAAGCGTCTCTACACTATCTATAAGATCCTGATAATTAAACGTCTGGGGGCTATGATGAAACCTCTCAACAAGCGCTAGCTTCTTCTCATCACCAGACACATAATACAGCTGTATGAGATAAGCGAGATTCCTAGCTTCAATGGCAGTAAGGGTATTCACACCAATCTCTCCACGCATCACCACTATTCCCATTTTATCAGCTAGATCATCGTAGTGTGTCATGACGAGAGATGGACGAGCGCCCTCTATACGAGTCTTGTATTCTAGGAGGGAAGTCAGGTATGTTTGGCAGCCAGAGTGCTGGAGGTAGAAGAATTCAAAGCCTTCTTTTCGTGGGAGTGGAAGTACGAACTGTGTTGTGAGAGTTGTGTGAGTGTGAAATCAAACATAGGAAAGCGAAGCAAAAAAGGGTATCCAGAGTGTTGTTGAATGCCTTGCCACGACTTTAACCAACTTACAGTAGGATATTGTGAGGATCTCTTCTGTTGCCTTTCATAAAAGTCTTTTGTCATGACACCGGATATGACGTCCTTTGTGAGATTTGAGTGGTGTTCATTCCATATCTTTGTCAGAGCTTCAGCATCGAGGTGTTGTATTAGATCCATCTGCAAGATATCTGATAGAGGCTACAATTTGAGACTTTGTGAGCCGATCAGAGTAGAGAGAGCGAGAGCGTATAGCGAGTAGATGGACGTAATTGTTACCTTTATGCTCGAGTCCTTCCTCTTGTAAGGAGCAGGCCTGTGTAGTGGTTTTGGTTGTTGCGCACCACTGGCTCGAGCACTAGTAGCAGCAGGAGAGGGTTTTACGGGAGTGATTAGCTTTTGTTTCAGCTCTTCGACACTCTTGACTCCAGCACTATGTGAGAATAGAGTGTTTGTATCATGGTTTGTGATATGTCTGATGTGTCAACCAAAAACCACACTCCAATGTTATCTGGACATGCATACCTCTTTACTTTTTGGTTTATCTTTTCCTGGTACTTTTTATAGAATGGATCGTCGACAGAAGAAGCGGATGTTGATGAAGCATTAGATGTTTGGCCTGCAGCATTGTTGGCCGAAGCTTGCATCCCAAAACTGGAGGTTTGCCACGGCATGCCAGCGTGGCTAGCAAACGATCGTGTCGGAAATGGCGATATAACGCGTCGTAGCATCCTTCCTTGCGTCCCTATCATCATTATATGTAGTAGGATGAGACTTGACTTTGACAAAGACACAAGCTTCAAGCTCTAGAGGGTCAAGAAGGCAAATCAAGGATATTAGAGTTGCAATCATGACTCAATATGTCATTGCCGAGCTGCTGAACAAGGTACCGCATTCGTTCTAGTTCTGTTCAGTCTTCCATTTTAAGCTAGAGCTTGAATCCATCATGATTAAACTAAATGCATTTCTTGACGTGTTGATAGATGTCCAATACGGACGCTGATTACAGATATATGAGTGTCAATGATATGATGAATGAACTCAGCAAGCCAAACTTCCAATGCGAGGTACGTGTGTGCAGTCCAACATCTCGCAATGTCAACACACGTATTTATATTTACCATCACACTATCTGCCATAGGAATTGGTCGAAAAGAAAATGGTCAATGCTATATTAAAGCTATTGGAAGATAATATTGCTGAGGTCCAGAACGTTGCAATCAAATGGTGCGTAACTTGGACAAGCTCAAGCTGCAGTGCTTGTACTAAAAGTATTATCGTGTCTCATCGCTTTTTCGCTCTTCTTGATAGTCTTGGTCCCATGGTGAAAAAGATTCGAGAAACCCAACTGTCAGACACAATCAACAAACTCTGTGATCTCATGCAGGACTCAAAAGAAGAAACCAAAGACATTGCAAGTATCGGCCTCAAAACCGTCGTACTGGAAATATCTGGAAGCTCATCTGCTGCTCCTGCTATCGTCAAGAAACTACTAGTTAGGCTAGTTTCTCAATTGCGATCGGTATGTGCATGTTGTGGAATCGCATCCTGGGTTCTTCTTGTCGTGGTTTTTTTTGCTCGCGACATAGCATGCTAGCTGCAATAGCTCACAAGATCCATTTACACACCTATCAGCAGGAAACAAAGGAAGTCTCATTAGACTCACTGGATATCCTGTCGGAAGTACTGTCACGATTCAGCCATCTCATCACTCCCACAGATACATACCCTCCTCATACACCTCTACAACGAGCCATCCAAGACACCCTATTACCACTACTGGACTATTCACGTCCTGCTGTACGAAAACGAACCACAGTCGCTATTGGTAACCTGGTGGCTCATGAACCTGATGACTTGTTTACCGAGCTGCTTACAAAATTGTTGAATGAATTGAAAGTAAAACAAGCTGCTAAAGATGCAGACAAGTTAAGAACGCTTGTTGGTTGTGTTTCTACGATCAGGTAATTGCGTGGCTGAATTTATTTGATGAAGTTGTGTCTTTTTTTCGCTCACTCCATTCTTTTCACACGTATATTCAGTCGATACAGCTCACATCGACTGGGTACCCATCTGAATGACTTGTTACCCTACGTCACATCATTGGCTGCATTTGATGATGATGAATTGCGAGAAAATTGTTTGCAGGTACGAGACAGCAGAAAAAGAGACTATAAGGTACCAGATTTATAACGCATTCTACCACTCAAATGTTTCAGGCCCTCGAATCATTGGTATTACGATGTCCAACAGAAATGTCTCCTCATGTGAACAGAGTCATCGATTTGGCTCTCTTATACATCAAATATGATCCCAACTATGATGCTGGAGACGAAGACGACGATGATGAAACCATGGATGTAGATGCTGATGCTGATGAAGATGATGAAGATATGGGTGATGGTGATGACGAGGAAGAGTGAGTTCTACATTTTTTGTAGGTTATTCTAGTTTTCTTTTGACTTTCCTTTGTCACATTTAGAGAGGAAGACGATGGTGACTACTCTGATGAAGATGATGTATCATGGAAGGTCCGTCGTGCTTCATCAAAGCTATTGGCATCCATCATAGCTACTCGTCCAGAACTGTTGGCACAAATGTATGCCACCGTTGCTCCCGCACTCATCAAACGATTCTCGGAGCGAGAAGAGTCTGTACGAGTTGATATCCTCACTACTTTTATTGAATTGGTCAAACAAACTGGTAAAAGTGGTGGGGGCTCTGTTGTTGGGCCAACTGCTGCTGATGGTACAAGAGACTCGAAGCGTTGGAAGGGAGAAGTCGAGTAAGCGCATTGTCCAATGTCCTCGATTGTTTTCGCGTGTGGCCTTTCTGTTCTCAAGCATACATTGGTCTAACTAAAGTAACCCTCAATTTCCTATCTTGCAAACTAGTCCAAAAGAACTACTTCGAAATCAAATTCCAAAACTCAGCAAGAGTCTATCCAAACAGTTGGTGGGCAAATCCATCAGCACTCGTCAGACTGGTTTTGCGCTTCTTCGAGAACTGGTCGCAGTCCTTCCCGGAGCACTAAGCTCTGTAATTGGTCAATTTATACCTGCCATTGAAGCGTCACTAAAGGTACAAGGTACTGGGGGTGCTCAAGGAAAGATACAAACCAACTCAAATCTCAAGATTGAAACCTTGACGTTTTTACGTATATTATTACCATCGCATGAACCTACAGCTATTCATCCATACTTGAAGCGTCTAGTAGATCCCATAGTTTTAGCAGCCACCGATAAATTCTACAAAATAACTGCCGAAGCTTTATTGGTCTGTGAGCAATTGGTACGTGTTATTCGTCCATTTGCTAAAATGGGTAATGAATATGTCGTCCAACCACTCCCACAACCTGATTTCGCTCGTTATATCGATACCATTTATAAAACAACAATGGGTCGCCTAAAAAGTGCTGATGCTGATATAGAAGTCAAGGAACGAGCCATTACATGTCTTGGTGCAATTATTTATCAAGCAGGAGACGTACTAGATGCCAACGAAGTCCAAAACACCGTCATGAAACTCTTAGTTGATCGACTCAAGAATGAGTTGACACGACTTGTATGTGTGAAAGCCATTCAACACATATGTGAATCACCACTTCTAGAAGTCGCTTCATCAGCCAATGCCATCTCCATTCGTCCCATCTTGGGCGAAGTCCTAAGAGAAACCGCCTCATATTTACGTAAATCCCAACGCCCACTTCGAGTAGCTTCCTTACAAGCTCTCGAAACCATCATCAGCAAATACCACGATATCATGAACGCAGACCTCTATTTGGCCGTCCTGACTGAATTGAAACCCGTCTTTCAAGATTCCGATCTACATATATTGCCGCTGGCCATGTCTACTTTATGTGCTGTTGTATCGTCGGGAACAGCTGATGTGGTTCTGCCTCAGGTGCGAAAGGATGTCTTGCCGCATATTGTAAAGCTGGTTTGGGATCAACCTCATCTGGTTGGTGTTGGTATTGCGCTTGATGCCTTGCTGAATGTATGGACCACGGTTGTTAGAGTTGGGGGCAGTCCTGTCTTTACAGAGTGTGTTGGATTGTTGGTTAATCCTGTATATGAGTCGGCTACTTCTGGGTCTTCCAAGCTGGTATGGTTTACGAGTCATCAATCTGGGCTTTTAATTGCAATTTTTTGGTGTTGTCCTTTGAAAACCATACAAACTGACAAACATGAGTTCCATACTATAGGCATACTCTGTCATTGCACAGTCAGTAGCTACTCTATGTATGGAATCACCTAAAGATGCACCAAAGACCGTTGCCGAATTCGTGAAAAAGATCTCCGATACCAAAGCTCCTGAAAATGTACTATACCTATCACTCTTGATTATCGGAGAAGTCGGTCGTCGAACTGACTTGTCTCCAAAACATCCTCAACTTCACACAACCTTGTTGTCACTGTTTGCCAACCCATCTGAGGAAATCAAACATGCTGCAGCCTTTGCATTGGGTAATGTAGCTGTTGGTAATCTGGCCTTGTATATGCCAGTGGTCTTGAATGCTGTACGAGAGGGTGGAAAGAAGCGTTACCTGACTTTTGTTGCTTTGAAAGAGGTATTAGATAGTTTTACTCTTTTTTGCCTCCTCTTTAATCACTCACTCGCTCATGCTTTTTTAAGATCATTGGTCGAAATGTTCTGTTGGGTGCATCCAAACAAGGAACACCATTGACTGCTTTTGCACCAGAATTATGGACTCTTCTCTTCCAAAACACTGAGGATACCAAGGAAGAAGGAACTCGTAATATAATTGCTGAATGTCTTGGTAAACTAGCACTCTCAGATCCAAGCCAATTCCTACCAGAATTGCAAACGAGACTTAAAGCCGAAAATCCACTTGTACGAGCAACCGTCGTTACTGCCATTCGATACACGTTTACTGATGAGGCTGGTGAAACGTATGACGCTCTGTTGAGACCTGCAATTGCTGATTTCTTGCAGTTGGTCAAGGATTCTAGTTTGGTAAGATTTATTGTTTGTATCTTATGTTATATCGGAGTTCTAATGAAGCTGTTTGAAAATATCGACTGAATCTTTTGTTGTCATCGAATAGGAGGTCCGCCGTGTATCATTGACGACATTGAATGCTGCAGCACATACCAAACCACATTTGATTCGAGAGTCTTTGGGAACTTTATTGCCTCTCTTGTATTCTGAAACCAAAGTTGATGTGAGTTTGAGTCTTGAAGTGGAGATATGCTGGCTGATTAGGTATTGACTTTTGTTTTGCTGACTGCTTTTTCTGTCGTAATGTAGGAATCGCTTATTCATACTGTTGAGATGGGTCCATTCAAGCATAAGGTTGATGATGGATTGGAGATTCGAAAGGTGTGTGGCGTGTTGATGAATTTATTGGCAACGTACAGTGTCCTTTCGACATGTTTTTCTTTTCTTTTCGCTCTCTCTCCTTTACACTTTCTCATTTCCTTCTCATCTAACAACCAGTCTGCATATGAATGCATGTATACTCTACTCGACACCTGTCTCTCTCGCATTGAAATCTTTGGATTTATCGAACGAGTAATGCACGGTCTCGACGATCCATCACAAGAAATCAAAACCCTATGTCACTTGATGCTTCAACGTCTAGTCTTCCTCTCTCCAACAGCACTCCAACAACGACTCGACAATGCCACCGAACCATTAAAAGCAACAATGAATAGCAAACCCAAACCCAATGCCGTCAAACAAGAAATAGAAAAACTGAATGAATTGATTAGGTCTGCAGTCATTACGATGCTTGTATTGGGACGACTAGCAGAAGTACCTGGTACAGCCATCAAGTTTGAGGAATTGTTGAGGGAAGTCAAGAAGCCTGACTCAGCTACTGCTGATGTCGTTTTGGCTGTGCAGGGAGAATTGGAGCAACTGATTGCTTCTCACCAACAGTCGGCCGGGATGAGTAGCTCATCTGGTGCTGTTGGTGGAATGAGTGGATCTATGTCGCCTACAGCTATGGATACCTCGTAGTAGTGTTTTGTAGAAAAATGAAAAAGGAGGGAAATGTATTCTTGTAGTCAGATTATGAACTGTGAAAGCGGCGTCTTCGTCCCCAAAAACAGGTTTTCCTTGTCTTCTGTTCCCTCTGGTCCTCTGATTATATTCATGCACTTTGGAACCCTTCTTAGATCTGGCTGGTGTTTTCTTAGACACCTCGGTTTGGGATAGGACAGTGTTGTCGCGTCCGGAGCCTCTCTGTCCTTTATACCCCGTCGTTAGGAAGAGCGGGACTCGTTGGAAGATTGACTTGGATTTGGATGTGAATCCGCGTTATTTGACTGTTTCTAACATTTTTGTTTTCTATATGAATCATGTGTGGACCTCCGTGCTCTCGCTTGTGGTGGAGTGGCTCTTGGCCAAGCTTTTCTACCTGCTTCTCTCTCTGTGCTGCGGCACATTGGATATGTCTGAAGAGATGTAGTTAGGTTAGCAGTTGGAGTTAGTTAATAGTGTCTCCTTGTAGTAATTTGGTGTCTCAATAATATGTGAAGTGTCAACAAAAACGACAAACCCCATGGGTTTGCAACGTCATGTAAGGCAATTGGATAGACGGAATAGGAAATGCATCCAAAGAAGATAAGAAGAAGTCAGCAACAGTACCACTACCAAGACGACCAAACGAACATTCAGAAGAAGCGAAGAACACCCAGAAGAAAGATTCAAAATGATTTACAAAGGTCTCTGCTTATTCATATGCAATCACCTTCTAACTCTAGGTTTACAAACGACTTTACTTGCATTCGTCGCCTTCACCTGAGTTCCGCCGACCAAAATCACCGATGCTGAATATTGAGGCATCGAGATATTATAAACCCCACCAACAGACTGAATCGTCTCAATCTTTCTGGCTCCTATCGGCAGTCCGTCCTTTGTCCCATCAAACGTCTGAGCTGCATAAGTGATGCCCAAGGTAGACGTGACATTGGGAGCACGCAGCCATTCCACCACAGCACTAGTCTGATTTTGATCAGCCGCTGGAAGCATAAACGACACTGGGATTGTTTGGTTTGTCTTGTTTATAATAATGACGGACATGGTCGTATTGTTTTGGCTTTGGAAGCCGTATATTTTGATGAGTGACGTGTTGGTCTTGGCTGATGGGATTATGGGAACAATGTCCTGATTGCTGGATACCCATGAGAGAGCGTTCGTGAAGGCAATCATCGAGTAGTAGATGGGACGGACGTTGACTGGTTTGTCTGCAACGTTGCTGGCTTGGTTTATGAGGAACGGGCTGTATTTGAATGCGGTTTCGATGTTTGTAAAGTCAGCAGCTCCCATGACGCCGTGAAGCCTAGCAAAGTATTTATGAGAATGTTTGAAACACTATATAACAACAGAAGGAATGTTTTTTTCTACCTCGCACTGCCCAATCCATTCCAGGCAGCATAAGCGTAAAAGTCAAGCGACCATAGAGCACTTCCAAAAACCTATCGAGATAAGTTTGTAGTGCTCATGTAAACGAGACTAATGAAGAATTTACACGAAATTTGAATTCTTACGTTCGATACACCTTGGATTCCACCACCAACACCAATGATACTATTTGTCTCACCCAGTATAATATCATCCGTATAAGTGGCGCTTGCTGATGCTATATAGTCAAACTCAGTTGGTGATGGAAGACCTAACAGAGTTTGCAGCGATACATTGCCGTATGTACCATACGTATGGACGGTGGCCAATGTCTTGATGTGGTTGGTAGTTACAAATGGGGCAGTGCTGACTGTCTGAGTCCATGTTGCCATTTCGTCTTGTGGGTTATATGACGACAATCCTGCAAATTGCAGGGGTTTGGATGCAGGGATGTTGTTATAAATTGCTTGCAGCATCGGCATCCAGTAATTAGAGACATAGGTACCGACAGGAATCCCAAAGTTATGTGGTTCATTTCCTGCATGAGATTCAGAAGAGAAATAACATCAGTCAACGAAGCTCAACGCTAGGTCTCATTTTGCACATACCTAGTTCGACACCAGTCATGTGAGCAATCATCTTCGAGTCTACCATAGCCTGCATGAAGGCCACCGTTGCATTGACATTATTCATTGAATGGACTGTTGGCAGTCCAGCTAGATACTGAATTGGAACCTGCGTGGCAAGTTGAGCAATGTTGTTCATTACAGTCATGTTTATGGAAAATGGAAAGACGGTAGCGTTACGACCAGGAACGCCGTCCAACCACACGTTATCTTCACTTATCCCCCCTATACGAATAAGAACGGGCTGCTTGCTGAGGGTCTGCAAGTTGGCAAAGAGCTGGGTTACGGGTTTCTGGGCACCAGGAGTGAAGATAGAAGCCATATCATTCCATTCTATACTAAAACCCATATAGTTTGGTGCAATAAGTGTTTGCCTGTGTGGTCGAGGCTTTGGTGTTGCGAAATCGAATTGCTGTTGACTGGAGAGGACAATAAGGGCCACGAATATGAGCAGACATGCTCCAGAAGCCATTGGTTGGTAGTGACGGTGGTTGGCAAATAGGGCTATTGGCCCTAGTGTGTATTATGCGGCAGCGCAGGTCTGTCCTCAGTCCATGGACACACCTTGCCGTTGTGTAGATACATCAGCTCAACCTGAATAAGGTGATGATTTTTGTTAGTATTCAGTCAAGCACGTTCACAGTAAAACGTGAGATGCCTTGCAAACACGTTGAATGGTTGAATGAGTAATGCATTCGTAGATCTTGATCCGACAGCCAACATTTTGAGATTCAGCGACAATGAATCAGTAGGCATCAGCATAAGTAAGCGAGCAAGTTCGTAATTCTTTGGCCTCCCGTCTGCAGCACTAGTAGAACAACCGTTGCGACCTCTCCCATCACACTGGGCACATTCAAGAACCCTCATCTTCCATAGAATCAATTACGAGCCATGGCACCAAAGTTCAAGATCGCACTCATTCAACTATTCGTGACAGCTTCAAAAGAAGCAAATATAGCTAGCGCTTGTCAAAAAGTACTTGAAGCTTCACGTAATGGTGCCAAAGTCGTTGTTTTACCAGGCAGGTCAAGGTTGATTGGTTACTTTTGAAGTATTTTGTAACGTTCTCTTCCGTTCTATAGAGGTCTGGAATTCTCCTTATGGCACAAAGGTACAAAACATGAAACATCAACTGTAGTGGTGTTTGGATCAAAAACCTGCCCTTCAAAAGCAACACTGAGATGCTCAACCAGATATTCCTGATTTCCAACCATAGTACTTTGCAGAATACGCTGAAAAGGTACCTGGAGGACCATCAACTCTCGCACTTTCAAGCATGGCAAAGGACTCGAATTGCTGGCTAATCGGAGGCAGCATACCTGAAAGCTCACAGACCGAAAAGGGAAAATACTACAATACATGTACAGTGTATTCGCCAAAGGGTGAATTGGCTGCTATACATCGAAAAGTGTAATGCTGCTCAATATCTTGTTTGCCGTAAGATACTCAACGACTAACCCTCGTTTTTTTGCATAGGCACTTGTTTGATATCGACGTACCTGGCAAGATCAAATTCACAGAGTCAGATGTCTTGTCGGGTGGGAACTCGTTGACGCATTTCACCACCGAGTATGGAAAGATCGGGGTTGGGATATGTTACGATATAAGGTTTCCAGAACTTGCCATGATTGCCGCACGTAAAGGTACTAGTTTCAGATCATAGATTCGTGAGCTTTCCACTATTTTTTGCCAACCTTTCAAATACTTTTATTTTCAGGGTGTGTTGGGATGGTTTATCCTGGGGCGTTCAATACGACTACTGGACCGTTGCATGTAAGTTGAAGAACGTTTTTTATCGAACGATGATGATACTTTTTTTGTCGGTCGTGTCTAAGTCTAAATCTGCAAATCCTCACTCTTCACACCTCTCCTGTTTCTAACACTTTCAACCGCTCGCTCTAGTGGGAACTATTAGCTCGCGCACGAGCCATCGACAACCAATTCTTTGTCGCATGCTGCTCACCAGCTCGTGACCCTGATTTCTCGTATCAAGCATGGGGCCATTCACTCGTCGTTGGTCCAATGGGCGATGTGAAAATCTCTGCCGATGAAAAGGAAACTATAATATACCAAGATATTGATTTGAGCGAAATGGAGGAGGCTCGATCTGCTATTCCTGTTACGGTGCAAAGGAGATTCGATTTATATAACGATGTGTCTGCTACTATGAGTGAGGCGAAGGATGGGAGGGTGTTGAAGAATAATTTGTAAGTTTGAATATACAGCCATCACAAGAAATTTGGCGTTTTTTTGCTTCAGTTTCTTTGACTTTATATACGCTTGAGCAGATAATTTATAGCTTACAAACATGTGCAGATGCATTTAATGATCTTTAAAAATATGTTTCAATTCATGGCAGTCAAATCAATCTTGGAATCAACGAGTTCGTCCTTTTGAAAAGCTGGTTGGAGGAAGGCGAATTCACCAATTTCAACACCATTTCTAGAAAAATGTGATCAGTACGTTGCCGACATATAGGTAGTATTGGATGAAATGAATCCCCAACGACGTTGCGTTACCCATCAGGATCATAGCTAAAAAGAATCGAGTAATAGACGTCAATTTTCTTGACTTTGTACAGACAATGCACTTTGACACAGGTCGATGAAATCAAGACCTTACAAGAATAGTTGCCTCACACCACCAGATCCAGGAATGACTCTCAGATTATACGGAATCTTCCTTGCTTCCAGAATCTTCAATACGGTCTAATATAAAAGTGCCATGTCACTCTCAAGTCTTTGATCTTTCAAACAGGCGTGACTTTCTACCTCCATATTCTCAGTCCTCAAAGCAATATGATGCGAACGACCAATATTGACTGGATCTGGCATACCTACACCACACACAAACAAGGTGCGCCTCAGTGTTCCAGGCAATGTGAGCGCCACGCTGAATTCCTCCTACTCACCAGTTTCAAACTTCCATTTCCCACAATCACCAAACACGGAATCATTAACCGGGATCCTGTCTTCCAAACGCTCCATAATGTGTAGCGAGACGGTTGTTGCAGATGGGTGTTTCATGTTGCTGGGATCATGAGGAGTGGGTATGTAGAGGTTTGGAATGGCGAGCCAGGTACCCTCGAAATCGAATGGTGGGCGTGATAGTTGGATGAAACCCAGTACATTCTGTGGAGGTTTTGTGTGTGCGAGTGAGTGTGACTGTTTGAGTAAGATCAGGGAGGATCAAAACCAATAGATCAATGATTCGTTCGACATTCAAGAAGAATATGAAATCAAATCTCAAAAAGATGAAGATCAAGCAATGGTGATCGTCGAAAAACGTAGTGATGCCAACCTATTCCAAATGTAACAGATTGCCTCGTCAAACTACGACCAGAGTAAATTATACCTTGTAGAAATCACTCAAACGTTGAACGTTTCGAGTCTATGATATTGGTATCAAGTTTTGTTAGATCAGACATTCGGGTGTTTTGTCTTCAAACAGTGCAGCATGCGATTACCTCTCGAGAAAAATGATTAAGGGAGTGTATTGGCATAGGTGGGAGACTATCTGAGATGTCCATTTTGTTGCGATCTGTCTCTATCAGCTGTAGTTTTGATTCAGGTTGAAAGTGTGTGTGTGAGATGGCTAATGTGAAGTTCGTGAATTCACGCGTACATTGGAACTAGCTACGCAAAACGCGTCAGAACGTGCAGCTCAGCTCCAAATGCAATATATTCTTGGCTCTCATCTATGATTTGGACAAATATTTTATGATACAGCAGCAAAATATGTTATTTCATGACATTTCTTGGCTCGCACCCTCCAAATCTACATCCATCTGTGTTCGCTCATCCTCGTCATTTGATAAGGGTGCAACATCAGCTCCAATGATTTGAGCCAACGGCGGATCCTCATTCTCTGGGAATGGTATTTCCATGGGATCTCCCAATGCTCCAGACAAGGAAGATGAAGAGCTGTTTTGATGATCATTGTTGTGGCTTTTGCTGGCATTGGATTGATCAATATCATGATATAGCTCAATATTGTCTCTTTGGACCATTTGGATTGCATCGGGCTGCGAGACGGAATCGCGATTATATTAGTGAGGCTCATAAGTATTGAAGACAATGACAAAACCACTTACAGGATACGCGACATCCCCTCCACGAGAAAGCGCCATTTTATGAGCATACACCAAGGCATATATAGGATCAGTAACTAGTGCTCCTTGCACCTGATCTTCGGTCACAGATTGCACTTCTGCATGCAAGTGTCGCAACTTCCACCACCTCTTGACACCAGTCAAATCACGTACGTACGAGACATTATCGGCAGAAAACTCTTTGGAACTATATGGTGATGTGGCTATGGCACAGATGAGTACATAGTCATCAAAGTGCCGAGATTCTTCCCGTCGTTTGAGTTCCTGTAATTGTGCATAACTTTCTTCGGCCTCTATAAAATGTCGTTTGAAATAGTGTGTTAGTTGAGAGAGTTGGTAGAATGTTAGGGTACAACCACCTAAATCAAACACAAATTCCGAAAACAAGGAGAGGACGACTCTCTTACGCGCAACGGCCTGCATATGTTCCTTATATATACTGTCAACCATATCCAAGTCCTCAAGAAATTGCCTTCTTTGAGCATGAGCAGCTTGTAATAATTCTGGATTATCCGTATATGTCACGTCGGCAGGATCAGGATCTTGAGCACCCAGGTAGCTTGAGATGCGGGCAAATTCTGTAGCGTGCTTGACATTTTCCAATCGCTCCTTGCTAGCTATTTTAGCGTGCAGCTTATCCAATTCACGATTTATTTCGTCCAATCTGTTATAGTCGTTATAGTGCAGACCGAATCGACTCAGTGACAATTCGTAGTTTCCATCCATTTTGAGGAGTCGTGGAAAGAAGGCTGGTGTTGGTTGAATACACAGGACAGTGGGATATCGGGTTATCCTTTTTCGCTCGGTCTCACCAGATGTATCTTGTTGAAGTAGGTTGTGGAAGAAGTCACGGACACTGTATTCCAGAGGGACACCATAAGGCGTGGAAGCTGTTAACAACTCTAGACACAAATGCTGTGTCTTTGGTCGTACATCTAGACGATTTCCACAGTCATACGTGAGTTCCATAGTCAGCAAACTGCAGCGACGAAAAAAAGCGTTAGAATTGAAGAGCAAATGCATGCATCTGAGTTTTACGTACTCTCTTATGGCATTACTTGCACCACCCGTAACTTTGTCAACAAATTTCTTCAACAGGTCTGCAAAAAAGTCAAGAGTGAGTTCAGCTTGTAAAAATTCCATCGTTCCAGAATCATCTCGGCAAGGAAAACAGTCTCTTTCAAGCTTTTTAAAAGGATTCTACCTTTGAAATCGTCAATCCCACCCTTCTGTCTGAAAGTTTGGACAAAAGGTAGAGGATCAACATATTTTCGTTCAGAGTGTGCCATCATTGCAAACAGATTCTGCAATTCGAATCCAGGTTTGTTGAGTGTTTCACTTCGTGGTAGTGAAGCTACTTGATATCGAGCTTCTGGGATGGCGTATAAAGCTTGTAGGAAGCCTGTGAGAAGTGGGTAATCTTCACACGGCACGAGACCGACAGGCCTACAGAGGAAATGCATTTCAATTCGTGTGAGTTGCATGACAGACCAGATTACCTCCTTTTGCTTTGTTGTTGCCGGCAATGAGTGAAAACTTACGTTGTATGACTTGTTCGTTTATCCAACGATGTTGCGAAGTCTGGCGTGGTCGACCATCCTGTATCATAGTTGTTGGTGGCATCCCAATTGCCATTAGAATTCTATGCGAGAGAAGGATGGTGAGTTGATCTCGAATCAAAGTCAGAGTTGTTTGTGCAGACACTCGGCTCTTGTAGAACAACTATCAAAGACAACGTACAGCGTCTGTAGCCCATGGGACATCGACCTTTGGTATCACGGCTGTTGATTGCGATCCGATTGGAGCAGAGGCAGAAGCACCACCGCTATCACCACCACCACCACTAGTGTCAAGAGACATGGCCAAAGCTCCTACAAGACAACATCGTATTAGTAACAAGAGAGAGTGAATTCGAATCACTCGAGGCAAATAGAAAACCAAGAGTTGTGATTTTGGAATTTACTTTGCAATTGTTCATCCTCAGTTTCATGTACATTCAAAGGCATCTGAGCTAGAGTGCTAGCAGCATTCCACTGATCAGCAACAGCAGTGGTTACGACAGGTTCAGCTTCTGGAGCTCCCTATTGCAACAGAGTCAATACTGAGTTGGATTCTCTCCCAGATATGACAGTTCATCGGAAGCAAGGAAGGGCGAGTTTGTCTTACAGACAATAGCCATTCTGCAGCTTGATCTGCATTGCCCTTTGATCTCTGCGTTTGGTTGAGAAAGGGTGAGTGAAACTCGCTTGATGTTGCGATTTGTGAGCAGCACCGCAAACTGTGGTGGGAATTGTTACTTTGAGAGCTCGGATAGCTTCATCAGCTGTGAATCCAAGATCTTCGATATTGTGTATCTCGGTTTCATTAGGAGTGTAATCAATGCCTTGTTTCCATGCCTCACTAGCTTCCAGATTTGGCAACACTTGCAAGGAAAATTAAGTTACAAACAAGGAGAAAAATAGAACTGAAATCACTGCATAATTTAGCTTACTTGTCTTTGCAGACTCGTCCTTCCAGACTCCTGCTCAGAACGATCGTTCTGAAGTTTTGAAGAATCCAGGTCAAGTTGCAACAGCTTCGACGCACAAAGGAGCCACAGGAGCACATTTTTCGAATCATATGCTCTATCCAGTGCAAAACCTACGTGATGACGCGTCAAAGATTCTTATTACACGCTCGTGAAAACAGTCTTGTCAAGGAAATGAGCATTGTGTCGGTTCCACGGTTTTCTGTAAGCTCCTTAGAGGCTGGGAATGGTCCACGGTCGTCATCACATATATCGAGGTCGTTTCTACTAGAGGATCGCGACTATGAGGACTACAAACGGGCTGGAACTAGGGGAAATTTAGCTGCACTCTTCAGATGGATTGGAATTGGGCCTAATGGAGTTACAGATGGTTGTGCTCTCACAAAGGTTGGATATCTCATCATTTGCTCTGTCCCTCTCAGTCTAATCTGTCTCAAACATATAGACATTAATCTTTACATTTGTCCTGTCTTGGATTTTTGTCGTATTATACATAATAATATCGGATGACAGGACACCTCCGTGAGATATCAGCACAACATCTGAGCGGAACTGGCTCTAGCTGGGTCAGCTTGTGGTATCAGCCATATAGAACCTCAGGCACACACTACTGTAAACTTCACGTCCACACCTCTCCAGAATCGCGTTCTTTTTCGTGTACATTGTATAAACATGAAATATAGATTGGATCTCATTTATGTGGCCCGTGTTTGGTTCCTCTCACGTTGATTGACACGTCCCATACATGTCGCCAGTAAACCACATCCAAGTTCTTTGACGCTAGTAGCAAACAGGAAGAGCAGGCCTTTTAACTCTTGTTAGATGCCATCGTTTCGGGTGTCATCAAGACTGTTTCATTTTCGCTCGTCATCATTATACAGGCACCAACTTGCATCAACGGTATTAAACAGCAGAACCTCCTCTATACTAGTCAAATCATCAAATCAATCCAAGAATATTCTACCTCCATCCATCGTCAATCTCTACCTAAATCACAGGACATTTGCTACTTCCACACCACCCTCATTACCCAAAGACAATTCAACTTTTAAATCAGCCTTATTCGCCCTAGGAACTGGTGTAGGAGCTGCTGTAACTTATTACATATTGTTTGAACCACCAGCTCCACCAACAAAACCTGTATCTGCGCTAGAAGACGCCATGTCGAGAGTACCTGTAGGTTTGACTCCTCAGCAGATTGATGTTCGCTTAAGGGCTGCTGAGACTCGTGTCAAGGTGGACAAGGCTGATGCAAGAGGAACTATGGTGGCTGGATTTGAATTGAGTGTGGTTAACAGTAATGACCCCATAGAGGTAATTCAATTCATCTTGGACACCAGCTCTTTCTACCTTTCTGTTCCTTGTCGACTGGTTTTGCCAACGTATTCATATAGGATTACCACGATCAAAGAAAGACACCAAATGGAATGATATTCGCGCAAGTCTCTGTTTTACCAGCGTTCCTAATTTCAACCAATCTTTGCTAACAATGTCAGCTCAATAGTGTATACGATGGTCACTCAGGCACAGAATGTGCAGAAGTGTTATCTCACTATCTGTCATCATACGTAGCAGCAGCCATAAAAGCCATACCCAGATCAAGCAACAACAACAGACAACAGGCCATATCAGACGCCATCTCATCAGCATTCATAGCCATGGACAATGATATAGCACGGGGAGCCATATCTCTAGATCCAAACTATAAAGGCGCCTTCCCATACTCTAGAGATAAAGTACACGCTGCTTTGAGACCAGCGATGGCAGGTAAATCATTGTTGTGTAAGATTGACGGTTTTTTTTATCCTAACCTCATTTTCATACGAATAGGCTCCTGTGCCCTATTGACGTATATAGAAGGAACCGATGTATACGTCGCATGTACAGGGGACTCGAGAGCCGTACTAGGTCAATTACGTGCCGATGGAACATACCAAGCACTACCATTATCCGCAGACCAGACGGCGTCTAACCCATCAGAGCATGCGAGAATGTTGGAAGAACATCCAGGTGAACGTGATACTGTGCTTGTCAATGGACGTGTCCTTGGGTACCTTATGCCAACAAGGGCATTCGGAGACTGTAGATATAAATGGCCTGCCAAAGTCGCTGAAGCTGTTATACCACCAATATTTGGACGCTCTGTAGCCCGAAACTATTATACACCACCATACGTCACCGCTCGTCCCGAAATAATTCATCATACCATCGAGCCTGGACGAGATCGATTCTTGATTATGGCTACTGACGGGGTATGGGATGAATTGTCTTCTGACGAAGGTGCCGATCTTGTAGGTCGTCACTTGTCGAAAATAGGGGCTTCTCCACCTGCTACTGCAGCTGCTGATGAAGGGATAGTTGTCGAAGAAAGAAATTATGCGTATAAGGATCGTAATTCTGCTACTCATCTTATTCGGAATGCGTTGGGTGGTGCTGATGAAGTACAGATGGGTAAATTATTGGCTATACCGCCTCCATATTCAAGGTAGCAGATCGCGGTCGTTCCTTCTTTCCGTGTTGACCTCTGACCGTTAACGTGTTTCAATTCTGATCTGTAGGAGGTTCCGTGACGATATGACGGCCATAGTCGTTCACTTCCATGATGGTGTGTTCACGACTGGTGGTAATGGTGGTAGCGGTAATGGCAGTGGTGGTGGAGGCAAGCCCATTCGCGACATTGATTTGAGTCTGACTGGCCCAAAGAAGCCAAGGATTGATCAACTGGCGGAGTGGAGTGCTGCAAATTTGCCTCCTGGTATAGCTGGTAAGAAATCGAAGGCAAGCAAAGAAGGAGTCGCTGCGCGGTTGTAAAAAAGCCTCGAAAATTATGTGATACTAAAATGTTTGTAGTAAAGATTATATATTTTTGTTCCAACATCATTCACAAATGAAACAGTGCTGGCATGTCTCTCAACTTGTCCCAATCTTTATCAACATCAATTGCAAACACCGTCCCAATAGAGTCCAAATCCTCTAGCTGAGCATAAATCACAATCTCGTTATCTACTTTACTAGCAAATGGTATTGATTTGCCTGTACTCAACAGCGTCACGTTCTTCGTCCTTGATTTACGAAGGCCACGGACTTCAAGTCCTTCAGAGCTTGAATTCGGCCGTGTAGGGAATATGGCGTATAGCCGACCTGCACTGGACTTGTGTCCAGGATGTGTAGCTTTAAACGTCACGATTCCATCAGCCATATCTTGTGGAGTTATCAGTTCATTACACTCGAAGATCGCTTCGCGGTGTTTTGCGAGCCATTTGCCTACAATTTGTAATCGTGATGATTGACTTTCTGGGATTAATCCGGTACCTATGTTGAAAATGTAGTGGCTGCGTTGGTTCAAGCAAAAAAGAGAAGGTCCCAATACATCGTCATACCAAATGGAGAAACATTAAGCAACAAGTTTCCACCACGAGCGACAATACGACACAGATATCGCACTAGTTCCGTCGGTGTCTTGTAGTGGCGTAGATCTTCAGGAGTATTCCCCCAGGAACGGCCCTTTTTGACAGACAAGGTGAATAAAAGATCTACATGGATCACTCGATTCCAGCAAGCTTACAATCGGCATGCATGACTCCCACGGTCCACCAGGAGGTATGTTGGGCAGAGCTTGTTCAGGCGTTTTGTAGTCGCCGATGCCAGGTAGTCTAGCAAAGGAATATATTGGTCAGTGTCGTGGTTTTCCCCCGGCGAACCAAACGCTTCACCTGTCATTCAAAATAATCCGAGGTTGCAACGACCGTATCATAGCTTCAACTTCCTCACCACACCATAACGCAGCCCTCCTCTCCCATCCACCATCAAACCAAAGTATTTTAATCTCTCCATACTCTGTGAGCAACTTTCTTAAATGCGCCATCATTGTTTTTTGAATATACGCATTCCACGAATCTGTATCTGGTAATGGTGGCGATTTGCCGAATTTGTACGGGCGGTAGGAATCCTTCCATGCTGGATATTTCGGGTGGTGCCAGTCTGAGATCGAATAGTAAAAGCCTACGTCAATTGATTTGGAGCGTATAGCGGTTACAAATTCACGGACGAGGTCACGGCCTTTGCAGGCTGATTGAGCGACGGATAGGACACCTTCTTCAAACCATGGGAACATGCAGTAGCCGTCATGGTGCTAATCGTTTTGTTGCAAGAGCGAGAGAAGGAGAGTAAGCGCGATAGCAAGATAACAACAATCCGCATTAAATCAAGTAATTGCAATCCACAGGTACAAATATTGAAGCTCAATTTGGAAGGATACCTTCGTTGTCAAAATGGCGTATTTGACACCAGCCTGAACTGCCAAGTCAGCCAACTTCTCAGCCCAGTTCGAATCAGGATTGAAATTCAAATGATCTTTATAGTAGACGTCCACATCTGTGTCCCAGACCAGCGGCCAAGATGCTGTGAATTGAGACACGTCAACAACACGATCACAACATTTGCATCAGCAAAGAGAAGCAAAGCTTACGCTATATAAATGTAAGAATAAGTCATTATTGTGCAAAAATTTGTGTTATAACCACGTAACCTACCTCAAGATTATTGATAGAATATGGTCCAAAATGTATGAAGAGCCCATACCGAACGCTTTCAAACCACTTGAGGTCAGGAGTGTACTTCTTTTTGGAGCTTCCAGAGACTAGTCCTGACATGATTCAGAGGCTATAACGGGGAGATGCGTAAGCTAGGTGCGTCGAGTGCAAGAATGGGGGGAAACAAACGTGACAATCCCACGAGAACAGAGTCGAAGGACAATGAATTCGAAATTTAGGCGCTTTCAACACTAGTTTCGTACCAGTATTCAAAGTAGTAAAGCCTTGCTGCTCTGATCGTTTTAATCCAAAATGTGACGGTGACACCAAGGTAAGACTGTGTTCAACCAGATACCAGATTACTCTATTTTTTTTTTATTTATACAATAATAATCTTCAATTCTTCAATTTAGCAATCATCAATACAGTACGATTTCAGCAAGGCTTGTTGAGTGAAGGTAAATCGGACATGATGTCTTTTTCATCTAGAGAGTGATAGGTCACGTATTCATTTGTGAGGATCCAACCTCCATCTCTGGTACGAGTCACATCGTAAACTGGATAATTCTCAACTAAAGAGACATGCATGAGTTGGAAGTACTCTTCTCGTCTGACAACTGTAGAACAGAGACTAACCTTGAGGCTTGTTTCCGTTGAATCTCCACGTTCGTGTAAAGTCAAAGGCACTGTTGGTCTGTGTTCCATCTTCATTCCATCGAACTACATAGGTCTGGTGGATACGACGCCTGTCTCTGAATCGAAACATCCTAAGATAAGAGCCACGAAAAATCAGCATAGGAAGGTGAACGATTCTAGCATGTAAAATCTTACCATGAATACGATGTCAATTCATAAGGATCTATATCCGTTCGTAACATGTCACGTTCGGCGATAATATATGAGAGCTTCCATTTGCACCTAGTGGCAATATGAAGAGGAGTATCAATACTGCGCCTTGTTCGATTGAGGAGAAATGATGGCTCACCAAGCAGTCTTGCCAAACGTGCAGGCCCATTGGTCAGGATATTTGCTTATAGGTGATGACGGGTATGAACGCTAAGAAATATGCCACGTCAGCACTTGTTCAAATTCTCGGGCCATGTAGAGTCCACTGTCCAAATACTCGAGCCAACAAGCAATTCGAAATTTACCTCTAACAGCAATAAGAAATCCGACTTTTCCACACATCGATGCGTCGAAACTCCACGGTTTGCAAGAATCTGCTTCATCTCCTTGATAGATAGCAGACTAATATAATTAAGCCATTGGGCACGTGGATGCAAGACGAGTCTCAGGTGTAGTTTGTCTGCCCAACGATGCGAACACTATCAGAAGTTGTGATGATTTGTCAGAGATATCACGATGAAGTAAATAGTATCAATCCCAGTGAATTCCAATGACAAGATACAGCGAAAATCTTGCGCGAATGCACTTCTGATCCTCAGATCGTGGCAATTTACACTCTGCACATACCAATTCTTTCCATAACAGGTCATCGTTCTGCAAGTTTGAAAAGAACTTTGAAATCTGAGACACTTTACATAGTTCTTTGGCTGACAAGAGGCTCAAGACTTTTGTAAGGAGCTCTACGGGTAACTGGCTTAAAGCCTTGTCAGGTGCGTCGGCTGTGAGCATGGTTGTAGTCTCTTGTTTTTGGAAGTTGATGGAAGGAAGTTGTCTGTTTGTTGAAGATGGTCGCCGGCAAACCGCGTTGATCCTGTGCGATTCAAATCCTTACGATAGACAAAATCTCAAAATGCGAACGTTGTGATCGATAGAAACCTTCATCTGTTGGAAACGTATCAATTTCCAGACAATCAGGAGAAAGTTATAAATCCATAGAGTTTGTTAGTTCCAGTTAGAGTTTCATATCATTTTACCTTTTACGCGTTGAGACACGTCATGAAGTCGGTATAGATCACGATGCAAGTCGAAATTCCGTCTTGAGACGAAGCTACGATTTTGCGTGATTTTCTCAGAGCAGGATGAACGCCAGGTCAACAAAAAGACAAGAACAATCACCGAAAGACACATAGAGACTGAGAGCGAGAGAGAACGAAGGGCTCAAACACTTGCAACCTCTTTTATCATTGAATAAGGAGAGAGGGCCATGAGTGCCACCGTCTTTACATTCTCATTTGGTTCCTTCAACTACTTTTGTAACAGCGTTGCCCTGACATTGTGCCCACTCGTTGGTCCTGATGGAGGTATAGAACCCGCCTGCTATGCGAGAAATGTCGAGTTGGGTGGTACCCTTATCTTTGAACCAGGTAATGTGTCACTGTGTCGTTCAACATTACAGGCATTGTGTGGTGATTGGAGTGTTTTGTGACTGTTCCAGTCTTGGCTGATGAATCTGGCACTAATTATGTGCATTCGTATCCTCTAGCCACTCTTGTCATATATCTCATTGCCTTGATTATGACTGGTATCATGATTTTCAACATCAAGGCAAAGTATACCGCTGTTGGTATGTCTCCTTCATCATTTGGACTATCTGAAGGAAGAACTATGGCATAGTATGATCGCTAGACACCTTGCATTGCATCTCATATAGGTCGAAAGGAAATCGTCATCTTCTTCTACATGTATGCAGCCAGCGTCCTAGTTGAACTATTACTCGTCTCGGGCATTATCCCTACTGCATCAGCACCATACCAAGTGAGACATTGTTTTAGTGATCATATTACGTATCAAGAAAGCATCCATTGAGAGTTTTTTGCCCTACTAGTACTTTACTGCTGGACACATAGCCTTGTCCACCACAACATGTTGGATTTTACTATTGAATGGATTTGTTGGGTTCCAATGGGCTGAAGATGGAACACCATTATCTCTATGGGTAATTATGATCTCGTCCTGGCAAAATAGCATGAAATTCATTTGATCGATGCCTCAACTGACACATCATCATTCAACCTCTAGTCCATTCGAATTTCATCAGCTGTTGTATTTGTCGGTGTCTTCTTCGTTGCTTTGGCTACCTTCATACCCTTCGCCGGGTTCTCGAAATCAAACCCAGTTCCACTATTCATCATCTACTACCTATTTAATCTCGCTTTCGTCGTGATCTACGTCTTGTTGCAAGTCGTGTTGGTTCTCAACACTCTTGATGACAGATGGCCTCTAGGTAAATGAGAAGAAGAAAGGCATTCGTTCGGCGCAAAAAAACCATACCTTGGACACTAATTTATAATGAATCACTCTAACACCTCTCATTTTCAAACACTAGGCGACATTTTATTCGGCTTCACATTCTTCATCGCCGCTCAAATCTTCCAATATGTATTAAATAGTCCATTGTGTGAACTGGCCAAACATTATGTGGATGGTCTCTTTTTCGGCACAATTTGTACACTGCTGGCAGTGATGATGGTGTATAAATACTGGGATTCCATCACAAAGGAAGACTTGGAGTTCTCGGTTGGAGGAAAGACCAACGTCTGGGAAATCAAGGATCCATTACTTGGTACATAGGCATTGTTTCATTAAAATTCCTTTGTACTCATTCTCACATCACCGCATCTTATGAATTTATAGGTGATGACTCATACGACCGATACTAGAGGGCTTTACATTTATTATTTGTTTCATAGTTATTAAACCAACAACAATGACGAAAGAAAGTGTATGTTGCAGTACTTATGGCTTTATTTACATTGCAAATTTTACATGAGGTTTCTATAAAGGGGGTTTCCCTTGCAAGCTGTGATGATCATATTTCTAGGTGAATCAACCACATCAAAGATCGGATACATCTCAACATGAATTTCCTCCAACCCTGTACACACCCGTCTAGCCTCCTCAGACACAAACATAAACCGATCCATCAATATCAAGGACTCTAAAACTCCGGCCATCATTGCTCTCAACGTCCACACAATCGCAAACTGTTTTGCGTCCCTCTTATACCTCTCCACATACTCCTCCAGCACAGCATCAGATACGCGAGAATCATCTATTTTCAAACGATTCAATGCCGCTCTAGCATATACTACAAACCCCTGCGAGGTGACTTTCTTCCGAAAACGACCTATAACGACCTCATCGCCATTCTCGACAAGTTTGAAATCTACTAGCACCGCTTGTAGTAGTGCTCGATAAAACAAACGAGGGAAATTAAATTCTGTTTCCTCATTCCAACGTGCTGTTGCTTGGCATGCGAGATTCCGTGTATCGTATCCGAGTTGAAAGCTCTGTTGTATAAGAATGCTAGATAATGGGAATCCACAAGATGCTACATGTTCATTAGATTCTGGCTCTGTGAGCAGATTATAACAGCACCCAACCAGACCAAGTGCTTTAGATTCCTTTGATGCAGCAAAGAGACGTATTAGCTGTGGTGACAGATCACCACATGCGTGTAACCCACATAGCAATAACGGCTGCTCGTTTTGTGATTCTGCAGGTATTATATCTGACATGGTGTCCTTTGCCGTTATGCGATGGTTTACAAACGTCAGACTACCTGACGTCGTATTATTACTCGTCGAGGCAGAATTCTCATTCCGTCGTAGCGCTCCTTCATGCTGTATAGGATTATCATCTACAGCTACCACATCGTATCCAAACTATCGAATTGAGAAGATCAATTGATTTGCATGTGATTCCTAGTTTTTCGCCTTCAGAATCAATTCTGCTTACCTTATGAGCTAGAAGCAAATCCAGATACCCTTGTCCACTTCCAGCATCCAGTACATGGTGAATATCATGTTTAGAAGCTAGGTCATGGATAATTGATCCAAGAATCTCAATCTCGGACCGTTTCTTGTCCTTCATGTTGGTCGTTCCGTGCTTTAGCTTTACAGTAGGAGTTGGTAGATCACGAGGTTGTCTTGGTAGAGCCAAATGAAATGTCCCTCGTACAAAGGCTTTCAACGATTCAGGCCACTCGTCCTATTGTCATCCCGTATTAGGCTTTTTTTTGCACATAAACAACAGATGCATCACCACCCACTGCAGATCTCTCGTACCTTAAAATAAGTCCCATTAGCCATAGCTACCAAATCCTTCAACTCCACAGCCAGATCGCCATCATCCAACACCCTCCAGTCCTTCGAGAAATGTCGTTCCCAGAATTGTTGGACTACAAAGTTTGCACCATTCCTAGGCCTCCATAGCCATGCATACGTGTTTATAAATTGAAGCAGCCCGTTCACGTATTCGGTTTCATCACTGAAATTTACTGGAAGCTCGACAACGCTTGTCACTTTCATCGTTCCTGAGCTTGTCGAATAGCGGTCACTCCCTACTAGTAAATAACTAGAGTACGTATGAGTGTTTACGAGCTGATATCGGCCATTCAGTGCCGATATGTCCTCCTTGTTGGACTGTATTGTTCGCAGTTTGTGATTTCACGTTTTTTGAAGTTTGACCCTTACTGACTTTACATGCTATATCGTAGATGACAAAGAAGAATGAAGACAGTGCTTCGGAACGTACTCAAAAGCTGGGAGCTTTCGCAGCATCAACTAATGCGAACGTGAGACCAGAAATTTCAACATCAAGGTCAACAGATCAAAACACTCCAGACTCGTGGTGGTGGATTTTCGCAACTGGAAACTTGACACACTCAATTATAATATTGATCTCTTGGTAATGTACATTTCTGTTTAGTGTTGTCAATCGTCTTGGTTTGGATCCTCGAGACCATTGATGGTGACCTACTGGACCATTTCTCGTTCCTGACATCGATCTTTCCCTCAATACATGCAGTTTCCTCTTTTCCAAATGGGCCTCTGAGATGGACCTGTCGTACTGGAAACTCTTATTCATAGCCGAAGCAGTCATACAAGGAATGCTTGCCACCAGTGGGTTGCTGAATGCTTCGTCACGAAGGTATTTGACGTAACTGACAAGTTCAACTCTGTACTGTTTGATCTTTCCCGTGGTCTTTTGATTTGCATGTAATCGGGAGACGGTTTAGTACAAGTTGTAGAAGGCCTAACGTATGCATTTTTTTGCCTCGTCCTAGACATTTCAGCTACTCACAACACACAACAATCCCAACAATCGCATTACGTTCTCTCGTGATACTTCATCACCTGCTACGAGTCCCAATACTCTTCCATCTACCATATACCAATAATTTACCAATCGTCGCAGTAATAGGATCTGTCATAATAGCAGTAGGAACAAACATACGTGTACAACGACTCTTTGCAACATTGGTTTTGCTCAATCTTGCGATGTCTTTGTCGATATGGAATTTGGCATGTGGAATGTATAGTTTGAATGTGTTATTGACGGCTGTTGGGGTTTATCCTGGAACAGTAGCAGAGGCTTTCAATATTGGTGTGTGGTATTGGATGGCGCAGACTGTTGCTGCATCATAAAGTACGAGGGTGTTAACACGTGTAAAATGAATGTAAATACAGTGCACAAAAAATCTTCATGCATATGTTTTCTATTTACGCTCTTTGCAATCTATGATACAAGCTCAATGCCAACCATAAATTTATCGCTAAATGGAGGTATATACTTGACACTATCATCACCCAGCTTTGCCTTCTTGACAAATCTGGTAAACGCCGCTTTCGGAAACCCGATGTCAGCCAACAACACTTCTCCCACTTGCCCATATTGTGCTCGTGAGCCCAACAAGGATGTTGGTACACCAAACCCTATCGTCCACCTTGCAGGCACGGATTCATTACTATCTACAGATGCAACACCACCCAATCCAGTAGGCAGTTCCAAAGAACAAACGTATGGTGTTCGTGATAATCCACAGACCCACGATATTGCTTCTTCAAATGAAGTCCTAGACAGCAGGTCAGGAATATCTGATGGTGCCATATCTGCTCCCAGTAAGGCATCGATAACCATATCCGGGACAGATTGCAGTGGAAGCGAGTTTATCAATGTGGCACCAGTATGAAGCAGCATTTTCATTTGCATTGCCACATTCTATCACAATTCTTTGGGTTAAAAACAGCCGGAGTGTTATAAGGTTGTATGTGATATTCGACATACATTCGTCACGTCCGTTTCTGATCCAAGTACTAATACATCCACTCGACACTCGTGGTTTGCCAAATGCCTCGCAGCTGCCAGACCCTGCATCAACAAAAGGTATAGTGCTTCAGCAAAGGATTTACAATGATAACTTGAATCTAAAACTCACATAAGCGCCAACACGAGTACTGTTGCCACACAAAACGACAAGGTGTGGTGGTGGATTATGATTCCTTGCCAAGAAGCGACGACTACCACCTAGAGCTTGCAAACAAGCCTGAGCGACATCTCTACCTCCATTCTCTACCATCTGTTCAAACGAAGGTCCTACTTCGTTCTATTTATGAGAATTGTGGGGTAAAAAACAGTTTGCAGGTTGGGCATGGTCACCAAGCGGCATACCATAGCAATCGACTCCAACAGTTGAAACTCAGTTGGCGTTAAAGAAGGTACTACTATATTCGACGGAGTCCTGAATTGCGGCCTTTCAAACGTCACAGATGTTTTTCTCGACATTGATGTCTTGGATGTACGACGGCGACGGTAGGGATCTTGGAACCCTTCGTCATCAGCATCGTCCTGACCGGCTTCCACAGAACTGGAATCTGGTTTTTCATCTGCGATGAATAGCGTATCCAATACATTTTCTCGTATCCCCAATTTTCGTTGCGCATCATTCTTCTTCACCTTGTTTAAAGTTACTAGTAAAGAATCAGGGTCTGTATCATCTGATTGTCGTATTTCATCAAATATCTGCTTCTTGTCAAACAGTTCGAGCGATGCCTGGAAATCAAAGTCCTTTTCATAGCCTCGGCTATGTGACTGTAATAAAATGAGTGAGAATCATCGTTTGGCCGCTGAATTAAGTACAACCCCATTTACCACACGTGGAGTTGTATTAGAAGCCTGATCACGTTTCGACTTTGATTGAGGTGTAGCAAGTCTATCGCTATTCTGTCCATTAGACTGCCTACTTTGAGGCACAATCTTGGGTGGTGCTTTCCTCTCCTCCTGTTTAGGCTCTGGTACACGTTGAGCTGGCGGAGATTGGTATTCTTCGAATTCCACTTCTTCAATTTCTTCGTCGTTCAATGGTATAACTGGTTTAGGTGGTGTAGCAACAGGAGCCTGTTCACTGGATGCACAAAATGAATTTTATACAAGTTAGCGACGTCTCGCCATTTGTTGGACATATTCCAACCGCACCGTTTAAGTATAGCCCGTTCAGTAGTTTTAATTGATTTTGGTTGAGTGGTAGGCTGCGCTGGCGATGATGCACTAGGTTGCGCTTCCATAAATTCCAAGTTCACAATCTTTTTGGCAGACACAGTCTGAGGACCAAGCTCTCGAAGCTGTCCTTTAAAGTCCAGAGTCACTAGAATGACAAACTTCCTGTAAGGATACATTTTATCATGTGGAATCCCAGAGCCTTTCGAAAACACGAATGATTCTGATTTAATGTTGCAGATCAGGTTGCATCCAACGTCAACCAGGCCCGACAATACAGCCTCAGCGTATTAAGCTAGCATTATTTCATACCTTTCTCCACTTCAATTGACCCATTGTCTGCATTCACGTTCTTCACAATTCCTGACAAAATAGCTCCTAATTTACAACAAGCTTCAATTAAGACGCATTGATAAACAAGAGATCAACCAATTACTTGCTGACCTGTATTCAGCGTCAACTTAACAGGGCGACCTATGTAGGTAGCAGCCATCTGTATGTTTGTTGCGCCAGAACGCCAAAGTGACAAAGAATCAGACTGAAGCTCAAGAAAATGCCTACGTAAATATTACTAGGACGCTAAGTCAACGCATATTCGCATATTTGCATATTTGCCTAAAGGACGCGTGAGTTGGCAATGGCTCGCGTTGAAACGACTGCTGTCTTTAACTGACGCGACATTGACATATTGACATATTTGGAATCACCGCGAGATTCTACAATCATGCCCGTCATACATTGAATGTTGAGCGACATGTTATCACGGTCTGACTCAGCAAACACCAAGAAACACACTTGGTAAGCCCCATGACTTTTGGTAAGCCCCATGACTTTTGGTAGTTTAGGACAAGTTCATGATATCCTTGACAAAGTCCCTTGATTTACCAACTTCACTGCTGTCCTTTCCGACTTTGTACGAAATAGCAGTCTCAAGACTCCTATCCAGGATCGCCTTCACGAAGCGAACCTATAACAGTGGACACATATTAATGTGAGATACAAACGCCAAAAGAGCGTAACGTGAATATAGATACCTCTGGTCTAACTGTCACAACGTATTCACGGAGAAAGATGAAGTACACGATGGTCCCAAGACCAAACCCAACGAGAGATATGTATCCGACAATTCTAATAAAGCGTGTCGAGTTGGAGCAAGCGGTAACTTAATTTTAACTACTACATCTTGTTGAACTCACTGTGTTTGGGAATTGGTGGTAATATTCGAGATGATCGTCGTCAGACCAATTAAAATACCGATAACAGCACCCGGGACACCTAGATGAGCGTTGTTAGACCAAAACAAAACACAAAAGTAGCAGGTGCAAATACCTAGCGGTGATATAAATGGTCGAGGTAACGTTGATATAGAGTATCGTAACTTGATGAATGAAGCCATCTCCAGAGAGTAGGCGAGAACAGCCAACTACGATTATGTCAAATAAAAACAGTACAAAAGCAGTTCAATCAGTATGAAGCGTCAATTAGATCAAAGGCGTTCACATCTTACTATTGGAGACGAGGACGCCAGTGCGAGGTTGACTGTGGTGTCCCCGCTATATGACATTGCCCATTGTGACATTGATAGCACAAAGCACAGTATAACACAAACTGTGGTGGAGTTTGCATGTGTATGGGTCTTTTCTGTAGTTTTGGACATCCATTCGGGTAAGAATCCCGCCCGACTCAAAACATACATGTTCCTACATGTGCAAAGTTATTAACAAACCAACGTATGATGATGACCAAAAAATGACGATATGTTTTTACCGAGATGCTCCAAAGAGCGCCGGTATAATGGAAATAGCGTTGAAAATGGCATACAAAAGTACCAGACACTTGTAACTGGAAGCTGTTTGGTCGGGCGTTATTCCTGAGTTGTAGGCCGACCAAATAATGTCCGCCACTGGATACAGCGAGGTGGAGATGCTGCTAATTGGAGCAGCTATGGCAAACGTAAGGACACCAAACCACACGAAGAAAGTCGCACAGGCGAAAGATATTATGCCTCCACGAGCAGTTTCAGTAGCTGGGACGATGACATCCTCTGAAGACAGCGTGAAGAGTTCTATGCCTGACATGATGTAAAGCAAACCTAAAAGGCCACTTTCGAATCCATTGAATCCACCTTCAAACCAACCAACTTCCGTCACATTTGCGGGAAATTTGATGGCTGGGATCGACATTGATAGCATGAGGAAGACGTAGACAGCACTGATTAATGCCAAGAAACCAGTGCTGAAGAAAACAAAATTAGAAGCAAGGAGCAGCAAATCTGTAGCGGGGGTTTAAATGCATCGGCCATACCACATATAAAAGATGCGCGCAGGCAGAAACAGACAAGAAGCGAATAATGTATATATAAGAAACTGCCACAAAGGTTCCAATCTTTGGTCTGTCCCACACGAAAAAGTAATCGTACTGGCAAATACCTCCAATGCTACTGTGATCCAAATGTAGTACTGGATGATAAAATGGATGTGAATAAATGTGTGAACCAAATATCACCCTACAACGTTGTATACTGCCCACTACCGATGAGATGTATAGGAGTGCTACCAAGAAGCCAACCAAATGGGACCCGGTTGCAGCACGGACAAAGTAGCCAGGCCCGCCGCTGAATGGCATCATCGAGGTCATTTCACACAAGCAGCATACCAAGCAAAGGAAAAAGATGGTTGTCACTGCGAGACCAAGAACTGTGCTGCCGTATCCATTGGGTAGAACAAGAGAATAAGCCCAAAGCGGGGCCGTTACGATTGCCAGAACGGTCTAGTTGGGGTAAAAGTCAACATCTTGATCACAACTTGGAACACCATCCGGAGGACTTTGATCACAATTGGAATTGACCGTTCAGATAGGACTAAATACTCCGAGAAGTTTTCAAATCCATACCAGCGATGCGACACCAATCCTAGACTGTGTAGGCTTCTCAAGCATATGTTGCAAAAGATATTCATTTCTTCTCGGGTCGTTGGTTGATATTCGCGACACTCGTTTGGTGGTCATGATTCCCCGTGTCTACACCACACAAGATCAAAGAGGTGTAGGAGCCAAGTAGAAAGAAGTTCGCATCTTTGCGACCACGCTTATGAAACACTTTGGTTTAATCATCCTCATTCCTTATAAACATAAGGGTCGTTCTGAATCCAAATGCCGAAATCGTTCCAGAGCAGATGCGGCTTGCAGACGAAGATGGAAGCGTTTGGTTTTAGGTCTTGGTCAATTTGGCAAGATCAGCCACGTCCAATAGATGTGATTTCTGCTCGTTCTTGGACTTTGCAGCAAAAAAATCAGATGTGCTGGGATGGTAGGAGAGGAGGCCGGAATGACGTGTAATTCTGCTCATTGAATCCAATGCACGCGTGATCCCTCCATGACACAATTTCATGAAGCTTACAGTGTGATCCCTGAGTGTGCGGCGAGCAAACCAGCAAACATCAATCTTTAACAGTCCAAAACACCTGGTCGACGTCAAAGGAGCAGTCCAAGCTGGGACGGATGATGGCAGCAGTAGCCATGATCCGGTTGTTAAGATATGGTCTGCTATGGTTTCTCCTGGTGCCAATATTTCTGTGCATCATCATAACAATGGGGATCTATAACGTGCGGGAGGGTGACAAGCATGTGAGCACTGCTAATTTACTACTGTCTATGAGAATTTCATTTGATTTCTTGAATGTTTCTTGTTTTGCCATTGCAACAACAACACCTTGATGTTCCGAACAACATTTGCTAATCTTGAACTTCAAACTTTCACACACAGGCAGACAATGTGGTTGCGTACATCGCTGATGTCGATGGCAACCTACCATCAAATTTCAGTGGTGTGCTCATTCAGGCTACTGTAACTGGAGTTGACGTGAATGCTCTTTCTTAGCTGCAGGGTACAATCCAAACAACAATACTGTGTGTATAGTTGCAAGATACTCATTGGGAAGCAAACTACTCTAGATCCACTTCTCTGTAACTCCACAAGGAAACCTAATTGATCCAGCATCATCAACCGTCCATTCGATATCCTCCACAATCCCTCTTCGAATCCTAATCAGCGACACATCGCCAGTCAACTTTGCAGCAAGCCAACCACTAAATGGATTTGATTCAACATTTACCTTTGCTGAAGGTGACCCAAACAATTACCCGCTCGATCTGTATCTTGTTAGTCTCGGCGTCATTGCTACGACTGTCAACACAACCAGTAATTCCACGTGAGCAAAAACGCATTACTATCTCTGCTGTATCAATCTGATTTTTTCGCATAAACCAGAATACCTATACCAGTCGCAATGATTATCCAAGGCGCACTACAATCATGGCGGTTACATTTCAATCTCGTCGAGGAACAATTTCATCTCATGACAAGTGGTAATTTGCAGAAATCGCCAAATCTTACGGTAGAAGTCATACGGTCTTATACGACCAAGATCTTTTCATTCTTTACCTTGATTGTGATGTGGGCGTTGAGTGTTGCGATCTTGGCGCTGGCTATTACCTTGTGGACTCGAGATAGGAAGGTTGAGCCTCCTACGATTGTCGTAGCAACGTCCATGTTGTTTTCGCTGCCAGCTATAAGGTACGGAACGGAGCGACTGAGTACTGTAATCTCGGAATTGTATTGTCTAGTCGCTGAGATCCTTCCTTTAGAAATGCACAACCAGGAGCTCCACCTGTCGGTTGTACATCCGATGTTATAGGTAAACAATCAGCATTACGAATGATACACTGTTTTTCGTCACTTGAGCTAACATTATTTACATACGCCAATAATATCTTAGGATTCTTCTGGTGTATGCTAATTGTGGCGACAGCAGGTACCTTATTACAAGAATTAAGCCAGCAAGAATTCTTACAACTCACTCACACTATTGTCTTTCCTCATCACTCTCCAGCACTACTGCTTTTAATCAACTACATTGTAAAGTACAAGGCAGAAGCACAGGGACAACAGTCAGTCCAGGACCAACAGTTGTTCAAATGACTCAAATGAGTGACTTATCGCGAAGCAAAACAGTATCAACAATAATTTAATGACAAGCAAAACGTGTTGCATTTCTCATATTTAGACGAAGAAAAAAAAGGACAAAGTAATATACCAAACTACAAAGGATGTTTTATGCGATTTTTTTGTGTGGTTTTTGTGTGTGAGTTTTAATATTAGACTGGTTGAGGGAGCTTGATTCCAAATCGGCATACAATGATGGATCGATCATCACGCAGCCACTAGATAGATAGCGAGGAGTTAGCAAAAGTGAAGTCAAGTCATCGACTCGAATCTTTAATTGCAAAAGACTCACTTTGAGGTTATTCATCATTTCTTCCACACATTTTTCAGGTGTTTCTGCATTACGGCTAATGATTTCCTGAAAGACTTTTTTGAATCTCTTGAAGAATCGAATGACTCCATCAGAGGCAACGACAAAGGATCGTAATTCGTGGTTTGGAATCGAAGTCACATCAGGTACTCTGCGAGAAAGGTGGACAAATAAAGTCAGCGCCAAAAGCAAACGGAAAAACATCAAGCGATCTGAATTCCCAACACACCTGACCAATCCAGGAGAAGCAAGATGATGACGATGATCCAATCCTCTGACAGCACTCAACAAGACCCGCGACATTTGAGTTTCCTTTTTCAGCAATGACAAGTGTTTTGACAAGAAGCCCCAAGCAGGTCTTGCCAACATCCACTCACGTAGCTCGCTATATGGGAATTCTAGGGGATTTACACCTTCCAAATCCGACAACGATGTCATTTTTTCAAATGCGAATTTCACACTTGGTACTTGTGGACCAGTTGCTGATACGGGCGAGATGGGAGTCGTTCCATCGGGGGTGGTACCTATTGTTGGTGATACACTGCTACTTATAGGGACGGTGCTTTCGGGAGTGTCTTTACGATTTCGTTTGGGTGTTTTACGTGACGTGCCATCACCAGTTGATCGTCGTTTCTTTGGATCTAGTTCAGCGGGGTTTGTTTTTACTTTTTCTACATGGTTATTATATCTCCATACACGGTCTTGCCGGAATACTACTAGCTCATCGATAAATGTATTAAAGACTTGAGGATCATAGAATGAATCCCCCAACGTCCCAAATACATTCAGAGCCGACATTCCAATACGCAAGTCATCAAACTGTATTTCTTCGTCTTCTTCGTCAGCTCCTGGTATAGCTGAGAACTCAGGAGGTTTGATGGCTTCAAGAGCTTTCTCGTCATGAATCATTGTCTTTTCAGTATCACCATCTTTTTCCATGACTGCTGTATCTTTTCCTTGTTCATCTGAATCTATGGATTCTTCAACGTCTTCGGGTACGACGACACTCACACCATTGGGTTGAGGTGTTACTACTACCGAATCATGTTCATCGGCTGATGATGCAGCTGCCAAGTCCAATAGTTTTGCTCTCATTCCTGCACTGGTCACTATGTAGTATACATTATGAAGATCTACTTCACGGACCATGACAAGGAACATGTTGGATCCAACAATTTGGGGGAAGATGTTTGGGTTGTCTAATAAAGCAGTTTTAAGTATTGTCAATTCAATGACAGTTTTTCCCACAAGTATCAAGATAAACAGCATACCAGCATCGTGTTCCTTAAATAGCAATTCAGGATTGGGTTGATTTTGCTTCCAAATCATGATGGGTGAATCGCCAACCATAGCAAAGTAGGTGACTGTTGGAGTAACGAGGACAACCGAGGCGGTACAACCAGATGAGAAGTCATTGGATGGAGCTTCAGGAGCATATGATTTACATTCTAACAAGGCCGCATGAGCCCGTTGGAAGGCTACAGTTAGAGCCTGTTTATAATCGCCATTGTGGAACTCGGTAGTGCCAGCGAGTTCATATGGGAATCGATACTGCATGAATGTCGAAGCTATGGCTCCACAGTGACCATCGAATACGGCGAATAGTTTGAAGTTTTCTACTGGAGTTTGTTCTGGATGGCTCCCTGTTATTTCAGGTGTCTTGAATGATGAAGATGGCGGTGGTCCAGGCTTTACATCACCGAATTTCCTAGTGTCGTATGCTAATGAATACGAAAAAGAGAAGATGAGGATATGTAGGCTTGATGTGTTGAATTGCAGCAAAGAGGTAGTGTGTCCCACACACAAAACACGACGAGTGGGTGTACCTGCGTATCCGTCTCGTACAAAGCTCTCATAGTCCTCAATGACAACTACACGATCTTCCCTCGAAGGTGCGTTTATACCAGCTCCTTTGCAAGCGTACTCGACCCTGAATACAGCGTTTGATTTCCGCTGGCGTGTGAATACTGGCCCACAGTTGGCCATACGAGCAAAGGGCGAAGAGAGAGCAGCCGATAGCTTGGAGGCCCACGAAGCACCTGTTCTCCTACGCTTCTTGTTTATTGGAGGAGCTAGGTCGGGTATGGTGTCGAAGCGCTGTAGCGAGTCTCCAACGCCAGCAGTGAATTCTTCTTCTTCAGGAAAGACTTTGCCAGATGCTGGATGCTGGTCGTGTACAGTGGTCTCAGTCACCGCTACATCGGCCATGGTACCTTGTTAGAATAAGATGGGTTTATGTTGAATAACTTGGAGGAGGTTGAGCGAAAGAAGCACAACAAACACCCGAATGCCAAAAAGAAAAGAGAGATCTGATGATACATTGGCACGTGTTTTACAAGTGTTGAAATATCTTTGCCACCTTGTCTCATCTAGAAGGCTACCTATTTTGCTCCTGGCATGTTTCCGTAGCAACTTTTGAAAGCCACTTTGTTGCTCAAGAACTTCAAATTGGATGTTCTTTTGGTACTGTGTGGCCTTGGCACACGTTGATACTGAGTGAATTGCTAAAATCCTACTTGGTTTTCTTAATGACAGTCGTTCTACCAATGACGATCGCATTCTCGAGCTCAATTGATTGCCTTCATGATCACATTTAGCTTTGATAATGTCATAATGCCATAGTTCTGCTTCAAACTATGGCACCGAGTTCGAGTAATTGGGTTTATGCGGTTGATGTCCGTGGTCTAAGAACTTTCATGTCTACTGACCCTTTTCGGCAAACTGGAGCCAACCAACCATTCGATACTCATCTTTTACTCTATTTGTCCTTTCTGTCTTGTGATGATTACAATAGATTTACTGCAAGACTATTCAATTTCAACACTCCACGTGAAGATAAAGACGGCTTACGTGTCTGGAAGTGATATAATGCAATGGCCAGACTTAAATCGCATCTTCCATTGTCGGTGACACTTTCTTGTCTCGATAGGGCGGCATTGATATTTCTGACGACTCGTCACTCCTACAAGCCCAAAACAGAGATCTACTGATCGAAAGACGACGTACGGAAGCACAATGACGCGCCGAATAAGTGCAAATTGCCACACCGTTAACACCCTCCTCGCAATTCCGAGTGCGTCGTTTCTTCCGTCGTCAAACAAGCCTTACCAACAAAGACAACACAACCAAGCAAACGAGGTAGCAAAACAGCAAACTAGAAACATCACACAATGCTTGGGGCTGCTATCTTGATTTCCAGTCTATTGCTAGTCAGCTCACAAAAATTCAACAATACTTCTCTTGCAACCATTTCTGACACTCTGATCGCAAGTGGAAATCACTCAATTCTTGTCAGTTTGTTGAATGCAACTGGTGTACTTGAAACTCTCAATACGACTGGAGTCAATGGAACTGGGTAAGTTTCGTATTGAAATTTGTCGTCATTTGCCATTTGGTCTTTGCATGCGGCAGTACCGTACGGTCATTGAAAGAGCATGCATCTCATGCATACATCCAAATTTAGATACGAAGTATATGCTCCAATTGATTCTGCATTCCTCTCTTTGCCATCTTGGATTCGAAAGCGAGCTCAACATGTTGGAAGGAATGAAAGTATCAACTTGCTGCGAGCTGCTGTAAGTTGAAATCAAATCTCTGAAATGCACACTTCAGGAAATTCTCAATGCTTCATTTTCTCCTACTAGCTGATCTATCATGCATCTTTGCCAGCCAATGTCGACTTGACAAACTTTACCACAAACGCAACCATGGTTCCAACATTGGCGTCTGGTATTCCCATGCAGCTTGAATCTAATTCAACTAGTGGTAACAGCTATGTAAATGATGCCAAAGTCTTGAATGCTACAAACACCACAAATGGAGGACTACTTGCCATTGACCGGTATGCAGAGCTTTCACCTAACCTTTCTTTTGCAACCACTCTTGCTGACGAGAAATTCTGTTCCTAGTGTCTTGTCACCATTATACTTCTTCAACACATCTCTATACGACATTCCAAACCCACCACCAAATACTCTTCCATATGGAGTACCAACTCCCAATCTGATGCTAAAGAGTGATTACTCTGATAACATGGATGTCACTTCATGGTATTACACAAACGTACTTGGTACCTTCAAAGTACACTCACCAGAAGCAGTCTTCCAACAAGAGCAATCTTCTGATGGGTACTTGAACGACCTCGTGAAGAGTTTGGGCTTGTAATGTCTTGGGGTTGAGAGTCTTGGTATATAACCTCTAGCATATTTTTGTAAACTTGCACATATAATCAATAAATGACGTTGACAAAAAACCATGGCGTAATGAAGTTTGATTGATCATTTTCAACTGTTCTATATTACAGTACTAGCAACGTTTAACTCGATATTGTACATTTAGGGCCTCCACAAAATCACTTGAATGGCGTTCTTGGCAGCTTCTGAAATTCGAGCCCTGTCAGCGTATTGTTTTCTTAATTCTTCCAACTATGTTGCCAAAAAAGGAGCGTCTGAGAAATCGTGCATATCGTGTGAAACGGAATATCAAAACCACAAACTCACAGTTGGAATGCATCCTGCAAGCTCAAATCGTCCACGACAGTTTTCAGCACAGTTCGTGATTGTCTAACAATTAGAATTATGTTGAGCAGGAGATCCCAAATTTGCTTTATATTTGACCTTGATGACGTTCGACAACACAAGTGCACGCATGTCAGAAACGAGTCCTGAAAAGATGGGAACGGCTGCCTCTCATACAACGAACCTTTTGGTTTCAAACGAAATAGAAATGCTATATGACGAGAGTAGTATTAAGTCAGCGATGCAAAAAAGGAGCGGTGGGCGTAAATGCGCGGAATCACAAACCTTATGAGAGCACCAGCAGCTGCGGTTCTAACTTTTGACTTGTCATCACCCTGTAAATCAATGAGAGCTGAGACTTTCGTCCTTTATAAGCCAAAGCTTTGCCTTCAGAGTAGAAACTGTATGGAAAAATAGGTATAAATTCGATCAGATGATGAATTGGTGCCTAATTGACACACCAAAAGTTCATAAAACAACGAGCAGTACTAATCTTGATATCAGGAATCAGATCACGAGTCAAGAGACCAGTTAGAGAACCCAAAGCGTCACATTCGAAAACGTGATTGGTATTCTTGGCTTTTAACCAAGTCGTGCGATTTGAGCTAGGGTCTGCAAACACTTGATAAGTAGTTATAAGTATGTAATGATGCCAAGGTCTTGAATACCACAAACGCAACAGATGGAGAAATGTTTGTCATTGACCGGTATGTGCCATCCGCACGTCCTCCTTTTTTGCTATCACTCTTGCTAACGAGAGAAGTCCTTCGCGGTGTCTTGCCATCATTGTACTTCTTCAATACATCTCTCCACGACCGCCCAAACTCACCACCAAACACCTTTCCATATGCGACCGAACTTGATGTTGAAGAGTAACGGGTTTTATAACATGGACGTCACGTCATGGTATTACACGAAAGTACTTGGTACCTCAAGGTACTCTCACCAGAAGGAGCCTTCCAACATGAGCAATCTTGTGATGGGTACTTGAACGACCTCGTGAAGAGTTTGGGCTTGTAATGTCTTGGGGTTGAGAGTCTTGGTATATGACCTTTAGAATACATTTCGGAAACTTGCACATATAATCAATAAAAGAAGCTGACAAACAAACTAGTAGCAGTGAAGTTGGATTGGTCTTTTTCAACTGGGATTCTTGTATTTCACACCAACTAGCAGCATTTAACTTGATAAATGTACACTTAGGGCCTCCATGAAATGACTTGAATCGCTTTCTTGGCAGCGTCTGAAATTTGAGGACTGTCGGCGTATTGTTTTCTCAATTCTTCCAACTTTGTTGCCAAAAAGAGGAGTGTCAGAGGAATCGTGCAAATCGTGTGTTTACATGGAACTGCACAATCCCAAACTCACAGTTGGAATGCAGCTTGCAAGCTGGAATCGTCCACGATAGTCTTCAGCACAGTTCGTGATTGTCTGAAAGTTGAAAGTATGTTGAGCAGGGAAAAAGAAAGGATTTATTACGTGTATGTCTAACCTTGATGACGTTCAACAACACATATTCACTCTTATCGGAAAGGAGCCCTGAAAGGATGGGAACGGCTCCCTCTGATACAACAAACTTTTTGGCTTCAACAGAAATGGTGATGCTATTTGATGTAAGTTCTGTTGAGTCCTTACCGCAAAAAAGCTACAAATTGATCCAGATGCGCTAACGAATGAGTACACACCTCATGAGAGCACCAGCAGCAGCAGCTCTAACTTCTGACTTGTTATCACCCAGTAATTCAATAAGGGCGGGCACGGTTCGTCCTTCACATGCCAGAGCTTTGCCTTCAGAGTAGAAACTGCAGGAACAATGAATACTATGTAATTACGAATTGATGTCTAATTGACATACCACAAGTTCATTACACAACGAGCAGCACCAATCTTGATATCAGCAATTTGCTCACGAGTCAACAGACCAGTTAAGGATCCCAAAGCGTCACAATCGAGAGCGTGATTAGGTATTCTTGGCTTTTGACCAAGTCGTAAAATTTGAGCAAGAGTCTGTAGACCCAGAACCTGACATTCCAACTTTTCTGAAACAATCTTGGCTACAATCAAAGGTACTAGGCGGTGGTTGAGGATGCTTTCTACGGCTTGGGAATCAACTGTCGCACGAGCAAAGACGGTGTGAGCGTGATGACGCACTAGGAGGTCTTCGTCGTTGAACTAGAGTGACAAAGTGTTGGCCATGTATGTTTGAAAATTGTCCAAGAATGGGCGAAGATAACCAACCAATTGTGAGATGGGTTTCAATGCTTCAGTCTCCACTAAGACGTTTCGTCCGACAGCCAAACCTATCATTTCATTTTTTAGTTGACCTCACCACAGAAGCAGCGGCTGAAAAACGACGCACCTGCAAGAATCACAAAGATTTCAACAGTTTTTTGTCGTGTAGTGATGTCTTTGGAGGGCAACAGTAGTAACAGCTTTGGTACAATTCCTATCAGAAACCACAAACGCGTCAATCAAAAAAACTCAGAGTTGATGTCGTGTTATTCGACGCGACAATTACCTATTTGGATGGCACGCGACGTGTGATCTGGGGCATGAAATAAGTCTGCTAATGCAATCAAGGCTCTTTGACGAGTAAGGAGCTTTTCAGCGTCAGTTCCAGCACCGCTGTTCAGTTCGTCGATTAATTTCGGTACAGCTCGACTTCCAAAAGCTAGAGACACGTTCCAGCATTTTTCTGGAACAATTGAAATAGGTTCCAAAGATGGTAGCGAGGTTTGAACGGCTACGACCATGTCTTGAATCTTGAGCAAGAAATATGTGTGTGTGTGTTTTTTGGCGAATGAATCAGAGGACAACGGTACCAAATCAGATGCCACAGGCCATATCGTTCGACATAAATCCGAGGCTTGCTGCTCTGTACGCGATCATTCTGACTCGAACGTCCATGGGGAGACAATCACGTGTGTGAAGTCAGCAAACAAAGTTTCTATTTATTCTGGTTTTGGAGGTGAAGTATATCAAAGAAGAAGTACAGTACGTGCTATTATCTGTATTTTAAGAGCACTGGTAGCTCGCCGGACAGCTAACGTTGCCGCATAAGTCATAGAAAACCCAAGTCAAAAACATGAATATAGGAATGCAACGGTCGGTGGCCATAACTATTCCAACGACGCAAAGGACGACTTCCAACTCGTCAAACTCGTCACAAGGATCTACATCCTCTTCATCTTCTCAATACTCGCAATCGGCACCAACGAAACCATCATTTGAACCTACGAACTTTACTCAAGTCGACCTGACCGACAACGAGAGATATATCAAGTAAGTAGCACTGCCAGTGTGTTTATATGCTTGCTAAAAGCTTATCGCTCACTATTTTTCACCTGGTGTTATAGGCTACTATCAAACAGCGGCGGCTTCAAGTGGTCGATTGACGTGTTGGCTCCCAGGTACCGCGACAGATATACAAACCAGAAGGATCTCGATGAAGTACCAGTCCAGGTGATCAGTCTGGACGATTGATCGTGAAATGGCTGTTGGTGATCTGACCGATTTTTGGCAATGCTCTGTGTTTCAAAACTATACTTATATATACCACCACTCTCGTCCTGTTCCAGGAAATCAAATATTTTGTCGCTTTCTGAAATAGATTCTAGCAATTATAAATCGTAATCATACCCGAGTTTGCCGTTCAAATTCTGGCCGACGAATGTGTCTAGTTTAAATGCGCAACCCCTCGCGAATTCTTCAACTTGATAGCATACAAGTAGATTCGTACTATTCTGGTACATTCCGTCAGGATTCATCAGCATCGCTCCCTTTCCTCTTTGTAATTGTTTGAATCTGAAAGTTCGACGCGTCATCTTTCGATTCAAACTTGGTTCCAAGTCAGTGAAAACAAACAGAGCAAACAAGTCGAAATAGTTCCAAGTATCCTATATATTATACACTGCTGATATCATGTCGAATCCAGGAAAGGGCAAGCTCCCGTAAGTACCTCTACCTCTTATTATTGCAATTCGACTCGACGAAAGCCGCTTGGAGTGAGTCGATGAGAATGGTGGACTAAAGTATACAGAGGAGAGGTCGAACGATGGTTCTATTCAAGCTGGATTTATCAGTGGAAGTGCTCTGCATGTCTCATGCTGTTGGTCAATGCAAAGTAGTGATTCAACATCACATCACTTTCCACTTGAAGAACTTGATGGAAGCATTGCCGTTTCACCTACACCAAGGAATGGCGAGATTATATTAGATGATGCATTTGTATCTGTCAAGATGATGGATGCCAACGATGCTCACATATCCATTAAGGAACGCGGCCAAAGAAATTACAAAAGAGCGCAGCTGACCAAACCTTTCACACCACCCATAATCGACCCTTTTTGCATATTACAACACGTATATTAATAATTCTTCTTCACGTATTTCTAGTGAAGTCAACCCATCGGATCTCTCGACATCCAACCCAAATGACACCTCATTGGCCATCCTGAAAAAGAAGGCATCTCCAAACAAGTTGGTCGTTGATGATGCTGCAAACGATGATAACTCCGTTTGCGCTCTTCATACTACTACTATGGAGGCACTGCAACTATTCAGAGGGTAAGTACTCATCGTCCTATCAATATGAAGTCTTGCAGTGCAACAAATCGAATCTTACAGCTCATCTCTACACAATCAAATAGCGACACTGTCTTGGTAAAGGGCAAGAAGCGTCGTGATACAGTCCTCATTGTCTTGGCCGACGATGAAGTCGAACCTGCCAAGATTCGCATCAACAAGGTCGTGCGAAACAATCTACGAGTCCGTTTGGGAGATGTCATCTCAGTCCATGCTTGTCCAGACATCAAATACGGCAAACGCATCCACGTACTTCCAATCGATGATACGATCGAAGGCTTGGATGGCAATCTCTTTGACATCTTCCTCAAACCGTACTTTTTGGAAGCATATCGTCCAGTTAGGAAGGGTGATACATTTGTAGTACGTGGTGCTATGAGGGCTGTGGAATTTAAAGTAGTAGAATCTGATCCAGCTCCCTACTGTATTGTGAGTTACATGTTCAGCTCATAGAGTTTTTTTTGGTTTGAATTGTCACTTTTGTTTGAATCGTCACCTAATCAGACCCATTTCTCATAATAGGTTGCTCAAGATACCGTAATCCACTGTGAAGGCGATCCAATCAAACGAGATGAAGAAGAAGCCAATCTCGCTGATGTCGGTTATGATGATATTGGTGGATGTCGTAAACAGTTGGCTCAAATCCGTGAAATGGTTGAACTCCCTCTCCGTCACCCTCAACTCTTCAAATCTATTGGTATCAAACCGCCTCGTGGTGTACTCATGTATGGTCCTCCTGGTACTGGTAAAACTTTAATCGCTCGTGCAGTCGCCAACGAAACTGGTGCCTTCTTCTTCTTGATCAACGGACCAGAAATCATGTCGAAAATGGCTGGTGAATCTGAAAGTAATTTACGAAAGGCATTTGAAGAAGCTGAAAAGAATTCTCCATCTATTATCTTCATCGATGAACTGGATTCTATTGCTCCAAAGCGTGAGAAGGTGCGTTTGAATGTCTCCAAGCATTAGTGGCTTCCCAAATGATTTTGCCTCTTGTGAATATTCGATTTTTACTGTTGTTCGCATCATTCTTAGACGAATGGTGAGGTCGAACGTCGTGTCGTCTCACAATTGTTGACGCTGATGGACGGCTTAAAGGCTCGATCGTCAGTGGTCGTTATGGCAGCAACCAATCGTCCCAACTCTATCGACCCTGCCCTCCGTCGATTTGGTCGATTCGATCGTGAAGTAGATATCGGTATACCAGATCCCACTGGCCGTCTTGAAATTCTTCGGATCCATACAAAGAATATGAAGCTCTCCGATGACGTCGACTTGGAGCAAATTGCTTCAGAGACTCATGGTTATGTAGGTTCTGATATGGCCGCTCTCTGCTCAGAAGCTGCTATGCAACAAATCCGTGAAAAGATGGATTTGATTGATTTGGATGAAGAAACTATTGAGGCTGAAGTACTAGATGCTTTGGCTGTCACCATGGAGAACTTCCGAGTGAGTACTAGCATGGTGTCAAGTGCCATTCTCCCCCAAGCGCCAGTTTTTGGTCCAGGATGCTTACACTCAGTACCATTCTCTAGTATGCTTTGGGTACATCAAACCCATCTGCCCTCAGAGAAACCATTGTCGAAGTACCAAATGTACACTGGGAAGATATTGGAGGCTTGGAAAAGGTCAAGCAGGAATTGCAAGAAACTGTGCAATATCCAGTAGAACATCCAGAAAAGTTCTTGAAGTACGGTATGTCACCATCCAAAGGTGTCTTGTTCTACGGTCCCCCTGGTACTGGTAAAACTCTACTGGCTAAAGCTATTGCCAATGAATGTCAAGCAAACTTCATCTCCATCAAGGTAGAAATCCCCACCTTTATTTTCCTCAGTTTTTTGTTTCGCTTGATATGCTTCATTGTCTAACTGAACTTGAATTCGACTTTTAGGGTCCTGAACTCTTGACCATGTGGTTTGGTGAATCCGAAGCCAATGTCCGTGATGTATTCGACAAGGCACGAGCTGCTGCACCATGTGTCATGTTCTTTGATGAACTTGACTCTATCGCAAAAGCTCGTGGGGGCTCATCTGGTGATGCTGGTGGAGCTGGTGATCGTGTACTCAATCAAATACTTACTGAAATGGATGGTATGAATGCCAAGAAGAACGTCTTTGTCATCGGAGCTACCAATCGTCCGGATCAAATTGATCCTGCTCTATTACGTCCTGGTCGTCTTGATCAGTTGATTTATATTCCGCTCCCGGGTAAGTTCACGTTGCTGGCCAAAATAGTTGGATCTGCGCTGGAGTGCAATTGCGAGTACTTACATTCCCCACTCCATTCTCATAGACCAAGCAGCTCGTACCCAAATTCTTCAAGCTACCTTACGAAAGTCTCCAATCGCCAAGGATGTCGACTTGAACTTCATGGCTTCAAAGACCAACGGATTCTCTGGTGCTGACTTGGCTGAAATCTGTCAGCGAGCTTGTAAATTGGCCATTCGTGAATCCATTGAAAATGATATCAAACGCGAGAGGGGCCAGAAGGAAGCAGCTGCTCGTGGTGAAGAAGTCATGGATACTGAAGAAGACGAAGTCCCAGAAATCACTCGTGCCCACTTTGAAGAAGCTATGAAGTTTGCACGTCGGTCAGTCAGTGACAATGATTTGCGCAAATATGAAATGTTTGCACAAAATTTGCAACAAACTTTGGGTGTACGAGGTGCCTTCAAATTCCCTGAGGGTGGAGCTGCCAATGGAGGTAAGCGTCGTTGTTGAGATGCAGAAAAAAGATGAATGATGGTTTGGAGAATCGCACCACAGGCAAAGTCACACAATTGTTCCTTATTTTCATTAGCTGCTGCTGGTACACAAAATGGCTTCCAAGAAAATGCCAACGCTGATGACGACCTCTACAGTTAAAGGGCTTTCCTCGAGTATTATATAGAAAAAATTATTGAAAAAATGCATGGGTGGATGGAATGATTGAAGCGGGATAGTGTTTTACCTTTGTATAGCTAGCAAGATAAACAATGAAAGTGTTATTGCCAAATAATACGTTTTGGTCTGACTTATGCTTCTCAACCGAACAAAAGACTCGTTGAAGCTGTCTGTGTAATGAGTTGCGATGAGCTTCTATTTATTTATTCTAATTGCAAGCAATGCGGCTTTCTATTTATATGATATGATGAATCTTTCCTCGCCCGACCTTGGCTGAAGTATTCCATCTCCGTAAGGCACGAAAGGTCAAGATAGTCCACCAGATATTGAGCATACCAAAAACCGAGACCTGGCAAACCAAAAATGTGACCGAAGTCAACTTAGAAATTGCTACACTCACAAAGACACAAACCAGCTTGCAGGTTGACGTTCTAAAATGATCTCAAACACGGGAAAACGACTTTATAAACTCATCAACTCACATTAAGCGCAATCCCAGTCTTCAACAACACATTCATCTTCCTATACTCATCCCAAAAGTAGTCTAACCTCTCAGACAACGTAGGCGTCTTCTTATCTGGCACAGGCCTGCTCAAACAATACCACACAACACCCGGCAGCGCCAGTCCCCTCACAGCAACAAATAACACACATCTAATAATCAACAACCATCCGTATTCATAAGTTTGCTCCAATCCGAGCTTTTGCATTGTCCATAGGGCGTTTGAGGCTAGCACGGTAAGCTCTGCTGGTGCTGTATCATAAAATGGAAGGTGAGAAATTTGGTGGAGAGGCGCTAGCACAGTTGAGAGGGAGTTTTACCAAATGCAGTTGGAAAAAATGCACCCTGCTTGTATACTCTCATGACACTTGCGCCAAAGATTCCTAGTACGTGATGAGCCCACACGGAAGGATGTTCGTGGCCTTGAAGCGCCATTACGACGACATCGTATCTAGAAAACATGGTGTGAGTTCTTCGTTGCCAGAACAACACCCACTTTGACGATCGGCGTCCATAGCATATAAATAGCACTTACATGCTAAAAGCAACATGATTCGCAAGCACCAAATCCAGAAACCTCGTATACGGCTTGAAAACACTGGACTCAAATGTTCCATTCAATAGCACAATGGCGCTGCCAACGCCTACAGCAACAGCATTGATGGTGGAAGGAAGTTTTTCCGGAATGTATATCTTGTCTGATGGTGATAAGCGCTTCCAAATGGCAGAGGGAATCAGAGGTGGGAGGAACTTGGATACAAGAATGTGAATTGCGGAGTATGAGACGAGGGGGATTATGAGTGGGAGGTCGAGTCGAGGTTTTGTTTCCTTGCAGCTCTTGTCCGTTGGAGGTTCTTCCTTGCTCATCGCGATCTACCTGTGTGTTAGCTGTAGAACGTTTGGACAGACAATAGGTGATGAGCATGGTGATCGGCAGCAGCTGTTTCAATGAATCAAGAAAACAGAGAAACCGAAGCGTCGAAATATGCAAAACTGTATTCTACAAGTCACGTAAACGTGATTTCTATTATTATTGAATGTGCGATAATAAAGCTTCAACTTGCACTCCAACTTTGGACCACAAGCTTGACGTGATTTTATCTACTTCTTTAGCTGATGATGGTGCTTTGGATTCTGGTGTTTCCATCTCGTATTCCATAGCATCAGCTTTGCCCTCTTCATCATCCACATCATCCTGTTCTTCAGCAGCAACACGCTGTTCTTCATCTTCAGCATCATCATCTCCGTTATCATGCGCTTCAGCACTACCATCAGCTTCCATAACCTCAGTCTTGGCTTTAGCAACCACATCCTCTTCAACAGCACCCTTAACCGCTTTACCCAACCCAACAAGCGCAGCTTTATAATCATCCATCAGCACATTCCCAAACTCGGCATCCCATTTATCTCGTCTAAATTTACTGTCTCGTCCAACTTCCGCCAGTATAGCTTTAACATGATGAGCTTCTTTCGGGGCTGACAAGACATAGGCGACACCGTCAGCACCAGCTCTAGCGGTACGTCCAACACGATGCACATACGTTTTTGTGTTTGCTGGAATGTCGTATGATATTACGGTCTTGATTGCTGGACCGAGATCTGTGCCTCGGGTGAGGAGGTCTGAGCATACAAGGACTTGGATGGCTTCTGCTGTGAATTTGTCTAAGATTTTTTTACGATCGCGACGGGCGAGATCTGATGTCAGCATCGTTGCGTGGATTGGTGGTGATGATGGTGATGAGGTTTGTCGTTGTTTGGCGAAGATATTTAGGAGGGTGGCGAGCCTATGTGTGGCATCTATAGATTTGCAGAATACTAGAGCAGCTGGTAGGCGGAGAGTATATAGCAGGTGGATGAGGGCTAGAGGTTTAGTGAATTCATCCGGTACGACCATTAGATGTTCTGTGAGGGTTGATGGTACAGTATATCGCTTAGTTTCCTCTGTTACAGGCTGTACCGGTTCATGGTCTGTTGCCGTATCCATATCGTCACCTGCTACTATATTCCTACCACTTGTGGCACTATTGGATTTTGGTTTTGGTTGCACTGAAATATAGATTGGATAATGAAGTTTAAGACTTGCCAACTTTGCTGGATTTTGAGTTAAGGTAGCTGAGAAGAGCAATTTCTGTAATGGTACAGCATGATGTGGCAAAGGGGCATTATTGGGTAATACGGTATGTCTAACCACTCGAGTTTTATGTAATGGTAGTCCTATTTCGTCTTCAGGCCATCCAGCCAATCCAGTCCAACTGTTGACTACATTTCCAGACTGTTCTACATCTGTATCGGGCTGTGCAGACTTGAGTACAGCAGCTACCCATCCTTGATATCCTGTACCAAGTAGTTTGTCTGCTTCATCAATGACTAGATATCGTAAATGTCTTAAAGTAAAACCAGACGTCAAACGCAAGTGATCTACTAGGCGCCCTGGTGTAGCTATTAATATATCGACCCTAGAGCTGCCTCCTTCTTCTAGATCCAGGTCATCATGTTGGACCAACTGCCCTTGCTCAGTGGTAAGCGATACACCACCAGCAGCAAATCCAATCTTCAGATCCGTGCCTTTAGCAAACGCAACAAATACTTGTCGTACTTGTGCAGCTAAATCTCTAGTTGGCAATACAACTAGCGCCCGTATTCGTACCAAACTACGTGCCTTTAGTGCCTGTACTATGGGAATCACATACGACAAGGTCTTTCCCGATCCAGTAGGAGCTGATACCAGTACATCCCGTTGTCTGGAAGCCGAAGTTGGAAACGAGCTAGACGACAATATAGGTATGACAGCAGACTGTACTGGAAACAAGTGCAAGTATCCCATTTCCTTTAGACGAGTTTGCACATCACTTGCCAAACTGTCTAGACTGTTTTCATTATTGGCAGACAGATCAGAGGATATGCTTATAGGTTGAGCGAAAAAGGGATGGACATAGTGCACTTGTTTGGTTTGATCTATCGTTGATTGACGTTTCCTTTTGCCAAGACTATACTGTAACGGCATTGACGTGGATGTTTCCGTTGCTGGTATGGGATCATTAGCAGGTCGTTCCTGCTCTGCGACCGGTACATGTTTTTCTTCTATTACAGCAGCTGGTTTGCTGACGATTTTGGGTTTTGGTCTGTAGGCTGGAGCTTCCTGTTCGACCTCTTTGACTTCTGGCTTTATACGATTACGGCCCCCACGTGGTCGACGAGGTAATGGAACTTCCTCTGGTATCAACTCTTCGCTGGCCATCTTGTAATTGTGTTTTGGACGTTTTAAAAAAAAAGTTCAAGAAAATCGAGTTGCTTGAAAACACGGCTATTGCAATTGTTGTTGGAACAGAATTAACTCATTACGCGTATGGAATGTGTTCAGATACCCGTCTTCAAACTTAGGTCTTCTGGATCTGTCAAAAAAGCGGTTGTCACAGTTTCAGCAATCAATGAAAAGCTATTCTAAGCACACAGGATGAGAGGTCGGTCTCGTGCTAAATCTTTATATCATAAATCATTCTAAAGGCTCATCTCTTCGCGAAATCAGTCGATGAATGTAAACAGATAGATCTTCGAACGAATTCTTCGATACTTTAAAAACATACCGAAAACGCACTGACCTAGTTTCATCCTGACAGGCATCAAAAGCAACGAGATCAATAGCCGATATGCTGTCAGGAAGTAATAGAACGATAGACAATGTAGCAGGAGATAAGATCAAGTCAGGAACTGACAGAAACAAGAAATTCGCTGCAAGAAAGCGTCTGGCAGGGTATGAAAACCTCTTCGCACAAGACAGTCCAATTAGTAATCTAGAATTTGTTTTTGATACTAGGACTCATACAGTATCCCAACGTACTTTTACTATTGGAAAAAGCAACGAAGCTCTTCCAACATTAAACCTATCGTCTATTGATGAACTACCAGACTCACCATCGTCCATTGACTCACCATCACAAGAAGACCTACCATCAACAATTACGCAATCTACACTACCTGAAAGTACATCATCATTGACATCTTCAGAACCTGCCAAAACATCTACAGTCGCGAGCAAAGAACAAAATAGTAGGAAACCTACAGAAACAGCCGCCACCACCACAGTTACAACCACAGGAGACGATGGATCTATAGAAACGCATACAGTTGTGAAAGCTGGTGATGTGGAGGTTGCTCTCAATATAATACCGCCACGGAAGAGAATGACCAGAAGTCTGAAAATCGTTGGGAATCTGTTCAAGAGGGGGACGGATGATGCAAAGACCTCAAAGTAGTTGCAATGGAGTTATATAAATTATCACGATACCCTGCTGGTTGACCGAATAAAACTGATGGGTGTTGAACGCGACCAACGCAAGCTAGCAAGCTACCGCAATGCGCACGCTTGCGCTCGTCTTTTTAAAATCCAGCTTCTCGATTGAAAGGCTTTGTATCTAATTCAATCATCCCTGCCTCCAACTTTCCAAAACCTCAAAAACTAGGCAACAAACAGGCGTTTCGATTGAACGATGAACAGAGAAACGAATGGGCAGGTAGCTCATGTGCTCACTCAAGCACTGAAAGCTCAGAAGAAGATTAGCGGTAGCTTTCGTGTGGTTTTCTCAGGTAGCATTTGATCAAAAACCCGTTTGGACATTTCAACTCACTTTGTTTCTTGCGGTGTTTCAGTTCTAGTTTTCGGTATCATCCTGCTCGGAACTGGAATAGCAATCAATGTTCTCCAAGTGACGCTAGCACTCCTTCTTATTGGCAACCGTCATCTCTTCAGGTATGCTCACTTTCACATGTTTTGAACATCTCAACGTCGCTTTGACATTTTCTTTTCTACCATCATTCAGGCTAGCAAATGTGCATTTCGAAGCTACATTTATATCGTGTTTGGTGCTTGTAACGTGGATTCTGGATCCAAGCAAACTCATTGTTCAAGGAGATACGAATGGACTGTTTGAACGATACAATTTCAAAGGGAGTGCTCGTAAACAGGTCATTATAAGTAATCATCAGTGCTACACGGACTGGATATATCTTTGGTTCTTGGCTGCGGTATGTCTCAAAGACCCGTTATCCTAGACTGATGGAAACGGTGTCGGATCTGCCAATAGCGACGAGTCTGTTGCTCTTCACATGCTGATAGTATAGCGAGAGTTCTCACCTGCTGACTACCTCCTCTTATTAGAACTCTTTGGCACCCGGAGATATCAAAATAGTCTTAAAAGAGGATCTCCAGCGTCTGCCTATATTCGGCTGGGGCATGCGGTTTTTTGAATTCCTATTCATGAAACGTAAAATGGCAGAGGACAAGAAAGGAATGGATCTGGTGTTGACCCGTGCTATGAATGATAAAGTGCCGTGTCACCTGTTGTTGTTTCCTGAAGGGACCGTCTTGACGAATGACACTCGACAAAAGAGTGACGCGTTTGCCAAAAAGGCGGACCTGTCGTACGCTTATAAATATGTATTAGTGCCGAGGGTTTCTGGCTTCTATCATACTCTTGGATTGATGGGTGCTGGTCAGCCAGATGGCGTAACTGAAATTTGGGATGTGACGATGGCCTATCCTCACGGAATTGATAAGTATGCCTTCGATGAGGTAAAGAAAACTTTTGCACTTGAACAAATGTTGATTCCGCGCTACTTACATTATGTTTTTGCCATGTAGTTCTCTGCCTTTAAGACCTTCTTGACTGGTGACGCTCCGCACAGTATATTCTTGCACGTAAACAAAATCCCAGTCTCTGAAATTCCATGCCTGCCAGTAAAAGGAACTCTAGGAGATAGCGTACCTTTAGAATTCAACAATTGGATGTATGGCCAGTGGCAAAAGAAGGATGATCTGATGGCAAACTTCTACAAAACTGGATCTTTCACCCAAGAGGAACCGAAGCGTGTCGTTTCAATTCGTCCATACTTGACAGACGCACTCAGGATTTTGGTGGTGTTGGTTTTGGGATATGGGACGCTGTATTTTGTTGCTTCGGTTGGGTGGTCATATGCTGTAAAATTACTGGTCTAGGCTAGAGAATAAGTGAATAAGTTATATACATTGTAGTAGACGTCATCAATTGTAGAATATTAGAGCTGGTCTAATGTACATCCTCTACGCGTCCGGGTAATGATTGTGTTACCGTCAATTTTTCGAGTTTTCGTCAACTCTCACCAGCAAGAGAATTCCAACTTAAAACCATCAAGGAAGGATGTTTGGCAGAGTGTTTGCATCTGGCTCGCGAGCCATTGCTCCACTGGCAGTAAGTCTCTGACAATCACACTGGCAAAGAGCCTCTACGTGAATTCCCGAACATTGAAATTTTATGTTGGCAAGCTAATGATTGCACTATGCACATAGGTACGCCCAAATGTAAACATGATCCAACCACGCAGAAACCTATCTATTCACGAATACTTGTCTATGGGTTTACTACAACAATATGGAGTCAAAGTCCCCAAAGGTTATGTTGCAAAAACGGGTGCTGAAGCTGAACAAGTGAGAGCAGTAGAACGGCACATATAATGTGCATCAGCGCTCTTTCTGATGTCTGGAACTGATTTGCTTCTCAACTTTTTACTCGTCCAGGCTGCTAAAAAGTTGGGAACTGAAGATATGGTCATTAAAGCTCAGGTGTTGGCCGGCGGACGTGGAAAGGGAACATTTGATAATGGTTTGAAGGGCGGTGTCCGTGTAGTTTACAGGTATGCCATCCACTTGTCTCCTTTTCCACAAGGACTGATCAAACCTCTCGTAAAAATAGCCCAACAGAAGTGAAGATGTTTGCTGAAAAGATGTTGGGTCACAAACTATTCACAAAGCAAACTGGTGCCGGTGGCCGTGTTTGTAATGCAGTACGTGTCCTCTCCTCCCTTACACCAAAGTGACAACCGCAACCAAAACAGCACGACGTCACAGTTTTTCTACAACGGCAAAACTGACACATCTTTCTCAAAACGTCTAGGTGTACATAGTGGAAAGATTGTACGTCCGTCGTGAATTCTACTTTGCGATTTTAATGGACCGTGCATCTGGTGGTCCAGTTCTCGTCGCTTCTTCGCAAGGTGGTGTTGATATCGAACAAGTAGCTGCTGAAAACCCAGAAGCCATTATTCGATTACCTGTCGACATATTTAAGGGATTGCAGCTAGCTGATGCTGTTGATGTTGCTCGAAAGCTGGGCTTCCAGGGCAAGGCTGTTGACCAAGTACGAGTTGGATTAAAGTTCTAACATCTTTCCAGCAGTAAAGTAACGTAATTTTTTTGGCATTATTCTTTCTAGGCTGCCGATACATTCATGAAACTCTACAAGATCTTTATTGAAAAGGATGCCACCATGATTGAAATCAACCCTCTAGCTGAAGTTTCCACTGGTGATGGTATGTTGACGACGCAACATGTTTTCATACACTCTCCTGTAAATTGAAATGTGACTGACATTCTATCATATAATCTAGTAATGTGCATGGACGCGAAATTCGGATTCGATGATAACGCTGATTTCCGTCAACCCGATATCTTCAAACTTCGAGACCCTAGCCAAGAAGATCCTCGTGAAGTCGCTGCTGCCAAGTTTGGCTTGAACTACATTGGATTGGAGGGTAGCATTGGTTGTCTGGGTATGTAATAGGTGGTGAATGGCCGCTAGTCATCCAATGCAGTCTTCTGACTTTTTTGCTATTCATGTAGTCAACGGTGCTGGTTTGGCCATGGCCACTTTGGATATCCTATCACTCAGTGGTGGAAAGCCAGCTAACTTCTTGGACGTTGGTGGAGGAGCTACTGCTGAAGTCATTACAGAAGCCTTCAAGATTATTGAATCAGATCCTCAAGTGAGTTCACAGCGGCGTTGAAAATTTGCAACAAAAGAACTGACAAAAGTCCACTGCATATTAGGTATCTGCCATCCTCGTAAACATCTTTGGTGGTATCATGAGATGTGATGTTATTGCTCAAGGTATCATAACCGCCGTCAACCAACTCAACATGCGTCTCCCCCTCGTTGTTCGACTACAAGGAACAAACGTCGATGCTGCCAAGAAACTCATTGCTGACTCTGGATTGAGAATGTTTGCTATGGATGATTTGGATGAGGCCGCCAAGACTGCAGTCAAACTTGGATCTATCGTAAACTTGGCTAGAAGTGCTGGAGTAGGTGTTGAATTTGAGCTCCCTCTATAGAAGAAATGATGTAGTTGAATTTCGTTTTATACATATTGAGCGTTGAAATGAAGTGCTTCAGTCCATGTTTTGCAAAGTGGTTTGAAAATGTCGAATGGTTACAAAGCAGAGCGTCCAAGAACTGTACGAGTGAATCGCGATGGATCTATTTGGCATACAGTGATTCGATGCGATACACCCGTTGCGGAAGAGGTAACTTCCATAGCTTTTAGAGTCTGTTTTTTTTAGCGTAAACAAAAGCTCAATCAGAACGATCGATGCCGTCTAAATTCGAGTACTAACAGATCCCTACATAGTTCTTCTTTAGGATCATGGAGCTATGGGTCCGTGAACCCAATGTGGTGGTAAAGCTTTACATCAAACATCAAAAACAAAAAACTTCAACAGCACTGTACGCTGACAAGACATTATAAACTAGGTTCCACCGATATTGCGCGCGGATATCTTATATGACTCGGAAATCGATCCTGCATTTAGAGCCCCCATTGGCTCGAATTGGTATCGAAAAGTTCGCAGGAGGCTTGTCTCGAAGAGACGAGATGTTACAGATCACGATGTATATTTTGGGAGACGTGAAAGAGGTGTAGAACTATTCTCGGAATACGCGTGTCATGAGATGTATCGTGACTCTCTCTGATACGGTTGTGTTTCTTTAGGATGTCACGTCGTATTCGAAGTTGCTGAGTCGTTTATTGATGATATACCATTCTTTTTGCCGAAAGTCAGGAAGTTTGCGTACGTGTACACGGAACGTGATCCTGAAGACGGAGAGTACGTGGGGGTGAAAGGAATGTTGTTTGTTCATACAGCACTATTAATTCGTTGTTCTTTTTTTAGCCCAGCCGTTGCTACTCTATCCATCGAAATATGTCCCTTTGAAGAAGATATTGAACAGAATTTCAAGTCGGATGCTATGGTACGCTTATGATGTGAATGGATATATGAACACGTCATCTAGGACGAACACGATGACATCTCTGAACTGACGCAAACCCACTGCAAAACAGATGTACGTCTACAACCGCCTGCTCCAAAAAATGTACAAGCAAACCAAAGCCCAAATGGAAGGATACAAGAAACGTGTACAGTCTGATCGAATCATACCGAAAATCACGTACCAGGATCGATACTTTATATTAAAGCAAAAGTACTCGCATTGGGTTGACGACTGGATCGAAAAGACTGATGCCTCCAAACATGTATGGGAGGAGGTGGGGATTGCGTGCTTTTTGATCTTGTTGTTTGAGCAGGATGCCGTTACGCTTGGACGGTATGTGATCTGGGTTTCGCAAACACATTGAATACAGCTGGATTCCTTTTTTTTATTCTCTCAGGAAGCCAAGCTTTGTTGATCTTGGATGCGGGAATGGGTTCATGACATACATACTAAATCAAGAAGGATATGAGGGGTATGGAATTGATATGACGGCGAGAAAGTCTTGGGCTGCTTTTGGAGATAAGGCTGTCCTGAAAGGTTGGTGAATTTCCCTTTTCTTTGATGATGATGATTTGAGACTGACGAATTGCTGTAATTAGAGGAAGTTCTGACACCTGAAACATTGAAATTTAAGAATGTGGATTGGGTGATTGGTGACCATCCAGGTATTGGCCGGGACATTCTATCTGCTTTTTTTTCTTTGGCTGACTTAACCTAATCTTAACGATAGATGAGTTGACGTTATGGATACCTATTTGTGCTGCACGATCCGGTTACAATACGAGGTCTGTATAATTCCCTGATGGTGTTCTTTTTTTGTTCCCATATGTGTTGACACCTTGACCATATGTTGTAGGTTTATCGTGATTCCTTGCTGTTTCCACAAACTCGACGGAGGCCCTTTCAAATCTGAATCTGATATCCTACTTCCAACCTCACTCCGAAAGCCACGAGTAGACGACGAACTACCACCAGACTACGCAACCCCACTATCTGATCAAATGCACAATCATCTCGGATCAGGTCGCTACTCTTCGTTTATAACTTGTCTAGAGAAATTGATTCAATTCTGTGGCTACATACCTGAATGTGAGAGTCTGCGTATCCCATCTACAAAGAATATTGCATTGATTGGACGCACGAGAGGATATGAATCAGAGTTACAGAGTCTTGCACCTGGTACTAGTAAAGAGGAATGGGAACAGCTGGTGTTACAGGATATAGATGAGTTGACTGCTGGAGCCTGTTTCATGCCTCGTGTGAGTGATCACGATAAAGGCATTTTGAGAAGAGAACGAGAGTTGAGAAGCACTAATCCTGAAATGTTTCAGAGTAGTCATGATGAGCACGAAGAGGGTGTAGAGAGTGGGGAGTTTTCACACCTGTTACAATCATTGCAAGACTGCACATTGTAGAAACATAAAACACCAGTCGTGAATAGAGATTGAGTGGTATAATTTAAGCTATTTTTTTGTAGACCAGTCTTAGAAAATGCAAACGAGTTTAAATATGTGGTTATAATCTCTAACCAAAGAAATCCGAGATGGCCTTTTTCAAATCAGCATATGCCGCATTCAAATCATCGTTTATAATAACTCGATCAGGACCATTCTCAGCAGCGGATTTCTTGCCCCATTCCATTTCTCTAGTTGCAGCCTCTATACGTTTGCTGAGAGATTCTTCAGTCTCGGTTCCACGACTACGCAACCTCTTTTCTAATTCTGGGATACTTGGAGGGGACAAAAATAGATAGATTGGTTGAAGAGTAGTCTTTCCTGAAGCAGCGAGGCTCTGGAGAGTCATGACACCTTGCACGTCAATGTCAAGGATGGCGATACGGCCAGATTTGAAGACGTTTTCAACAGCCTCGAACGATGTTCCTAGGTGCATGAAGGTGGTTGGCCCAAGAGCTGTTCTCCGACGTGGTCGCATAGCACCTACATACCATACATATTGGTGGCAAAGGTAGCAGTCTCAATAAACTTGCCCTTTGCAGCATCAGCTTCCATCTCTTCCTTGGTCGTGAAGTAGTATTCCTTTCCATGGGTTTCACCAGGTCTCGGTTTGCGAGTAGTATCTTTATATATTGCAGATGTTAGCCAGCAGCTCTACCCGATAGGCAAACATGACTTGTACGTACGGGAAACACTGAATCCAAACTTGTCTGGAAATTCAGCAAACAGAAGCTTCAAGATTGTGCTCTTGCCAGTGCCGGAAGGTCCGACAATGACGATTGGACGGAAAACAGTTGGTGCCATTGTTCTTTTCTTGCGTTGCTGTTCTTCAGCGTTCTCGGTCCCGATCGCCTCGATTGTTGCAAAGAATGGTGGTTCTATAAGACATTATACAGGTGAATATGATAATATGCAAAATTCTATCCTAACTTCTCTATGGCATAACCAAACACGAAAACAATGCATTCTTTCACAAAATATCCATGCGACGGCAACCACCTACCAGCCGACCAGGGAACGTTCAGTAAGCCGAGTGCTATACCAAGCCCAAGACCAGAAACTGCTAAAATATTGGCAAAAGGAGCTACTCTCTTCACGGATCGAAGCGTTGATTCTCCTCTATAGGAAACTCGACGACCAGCCTGAAGCAAGGTATGTGGTATACGTGTACTAGTAATACGTGTCAGAGAACGAGCAAACATTAACGATGCGAAAATGTTTTGGCAGCCACGGGAAGGGAAACAATCGTTGGGAAATCAATCGACATTAACCACTTGTTTGAGGGGTGATTGGGAGAAAAACCTTGCCAAACCTTGGGGCTAGAAGTAAATTCACTTAATTCTTATCGATACGCGCCGATCTGGAACGTGTCATCGTGGGAAGACTCGGTGCAGACCCGGACTTGGAGTCGATCGATGCTAGTTTAGAGCAAACACACGCTCTTTATATATTTCACCATGATGTTTCCACAGCCACGTAAACCGTGGACACGGCCATTAATCAAGCTGTCGGTGTTTCTCGTTCTCGGCTTCTCTGGAGACTGGCTGGTTCGAAGAATACGAACTCCAATATCAGAGCGTGTAAGAACAGAGGTGCAGGAGTCTTGAATCGTTAATATATTGATTTCATAGCAACATTGGAACGGTTCTCAACAGGTTTAAAATTTGAAAAACAAGAATCCGCTTTTGCAATGAAGGACCGGCCAGTTTGAGTGAAGGAGCTTCTTAGAAGAACGCGTAAGTGTTATAAAATTACGGCAGTTTGCTTCTTCGAGGCATGAAATGAGCATCTTTGCGGCGATCGCATATGCATTACGAAAAGATGTATGCGATGTCCTTGAGGGCACTGCTCGAGACTTACTGCACGAACGAATAGATGACTTCTGTCAACCTGGAATTGTTATCATGACTTAACCCGATAAAGACGCGTCGGCTGCTGACGTATTTTTGACAGATTACAAATATAAGCTTAGTTCTCGCATCCAAGCTAAACACGCTTATCACCAACTCAGCCCACAAACTCCTATCAAAGAACAAGGCATAGAAGCAGATACTTACAAGATGGATCATCTACCAAAGACCTTCAAGAGTGCATGGATTGAAAAGAAGGGCGATCCCATCAAGGTTCATCCCTGAAATAGTTGGCTTTTGTTTGCATGTTCAATTTGGCGACGCTAACGAACAATAAATTCTAGATCATTGACAGGGAAATGCCCAAATCTCTGGCTCCTCATGAAGTCTTGATCAAGGTGAAAACATGCATAATTCGTTTTCATGCCACATTAAAGGTGTTTGGTACTTTTTGATCGATGAACCTAAACTCGAGCTAAACACGCTAGGTCGAAGCCTGTGGAATCTGTGCAAGGTAAGGAACAGCTAGATGCATCGTGCTTCTCATCTGCTCTGCAAACTATACACATTCACATGTCGAAATATGTTTTTCTGACTTTTACTCGCCTTTGCATACGTAGTGACCATATGCTGGTTGACGGAGTCTTTCCTTTTGTGAAGCTGCCTGGCTGCCCTGGCCATGAAGTCATTGGAAAAGTCGCAGCTACCGGGTCAGAAGCTAATGAGTACTTGAAAGTCGGAACTCGTGTTGGAGCTGGGTGGACTGGTAGTTGCTGCTACCAATGTGACGTAAGAAGATTGCTGTTTTTGCTCTCCGGATTGTCCAGACTTGACTTTTTGAACTGTTTAGCCTTGTCGTGCAGGACACTTTGTCTTGTGTGAAAAGGGCAGCATCAACGGAATCACCCGCGATGGTGGATGGGGTAAGCAAACAATTACTTGTTGCTTGAGCGTTGTTTCTATCCTTTTGTTTCTCATGAGATTACTCACCTTCTCGAATTATAAGCCGAGTACATGGTCGCCACAGACAATGCCTTAGCTCTTGTACCTGAAGGTCTCGACAGCGCTGAAGCTGCTCCACTCATGTGTGCTGGTGTGACCACTTTCAACTCTATGCGAAATGTCACCACCTGTCGTCCTGGTGATCTCGTTGCCATTCAAGGAATTGGTGGGCTCGGTCATCTTGCTGTTCAATTCGCTCGAGCAATGGGATTCCGTGTAAGTGATAAAGGTAGTTGCTGTGTCGATTTTTTTTGACCTCATTCTGACAACTGGTAAATAACATTTATCGTAGGTCGCAGCTATCTCTACCTCACCATCAAAAAAGGATCTTGCATTGAAGTTGGGTGCTCACCACTACATTGATGCTTCAGCTGAAAAGCCAGAAGTAGCTCTTCAAAAACTTGGAGGTGTAAGTTTCTTGTGCACATCTATCTCTTCAGTTTATAGCTTCCCAACTGTTTGCAATCGTCTCATATTACATATTCGTTTCTTTCTCGCTCTTTTTTTTGCTCGTCACATCGGATTGCTTGCACATGCTGTGGGAAGCGAGAAATCCATTTTCTCACTGAGGCAATCTTCCAAATTAGGCAAAGATGATTGTCGCTACTGCACCACATGCATCGGCCATTGAACCTCTTCTCTCTGCTTTGGCTTATGACGGTACTCTGTTAGTCTTGGGAGCATCGGATCCTTTGAAGATGGATGTCGTACCCATGCTCATGAAACGTCTCACATTACGAGGATGGCCATCTGGAACAGGCTTTGACAGTCAACAAACCTTGGAATTCAGTGCTCTGACTGGCATCAAGTCGACTGTTGAACGATACAAACTCGAAGATGTTGTCACTGGATATCAACGTACCATGACCAACAAGGCTGTCTTCCGAAGTGTCATTGTCTTTGATTCTTAAATTTTTTGCAGATGTGGTTTTGCTCCTCTCGCTCAATACAATGGTGACTCTCTCTGTACGTCAAGCGTCAAGCGTTCTGTTTATTTGGTTTCATACGTGTGCACGTTTTACAAAAGTGGTACAGGATATATGATATATGCCCAAGAAGTTTGAACCATAACGAACCTATAATACAAGCCCAGCTCTTATGAGGTCGTTCAAGTAACCACCAGAAGACTGCTTTTGTTGGAAGGCTGCTTCTGGTGGGAGTAGTGTGGAGATTTCTTGTAATACCATGAAGTAACATCAGTGGCGTAATATTTGTCACTCTTTTGCATCAAGTTGGGTGGTGGTACACCATTTGGAACAGTGTTGGGTGTTGGGCTTGAGATGTTGTAGAGAAACGTGTTGAAGAAGTACAATGGTGATAAGACACTAGCAACGTAAGGGCTCGTTAGTAACTATTTTGCTTGCCTAACAAAGAGGCAAAAAACTAAAGGATGAACGTAGGCCACATACCGATCACTGGCAGTCCTCCATTTGTAGTGTTTGTAGCATTCAAGACTTTGGCATCATTCACATACATATTACCACTTGTCGAATTAGATTCAAGCTGCACAGGAATACCGGACTCCAATGTTGAAACCATGGTTGCGTGTGCTGTAAAGTTTGTCAAGTCGACATTGGCTGGCAACGATGCGTGATAGATCAACTAGTCAATGGAAATGAAGAATTGAGCATTTCATGCAGTACTTGATTGAAGCATATGATTGGAACTTACAGCGGCTCGTAGCAAGCTGATACTGTGATTCTTGCGAGTTGCGAATCGCGAGTTCATCAGCTTTTGATCAAGAATGCTACAAAGCATCTGTGCAAAACAATGCTCTGACTGAAGGCTTCCTTTGTCCTTCTCTCTTCGATTCTTGATACAAGTTGTTCCTCATTGAATACGCGAGTGCGGCAATCCGAGACTTGACTTCACTATATTCAGTTACAGATATGTTACAATTAATTTAATTTTCGTTTTACAAACAAGGACTCCATCTCAGAGGAGCTAGACGTCCTTGTTTCGGATCTCGATTATTTTGCAGCATTCTATCACTGGACTGAATTTGCTCAGTAACTAGGTGATACTCAGTCAGCGTCTCATCATTAACCCCTCCTAATAGTGTATGATTTGGTTTGAGATTGAGGCGTTATGGTTTGTGACGTGTCACTTGAAACAAAATTGTTCAAATATGATCAAAATGAACGAGCTGAGGTGTACCCATAGTCATAATGTCCAATTCCGTGATCATTGTATCAAAAGAAGCATCATCAGCAACCAAAGGACCCGGGCCTTCAGGATACCTTGTTGTGAAGATGGAATTAGCAATCTGACGAATGAACAACGGGATAATCGAAGAGTCGAAACGACTGCATAGTTACGTGAGATCAGTTGCAGTAGATTCCATTTGAGCATCTTGTGAGCTTTGGAACCGCTTGCCATTGCTGTTGATTACCAAATTTCCCTTGGTCCTCTTGCTTCTTGTTGCACTGGATGAGGTTCTGGTGCCTTTCCTTTTTGGTGGCATCGTATTTTGTAGAGTATATATATATAAATTCCTGAGATCGAGAAAGTTTTGGGTTGAGAAAATTTGAGAAGTGGAGGTGTAGTAAACGTGGATGAGAGACTTTTGACTTACATCGCAAAAGCGCTGTATTGACTAGTAGACCATGAATAATACTCTTGGATACATTTCTACGTAATTGACTTATTCAATTCTCTCGTGTTCACGAAGCGAGATCAGACAGGGAAGGTAGATAGTAGATATTGTGCAAGTGTCCAACGCTTGCATACAGTATAGCAAGCATTGCACCTCTAGCATTTGCTAGAATTCTCTGCCGTTTGCTACACACACTGGCTATCGTTCTCGTCAGACTGATTCCTTTCAGCTCGATTGTTGGTTGACTGAATACCATAAACAGTTCCCCGAAGAGGAGAACCCAAAAGCGAGAATTCGACACTATCTGAGCTTTAAGGATATGGCGTACCAGAAACCCTTTATGCAATCAATTTGCTCTCCACCATAGCAACTTGGCAAGGTTGATTTCAAGAAATGTCGCAAGTGTAAGGTCCATCATCCCAAAAGTAGCACTATTTGGATGATATTTTGATCAATCAATGTCCTTTTTCGTGACCTTTGCCTATGATTTCAAAAATAATAACCTCAGCGACCGTATATGCTTCAATGCGTGCAAACTGAATTCCTGTCAAAAACAATCGAATTGCAATCCAAAACAGATGCATCCCAGAGGCATTAGACACAATTGCACAAGAGTTTCAATATAAGATCGATTGCTGAAATCGGAAACAAAGGACACCACAATTAGAAATGGAAAAGCAAAGGCGCTCTATTCCTAACAATAGATTTGCAGATAAATAACGCTTTTAATATTAAGGACAGCCCTCTCCTTTCATTTACACCTTCTTCACCACACTTAAGTTGTTCCTACATTTGACCTCGTTCATCCTACATTTGACCTAATTCACCACTTTTCACATCTTCTACATTTGATTTTCGTTGTCACCATCCCCATGATGGGCGAAGACCAAATCTATTACCATGTCGATCCCCATGCCATCTTGATTTGCTCCTTCTTGATTGTTGATGTTGTTGTTGTTGGTGTTGTTATTATTATTGTTACCAGCAGCAGGAGGAGGAGGACCAGCAGCAGCACCACCACCAGCACCAGGAAGACCACCAGGCATCTGGAATGGCATACCCGCACCTATTGGAAGTCCAAGTTGGCCCAGAATTCCACCAAAGAGACCACCAAGACCAGGTGGGATATTATTGTTGTTATTATTATTGCCTCCAGGTCCTCCAGCAGCGCCAATAATACCACCACCCGCACCATTACCAAGAGGATCGAGTTGACCACCAAGAGGACCTCCCAGAGCGAATATTTGTGCACCACCCATCACTGGCATATTTCCAAAGTTTGGACCTCCACCGCCAAATAGCTGCTGCAATCCTAGTGGTCCATGGTGATGATGATTAGCATGGGGAGGTAATGGTGGTGGAAGAGTTAGCTGTTCGTCGTCTTCATCTTCGAGTGGTGGAAATCCATCGTTGTCGACAGGTGGCTGTGGACGAGTAGCTTGTCCAGCTATTGCTCCTGCAGTGTTTCCACGTTTCAAGGTCTTGTTCCTATGCTTTATATGTCTTTTATACATGGTGAAGACTACAGGGTCATCAAAGCGAGAGACTTCCGTGCAGAAGAGAGGAGCACACGCATATGCGTTACCAATCTTGAGGGGCAAACGTGGTAAGCGTAGATTTGGTTGGTTTGCCATTATTTGGGCAGCATTGGGAAAAAGTGGAAAACCAGGAGGAATGGGATTATTATTGTTATTGGGATTTGGATTGGGATTGTTTGGGTTAATGTTGCCTAAGACTCCAAGAGCTTGAAACACAGCATTTTGAGCTTGAATCGCGGCTATATCAAAAATGGATTAGGCTTGTAATCAATAATACACAGATCTTGCAATACAGATGCTCGCTCGAAAAAATCAAAATGACTAGATTCGCTATACAGCAGCTTTACCATTACCATTTTGGGCTTGATCAACAGCGTGTTCAAGCTGATGCAAAGCAGCACCCAGAGGTTGTGGTGCATTGGGAGCTGGAGCTGGTACTGGAGGTCCTCCTTGTACGTTGATTCCGGGAGCAACTATCATATCATCGTCCTATTAAAACGAGGTTTAGCCCTTAGTGTTCAAAAGTGCAAGACCAGAACACCAAAAGCAATAATAAGCAAAACGGTATGACACTCACATCATCGCCAGCAAAATCCTCAGCAATATCCATATTCACTTCGGGAATAGCGGCAGCTTGAGCGGCCGCAACAGCTGCTACAGCACCTCCAGCGGGATTGGGCGTCAACCTTATGGCATATAGTTTTGGACAGAGACCAATCATGTCAAAGCAATAATCAGGCATCTCCTGACCTCCTTCTAGGAATAGGATTGCGTTTTGCGGCCTTCGCATGCCACACAATGCCAATATTTCAAGTTTTGGGAACGGCAATGCAGCTGTAGAGAGAACTTGAGCTGGATGTGCGTCCCAAAAGGCTGAATCACCTACAACATACACGACCCGTAAAGTTCTTCGATTGGTTAAGATCAAATCTGTTACGGAGTCGGCCTTTCTTAGTTGTGTTGAGCGAAGGTATAATATTTTGAGATGTGTGAGACCTGCCAGACCAGCTATGATTTCGTCGCTAAGCAAATCTGCTGGTCCACCTCCAATGCATAGTGTGGTAAGGTTTGGGCAAGCTCCTACACAAGAAGAAAGATGAATATGTTTCAATAAGTCAGTCAAAGAAACCAGTGTCCAGAACGAGCAAACATACGTGAAAAGTTGGCAAAGGAATTGGCATCAAGCGTTGCTCCAGGCCTAGTGAGTACCAGTTTGACGAGTTGATCATTGACATATATAGACAATGCTGACAATAGACTTGGCGAGAGACGGCCATCAATGTCACGCACTGTGGACAAGGAGAAGCTTGTCAGGTGTTTGCGAGACGACTCAATCAACCTGATAACCGAATCCGGATTCAAGTTGATAGAGCGCTCTGTTTGTTGTGGTTGCTGAATCAAGTGCAACGATTGCGTGTTTCCAAGTTTGCCTGTTTGGAGAGAAAGCAAATTGGTTTCCGTGGAAGAGGTTGACAAAAAACAGGAAAATGCTTACCATTCAAATAAAAACAAGCTCGTTGAGTAGGCTCAGATAATGACAGTGTTCGTGAGAGGCAGGAATTGAAGAGTTTATGGTCAACTAGCTCCCGGCTTGTTGACAACTATGAAATAAGAATAATACAAATAAGAGTAAGGACGTTGCCTGTTTCAAAATTTGCCAACAAACAAATCGAGCAACTGCACCATCGACATACCAATACAGCTCCAAAATGCACCAAATCAGGCCAATTTTCAATCATGCGCAGTGCTTGTATAGCATTCAATGCGATGACGGTGGGTAGATGCAATTTACGAATATTTGGCATCAAATTCGCATTTTCCTTTAAGAATTCTGCAATAGCTCCAGATTCGCCAGGTGTGACTTTGAATCCTAGTGATTCAAGCGACAAAATTTTAACATAGCTTCCAAATGTCTCTTCAGTTCTATATGTTTTGGCTGGGAAGAGAATCTCGTCGAGACGTATGGTGGCGATCAGAGCCTTCAGTCCTGACGTAGAGCTGAGTTCTGGCTTGTTGTACATGAATGGAATGACTGAATGGTACTAATATGAGAAAGAAGTATGTAAGTCTGGTGTGCACAAGAACTGGTGGCAGCAAAGAGAGTCAAAGTTACCATATCAATACACGTCATTGCCATCTTTGCAAGAGTCTTTGGCTTGCAATACGAGAAAACGTCTCGCAGCACCTCATCAGGTAGCTTGGAGAAAATGGTCTTTGGAACAGGCCTTGGTTCTTCAAGTGCTGGAATACTTTCGATTGACTTCTTGAGTGCTGTTTCCATTGATTCTATACGTGCTTGATGAGGCAGAAGATCCTTTTCCCTAGATACGTGATAATTCAAGGTTAGAATCAACTTGATATAATATTTGGCTAACGCGTCTAGGGGGTTCTCGCGAAAACCCATAATCAAAGAAAGGTGATGTATAAGATAATGTCCTACTTTGTCTGAGGTCGAGGAACCGCAGGGCTAATTCTTCGAGCATTAATAGACATCCAGAGAGCGATCTTCCTTGTGCTTTGTTGGTTCAATAGGTATCGAAGTACGTCAACATAGGGCGTCAGATTCATTCGAACTTGCTGGATATTATTATCGGGCTCCATGGAGCGTCTCAAGAGGTATAAATACTCTATATATATGAGGAATTTCCAATAGCAGTACCACGGTACTTGTCAATTGCAAATAAAGAAACGATTGCGAGGAGAGTAATCTGTTTTGGTGATTGTAGGCGATCAACACGAGAGACGCAAGGAAGGAGCAGAGTTGAACTACAACTAAATATTATTAGTACGTCTGAACATACTTTGAGCCAGTATGAGAGTTTTGTTACAGCAAACACGGGTACAAGTGAGATTGATTTTCGTGATTGCTCAAACTGTAGATCAAAGTTGCCAAATACGTAAATAATATTGAAGGCATTACGGAAATCATCTCATTTTCGCGACATTACTAGAGAAAATTTGTCCTCACCCCCAGTGCGATGTCTGCAGGTTAGTAAGCATTTACAAATCGCTTTTGACAGACACCCAATAATCCATCGCATCGATCCATCAAACCACAAATATGGCCAAGGTAAGTGAGGACCCTCTATCGATTTCTTGCATGTAATCGAGCTCATAAATCCTGGAGAATGGACGAATGAGAGCATGAACAGCCGAAGCAAGTAACAGGCTTACTTGCGAGGTTCCTGCGATTGTCAACATCAAACACAATTAGCAATAGACAACACCACTTAGATGAAATAGAGCTTTGCTAATGAATTTGTACGTTTGTTAGGTTGCAGTTTTAGACGGTGTTTTGGACGTCAGTCAATCAGCAACTAAACTATTTGGCAAAGTCAGTATTTATTCACTGTTCAAACATTGATTCAATGACGACTAACCTCTCTTTCATACCTTAGTGGAGGTGAGTTTCCATGCCTGATGCATTGGAATGTGTTTAATGTTTTATTAGCTCGCAAACCGGCAAACATTTAGTGAAATTGGCAATTGTGTGCAAAGAAGTCCCAACATCTATACCAGGAACTTCTCGAATTAGCTGATAGCTAAACTACAAATTCAATCCTATTAGCTTTGAAGACATTGACACCAAGGACTTGTCCTTGAAGGTACCATCTTGCTGAAACAAACGCTACTCAAAGAACAGAAGCTCATATACATGATATTATCTAGGACTATTTACAAGTTGTCCCTGTATACTTGCCACATACTGCTGGTAGATACCAAGCCAAACGATTCAGGAAGGCTCAAGTACGTGATAGATAGTGATAGATAGCCCAGTTCCCAAAACAGTAAACATGCTCTCACACCCCACATCCATTTAGTGTCCAATCGTGGAACGTTTGACCAACTCCCTTATGATGCATGGTCGTAACAATGGAAAAAAGTTAATGGCTACTCGTATCGTCAAGCACTCTTTCGAAATCATCCACTTGTTGACCGACGCAAACCCAATCCAAGTCCTCGTCGATGCCATCATCAACACTGGTCCTCGTGAAGATTCCACACGTATTGGTTCTGCTGGTACAGTCCGTCGTCAAGCTGTAGATGTATCTCCATTACGTCGTGTAAACCAGTCCATCTGGTTGCTGACAACGGGTGCTCGTGAAGCTGCCTTCAGAAACGTCAAGACTATTGCTGAATGTCTGGCTGATGAATTGATCAACGCTTCCAAGGGTTCAGCGAACTCGTATGCCATCAAAAAGAAGGATGAATTGGAGGTATGCCTAGTTTTACTGGTGATTCCGTCGTTTTTTTTGCTTTGATTCTCACATAAACAACTTGATCATTTAGCGTGTCGCCAAGTCCAACAGATAAATCATAAACTTTTGCTCCCGTGTAAAAATACAGTTACTCTTTACAGATACTCGTCACTGCTTTCCTCTATACATCAAGGTCATTACAATTAACATTCAAATCGATACATTTAATAGTAGAAGACGCCAAATGCACATGCGATACAGAATATTGATTCCTAAATGCAAGAGGAGGGTTACATGTTGTCGACATGAACAATCACCGTCTGACTCACATTCATAAAGACGTCCTGAGCAATATTATCAGTATCAGCATCCCATAGACAACGTGCTCCAATACTAGAAACAATCCAAGATTCAGCACTCAAAAGGCTGGACAGATCTAAATCATGCAGTTCCATACCGAACACCTTCACCACGTTGTTCTCCAAGAATGACATTCACAGCAAACTTGTATCGTTGTAAATCTAGTTCTAAACGATGAAATAATCAGTACAATTAACTCAAACTCCACGATCAACTACATGTGCCAACCTTTTAATCTGTTTTTGATTTCATCAGATATTTCTCGCGTCCATGTCGAGCATTGAGTCTGATCATACGTGGCACCGGCTAGTCGAGACTGTAATACATCGTGGATTATCTTTTGGACTGGTCCAGACCGGAATCTAATTTGTATTTATCGCTTAGTTCAACTTCCTTCTCTTCAAAACCAACCAATTTACATTCTGTTGCTTACTTTGATTTGAAGTTGGGCCTGATGGTATGTGCCTCGTCCTGTGACATTGCAAGTCCTCCTGAACTCATTCTCTCTTTCTCCTTATTGCTAGATCTTTTGAAATTGGTTGCTGCTCCAAGTTTTTTTGGAACAAGAAATTCAGAGTCTGGGCCAGCATCCATTGCAAAAGAGACGAGACGGGCTGACACTCCAGTTTCTACTTGCAAACAAAGCAAGTAAATATTTCGATTACTGACATCTGAGCTTTACCTCATTTGCCGTGCTTTTATCATGACATCTGCCGACCCAAGAATCAAGAGCTTGCTGAAAAAGCGCAAGTACAAGGAAGTCGACGAGGAAGACGACGAATCATCGCTTGAAGAAGGTGAAGTAGATGATGACAATCAAGCAGGCGATATCCTGTCGATCGTTAGAGCTGAACGAAAGAAACGGGAAGCTGCTTTACGAAAACCACATTCGGCTGCTTCGAGACAGCTCAATGTTATGGATTTTGAGGGGGCTGATACCGTCAGGGTGAGTAGGAATTGATGTGTATTGAAGCTGAGTGTTGTGAGACTTTTACGATGATGAGAACAAAGGAAAGCAGATTCTTACGAATGAAACTTGCTTTAGGCTATTGATACTCGACGATACTTCAATATTGAAGAACGAAAAGCTACAATACTTTGCAGGTTCTGTCACAAACCTGGTCATGTTGTTCGAGATTGTCCCGAAACAGTGAGTATTCTGGTATCGACAATTGCAGCGTTTTTCTCGCTGGGTCAACTGGTCTTGACATCAATTCCTTTTCGTTTTGTAGAGCAGAGAATGTTTTGTTTGTTTCCAAGATCACAATCCTCTACATTGTCCAATGAGCAATGTGTGTCATAATTGCTTCCAACTGGGTCATCGCAAAGACGTGAGTGAAGCTTCACGTTCTTAGAAATGCTTCTAGGCCACCTTCTGTCTTTTGTCGTGGCTCACGCTAACTTACCCACAGGAATGCAAAAATAAAAGATTTGAAAGGGTTTGCATGTATTGCAATATGGACAACCATTCTACTGTTGTAAGTACACACGCCTCATATATTCTTTTTTCGTCCACTCAAAAGTAATCTGACTCTCTTGTGTTTTTCAATGATTAGGAATGTCCCATGGTTTGGCGATTATATGGAATTGATGGTGAAGCCAACCGCATGGAATTTACGAGATATTGTTACAATTGTGGTTCAAAGGGCCATCTAGGCGATGTGAGAATCCTTGTTGGAAATTGCAAAAAACTCGCTTCAATCTGGAGAAGCATGTAACTCACTATTTCCACTTCTCGCATATCTGTAGGACTGTCCTCGTGACAATCAAAACAACATCCCTGACTTCTATTGGCACTCTGCCTTTAGGACAGATGCAGATGCACCACCAGCTCCATTAGGTAGAGTCCCAATGTCGAAAAGAGCAGCAGCCACCATGGATGACGACGATGCAGACGACGAAGAAGATACGTCGAGGAGGAGGCGTCCTCAGTCTCCTGGCCGGGATACTCTGTCTTATGATGGACGTCGAAACGACCGTGACGATCGAAATCGTTCACCTCTACCTCGAAAACCATATCAGTCCACTAATGGTCGAGGTCGAAACTCTCCTCCACCAATACCAACATCCTCTCGTCGACGTAATTCAGATGATAAAAGGCCAGACGGTCGTAATCAACCGAACGGATATGGAAATGGAAAGCAACGTGCTCGACCAGATGACTGGGATGTTTCTGATGGTTCAGAAAATGATACTTATATTGGCAATGGTAAGCACAGGCGTGACAGAAACGACTCTGTAAGTTTTTTCTAACATTTTCTGGAGTACGGTCGTTGTTAACTCATGTCATTTATGATGTTTTCTTCGTTTATAGGTGGACCGATGGGAAAACAGGCGGCAAACGGCTTCAAGGCAAAGGAGATGAAACGCAACGGTGTTGCTGATAACCAACCTTTTACATTCGACCTCCCCGATATAAATAGTAGTAGCGCAAAATTCAAGAAACACAAACAACCAAAACAATCGAAACCACCCAAACAACAGCAGCAGCCGAAAAGCAAACGTCAAAAGATACAGCAGCTAGACGTTGAAGATGAAGATGTTGAAATAGAGGAACTGATAGATACTGATGAAGAACTATATGGTGTTTCTGATCGTCGCATCGATGCCGAACGTAAACGAATGATCCAGCAGAATCATTCGCCATTGCCTAACGACCACAACCACAACAAGAAGAATAACAATCATGCCAACGGCAACCACCCACACAGAAATCCGCCACGACGAGACCCGATGCGCCCTGAACGTTTGGCAAGACTTGCTAGGCGTAAGGAGGAAAGGAGGTTGGCCAAGATAGAGAAAGTTAACATCACTCAGAACAGTAACGGCAACCACAATAACAAGAAAAAGAAGAATGCCAATAACAACAATAATAATAACAACAGCAGCAACAACGCTGCTAGAAAGCCTGTATTTGATAGTGAAGTGATTGTTATTGATGATTGATTGGTTCTTATTGTGAGTCTGCTAAAAAGTGGTAGCTAGCAGCAACGTGGAATAAGAGCAAACACAAAACATAGTTTATAAGAAGACAACAGCACATTTGTAAAAAACCCATAGAAAGGATTGTAGGCCAATACAAAATATATTGTGTAGCTCTTTATGACATAACAATGCTCAAAAATAAGATAGGGAAAGGAGATATGGATTTTTTGGTTTACAGAGATGAAAAAAATGTTGTTTTACGGAGTATGTTCTGCTGCGATTGGGGATGGTTTCGTAGAGACTAGCCAGACTAGAGAGTCGGAGATTGGGTCGTGTCTAAGTTGAGAGAGAGAAACATCAGTCTTCTGAATACTTGCCGGGATTATTCTGGTTTTTTTTGCACTTACACCCAGCCAGGATATCGCTGCAACCTGGATCCATACAAAGTTGACCCCTTGGGCGGCATATACTCTGGCCACGCGCCCGTAACTTTATCCTTGAGCGTCTGACCATACGATAAATCCATCCCACTGTCCACGTTCCCTTTGCTATACGACCGCTCTCCCAGCACGTCTACCATTAGATCCGATGGCAGATGGATTGGATGTTCTGTTGTTGCGACCGTTGTCGTGCGTGGACTGTTTTCTGATGATGCGACGGTTCGTGTTGGGGAAGTGTATGTTGATGAGGCGTAGTGTGATGGCGGGTATGATACGACTTGCTGTTGCTGATAAATAGGCTGTTGGTAGGATTGCTGCTGCTGGTATAATTGTTGCTGATAAGTTATTTGTGGTTGCTGCTGTTGTTGTTGGTATGCTTGGTAGTATGGTAGTTGCGGTATGTACGATGGTGGTGTATTCTGTAACTGCTGTTGCTGTTGGAGCATTTGTTGTTGTATTATCTGGTGGTCTTGTTGTATTATTTGACGGTGTTGAGAGGGTAGGTTGGTCAAGCCATTACTGCTGTTTGAACTACCGTCAGTGTGTGTTGGCGATGTGCTGGGTGTGTATAGTGGGTATCGGTTTGGTGTTGACGGGTCTGTGTGGGGTGTTGCTGGTGGAGAAGCGCGTTCTTTGCCCCATGATGCCTAAAGATGGTTTTATGAATAAGAACAAAAAGCCGACGGCTTTTAAGCAAATGTTGCTTACTCGTAGCGTTTTCCCATGCATCACGACACCATGCGCTGATACTATAGCGTGGGCTGCACCATCATGCGTATCCATTCTAGAAAGAAAACCCTAACGTCACAATTGGCACAAAAAAAACGTATAAAGTCGTACAGTCATACCTAATGAAAGCAAATCCACGCTCAGGCTGCATCCGTAATTCCAACACGTTTCCATGAGCTTGGAAGAATTCCAGCAGTTCGATATTGGTTGTTAGTGGTGAGAGATTGCCCACGTAGACGGTGCTGTTGGTGAGTGATTGAGATACAATCTCATCGAATTGGAGGGGTGCTACATCTAGAGCAGAAAATATTTCTCAGACACTACGTCCTGATATCAGTTTGACTTTTGGCATTACTCACAATCCTGATCAGGTTTAGGAGCCGGCTTCTCATTTGCCCAACTTATCCGAATAACACGATTCCCCAACCAGCTGCCACTCAAGGTATCAAGCGCCTAAGGTAGGCAAAAACAGGTATTGGGAACGTATGCAACAATGTTTACTTCAAAAGTACCAATAATGGGTATAAAAATCAAGAGATGCCATCTTTAACATCGAAGTTGCAATCCATACGTACTTGCTGGGCATCATCACGTTCTCGATAACTCACAAACCCAAATCCACGACTCTTTCCAGATGTCAAGTCCCACATTACTCGCGCTTCAGATAATGAGCCAAAGGGTGCAAAGGCTCGTCTTAATATCTCGTCATTGACTTCTTGACTTAGATCACCGATGAATAGCTGGAAGTGTTTTGAAATGTCTTCGACTGGTCCTTTGGAGCCAGACATTGCCCAATTCACGCGAATGGGGATGCCATGGACTCTGTGAGTTGCGAGTTGGGCGATTGCTTCAGCGGCTTGTTCGTGTGTTTCGTATTCGACGAAGCCATAATTTGTTGGTGCCTATATATGTGATCAAGGTGTTAGTTCGTGTTTGAAAACACGAGAAGTTCGACCATCTGAGAGCCACAATGATGTAGAAGCAGCCGATTCCGTTTCAAATATTGGCTGTAAACCTGACAAGCTTCAAAATGTCCACAGGACTGTTTTAAACTTTTTCGGAGTTCAACGTTGGATTCCCGTCAAAGACAGACGATCGCACGAGATTTCCATATTCAAAATGCTCTGAATGAGAGGCACCTACTCACAGTTTTGTCAAATATGACCTTCACTGAGCATGTTCCAATACGTCCAAAGATTGATGAGAGCTCTTGCTCATCGCTCTGCTGACTGATATTCCCAACATACTAGAATAAAATGATGAAACATAGTGTTTAGAATTCGGTTTTCACACTTTAGACAGGAAGGCTCTTCCCGGGCTGCGATTTGGAAGAAAAGTTGACAACTATTTTGGTTTGATTTTCGTACCAGTTTGCGATCCGCTGTAGAGGGGATTCTCGAGTTCATATTCCGGTTTCAGATACGTTATTGGACTAGATTCTTGCTTTCGATTCAGTCTGCGTTATGGCGATGTGAAAGTTTTTCAAGGTAGCGTCATACCGTTGAAGCAATTTCGGAAGTTAGATGCAACCAGGTTTTGAAGTTCGACGACGGTGCAAACATGCAAAATGAGGGTCATGGAACCAAAGAACGCGGGATGCTCGGGCGAACGTTGGACCTGCATATTATTTTAGAGTATGGAAGCTGGATATTCTATTTGAGCAAAACCATTCAAGTTATTTAAGATGGGCAAATAACTTTGGAGCCGCCTATTGTGAAAAAAAAATCGTGAGATGATATCCAACAGCTCAGGTATTTTGCAAAACACGGAAAGGTTTGAGGTCAAAGATCCAACAGCCCAAAAGTCACTTCAAAAATCCAAAAGTTCGAAAATAAGGTTCTAACGCGAATCCTCAGGGCCTTCACACGTGTGCAGTCTGTTCCAGCTCTTTGAGGAGTAGGCTATGGCCATCGATACTGTCCATCGAATGAGACATTGATCACAGCCTAGCTCCAGTAGGACACTTCTTTCAAACAGACAGCCGACAATCATCATCGTCAACGTAAACACTGTTCCAATATTCATTCCTTTCGTCCTTCTACTCGCAAAATACGTATCGACACTTACACAATGTTGAACACATTCCTGTTGAATAGAGAAACATGTCAGGAACCTGGCACTCAAATTTCATGATTTCATGGGCATGCATGATTTAGACATGCACTCCTTCGAATGCAGCGGCGTACTGTTTCTTCACATCTCCAGGTCGACAGCCGAAAAATGCAAATTCATCCTCAAAGTAGATGTCACAACATACAACATACCATAAGGTCAAAGAATTCCTCTACGCAGCTTTCATGTGATGAATCTGCTTCCGTTACTCTTGCCTGGCAAGCGTCGAACTTTTCCTTTAGGTTGTGACAGTGATGTTCTTCACATTCTGCGAAAACATAAAAAAGTTTGAGAAAGTGGTCATCCAAGTACAGAAAGTAGTGAAAGAGGAGACGAGTCAATGTAAGTTTACACATACCCTTTTCGATTTCTTCTTTGGGATCCACAACGGCGGCCATTTTGAAGACTTTTTGTTGTTTTGCAGATGTGCAGAGTGTGAATGTGTGATGCACTCCAAAAAGTTACCGAGTTTTGGCCTGTTTTGTAAGACATTACGTGTATTTCACGCAGAAATTGGCTACTTTTGCTAAGTGACTCTCAACTAACTCCTTCAAAACCTCGAACATCTAACATAGATCCTTTGAATGACTTCAAGCCAACATACCGCAAATAACGCTGAAGCCTGGACTAGAATACAAGACGAACTAAGTTCCAGACGTGTAGAGCACGATGAACTTTCATTCTCGATACAAGGATCAGTTTTCGAGGGATTGAATTATGTTGGTGGTCTGGACGTATCTTTTTTCGAGGGAGAAGATAACCGCAATGCTATCGCTTGTATCGTTGTTCTCAAGTACGCGTTCTTGTCACAGGTTATAGATGATGTGCTATTGACTGTGATCTACGTTACAGGTTTCCTGAGCTGACGCTGGTTTATTCTGACACTGAAGCTGCAGTCCTGGAGGAACCATACATACCAGGTACCTGCTGAATATTCTTACACCACTGCTTGTGCTAAGATCGTCTTCCATAGGCTTTCTGGCATTTCGAGAAGTACCAGCAACAACACCCATCTTAAACAAGCTTAAGCAAGAACACCCAGAGTTTTGGCCTCAAGTTCTCTTTGTAGACGGAAACGGGACTCTGCATCCACGAAAGTTCGGGTTTGCAAGTCATATAGGCGTCATTGTCGACGTCCCAACGATTGGAGTTGGGAAGAACTTTTTGTCGATACATGAGGACGGCTTGTGGATGGAAGAGGTCAAGAGGGAGTCTAGGACGCGTCTTCTGAAGAGTGGAGATGTATACGAACTAGTTGGCACGTCCAACTTTGTGTATGGCGCTGCTGTGAGAACTGGAGCTGACGCTGTGAATCCTGTTTTTGTTTCATCTGGTAAGCCTGACTGAGAAAACACGTAGAATGATACTAACAGATACTCGATAGGACATAGGATATCACTTCAAACCAGTATTGCACTCACATTGCAATGCTGCAAATTCCGTGTTCCGGAACCCATCAGATTCGCAGACCATCTTAGTCGAGAGCGTGTTAGGAACGAGCGTACAACTTCATAATACTCGTAAACAATCATTGTAAACTTTTCACAGCAAAATAACGCTCTGCGTACTTGATCTCAGCGTTTCGAAAAAAACACAGTATGCGACAATAATGAACTATTTGATGTCCAATGGAACAGGTTTGTTACATCGCAGGACCTCATTTTTATACCAATGGTCGAGCAACTATCTAACTACCTCTTCTATTCAATCTGATTATTACGATTTCTAGCAAAGGCCGAATCAACAATCAAGCAACCACTAATTCTCGAATTTGAAGGTCTAACGACCATATCCTGCTACGACGTTCTTTCGGTCAGCTACAAGGTCATCTGCTTTGATACTTCATTGCCCGTCAAGAAGGCTCTTGCTGCTTTACTATCGCACGGTTGGTTATCAAAACAGTCAACATCAGAAAATTGTTGCATGGCATTGTTTTGAATGGGTTCTTGGTTATAATAGGTGTCGAATCGGCGCCATTATGGGACTCTATAAAGCAGTGCTTTGCTGGAATGTTGACTGGTAAAATGTCTTGCTTGGTCGACTGTGCTTTTTAGCATTGCTCACACGACCCTCCAAAAATTTATCAAAACAGTGTCGGATTTCATTCACCTCATCATGTACTATTACAAACGGTCATCATATGATGCTGCCATAGAGGAAGTCGAACAGCTTGAGATAAGAACATTACGAGGTTGGTGATCTGTCTTGACGACTCGAGTCCAACAATATTCTTCTTTTTTTCCCATTGCCCGCTCACTCTCCTCAATGAAAACACAGAAATTGAAGCTAAAGTGGGAGTTCTACCTCCCGGAATGTATATACATCCTGCTCGAACCTTGTATGAAGGTGTGTGATTGGTTTCCATGGGCGATGAACAAAAAAAAACTGTCGCTAGAGCTCAAATTTCTCCATTTTAGCTGGTTCCCTCCTCTTGAACCACGGTGTACATCGGATAGCCCTACTAGATAGAGCTGGAGAGGCGGAAACCATGGTTGGAATCATCACACAGTTTCAAATACTGAAATATATAGCTGCGAACGTACGTCCTGTCATTGAAGTGTATAAGGATACTGGGTTTTTTGCTCCCAGCGTCTCGTCTTACTTTGTGTCAACCTGATTTCACAAGCACTCAAACTCCAATTTTCTTATATAGTATCCACATCCAGAAAACCTATCAAAAAAAATCGCAGAAATCAAGATTGGAATCTTTCAACCGCTTATAACAGCCAAAGTCACTACTCCCTTGATTGATGTTCTGGAATTATTTGTGGAAAAGAGGGTGTCTGCTGTCCCTATTGTTGATGATCATGGTATGCTTAGTTACAGACGACATACGCATGGTTTGCCCTCTGCATTTTTTGCTCGTGCCTTGTTTACTGATCTTGTTCAATTTCCCGTCGCTAGATAATATCGTAGACGTGTATGAGAAACACGACGTCCTGGTAAGAAAGACATGACGTTTTGCTCTATTTACTTTCCATGTTTTTGCCCACCCACCTCGATCAACACGTTCATATTCTTTCGTTGATGATAGATGCTGGCGAGAGAAGGACAGTACTATGACTTGGAAGTACCTGTCGGAGAAGCCCTGCAAGGACGGGGATCGGTATGACCCATTGGATCCCTTCTAGTTCACCTTTTTTCCCTTTCAACTCACCTCCTCTATTATCATTTATTTTCCAGGAATTCGAAGGAATTCATACGTGTACAATGCAAGACACGGTTGGAGCACTATTAGAAACCATACGAGAAGCCAACGTACATCGTTTCTTGGTAGTCGATGGAACAAAACTGTTGGGTATCATAGCGCTCTCGGATTTGCTGAGGATATTCATACCGAGGAAGTAGTCAGTCAGGCAGTTAAGGAGGGCGCAAGTTTTAAGTAAGAACAACACAACACACACAGACACACACAAACACACACACACACACACACACACACTACACACACATATTATTTTCGTATAAAGAGAAACTGGAAAAAGGTCGCATTACAAAGCAATTTTGGGGCTTGCAAGTTCGACTGATACTTCTTTATGTGTCTTTCGGATGTATGGAAGATTGTTGCTACTTACAGTGGCGCTTCGTTGGCTTGTGACATCACTCTCGAAAGCATGTGAGCGTGCTACGTGTTTTCGTTTTCGAATGGCTTTCTTGTACAAGAGAGTAAGGGCGACGTTTGGCAAAGTTTTCAGAAACAGGGTTTTCGAGTTTTAAAAGTACGTCGGAATTCTTTCTCCAACACTGTTCCTAGATTTTTAAGTTGTGTTTGGTTGGCTGGGGTTTCAAGCGTAGTTCTCAACACTTCAACTGAAAAAAAGGTGACCACAATGAATGAACACCACAGAGCTACATAGGAAAGCGAATCATTCAAGAATTATTAACGATTGCCTCCAGTGAACGACTTGGAACGGGCTCGAGCGCTTGCAGATCTACAGAAAAAAAAAGATAAAAAAATCGCTTGACAAACCAAGATATGAATACTTGATAAAGCTTGACTGACGCGTTGTGCTTTGGAATATGCGTGTCCTCTATTTGTCTGTACAAATCGTTACAAAGTTGCATTCCTCAACAAAATACACTATCTCGACCGCGATGCAAGAAACGTCGCCCCATCAATATCCAGTTTAGAAATGAGCTGAACAAAAGGTTCCCATGACTTGCAATACTTTGGTATCGGTGCCTATAATTTGGGCAAGTACCGTTAAAGGACAAATAAAGTGTACCTTGCAAGTTTCAAATCTCAGAGGACAACAGAGGTCAATAATTGCAACATACCTTATTACTAGTCTTTTGCTTCCCATCGAGCTTAACAACATGGAAGCACCCTTCTAATCTCAAGACAAGACCCATCAAATACTTTAATTGATAAGTGTCTTCAACACTCAATTGAGTCAGAGCAAGTAATGTCTCTGTGATTGTCGAAAGCGTCGTGTCTACTAGCAGTCCAATGGCTTGTAGTGCCGTTTCGTATGGTAAGATGGCCTGAATTGCAAACAAGGAAGAGTGTCAGATGCGAGAGAAAAGAAGACAGAGTCAACCATCGTAATGTGACGCAACACCTTCCAAGACTTTGCCACGGCCGTAATATGATGCACTAGATGTTTCATACCAGTCTCTACGCTCTTGAATCGAGCATCGTTCGACAAATCTCCCAGAGTAGAGATGAGTCCAAGTTGATTTAGTATCACGTCACGTTGATGTCTCTAAACATTGTTGCGCAGACAAAAAAAATCGTGAGACAAAATTCTCACGTTTTGAATCGCAACCCCAAACTACCACTCAAACCACTACTCACCAACTGATTTCTAAAATAATAATCACCCAGCTTTCGGAAACTAGGCACCAAATCGACAAAAGTACCACATGATGTAATGGGTGGAGGCAATTTGGGTGCATATTGGAATCCCATAGTTAATAAGTGATGCACGATATACGTGCAGTCACAATAAAAGACCATGGCTCGAGTGGGTGATGGTTCTAAAAGATCAGCTATGTGTTGTGGCATGATGGCACGATATAAATCGACGAGATCTCTTGCACAGAAGAAGAGTTCGACGGCACTAGTGGAGAGGATGTGAGAAGCGTGATGCTTGTAACATGTCACAACTGGATAACCGAAATCATCACTTTGTTCGGCTTGGTCAAAAGGAAGATGGTTTCGTACCTCTGTTGATCATCCAACTGTATTGACTCATTCAGTGTCTGATAAACCAACTCAATCAGCATTTGAGCTTGTACACTGATATGCATAGTTGGAAGTTTCAATGCAGAATTGTTGATTTCCAACCCTTCTTTACCGCCACCTTTGGCAGCTTGTTTCGTTCTCGACTCTCCTCCTTTACCATCTTTACCACCACTACCTAATAAGCCCAGACCACCACGTTCGGTAGCATCGGTGACTTGTACTGTATTTGTATCATCACTTGATAGAATGTCTCTAGCAACTCGTAGCAGTTCGTTCCGTCGTTTGCGAGTATAGTGGCTGTGTAGATTCGCCAAAAGTGTAACTAGATCTTCTCGATTGGTTGGTATCAGTTCTAAAGGACAAGGAATGTGGGTATTTAGTTCGCTGTAATGATACGGCAGTGGCGTCCCAAGCAGATTTTTCGGCTCACAAACCTACCTAACTCTTTCATATGTAAATCAAACGTGGCTATGCGTTCAGCAAGACCAGAAAAGCGTTCCAATGACGATTTGTCATCTGGAATTATGGGAATTATGGCATCCTCGATTAATGTAGTGTACAGCAACTCCGACCATGCTTCACCAAACGATTCGGCGTAACTAGGTGGATCATCTCCTAGTGGTGCGCCGGCTGGTAGACCATTCTCAAGCATGAATTCACCCACCATGACAATCTTGTCCAGTGCGAGTGGTAGATCTATCAGAAGCAATAGATCTTTTATACAGATCCACAAGTTGTGGTTTTTTGCGCCCGTCGTACCTCGTTTTAGATCACTAGCAGGAGCCTTCTTGCCACCGGAAAATATAAGCTGACTATGCAACTTGTTTCTAGATTGCGTCAACTCTGCACCAGGTTGTTTAAGAATGCTCTTTATGATAGTCGACACCACGTTTTGAGCGAGCCATATCAACTTTTCTTGCAGCATCTCTGCAGTTGCTAAGGCGGCAAACAGATCTTCAATTGTAGGTGGACTATCAAAGTATTCTTTGCCTGTGTTGACTATTAAAATGTCAGTGCTCTGTATATTTGAGGATGTCGATTTTTTGATCAAGTTTGGACAACTCACTTGTTATCCTTTGAGATACAGACACTTTTTGCATTCCATCTGCAGCACAAGTAAATGAAAATGTGGCACAAAACAGCTCATTTAATCTGTACTTTAATGTTGCGCGTCTGTTCCATATTTGGCCCTTGATGACGTCAAAAACCGACTTGTCACAACTAGCTGAGTCTTGAAGGGTTTCAATCAGTGACGTCTAAGGAAGCGTCATTGTGTTTAGCATATACATCCTCTGCTGCCTCTTTTTTCTGCTCTTTGTCTACCATTTCAGCAACAGATGCAGCTGCACCGACAAACTCTCCAATATTGACCAGATGATCAAAGTTTTGAACCTCATAATGTAGCTATTGGGGCGAGATAGTGAGTAGAACTATCACTGAAACAAAAAAAGTCGTGTGGATCCTACTCTTGATAGTATGCCTAAAACTTGCAGATCATCCTCCAACGTTTTGAGAGTTCTTGCCGAGAGAGCAGTTTTTGATGGTGCCTGTGAATTATTTCAGTCATTCTGAATTGTATCTGAGAACAATTCTGTTATGAGACATACGATATGATCATCTACGTAAGCTCTTGCTTGTTCGACTTGTTCAGCAACAGAGGCAATCTCGTCCCTTAAGTCGAGTACGTAATTGCTTGTATTTAAATAGTCTCGATAATTGCTAGGAACGTGGTTGTGAGGGACAAGATCATGCTGGAAAGGTGATTCAAATGAATGCACAGTAAAGGCACCTGTTGATGGTTCCATACACATTGACCTAATAACGAATTAAATGAGATTAGTCCATATGACATCAGATCCCATATTAATTTAGATTTGAATATTGCAGAGATCAGTCTGTATGGCGTGCACAGTTAATTCTTACCTTGAGTTCTTGACACTTGTCAATCAAGGCAGCTCCATAGTTCTTTTGGGAACTGGCCGGTGCTCGTCGCTGTTTCCGTGGCGACTGATATGGAACAGATTCATCTCTCAGGGCTGATGTCGTCAACATGATTGAAAGCAGATTTTGATAATGTTTGGAGTGCTTTTGAGCTATGACTTGTGGGCTTTCACGTTACTAGATCTAATCGAAGCCGTAGTTAACGCGTCAGTGCACGTAATTGATTTATTTGATCTTACAATTAAGCCTGATTCGTGCTCCAACAACTAGACTGAATTTCACCCTTGTTAAAACCAGACCATTGTCGTGACTACGAGGACAACCAACACAATAATGTTGCGATTAGGACGAATTGCCGCTACGAGATCCATTATATGGCATCCACGGCCACTATATAACAATCAACTAAGCAGGCAATCGCCATGGAATCATCAATCACAGCGTACATTGACGGGTGCTAGAACTGCATTCAGTCTCGTCAGAGGCGCAACCGCACTAGGTGCTTCTGTTGCGGCTGCTTCTACTGCTGCTTGGTATTCCGTAGAATGTATGTCATTGCATACTGTAGCCAACATCAAATCCACGTAGAAACTTAAATGTGTGCTAATTATCACACCGTATCGTAGCTTGGGGCAAAGAACAAGGAAAATGGGCATCTGACAAGTGGGAAAGGTTTAAAGATTGGGCTGATCATCTGGAATTCTCCTCAAAGAAGGATAAACAACAGGGCAAAGACGAGGACAATCACGAACAAGATGACCAACCGCAATCTCCTGATCCAAATACTGGTGCTGCCACCGCACTCGCTGCTGCTGCCTCTACGATGCTACGAGACCATGATGAGCCTGCCCCTCTTATAGAAAACAAGCAGCAACAGCAACAGTCCGTGCCGACTCCTACAACCAGAGATGCTGAACTGATGGTGCTGACTCGACGATTAATTGAAGTCAGAAATCTACTCAAAGAAATGAGCTCGAACAATATTGCACTCAAACTACCTAGTATCGTTGTCATTGGATCTCAAAGTTCGGGTAAATCTTCAGTGCTGGAGGCTATTGTTGGTCATTCCTTCCTTCCAAAGTACGTACATTCCTGCTGTTCATATTTGGCATGGCACCTGAGCTGGAAGGCCAACATTCGTTAACTTAGGGGAGCGAACATGGTCACCAGAAGGCCGATAGAACTAACATTGATAAACACTCCCGATTCTCGAGACGAATACGGTGAATTCCCACAACTTGGAATGGGCAAAATACACGATTTCAGTCAAGTCCAAAAGATCTTGACCGATTTGAATCTAGCAGTATCAGACGCCGAATGTGTATCTTCAAATCCGATAGAACTTCGAGTATATTCACCCAACGTACCTGATCTCACTTTAATCGACCTGCCCGGATTCATCCAAATCCATAATCGTAATCAGCCGCCGATTCTCAAGGAAAAGATAGCAGAGCTGTGTGAATCGTATATAGCTGAACCCAATATCATACTGGCCGTCTGTGCCGCTGACGTGGATTTAGCAAACTCCGAGGCTCTTCGAGCTAGTAGGAAAGTAGATCCGGGAGGACGAAGAACTATTGGGGTAATCACAAAGCTGGATTTGATTGATGCCAATGCCGGTGCCAGACTCTTGTCACATAATGACTATCCATTGAGTTTGGGATATGTCGGTGTAGTATGTAAACCCAATGCATCCATGTTCTCAAATGCTCTGGTCTCAGCACGGTCGCAGATGGACACCATGATTCGCCATGAACAGGAATTCTTTGCTACACGACCTGAATATATTCGTAGTGGTGCCGATACGGGTACTGCTACCTTGAAGAGTCGTCTCAGACGGGTACTGGAAGACCACATGGCTCGATCTCAAACCGCTATAGTCGACGCAGTGCAAACTGAACTGGATGAAGTTCGATATCAATTCAAAGTCCAATATAATGACATCCGTATAACACCCGAATCATACGTTGCCGAAACGGTAGATGGTCTAAAACAACGATTCAAGGAATTTACAAAGAGTTTTGGTAAACCACAAGTACGAGACCAAGTACGAACCATGCTACAGCAACGTATAATGGATATATGTGCCGACTTGTATTGGGTAGATACACGCTTCCCCATGTTTCCACGAACATGTAGTACGGACCCTGCTTGGCTGAATCGGGTTGACGCTGCATCTGCAGCCCTGACCAAGTCGGGTATTGGCCGAGCATCCGTACAACTAGTGTACGATCGTATCATGGAAGCCATGACCAAAATCACATCCGCAGATGCATTTGCCAATCATCCAGGTGCTCGCGGACAGATACTAGACCATGCTAGGAGCCTACTGAAATCACGAATGCACGTAGCTGCTGATTCAGTTGAGAATACCATAAAGCCATTGAAATTTGAAGTGGAGGCTTCGGCACAGGAATGGAGTGATGCTGTTAAACGAGCTGTAGTTATGGTTGAGGACTCATACGCGGATGCTGAGAGGCAGTTACGAGAGATACAGAGTAATGTCGGTCGAAGGAGGTTACGAATGGCTGTACGACAGTTACAGAAACAGGAAGTCAAGAATGGAATTGTAGATTTAGTGTCGATAGCACCGCCAACAGTAATGTCATCAAACATAGTATCAGCAGCACCGATAATACCACCATCATCATCAACACCAGCATCAACAGCCGTAACATCTATAACGTCAGGAGAAAGCATACCAAACACACTCGCAGAAAGAGCCAAGGCAGCCTTATCGCTGCACCGTAAAATGACTCTTTTAAAATCCCGCTCAGCAGCCTTAAAATCCTCCCTATGCAGCTCTGAAAACCGATCATGCTGCCCCGAAATAATCCTCTCTGTAATCGCTGAAAAGCTCGTATCATCCGCTGTATCATTCATATCTGTAGAACTGCTCACTGAATTCTTTTTTGATTTGCCACGTGCTGTGGATGATAATCTGTATTATGGGCTGTCAAAGGATGCTATGACGGCTTTTGCGAATGAGAATCCGGGAGTGAAGAAGCATTTGGAGTTGATGCAGAGGAGGAGGGTGCTTGAGGACGTTATGGATAGGCTGAGAGGGCTGGGAAGTGGTAGTAGTAGTGGTAAGACTAGTGGCAGGTAATGGTGGGTGATTTTTTTGTTGCTGTAGTGTTGGGCATACTGTATATAGACATGTCATTATCATTGGTTGCCAACCTGTTGTTGCGATCGATTGTTCCCTACAATTTGGTTTGTTCCGTGCTCCGAACGAGTGGCATATGTATACACGACTTTGAACTTTTGGTATTGTTATTGAAAGGTATCGATTTCTTATATTGCCATTTATTCATAACTACAACTTGTACAAAGATATATGCGCTAAAAATCACAACAGGCTTTCACAAAATGACCATTCTCGACCAAAATCCTCGTATTTAACCATTCTTCATCGACATACCCATCAAGTGCTTCAAGAGACTGACGTACTCGCACGGCATGATCTTCATCGCTGTATACCCACGCTTTAGCCTGATGAGCATACTGCCACCGACTTGAAACAACCAAAGATACCAACACATCATCCATAAGTGTGCCAGTACAGCCGCAACATTCCTTTCAATGAGACCAACGGAGACTTTGGATGTCGTAAAGACTCGTATTGCACAATCGTGATCAGGATCAGGGGCCATTTTGGTGTTGGTTTTGGAGCTCCTTTCAGGTTTTTGATTTTGCAGAGGATTGATCCGAGGAGTTTGGTATAGTTTGGAGGAGTCACAGCGTCTTTTTCGAGAGCGCTCCAGATCTCGAGGTTTGTTGGATGATGGGGTATCGTGTTGGTGGTTGATGAGAGAGGGTTTGAATCAGTCGATGAGCTCATCCAGGGTGGTTTGAGACCTGTAGAGTATACTATTGGGATAGCTGTATATTAGGGCGTAAGTTTCAAACAGGAATTAACATTCTGACCAAAGCTTCACAAAAATATTAGACGTTTTTGACGCGTACATTGTCCCGACCAGATGACACAGCGTTCACGTTGCTATAATAGGAATATTGAAGGTCAAATGATTTCACAACGAACAGGTTGTCTGTCACGCAGCTTCTCCCTGTTGTCAGATGGCAAACGGCAGGCCTCGGGCAAAGAGTAAAGTCTATCAACAAGGGCAGGTTCCACGTGTGAATTCTGGGCTGGAACGATGAATTTGGACCAAGTCCACAAAACGTGCAAATGCAAATCCAAACCGGCAACAGACCACTCCCCAAGCAGATGAGATATACAACCATTGCTTTTATTTGTCGATTACAAAGCAAATCAGAGGCAACACAGCAAGAAACAAGATTCCTGCCCCTTGGAAGAAGGCAACGACTACCTAGCATCCTCTCCAAACAATCTCTGAATCCTCTTCAACACTGAATCCTTTGTAGGATCATACGGATGATCTTTCGATGGTATTTCCAATACAGTCGGGAATGCTTGATCGTGATCGTCAATCAGGGCTCGTATGTCATCTGCGACCTATATAGTAATATCAGTATGAGGCCCACAACCAAAAACGCAACACCAGAATGACGCAATGCAAGTGAAGAAGAGGCCGTACTTGCTGCGTAATCAAAATAATAGCAATATCCTTTCTCTTTATAAACTCGCCAAATGTTTCTTCGATTTTTGCGAGTGGTGTTTCTGTAATCACAACAATGTATTAGATGTTTGGATTTTCTCATGAAGACACTTGTGTATTTCAAGCTTACTGGCATCAACAACCAAGAAATTTGGTTTTTGTTTGGAGTCCATATGGCCAACGCCAGCGAGGAGGATTCCTGTTACAGAGTCCTATGTTTCGAATGATTGTGTGTTTGATGTGGGAGATAAGAGATGGGAGAAGGATGGCGCGTCTTACTTCGTCGCCGATTACGGCTATGAGGGATCTGTCCTTGTTTAGGATTGACATTCTTTGGGTAGGAGCTGTGTTTGGAGATTGGAACTGAAATTTGAACTCTGAGAACGATGATGACCATATGTCGAATACACTGACGTGACATGCAAGGCTTTACATATTGTGGACGCGATATAGAGATGCTAAAACACGAAGAAATGGTGATTACACGTCGCAAACCTCAACATTGCTGCCTACTACTAAATCGACGCCATCCTATACCGTAGCATGAGTTTGACGCGATATCACGATGCCAATGATGCCAAAAGGCCAGAAACCCAAACATTATCACTCCATGCTATACATCTATCTATTGGATTCGGGTTGAAAAAGGAGGCTCGTTACAAGTTTTTTTATCGTTTTATCCTTATTTTTCTTTCTTAATGTTGTCTCGTTCTTAATAATCCATTCTTATTCTTCCTTTCTGTTTATAGTACAAGTTTTTTTGATTGTGGTTTGTGCTGTGGCTTCATTTTCTTACCATTGTCGTTGCTGAGCAAACTGTTGCTGATGTTGTTGTTGTTGCTGGTGCTGTTGATGTTGTTGCTGCTGATGATGATGATGAGCCATACCACCAGCACGACGAAATGACGAATCCATATGACGACCAGCAGGTCCCAGCGCTTCACAAACTCGAGCCAATACGTGTTCTTGCACATTACCAGCACAGAATAGTTTGGAAGCACGGATGAATTCGCCACGGATTTCAAAGAGGGTTTCCTTGTCTGATGGACGGCCAATGTTTTGGGTTGTGTCGAATGGATCTTCGACTATAAAGAATATGTGTGAGTTTTAACAAAAAAGGACGATGCGGATGGGGAATATTGACGTTACCACAAAACCAGTATCGTTCCTTCATTCCAGCAGGTCTACTAGCATCTTGCATGTGTTGTTTATCTTTGGTCCATCCCTTGTCCTCTTTGGCGAGGATTCTGCCTGTTCGGACACTGGCTACGCCGTGTACGTAAGGGAATTCAGTCGAGTAGTACTAAATAAAATGGAATCCAGAGTGTCAGCACCCAAAAAACAGACCTTCTCATCACGTGATGGTACCTTGAAGAAGGCAACCAATAACTCTCCCACACTCTCATGATTACTACAAGTCCAATGACGAGTCAATTCCGATAAGTCAGAGTAATAGTAATCATCAGGGGTTGGTGATGCTGTTTGTTGCTGTTGCTGGGGTGGTCGAATAGTTTGCAGACATGGCAAGACTCCTCGAGTCTGTAGCAAGAAGATCAAGAGCAGAATGTAGCAATATGAGGAGAGAGTTCCGTAGTATGGTTCGTTGATGCTTCTTCTCTTTGCCCAATATTTGACTATATTGGTAATTGTAATGAGTTAGTCGATTTTTTGCATCTTGTTTTTTCCAAATATCTTACCGATCAATGCTAGTTGTTTGAATCGTGGATTAATTTCTGAATAGACTTGAATCATGCGATTGACATTTAAAGATTGTTGTGATTGTATGCAAAGAGTTGCTCGAATTCCCCTGAGAAACAAGAAAAAGATGAGATGCAAGATATACAAGATATCATCATAACCACTGATCAAATTCTTACGTGGCTTGATCTTTCAACCTCAAAGTTGGTACTCTGGCCTTGGTCAGTACCTTGACATCCTTCATATCAGCTAGAACAAAAAAAGAGTCCAAACATTAAAACTCACACTTTCTTCGAATAAACATGTTAACTGCCATACCTTGTTTGAAAGCAGTAGCCAGCTTCTCTATCAGCCCTTCTTCACCAGCGACTTCAGTATCTATTAAACACACATCCAAATCAGCTCCGATCATAGCCAGCCCATTACAAGTAGATCCACATCTGTGCAAAACAGCTTCAGGGACAACATGATAGACAAAGCTTTGTAGAGTTGCCATCAGAGTATCCCATCTCGCCATTTCTTCAGATTGAGGTTGGAGTTCATTGACCAATTGAAGTGCTTCGTCAGTCAGCATATCAAAGTATTCACGAGTCAAGGTTCGTTCGTTTACTCGAAGTTTGCCGGTTTGCATTTCACGGACCTGTTTCAGATTAAAAGGAAGTATGAGCTAATGTGCAAAAACTATCGACAATGGGGGCACGTACTATTGGTACAGTATCTTCAGAAATCAACTTTGATGGAGTGCCTCTATACGACCCTTCATCATCATCCACCAGCGCAGTAGGAAGCAAACTCGAAGCTTCATTCGGAGATCCAGGCTCATCAGTAGCTGACAAGGCCGGATGTTGTTGTGACGAAGCAGCAGACTGTTGAGATTGTTGTAGAGATGGCGTCCAGATACTAGAAGTGGAAGGTGTAGATATTCGCTGAAATGGCGGACTCGTATTGTTTGTAGAGTGAGTGTCGGATGGTGATGAGGCATGACCATTCACCATGCTTGAAGTTGTTGCAGACTCTGAAGCAGTGGTTGATGGTTGTTGCTGCTGCTGCTGCTGTTGTTGCTGTTGCTGTACCACAGATGCATATGATATGGCCCGATTCTCAAAACTTATGTTTGACATGGAGCCAGTCATTGAATCGGTGGAGGCTGGTGCGAACCCATTATAGTTTGGGTCTGGAATGAATTCAGGGATTTGTGACAAGTGTTGTGGTGTTCGAGTATTTCGGTACTATTGAGGTGTCAGAAAGTGTGAAGCGTTAGATCCAAGTTACATTGTGACAAACAAAGGCCGACGAAAAGAAGCATCAATAGACAAAACATGCCTGAGGTCTCATCATATTGGGTTTAGCAGTCCCATTAGGCGGACTACTCAAGAAGCCATTGGAAGCAGGTGGATTATAATGTTGTGGCTGTTGTTGGAGTGGTGCAGGAGCAGGTACATAGAAGCCTTGATTTGGCACATATTGAGCAAAGACCACAGTTCCATCAGGTTGACGAAACGGCATGACGGGAGCCATAGACATTGGCATTGGAGGCATGGGGATCTGCATACCAGATACTACAGAGTATGCATCAGCAGGTTTGACTCCCATGGCCGATGACATTGTCTGTTGTTGAGGCAAGACCATTGGTGTATACGAGTATTGTGGTTGCCAGTAGATGACTTCAGAAGGTGCAGGTGCATGAGCTTTTGTATCTGCATCACCAGGCATAACCTGTGTGAAAAATAATAAATTTGTAAGTGAGTGATCTGTATGTGTCAAAGTACAGACGTAAACTGAAAAAGCCGAGACATCAAATACCACAAACCGACGCAAATAAGCGATCGGTCAGGACACCGCAGTCTTACCATTTCCAAGTGAGGGCTATTGGCAGGATCTTGATCTTCACAAGCAGGAGCGACAACCGATTGTGGCATGTGCTCGTACATTGCATAGGAGGTGTATCCAGTATAACCATATTGTGGCATCATCACGTAATACGGATTTGGACCACGACGTACACCTCCACCTCTGCCACCTCTATAGCGACTATAACCACGCGTCGAGCCTCTGAATTGGTTGAATGAAGGATCTTGTAGTGGTTGTGGTGGTCCTGTTTGAGAGTGATGTGCATCTATTGCACCAGTAGCGGCAGGGACGTTCATATATGAGGTAAGCGAGTCCATATCAGGCGAGTTTGCATTCAGCGGTTGTGTTTCTTGGGAGGGAGGGACAGTGTTTTGCTGCATCTATTTTCAAACAAGAAGAATTCACGGTGAAGCTTGTGACAGCACCTCGCGTTAAAGCGTGCAAGTACTCTAAAGTAGTGAAAAACAAGTTAGCAAGAAGACTCAGCGTGCTTCGGACGTGTTTGCTTGTTCCGAAGTTCCAATGCCACTGATGTGTTTGCAAAAGATTAGTATGAAACTGTGCTCACTTTTGAATGATGACAGGCCGATAGTAATATGCGAGCTCTAAGCTACTCGGAACATGGGCACAGCAACAAGTTTTCCTATTCTCGCTTATCCCAAACACTTGCCTCAAACCGAGCTCCTCCTTCTCACGTGTAAGTTTCGTTTCTGAGTTTGAATGTTCGAGACTGGGACGATCCAACCAGCCAACCGAAAGGATATAAAGAAAGAAAACAATATCGGGCTAGGCCGCTATATCTGCAGGAACAACGCGTAAATACTTCTAAAGATACCCCAAAAACACGAAAACTGAGCTTTCTTGCGCTTTCAACCGCTACGGGTTCAAACGAGCAATTCAAATTTTAAATTTATTTGGTTGAAAATATTCCTATCGACTAGGCTGATCCACTTCTCGCAACTTTGCTGTTCAGCACTGGATGTTGACGTTCCCTTACTCTCGTCAAAAACAAGGAATCCAGTCAAACGAATTCTGTCGAAAAAAAGTCAATCAAGATGCTTCTATACAAGGACGTCATTTCAGGTATGCTGGAAATCACCATATCACGCTTCTGTATTCGTACGCTTCAGACTCGCCACCCTATGGAAGTTTTTTTTTTGCAAACGATGTATAGAATATTTTGATGAGAGGAGAGAATCAAATTGCATGGTTCTCATTTAAATTTGACTCTTTTGAAAAAGAAACTGAAATTTCGTACTATTTCTCTGGTCTTCGTTGTTAATCATGCCCTTGTTCTGACCAACATTTTCAATTTTTTTTCGTAGAGGATGAAATGTTTACTGACGCCGTCGCCGTCATTGAAAAGGATGACATTGTCTATGAAGTGGATTGTAAGGTAAATAACAGCTATATTGGAAATGGCATAGTGCCCTGGATCAAGCTTTATTCAAGCATACCAGCTGCCACCTGTCTTCCATCTCCATTTCACTCATATACATATCATACGTTAGATGATCTCAATCGGTGGCGATGACAACTTTGACATTGGTGCAAACGCATCAGCCGAAGGAGAAGATGCCGACGCCGGAGCCGACTCGAATGCAACCACCGTCAACAATGTAGTATTTGCAAACCGTCTTGCTACTACCTCATTCGACAAGAAATCATACACTGTCTACATGAAGGGATACATGAAGTCCTTGTCTGAAAAATTGTCAAAGACAAACCCAGAGCGAGTACCTGAATTCAAGAGTAAAGCTGCCACCTTCTTTAAAAAAGTATTAGAGAATTTCGGTGATTATGAATTCTATACTGGTGAAACTATGAACCCTGATGGTATGGTGGCCTTGTTGAACTACCGTGAGGATGGTGTGACTCCATACCTGACATTTTGGAAGGATGGGCTCAAGACTGAAAAACTTGTAAGTTTAGTTGAGGTTGAGATGTTTGCTTCTTGTTGGTGACAGAATGACTAACTCGCATATTTGACGTACTAGTGATTTTATTGCTCTTATATATAAAAAGTTAGCTTGGATGAAACAAAAAATTGAAGAGATTGTCAATCATATTATTACAATAGATGAGGTTCTGACGAGCTACATCTTGTCCAAGTCTTAGACGCTTAGATGCTTGAATCGACTTCCAGCGGTTTGTGCTTCGTGGGGCAAGCAGTTTCCGCTCAGAGATGATTGGCAGTTACGTGCACTTACATCTGATTTCTAACATTTGATTCAATGCTCTTCGAGACCCGAAAGCTGTAATAAAACTTGGTACAAGCATTTTGAATCGATTTTGTAACGAGAAAACTCTGGCAGAACACGCTTGTTCTTACTCCATACAGGGTGCAACGGATTCATCAAAGCGATATACAGGTTCTGGACGATCTTTCTCTCTCTGGCAGTCACTTTGCTCTACTGCGAATATATTTGACCATACTCGAATTTTTGAAACTCTTCTCCCGCAACATCATTCGCAACCAAGTTTCAAAAGAAAAGCTGGAGAGAGTGGTAGCACAGTCATCTGATACTAGTCTACTGTGATGGGCTACGCTGCTCATGGACCGCTCTTGCCTGTAAATCAAGGTATTGTTCAAAACCTCCCAACTGCCGCTTCTGGCGTTTTATTGTATTTGACTGACTTGTTGCATTGTATTAGAGACTTACATCACACTCTTGATGGATGAATCTATCTCCGGACTGGATTGCTGGGGTCTCCGTGGCCTTCCAGGTACGAGGACGTTGCGGTTTCAGTTTATCACATGTTTTAAACGAAAATCTCACATTTTGCTCTCATTCGTCCGCTCGCACTGCGTATACAGAGAACAAGCCTCAGGGCCTCATAATTACTGCTACGAGTGGCGGGGTATCTCTCTCTCTCGTACCTACAAGCGAGATACTCTCTACTCTTGGTATGTTTGCAATTACACCGATCCAACATCACATTTCTGTTGCATAACACTTCATTTCTTATACTCACACTACTCATACATCATACATCAGACAACCTATAAGACGAAAAGACCCCGTCGTCCACTCGCCACACAGTGGTCAACTCATTAAAGAATCATGACAGAGCAAAGTTTGTCGCATTCCGCAAGGGTTGCAGGTGATGCATGTGATTTACGCGTAGATATGCATCGCTCACATGTAGATCCATATGTCTAGGTGTTGGATATATCATATCCACAACTCCTGACACGTCTCCTTGTTACTTCAATAAGCCTCGTTTGGATTCCACCACACGCAACTATCTCCATTTTTGACGAACTTATCAAGACCATATCACAATTCATCACACGTTTTCCATACGTGGTTTAAAGTGGCCATAGTTGGGTTCCAAGCCCCGGTTGAGAACCTACAGAGGAGACTACATTCGAAGCGTTCAGCAGGAAAACAACACACACAATTGTGTTATAATGCAAACGTAATCATCTTTTCTATGTAATTAAGGTTGCAAAAAACAATGGGCTGATTTCTATACAAAACTACTTCTTTTGGTTTCGTCCCTTCCACTTGGGAGCAGCAAGACCTCATTCTTCATCCATAGGATCATCAATCTCTTCCTCATCATCCTCCTCAGTCTCATCATCACCATCCTCTTCAATACCATTTGATTCAACAGCAGCGGCCACTTTAATATCCTCCATAACCTGTTCATAATCCTCTTCTTCCTCCTCCTCAGATCCAGCATCGTCATCCCGTCCCTGCCATTCATTATATACATTCGACACAAACTTTTTGGACTTGGGTAGATGGAAGGGATCAAAGGGGAAGAAGGTATCCAGGACATCAGTAGGTATGCTGCTGAGTGCTTTAGTGCTTGGTGAATTGGCTGGTGAGGCGGTTGCGAGAAGCCGTGGGATGGGACTATTATAATTATCGGGTTTGACATTATTATTACCATAATTAGATGCGGTGGGTGTTGTTGGAGTCATTGGTGGAGAGTTTGATTGGACTCGTCGATTCGATTCCAAGATGGTGAAGAGGAAGATTATTTCCAGTTCGGAAGTCAGAGTGGCGAATTCTTTTACGATGGGTGATGCGCAAAACTAATTGAGGGTAAGCGATGAGTCCGATCGGAAACGTAAAAACAGTCCTTCAATCCATCCAGCCACGGGTGCCCCATGAAGCATCCAACTATCCCGTCATGTCACTTCCACAACCAGATATATATATATATATATATACCACAAGAAAGCTCACCTTTAATGGATTCAATCTTGTCGATCTCAAAACCTGATCAAATCCAGCCAACTGTGGTGGTAGCCGATGTCGATAAATTACACCTCCTCGATCAGTCTCATCGTCATCGTTGCCACTAGTACTCTCCATAAATTCCTTCCACCTAAAACAAAAAGTATACATGATGCTTTGACAAACACCATAAAATACCAGATGTTTGCGTGATCCTTCAGCCCCGACTACGGTGGGAGTCGATGCCAAATCTACGGCATGAGAATATTTACAAGCCCAGTCGTTCAATAAAGATATACAGGTTTTCACTAGACTAATATTTAAATATTGGGCTCTAGCTAAAAAGGAGCCTATATATGCGGCAGCAGAGACTCGAGTAGCTGGAGATGCTGATTCGTCGAATGCTCGTTGGACCAAGCATGCTAAGAAGGTTTCTGGTAGTGACGAGTCCAGGGAGCAAGCGTAAAACCATATAAATTGAGTATATCGGGAACGATACGTTGGCAGTAGTAGTCGTTCGAAAATGTCCAGCATTGATGGGAAGAGTTGGGCTAATGGTGACTTTTTATTATTTACAGATGGTGATGCTGAAGATGCTGAGAAGGAGGGGGTGAATGGTGAAGAAGGTGATGTCGATGATGATACAGTTGAGCTAATATAAGCGAATAATAAATGTAGGACGGCATCTAGTTTTTGTATCGTGTCTCGTATGCTAATGACTAATGGTTGAGCGGTTTCATCATCATCGTCGTCGTCATCACTGGCTTCATCATTATCGTCCTGTTCTACAGCCATAGCATTATTATCCTTTGTGGAAATCGAGAGACTGTTACTAGTACGACCAACATGCGTTCCGTCTGAGGGCATGGGAGGACCAAATAATTCCTCAAATACAGCATCACTAAACGCATTTTCCTCTTCCAGTTCGTCAATCCCTGTTTGGATTTCTACATCGATTTGAATGGCTCGATCTACAGCTAGAGCCAATACATGTTCCCGCAGCATCGGAGCATATGCCACCATTTTCAGTATCCCGTCCAAGTAATGATAGTGGTCTGTCACACTCATAGCTTTATGGGGAAACGAGGACGATACAATGGGAGCCAAGAATGATGGACCTGTTGGAATCAATGCTAGCACATGTCTAAGACAACTATGTGCACGGGATGCTGGAATATGGCCCTTTCTGAAGGCCCTTATGAGTCGTTCACATACAGGAGTTATATAATGAGCGTGTGCTGATACTAGGTTTTCGAGCAGAGTCGTGTATGCAGATGACAGGGCCACATCGGCAGTTGATAGACATATAGAGTCTAGTTCCAGGACGGCGGTGACGAGTGCCGAATAGGAGGGAGTCAGGGAGGATACGATTTGAGTTAGAGCTCGCAACCAGGCCACGAGTTGGTCAGATCGTGGAGTTGGATTTGGTGGTCGTGCTGACAAGAATTCAACCAAACAGACATAAGCTGCTGGGTTTCCCTAACGGCAAAGGCAAAAAGTGGTTGATATATTGAACTATACGAGATTCACCAAGCTAAGAGCTTGTTTCGCTCAAAGTTGGAGTTGTAAACGACTCGCAAAACTTTTTTTTTCTTTGAACAAATCATTGCAAATGTTGACCAACAGACAGATCCCAAATCCAAAAAGGAGAGACAGATCAAGCTGGTAAAATACCTGTAGCTTATCCTTGACGGCCTTGTTCAAGTAAGGGACCATCTCTCCGATCGTAGTCAGTAGCTTTACGTCCAGTTTTTCAGTGTCCTTGACGCTAGCATCAAATCGAACCCGTTTGGGAGACTTGGCCGTGGCTGCCTGCTGCTGATTCGGCGGATCCTCTGCTTGCAGAGATGTAGCAGTAGCCATCTTCGATGGGCCTGTTGTATATGCAACAAGATGGGGTTTTGAGAAAAGCATGACAATTATAGAAGCAGTACTGGCTAATATTTAGCGAAGGAAGGTATCAAGGTAATGTAATCAAGGTATTCAAATGGCCGGTAATGTTAATCCAGAATTGCTTTACACGTCTGATCTATCGCATTTTCGTGTTTTCGTGTTTTCATCTTTTGCAGAGGCTCGCTCTTACAATGAACGTGTCCCTTAGTGTGGCTCTAAACAACCTGAGTCTTTTTTTACTTCATTTAGATCCTATTCGCGGTGCAAAGTCGTTTGGAAATATGGGCTGGTCTGGGCTTCTAATATTTGGTAAACGTAATGCTAACCCCGTGTTTGAAACAAAGATCTGAACGTGCATGATGAACGTTTTCGTGATTGGAATCGTGGAGTACTCTTACCTTTACTCGTCGGAATGTGTTTCAGTGGGAAGTCAAGTAGTCCAGTCACGACCGAGAATCGAGTTGAGATTTCGAGATTAAGATTCCAACAAGGTTATTACCCTGTTGACATACGCATTTCATTTAAGATGGATGACTATTGTACAAGCTGATCGTATGCAGCAGTGGGGGCAAAATCCAGGGTGTTATCAAGTGCAGTGCCACTTTCGTTCCAACCAACAAAAGACCCACAAGACAACTGCATTCCGTTGTAGAAGTCATCGATATTCAATCTTTTTGCCCGGAAGACACAAGAATCGATGTCTTGTTAATATATTTGAACATTGGTGCATGACAGTTAAGAAACGTTTTTGTTCTCGAAAAAGTATATTTGATTCCTTTTTGTTACAATGTTAGTACATTCCAGTCTTTATACACCAGTCTCTCTCAGTGAATGGTGTACACAAAAGGCCAATCAGATTCTTTATCTATTTAGATTTGTGGTCTGGGTAGACAGACGTCTTGATGAGTTTGTACTTTCAGTCTGTGAATATGTTGGAAACCCCACAAATCAAAGTCACGTTCCATTAATTCCAATACACGTGGAGCATACTCAAAGAGTACTGATGGTACAGATGACAGTGCTGCTTTAAGTCAATGTCTGACGACGATAGGAAACAGCTGCACTCTCCTTCTCATATTGTACTAAATTTTTTACAGATGGCACAGTGCAGCGAGCACAGGCAGCAGAGCTCGAAGCAGTATCAAAGTGCGAGTTCTACTGGGGTTTGGCCTCCTTCAACCTCAGCTTGTAGTCGTAATGAGGTAAAGATGCGAGTAGCTGTAGCGACGGCGAAGAGGTCGAGAAAACCATCGATTCAGTTAATTGTGCGGCATATACTGCATTAACAAAACAGTACCAGAGCACATAGAGCGGCTGTTCAGGCACGGTGGCTTTATGTCACGTCGACAAGCCTGAGTCACAGTTTGATGTTTGATGTTCTTTGCACGTTGAGCTCTCATTTGATCACCGGATCTGTATTTGATATCAAGTACAAGCGTATCTATTGCGAATGTAAATGAGCTTAGTATATTGATGTTGGAGCTGCAGTAGCTGAAACCAAATTGTTATGAAACCAAATGAACTTCAAATTTGTCATAACCGTAGCAAATCGCGTCGCACCTGACTCAATCATATGACGTCGATCTCGACCATCTCGAGGAATTCGATACTTCCTTAGCCTTGAAGCACCTTAGCTGTTCCTACACATCGAGACACCACAACTTCCAACAAATCACAAGGATTCGCTCTGTTTTGGTTGGGAACTGGCTGGTGTCTGGTTAATCTGGTTGCTTGTAAGTGAAATTATAAATACTCTTGTTTCCTGTTTCTTCAAGCAGTATACCTTCGAACTGCAGACTTTGACACCATATTCTCCGTTCTTTCCTAGCTGGGTGAGAGACGCCTTCAAACTAGACATACTATATAACCAATAAGCAGCATCAGGCTCAATCCATCATGGTAAATTATCAGAACTAGCATCATCGCATCAGAAGGGGCATGGCACTCACACTTTGACACAAATCACATCCAGTCATCGTCGTTCGCTTCTTTGAAACAACCTCAAAAGGACAAGGTCAGGCAATTCGTAGGTGTTACTGGTGCAGAGTAAGTAGTATTGATATCACAATCTTTGCCTCAACTTTTGAACTATGTGGTGCTTTACTTCGACCACAACCTATGATTTCCAAACACGAGCACAACATGATGATAGTTCGCATCAAAGCTGCCCGTTTTAGAATCAACGCCCTTACGCATAAATCAACCTCTTAGTGAGAGAGCAGCACTACGCTTCCTCAAAGACTCTGGTTGGAATCTCGAATTGTCAGTTTCTGCCTATTTTGATGATCCAAATGCCATGCGAGCCGATTCAGGCTATGGGTCTAACGGTCCCAGAACTGCCGCTGTTCCACAAGTCGACATGAACAAGATAAATGCGCTTTATGACACGTATAGAGATAAAGAAGAAGATATGATTACTATTGACGGGACTTTACAGTTCTGTGGTATGTATACACCAAGTCCCGGAATATCCTCGTTTTTAATCATCAAAATCCACTCACACAATTCAATGATAACAGAGGATTTGGGAGTCGCACCTGAAGATGTTGTGATGCTAGTGTTTGCATTTCATATGAAGTCGGAATTCATGGGACAGTGGAAGCGGAAGGGATGGCAAGAAGGATGTACAAAGTTGAGGTGAGTTGTTATTACATTATATGAGCTGACCTGAGCTTTTTTACTGTGGGAAACACAGCTCACCAGCAGCCTTGTCGCTCAGGGCGGATACTATTGAGAAACTACAGGCCCAAGTGCCTGTTCTGCGGCAACAACTCAATGAACCAGCTCGATTTAAAGAGATTTATCAATTCACATTTGGATGGGCTCGAACAAGTGCTGCAGCCAGAAGTTTAGGTAATCGTCATTTGTTGATACCGCGTTTTTGCCATCATTCTAAAGAATGACGGTTCATTGTTGTAGAATTGGATACCGCAATATCGTTTTGGAAGTTATTGCTTAGTGACAAGTTCAAGCACCTGGATTTGTGGGAACAGTTTCTCAGGGTGAGCTCTTCGCCAGGAGTTGTACGCTCAAAGCAATGCTCATTTAAGATCGATGTTAGGAAAATCATGGCAAATCGATTAGCAAAGATACCTGGAATTTGGTGTGTAGTGTCTTCTATGTCGCCCTTTTTGGCTGGATTCTGACACTTGCTATCCCCTAGTTCTTGGACTTTATCAGACAATCAGGAGATGATTTCAAGTCGTATGACAGTGATGGTAAAATTGACCGTCACACGCTCTCTGCAACCATTCCCTTATTCACTCCATCATCTTGTCCGATAGGTGCATGGCCAGTACTAATTGATCAATTTGTCATGTTTGCTCGTCAGCAGTTAACGACAGAAACCCCGTAGTTGACCCTCCCCCTTCTAATACCACTTTGCACTGTTTTCTCACATTCTCACCCACATAAAATTCTTGTCTTTGCAAAAACAGTTCTAGGAGTTACTTTATATGCTTTTTTATATGTCGAAAGAAAAAAGTGAAGCAGTTTTTGTTTGTGGCTTTACAAAAGAATCTCATCCTAACAACTCCAAACTACTACCACTACTTTCTTTCGTCATAATCTCCCTTGCCTATCTTCCTTTTTTTGAGTTGAATATCATAAAGCGAGAATTGGGTCCAAGAAGATTGTTTATCTCAGCTGGGAAAAGAGTGGTGGTGTGTTGGTATAGGGCACAAAAAAGTGACTTTACTTGATATGCATACCTTTTGGAAACCAATGTCGTGAGAGTATTCTCTAAAGCATTGTCTGCACATGTTGAGACCGTATTTTCGGATGAGACCAGCACGGTGAGTGCATACACGGCTATTTGAGAAGTTGCGGTTGGTTGTTAAATGTCAAGATTCAAATGTTGCGATTCTTGCTCTCATCCGACATCCATCCAGTATAACGATACGGCATTCAATATAGACAATGGTAATATGATAATAGCTACGTCTCTTTCTCTCTTCTGAGCTCTGCTAGCTATACTCAAACGACCAACCAAAAAAGTCTGGGTTTTACTGGACAAGCTATACATACCACTCTCGCGAGCCTTTTCCGTATCGTCGTGGATGAGAGAACCAGACTGCGTCGTGACTCATTTTCGCTGTTACTTCTTGTTGTTGATTATAGCAAAAAGTTTCTGTTTGCGAAAGTGGGAAGAGTGGAAGCTCCTAATCCGACTCGATCTGAAACAAACTGGACCAAGCGTAGGGAGGAGGAATTCATACTTGACTTGTATGTAAATATATGATCTATTTGTACGCGAAAAACACGTTCTTTCTGCCGACTTTGCCAATTGCTGTTGACCTGCGAAAACAGACAACCCCAAACATCGCATCGCTAACGACTGAAAAATGGTATGTACCAAAGAAAACGGAGATTATATTCGCTTGCAGCACCATGTCCCCGTCCATGCTGCTTATTCTTTCTCGTTGGGTTTACTATAAACATTGGATGGATGCCTGAGATGCGACAACTCGCTTCACATATTGCAACATTTGACACTTGATAGGCGAGAAACCAATTCTAACATATGAATGTACGAATACTAGGCCAAACGAACGAAAAAAGTCGGTGTCGTCGGTAAATACGGTACCCGTTATGGTGCTTCGTTAAGGAAGCAAGTAAAGAAGATGGAAATCACTCAACATGCTAAATATGCGTGTACTTTCTGTGGAAAGGTGTGTTCTGGTCATATACAGGAGATGCACTATCCTCCTCCCTGGAACCCAGTACTCACACGTAACTATAACATAGGACTCTGTAAAGAGAAGTGCTGTTGGTATCTGGGGATGCAAAGCTTGTGGAAAGGTCATGGCTGGTGGTGCTTGGACTGTTACTACCACTGCCGCTTCGACCGTTAGGAGTACCATTCGTCGTCGTAAGTGTTGGGATTGGCACTTGAAGGCATAACTGAGTATTGATGAGATTTTTTTGTTTAGTACGAGAGTTGACGGAAGCATAGACGCTCAATTTGTACTGCTATCGCCTCCTGTATAAAATATAGCCATCACACGCACACGACAAACGTGATGGAATTTTGGAAATGTTTTGTTGGGTTTTGGTGGTTTGCAGATAGAATCTACGTCAGGAAGGCTAGGAATACGGGAATATGACCTGTCAGAGATTCATAGGTCATATGAGAGACAATCAGCAAACAAGACAAAGAAACAACAGGTTTGTCAATCTCAGTGGACGACGCCTATCAAAAGCTAGAGAGTAACTTCAGGCTACTCTAACTGCAACAGCAAGAATCCGTCAGCATGCAAAAAAGACGTAGATAAAGGTCTTCAATGATGTCGTTTTAACATTTTGAAGGCCTTATTGTCACTTTCATACTCAAAAAGGCCCTCCTTTCAAAGGGACAGTACAGTATATCTCTCCGTATGGAAACACAAGCAGGAAACATGTGCAAAAAGAACGACCTGCCATTTCAGTTCATGACGTCTTTTAAATGTTTGAGGGTATTTACACTGCTAACTCAAAGCTACAGAGTCCAATTACATAACTCTAAAACAAGTCCAGTTCCACTCTATATCCTCTCCCTCGCATCAGACCTATCCAGCACGACTCTCATCCGACTCTTCCAATCATCATTCCCGACATACGCACCAGCAACCCTTCTAATCCCCACCCCAAACGAGCTCCTCCCATGCAGCACCCTCCAATTATCCATAGCAACAACCCTCCCAGGCACCAATTGCATCCACAACTCATTCTCAGGCGCACGCACAAGACGAATCCACTCTCTCAGCGCGTCATAATACAGTTCGATTTCCTTGGGTGAGAGATTCGACAGAATGCTACGATCATCGTTATTGTATCGAACTTGGTAAAGTTCGTGTGTTGTGGGGTCGAGGTTTAGGAGGGGGAATGTGGAAGGGTTTGGTTGGATTATTTGGGTCTTGTCGCCTGCTGCGTGTGCTGGGGTGCGGATTGTGGAGAGCGCGTGGTGTGCCCATGGGTTTTGGGAGGATAGCTGGGAGGCGATGTGAAAGCCGTCTACGTAGAGGGATTTGCCGCCTTGGCAGGTGTTGGAGAGCATGTGGAAGACCTGGAGTCTGGATGGTGTAGAGGAGTGATGTATTAGCAATTCGAGTTGAATTGAAGTTTGTACTAGATGCAATTTTTTGAGCTTACCCAGCAGGATCGGTAAAATAGGTATTATCGGTATGAGCTGGCAACGCCATAGTAGTGTATGCCGTATCTCCATGTTCTAAATCAGCTGTAAAGTCCCAGAAATCACCATAGTGTGTGCGTCGGATGAATGATATTCGTTGAATTAGCTTTTCAGTGTCCTGAGTTTCAGAAAAGTGTGAACACGCGAGCAAAAAAGCATCAATGATTATCAGCTGATACCTCTGGAGTAGGAGGGCACCCATCAACAATCCCAAACCCATACACGTCTAGACAATATAACCACTGTGCAAGCCCTTCATCACCTCCCATAACATCCTCGTAGTTAGTTACAGGTAAATTCTCAATCAATTCAGCACCCCATAACTTCTTCTGTCGTGTCACTCTCGGTGCAGCAAGCTTGGGAGCATACGAATGTTCACGCAGCCATGATAATGGAAACGTAGATGTGTGGTTGTCGTGATTCCAATTAATCACTACATGTTCAGTGTTTTCGACGTGGATCGTCGATGGGCGTATGTCTCGTGGGATTGAGAATGTGTCTACGAGACGCTGTTTTGTGACTGTGTGGTAGCATTTCGGGCATCGGCAATGGTCGCGGAGCCATATCATGTTGCTGTTTGTGAGAGAAAGCGGTGTAAGTGAGTTACTCCTGGGTTGCAAAAGTTGTGTGGAAACAGAGACGAGAGTTAGCTTACAAGGCAGTTTCCAAACCATCTGTAAAGCGAACTACCAGTCTACCATTCTCTATCCTAGCTGATGGGCCAATCACAGTGTTGTCGGTTTGAAGCTAACAAAGAAACACAATGAGCTCCAACATTTGCGATATTTTTTGCTCTCCACTTTTTTAAAAGCAAACACTCAAATCCTTACATTTGGCTGTATAGCAGCGTTACCACCAAACCGTATTGGACTCCTTGTACGTTTAGCGGGAATTGAAATTTGATGTGGGTTGCCGTAAGTAATCGTGTTGGATACCGGCTGAGTTTGAGAGTGCTGGAGACGTGTTATGGGCTTTATAGTTCGTGAAATATGACTACTTGAATAGGAAATGTCAGCGATCGCCTTCAAAATTGTCTGATTTGTGCTTTTGAAAGCTTTTTGACAAATTAAGTTTTTGGATTGCAATCAAAGTTTGGTACATAAGGGAAAGGAGGCTTACATTGATGGAGTGGCAAGACCGCTCTCGATGTGTACAGCCTTGCTAGCAATCTGTCTAGCTCTAGGAAACATCTTTGCTTGTCAAAGTGTTCAGTGTCTGTGATTCGTGACGTCAAATGGCAAAACGGCAAATTGGGGAGAAGAGAGAAGGGAGATGGGAATTTGGATTCTTGACGCGTCATGAATGTCGAGAAAGCATGCTATGGTACTTGCATGATCGCTCATGGCATTTCTCGAATTCCTCTCGTCTTTTTTTCGCATTGGCCGCAGCTAGAAAACAGTGATATAGGACGCGGCCAAATTGCTCAATCCCTATCATAGAATCAATAAATTCAATACACTCTGACCATATTAGATCTATATACTTCGATCACCTCTCCTCAGCATGCTGGATTTTTCAATTGCAACGCAACTGCTCAAAAAACCATCAATCACCTAACGTTTTATAGACCAAAGGTCGATGGAAAATTCTCCGGACATAACACTTGCAAGATCAAGTTCCGATCACTTAAATTTTGTTCAACCTCTAAATCTTCAAACGCGTCCTACCATTTATCAATTCTTTTGGAGCAAGGAACAGAAGATAAAACAATGGGCCACTCAGATCCTATCATCGATACGCTGCAAAAGCAACTCCCATTCTTGCCTGGGACTACATTTGATTTCGAAAAGAGCGTAAGTTCTCCTGCATCTGAACGGTGTTGGTGCTTTTTTCGCATTTGCAATATCGTAGTAGCTCACATCTATAAATTTTATAGCAATTGCCTCAACATCGAAAATCTCACATGTTTGATTATTGCAATGGAGTTCCTGTATTTTCTGCTGAGAAGCCTGGCATAGGCAAGTGTTGAAACCACATCAAGGAATTGCTGCTACTGGTTGAGATGTCACCTGATGCCCAATATCCAGCTCATTCAAACGATATTGTTTAGGTGCCAAGACCTTACCTGGTCAAGATCAATCTCGAGTTCACACATCGTTGGAAGTTTACCCTCAAGGGAGTGCAGATGCTGAAGGTCTACCAGCTTGGGTTGTCTTTGATAGAAAGGTGAGCATGTTGAATGTCGCCCATGACAGTTTTTTGGTTGCCGTGAAATGCAGTCGTTTAACACTTTGTCCGTTCAAGGTGTTGAGATTCTATGCCTACTTCCAAGAAGCCGTCCACGAAAGACGTGAAGAACAATACAGAATTAGAAAGTGAGAAAAAGAACTATCTGTTGGTTTCGTCAATGAGATGCCACGTTGCTCACGATTAATATTTAAATTCAGAGTCAACATTTACTTTTACTTGGAAGATGACTCTATTCACGTCAGTGAACCAAAGACAGCTAACAGTGGTATTCCTCAGGGTGTGTTCCATAATAGAAGCATAGCGTGTCGTCTTTGGCCCAACACTTACTTTTGTTTCTTTACTAGGAACTTTGATTCGAAGACACCGAATCCCATTACCTGGTTCAGCAATTGCACAACACTACACAGTCAAGGATTTGAATGTTGACCAAGAAGTCACTTTCTACGCCCGTACATTCAAGATTGTTGGGTGTGATCAATTCACTAGGGTATGCGCAAAAAAACACCGAGATTCATCTTGATAGTTTGTTTCCAAACCGCGATCTTTAACTGAATCTTGTCATACAGGACTTTTTGAATGGATTAAACATGGATCCTCCAAACGGCTCAACCTTCCCAGCCGACCCATACACCTTACAAAGAGCCGAACTCATGTCCAGAATGAAGGCTACCCGTCCTCGCCCACCCCAAACTTCTCTCCGTCAATTCCTGGAAAACGATAGACGAGTCCTCCGCTTCTACTGTGTCTGGGACGACACAACCTCAGCATTCGGTGATTTGCGTAAAATGCAGCTCCACTACTTCTTGTCTGACGACACGATCGAAATCCGTGAACAAGTCCCCGCAAATGCTGGACGCTCAACCATGCCCGGCGCCTCATCACTATTCTTACGAAGATGTCGATTACCTAAACGCCCAGCACGTATCAATGTCGCGTCACCAGGAGGTGCTCTCAAACCCGACGAATGCTATACAGACCGTGACTTGGTTATCGGCGCCGTCCTCCACTTGTATGGCCGTCCCTTTGTTATCTGCGACTGTGATGAATTCACACGTGAACACTACCGCCAGACATTCGGAATCGACCATTTCGATCCCGTACGAATGGAATTGTATTCAAACGCTGATGAATTTGATCTTGAAGATGATGATTCCTGGAATGCTACATCTCCGGCTGCTGAAAGGCCGGAAAATGATACTGCTGGTGCTTCACTCCCTGGCATTTCTGCTGGCCCGGCCGCTAGACGTGATCCTCGTCGCTCCGCACTCTATGATGGTATCGTGTTGCGGTACTCTGCTAAGTTGGATTCGGCTAGACAGGTTGATCGGGAACGTAAATTCGTCATGTCGCTACGATTGGCTGACGAGACTGTTACGATCTTTGAGCCACATCAGAGGAATTCTGGAGTTATTGGTGGTAAATTTATGGAACGTGGACATGTTAAGAAGCCAAATGGTGAAGGGTACTATATAGCTGCTGACTTTTATCTTGGTAAGCAATAGGACTCCAGTGGTCATTGCCTTTTTTCCAGTCACCTCACCCGTTGCAATCCTGCAGCAGTCAAATCTCTAACAATGCTTCTTATGTTTTTTTAGGTGCTGCTTTAACCTGCCACGGTCACCGCTTCATAATCACTGGTGCTGACGCTTTCGCATCAAAGTTCATGTCGGAGCATCAAGACGTCTTCCCAAACCACAAGTCTGAATAGATAAACAAGAATTTGATTGTTATTTGTATACAGCATTCACAGACAGCGACTAGTGTATTTGAAGAAAATAAAATGTACAAACGCAAATCATAAAAGAAGAATAGAAGAACCTCTTTGAAACAAAAAAATGTTTTCCCAAGTCCCGCAACTTCTCCCAGCGGCATTATAGTCACCAGTATTCACATTCATCAAAATTTTTATCAAAAAAGCTATTAAGATGTCCTGCGACGTACCATTGGTTGGCTATGAGCTTGCATTAGCAATAAATGAAACCTTCCGCTCAACTTTCGGCATCGACTCCCACCTGCCAATAGGTGCAGCTGGTTGGCACGTTTGAGCCAATGGTTGTCATCCAGTGGAGGTAAAAAAAAGTTAGACGACAGGATCGAGAAATAGGAAGATTCGTATCTTATGCACATTAACACATGCTTTAAATTAGCTGATGAGCCATGATTCCAGATTCCTGCTGAAAGGTAAACAAGCAGCCTGATTAATGAAGTACTTGACTGATTGCCCCCATGTCTGCCACAACGTCCATGAAGAGTACAGATAGCAAGCACCTGCAACTTTTGCTCAATTTTCTGCTGGATGCGTTGCCATTGTTTGTCAAGCAAACACCGAATCAAGTCAGCATGGCAATTTCCAAGTGAGATATTTAACTGCGAGATAACGTCTTCTTTTTTGCTTAACGTCCAATGCCATGATCAGGGACATCGGCAAATCCATAAACACCCAGTAAAAAACAAACATCTTGCCTCAGGGAGGAAATGTGTCAAAACACAGTTGCAATCAATTGAGATATACTTACTTCATCCTGCAGAAAAAGACTCGAAAGTCTGGGTATTATTAAAATAGAATGTACAAACACCAAAATGAAAAGATACAGGATACTCCTTTGTGAATCTCTAAAGCTGCTCCTCAAGGCCCACTACTTCTACATTATCAGGCCGCAATAGCCATCCTATCACCACGACGCCGATTCTTGTGTTTTTCGAGCAAAGAGATTGAATAGCGATGTGGTCTATAATACGAGTAGCGTGAGTTTTGATGTGTGTCGGATAAAGACGGAAAATAGACCTCACTTGATGACAATCAGAATTTTCTAAAACCCGTTCAGCATCCGGTAGCCATGCTTTTATAGCTGTGATTCGGGAGTCTAGCGCCAAAAAACCCGAAAGCATGAAAAATAGGAAAGTGTAATGAAAATTGTCAATACGTACCATTGCTTGGATGTGTACTCAGATATGCAATAGACAAACCACCTCCGCCAACTTTCTTCATCCTCTCCCAAATGCCTATAGCTGCTGCAGGATCATAACAGGCCTGGGCCATTAGCTGTAATCCTATTCCCGCAAACGAAAAATGTTTGTTCCCGATCAGCCAATATCTAGAACCCAACAACACATTCACAAACCTATAAAATCAGCCTCCGATTCTATGTTCCTGCTAAAGGGTAACAGGAAGCCGACTTGAAGCAGGGCTTGACTGAATGTTCCCATCCCAAAGACTATGTCCATAATAAGTACAAATGGAAGGGTGAACGTAACGGTCCAGCTTAGTTTCTCTGCTGAATGTCTTGCGACTATAGTAAAAAAGTCAAAAAAAGTGAGTTAGAAGAGTGCCATGATGTAGAGCTGCGCGATTGCATTACCTTGATGACCGATTTCATGACCTAGCACCGCCGCCAAACCCGGCTCGTCCTGGCAAACAGGCATGATACCAGTAAACACGAATATTTTGCCACCTGCGTCGTCCGTCCATAACGAGTTAGTACAAAGGCTTCACGAGCTCGCGGAAGCTCCCTCGCTACCTCGATGTAGATAAGCGTAAGAATACTACTTGCCTGGAAGAACCATTGCATTCACCATCGGCGCATCCACAACGTGGACTTCCCATTTAAAAGCATCTTTCAGGCCAGTGACTTCAATCAGCTTAGCAGACACCTTGTTGGCCATTCTAGTATAAGGGTGCCACGACGGAAGCAGATGGTCACCGAATTGAGCCATGAGGTTGGCATATTCACCACGACTGATTCGCTCTTCCACGGCAGCTGATATGTTCATGAATCTCCTGCGTTTAGATACGGGAACTTCTTCCAAGTGACTGTTGCCAAAGAAACGTGTCAGGTCGTTTGAGCGTGCATGTAAACCAAGCTTTGAGCTCTGTGACGAACCTCCAATAGTAGCCACCTAATAGTATGATGAGACCTACTCCATAGAGGGGAAGTCTCGGATTTTGCCAAAAACGAGGTCCTGCGTTTGTTGATGTCAGGAGAATATGTTAGATTTCTTCAGTAGGAGTACATATCAAATGCAGCTTAGTGTATATTTACCAGTAGTTTCAAAATATTCGTATCTTCCACGCGTATTGAACGGTTCGACGTCTTGAACTTTGATAGCGATAGGCTGCACTTTTCGTTTTGCAGCAAAGCTTCGATGACGCACAGTGGAGGGGAGCTGACTTATAGATTTCCATGCATTGTTACGATATCGGATGCATCTGGATCCTGAAATGAATGTTCGTCCCAGCATTCTTGGCTTTTGACAAAGGGGTGGAATTCCACAGTTCACAAAGCAGACGCAAGAACGTGCTTCAACTGATTTGATTCATAGTACGATCACAGAGCTACAGCACAAGCAAATGGAATTTCACACAAAACGATCTTCAACCCAATTCATTTATGGTAAGATCACAAAAGTTACGGCACGAGCAAATACAAAGGTCACATAACTTCTCTTCAAAGCTTCTCGTCCTTGAACTTTAGAGAGATGCCATTTACACAATGCCTAGAAACCAAACAACAACAATTAAATAAAGAATTAAATCATAATTTCGCTTAGCTCATTTAACACGTACCGCTCATCTGTCGGCGTTGGAAACCCTTCCCCTAGTACGTATGAATTAGCACTGTGGTAGTACTGGGCATTTAACAATTCGTACCTTTGAAAACATGGCCTAGATGGCCACCGCATGCGGTACATGTTATTTCAATGCGTTGCATTCCGCCACTGTTGTCTTCGTGCCTTGTAACAGTTCCAGGAATGGCATCAAAGAAAGCAGGCTATGCAAAAGATCACAGTGTTAGTTCCTGCTGTTGCAGCAGAAAAGCAAAGTATCAACGATCAAACTATTGGACGACGTACCCAACCACAACCGGAATCGAATTTCGTAGTTGATTTGTAAAGAGGAGTACCACATCCAGCACAGCCTAATACGAAGGCGATTGGTTACAAGTCTGTGAGGTTAATAGAAGCGAAATTCGTACCGTAGATTCCGTCCGCCTTCGACTTCTCAATAGGACTACTTCCGGGTGCCTCGGTTCCCTTCATTCGTAGCACTCTAGGTAGGGATTATGTGTTGGTACAGCTACAATCACTCTCGATCCACTGGCGATCGACCAGATGTAGCTCAAATGCACGAGGAATCAAATCATTGCAATCCAAAAAAACGTGTGACCTGTCAAAATATATACCTGAACTGTTCTTTACTAAGTACGGCCCTCCATTCCGAGTCCGACTTTTGGACGGTTTGAGCAGACGACATCGTTGCAGTCGATTTTGTTCTGGTAAAGCTTAAGGTTGATAATGAAGATGCAGAAGTGAAAACTTGTCTTTTATAGGCTGGCAGCGACCGCAACAGTATTCGGAACGCCAGAGCTAATGAGCTACTTTTAACCGTGTGAAATCACAAATCACCAGTTACCAGCAAAACAAAGCACACTACGTGAGGGAGTTTTTTGTGGGTAGAGAGCCCGACTCAACGTGTTAGTTCGCGTATATGGCACATATCAATGGATTCGGGGTTTTCTTAAAGCTCCAATTTCTTTGTATCGTGATATAAAAGTGTTGCTCGTTGGACTCTCTCCCACTTGAGATTCATTTGTTTGTTTGAAAGCTCATACAAAACAAGCGAATATAGTCGTAGAAGCTCATTTATAGGTCACTCTACTGGTATCCTCTGTCTAAAACGGCCCGTCATTGGGGCAAGCTTTTTGCTCAAAGACTGGACAAACTCATTTAAAGATGAGTGAACCTCCCGACATTAGAACTGGAGAAGATCGTAACATTGAATCAGTTGCTTCCTCTTCTTCGAGTCTTCCACCATCTTCAAGGCCAAAGAAGCCAGCAACAGCCAAACCTCATCGAAAAAAAGAATCACAAGCTCCACAACAACAACTACATAATAATAACACGATGTTGGTCGAGCAGCCTACGACATCACAGCCTTTTACGCAGTACGCTTATATTACCCCAACAACAAATTTTGAACCGGCATCAACTGATGCGACGGTTCCAGCAGGTTCACAACAACAGGAAGTGAGAAGGAAGAGGCCAGGGAAGAAGGCACGACAAAATAGAGCTGCTGGTACCACTATTACTGCTGGTCAACAACCTGTGAAAGATGCTACGAATGTAGATCAAGCTTCTGGTGGAGTGTCAGTCTCTGGTGAAGGTAGCTCAAATCATATAGAACGCAGTGGATCTCCCGCAAACGCTGGCAGATCTGCTACGAATACAGCACAATCCAATACTAGAAGCTATCGACAAGGTGCTACGAACTCTGTTAATGCAAGAGTTGACGCATCGTCACTGTCATCCAACGCATCATTTGCATTCAACCCTGATTCACCAGTCTTTGCACCTACTTCATCCGCTACATCATCCAATAAACCACCCAGAAATAGTTATGATAGCAATAGTAGTAATGCTAGAGCACAGGAGTCATCTCGTCCATCTAGTAGTCAACAACAGCAACAACCAATGAGAAACAGACAACAACAATATGACCCATCTCAGCCATCATCTAGCCGTGACACCAATCCTGATCAACGAAGGGCCAATCCACAAGCACAAGGTGGTTGGCCTCAATCGGTGCTTGGAGCTAATAGGCCCCAGTCAACAGGAACAGGTCAACGACAAGGAGGCAGACAATTTGATTCAGCTCGTACTGGAGCTGCTCAAGATTTTAATAATAGAAATATGCCATCTGAATATCCACAATCACAGAATGGTACTAGTAGTAGTAATGGCAGAGGTCCAACTACTCAAGGAGCTGGAGATAATCGTCCTTTACAACAGCAACGAATGGATGAATCCTCTATACGCAATCAATCTCGTAATCAACAGCAACCTCGTAATTATCAACCTCTACCACCAAAGCCTCAAATACCAGTAGCAAAACCAGTCCCAATACCACCCATACCCTTACATGATAAAGATTTAATGACGACACTGTCTGAAGGTCTTCGAACGTCAAAATACGATTGTATGGTCTGCACTGAAGCCGTACTTCCACGATCAGAAATCTGGTCTTGTAAAACATGTTTTGCCATATTTCATCTGAAGTGTGTCATGACCTGGTCGAAAAAGTCGACAGCAAATAGCTTAGATGGGTCAACTACTTGGCGCTGCCCTGGATGTCAAACTAATGTAGACGGTGCGCCATTTTACTCTTGCTTCTGTGAAAAGCAACTCAATCCATCGTTTGATAAATTCTCGTCGATACCACATTCTTGTGGCCAATATTGTGGAAAGCTCCGCAATTGTACTCATAACTGCTCTGAAAAGTGTCATCCAGGCCCATGCCCTCCTTGTGTTGGTTATGCCCCATTAGTCAAATGCTACTGTGACAGGATGAGCTTCAAAGTCAAATGCAGTGATTTGCCAAATCTAAACAGGTCATGTGGAAGTCCCTGCGGTCGAATGCTATCCTGTGGTCTCCATTCTTGTGAAGATTTATGTCACGAAGGAGATTGCCCTCAATGTAAAATAGTAGAAATAGATACATGCTACTGTAAGAAGCATACTCGTGAATTCCCTTGTGGAACAGCCAAGATCTCATTCTCTTGTGGTGAAACTTGTGGATTCAAGTTTGAATGTGGTGAACATAGCTGTACAGAACCTGTAAGAACTCACCTATATTTCTTCGTGCTTCTTGTTTTGACTTGCAAAACTAACTCACTGTTAAACAAACCAGTGCCATGTCGATATGGATAAGCATCAAACATTGTGTCCGTATGATCCAAGTCTGGTCATGACGTGTCCTTGTGGAGCTACGAGTGTTGATTCTCTCACTGACGGCAAAGGAAGGATGTCTTGTACTGAAGATATACCCACGTGTAACTCTATCTGTGGAAAGAGATTGCCTTGTGGTCATTCATGCGAACAACGGTGTCATACCGGTTCATGGTACACTGACTTGTGGGCTTGTATTGAAGTTTCTTAGATTGAATGCTGACCCTACTTTTCTGTTTAGTGAACAATGTCAAAAAGTCCTAGATATAAAATGTCGCTGTGGTGCTGAAACCAAGAAATTACACTGCTCCTTGACTCAACGATTGAGTGACGGTGCCATCGCTCCCCCATTGTGTGAGAGACAATGCAACAAGCAGAAAACTTGTCGCCGTCACAAATGCCAAGATAGATGTTGTGACTTGGATTATCATTTATGTGATGAACTGTGTGGGAAGATGCTTAAGGTTTGTTGAGTTTTCGTCTCGACCGTTTTGTGGGTTGTGCCCTGACTTGAAATCTTGATACCCGATAGTGCAAATCACATCAATGTCGAATGGAGTGTGGTCACGCAGGGCCTTGTCATGATTGTATTGAAGGAGTGACTTTTGATGAGTTATCATGCTCATGCGGTAGAACGAGAATGTATCCGCCAATACCTTGTACGTTCCAACATTCGAAGCTATCAGTCCTTGTCACACTGGTATGTTTTGCTCATGCTGCTTGTTGATTTATGCCTAGGTGGAACGCTAGCTCCTATATGCTCTTATCCTTGTCAACGACCGAGAGAATGCGGCCATCCCTCAACGCCTCATAATTGTCATCCCGATACTGAACCGTGTCCTCCATGTCCATTCTTTGTTCAGAAGCCTTGTGCTTGTGGGCAAAGGCTCGTGCCGAATATACCATGTTCCCGAGGTATGATTATCGACATGACATTTTTTTTTCAAGCTGTGTTTACCTGATCCTCATTTTCTTGCAACTAAATAGTTGGTCTACCATCTTGCGGTAACCCTTGCCTGAAACCCATCACAGGTATGTTGTGAGAGTCTGCTTTTTTTGCAATGCAGTTTTACTGACGAAGGCCCATCACAGTTTGTCAACATAAATGCTTACGGTTTTGCCATACGGCTAATTGTATTGATGACACCCACAAATGTCTTGCAAAATGTGGTCGAACTCGACCTATATGTGGTCACATTTGTGCTCAAAACTGCCATGGAACCTCTTATTGTGCTGAAGATAAGCCGTGTGTCTTCCAGATTACACGTAGTTGCGTTTGTGGAAACAAGGCGCTACAAGTCATATGTGGAGCTTGGGCAGAGTCTCAGGGTAATGCTGCAATGGTGGTCGCCTGTGATGATTCCTGTTTGATTGCGGAGAGAAACAGACTGATGGCTGAAGCTTTGGGAATTATTCCAAAAGGTAAGCAGCAGTAAAAGTGTCAGACGTCATTAGCTATGTTAGACGTTGTATGTTTTGGTTTAAATGATCTTCATCAAACAGGTGAAGCGGCATTCTCGCGACCTCAACCGCAGCCGTCGACATCCGTACCAGTACCGCCAGCTCCTATTGCTTCAGATTCTGACTATCCATTCGATATTGTGAAGTATGCACAAAGGAATCTTTTATGGGTCAAGTCACTTGAGAAGGCTCTTGAAGACTTTGTAAAGGATACAACGCAAGAGAACTATGAACTGTCTCTAGCAAAAGCAAGTCAGCAAAGGCTCGCTGAAATCTATGTACCTCATTTTGGCCTCACTCTTACAATCCGAGGTCAACAACTCTCTATAAAAAAGGCTTTGGATAAAATACCAACTATACCACCATTCCTCTTAAGTGATGTAGCAGATGCAACGCCTCATATGCCCTTTGTCGTCAAGCCCAATGCAGTTGCGAATACCGTAGAATTCTATAATGGAATTGAAATATCTGGACTCAACTTTGGTATCTCATCTAGAGACATTGAGGTCGCTCTTCGAAGTCTCTTCTATACAGCCGAAATCAATCTAAATATCAAACTATACGAGGGTAATAGTAAAGCTATAGTAATCTTGACATCAACTGCACTACTACCCGATGAAGTTGAACAGAGGCTGAAAGATGCCGAGGCCTCTCTTAAACAACGATTTGTAGATAATCACCTCGCACGGTCTGTGGATATTATTAAGTCTCAGGAAGGGTGGGAGTCAGTATCGAAACGAAAGGCAATTAAAGTGAAACCTGATGGTAAAGCAAATGCTGGTAATTCGTCAGAAGCGTTATCACCATCACCAACAACGGTCAAGGATGGTACTGTTGAGAAGAACAGTGATGAGATGGATGAGGGGAAGAAGACGGATGAAGAGCCTCCGACGTCTTGGGAGGACGTCGCCGATGGTGCTGGTGCAGAACAGTAGAGAGGCCTTCTAGTGTGGAGTTATGTATGTATTAATCGCATGGAAATTATAGATATATATATTTTACACAGGAATGGGCAAGTACATTGATTCACGGTCTTTTTGCTCCTTTGCTGCTGGCCAGGAAAAAGGTGGTGTCGGAGTTTCAAAAACAAGACTTGCACGGGGCAGCCGGTGTACCTCCTAGTTCGATAGTTCGAGAGCTGAATCTCCTGGCAATCAATATATTGAAGTTGATCCAATCTGAAAGACACGTTCATTTGTGGACCATCCTGCTTTTTGGAACTCAACTTGCTTCCAAACACCAAACACACATGTAAACGCGCTGTGACTTGAGGCCAAATGAGACGGCCATCACGGCTATCAATTCAGACACTTGCATTCATCAGATCACCATGGAAACGTCTTGCATGAGAGGAGTTGCCTTGCATGCAAGGCGTTTTTGGATCGATATCCGACAATGCGCCGACTAAGCCAGTCCAGGCCAGGCCCTTCATTTCCGAAATTTCGGGTTTTGAAATATGAAACACGGCATATGAGCAAGCAAAATCAACAAGAATTAAATATCAATCATGGGTTACTACCCCAAAGTCTCGCCCTGGTCGTCACGCATTCACCTGGATGTCACTCCCACTACCGAGCTTTTATCACCTCCGTTGTCACCTTCCATACCATACCAACAACAATGCATAAATTCCACGGACGAAATACCTGATTTATCGTTAGCCCCTTCTGAATGCTCGTTAGTCTGGGTAAGTAGCTCTCAAAAAGTTCGAGTGATACAACTTGCATAATGTTGTATTTTTCGGTTTACACGTTGCAGGAATTTTCGTGGTGTCCTTGACGAAAACTAAAAGAGAAGCTAATAAATTCAATCTTTTCATCTGGTTCTAGTCTGATTACCGTGACATTGGTGGCGACTTGTTTGATCTCGAAACCGTGTACTTATCACCTCCAGCAAGTGACGACGAAGAGGCAAGCTGCTGCCAGGATAATACTATCACTAGTTTACAAGGTCTGAAGCTGCCATTGTCGCCCCTGGAATCGCTGGATGGTGATGATTATGCTATGGTCACGGACACGATATGTGACACCATGATAAATGATGAGACGAAAACTGAAGGGGACGACAAAGCCCGGGAGGTGGAACCTGCTGCTCAGAATGGTGGATCTGGTGATGGAACTGGTATGAAGGGGGTGGTCACTAGAACGGCACGTAGAGACGCTGGTGTTGACGTTGCGGCATCTGTGGACCATGCTGTCCTTCACCAAAATATGATGATACAAGAAGACGAAATTGAAGAAGACACCAACGATAATGACGAAGATCCCGACTGTAATGAAGACACCAATGCCTACAATAACGATTCAGACTATGACGATCAGCCACCAAAGAAACAAGAACCCAACACTCGTCGTAAGCGCCAACACCATATCCTCACCATCAATGGTCGAATAAATAAACGGTCTCTAGCAGTATTCAGTAAAGTATTTCAAGTTACGTGCTATCCCGAAACCACTATTCGAAACATGCTGGCTGAGAGGTTGGATATGACTCCACGGGCTGTACAGATATGGTTTCAGAACAAGAGACAGCAGATGAAGGCTCTTGGAGCCGGTGGAGGTTTGAGGAGTAAAAAGGGTGGAAGGGGACGGTATAAGGAACCTGATTGGCAGAAATTGGTCGCTGCGAAGCTGCCAATGGATGTTGCGATGTGGTGTGATGAGCTGGATTTGACAAAAATTGTGAAGGTATATAGTAGTAGTGGCGTGTTGTAATTCTAGTAACGGTTTCATCCAAAGATGTATTTAGTACTCTGCCCTTGTTGGAGGATGCAAACACATATAGTACATAAACAAAAATCAAATGATAACGTCAATATCCAAATCAGCAAGCAAAGGTTGGCAAAAGTGTAGCAGTGTTTCAGTCTTCAGACCAGATTGCAAGATGGCATAATGGCTTGTTTAGCCAACGACACGGATTTACCGGTTTGCACATGTCATGGTCTCAACATTAGCATGAATTCATAAATATCCAAATTTCATCGATTGGCACGTTTCAGCACGTTTTAGGATGATTTAAGTTGACCACACAGTTCTTGCAAATTGTCGTGGATAACCTCGTTAGGTCTAGAAATGTGAGGTCATCGCCGAGTGAAAGGAATGCTTATCGTAGCAAGTTTAATCGACCATCAACACAAAGTCCTTTTAATCGAAATTTGATCCTGGTCTTGGCTTAGTTGTTTAAATTTTGGGGTTTGATTATAGTCTCAACAAATGTACTGGAATTTCGGCATGAAGCACATTCGAAGAGGTACTGTGCCTGCATTTGTACAGTCGAATATATCAAAGAGTTCCATAATCCACGTCCACGGTGTTGGTTCATCTAACTTTGCTGCTCTAATAGTAAAGTCATTGTAACTTGGAAGTGATGGCTTTCAAATTCCAGTGTCTTGCCGTCTTACTGACGTTTTGTAATTTCATATCATTTTATTGCCCCCACGGAGTTACTATGGAGGCTTGCTCTCTCGCGACACTTGGTTGTTCATCTGCGTCACTCGTTGTCTCTGTGAGGTGAGCAACAAGCCTGCAAAAGTTTGTGTTGTTGATGCTAAACAGTAGTACTCAAGTAAACTATGTATCTCGAGATATAAATTATGTGTATCTACCCTACAATTGCTAGGTTTGTCCAGAGATGTGCAAAGTGCAAAGTTGTCGAAACACAAGAAAGCGGCTCTCACACTCACGAAACCATACAGAGGAGCAAAATGTGCGCTAAGAGATGTCAGTTGAAATAATCAAAGTAAGAGAGTGCGGATCCTTCCTCCGAAACTATGTCTCTCACAACGAAAGAAGGCACTGCCCCACTCCCCCCACTCTTTCGTCTTTTCGTCGATCCAGCCAATCAAAGAGAAACGGCAAAGATGGCTAGTAGCAAATGGTTTCAAGCAAAGTCATCCAGCAAGCCCAGCGACTATAGCAGACCAATCCTTCCGCCAAGGAAAGTTGGAGTCGGTCTTACATCTGGATCTCAATCTCAAATGTCCAGACCCCCTGCAGCAGTAAGCTCCTTTGTCTCGAGTTTCTTCCTGTCGGAGTTGCATTTACTTAACAGGACTGAATGTATCTGTAGGGCTATCAACAGAGGCGTCAAGCTCCAGCTGAAAAGGTAGAGATTTCGTTGCTTTTATCGTCATCAGCTTTTTGGAGACGTTTCGGTCGACACCTTGACGAGAAGCTTGCACAGTCAGAAAATAACACTTTCTTAACGATGCTCGTTTAATACAGTACCAAGAACGAAGTCGACCTATATCAGACATCTTGTCCCAAATAGAAGACTTTGCGTCTTCTGAAATACCTAATAGCCCCCCTCAGATGAGCGCTCTGCCGTACAAACCCGATGTCTTGAGAGATTTGCCACCGCAACGTGTCCGTCGTGAAGGTATTTATCAAGCTTCTAGTTCTCACGCATCATCTTTTTCATCTCTTAACTGCTTCTCTGAAACTCGCCATGCAGATAAATCAAAGTCCCCAGGCCGTGAACGAAGACATTCACCTACAAACACAGCACATACAGCATCATCATTCGCCGAATCGAGACAGAATGCAGCGTCATCAGTCGCTGATGGTGGACAGAGACGTGAAAGGTCTCGAGATCCGAAACAACGTATAGTTCGAGATCGTCTGCCTGATTCAGGCTCCGATAGTGAGCAACGAGGCCAAGGTCGTAGTCGGGCTATATCACCCAATCCTTCTAATTACACGTCCGTCACTGGTCGGTCTGGTAAATCAGGACCTCGAGATCCTGATGCTACGTTTGGAATTAGCTCAAAGTCGATAGGTTCGCGTTGTAGACATAATATAGCATCTGACTTGCTTTGCTAACTCTCTCCCATAGGTGCTGCTCTTAATTTCGGAGAACAACCTAGTAGGGATGCTCAATCCCAGCGAAGTGCTGGCCATCTTCGCCGTAATAGTGATCAGGGATCAGGACTTCCAGGAGCCGATGATATGATGATGCAGCTACAAGTACAGGAAGCTTTGTTGGATGCGGCAGGCTTCCCAGTCTTGTCTTCAGACAAATACGAAATCCAGAAACGTGAACTAGCAAATCTATCTGCTCAAGTAGCTAGTCTCCACTCTCGATTGGCTCTTGAATCTCGAGTCCGTGAGGCTGCTCTAAATCTAACTCGTTTGAATTCTGGCAATCCAGAACAGACACGGTCTGCTCAAGATCAGCTTGCCCAAGCCAATAAAAAAGTAGATGCTATAGCTACCGAGTTATGGAAGATTACCGGTAAACTTATGGAAGTGGAACGAGCTGTATTGAAACATTTAGGAGGTGTCCTCAGATGGGAAGTCATGAAGAATCGTAATGGTGGTGGCCATGGCTATACTGATCTAAATGGGCAGGATGCATCTGGTTTCACTACTACACAAAAGTTGGCGTCAGCTGAAGCCAAAGTACGAGAGCTAGAACATATGATTGACATGTTGAATAACTCTATTGGTCGTATGGAAGCCGATCAAGAGCCAATGAAGAATGAATTAGGACGATATCAGGATCAAGTCAGAAGTCTAAAAGAAGAACGAGACCGTCTAGCTTCACGTAATCCATATAATACTCCTGAAAATACTCCAGGTCGCGGTGGATCTCCAGGAGATTCTAGTAGACTGAAATTAGAATTAGCTACTACTCGAGCTGAACTCGCAGCAACCAAAGATGAACTCTTGTCGTCTCGTGAAACCATCACGCGTCTTCAAGTCCAACATGAAGATGACTCAACTGTAATAGAAGCTAAAGAACGTGAAGTCGCTAATATGGGTGCAGAATTGGAAGAAGTCACGAATCAGCTCGATATGCACAAGGAAGCTGCTTATGCTGCTGCCTACACTGCATCTAAAGAATCTCCTGAAGCACGTAGGGCAATTGCTGCTCTACAAGTACAAGTAGCTACTCTGGAAAATCAATTACAGAAAGCCAAAGGCCATGCTTCGCGGTCAGCTCGTAGAGACGAAGACGAAGAATCACGAGGTCGTGGAGGTCGCTCACGTAGTCGTGGACCACCAGGTGACACTGCTGCTGATTTGGAAGACAGACTCATCCGTGCTCAAGATGATTTGGAACGAGCTAAAGCCGACCAAGCTCGTACCGAACGAGAACTCCAACGAGTACATAAAGAACTAAGTACTTCAGCCGCTCAATCTCTTGGTAATGTCGGTCGTAACGGTGGTAGTGAAAAGTACTCTATAGACTCCCTTGTAAAGCAGGTCAACCGAGTCGTTGCTGAAAACAACGCCATGGGTCAGAAACACGGCAAGGACTTTTCATCTACTCAACAAAAGATGATTGATTTGCAAATGGAAATGTCTAAAATCCGCAGCGAACGAGATGAATACCGCCGCATGCTGGACGAAACAGAACGTAAATTAAGTGACGAGATGCGCAACGTATCTTCTCGTCATGATATGGAAATGGAAAAGCTAAAGTCTCGTTATGATCGTGATGAAAGTGATCGTGGTCGACGTACCGACTACCGCCGTGACCAATCAGCATCACGAGGAGGCTACGAAGCTGACTCCAACGATCTAAGGAGACGCCATAACGATGAATTAGAAACCCTCAAGAAGAAATACGAGCTTGAAATCGATGATTTACGTGAACGTACTGAATTGGCTGAACGTCAAGCTGCCGATGTCCGTGCCAAGGCCGATAAAGAAAAGGATCGACTCAATAATGAATTGGACGAGCTAGTTGAAGAGTTGAAAAAGAGTAAAGGTGAACGAGATGACGAATTCCAAGCTCTAATATCCAAGAATAAACAGTATGAATCCGCTGCCCAACTACTCCAGCAAGAACTCAGATCAGCTCGTGAAAAAGCTGAAAAGATGGGTAACGAGATGGACGACCTCAAGATCCAAATCTCCACCACCACCAAACGTAATCGAGAAGAAAACGAAAAGCTCAAAGCAGAATCAGCTAAACGAGTCAAGGATGTAGAAGCTCAATTATCTGAATTCGAGGCCATCCGAGCAGAATTAGCTTCTGTAGATCGTGAACATCAAATCCTTATGGCTCGTCGTGAAACTGAACGACGTGAAGCTGAAGCTATGCTTAAAGACGCTCAGGATGCTCGTGATGATGCGCTTGCTAAGATGGATGCTATGAGGAAACAGCTTGATAAGGCACAGTCTGAAGCTTCGGAAGCACGTAATAGGCCACGTAGTATGGCAGCAGAAGCCCAGCTTATTGGCAAGATTGATGAATTGCAGAGCACCATTATTCGACTCAAGGAGCAAAAGGCTGATTTGGAGGATGAAGTCAAAGAGCGCGAGATTCGTGAGCGTAAAGCGCACCGTGAGGTGTGTACTGTTGTAGTCCGTAATCATATAGGGTGTCCCTTTTTTTGTTGTTGTTTGAAGTCTCACAAAACGATCCTTTCAAACATAGTTGGACGGTATCGTCAAAGAAATGGACCGTATGACTCGAAACCAAACTGATTTCGAATCAGAACGTAAACGATACGAAAACTCTATCGACAAACTCCGTCGTGAAGTCAATGACTTGCAATACCGAGTTCAAGATTATCGACTTGAGAATGTTGGAGGTCCAGGAGCTCTTGATCGATATGATGGATCTACAGCTGCATCTCAGAAACTCAGAGGAGAGTTTAAGAAGATGCTGGCTGATTTACGATCAGAATATAATGAGCAGGTTACTCGTGAGGCTAGCACCAAGGCTCGTCTGGAATCTGAATTACGAGACTTGAAACGGGAGAGGGATATGGTTGCTTACCAGAAGGTTAATGATAGCACGCAGACTGTGTTAAGGTATGGTAGTTTGAATTTTTTTTCAATATGGCCTCAATAGACGAAAAGCCATTTTTACCTCATCACGTACTAACAAATATTCTCGTCGTTAGATGGGTTGATGGCGACAAACCAGACGCCGTAGGCGGCGCAACAGTCGGTATCTCCAACCGAGACTGGAATAAAACAGGTCGCGACCCACGTGGCCCCACAGTAACTCACACTGAAGGCAAAATAATCGAGCCATCTATATCAACATACGAATCCACACAAACCAAATCACCAATCCGGACCGCTCGTGGTCGCTCACGTTCCCAAGAACGTGCGTACGAACGTGATTTGTTACGAGACAAGTCACGGGGTGCTGCAACAGATGATCGACGAGGTGTTGCTGATGATCGATTCGGATTACCGGATCGTTCTGATTTGGGTACGAGAAGTGAACGAGCATACCGTGACCGTGAAGATGATTCAACACGTAGCAGAGCGTATGAGCCTGAGCCTACATCACCACGTAATAGAACATACGAACCTGTTGAGGATCGATATGGTGCTGCGAGAACTCAGCGCGATGCTGATAGGGCTCGAGAGAGGGAGCGGGATTTGGATGGGATGAGAGGGAATGTTAGTGGTGTTGCGAGACGGGAGCCATCATACAGATATTGAGGGATTATTATTAGGATAGCTTGTACCATATTCTACCATAGTTTGTCGTTTTGGATTATTATAAAGACCTTCATGAACAGTAATATGTTGATTCTTTTCCGTTCAGCAGGACCAAACTTGAGCATTGCAGTTTAATAGCATAGACTTTTTTTGACTTATGATACAAGATGGTTGTTATCAATCTGCTGCAGATACGGCTGTAAGTGGTGGCAAAAGAGATAAAAAGTATGCGACATTGTTATCACAGGTTGAGCATTTTTATATCCGTGTATTTTACAACAAAATGCCATTTTTTTCCAGCCTTTTTTCCAACAGCGCCATTGCAACCCTCTCGATGACATACTTGTCTCTCCCAAATGGTGTCAGCATAACCATCCAGGACCAGTTTGGCCACATTGTTCAGCTTGTATGCGACCTGAGATGCATGTACTTGGGATACTTCTTGGGATACTTCTTGCTCCAAGGCGAAAGCCCGTCGAACAAGACAGCCACGCAGATCACAGCGATAATGTCGGTTAAGGTCTGACTGCACTCTCCACCTTTTGTTTTCAGTTGTTTTCACGTTGACGCTACAGTAAAGTTCACTGTACGTCACGGTTCCGCTGTATTTTACCATCGACTCGTATTCAAATAGGGTACTTCCTAATATTTTAAGAGTGTTAATGGTTGTTGCTTTTAACTGAAAGCGGAGAGGTTAACGTACAGCATTTGACACAATGAACAGTAACTCGAGAAGTTACTTGTTCAGGAGCTCCAACATCAGAAGCAGATGCTGTCGATGATGATGTGACAAATGCTGATACTGCAAAACCTTGAGTATGGTTTAGGATGCATTTACGAAAACCATCTCACAAAGCAATACAGCTCCAAGAAAAATAGCAAGCCGTTATGTAAACAGAAGTATGAATCCATTTACAGCATAATAAGCATCAGGGATAAAACGGTGTAGTCCTTGTTTTTACAGCTTGAGCATCTGATATGCTTCCGGGCATCCATGTACTCTGCAACAACGGGCGCTTCCGTAATCACTTTTTCCACTGGTACCAGGACATCTCTCTCCACGATCACACAACTCCCTCTTCCAAAAAGTACTGTAATCATCCCTGACCAATTTCACAACATTGTTCTCTCCAGATGCGACTTGAGATGCATGCAATTACTACGGGCGAGTTGGATAGACACTACGCAACAATACATCCATGAATATGCACACGTTCACTTTATTCTGCTTGTCTATCTGCAGATTCCATTTGGCGACGTCGAAGATGGTAAGGGTGAGGTTACACTGCAGCGAGCTGTATCTCCATGCGTTTTGGTATTGGGTCATTAATTCGCATAGTAGAGGATATTTCCTATGCAAGACGTGGTAGACTTGGTTGCTTTCAATATGAATCTCGACGTACAGCCTTTGACTACAGTAGATCGTCACTCCAGAAGTCACTGGTACAGAATCAATCGACGTTTCACTTTGATCGACACGTACAGCGGATGTAGGCTCTACAGGCTGTACTGCCATAGGTTTCATATGAGATGCGGCAGATACACTCCAGATGACGTGTTGTTTAGTCCAGCTTGTAAATCGTTGATTTTGTTACTCTTTCCATTCTTGTTGCTCTTGACATCATTCTTGAGCATTCCTATACCATTACTTAACATACGGAAGTTGTCCACCAGTTCGTTGTTGGTTTCTTTGATGTGTCGAAGTTTGTTTGCTATTTCTTTGTGGATTTCTACTGCAGCTTGCATTGATTCCGTGCCATCGCTACTATAAAAAGGCATATACTGGCCTTCCAATAGTCGAGATATTGAGTGTGGCAAAGTGCTGTGCGACTTGTGGCCGTCGAGGTAAACAACTGTGAGGTTCGAGCAGAAGATTCCTTTGTTTCAAGAGTGAAGCTTTAACACCAAGCAGCAACCAAATGACATGAAGCCTCACTTGCATCTCATGGCACAGAACTGATACAGCGGACATGATATGAAAACACTCGTCCGTTCTCCGTTGTACACGTCAACGTTTCAAGCACAGACCAAGAGTTGGTTTTAAACTCGGGGATGACACCATGAAACGCGGTGTCACTTTTCTTGAATCAAGCACAAAGCGGACAGCTTGAGATACTAAACCGGCATATGTAGTTTCGATTTGCCCTTATGTAGACTTACAGTTCTGTGAATATTTCCAAAACGAGCGTTCTAATGAAGGCGAAAGAAGGCAAATACAGACTCACTTTCGATAATTTTGCATCTCCAATTGCACTGTCTAACGTATTAGCAGATGTCTTGCTCCTCGCTAGGCGTGATTAAGCAGAAATAGTGTCAGCTTGGCTGAAGAGTTACCATCCACGTAAGAAAACGCCTTCCAAGAAGCAATGCAGCAGGCTCTAGCCTGCTACCAAGAGTATTTCCAGAAACTAGAGAAGTTGGTTCCAGCCAATTCTGCTCAGTTTCTCTCAGTTTACTCTACGTCTGCCTAATGCGTTTGTAATTGTTGCTTCAGTAACTGCCGCACATTCAAATTCCAAACTTATCATCAATCGATACAAGAAGCATAGTAATCCGTCATTATGCCTAAATCTGCAAGGCTCAGAGTCTCCAAATCTGCTATTACCAACACCAACAACATGAACAGACTCCTCACATACTCATTTGCACCATTCCCAAACAATAGATTCCTAACACTAGCAGCTACATCAACATCCCTCGTATACGTGCATCTAAATACTAAATCCGAAGATGCATCAAATGATACCGGGCTCCCCCATCCTGATCTAGTAGCATTCGCCAAAAAGCACAAGACATCAATCCCTAAAATCGACATGGACGATCAACATAGTGTCTTGCAACTAGCAAAGGAAGAATTGGCACGGTATTTTGATGGTGAATTGAAAGAGTTCAGGACTCCTGTTGAACACTTGACTGGGACTGAGTTTCAACGAAAGTGTTGGGCTGCGTTGCAGACTATACCTTTTGGAAGTGTTTGGTAAGAGCTATATGGATGCTTGGTATTTCGACTTGATTATTTTTGTGGTATTATATCTGTGGATGAGAGATTGACCACTGAATACCATTAGGGACTATTCCCGACTCGCTGAAGAGATTGGTAGCTCAAAGGCAGTACGAGCTGTTGGATCTGCAAATGGAAGTAATCCCATACCGATATTTGTACCGTGTCATCGAGTCATTGGCAAGGATAAAACTATGAGAGGTACTGGTCGTTTTGCTTCACCTTCATGAACCCTTTAACAATTTATCTTGAACAGGTTATGGAATGGGCGGTGAAGAAATCAAGCTGCAATTACTCGAGCTTGAGAAGGCCAAGATTCTCTAAATAGAGCAAGTTAAGCCTGCTATCTGAAATACAAATGGGTTGATCCTTCGAATTTGTGAGAACCTGTCTGAATCGGTTTTGAGAATGACTGTGTCCTTTAGTCTTCCAGCTGCTCCCTGGACTTGGTATTGACAGAGTCCATATTAACTACCTACAGCCTGGCTTGCTACACAAAGAAGCTTACTTAGATGAACGCTGGGTTGATTTTGCGGAGCAAGCCGCAGTTAAGTAGTAAGTTTCAAGAGGACGAGGAAGCTATAGCAGATTATGTGATACTTAGTACATTCCCAATGACAGCATCGTTACCAAAAGCGTTCCGGTAGCGCTCCTAGTCTGTTGAATCGTGTTCCAATAGTTCAAAACCTTTAAAAACTATGGTAAAATACTGGGACCCACGTGTTCGATATGTACCGAAAGGACGTCAATTGCGAGCAACAGCCAGACGGCAAAAGCGGTCACTTGATCACAGTTTAAGCCATAGTCCTTGAAGGCGGAGAACTTTGAACACACTTCTCGTATACGTTCAACTACCCACAGGGAATTTACAAAACTCGAAGAGTACGAAATGCTTGACTTTGTAATTATTGCTGTCTTGTTGTTTCGAATACAAAAGCTGGTACACTAGAGTTTGAAAACACCACTGGAAATGCGTTGAAGTGTCATCATTCTGTCGCTTCCACTGTAGCTTCTTCCTCCTCTGCAAGACCCGTATCAGGCGTAGGCTCTTCGTAGTCCTCATCATCGGCAGGTTCAGGTTCTTGGGATTCTTCAGCGTCCTCTTGTTCATATTCAAGTGCTTCTTCTTGATCAGCTTCAGGCTCAGCATCTGGGGTTTCGTCTGCTTCCTCCAGTTCTGGTTCAACGGTGTCGTTATTAGCTTCCACTTCTTGTTCTTCTTGTTCCTCTGGTGCAGCTTCATCGTCAGATCGCATTTGAGGCTGGTGCGAACTTTGTCGACTTCTCCACATTCGTTGTATCTTTGAAGCAGCTACATCTTCTTCAGTTGCGGCTTCTTTAGCTGCTACAGGTTTGGTCGGTATGGTATTCGATTCAACAAACTTGGCACCTAGAGACTTCCAACACTCTGCTTCCACTCTTGCCGGAATAATCATATCACTGAATGGACCACAAGCAGGTTTCGTAGCGTCTCCATTACGGTAAAAGATTCTGTCATATGTCAAGTTGGATCCAGTTTCGACTACAGCGTCCTCCTTCTTTGCAGCTTGCAACCACCCTTCTAGTATTTCTTGAGCAGTTGGAGTAGCTGGTTGTGATATGCTCTTCATGAGTTTACCATCCTGTATTGATGATGCTACACGTTCTTTGGATTTCAGAATTTGAGGGATGGACTTTGCTGGATTGCCTAAATGTTTGGCTGCTGCGTCTATGTTGCGTGTTTCGATCGATGAGGGGGTGGCGAGCGGGATAAGGTGAATCAGAGACTGCATTTCGAAACGGTAGGATAGAGTTGGTGGTGTTGCCTAAACATGAAGTTGTGAGCGAAAAAATTTATAGAAAGATCTGGAATGCAACTCTTGCTTTTGTTTACTTGTTGACTGTATTGGAACCAAACACGTGCAAAGGCCCTTGGAATAGGTTCTTTAGCAGTAGGAAGAGACCAAACGGCTAATATCTCTGGATTACTGTCATGCTTCGTCACCTCGGTATAGTACTTCCATTGTGGTATTACTGACTCTTTATCCATGTATGACTTTGACCAGTGATTCAGTGTGGACGATACAACAGCCAAAGCTTTAGCGTGAGCATCAGTGTTAGCCATTTCTGAGATGAGAGTGTCGTTGATTTAAGGTCTTTTCCGAAGAGCTGAGTTCTTTCGAAAAGTGTGATTGGGCGCAAAAACACAATTTTCCGAAGTTTGTACAAAAGTCAGCCTTTATTTGACAGTGAGAGTTAATATATGCAACACAATGACTGGAGAGGAGTACGTGGTTTATTGGAGGTTTTTCTTGAGCAGGATGAAGACTTCGTTTCCCACCACAAAATCTTGTAGAGCGCGGTAGTCACCATGTAGATTCAATATCAATCCACCAAATGAGACGTACAGAGATCTATGAATATGTATTGTAAGCGTTTGTGGGGTCATTGAAATTCACACAGAGGCAAAAAAAACTACTAAAGGCAAAACCACGGCACTTTCAACTCTAGGCCAGTTCCCTTCCTCATACGCAGCATTCTCCGCAGACAATCCAAATACAAATACAATGGTACTTACGAAATGCTTTCCTGATCCGACCTAGTTTCATCATGCTTGTAAATCTTTCCATGCATGACATAGTCATAATCATCAGCAATAGTGCCCTTTGCGCCATCCCTCCATGGTTGAGCGGCCTGAGCAGCATCACGTCTCGCATGTATCAGTTCTCGTTCGATGGAAGAAGTCAGTCGCATAGAGTAGATTTCACCCAATTGCATGGGATACAGCTCAGAGTGGACGTCCAAAGTCATTTCCATGTTTCTTGATTGTGATGAAGCGAATATCCTTGATACTTTATAGGTTTGGAGGTTATTTATAAAGAGATCAGCATGGGCGATCTTGTCAGCATCACCAAAAACGGGTGATTCTAAATATACTTGATGTGTACCTCTGTCAAACTTCTTTCCGTCCTTGTCGACATCCTTGACCTCGAATTGGTCATTGTAATCAGCTGCGATTGATGATAATACCATTTTTATAGGTGCTAACAATCGCCCAAATGTCAGCTTCCACTGCTTCCAAAAAAAACAAAAAGTTAACACTACTTGCCTACACTTACTAGACGATGGAGAGCGAAGAGGAAAAGAAGAGCTCAGTGCTAGTAGTGGTATGCTCGCAGTGCCGTACGAATGCAGCCAAATACAAGTGTCCTCGTTGCGACCGTCGAACTTGCAGTCTTGAATGCTCGAAAACTCACAAGCAAGAAAATGATTGCTCGGGCCAAAGAGACAAGACCGCATTTGTTGGAAAAGAAGATTATGATGAATCTGTCATGATGAATGGTATGCTTTCCCTGTTTATTGATCCTGTATTCAAAGCACTTGCAAGAAAACCTGTTGACATTCAAAACACTTTTTTGATCTATGCAGACTATTGCTTTCTGGAAGAGGCTTTCCGCCTCGCAGACAATGCTCTGAGGCATAACAGCCAGATACAAGAAGATCTTCAGAAGAAAGGGAGAACAAAGCTGGAGCTTCTGAGGGTATTCCTACGCAATGGTTTTTTGCTGCTACAAGCTCACTCATACTACTATTAGAATCACCTGCATCGGAATCAAATACGATACATATACACTCCCGGATTGAAGCGCCACGAAAACAACACTACTCACCTCCTACAAAGGTGATGCTCCTTCGTTCAAATGCTTTTTTTTGTCGCTCATTAGCCTTTCGTTAATAGAGCGAAATGTGTGATATGGATGGTTGAATTGAAGTTTGCTGAAGAAGATACGTCCTTGTTCCTACACAAGTAAGCACTCGTCGTCAAGCAAAACAACCAAAAAAAGGGAAAGTTCTCACAACCAAATTCGTCTAGGATTCACGAGTCGTCAACGTGGAAGACAATACTCGGCAAAGTGATACCGGGCAATGGAGCCATGAAGTACCGTCTCAAATCATATACGGAAAAGGGATGGCAGTCTCTACATGTGTATCTAGTAGCTGAAGGACGACGAGTAAGTGCCTTTGAATCTGAAATGAATCATCGGTACTCATTTGGCCCCCGCTGCTTATAGGAGGAGAAGAAGAAGTATCATCCTGTGGACTTGAAGAAAAACTTGAAGGACAATCTCGTCGGACACACAATCGTCGAATACCCAATCTTTGAAGTCCGATTAGTGCCAGTTGCAAATGAACTCGTCATAACAAACGGGGAAGAGTCTGAAAAGATGACAGAGCCTGAGCAATCAATACTTGAGCAGCCTATACTTGATAAACCAGCAGTAGTCAACCCCTTGGGCCTGATACCTGCCGAGATAGCAGACAGGACTCTAGATGTCATTATTGGTCAAGTAGCTGAACTTGTCAACGCTGATGTTGATTTGCTTCTTCAACAATAAATGAGGGGTTTAACACTGTTGTTCTATTTTGGATTGTACTGTGATAAATTATTTGGCGGATGACCCGCTGTTGTTTATAATATATAGGTCTTTGAAGAAATATAGATAAAATCTTGCATACTTGAAGGAAGAAAGCAAACAAGACTCCCACATAATTTGGAATGGATGAAAGAAAACGTGTAACGTCGTTGATACAGCAGCTTTCCACGGCATGATCCTCCCATCATCTCTCATCATCATTGTCCGTTTTCAAAAGTACAGCAAAACAATTGTAAAGAATGGAATTTTAAAGTATAGTCTAGCTAGGAAACTTGGTTTGATTCATGCATCGTCTTTTCGAGTTATCAAGTGAGCAAGCTCCAGAATGAATTTCCCTTCCTTGTATTGTTGGGTAGGTTCAAACGCATGTTCCTGTTACATGAAATTGATGATTAGGTGATGTAATCGCAAGATGGAAAACTCGAAAAACATACATAAAACCATCCAATAACGTGATTGCATCCACTGCAGCAAACATCTTTGACCGTGTGAAGACCTACGGAAGAGCAAAACCATGAAGCGATGTGAGTATACGCGGCACGTGATTACAGCCACTCTGAAATAACGTCTTCCATGGTGTGGGAACCCCAAAAAAGGCCCAAATTGAAGTCATCTGAGACCATTCAGCCCTTGGAAGTACTGTTTCTCTACTGTGTATGCATCTTCTTACCTGTTGTGAGATATCGGTCTTCCGCCTCCCCGAGAAAAACGTTGACTCTATTGGAGTAGACACGATAAGTAGACCGTATTTTGATTTTCTTCATTTTTGCTGGTGCATCATACACTCGTGAGAACAAATAGGCCTATCACAAAAAACCGTCGGTGGGCATTAAAATCCTCAAGTTAGGCATTATTGAAAGATTGCAAGTACCTTGCCAGTGGCTCCTCTAAAGTCCTGATATCAGAACAGAAGGATGAAGGAGTTAGTGACCGTAACTTGTTCTTATATGGCCATCGCATCAACCCGACACGACACGTACTTTGGAAACTACGTGGTCATTGGTGGACAAGTGCCAAAAGCAGGTATTACAAGCGAATATCTTATTTGATGGATTTCTGACACTCGAGTCCAAGAATTCTTTGGCGAGAATGCCCATGGTAGCGTTGGTGGTTTTGTTGAGGTTTGAAAATTGTGAAGGAAAGAAAAGGGACAACAGCAAGTGGTACGTGTCTTTGCAAATGAAACTGACGCATTTTCCAGTTTCGTATCGTGATGGATCTATGCCGAACTGTACGGAACTGGAGGAACAGAACCAGACGGGCTTGGGTGGCAATCTCATGTAAAAACACGTGTTTGAATTGCTTGTCTATATTTATTACTCAGATCCTTTAGGTTGCGTCAAAATACCATCTATATGAGTTGAGATCATCTTTCAGACAGCGAACAAGGATTTTTGCCATCGACCAAACACCAACAGACCAAGGAAGGAAATGACCAGCATCTGAACATCCTCACGGCACGAGCGAGGAAATGAGACGGTTACTCGACTGTCAAAGTGAGGACGTCACACGGTCTCCGAAACCATACCTCACCGCCATGGAGCGTCTTTGTGACTAGGTCCTCCTGGCTCAGGTGTTCGAAAACACTTGAAGACCGACGAGGAGAGTCTCGCTCTCAACATTTTAACTTTTTTGAACGCAAATTGCAACTGTAAAGTCTTGCTACGTGTAAAATAGCAAAACAATCAGTTGGCTCGAGGACTGCTTTGGACGGTTGTATGATAATTTTTGGCACAGATCCCAACTTTAACTGAAAACTTAACTGGACGTCTGGAATCTCCGACAGTATGGCGTCTAGTGAAGGCAGTACACCAAAGAAAGAGGCTACAAGTATTCAGGACGTCGATCAAACACGTTATAGTCGCAGGCCGACCTTCTTCGATGTCGTTTTGAACCCGGATCATGACCACAACCATCAGAGGCAAGAAGCCCAACATGATGATCACGACGCCAATACTAGACCAGGGACTCCACCAGCAAGGCAAGTAGTGTAAATCTATGTATATTTTCGATATTTACATTGATCAGTGGTCCATCTATCGCATTATGTCACTCTCTCACCGCACCTAAATTAACGTGTTAAAAACGGTTGCCGGCCAACTTTAAAAAGTTTGATTTTTGGCACATGGGGACCTAGGAATCAATTCAATGTACTCATTAACTGATTCTTCATTCGTGGCTTTTCTCGTTTTAGGTCTCCTTCTGCTGAACACGAACCAGTCGCGTCCTCAGGATCACCGTCAGAAAAACAACCCACGTCACATACCCCACCTGTAATCTTGCCACCACTAAACCATGCCTCCTATCAATTGTCTCCACGAGACCCGTCATTGCAACCCCAACAAATGCCAGCGCGACTACCGCCCATCCGCCTCTCCCAACATCCCATAACGCAACATTCACAGCTTACTACGAGATCCACACCTTCATCACCCACTACAAGTACTCATGACCTACCTCTTACCACTGTCCAGCAACCGTATTATCCCCATCCATATGTAGTCCAAACAGAACAACTACCATCCGCACCGAATAGTCCACCAACATCGTACTCTATGGCACCGGCACGATGGGGAGACCCTGATAGTAGCGGGAGTAGTAACAGCAGTAGCTATCAGCCACATACATTTCGCGCCCAGCAGGGTAGAAAGAGAGTCACTGAGGCATGCAAAACTTGTCGAAGGTACAAGTGTTTGATGTTGGCATGTAACGGTTTGGGTTTTCAAGATCTGACTCCATGAATATCATATATCATAGGCGGAAGAAAGGCTGTGACGGTCAGCGTCCTGGACCTTGCTCCACGTGTAGAATATCTGGATTTGAGTGTGTGTGGGGAACCTCCCAACCGCCGTGATGGAGAGAGCTCAAGCTGAACTACTGCAACAATGTCACAAAATACCAGTAAATTAAGAGTAGGTACAAGGATTTGAAACATAAAGACGCCATTGACGTCGTTATGAAAAACAAGTTGAATATAAAATATAAACCAATACAAACCCAAAGAACACGGAATTGTGTGCCAAATTTACGATTAAAATTGATGCAATTGTTCAGTGCATGGCTTCCACTTCCGCCGCGACAAGTCGTGGTTTTCCTTAGCGGTTGTCATGACTTTTATTCTGCAAAAGACGACGACAAGGAATTAGGCCAAACGACGGCAAGATCAATACAGGAGACGTCTAGAACAGAACAGCCTCTATAACGTGCCTGCTCTGATTCATTAGATCGGGAACTGCAAGGAAAGGATGCTGGCCCGAGAGAACAGAGAGGGCGCCATAGATTCAGCATCGCCATCACCGCAAAAGAAACCAAAAGCAGCAAGGAAATCCGTCGCTGCTGTAAGTTCTCTCTTTATTGATGCCTCGGTGTATCTTTCTCGCTTGCATCCATCGGTTTTGCTCGACATTAAAAAGCACTTTTGAGAAAACAGGAATTGTTATTTAAACTAACGCTTCATTATCTAATACAATAGGTTATTCTAGCGTCTGGGACAGCTGCATCAGTTGGATTATCATCATTCTTTGGTGCATTACGACAAAAGGAGCAGCCTAACGCCTCATCATCTGCTTCCATAACCTCGTCACAAACTCGCACTTCGAGATTCGGAACATCCTCTTCCCGTCGTGACAGAAGAGCTCAATCCCTATACGTTCTCCCAGATCACAGAGACGGACTAGCTGCATCTATAGAATCTTCCCAACCCAGAAAGCCGCCAAGAAATCGCTTCTCCTTTGACCTGGGCGCATTAGGTCGACCTTCAACAAGTGCTACCATAAGCAGTGAAGAATCGACGACATCATCTCGTAATAGTAAAGACGGTCATCGTACTAGCATACCGCTTGGATTTAGGAAGCGAGCAACGACACTTGTTGGAGCTAAACCGCCGCTGGCACCCAAAGCAGGATCTACCGTATCGTTTGGACCATCAACAGCTATAAATACTAGTAATAGCCATCAAGCACCATCCTCATCGTCTGGTGGTAGTAGCAGTGCCCATTCACTTCCATCCAGATCAAACTCAATTCACAACCGTTTATCAGCTACCGGTGGATTGCCTCGTCTACCAATGTCATCAACAACTAGAGAAACAGATCCCACTATATTCGAACAGCCCCTGCTGACTGAATTACGTGTCGGATCGGCTCCATCGGCTATAATACACAGTACACCCATTCTAGATGCTTTGATGGCTGATGAGGATGACGAAACCTATGTATCGTCATCGGTCAGAGCTAAAGCTAGGGATCGACGAATGAAGGAGTTATCAAAACTGGAAGCGGATTATGCTGCCGAGTCATGGGATGAGGACTTTGATATAGATGTTGATGGTGGGCAAGTGTTGAATGTTCCTACGTCAGTTACCAATTCGCAGGATACGTTGAGAATAGATATTGCCAATGTGCGGAAGTTTGCATTGCATATTGAAGGTATGATCATATGACAGTTGTAGTCTTTTTTTTCCATCCGCTTTTAAGCCCACATAAATCAACAAGCATTTCGTTTGCTGACGAGCCACTCTACGTTAGACCTCAAGTTCTTATATGCAGAGTCGAGACAAATCATTGACAAAGTGACGGAAGAGAACCGAGCAAAAGTACAAACCCTGACAGAATCATATGCCAAGGACGTAGAACACGCATTATTCCTGATAGATTTGGCCGAGTCAGCCGAAGAGAGTGACGACTCAATAACACCAACTGATGCACAACGACGAGTCCTGTATGAAATATTACAACTAGATCCCTCAACAATAAAACGACCATCAACCACAAGTCGAAGTAGACGCCACCATACACCATCATCCTCATCGACCACTGCACTAGCGAATCTGAATGCTGCATGGTCGGCAGCCGCTGCAAACATGACCCCAACCACAACCTCAAATATTGGTGGTGGTGTAGCTCCTCTAGTATTCAGCACCGCAACAACAACTCTACCAACTATAAGTAACAGTAATAGTGCCCAATCCCTTACCGCACTGTCACAAGTAGCACCATTGATACCATTCTCAGCAACACCCAAACCAGAAAGTCAACCGCCATCTCCAGTGATAGCTCGTGAACGATCAAGGTCGTCGTCGGGGTGGTCTACACCTACATCTGGAAGCAGGACACCGGCAAACAGGACGCCGGGAAACCATACACCACCAGAATTGTCGATGAATGAGCTTGCCATGATGCACTTTGGAGTAGAATATATGCCTCAACTACTTAAAGCTCTTGGTAATGTAAAGTCCCGTATGACTGAGTATTTAGGAGAGATGAGAGAAGCTTCTTTAATTATATAACCACTTTCACAACTGTCTATACTATTTAAAGCCCGATTTGCTAGTCGTAGAAGAATAATAATACTCGTGTTTGCTTATGTTAAACCTCTCGAATCTCTTTGAAAAATTCCCTTAAATATACATATACCTGTTTACAAATGGCAATGGTGGCAAAAAAATGGCTAGAGCTTTTTGAAGCTTGGGCTTGAATCATTTAAATTGAACTATATCTTGTGTGAGCGAAAAAGAAGAGCATATGTACAAAAGCTAAAACAGTCTATCTTAGGCCTTAACATCTCCAGACCCACTGTCTTCAGGTTCATCACGAATAATCGTCTTTCCATCCAACTTTTTGATCTGCGGGAACTTTTTGGCAACCTCAGTCACCCAGTTACCATCAGCTGTACACTTTTCTTCTAGTGGGTTGCCCACAAGCAGCAATTCTTCTAGTTGTGGTAGATCTTTCTACAAGGCCCACAAAACGTAAGTAATAAGACACATAAACCATCAAAGGGCACTTCTAAAAGGACACGTAAACTAACAACGGGCACTTCAAAAAGGACTTACAATGCATGAAATCCCCTCCCAAGCCTTAATCTTGTTATTCGCAGCATACAAGACCTTGAGTTTACGACAACACTCAACACCATTGAGTTTTTCCAAGTTGTTGTACGAAATCCATAGCTCTTCTAACGTATCTGCGACGGCGTCCAGTCCTTCGATTTTCTTGATCATGTTGCGGCCGAGGGATAGGATCTTTAGGTGTGCTGCGTGATAAAGCTCGTCACAGAGTTGACTTTGAGAATAATGGAGGTCATTTTTTTGGCTTACATAGGCCCTGCAGATTACTTATTTTCTCGATATTGTTGGTTGATAGGCCTAGATATCTACGATACGTGTATCGTTAGTTCTCATGCATTATCTTGGAACAGGGATGTGGGACCTACTCGACTTTGACGAGAGCGGCGAGAGATGCATCCATTTTGACAATGAAGGGTTGCAGTGCCAGCATTTTGACTGTTTGTGCCTCGGCTGCTACTTGGCCGGTCTTGTCTTCCTGAGAGATTCGATGTTTGATGATGGGGAGAGAAGAGAGGGACAGTTAGTATATGTGTGTTTAGATAGTGGTGCTAACGTAGTGTTGTAATATGTGTACGTACCCATGCTTTTATGGCGTCTTTAATGGCAGTTCCTTTGGACTAGAAAACGTTGAAAGTTGTGAATGAATAATTGTGCATGTAAACGATGATTTCTGGTATAGGAGGGTACGTACCATGGCCGGAACAGGTTATATTGATGCGAATTAGTAGGTTGGTGTTGTAGATCAAGCCTCTGCTTCTGTAGAACTGTTGGATCACGAACGAATGGACGAATTGTTGAGGTTTGTGTTTTTCCTGCGATTTTGCGGATTTGACAGATTCTGTATGAACTCGACGCGCTCAACAACTAAATATAGATTCATAATGATACCGGAGCGCTCAGCCCTTTATATTTTTAATGGTATATCACCTAGTCGATACAGCAGGTTCAGCAGCAGTGAGATTTGTCGAAGAATTCTTGAGCCACGTCATGCCATCAACACGTTCCTTCCATCCAGCGGAAATAATACGTTGTGATAAGGTATCGAGTGACCTAATAATATATTCTACCTCGCCGATAATCCATGACCGTGCTTTCTCCTCTTCTATAAGGTCAAGTCCCCAGCTAGGATTTGCTATGGTTTCTTCGGTGCCTAGTGCAGTAGCATCGGCCGATAAGTGTTCGTAGGCTTCGAGGACTGCGTCGTCTATTGTTGGAACAGGTGGTAAGTTGGATCATGTGGGTGAAGAAAAGCATCACATTGTCACAAAGACGTACCTATTGGAGCATTCTTCTTCAATGCGACTAATAAATCAGATGCCCTGGCATGTAGCTGACTATGGTGCATGAGCAGCGCACGAAACTTATACGGCAGGAGGTAGCGAGTCATAGTAGAGCTCCATGACGTTCCAGCGGTGCTTGAGATGTGCTGAAACGTTCGTAGATGGGATACGTCACTTATGGTATTCGACCTAACTCGTCCAAATATATTGGCGTTGGTTGTTGCGAAGGGTGTTATCGAGCGACTAAAGGACGAGGTGTGGGGGACGACACTACAGGAAGCCTTTCTGGCTATACGAGATACAGCATACATATTTCAAATACGATAATGATTTGAATTTTTGGAGTGAGTCGGATTATACCGGTTTGTCGAAAAATTCGAATTTGCCCCTTTGTGGGCTAGGAGCTAAATTCAGTGATGTGGGCCAACCCACACCCCAGAGCTTGTGAGTCTCAAACCACATCCAGTCTGAGAGGAGATTTTGGATTTCAAATACTGGAGGCTCTTTGTAGGTTTCTCCAATACAGCAAAAGGTCACATCGTTCTACTTATCTCGTAACCATATTGTGTAATTTCTCGTCCGCAGAGCTGCAACTAGCTTGGCATCCTTTTCAAATTCAGACAGCACTTGGCTCATATATCTTTCCAAAAGATCTAAGCAGCGTCTGTGCTATTCAACATTTTACCTATACCACGAGAAAATCTCCACAACAGCCTACTTCGCTTTCCAAAAAATCTCAACCCTCGCCGAGATCACCAAAACCAGTCCGTTTCAGCCAACCACTAAGCTTCCATTCTCAACGTTAGACCATAATGGAAGAACTAGGTATGTCTCCCCCATGCGATCGATACTCAAACATCCCCACAATACCACATTTCCTGACTCTCTTCATTTTTAGACAATCTCCTCAAAGACCTCAGCAGCTTCACAGCACCATCTGCTGGCCCCTCCACACCATCGCGCTCCGGCGCATACCCAAGCTCGCCAGCAATCCCCTCCCAGCTAGATCCAGCTCGCATGCCATCGCCAGCAATAAAAACCGCATCGCAAAAAACACTCGTGTCGGACTCGACAAACATACCTTCCCCTTCCTCAAATCTCAACAATGTCAATATACCAAGTGGCTCCGAATCGAATCTCGCAAGAGGAAACGGTGTGTTTGGAAGCACGCAATCGCTAGCTGGTGGTGGTAAAATGAGAGCTGCACCAATGATTACGAATGCGCCGTTTCAAAAGGCTGATATGCCGCCGTGTGGAGGATGTCGACAGCCTGTTGATGGGCAGTATATTGAGGCTATTGGCAAGCATTATCATAAGGATCATTTCTTGTGTCGGTGCGGGAGGTTGTTGACGTATCAAAAGTATATTGAGAAAGATGGTAGGTTTCTTTTGCTTGACAGGTCTTGTGTCAAGTCGATTGGTGATAGAAGAGGACTGATTTGGAATTCACTGCAGGTGCCGCATGGTGCAAGAAATGTTTCGGTGAAGAGTTCGCTCCTCGTTGTGCTTACTGTTCAGAGCCCATTCACGAGGTATTCAATGTCTCTTCAATTCACCACTGTCTCTCTGTTTTTGTTTCTAACAATACCTCCAAAATCATCAGCGCGCAATAAACGCACTCGGCAAATCCTTCCACATTGAGCACTTTTTCTGCTGCCAATGTGGCAAAAACTTTGGTGCCCAGGAAGGCTTTCTCGAACATGAGGGCAAAGCATACTGTGAAGAAGACTACCTGAATCTGTTTGCGCAAAAGTGTAATCGGTGTGGCGCTGGACTTATTGGTGACTACATTATTGCCATGGACGCGTATTGGCATCAGGCTTGTTTTTCTTGTGCTGTAAGTGTTGTGTGATTTTTGTCGGAAATTGGGTAGTGATGGGTTGATTGACTAGGATTATGTGGTATTAGGATTGTGGAGTTCATTTCAAGGATGGCAAATACTATCAGGTATATCCTCGAGATTTGTCTGAATCTCTTTTTTGCGCTATGTACTTATCATTACTCTCAACCAAATAGATCAACGGCGTCGCACTATGCGAAAACCACTTTTACGAAAGGTAAAAAACACCTCAACATTTATCAATATCCTTATCATCAAGACTAACAATCAAACTCCTCCTTGTCACAGAAACGAAGCACTATGTTTCACATGCAGCAAACCCATCCTCGGTCGTTGCATTGTAGCGCTAGACAAGAAATACCATCCAAATCGTTGCTTCAAATGCCATTTCTGTCAGAAACTCCTCACGGATGAAACGAATTCAAGTTCGACATGCTACAAGGCCAAGAATGACAAACCGTATTGTTCTACGTGTCATACAATGTTGTTTGGTTGATTTTCGAATGAAATATACTATTTATTATTTTACGCACGAGAAACGGTGTCTGAGGATTTCAAAGTTACACGCGAAAAATCCAACAGTATAAAGTAGAAATTTGAGAACAGAGCTAGGATTTAACATCTCAAACAGAAGTTATGATTCAGAGAAAAAGTATATGCAGAATATTTTCTATACAGTGCTTGTTTTAATGATATCTCGTTTGCGCTTGACATGACAGGAGATCGACTATTGATGTGACGCTTTGACAAATCCCAAAGGCACCATATTAGGATTACTTGATCCTCCGCCACCACCACGACCTCCAGAAGATTGGCCTCTGCCTGATCCTCTTCCACCACCACGACCTCTGCCTCTACCCCCACGAAACCCACCTCTTCCGCCTCTTCCGCCTCTTCCACCACCATACGACCTAGACTGCTTGAACCTCACATTCTTCATAGCCAACGCCATCAAATCATCAGGCACCCTCACGTTACTATCTTCAAGAGAACGCACCAAATCCCCAGCAAATTTATCTTCACTACTGGTGACCAGACTGTACGCAGTCCCCTTTTCACCAGCTCTGCCAGTTCTTCCGATACGATGTACATGAGAGTCCAAATCTTTGGCAGAATCATAATTCACTACATTTTTAACAGACTTGATATCTAGACCTCGAGCAGCCACATCTGTACATACAAGCACATTTATGCGAGATGCTTTAAAGTCGGCAATGACGGTATCTCTTTCGATTTGTTGCAGGTCTCCGTGTAGTGCTCCACATTTGAAGCCCATGTCTTTTAGGTTGAGATACAGAGCATCGGTACCCGCTTTGCGTCCGACGAATACTAGTGTCGATCCTCCTTCGCTTATGAATCTGGGCAACTGTTTTACGAGCCAATCCCATTTGTAGGAGTCGTCAGGAAGAACTTGGATTATTTGGGTCACGTCCGTATTGACCACACCAACACCTCCTACAATTACTTTTAGTGGTTCTGTCAAGACGTCACGAGCTAGGTATTCGATTTTGCGAGGGAACGTAGCACTAAATAGGAGTGTTTGTCGATCAGGCCGTATACTATTACAGATAGATCTGACTTGTGGTTCGAATCCTACTACAAATTTCCCAAAGAAAAAAAAGTCAGGAAAACTGAAGTAAAAACGAATTGATTGAATCGATCCAAACGATACTTAACAGTCAAACATTCGATCGGCTTCATCCAAAACCAAGTATGACACCCTCCTTAAATTCGTAGCCTTCATCTTGATCATATCTATCAATCGTCCCGGAGTAGCAACAATAATTTCAATTCCGCCTTTTCGAAGTTCCTTGAATTGTTCTGCTTTCGAAGCACCACCATAAATCACAGACACATTCAGGTTATAAACTTTGGCGAACTTCTTGGTCTCTGTGTATATTTGATGAGCTAGTTCTCGAGTTGGAGCGAGAATCAGTCCAATGGGTCCATCATCAACATCTAATTCATCCTGCAGAGACGAGGAAACCGATTAAAAAGAAGTTGAAGGAATTGATTTGATGTAGAACAAAAGACGTGTATCCGAAAGAAGTCGAATGAAGACGTTTGACTTCTGTCAGTGTCAAGGGCTACTCACTTGATCCATGATATGTACAAGCATCGGCCATATAAATGCAGCTGTTTTTCCAGACCCGGTCTTGGCAATACCTATGAGGTCTTTACCAGACAATGCAAGTGGTACCGCTTGTCTTTGAATGCCGGTTGGTTCTGTATATCCATGTTTGGCAATTGCTGAAATCAATGATTCGTCAAATCCAAAGTGCCCAAATGAGATACATGGATAATACAGCTTTGAAGCGTGATCTGGACCTGTTACCACGACATCGAATTGTGCTCGTATTTCACGAACTTTATCAGGTGTTAGAGATGCTATATCGGCATGAGGTTCGTAGAAATTCTTTTCGAGTTCAGGGTATTCGATCTTGGAATGGTCGACTTGTGGGAGGGGTTCAATGTCTTTGCGTTTATCACCTGGATTTGAGAGGAGATTGATCGTTGTTGGATTTTTTTGTTGTCACAACAAGAAGGAAACATACCTGTAAGAGCATCAACACGTGCCATACTCGGATCTTCATTGGCTGCATCGATCGCAGCAGCAGCTCTATACACCTCATCATCTGAATCGTCATCATCAGGTCGAGGACCACTCTCAACTCCACTCTTGCCAACTTCAAGCCCCTTTGACTTCATAAACTTGATATAATCTTCTACATTATCGTCATCATCAAAGCTCATTATCTGCTGTTGTTGCGTTTGTCTTTTCGGTAGACTAGCTTCCTGTTTTACTTGCTGATCTATACCAGCCATGAATGCGTCTAGATCATCTTCGTCGTCATCGGCTGCTGCTGCTGGAGGTGGATTTGCAGATGGAGAGCGTTCTGAGGAAAATATAGATGGTCTAGCAGTCGTGGATCCGGCTTTGACAAAGTGTTGGTTTATAGTGGGTTTCTTGTCAACCTTCCAATCGTCGTCATCGTCGTCATCTTGATCCATGGTATTTGAAGCTGGATCGTATGCGTTACTAGATGATTTGATACTTTGCTGCTGAGTAGTGTGTGTTGAAGTTGATGTTAATGGTGGAAGCTTTCGTTTCGGTTGTTGCTGTATTGAATCGTCATCGTCGTCTTCTTCGAGAGCAGAGAATGGACGTCTCCCCGTGACGGCTGGCTTCTTGACGAATCCTGTAGAGGGCTTCATGGTATAATTCGTGAGTTTGGTCGAATGTTTGTTGTCTTGGCCGAGTTTGGCGAGCTGAGAGTCCTAACTAAGATACTAGATGTCAGCATTAAGCAGTGATTTAGACGATTGAAAGATGGATCCACTACACGACAGCAAGCCGAGAGTCCTTTTAACACCTCGTCATGGTCAAAACAATTTCTGTGGATTTACCTGAGGAGAGCTTTACCAATACTAGAAAGCTGCTGTATCCAAAATCAAGCCAGAGCGCTGAATACGTAAGGAGACGTCTTGTCCTCCACGATCTATATGTGGTTGAGATGCGGTGGCAATTGGAATGGCACTGGATGATGGATTTTAACGATTACAACGCGACAAACGCTCACAAGCAAGCATTTTCTTGCTCGGCATAACGAGGGGTGATTTATTCGAGGCATAATACACGTAATGGATGCTTTTCTCTGTCGTATACAAACATTTTCGTTGCTGCGCGAATATTCACTTTAAATTGTAGTTTGTGACGCTTCAAAGACTCATAACATCCTCCACAACCGACGTTGTCATGAACTGTTAGAAGGACGAGAGCCCATTGCGTGGATGTATCCACGACTAGTAGTTTCGGATGTATTACACTGCTTTTGAACAATTCCTGCTTTGATGTCCACAAAACATACTGTTGCCGCTTCTAACATTTTGTCGGTCTTTACTGACTAGTTCCTCTATATAAAATGCCTATATAGCTTCTCTTGCACATGAATCTATCTCTGGACTGCATTGATCGGTCCTCTACGGCCTTCCAGGTATCAAGATCTCTCGTTTTACTAGATCACGTATTTTGACGTCAACTATAACAATGGTACTGATTCTCCTGACGTTGCTTGTCTGTACAGATATCAAGATTCAAGATTAAGGCACTAGTGCTGTGTCCCTTCTTCTCATCAGCAAGCGAGATACCTCTCGTACTCGGTTGTCGCAATCGTGGAGCCGCAACGAGCATTGTGCTGATACTCGGTCTTTGCACTCTTGCTCTGCTCCCACTCTGATGCTCACCTCATCCTCTCTCTTTAATAGACACCTGCAAGAAGCACGAGCCGTCACTCTTGACGTTTACGTCAACAAGGAATCATAAAAGGACAACGCAATTGTATGTGAAAATGTATGGCGCAAAGAAGCATCAGGCCCGTCACAAGTTGCAATTCTTGCCCGGTCGAAGGATACGTTCCTTCCTTGATTCGGGAATTGCATCATGCTTGCTCTTGTGGTCCAAGTGAAAATACTGTCTCCAATCCAGAACAATCATGTAAGTCTAGGCGCAGCTCAAGTTCTCAGTCTCATTGTCTTACACTATGTCCCTTTTCCAATATAGCCAGCCTACAAGAAACCAGAGCTCTTACTTGAAATCACAATGTACTGTGGTTCCACTCAGGAATCATTGGGGAAGGCATTCGATTTGATTACCGGCCTTCCAAAACAATTTATTTCTTGAAATTTCAAAGTGCAGGCCTCTATGGCCCGATCGGTGCGTTGTCTAATGGTGGGGACGACGTCCATCTTGATCCTGAACTGGTTGATGCTCTACAACTTTGCGAGATACGATCTCCCTCGGTGAGTACCAATCTCTTTATATCGCGGTGCACTCTTTTTCGACTCGTATTCTTTATCACACTTTTCAACTTTAAATATATAGACAACCTACAAGAAGTAAGAGCCATCACTAAGATCACTTTACTGTGGTCAGGCCATTCAGGAGTCATGGGGCAAGGCATGTGATTGATTTAAAGTCATTCCAAAACGTGTTTTGGGATTTACAATGTACAGGCTTGCGGGCCAGGTCAATGTCTTGTCTAGGTGGTGGGGAAAAACAACATACGACACCCACCTTGATCCTGGATGGTTGATGCACGCTTGCCTTATGGTGGAGTTGCTGCTCTTGTAGCCAGGTTTTATTACTTCTCCTATTCGGTATGCTCAAAGATGTATTGAAGCGTTGTTTTGGTTATGATCCAAATCAGATCCTAAACTGCATAGACAAACTACGAAAATCCAGCGCCTGTCGCCCCGACAAATTCAACGCCTCATATCTGAGCCTGGTCGTAGTCATGTCTAATAGTGAGGAATCTCAACACCTACACAAAGTCAGAGGCTGTCGCCACGGTCAGACTTTTATGGTTGGATCATGTCACACTTCTACGGTTGGTCAAGTCACTTCAGAATCATGGAGCAAGGCCGCTGGGACTGGGACAGCCCTCACATGTTGGAAGCGAATTGCCCTGTGCCTCGCTATCCAGGGGGTCATTCTTTTCTGTAACCAATTTTTCAATCAGGCTGCTTAGAATTCGGTTTGGAGGATAGAAGCATCGTTCCGTCTCTTTGGAAAAATCACAAAGTAAGCTTAAATAATCTACCTTATTCAGGCATTCGCTGTTCTTTTCCTGACCCCTGCTCCTAGCAACTAGATTTCTGAAATCTCAGTACAATATTCATCCCACACTTACAAACATGGTTTAATGTGGGTTCCAAGCCCCGGTTGCGAAAAGACAGAGGAGACCATATGGAATCACGCTTTCTCAATCGTCGAGATTCCAGTGTGATCCGAGTTAATGCACTTACAGGTACATGTCGCTCATCTGGATATTTGGAGTTGACGAGTCGTGGATGTCAGCTATTACCAATCATGGAGATACAGAAGCAGCTATCTTGCAGCAGTCCCAGTGTGGTTTGTTTGCATTGGGTAAAGCAAGAGTTTATTGTTATTTCCAAGACTGAGCTAGACTGTTTCTTCCATATTTCTCATGCTTGCAAAATCTGTGGATTTCAACTGAGCCACAATTTTCGTAATAGCATCTCGTGGAAGGAGTTGCATCGCTTTTGTCAGACGATCTAGACGTTGGTGATACACCCATTGGATTGATTCCGGATCTACCTCGAGACGTAGTTTGTTTTGTAGCATGATTCTGTCTATGGTGGTTTTGGAAGCAACGCAACTCGGGGACATCCAAAACATTTGTGCTCATCCAGGACGTTCAATAGAAATGATCAAGGCGCAACAAGAGGAGGCTGTCATTACTACGTTATCGTTGAACCTGATCCGTTGTTTGACTCGTTGAGGTATCGAAACCAACTTGGACTTTTTTTGGGTTACATTGTTCGCAGTCAGCAATCAAGTTCTGCATATCGAGTATAAAGCCTTATATATATAAGCGAGTTTTGTTTATACAATAAGCACTGCTTTTTGAAGTTTTCGTTGTATGGTAATGATCCTAAGTACAACAACAGACACCAACCAGACTAACACAAAAACCCAACAAAATGTTCTGTGTGTTTTAAAGTTTCTTCCTCTTTCGTTTTGCTCTGTGTGCTTCCCTTCAAACCCACTCTCTCTACTACCAATACTCACGAGTCAGGAATAGGGAAGGACACAAATTATCCCTCCATGCCAACCTGTATTTAGAAGAAACAGAACAATTAACACTGGGTGTTGATTTGGGTTAAAATTTTCAGTGCTAGATTTACCCCCGAGTCAAAGTCATTATGCAATGACACCAAGTTCTGATTAAGCTCCTTTTGTCTAGTTTGTGCCACCAGAAGCTGATTCGGGTATAGCAGTTTCATCAAGGATTCTAACTGAAACATGGACCGTCGAGCACTCATTTCATGAGCACGACGTTCTTCAGGTGTTGGTCCTATAGTTGAATCTGAATCCGCTTCCTGTACAAATTCACCAGACTCTAGTGACGACTCAAACTGCACCCGGAGACTCCATATAAAATCAAAGACATTCGGACTAGCTTTTAGCCAATCCCGGACTGGATTATATGATGGATTATAATGGACTATTCCATGTAGGGTGGCTACACCGACTTCAGTGGCTGTTCTATCACGAGTCGATTGTGCTAGGAGGTATCGAAGCAAGACAGATGCTACATGTTGATTACATATTTCTTCAATCTGTAGGGAATCGTTGGATACGGCCATATTCCTCAATACACCTGCTGCTTTTACTCGATGGGTTGCCAGATCTGGTCGTTCGACATTTAGGTATTCCAAGATGCAAGGTAGTAGACCTGATGAGACGATACTTCGTCCTTCGGCTGGCACTCCTGCTACATTATGTACAATCATGATGGCAGATAGTTGGACGTCTACCATCATTGAAGAGTCTGATAACAATTGTTTTAATTTTTGTAATAGTCCAAGATGTACGACGAGCTGAATCAGGAGGTGTGGTCGAATTAAAAGCGGATGATGCAAACCTCTAAGTGAATCAAGGAGATTAACGCATACCTGTGTGAGACTATTCTGTCTAGCTGTAATGTTTACTAAAGCCCTTAGGGCATGCGGCAGAGTTGTTACATCACAAGATCTACATGAGAAGAGATATCCCAGTTTTTAGCAGTGGGCATCGACTACACTTCGGAGTTTACGAGGACTTACTGTACTATAGAGACTAGAGATCCAACTGACGAATCACCCAAAACATCTATTGAACGTTGATATCCAGCATATGCGATTTGAGCGACAGCTCTACACAATGCCGTTATTTCAGGTTCCATGAGTCCTCGATATTCGCTCAACAACTGCGACAGTCTCGGAATGATTGCGACAACCTGTAATAAAAGAAATCCTTAAGAAAATCAGTGCTGGAAAGCAGGCAAAACGAGCAAACTTTGAAGGGGCCCAATTGTATTTGAAGACCTATTTCAACACAACTCTCACGTACCTGTTCCCAATGACCAGGCTTTCGCAGTTCCCAATCGCACAAACACAAAAGGGCTTGCATTGCTACTTCAATAGACGACCTTTGTTCTTCAGGATGTGATCGATCAGCACCATCCCAAATGTGCATCAAGGGAGCGAGGACATGACAATCCATGACAGCATCTCGTGTTTGTTCTGATTCACCAGCAATGTTTCCTAATGCCCATGCAGCCTAATATGCGAGCAGAAGAGGATTTAGTGATTCTCATGAATATGATATGTTGACTGCTTTCGTTTGCAGCAAATCTTCTTAAGCATTTACATTGAGTCGTATCCTCCAATCCTGATCAAGCAGTAATGCAGCTAGGGGCATTATGAAACCGGCATTGGCAACAGTATTACGTTGCAAGTCAGTGGCCTCAGTAGCTGAGAGGTTGATCAATATCCAACATACTTCATACTAGCGAGTGAGGCTGATGTGAGCGGTAGGGCAAAAAAAGGATGCAATACTTTGACAAAGCATGGCTTGTACCTTGATATCTGAACCATACTGTGGAGTTTGTATCAGATCACGTAATCGGTCTAGCACCCCCAGCGAGAGTGCATGCGTTATGTGCGACGACCTGGCCTCTGTAAACCAGCAAGGCAGGGTATTTGTGCGTGAGCTGTCATTCAAGGTTAAGGCCAATAGAATGATAGTTTTGTTGAGGGAAACGAACGGTCAAAGTTTACCTCCACACAAGTAGTTTCGTAAACGCTGCACAGCATTGAGAACATATTCTGGCACCTAAGTAGACTCGGCGAGGTTAAAATTTTCGTTTATGTTATATATTGTAATACGTTTCCGATTAATCCCTTTCTTTACCGTGTTCATCATTGCAGCCTTGATTGACGCCTATGCGCATATCATGCAAAGACAAGAAGCTGGTCAGTGCATGTTCATTGAGCAATGCCCATAGATCAGACAAGTTTCTGAACAACTCCATTGCAACTATATCAGTGCATGTTGACCAAGCAATAGATATAGATCTGACAAGTTCACAAGCAGTTCGATTGCAACAAGAACATTCCGATAATCAGTGTCCACAAGCAGTCTTTGCAAGTAAACCGCAAACTTGTCTGAAGTCTGGGATGGCCCAACCAATTTCATGATTTCAATGTACACGACAAAGAATGAAGGGCAGGTACATACCAGACTAGTTCCCTGAGCCTCTTCAAATGACCATAATGAAGTCTTTGAAGTAGTATCTACACCAGTTCCCATCAATTGCCTTGTCAATGTATCGAATTCACTGAAATCGACTCTCGTGCTTGCAGCTGGTTTCCTTCTTGTCGAGTTGGACGCGGGAGTCAGGAATGGATTTGAGAACACTGGCTGCTGCGGCTGTTGGTCTCCATTTGTCGCCATGTGTCGTTCCAAGGTATCTTCCTGCTCTTGATTGGGTTTCGAGATTTGTGGGGAGAATGTGAAGCTGCTGAGAAGCTCGGTACGTCGCAAAGCAATAATGAGGAGGGAGATCTGATATTCAATACGATTGTAACCTCCATTCAATCTTCTATTTTTCCGGCATCACGTTCGCTGCTCTGTGCAGAGAAATATCACGTTGAGAACTGGTCCGCGAGCTGCTGGCTATACGTAATAGGATTCGCAGTGCTTCCAATTCATGTCAAATATCCATGGAGTACGTCCAACCGTGTTGGATCACCTCTTTATCGGTTAGTAAAGTGGTAGCATATCGTCCACTTACATTTTTGACATTTTGAATTTTGATGTGATGGGACTTAAAGCCTTTGGTAGCTGAAAGTGAAGCGTTCAATACATTCTAGTACGTGTATAAATGGATTTTGTACCGTACAATTAGTAGTTCTAGTATGGTGTACGCCATACAGTGCTTACTTACTTTGTTACTAGTCCTCGTTGAAGATGACATGCCTACAATGGTACATCTACGAGTGCTCATTTGTAGCCGATTCAACGCTATGGAATGCTCTTCTGCGTTGATGCATTCACATACCTTGCAACACGACTTTTCCAAGTGTTAAAACACATCATCTTTGCATTGACATCATGCAAAAATCTCTGAACTGGAATATGACCTCCAATAGTAATATCGTCATGAATGATCTGCTCGAAGAAACTCGAACCATGTGCCAAAATCGCATCCCAGCTTCATCAACTGAAACAATCAAACAATGTGCTAGTTGCCGAATGCTCTGTATTGAGCCATGATAACATTACACTCAAGAACGATATCACGAACTGGAAGTGTGAGTCATCAACAGTATCAACGATTCGCAAGCTGGACATCTCGAGGTCGTGACATCAACATCAAATACGACAGACTTGATGGCTCTCCATTGGATCTCTGTCCTCTCCATTGGAGAAGATTACGGAATTTATCAACATCGGTATTATTCGGGGATCCCTGTCCTCGCCATTGAAAAAGAGTAGAATGGGGAAGTTATCAACATCAGTATTATTTATATCGATATTGATGACCGTGTATGTCGTTAGAATTCCTGGGTATAATATCGGTGTTTTCACCGGTATTATACCAGCATCGATATTGCATCGGTATCGATACAGTATCCATACATATCGATATCTTATCGGGATTTGTGTATATCGATAACATACGAGGCCTCTTAACGGAACTCTCCGCTCCTGTTGTTCGGCAACATCTCTTACGAAAAATGGGGTCATGTGGTTCTTGCGGCAAGAACCAGTATAGCAGCCTAAAGACCTGTCCTAGCATTAGCATGCCCAGTGAATGGTGGAGTAAAAAGGCTGTGGATCGTCTGCAACGTGTCACTTTAAACAACGATCTTACCAGAAATCTTGTCGACAAGCCATCCGCCAGACGTTCGCCAGCGCTTTAGGCTCTTAATATACTCGACTTGGGGTCGACTTTAGAAGGATATTTTTTCTTGCTACTTTTGATTGGCCACTCAAGGAAGAAAACACTTAATGTATCTTGAAGCGGTTCTTGTCACTCTAGCATTTGTACAATCCACAATGCGATTACTCTAGATTGAGATACGTCTCCAATAGGGGTCCTTGATAGACGACTGTATCTTCAAGTTGATGAATCGAAACGTTCTGTCCAAAAACCGTTACCACCTGAGCATGCACAGATAGTAACTGATTCAAATTATGCACTCCATCTCAGTAGCTCATTGTAGCAGCATAATTCTTTGAATCCTTGTCCACATAACTCTGAAATAAAACATATTGGTCATTGACACTCAAATGTCATACTGTCATAACCGAATTCCATAGTTTCCTTGATGATCATTGAGCGAACATGGCAACGAGAAGAGATGCTTGAGGGTATCTTGACCATATTGGAATCTTAACTTGGTAGCCTCCACCATCAAATGCACTTGAATTTCGGTTGAGATAGACAAAAGTCTATTTTACATACGCGAAATTCAAAGTTCAAAGTATCTCCCATGGCTACAAAAGTCAAAGCGCCTGCTTTGATTTCTATCTAGTGCGACACCAACCCGACCGACGTTTTCGCACTTTAAGACCAAGATATGGATGAAAGACGGATACGGACGTGGATTATGTGACTAATATGATCCTCTCAATTGCGTAATATCGGCTCTCTATCCTGGTTGGATGTGGTTTTCCAAAGTTACTTGAGCATCGAGCTTGAAGCTGAGGAGGGCGAACTTGGACAGCGAGGGAGCTCTTATACAGTTGAAGCATTCTATCATAATTAATATCCAGGACACAATTAGCAATGCGACTAGAAGGGTAACTTGAAATTGCCAAAATATTTAAATCCAGTGACTTTTATTTGATTGAACTACCATGGAACTAATTCTTACTGCAACGATAGAAAGTGGCCAACCAGGACTATTAAGCCCGATCTGATTCCCTCCACCTCACTGCTTCCTCGTCGGTGGTCCATGGGAATCAGGAATCAATCAGAATTTTGTATTTGCCGGCGATTTGCAGTTCTGTTTGTATCCTGATTTCACATCAAGCTTGCCATCCGAAAATAGCAATGCTTCATTCATACTTTCAGCTCGCGTTTTCGACTTGCCGACAAGCAAGTTATTTTCGTTACTTATCTCTCAGCAGCACTTCACTCTCACTTGCAACGTCAATAAGAACAACATCCCATTGAAAAACAGACTTGCCAAGAATCAAGAATGTCTTTCGATTACATGACAGTATTCCAAGCTAGAAGCCTGAACATTGACCGAAGTCTCGAGTTGGATATAATGCTTGCCCAACTTTTATCACCAATGCTCGCAACACCTGTCTTCGAAAGCTTAAATTCCATGGAGGAAACGTCTAATTTGTCGCTCTCTCTACCTGATAATTCCTCTGAATGGGTATGTTACAAACCTTGTAATGTTCTCAGCTACGTCAGCAACCGTTGTTACTCCTACCGATCTAACCAATCCCACTATAATCACTCCGTACTGACTAAATCCCTCAATTCCAATAGTCTGAATATCTTGGCAAGGACCTCATTACAGGTCAAACGTTTTGTACATCCGATCTGGAGATCCCTGTACTAGAGGAGTACTCATCTCCCGCTGCAAATGAAGAGGGGAGCTCCTGTCAAACCAATAGCAATAGCGAGATGCAAACTCTCGAAGCTAGCATTGCATGGACCCTGGATTCTGTGAATGGTGCTACGCATGCCATTCTTACAGCCATCACGATGGTCAATCCCGAAAGTAGTAACGCGTATAGTAGCAAGATCGGATCACCAAACACTCCTCTAAATGGTAGTGCCAGCCCCGTTTATGATGCCATGGAGGTCGCCTCTCAAATATTCTCACGTCGAGACTCTGGTGTTGACTTCGAACCGTACATCCCTCTAAACAAGGATGTACTCCGTCAACCAGTTATAGAAGAAGAAGCAAGCAGCGCTAGTGAAGACAGCAACTCTAGTAACGACTCAGATGATGAATACGATGCTGACACACCAAGAAAGCAAGCACCAGCCCTCTCCCGTAAACGTCGTAGTAGTGCCACCGCCGGTAATGGCAGAATCACCAAACCATTTGTAAGAGTGTTGAGCAAGGTCTTTGAACAAACTTGTTACCCAGAAACCAGTATACGGGAATTGCTCGCTGAACGGATGGATATGAAGCCACGGGCCGTGCAAATATGGTTCCAGAATAAGAGACAGCATCTTAAGGCTGCTGGTGTTAGTGAAGGGTTAAGGACCAAGAAGGGCGGCGATAATATCAGAGTCGACCAACTGCAACCAGAAGATGTGGAGATGTGGTGTGCTGAAGTTGGATTTTAAACCTTTAACCAAGGCATCGTAGCTGTAGCTGCAGTAGTAGTATTAGTCTTCATCGATGTAGTAGTGCACTCCATTTGTGAGATTAAATGACCAAATAGAGCATATGTAAATCAACAGTCAATGCAGTGAGCGAGGTTTGGCAAATCTACAGCTTATAAAACAGAACCCTAATTGGAATTGGTACGATCAATCTGGCGGGATTCTTCAAATCTTGACTGCCAGTGGGGTCGTGAAGATACCAGATGATTTAAACATCGTGCACAATAGGATAGAGTAAGGGTTTGTCTACCGGCGGATACCCCAAAACGCTTGAGAATACTCCCACATCTTGTTTTCAATAGGCCGACGGCAACTTGGTTGTTGGAGTTGATGCCTTTCAGTAGACAGAGGAGGTCTCAGTTCGAAACCCATCCAGTACATTAAATATCACGTATTTGGATACGTAGTCAACGCAGATGCTCACTTTCTCTCTCTCGACGCTCACTTTCGTCGCTCAACATTATGCCAAATGTTCAATTTGGAATTGATGATTGATGAAGCTTTTCTGAGCGGCGAAAGAGGTCATATGTAGTCTGAATATATGTAAGAAAAGTGCTCATACAGGACACAATTAGCAATGGGACCAGCAGAGTAACGTTAAATTGTCAAAATATTTAATCCAGTGACGTTACTTTCTGAGAACAGACGCAAAACAATCTGCGGGCATAGGTAGAGAAGTAACGTCCTGTTGATTTCAAGATATCGCAACACCTGTTTATTGCCGACTGGCGGTCTTTCCCCCAATATGTGGCTCATCAACTCACAATATCACGTCCCAAGATGGAAAGTTGCCAACCAGGACTTGGAATGGCGATTTCATTTCCACCACACTGCACCAAAGGTTTGGCTTTCTCTCCGGGACTCCATGGGAATCAATCAGAATTTCGCATTTGCCGGCGATTTCAATGTTTGTATCCTGATTTCTCATCAACTTGACCATCCGGGAATAGCAACACTTCATTCATACTGTCGGTTCGCATTTCCGATTTGCCGACAAGTTATTTTCGTTGCTTATCTCTCAGCAGCTCACCATACACCAACTGGCAACATCAAGAACTTCGAGTTACAAGACAACATCAGCAAGTTATAAAAATGTCTTACGATCCAACAGCTGTACTCCACGCCAACCATCTACCCTTCGAGCTGGATGTATCTTTAGCCCAACTTTTGTCACCGCTGCTGTTGACACCACTCTTCCAGAGCTTGAATTCTTGGGAAGACCCATCTACTTTATCGTCTGAAGGTTCCTCTGAATGGGTAAGAATCAAGTTCAAGTTTATTTCAGCAAATTCGTGGTACTTATAGCTTCTGTCTCAATAGTCTGAGTATCTTGGCAAGGATCTCTTCGTTGACAACTTATTTGGCACATCCGATTTGGAAATACCTGTGACGTATTCATCACCCGCTTCAATTGAAGAGGGAGGCTCCTGCAATAATAGTAGTAGTGATTTGCAAGGTCTTGAAATGGGGTTTAAATGGCGATTATCACCTCTGGACGGTGCTCAGCATGCCTCAGTCACAAACGTCACGATAGTAAATGCCAACAACAGCAACAGCACCGGCAGTGAAGCTCTAAACAGTCCTCTGACAGGTAGCTCCAGCCCAATATATGATGTAGTATCTCGTATATATTCACGTCGAGACTCTGGTGTCGACTTTGAGCCATACGTGCCACAATTCACCAACAAGGATATACTCCAGCAACTAGTCATAGAAGAGGAGGAAAGTAGTGCTAGTGAGGATGGTGTTTCTAGCAACGACTCGGATGACGAATATGATGCCGAGGTATCAAGGAAACAAACGCCAAGAAGCCGTCGCAACAGTGCCGTCACTGCCGGTAATGGTCGAGTCAGCAAACCGTCTGTAAAAGTGCTAAGCAAGGTCTTTGAGCAAACTTGCTATCCCGAAACCGGTATACGAGAACTGCTGGCTAAACGAATGGATATGAAGCCAAGGGCCGTACAAATATGGTTCCAAAATAAGAGACAACATCTCAAGGCTTCTGGAGTCAGTGCAGGGTTGAAAACCAAGAAGGGAGGCGATACTTATAAAGCACCAGTCTACCAAGTAAAACCAGAAGATGTAGAAATGTGGTGTGCCGAAGCTGGATTTTGAACCAGCGCGAATTAAATAGTAGCTGTAGTAGTAGTAATAGTCTCTCATCAATGTAGTAGTGTACTCCATTAGTGAGATTTAAGACTTCAAGTAATTAATAAAATCATATCTTCATCGGAAAATCAAGCTGAGAGGATTACAGACAACAGTTCCTCGTTCAAAGCATCTTCAGCCGTATCGACAACTCAAAACAGCCACACAATTCCTGAATCTGTCATACCCAACTAGCTTCGAGAGCACAGTTTACCTTGAAATTCATGGTGGTATGAAATTGGGACTTCGATCGTCAACGTCCCTGAAGTGCAAGTCATGAAAACAAAATTCTTTGCTGTGATCTTGATTTTCCGCTGAAAGCTTGACGTGATTGCCCCAATATTTGCCTGAAGACATCAAATGTTCTTAAATTTCGGCAAGAAATACATTCAAACAGGTAAAAGTATGAGTAGTCCATGATTCCATGCATCAAATGGTCCAGAATGCACGTGAAGAGTGTTGGCTAAACGGCATCTGGAAGCTCTAGTAACAAGAATTCAAGATTGGTTAGAATTGATGACATTGACCACAGCAGGAAGGTACAGACAGCGGTTGATACTCGTTCAATAATTGTACATTGTACAACACGTACCTCCATATTTCTCCTGTATCGCCCCCCTCTCCAATACTCTTTTCTTGACTCCTATTGCTCACTCGCTCACACCGCTAGCCCCAAAAATCACGAGTATGTCAAGAGTCTAGGTGCATCTAGGCTGTTTAATTATAACGACAAGGATATTGTGGCCACTATTGTAAAGGCTGGAAAGGAAGATGGGTTGATGATTGATTTCTCGTTTGTTGCTACAGGGGGTTCATCTCAAAGAATTAAAGAAGCCTGAAACCATTGCAAGGATTGCACTAGCACCATTTGCTTTGAAGATGCTTTGAAGATGTTGTGGTATGTGGAAATTATTCATTCCATCATAGAATCAATACGTATTTAACCAACACAAAACACACAGGTGGAGCCTATTCCCAGAATGAAGATCAACCGAGGTCAAGTTTGTGTCTATGAGTGATAAATTTGAAGAACGGAGCGAATTCGCTCACTTTATATTTGGGGTCTGGCTGAAAGACAAGTTGGAATCTGGACAATTTGTGGCCAGCCCAAAGATCAAGCTTATAGAAGGTGGTCTAGGGGCCATTCAAAACTCTCTGGATGTGGACTTGAAGAAGTCGCCTGCTGAGAAGCTCGTTGTTCCACTATAGAGGTGGAAACTCTGCATGATTCAGCGCTTTTCCAGTCTCCAGCTCGCGTCCCCAAACACCACCAGCCTCCATGTCCTCTCCGACACCACCAAATTCCAAGTAGAACAGTGCCGCGATACCATCTTGTCCACCCTGTCCTCCCAATCCTTACTGCTCCAACGACTGACTGGCGAATCCTCCAAAAAAGGCCGCGTCTCGGAAGGAGTCCTCCAGTCCTTGCTCGAGGTGCTGTACCCTACATCCGAAGTCATCCTCGTCTCGGCCTGCCCTGAAAACGCCGACTTGCTCCTCAAACGTGCTGGCTCTGTCGACATTCTCTTTGAAAACAAGGCCTACTCCCGCAATGTCCCCCAAAGCCAAAGAAGTCACTAAATTTCATCGCGATGTCTCCTTGTCCTCCACCCACGGTATACCTCGTCTCCAAGCCTCGGGCATCGCCTCCAAACCCGACTTTTCCTGGGACTTGCTTCCCTCCGGGTTTATCGTCCTCTACCTCTCCAACGTGGCCTACGACCCCGACCGCTTAGCTATCGGTGTCTCCTTCCTCGAAGGCCTCGTGTCGCTCCTTGCTCAACTGGGTCCCCACCGTGGTGGCGACTCCCTTTGCTTGACTCACTCCCAGGTCGACCAGCTCCACCACCTCGCTACAAAATTGGGTGAACGTGTCCAGCTCGCCCTAGACCGCATGACTCGCATGTCCAAAGAACTCGTCCACGACCTCAAAGGCATCCTCGAACTCGTCCCCGACTTTCTCGCCTGTTTTTAAGCTGGCTGGCAGTACTGGTGCGGTACTGCTAGCAGTACGGCTACGGTTTCTGCTTCAAACTCTAAAAAAGTCGCTTGGTGTGCCTTTATCTCCTTCTCCAATCCGTCACCACTCTTTCTGATCAAAACAACTATGAGTGCTACCACCACCATGGCCACCCCCGTCCCTGCTGATATTCATGCGAGCATACACACCTTTCTACGAAAGTCTTTCTACGAAAGAAAACCTATCAAGGAAGAAGAGGCTGCTGCTTCTTCTTCTTCGGGTGCTTCTCTCGTCGTCGTAGAAGACACTCCTCCTAAAAAGGCTGCTTCCCGTGCTGAAAAGGCCAAACTCGACGCCACCTCCTCCTCAGTCGATAACGAGATCCTTGTAGTTGCTGATGCTGATGCTGCTGCAGCTGTTCCTACCGTGGTTCCTGTCAAGAAGACGGCTGTTAAGAAGCCACCAAGGCTGTCAAAGCTACCAAGGTCGCCGTCGTCAAATCTGCCGAAGAGGTCCTCAACTCCCTAGCAAGCCTCCAGGAAGCCAAGGTCCAACTCGAATCCCTATGACGGAAGATCAAGCTCGTCTCTCCTTCTATAATTGGCTCGTCCCCTTCTACAGCTACCTCAACTGCTTACGTACCGCCCAGAAGATTAACATGGTAGGCGCCGCACCTTACCTCCAAAAGGAATTCTCCATCAACGAAGAAAACGCGGCCATCGTCCTCCAACTCTGGTTGGACAACCACCACGGCACAACTCCTTCTCTCTCAATAGTGTTTCCCTTGTAGCTGCCTTTTCCCCCACAACAAAAAGGATCGCATTCTTCACGTACCATGCATTTTGTTTAGTTTTCGTTGTTGCTTCTTCTATTTGTCCAATCCGGTTACTTTTACTACTCCTACACCGTCATCTTGGGCAACCCCAACCTGTCCCAAGCCCGAACCACTATCGGCGCCAACAGCCTTGCTACTGCTAAAGCCTCCGCCTCCGTCCTTGCTTTGACCTCTCCCATAGTCTTTGCTCCAACTCTCACTTGATCTTTACCCAACTTTGTCGCCATATGCCCTTCTGCCCCTTCTGCCTCTCTGCCCCAACTCCCGCACCGTCATCTAAATATGGATCGTCCTCTAAGCTCTACTACTTGAAGCACTACCTTTACTTATGGAGTTTTCCGCCTTTGCTTTATCAAACCGGGCCCTGTCCGCCTTGCTGAGCGCTTCGAATGGCTCTTTCGCCGTGTCAGACAACTTCTTCCAGGCAGCACCTAACAACTTTCCAATATCACCAAAAGTTGCGTCCGGATTGTCCTCCTTAATCTTTGGTCGGGATTCTCTTGAGAAGTGCATGAATGCATTCAATGGCTTCTTGGGAGCATTGGGATCCTTGTCTTTTTTGGATTTCTTGGTGTCCTTCTTTAAAGGGCGAATAGATTCTTCAGCATTTTCTGATTTCGCTGGCTTCTTGGATATTTCTAAGCTTCAAAACATGCCGTTATCATACTGATACAGTCGTAAAGCCCGTAGTACTCACTTGAACGCAACCAAGGGATGACAGCAATTGTTGCTCGTATCGTTGTGTCTCATTGCAGGTTCTACAGTAACGTTGATGTCCCAGTCACATCCTTTAGGATTTATCAACAACATATAGTCCATCTGACGGGTTGGCGCCGTACACGAAGTATTACTATCCAGCAGTCGCCATTCAGTTGGTGTAATCAACTTGACATCTGCCGTCTGCCACCAATCTCGCACCCACTTTGGGGTATCTTTATTCGTCCATTTACCCACAACACCCTTTTTCAAACTAACAGCCGAAAGATTGAAGTCCCCAGCTATAATAATCGGCACAGTAGGCACTGTTGGCACGATACCAGTTGCTTTGAATAGATGCGCATAGCTCATCGCTTCGACCTGGAGTCGCGCGGCCATATCAGCTATGCTAGCAAATTTCCCAGGGAGATTATTAAGCCCATGAAATGAAGCAAAGATGGCTTTGAAGTCATTTCTACAAAGCGCTTTCACGGCGATACGGCGCTGTGTTAGCTCCAAATGCTCAAACATCGTTTTCAACGGTTGGAATTCGTCAACGTCCATCGGTCGAAACCCCTGTTCCGAGATGCGATACCACAAAAGTTTTGCTTCTGTTTTGATCTTCCCCACACAATCAATGGATTCATGGTCCTTAAGACAACTTCGAATAATTTTCTAGATGGGATCATTAGCGGTCCATCATATCTATAGATGTGGGTCAATATCTTGCCTCATAGGGGTTATCGATCTCTTGCAGACAAACGATTTCAGGCTTTGGCTCCTGCTCAAACTGCGTTTGAAGTGTCCTCTCTCTGAAAACCCTGCACGGTGTGTTGTGCGGTCGAGGGTTGAGCGAAACGAGTCGGAATTTGATCGTTGTCGCCAGCGTAGTAAGGTCTTTGTTCAGGAGTTCAATTAGTTCAACATATTGTTTATCATTTGTCTGAAACTTACCGATTGACTTGTCACTTTCATTATCCTGAGCTTTCTCTTTGCCTGAAACGAGAGAGCGCGTTGACCTCATCATAATCATGCCTGTAATTTGCTGCGTTGTTCGTGACGAACTTACCTTTATTCCCAGTTGGAACCTTTTCCTTTGGTACTGCTCCTGTTTCACCCAAATGAGATCATGAATATTTGTATTGTAGCCTGAATTCAAAGCAGCTGACATGCCAGTAGATAGATAAGGAGCCACTGAGTTTGCACTGATGTCTTCCACAGAATCTGCACGGATGTCTCGGCCTAGGGTGTAAGCAGGGTCCGATCAAGATGTCATCATCATCACAAAAACCCTTCCGTATTGGCCGCCATCAAAGGAGCATTGATTCAGGTGACATACCTTGATTTAAATGGCTTGCTCCAGCCACTATTCTCGCCCCTTTGTTGAGAGAATGAATCTAGTCAGAGGCAAGAACGGGGTCCGAAGATTTCAGTATCTGGCAAACCTTTTGAAGGATTCATCTGAGCTCTATGTAAGCAGCGTTGCAATATGCTCCTTCAAAATCGGTTGTTGTTCACTCTATCAGAGATCTGTCGTCCCAATTTCGAGTGCAGTCCTCATCACGAAGAAGGAAGAAGGAAAAGAGAGAGTAGGAGGGTGGGGAGAAATGTCAGACAATATTGCGTAGGGAAGCTCGCTCAAATTTGATGCGATTCCTATCTGCTTTCAAGCCAGAATCACGTCGTAAAAGCTAACAATAAACACTTCGCAAAAGCACACATTTTATTCAGCGTAGTGATGATAATTCCGTTTCATGTGCTTGTTCTGGATAAATTAGCATGTTCACTAACCCATTTACTCTAGCTTCGTGCTCTTTTAACTGTCTTTACTCCTCTTGTCGTCGCACCATAAATGCATTTTGGGGACGACCTTTCAACCACAGGAGCTTCCAGCAAGTCCATCGTTTAGCAACACGCGGGCCCCTTTCTTCTTTGGTAGCGATGCAGTTGGCTGATCGCAACTGCCAATTCTGCCCATGTCCAAAAAATGTTCCAAATGTTCTTCGTTTTTCGGCAAACGTACATTGACATTTTAGGGTGGGCGTTCCATTTAGTATGCAACATCCATCGGCGACAAGGCCCGATTCAAACTTTTTCGAAAAAAGTCAGAACATTCAGAACGTTTACGGTCTTGATTTGTTTTACTCCATATTATTACCTTCTCCAAAAAAACCAAAAACATGCAGCTCCATGCTTAAGGAAGGCGTCTTTAAGCAGCAGGACTGACTCTATGACTGACTCTATCTAGCTGTGACGTTAGTGCGCTTCCAGGGCCGGATCACTATCTGAATACAGAACAGGTAATGCCTTTAAGATATAACCAAACATCCAAAGCCTGCAACTGTGCTCACGAACATCTACTGGTAGTCTAGCTATAAGAATCGCTATCTTCCTTACAAGATGAGTCACAGCTCCTCTTGTGACCTCGTTGGCCCAGTCCTGGCTTCATCAATTTCAACTTTGGCACGTTGGCTACGCTATGAAGCGGATGATTCGCTTGCATCGAGGACCATTGCCAAGCCCGTTCTATAAATCAAGGTACAATCGACTCTCGTTATAGTGATAGAGCTGGATTGAATTAGTGGCTATCACTATATCGAACACCACAGGATCATTACACCATCGAATTAAAATTCCTATATATTTATAGGTCCTTGGGCTTATTTTCATTATCGTTATAACGTGTGTACTACACACTTGGAGTATCACTACATCGAGAGTGGACAGTACGTCTTCGATGGCCTGTGTTGAAGAAGGAAGAAAAATATGAAAGACAAGCCTCACGTCATTCTCTTGTGACTTATATGTACTAATAGCACTTGGTCAACCTCTGTCTCGTAGGGCAAGAGCACTAAAACACTGCTGTCTTGGCAGTGGACCCTATCGCGAGTGAACGGCACTAGGTGGCAATCAATGCGCCGTCCGATACTCTCTGGGTATTGGATTGGTCAAGCTGTCTTCGGCATGCATTGGTTGGGATACATTCGGGCGGAAAATAGAGATCTACAAGTATTCGAGGGAGTTACCAACACTTGTGCTTTTGGGATGATAGGAGAAATCACACCCAATTATGGGAACTTGTCAATTGGTAAGTAGTTTTGTAAGTACTTTTCCTGCGTTTTGTACACCTCTCGGGTCATTCTCTTGTACTTAAACCTCGAGCTTATCTCGGAGGGCAAGAGCACCAAACACTGCGAGATTTCTCGGCAATGGACCCTCCATCTCCGTCTATTTGGAATGGTGAAATGATGGGCCGGACGATGGTAGTGTGCTTCGGCACCCTACTATCGGTAGAGCGCACTGCGGCTTGCATTTGTTGCGAGACGCTGTAGTGGAGTCAATGCTTTCAGCAAACCGATAATGATACAAGTACTAACATTTGCCGTTCTGGGTTTCAATTCATGATAGAAGGATCAAGCTCTACTTTGATTACTGCTGCCAATTACTGCTCTGTATATCTGGCTCGTATTTACTGTCCTGGCGAAACAGCCAAACCTCCTACCATTCAAGACCAGGAACAGGACAACGACAACTCCTTCCATGGTGAAGAATCGGCTACTTGTCGGTATCTCAAGCAAGTTTTCGTTATCTCACTTGAAAATTTTCGCTTTGAGAGGCCAAAGAACCTCCTTGCTGCTTTCTTCACATGTACAGAAAGATGTACCATCTTACGAAATTACACATTCATCGCACCAAATACAAACTGAATCATGAATCAGCAAAATCCCGCATGGTTTTCGTACCTTGCAAATTCTTCCTTATATTTAATCTTTATCTTACATGGAAAGCGCCAGCTCTCACAAAGTTTTATATATCAAAATCCTGCTGAGTCCTCCACCCAGACACCCTCGTCCCCACACCACCACCATCAACCGAAATCAAACTCTCACCTCCACCATCATCAACACTACTCAATTTCTCCACCAGATTCGACGCAATCTGTGCAATATCCTGCGCTTCAGGTGTATCCAGCGCTCCAGTCTGCTGCAATGCATCGTACGATTCCGCTAGTCGTGTTATACATCCCAGTAGAGGAGACTGCAGGATAATTGTTTTCAATTGTCGTGATTCTATGAAATGGAGGAGCGACCATAGGGATATGTGATGGAGGTTTGGGCTGCTGCTTGTGAGGAATCTCGTCAGGTATTCGTTTAGGAGGTCCCATTCTGCTACGAAGGCTGAGTAGTCTTCCACTATGGCGAAACAAAAAAAAGAGTAAATCATCGGCTGTAAATCAACACTCGAATATTTGATGTATCGCACGACATACTTCCTGAAGCAATGTTTCCTATAGCAGCAGCTGAATTGGCTGCAATCTCAACACTCTCTGATCGAGTGAGCAGTAGCAGTCTTTTCAGCAATGGCATAAATGCTATTTTGCCGGCATCTAAAATGAGATTTGCGTTAGGGACGCAATTTCGAGAAAAAAAATCATTATCTTTTTCAACTAATGTTGCAGAAAAACCTACCACACAACCCCAACACAGCAATACAAGCAGTCAATTCACTCAATATAGCCATATTCACATTCGGTATATTCAGCAAATCTTGCATCTTGACCACTATTCCAGCTTCAATGATTTTCGTCTTGTGGGATTCAGCCACTGCCAAGTTACGAAGTGTGCTGATGGCATCTGTGACAAAAAAGGGAGTTTGTTTCCAAGATAGTAGGAATACCCAAATTCAAGAACGACTGCACTTACGAGCAACAATCTCCTCCTGCTCAGAAGACAGCAATCCAATCAACGGAATCACAAACCCAGCTTCAATAAGCGCAGACTCGTTATCGGCATGTATAGATAGGTTCCTGACACATGCAGCAGCTGCAAGGGCTAGTTGTGGGACATTGGATTGTAATACTTCTAGTAGTGGTGGTAGACCACCGTTTTGTACTATTGCCAATTGGAATCCGTCTGTTGAGAAAGAATTGCTTAGATTGAACGAGAGAGTAAAAAAACTGCAAAGATTGTGAACCATTACCATCACTAGCAAGATTCCTCAACGCCAACACACTCTGACATTGTATCTTGAGCGATTCTTCATCCATGAGTCTTATTAGGGCCGGTACAAGTCTAGGTTCAGATTGCGCGAGTCTTCGCCTTGTTGCAGCTGCATATGGAAACGAGGATTAGAGCAAGACCAAAAATCCCACGAAACAAATCAATCATACCATCGACAGCAAGATTAGACAATGAGGTAGTTGAAAAGAATTTAATATCCAAGTCTGGTGAGTCTAGCAGAGCGACCAGGACAGGCACACAACCAGACAAGACTAATTCTTGTCTGTTTTGTGCGTCATGTGTCATGTTGAGCAGTGCTCCAGCTGCGTTTCGCTATGAGAATGTCGTATTAAAGCCATGTTCGTTGCGTTGTTTTTGATTTGCCTCGAAAAAAATCTTGAAAATCTCTTACTTGAACCCGTATATCACGAGACCTCGCCAACCTCACAAGTGGTAGTAAAGCACCACTCTGTCCTATCTTCTGCTTATTTTCATCTATTTAATTTGCGTGAAAAACTGTGGCTGACAACAAAAAAAGTTGCGTTCAAGCGGAAATAAATCTGTACCTGAAGTAGCCAAATTCGTTATACACCCCACCGCATTACACTGCACTTCAACATTACTACTCCTCAATAAATTAATCAACAATCCCAGCACCCCAACCTGCACAATCAACACCTTGTTCTCCGTATTCGTTGCCAGATTCCCTAACGCTGCTGCAGCAGCACGTTGCACTTCTGCGTCGTCAGAGCTAAGCAGTGTCATTAACGGATCGAGTGTTTCTCTGTCGACGGTACGAACATCTCCTTCTCGTTCGGTTACTTCTGCGAATGCGAGGGCGGCGGAGCGTTGTAGTTCCTAATAATAGATTCGAAAAAGGGTCTTTAGTCAAGGTGCACTGGCTGTGGAAAGTTGAAACTTCATTGCGACAAGTGGCTGTTTTGACTTGCCACCTCTGCTTTCCTGCCACTTACAATACTATCAGAAGCAGCCAGCGTCGACAGCGCATTCAATGCTTCACCACTAAAGAAATCAATTCCATCCCTCACTTCCAAGAATCTCAATAAATCAGAGACGGCTGTTCGTTCTCCTTCTGCCAGTAATGGTTCGTAGAGGTGGTGATTACGTCCTAGGATGACCATGAAATGTGGATATTAGATTAGCGAAAACCGATATTGATCCTTGTTTATAAGTTCAATCAATCTTGGTAAACTCAAAACGACATGACACGATAGATAGCAAGACAGATAGAAGGAACTTACTGCTGGGACCGCAACAGATGCTTGAGCACCAGTCAAAGTATACACGGACTACGGCGTATGCTCGGGACGTATTTGAGGCCATGTTGTTGTTAAAGTTGGGTTTTGGTAGTTTGGTGGTGGTGAAATCGATCAAGGAATCCTAAATTACAGCACAACCAGCGAACTTGAGAAGCGATATCTAGCTAGAACGGCTAGAGCGCGTCAGAAACTGTAAAAGCGCGTCTCTCTTTGTTCCTTTGTTGAACTCATCAGCTGCACGAGATTAATCACGGCGCTCCTTGATCGAGTGAGAATATAATATATTGACTTGTTGCGATAAACATAATTATAGATCTGCTTAGAACCTGAAGCTGAATTGCTGACCTCCACCTACAAGAAGATAACGTTTTAGATTCCTCATCACCCAAAAAGGCACCGACAACAAGTCGTGATATCCCCAGAATATTACTGCACTCACCAGGGAAACCACCTTGGAATGGGAATCCTCCTTGGAAGGGATTTCCATATTGAGGAGGAGATTGATTTCCCTCTGGATCTTCTCCATTATCAAACTTGGCACGTTTCTCATCGTCTGTGAGAATCGCATAGGCTTCATTGATATCAGTCATCTTCTTGACTACTGCTTCTTGGGACATGTCTCCTGAATACTTGTCTATATGAGGAGAATGTTGTTAGACAGGTTCGTGAAGTTTTGCCTTGGGCAAAAAATGAGAATGCTATCTCTCATAGAACCAGAATCTTCACCACACATGATAGCACTGTCCCTTCCATTTTAAAGAACTCCATTTACCTGGATGCCACTCTTGAGCCAACTTGCGATACGCTTTCTTGATTTCCTTTTTATCAGCTGATCTCTTGACTCCAAGCACCTTGTAATAATCTTTACGTGCTGCCATTTGCATTAATCGTTGTGCTTTCTGGAATCCTTCTGTTGCTTGTCGATCTTGCTGGTTGTTTTCATGGGCTTTTCGATAATCTCTCATAGCTAAGTTAGATACACAAGTCGGTTACCAAATTTGAATGAAAGTCTGGTATACGAACCAAGAAAAAAGGCCCCTCAGAGTAATGATGATATACGAAACTCACCAGCATCGTAATCTTCATCTTCTATACTAGCTTCCCCTCTAAATACCAAAGCATCACGATGATTGGCATCCATAGCAAGCACTTTGCTACACCATTCAATGACTTTTCGAGTATCCTTCAACTAAAGAAAGGAACCATTGTCAAATCGGATGTTTCGTCAACGCGAAATCCCGTTGATTTACGGTTTATGCCTCCTTTTTTACCTCATGATAGGCCTTACACGTCCACCCCAAAACCCGCACCATCGGCGCCTTAGCACCCATCTTTTCCAGCTCTTTCAATGTCGTTCCATCACCACCATCACCAACAACCATCTTGACAATATCCTTCCATCTGGATTTCGATTCCATTCCTTCCAATGCTTTCAAATCTTTATCCAGTTTCTTCAATTGTCGGAATGGTTTCTTGCATCCAGGATGATCTGGATCAAATTTCAGACAATCACGTAATGATGTCATTGAGGATGGGATTTCGCCGACTGATACATGGAGGTTTGCCAATGCTAGGAGTGCTTCTGTGTTGTCTGATTTTAGTTTGGCTGCTCGACTATATTTGGGGATGAAGAGGATTTTTCGGTTGGCTTGCGAAACATAATTACAGCAACACCAAAAACGGATGAAGTGACGGGGTAAAATTTGAATTCAGCACTTAAATCACACAACATACCTATAATCACTAATAGCCATCTCCGAATCACCACGAGTGGCATGACATGCCGCCCTCTTCATCCTATACGGAATGTTAAACGTAGCTACACCAAGCACGACAGACAAGTGTTCTATAGCGTGTTCACAATCGTTCTTTGATAGTGCAGCATCTGCTAGTTTCGTTGATTCTTGCGCTTTTGTTGCTTCAATGACCTATATGAGAGGGGTAGATGGGATTAGTCACGAAGCAAACAAAATGGAATGGTATGAGAAACAATGTGTCAAGCAGAGACATCACTCCCAACATCCTACCAATTCAGGCACCTCAACATCTTTAGGATTCTGCGACGCATATGACTTCAAATCAGTTATGGCATCTGAGAAACGACCTTCTCGTAATAGTAGTTTGCCACGCTGTATTAATGCCTATAGCAAAAACAGGAAATCTCAGTCAGTATATACTCATCTTTGGTTGCAATCTCACTTCCAACACACACGCCACTTCCACCCCATTCACGTAGAATGCTTCCACAGCGATAACAAGCGGTACGGTATATATACCTGTGAGAAGGACGGCGCAAGTTCAATAACCTTTGAAAAGTCAGCTTCTGCAGCATCGTTACGACCCAATTGCAAGTATGTGGCTGCACGACGAAAGTATGTAATGTATGATTTTGGATCCTATGATACAGAATTGGAGTTAGCAAGCGGCAGCAAAAAAGCGACAACAGGACAATCCCATGTCCATCACGATCAAAGTCCACAAACAATCACAACGCATATAAACCACGTATTACCAGCGAAATCAAGGTCTCATAACTGGCCAGGGCCTCATTAACCTTTCCCTCAGCCAGCAGCGTCTTGATTCTGGCTTCGAGTCCCGAGGTTGATGTTGAGACAGAGTCTTGTCCGTATACGACAGAGGACGAGAGGTGCAGTAGTAATAGCAGGATTAAAATACATATGGAATTCATCTTTGATGGTGCTGCTGGTGATATGTTTTGTGTCTTCCTCCTTGACTTGACGATTGCCATGCTGGTGTGGGAGTAGTTTGTTGAGGCTCGGGTGGTAGATTAAGAAGAAGGTAATAATAATGAGAGGGAGGGTGGTTTCTATATTCTAATTATATTCTATGTGATGAGGTCTTTGGAAAAGATTGTGGTTTTGGTGCGAGTCGCAATTTTGTTGGAATCTGATCCTGAGGCACTTTGACACCCACAGTGTAGACAAGATCACGTCGACAATCAAATCGGAACATGATGCAAGAAGAGATCGACGGTGCCCGTCAACCTAACGTTATTGTTTCCTTGCATTGGGAGGCACGAACGCGTGCCAATAATATTAGTGTAGTCGAGGTTACAAAACCGCTGTGTCTGCTGAGATCCTCCACACTCCACAAGCGGTCAACTTTGTTCGATGAAATTTACTTTCCTTCTTCATAAGCTACATAAAGAAAGGTCTAAATACCGGCGATGGCACATTTGGGGCAACAAGCTGTTGGACGAAAGGGAGCTGGGAGAGAGCTCTCAAATTCAAGCGGCACCAGCTTGATACTCAGTCTTCTCGTTGGGAGCTTCTTTGGTAATGCTTAGGAGCATTGATATTCACGGGCCCATCAACGGGCAGCACAACACTTTGAGCTAGTACAGGAAATTCTGTGTTTTTTCGCCAAGTAATATATTACCTCCAAACACTAAAACCCTATGATACAAGAAACTTGCTACTCTCTCTATTCGTCATCGCTCTCTTCCTCTTCCTCATCTTCTTCACCAGTGCTGCCATCATCTTGGCTAGCTTCTTCACCAAGGGATTCCTCCTTGACGACATCACCTTCGTCCTCCTCCTCATTATCTTCCTCATCATCTTCAACATCTTCAGTCTCCTCCGTTACATCGTCATCTGATGTAGGACCCTTCAGATCAGAAGCGTTGAAGGCTGGGGCAACGACAATCTATATAAACGATGTTAACCAGGCGCCGCTTTCTTCTTTTGCTGACAGACAGAAAACTTACCCTCTTAAGCTCCTTCAACTGAACAGCAGCAGCACCGACTGCTTCACCTTCCTCTTTCACTAGTTCCGCATCAACTTCATCTGAAGCAGCAGCTTTACGTTTCTTGCCCTTCTTGTCCGCAGACTCGGGCTTCTTGTCAACGTACGAAGGAGGCAGCGTGTAATATGGTATTTTACCACGAAGCCAATCCATTAATATCATTTTGGATGCTGTGCCGAGATCTGGTTCGCCACCCTATCCAAAAAGGCGAGTGTAAGAAAATCAAAACTTGGTTAAAAAAGACTGGAGCACAGTATCATCATCATACCTTGAGAAGTCTCCCACTCTTCTTACACCACTGCGTCAAGAAATCAATAGGATCCGTCCAATCTGATATACCATACGTCTTGGTCATGTACTCTTTACGTACACGTGCCAATACAGCGGGGATATGATCTTCGGCATTCTTGAGCATTTCTACTCGAATGACACCCTTCAAAACGATATCTGTTTCAGTGTCTTCGGGTGCTGGGTAGACTACTCCGGGACAGTCAATGAGGTAGATTCGCTTCATAAGGGTGATGTATTGCCAGACCTATGAATGTGGATTGATGTTAGTGTGGTTGAACAGGCAACAAGAGTAAAACAACGCACTAGAAGTTGAGACATTTGTAGCACACTACAAGACGACACATACCTTGGTTTCACCAGGTATGGGAGCGACTGTGCAAACAGCCTTCTGTCTCAATGTGTTGATGATGGAACTTTTGCCTATTTGTCAAAGTATAATGGGTTATTAGCTACCAAAGCCCGAAAAAATGCACCACTACAATAACATACCAGTATTAGGGTATCCAACAAATCCAACAGATATCTGTTTCTTATCCATATGCAGACGCGAGAATTGTCGTAATAACTGAATCAGCGATCCTTTACCAAACGAATTGTTGATACTAGCATGGAAGGCCAATGTTGGGTAATCTTTTGATAATTCTTTAATCCATAATGCCTGAAGAAAGCAAAAAAGGGATGAGTATTGTCTCTTCTCAACATTCAACCACGACATCTGACACCAACAAAACCCCTTTTTACAAATAAATGTTTGTTTCTGAACTAGGAAGATCGCCAATATTTAGACGAGCCTCCACTCTTCTTAAAAACGTGCACGTCAAAATGCAAGTCGTCAGGTCAAAGCGACTTAGAACAAGTCATCCTTAGTTAGACAACCAAAATGCAAGTAACGTTTAGTATACCACGATTGTAACGAGTTAAATTCCCATTGATTTTGTTTTTCGTCGTTTTGCTTGGTAAACGAAGACTTCGTTTCTCAGGCAAAGGACGAAATGTGGGTACGACTCTGACTTAATTGTGGAGTGTATAGAATGCTTTTGGGAGGCTTCTTTGTGCTCTCAATTCACGCTTCCCAGCATATGTCAAATAAAAAAGGTGCCAGAAACCCGTTGGATACTTACAGTAACCCAAGTAGGTACCAAATCACACTTGTTTAACACAAACAATAAATGCTTGTGTTTGGCTTCATTCTTCATATAAGTTTCAACATTCTTGCATCGTGTTCCCATTGGATCTCGAGCATCCAATACGTGTATGATGACATCGGATGAATCAATGACCTATGTTCCATAGTCGGAGAGTGAGCCAGAAAGCCAAAAAGAAGCGCCAAGCGAGTTCTCTGTATCGAACCTTGTACAATTCATTCCAAATACGTTTTGATTGACCTTTCGAGAATTCAGGACCTCTAGCTTCTTCAGATACACCGTCGATAGCGGCGTTTGATAGGAGGTTCTTGTCTTTGACTGATTCGTACGTGTCTATATGATGATTGTGGTGAGATTCTCTGCAAAAATACGGATGCAAAAACGAAACCGCAAATCAACAATCCTGTACACAAAACTCTTCCAGTCTCCTCCACCGCTCTTACCTGCACCAGTAGCAGCCTTTTCAGCCATATCAGCCAGCGTCTCAGTGCTTAGCTTGACTCGTTTCCGTTGAGCTTTTGGACCAAAAGCCGATGAGAATGGATCTACTTCGAGTAGATGGACACGAGAAGTCTTTGTCGAGTCCTGTAGTAGGGACATTGGCAGTTTGTTTTGTTTGAGGAGGAATGTGTATGGATCGTTTGCTCTTGTTTTCATGGCATCTCTGAATGCTTCCAAGCTCTTTTGGTCGACGACTCGAGTGTTTTCTGTATAGAAGGGGCGGTATGAGTAAGGTATTTAAAAGAGTAAGGCATGTGGTTGGAGTTGCGTTCCATGAAGCCCCTTTGGCGATCTTCTTTTTGCTCCCATAGACGAAACATCACCCGCAAAAAACATGATCTAATAAACGACAAATGTCACCACATACCAAACCATCTTCTATCAGGCTGCACTCTAGCCACCGCTCCCGAGTTGAGATGATTTTGGAATGGAGCAGCCTTGACAATCTTTCCAGTGCTATTCCTTATTGGCTTTCCACCTTTAAGTATGTTTAGTCGTTTAACAGTAGCTGCATCGTGGTAGTGGTTGGTTCCTTTGACTTTGATGTTGGTCGGTATATTGTCTACTTTCTTGGCCTTGCTGCCGCCTGCTCCATTATATCCCTTCTTGGCCATACTGAGCTGCAAATGTCTTTTTTTTTTTGGAATGTTGAGATGTGAAAAAAAGGGAGAAGGCAGCGATCGTTTCATAGAGACACGTGCAAAGAGAGTTGATTTCAATTCAGTATATTATGTAACAAGTATCGACTGTCTTGAGACGCGTCGAAGCCACTTCATACGACGTGTTTCGGTTGTCCTTTTTGTGGATCATTTCAAACTCAGGCCCAAACAGAAGACTAGACAATGACTGAACTACTAGTAAGTCTAGTTAACAAAATACGTTTATTATGAATATTTTGCACTAATTACCACACATGCATTATTAGGTTATCAGTGGACCATCAGGGAGTGGAAAGAGCACCCTCCTTCAAAAGCTGTTTGCCAAATATCCAAAGGCTTTTGGTTTCTCCGTCTCTCGTAAGTGCTTGTTTGGTTGCTGATGGTGTATTGGAAGTGTAGTCTCTGTTTCTCTGTCGTACTTGGGGTGCATTAAACCAACATCTCTGGTGGTTGGCTCGAGTTATATGCAACAGAGATATGCGAGTAAAAAAGTCGCCACTTAATGGATAATTGCATTCAGACGCAGTCACACTCGCCTCTCCCACGCAATCCGTACATCTTCACAAATCTCGACACTCATCCCCACTGACCTCTATAGACACAACACGCAAACCCCGTCCAGGCGAAGAAAACGGAAAAGCCTACCACTTTGTCACCCGGGACGAATTCAACGACCTCATCACCTCCTCCACATTCATCGAACACGCCGAATTCTCATCAAACCTATACGGAACATCCAAAAACGCAGTCCAAACCGTCATCGCCAATGGCCAGATATGTGTCCTGGATGTAGACATGCAAGGTGTTAAATCCATCAAAAGCGCTTCCATACCTGCGAAATTCATGTTTATATCGCCACCGTCACTTGAAGCATTGGAGCAGAGGTTACGTAGTAGGAATACAGAGACCGAAGAGTCGTTAGCAAAGAGGTTGGGTGCTGCTGGTGCTGAGATGGAGTATTCGAAAGAGGAGGGGGCGCATGATATTATTGTTGTTAATGATGATTTGGATAAGGCGTATTTTGTTATTGAGGAGTGGATTAAGGCCAACTGGAGTAAGTTGTATGCTGTTATTGGTATAGAATGTGTGTACTCCATTGTGATTTTTGAATTAATCGCTTTTTTTGTCACGTTAGATTTGCCTGAAGAAACTGCCGAAACACAAGCTGCAGAGACAAAAGCAGAAGAAACAGCTGCTCCCGCCCCAGTCGCACCAGATACTCTTTCACCCATTGGCAGTCCTCAAGCTCGTAGGAAACATTGTATCGTGCAATAAAAAGGAACGTAAGGTCACAACAAAAATCCAATTTGAGCACGAATCATCTATAATCGTAATCATGTTATATCTCTTTAGTACATATACCTTCTTGTTGAATCTTCCTTGTTTTTGCTTAAACCCGAAAAGAAGGAACAGCCAATCGCTTCGCAGCGAACTTTAATAAGCTCGACACATTCTCACACCGACACCACGATAGTTATATTGAAGATTACATTGTTCTTTTCATTTCAAATGGTAGATTGACGCAAAATGCGCCTACCAACCATCCCAAAGGTTGATCAAACTGATCAAACAGCACCAAAAGAACACTCGAAATCACAGAGCATTTAAGCTTCATCAACTCAGATATTTCACAAGAATCTGATTGATTAAAGCTGCTCCTTTACTAAGATATTCAGGTACTCAAGCATGGGTCACGAACTAGCATCGAGTCAACACCAGAATTAAAACATGTATCTACAGGGCCAGCTGAACATCAAATAGCAGTGGTGCTGTCAGGTACATCATTGGATGACGTGGAATTCGCTGAAGAGTCTATATTTTGACAATGGAAATGAGGTGAAGTGTATCGTCGATTTCACATATGAAGGTCCAATGCGTTAGCCAGCTGTCTCCGCACTTTGAGTGGATTTTCTCTCTCTCACTATCACCACTAGCAGCTCATAATGGACATGGGAAACATCACCAAATCTACCCTTCTATAAGTACAATATTGGAATGCCATAAGATACGACTACAACGTCCCAACAATTTGAGCATGTATTTTATATACCGACTCCCAACATGGAAGGTGGAACAAGGCCGGAATGGCTTCGAAGACAAGAATTCTCATTTGCTACTCAAGTAGAAAGTAGGAGCCGTCACAAGGTACCTCTCACAAGTCGCGTACGAAATCCGTGACAGACCTGTAAAGCTAATCATGGACAAACGAATCATGAGCATGATGTAGTAGCAGTAACCAAGACTTTATTATCCAACTAAACTTTTTCAATTAACTACAATCTAGTAGGCAACTTGTCCAAATCAAACATAATTTTAACAGTAGCCTTGTCATGTGGGTCAACACCCTTAAGACACCATTCGAAACAACTTTGTGCGTTTGCAGGTGACTCGTGGTGGGAGACAGCTTTACGTAAATCAACCTTCTTGGTCTGTATGTGCGATAATGCTTCACCGTAGGATGGGCCGTATCCCAGGACGTACTTGACCAAGACTTCCTTTACGATCATGAGCACTAAGAGAACACGTAGATTTTAGTATTAATGTCTCATGCCCTGCGGAATATTAAGTGCAGGCATACTCAGAGGCATTTTTGGCTCCATATCGCAGATACCGGCGATGCAAACCATTCCTGCTGGTTTTATAGCATACATTGCGGTCTACAATGGCAAATGAATAGTTAGATCAGATCTTTTGGCCTGAAAGCGATAGTTACGTACCTGAATGCTCGATTCACGTCCAACACCATCAATAACCACATCGATAATCCCATTTTCAAACATTTTGGCAGCCTCCAAACCAGCAACGTCAGGAGTCATTCCCTTAACGTTCAGCGTCTTGTCAACTCCGAAATTCTCTCTGAGTGCCGTCAATTTGCCTTCAATAATGTCGGTTGCGGCTACGAAAGTGGCACCCTTAAAGCTTAAACTATTAGCTTCCTTTGAAATCAGGATGATGACATGGTCTTACATAAACTCTGCAAGCTAGGGCAGAGAGTTGTCCAATGGGACCGGCACCAAGTACCAATACTCTGTCGCCTGGTTTTACACCGGCTTCCTTTTTGGTAGAAAACAGGGATGTTTAGTTTCTGTGGTTCGACAACGAATATTCATAGGTATAATTTACCTTGACTGCATGGACGGCAACGGCATAAGGTTCGCATAGAGCCTAAATCAAATTTCCAATCTGTCAAAGTTTGAACTGCAAAACTAATCGGTAACGGAGTGCAACGTACGCCTTCCACTAGTGAGACGTCATCTGTTTTGTAGAAGCAAAAGAAATCGATCAGAATGCGTTTCTGCTTGAACGAAACAAACAGCGTCCACAGCACTCTCGCCTTATCTCGACTTACCTGCAAGCTTGTGCACCCATTGAGCAGGATGCTTGAAATACTTGCAAAGCATCTGAAGACTCTCGTTGTTGATGGGCTGGACGCAAACACGATCACCTGCAATAAATGTGTCGTTCAGAAGCCTGAACCCTAGAAATACCATTCTCAACTCACATACCCATTTTGACGTTATCAACACCTTCTCCAACATCGACGATCACGCCAGCGGCTTCATGGCCTATTTCATTTGAGTACAATGTCAGCCTAAACTGTAAGCATTACAAGTCCCGGTGAGAAAACCCATTACCAATTACGGTCTGAGGAGTTCCATCAGCCTTGCTTGGTAGCGGGAAGTCTCCATTGAACCAGTGTACATCTATAATTAGAAAGTTTGGGGAATGTCATTCACATTGCGTCACTGTGTTAGAAACAGATCTCTTGGAATAAGACGTACCACTTCCTATATGATGAATTGTACTTAGAAATACAGGTAAAGAAACCGAAAATCCAAATGCTAAACTTGCTACTTGCCACAGATTCCACAGTGCTTGATGTTGACAACGACTTCACCCGGGCCTGCTTTGGGACGAGGCTACAGATGTCAAATCAGGGTTAGACTACTCTGATGATAGCTTCCGTTGCAACAAAGGATTATCCTCCTTGAACTTGATTGTTCGTACCAATTCATGAAGTTCCAGCTTTTTGATGCCAACTTGCATCAATCCAATGTTTGGGCCTTCCATCTTGCTTGAGCACTTAGTAGATTTCAATAAGGTCTAGTTGCCAACAGTTTGTAAGAGTAGCGAGTGTGTTGAGAGTGCTAATACGCCGATTGAGGATTTAAGGAGGTAGTTCTCCCGTTGTGTGTAACACACAAACTGATACCACAGAAGCCGAGTACAGTAATTACTCGCTAGCCTACAGCTGGTATACCTTGCTTATTAGTGAAATTACAATGGATTGGCGGACTGCCATAAGATCTTAACTAACAGGTTCGCTTGCATTTACGATTTGCGGCAGCAGTTTAGTGTTTTACAACCTATTTGATCGAAACTGTCGTGTTCGTTTACACTTACGCTTTGCGAAGCAGTTCAGTGTTTATAAAGAAACATTTACAGACGTGTTGGTAACTTATCAAGGTCAAACATAATCTTAACCGCTGGTCGTTGTGAATCATCTTCTCCTTTTGCGCACCATTCGAAGGAAACCTGTGCGTCTGCAGGGGAGCGAAGGTGACTCATAACAGGCGTCAAATTCACCTTGCGATCAATGACATGGGAGAGGGCCTCCGAATAGTCCGATTCACCGTACGCAAACACACTCTTCATTGAAAGGTGCTTGGCTATCATGACACCTAGAAGGATCCGTAATCCTGATTACACCAACATTGTCATTGCATAATGTAAACTACAGTCCCTTTCTTACCTAGCGGAAGTTTCACCTCGCTGACCGCAACACCAGCTATGAGAACCCTTCCAAAAGGTTTTACTGCAAAGACAGCCGTCTTGTAAAAACAGAAATGAAAAGGCTTGATTCTTCCCACAACACAACAGAAAAACAGCAGAAATTAGAGATAGAACACTCACTCTAATTGACGCCTCTTGACCGACTCCATCAATAACAACATCAACAATGCCACCTTCAAATAGTTTGGCAGCCTCAGCACCGGCTTCTCTAGGGTTCATTCCCTTCGTGTTTAGGATCTTGTCAGCACCAAATTGTTTCGACGCTGATAAGCGCCCCTCTTTAATGTCGGTTACGGCCACAAAGGTCGCGCCCTAAGTACTTGCGTTAGTGTTTCTGACTGTAACCCCGCTAGGACGGAAATGGCTTACGTATACTCTAGCTGCAAGCGCACAGAGCTGCCCTATAGGACCTGCACCAAGTACCAGGACTTTATCGCCTGGTTTCACCTTGGCTTCCTTTGTGTGCGAATAGGAATTTTCAATTAGGTTGTCTTCAGCGATGTTGGAAAGTCAAATGATTTTGACACTCACTTTCACTGCATGGACTGCCACTGCATATGGTTCACATAGAGCGCCTTCAATAAGGCTGACGTGGTCTAAATACATTTATGAAAGAAACAACCAAGTCAAAACCTATACGACCAGCATGCCAACCACGGTAATGATCATGACACCGAGCGTACCAGGCAATTTATGGGTCTTCCTTGCCGCGTGCGTGTAGTACCGTGATAGCATCTGTTGACCCTGTTTAAAATGCGTTTGATCAGGATAAACGTTCACCAACCAAGTGCCAAGTCATGGAAAAGTACCTGGCCCATGTATGGTTCCAGAGCAACCTTGTCTCCGGCCTTAACATGAGTGACTCCCTCTCCTACATCAATGACTATTCCTGCAGCCTCATGGCCGACGACGAACGGGCCTCCTTCTCCCGGTGGTGGGAAATCACCCTGCCACCAGTGTACATCTGGGTTGAAAGACATGTCACCAATGAGTCACAGGCTTAAAAAGCAAGTACTTGTGGAAACAATTCGCATCCAGATGAAACTTACCACTCCCTAAAGGTTAATTGGTGTTACCGAATGTCGCATGGAATAAAGCACAACGAGATCAGGGCAACAGATGAGACGTACCACAGATTCCGCAATACTTGATCTCACATAGGACTTCCCCCGCTTTGACCTTTTCTGGTGCTGGCAGTTCCGTCAGCTCCAATTGACGTAATTTGGATTGAACTACTGCCAAGTTTGGTAGCATGTCTATCACGGAAAAGTTAGCCATGAAAGGCTTTCTAACTGTCAGCAGTTTACATACTTGCAGCCTCTTTCTTTGGTTTGACGGATGTTTTGATTCGTTGGCGCGGATTTGAAGGAGTCGCAGCACAAGCAAACACCAGATAGGACGCGTGTGTTATCCAGTCCCATCTTCTCTATAAAACTTGAGGCACTCCAGCTCGTAAGGAAACGTTGCATCGTGCAATATAGAAGGGACGTAAGATCGCGACAATAAACATTTTGCCGTATGCATCTCACCGAATATTCGTGCCTTTTGTTAGGATGTGACAATCGTGTACTCGTGTACTCACACCTCGGTTTGTTATATAGTCTGACTACCAAAGTGGTTGCATTGGTACGTCGGCGAGATCAAGGACGAATCCGTCTCGACGAGAAGCGATCAGCACTCTATTTCTTACACCGATGTGTAATTGCCTGTTTGTGGGTAATTGGGTGCGTTGTTCAAACGCTGTGATGTTGTAATTTACTTTCAAATGCTTCAGCGATTGCTCTTTGAATAACCCCTCGCATTTTCTTCACTGGCAGTTTGTAGTTGATTGACATACTAATATAATCGTTGGATGGGCCTTCAAAAGTTGCTCGATTTCAAACTCATGTTCTTTCTGTAGATTCTGTTCTTTTTGGAATGGAAATTGAATATAGAGACAAAATCCTGTCTGTACGATTAGGTCGTTTTCTCTTGTAAGTTCCTCAATGTATGTATACCCACCAATACTCAAAGACTTGGAAAGGCATTAACGTGTAACAACAAAACATGTTATGTATCGTCGTTCTGGAGTGATGCTCCTCGGTGCGGCTACATTTAGAAATGGTACGTGGAGTAGACAATTCACGAAGCCGGCGATGATTCCAACAGCAGAAACTGATAAACACTGATCAGTTCAAACGATACAGTCCATCTCAACAGAAACAGCTTCATAGTAGCAGCATAATTCCTCCCAATGTTGTCCACCTCGCTTTTTGCTGTTAGATGCCACCGTGGAGAGTTGCTCGTAGGGCAAGCTTGAAATAATGTACCAGAAATCTAGATTTTTTTTGATAGATGATGAGTTTTCGTCGAAACCTTGACTCGGTTGCCCTCCAGTTTTTGCTGACGAGTGCTCTGCTTCCAACTCTACTTGTATGCATACCTATGTTCATTCTCCATAGCTTATTTACCCTTGCGACAGTCGTCATCACTCTTCAAGAACCATACATCACAATGTCTTGAGCTTCGAGCCTGATGACGCTCTTTCTAAGAGCCAGACAAGCATGAAGCAGTCAGGATACACTATGAAAGTACATATCCACAACACAATTAGTAACTTGAAGCGAAGGGTAAGGGGAAAGTGCGTAAATATTTGAACCAGTAACTTTCTGTTTTCTCACAAATATTTTAAATTTTTGCATAGTGATACGTGAACAATGTCCATTACTGGAGCTTACCATACTGTTTATTGCGAACGGACGCATTAACGCATTACCAGCCCTTGGGCAATATAGCCAGTTATCTCGCTCATTAAATCGGAGCAGTAGGCTCAAATTGTATGTAGAATGGAAAACCGTGACCAAGGGCATTTGTGAGCGATTTGATTTTCTCCATGGAACGATCTTGTTTGTTTCTCATTGTCGGCTGCCTTTTCGGCACTCTTGGACTCTTGGTCATTTATATCTTTCCCCTGCGCAAATTTATGAGGGTGCTTGGTCAAACCCATCATATTTTCCACCAAGAATAGCAATCCGGAAATTCCATCATTTCTTGCAGATCGGCTTGCTACCGTCAAGCAAGTTATCTCCAACTTTCTTTTCTAGCAAAAGTTCATACTCGAAAGCAAGGAATCAGCTGTTGGGATCATCAACCATCAATACCAGCAAATACCAACAATCAGAAATGTTTTACGATCCCACTGCTGTATTCCAAGCTAGACGTTTGAGTATGAACCAAAGTTTCAATTTGGATGTTACCTTGGCCCAACTGTTATCTCCAGTGCTAGCAACGCCCATCTTCCAATACCTGAATTTTATGGATGAAACATCTAATTTGAAGCTCTCTCTACCTGACAGTTCCTCTGAATGGGTAAGAAATGCTGCAAATATTTTAGCACTGTGATCCTTACCAATCTTTCCAATCTTATCAAAATCAATCCGTGCTAATGACATCTTGGCTTTCCCAATAGACTGAATATCTTGGCAAGGACATTCTCTCGGGCCACTCGTATTCTATATCCGACATGGAGATCCAGATACCAGCATACTCATCACCCGCATATTCATCACCTGCAGCCAGTGAAGAAAGCTTCCCACATTACAGTAATGGTGAGATGTCGGGCCTTGAAGCTGGAATCGACTGCCTATTATCGCCAATCACTCTGGATTTTGCCAAGCTTGCTATAGTCCGGAATCTCTTGTGCCAAACCATAGTTGATACTGACAACAACAAATGTAGTGGTGCTGCCAGTCCAGTATATGCTAAGGATCTCTCCTCCCAGATCGGATCGCTAAGCCCAGTGTATGAAGCTACGGATGTCGCCCCCCAAATCGGATCGCTAGACACTACCTGTGACAGTAACTCCAGCCAAGTATATGAAGCTGTATCTCGTATATATGCCCGTCGTGACTCTGGTATTGAATTTGAGCCATACATGCCACAATTTGCCAACAAGGACATAGTCAACCAAGCAATATCAGAAGAAGATACCTATGAGAACCCCGATGTTGTCTCCAGCAATGACTCGGACGATGATGAATATGATGCCGAAGTAGCAAGGAAACACACCTCGAAATCCCGTCGTAACAGTGCCGTCACTGCTGGGAATGGCCGTATCACCAAACCATCTGTAAAAGTGCTAAGCAAGGTCTTTGAACTAACATGCTACCCAGAAACCAATATCCGAGAACTGCTGGCTAAAAAGATGGATATGAAGCCAAGGGCCGTACAAATATGGTTTCAAAACAAACGACAACATCTCAAGGCTAGTGGAGTCAGTGAAGGATTAAGAACCAAGAAGGGAGGTGACACTTTCAGGGCACCAGTCGACCAAGTGCTGCCAGAAGACGTTGAAATGTGGTGTGCTGAAGCTGGATTTTAAAACAACGTTATCATCATAATAAGTAGCTGTAGTGGTGGTAGAATCAGCAGTCATCATCAATGTAGTAGTGCACTTCATTAGTGAGATATAAAGACTTCAAAGAGTAAATATACTTATCACAACTCAAATCAACATGCTCTGTTTGATCGATACTCGGATAGTTGCGAACCGACATGCAATGAGGAGATATGACTCTAACACTGCTTAAACCAATTCTTAATCCACATGCAGGCTCGTGCCCTATTCACTGTTGCTTCATCTACTAACAGTCGATCATTCGATCAGGTAATTATTGATGACTCTCAGCAACACAGAGATTCGTGCTGTGACCTTGAGATCACGCGGAGTTACATGAAAGTTGCATTCTATTGCACAATGCGCTGTGTAGTGGTTCTTCTTTCGATACTTCAGCTGTTCAAAAAAATTGAGGAACGCTCGTGAACTAGTGGGGATGGGCTGCAGATGCTACAAAAGTAGTTTTGCAGTATCTCCCAGTCTCCACTGTGGGCAGTCGCGAAATGGTCATAATAAGTTAATCACGTGATTTATATTTTACTCATATGTAGGAATGTGATTTCGTAAAGACGACGTGCAGCATAGTATTCATCGATCTTAAAATCTCTACTTGCTTGCCACGTCTTGGCAGTCTGCCTCGTCCTATACTTGAAAACACAACGCGTTTTATTGGTCAATGGACCCAACATTGTAATCCAACAACATTTTGGCGAATCGTGACCAAGGGCAGCTGTATCCGATTCAATTTCTTCGCAGCACGAATTCTTTTTTCTCGCGACATGGGTTTCTGTGGGATTCGTATCCTTCGAATTTTCCTTATCTGTGTTCTGTATTTGTATTTGGATCTGGACCATCGTATCATCAGCCAGCATCCAGAAAAATCAGCATTTCTAAGCGAGAATAATTACCGTATTGTCAGCACTCGTGCCGATAGCGGACGATCAGGTTACTTTCGTTACTACTTTCGTCACGAAGGAGCCATCGCGACAACAATTACATCAAGTTACAAGGCAACGTAGCCACTAATCAATAATGTCTTTCGATTACGCCGCCGTGTTTAACCCCAGAAGCTTGAACGTAGATCTATGCCTCGCAATGAATGTAACTCTGCTGGTCCAGCTTTTATCGCCAATGCCAGCAACACCTGTATTCCAATGTATGAATGGCATAGAGGATAAATCTAATTTAACTCTTGCTCTACATGATAATTGATGGGAATGGTAAGCAGGCGAGCTGAAAACGTCGTCGGTTGCTAAGTCAGCACCCGTGATTGTTCTTACCAATCTTACTAAATGCACGCCATGCTGATTACATCCGTATTTCTCAGTAGTCCGAGCATCTTGGCAAGGATCTTATAACGGGCCAAACAATATCGACTTCCGAGATGCACATCCCCTTACTCGAAGTGTACTCATCACCCGCTGCAAGTGACGAAAGAAGCTCCTACCAAAGCAGCAATAAACGTGAGTTGCAAGCTCTTGAAGCCAGTTTTACATGGCCACTGTCTCCTTCGGACTCTGGATAGTGCTACGACTGCCATTCTCACCATAGTAAATGCCACCAACACTCAAGTACCAAACACTCCACTTAAAGGCAACGCTAGTCCAACTATGAATTCGTGAATGTATCATCGCTTCCATACAAACGTCGAGACTCTGGTGTCGGCATTGAGCCAAACTCCCCTCAACGCGTCAACAAGAACGTATTCCACCACCAAGTAGTTATAATAATAATAAGCGGTGATACGGTATAGAGGTATAGAGAAAACCCGAGCCTCAAAGATGGAATCATTCGTGGATTGCCATGCTTTTATTACCCTTTTACCATCTTGCACATCTTCGGCACATTCGCCTGATCCAAATCGATTCTCATCATCTTTTCTGGTCTAAATTTATCTGTAGCTTCCGTCCAGGGCACCGACCGAAATGTTGTTCGAAACGGCCAAGTTTGGTAGTATTGCTAAAAAGCTCGAGCGACGACTCAAAAAAAAATGAGTCTTGGATCCTCGAAACCTTGACTTGAGTGCATCCAGATTTCGTTTGAATACCTTAGATGCACTTGAATTTCGACTTGAAGCACTGTCGAACGGAGAAGCGAACTAGGGCTTCTCTGTATTGGACTGCATGGCCAGCTTCTTGTTTCGTCACATCTTGGCTGCCCTAGTAGTAAAACAAGATCAGCTAGAGTAGTGTCTTTGCTGCGAAATATCAAATACCTTGAAGCAAGCACATTTTAGATCTCACGTACTCGGATATTTCTTTCCTTGCCGTCGACTTCTTTTTGCACACCTACAAAAACGAGTACTGATGGGTTTGACGAGGAGCGCCTTCTTTACGCTCTGGGATTGTGAAGAATAAAGGGCCCGTAAAATTTGGCCTTGGTAAAAGGAAGGAATTTGGCCATCATAACAGTCCCAATCGTGGTATATGTATAGTTTGTTACTGTTTGCATACAAAGGGAGAAAGTCCATAGTGATATCCTCTCTACACTGCCCAAGATTCCACTGTACGAAGCTCATCATCTCCAATAAACGGCTTCTCAATACTCTTAATCATAGCTTCTCCACATAATGCACATTCGGATGCCACTACAACATCCAATTCCTCCTATGCAAAGAAAAAATCGTAGTCAGACAAGCACAAAAAAACTTGTTTGGTCTCCTAATTCATTTGCCCCATGTGCATTTCGTACCTTCATCCTCTCAATGTTATTCTTGATTTCAGTTGATATCTTTTTTGATGCTGAAATACCGCTTGCGGCAAGCTGAGAAGCAGTCTCACTACCATTTTTTTTCATGGTCGGAGCGATTATAGCCGTTGCCAACACACTCTGTCTTGAAGTCATTTCTCGAGTTATGCCAACTTGTAAATCTTGAATGCGTTTTGCCTGTCTAGGTCCAGAATTCGACAAGACCTGATGTATGGATGTTTAAATGTTAGTGAAACGTTGAAGAAACAGGCAAAGGCAAACGTAGCGAGAAAGCAAAAAAGCAGAGATTTCATCAATGAGTAATAACATACCAGTTTGATTAAACAATCTGCATGAAATCCATGTTCACAAGGAAAGATATAAAATTGTCGAGTGATCAATGACAAGTGACAAACTTGACATTTTTCAGAGATTCGTACAATAGCACATCTTCAGTAAAACAATGGGTTGTGAGCTCGAGCTTCGACAATGCAAAAAGTTCGCTGCTGTCTTTCTGTAACAGCATCGAAACTCTTACTTGTTCCGTAACTCTCTTATATCCTGCCGTATACTCTCAGCACTCTTAGTAGCTTCATCCATCTCAGATTTAAGTGACTCGATATGTGTATTATAGTCTTCTAATGCTGCACATATCTCCTCTTTGAAATCGTCAATCAGGACAAAGTCAGGTAGAAAGGGTAGTATGTCTTCGATCTTGAGTAGTTGTGATAGTCGAAGGAATTCAATGGCCCTGTTTTTATGTGACAAACGTGTAAGAAAAACAAATTCCCAAAGGCACAAGGATGTTCACGCTTCACTAGGACTACTCCCACAACAACAACTCAACTGTTTAATATCCTGTCGTTTCTCAACAACATGCCGTGCAATACGTAACCACAATCTTCGCCGTAATGTGTCATCATCTTCAGGCTTGTCTGCATAAATTCTTGCCAATTCTAAATCATTTGTCTAAAAATTTGGAATATTGCAGTGTCAGCAAAGAACGATGAGTAAAAGACTATGTAAGGTCTAACCTACTTCTAATGACCAATCTACAGCTTGCTCATACAATCCCATGGCTCCATAAATATATATACAAGCCTGAGTCAATCCATGCTGCATACATACTCGTAGTGCGTATTGCACGTCATAATGAGGATCCTCTCTCTGCAAAAAGACCATCGTTAATACTGATAGACAGGTAGACAGGTCTCGTTAAATATTTGGCTTACTTGAGAGCGAAGAAACTGCAACAATGCGGCCTCGTCATCATTCTTAGCGTCCAACACATACAATGATAGCAGATAATTGTGCACAACCGGATCAATGTTTTCCAGATTGTTAATAACATGTTGCAAGTATCGAATTGCTTGATTCTGTAGCAGTTTTCAAACAAAATGGTTATAGTCAGCGACACTGACTTGAAAACAAGTAAGCACTGTCTCTTTTGCTTAATGCAGAAACTTGCCTGAACGTTTCGAAGAGGCACTGCTTCATACTTGAGTAAAGCAGGAATCAAATGCCTTGGATTTAAATTCGATTGCTTAATCCAAGCATTCACTGTATCCAGCACTGTATTCTGAATTAACATGGGCGAATACTTATAATATAGCTCCACAGATGACTAATATTGCGCGAAAAGGGGTGAGTCTTATAGGCGTATGGATTTACACCAAGATCAATCCTTTCCATCTCCCTAACTCAATAAACTTACCTGTCTTTCAAGAGCCTTGAGAGCCTCCTTCCACTGTTCAACATTAACCCAATGACTGACTACACGTTCAGAATCACCAATCAATTCAGCATAAAACAAAGTCTCGTGAGTACGTCCATGACTTGACAAAAGACTGTAGACTGTCTTGCGATCCAAACGGTCCTACATTATCAAGAAACGGGACATCAAATATTCTGCGTTTTTTTTTGGCTCATAAGCCTTACCTTGTAAGTGGTAAGAAACTGTTTAAACTCATCAGTAGCCAGTTTCTCTTCCTCTTCAGCTCTCTTCAAACTAGCACCTAAATCATCCAGCTCTTGAGTACTATCAACCTTATTCAATTCCTGCTGTCTTGTAACCGAGTAGTTTGTTTCCTCAACAGCATCTCGTAACGTATTTAGTTTGCTCAGCATCAATTCTACTAGCCATGTGCACAGCAATGTTATTTGAGTAACATCTTGCCGTGGCATTCGTTGTAGTTTGCTTAGTAGGAAAACTTTTAGAGCATCACGTTCATTCTTGGCTAGGAATCGAAGAACAACATCTTCGAAAGGGACTGATTTCGATTGGGCGTAATAGGTGGCTGATAATGCGTATCGTTGTTGAGCGAAATAGTAGTCGGCTTGAGCTGTTGCAATCTTGTCCTTTTGCTCTTCGCTCTATGGCGCCAGCATTGTGTTGGAGAAGAGTGAGATGAGCAAAACAATGACTGAGCAGTGGAAAAATGCACGGTCTCACCTTGGCGAATGACATGGCGGCATCAAATGCCTTCCTCTCTAGATGAATCTTCCATATATTACGATCTTCATCCGACTTGACCAGTTCGAATAACGACAGATTCGTATATACCCAACATGTATTCTTGGCTGGATCTACTGCCATTTTTAAAACCCGTTCATTTGGCTCCTGCAAAATAGCGAAGGTGTCAAAAATATTTCTGCTATTTTACGGATGTAGTTGGACAAACATTCGTGGTTCAAATGTCACGATACGTACCAGTGTAACCAATTCTTCATAGACAAGCTCATTATTCAGAATGCAAACAGCTTGGACCTTGTTTTGTATCAGTACAATAAAGTGAAACTCGGTGAGGGCAATTGATGTTGGTGGGATGAAAGTTTCGTCGTTGTCTCCATGTTGGTATCTGACATGACAAAAAAAGGCTCTTTACGACAACATGTCTAATACGTGGCGTAAGCGTCAAATCCTTACGGTAATAGTTGAGCATTGTCGATAATGGAGTCACCAACATTTTGACTGCCAAAAACAAAGTTTCCAAAATAGATACCGGGTGCTAGGAACGAGATAACGGTAAATTTTTCCGAAGAAACAGGGTCTGAATAAGTTGAAAAACTAACCGGTCAGCCACGCGAACGTCTTTGGTAAACTCGGATATCCATTACTCTCCACGAACGGACTCCAACAATGGAATTCACTCGTCGTAAGCTGACCAGATATTTCCTGATAACCTGTTCATCCAAGGTTGTCGAGTCAGCGTTCCGATTCTTTGAGTTGAGTTTCATACATGAAAACTATGGCATCACGCTCTTACTTGGAGTCACATCATACTTCCTAAACAGTTCACCAAAGAGCCCATTCTCTCCATTCCCATCGGCCACATTACCAATAAATTGATACATTCGATCTGGCGTTGTGACGGCGACAACATATTTCCGTGGTGAGGCAGGAAACTTTTCGTATACTAGTCCTGTTATTGGCATGTTGTCTTCGTGTAATGTGTAGACCTGTTATTTTAAGGTGCTGGGTGTGAGGGCAAAATATATTTGTATCCTACTACTGCATAACAAGCTTCACAAACCTGCTTAAAGTATCTCTCTTCACCACGCTTGAAGAACTCTTCAGTAGCATGTAACTCAGATTCAAATATGTGTCCCTGTCTTGATCCAATAAGCATGGCCCCTGTTAGCAACTCACTCTGTCCTTGACGAGGTCTTCCCCATGCAACAGATTCAATAATGACGCCCTTTCAAAAAAGTTGCGAGCAATCAGCTAGAAAAAGAGGCCAGAAAATTCCGTGGACATATGAAGATATTCACGTACTCGTATCCTATTCAGTATTCTGGGCTTCTTCCACTTCTCAAATAGATAGAAATTGTCTCCAGATTCCATCGAAATCAACAAGTGTCGAGCCAATGGATTGAAAAAGAGACGTCGTATCTTGTCTCCTTTTTGGCGAACGACTAGCTCCATCTCTACAAATAAAATTCAAGTAAGCAATAAAAGCAAAGGAAAGTCTACAGATGCTTGCAATTGTCGCGTTTTCCCAACAACAAGGCCAACATCACACCTTCAACAGCATGAGCCTGATTCAAATCAATTCTCAATATCTTTTGCGGTTTAGATCCATCTTTAGCGAGAACATTCCCCTCTAGAGCGACGACCAAAATGTTGTTGGATACGACCAAATCCAAGAGCATTCCTGGAAACTGGAATTGGACCTTGTCGAGACTAAATATAGGAGTTTCCAGGCTGTTACTTCCATAATATTTTGGATGATTTTGTTGAACGACCTAAATTGATATTGGCAAAGAATCGTCGAAATGTTGATAATTTTCGAATTAAACGATCTAGCAATAATTGATTCACAGGAGCAAAACTTACCACGATAGGTTGATTCTTGGTCGAGTTTCGAGCACTGCTCTCATCTAACGCATCAAACAGAGACATCTTTTGCTCAAAAAGCTTCGGTTTTCACTGTTGTTTTGTGGAAAGTCGACGATATGGCGAGAGCTCGACAGAAAACAAACATTTAGACATGATAGACGGGACACGACGCGTGCTTTAAATCCGACGCGCGACTGATTTTACTCCTTTTAAAGGTTTATCTCCAACCGTTTTCACGCAAAGTTCACGTTATCCACGTCATGGTGTCTCCAGGGCATATTCGTTTGCTACTCTTCTCCAGTCTGAAACAATATCATATGGGTCTAGTTGTGTTAAGAAATTGCATGCCAGCCACACCGTCGCGAAAAGAAGTATCATATACGGAAGATGAAGAATAGAACTCACTGACGCCTGTTGCTTCAAGCTGCTCAAATCCCGCTTCAAACCTTCGATATCTTCGACTACAGCTTTTTGAAGTAGCTCATGTCGAAGCCATCGAGAAATCCATGCCAATAGCATATCAATGGAAGCTAACAAAACATTGCGCATCACTTATATATAAATACATTTGACTGCAGTCTTTTGTTCAAACAACTCACCCCAAGTATTATTACTTGCAAGGCATTCTCAAACACAACACGAGCGGTTTGCGTAAAGAGCTCGAAGAGTTCGGGGCTTCTGGAGCCTGATGTTTGGATGAGCATGCAGGTTCAATATAGAGGGATCTTTTGGTCTTCTTTTGAGCACTGACCTTCTTGGAAGAAATCCAAAAACCTTGCTCGAGTAAGAATACCCAATAAGTCATTATTGAGCAAATACGTGACGTCATCACGACTCTGTGCAATGCGTACTGGCAATTGTAGTTTGGGCTTGTGGATCGAGATTGGAACGGCATCTCAAAAAAATTAAAATTTGTGAAAACACAACCTTTGATTTACGCATATTCCATTGCGTAGTTCAAATCACCTTTTGCCTCAGTCAAAGCTCTTATAACCCGTCATTGTCATGTCCAATCGATTCAATAAAAGTAGCAAGAGCATATCTCGTAATAATAATAGCGTCAATTCTATCCGTTGAGTCACCGCTCTCGACATTATAGTGTGTCCAGCAATGTCACCGCATGATCATAGTTCGGAGCTAACAGTGATGCAAATGGTTTCCTACGTAGAGCAATTTGGCCAGACTCTAATACAGTCTAGAAAAACTTATTCCAGATTCGAGGCACTAAAAAATACTGCAAACAGAATCCCACTCCTCGACTGGGAGTTGAACCCAGGCTGCGTCCGTGACAGGGACGAGTGATACCGTTTCACTATCGAGGTCTTGCATGATACGCTACAACTAAAGTGTATATATCACGAGCAAGACTTTGACAGCTTGACTTTCAACTTGATACGACACATGCCCCGAATCGCCCCGATAAGACTACAGATGCATGCGAGAGATTTGGGATGAGTTCGACCCAGACACCATTGCAAGTGTGTTTGAGAGTACTGCAAGCAAGAAGCAAAAAAAGGACACCCACATGGCCACAACCATGAGGATAATCACGTTGACGCATCCTAGTCAGTACACCAGGGTCCCTCCACATCTCAACCTGATAGAGATTAATTTGAAATTCCATCGATCAACGACTAGTGTCGACCCAGTGAATGGGAAAAGCGACGCGTGGCTTTGCTCTCTTTTCGGCAAACCACTAGCTCCATCTTTAGCATACATATCAATCAAGCAAAAAGGCCGTCATGGAACGTTTTTCACATGTTTGAATTTGGTGCTTTCTTTCCAAAACAGCGCACCTTCAACAGCAGGGCCTGATCCAAGTGAATTTAAATTACCTGTTGCGGTTCTGATCCGTCTTTAGCAAGGACACTCCCCTCCAGAGCGACGACCAAAATATTGTTGGGTCCAGGAGCATTCCTGGTAATTGAAATCGGACCTTGTCCAGGCTGAATACAGGAACCTTCAGGCTACTACGTTCATAGTAATTTCGTTGCTTTTGTTGGTGTATTTAGGAATTGATATAAGTGTAAATTAGTCCAATCGTTTGGATTTAACATGTTTGCAAACGATCCAGCAATAATTGATCTAACGGCACAAACTTACCAGGATAGGTCGATTATTGGTCGAGTTTTGGGCACTGCGCCTGTTGCTGCTCTCGTCTAACGGCTCAAACAGAGGGTTTCTCCTCAAACTTGTTGACGGCGGAAAGTTACAGGCGATTATGCGAGATCCAGAGATCAGCAGGAAGGAAATAAACGACTTGACACGTGCCAATTCATGTACTCGTGTAAGTTTATTCATTCTAGGGTCAAATATGCAAACGATGCGTTATCAAATACTTTACATTTTCACGACAAGTTCACGTTCTCGACATGTCTCCAGAGCATATTCATTTGCTGCTTTTCTTCGGCCTGCAACATGTTCATATGGGTCTAAGTGTGGAAAGTATTTTTTGTCAGTCACTTGGCAGCTAACCAAAAAGCTGGAAGACGTAGAGGAAGAATAGCACTCACCGAAGCCTGTTGCTTCAACCTGCTCAAATCTCGCTTCAACCCTTCGATATCTTCAACTACAGCCTTTTGAGGTAGCTCGCGTCGAAGTAATCGAGAAAGCAATGCCAGTAGCATTTCAATGGAAGCTATAAAAACACTGCAAGTCAGTGCTAATTCTGCTTGACTGAGGTTCTTTTGTTCAAACGACTCACCCCAAGTTGAACGTATTTGAACACTCAAATCTTCACCAAATGATCTGACGGCTTCTTCAATAACATGTTCTCGTTCACTCTCTGCCAAATCCTTCCAGGTAGATGAGCTATGGACCATGACAATCTAAACGAGATAGAAAGTGAGTTGGATGTTAAATAAAAAATCTACTGTTGTTCGAAGTGTGCTTTTTTTACCTCCTTCATATCTTCCGTAGACAATGATATGCTCTTGCGAAGAATCCCTTGAATATGATTGCTGTCCTCTCCCAACAACTGCAGATGATTGATTTTATTGCTCAATAGCTTCTTGAGGCATGAGCTGGATATTTCTGCATTTGCGTCTCCTGCCAAAAAAAACCATTACCACCAGGCCATGATGTTGAAGCATTTCAGCAAGTTTTCTTCACAGACCTGATGAATCAGCAACAGTAATTGACAAACAGTAAACCAACACATTGTATTGGATTTCCGAGAAGAGACGCTCTGCTTGTAAATCAGCTACTGATATCCCTCGTTTGGATACTAAGCGGAAAGTCCAAACCACGTTTTGGTGTCAGGCCAAAAAAACGCCCGCAAAATCTTCGAACAGCAGTCACTTACAAGGCTCACGAACTTTAAAGTTGAAATCATCAACAGCCGAAGCGGGTTGAATACGTCTCTTCAGCTCTTCTTGATTGGATAGCTTATCCAGTAGTGACACCATCATGCCATGCAGTGTGCGACGACCAGCTCCAATGCCCTAAAATCCAAATACGTAAACGAGCCTGAACAAAACCACTCGCATCAAAAGGCTACGTCGCACCATACGATTCAACAACACACGTCCTTTACGTAAAAGCATGAATAGGCCACTAGCATATTTCATGGCTCGTAAAGATTCGATCGTCAGCACCGCAGTCTTGGGTGGAGACAATATCGCTCTGAATGTATCAGCGTGCGTCAAGATGAATTCTGCCACGGCCGACTGTGATAGTACTGGATTAGGTTGTAATTTTTTGCAAAGGCTTTGCTCTTGGAATTGCTATCACGTACATAGACCTCATCTGTCCTAGCATACTCCAATACTTGCAAGACAATCTCAAATACTACATGGGTGATTTGCGTAAAGTGCTCAAAGAGTTCGGGGTTTCTGGAACCTAATGTTTAAGGGAGCACGGACCGTCAATGCTAGCGAATTTTTGGTCGCTTTTTATGCACTGACCTTCTTGGAAGTAATCCAAAAACCTCGCTCGAGTAAGAATCCCCAATAAATTACTATTGAGCAAATACATGACACCATCACGAGTCTGTGCAATGCGTACTAGCAATTGCAATTTGAGCTTGCAGATCGAGATTGGAACGACATCTAAGCAAAATAAAATCTCAGCAAAAAAAGGCATAATGCTAAAGGATGTTCCATTGTATGGTCCAAATTACCTTCAGCTTCAGTCAAAGCTCTTATAACCCGTTCATCGTCATATCCAATCGACTCAATAAAAGTAGCAAGAGCATTCCTCACAATAATAGCATTAATTATATCAGTCGAATCAACACTCTCCATACAACTGCACAATGTATCCAGCAATGCCAAAGCTGGTACCATGACCACAGCATCACCATCAGAAGCATCTCGACATAATACAAACACAAGTTGCTTCCAATATGTAGAGAAGTGGGACAAGTCAGCACCATTATCACCAGGCCAAAAGTCATCTTCAGATGTCTTTGGCTTTGATAGTGTTGCTTGGAAGAGTTGATTGATACCGGATAGTGCAGATGCTCGTGCAGGCGGTGTAAAGGCTTCTTCGTTACGTAAAAAGAAGTCTAATACTAGTCGTGTTATAGCCTGATATGTCCCATCCAATCCACTGCTAGAGAGATGTTCAACGAGACGGACAATCAACGCTTCAATCACTGGTGCCAAAGCACTAGCAATTTCCACTTGGATGGGACTTTGATTGGCTTTAGCTAATACGGCATTAAGGATTTGTTTAATGACATCAACATATGAAGCTGATGACATAAAGCTTCGAGTAACGAAATCAGCCAATTTACACCACGATGAGAGAGCATGGATTATAGAACCAGAGAGTTCTTGCTCAAGATTCTTTTCTACCAAATTTTCCAAGATGAGTCTCATTTCATCTCTCATAGCCATTATATGGACGGATCCTACAGCATCCCTATCTATTTGTGATCCCATACGATGTAGACGATCCAATACAGCAGTCACATCATATATCTCTTCACCGTGCTCATTGATACGTATATCAGCTTGCAATAAACCAAAGTACCGTGTCTGTAATGGTCGATTCGCAAGTGGTTCCTGCACACGGTCCAAAGTTATACCAGCGAGTACCTCCATCATTCGAGGCAATGATTGCTCAAATTGACCTTCACCAGTAGTACTACCACCTACTATATCATCATCTCCGAAATCGTCATCGCCATTATTTTCTTGACGAGATGCACCAGCAGTATACAACAAGACTTGCATAACTTTATCAATCTCAGATTGTTGAGACGTTGATTGCAGCAATCGTAACTCTATAGCTGCTATATCCATCAACCATGCTTGTTGATGAAGACATAATCGATCAGCTAGTACACGTTCATGACGAGCCTGTGCGTTGTCTTCTTGCTCAATCACTTCCATAGCCGTTGGTAGTGTAGCCAATTGCTTGACTACGAACCCTTCGTGATGGCGGAGATAACGAAGAGTCATTCTAGACGTATTTGGATGTCGAGTCAAGTAGAAGAGTACATGAAGCGCCTTCTCTACTATCGGATCAACTATCGGAGCGGCATCTTGTTCTACAGCGACTAGGCGCACAATAGAGTGAAAGCATGATAGTGCAGCTCCTTCGGACTCTGGATGTGGTATTTCTCCATCTGATCGTAATTTACTAAACCTTAAAAAGCAGCAAAGAAAAGAGAATTAATTGAAAGCATGATGTCACTTCGACTGCACCAAACATACTGCAACTTACCCCAGGAGAAACAAGGCAAGTGCAGAAGACCTTCCAGTCGACAATCCAGCCAAAAGCACATCAAATATAGCAGCCCGAATATCAGCAGTAGTAGGTGTTCCTTGCTGCAAATCTCCAGCCGCAGATGCCCGTTCAACAAGACTATTAAATCCAGTTTCTCCCTCTGCCAAAGTCATTTGATTCATAAATCCATATATAATTCGTTTCTTTTCAGCTGATGTGTCGAGAATCGAGACCAGTTGATTTATTGTACTTCCTCGATCAGCTCGTATAAAGGAACTTGATTGAGACAAGACTGCCAATATTTGGATGGACACCAATGGAATCTCACATCCAACTGTACATGAGACATATTCAGCTATATCAATGACATACTGACGCGAATGTGACAGTCGATCGTCCAACGATGCAAGGGAAGCAATATAATTGGGTGACACAGCTTTGAGTGATTCCAACACCAATTTCTGAGTTCTCAGAACATTGTGGACGATATGAAGGGCAAGTTTCACAGATTCAACATTGTGGTTGCCCCATTTACGTTCATTTACACTCTCAACACCAGTGCCAATAATTTGGGTTACGAGACCAAGTAAAGGTCTACCAGCAAAGATTTCGAAATACACTTCTATAGCTGGATGACATCCGATCGGTGTCATGAGACGTGTAATACCCATCTCATGCACCCATGCGTCGAATGATACCAAACATGAGTTTGCGAATTCCAGACATTCCTGAAGATTTATGAGTGAATTTGCGATTAAAAACACCAGCAATCATTCAGCGTAAGTCGAGTGTATTTTGTTTACCTTGGTCATGCTCCACTTCTCATCCGGATCAGCAAATGGTCTCTTCTCCATTTTATACAGCAACCTCTCCAGCACATAACGTACATATGGCAGCATACCATGCCCTTGCGGCAGCATACCATCTCCAGCACCAGACATCATGTTTACTGGTCCTGGTTGCACGATTTGCGTAATGGTGGGTGATTTCATCAATATATTCATCAGCTTCAAGAAGGCAATAGTTTCTGGGTATCTCTGTTCGTTGGTTTCGACTTCTTCTAAATCCAGCACGAGTCCAGGACTTATAACTTCGACTTGTCCTGGTCGTGGCGGTGGAGTGCGTGGTATTATTTGAGCTTGCTCCAACATTCTCCATACTTGAACCGTGATGGAATCACCACCTGTACTACTGGGTATACAGAATGCAGCCACGGCATTCAGTAAAGCAGCCTTGACGTCTACTGCGACCCGACAAACAAAGAGTTGTAATAGGGCATATACAGCTCGATAATGTTGATTTTGGTGTAGAGTAGTTCGAGCCATTTCATCAAAGTGCACGACGTTTCTTAATATACGTAAATATGCACATAAAGCTGCTGCATCTTTTGGACTGATTTCGCGACCTTCGGCTTGAGCTAATGCAGCTGCATATTGATTCAGAGTTCGAAACAAAACAATCCACGATACCCTCGATGCTGCAAGCTGCCCATAACCACTATATTGGTCTGTTGCACTCAAGAACTGTTGCAAAATTGCAGGTGAGACTTTGAGACACGACGGAAAAAACCAAGTCTGCACCGGAAGGATGAGCACCTCACCTCGTAAGCTTTACCAGACGACTGAGGGCCATGAGCAAGTGAAGCCAACATTTCCAGATAAGCTGGAACAAGCGCCTCAGTTCTCACCTCAGACGCCCATTTCAGAAACTTGCATAACTCGACCTCAGTCCACCATGCGTACCCAGAATCATGTCTAAAGCTATGCACCAAAGCAATCAATTTCAGCAAGTATTCGAAATCTCGTCGATTGGCTGTGGCATCGATTTCAGGTCCTGGCTGACCAAATGTATCTTTTGGTTGCTGCTGATGATGTTGCTGTAGTAATTGTTGCTGTTGTTGTCTAGGTACGACATCTTCATCGTGATTCTTTAATTCCTTGACTATTCTACCAAACTTTCTACACATGGATGCTATGAGGTCGTCAGCAGCATCTCGGAATGCTGATATGGTATAAGCTTCAAAGGTGTCGATGGCGATACCATCCTTGAGATAGACGATATTACGAGCTGGAATCGACATGTTGGTGGAAGGTGTAGTTTGGATGTATTCGTGTAGTAGTTTCGAGTGCGTTTCCATTAGTCGATATATGTGATGGAGAGCTCTGCAAAAAATGCCAAAAAATCAGAAAAATAACCATAATCAACTCATTGTGTTCACTCACCCTTGTGCAATAGTGGCTCGTACAATCTGCTGGATATGTTCGTCTGATACAGTCAGATTGGTTCCAGACCTAGACACTTCATGCCTCAAGTATACAGCCCACCTGAAGCATACTATGGCTTGCAATTCCTTCACTGCCCAAGTTGTAGGTATCAGTTCTCGTTCAATGGAAGCTACGTATTCGTCAGGTATAGGTGGATTAGATTCCGGAGATTCGAAAGGTGGAGTCATCTGAGCAGCCAGTACGGTAGTAAGAAGTGGGAAAGCTGTTGGATCAGTCATTTCGACCTCTCTCAGTTTTTTAATCAAGGCTGCCATTTCTTCAATCGTGAGCTGTCGATATCTAGCTGCTGCCCATAGAGTTACGACCATATCCTTTCGAGTATTTATGAGATGAGCTACATGAGTCCGAATCACATCTTCCGCAACCGACGATGCAAGCCCCGCAGCCTTCATTCGAGTCGTAGCGTCCTTTACTTTACATTGATCGCCTCCATACCCCTCCGCATCAGGACTCCATATCTTTTCCCGATTCTTCAAGTCTTCTAATGCATTCAGCATTTTGGAGACTGGAGATGTAGCTGGTGCTTCGCCACCTGTTATTCCGTCAAATATATCATCGACAAAGCTTCGCAAGACACGACGAATGGATTCCTTGATGCGACCATCCGTGGTGAAATTTAGGAGCGTTACGAGAGAGTCTGCGACGTATCGTCTTCCTCGATGGTATAGTAGGATGGCCGTCATGAGCACATCACGATCAAAACGAGCAGCTTGGGTTTGTGCTTGACTTAGCAGACTCGTAGCACGACTCTCTGTCACATCTAATATATCTGATATGAGGACTACAGTTTGGCCGTATGCTTCGTTTGCTTGCACGAATTGCTGGTTGAGGTATACAGTTCCTAGTATAATATTGGGTGTGAGGTTTTGGCGATATATTTCGCGACACGAAGAAAGAAACATTCAACCCTTTAAGGCTTGTTCCCGTAGCGATGCATCCTTTGGAGGCTCCTTGAAGAAGCAATCCAATTCACGAATAAACCTTGGGAGATTTGCGTTGATGTTTTTCAAATGTTCGACAGCAAGATGACCATCCAATGGTGGAATCTGCGTGATGAGCTGTGCGAAATCCTCCAGAGCTATTAAATATATTGAAATTGTTAATACTTTTATATGCAAAACGATTGCATCGCCCGAGTTCAACAAGGAGCTGAATTCATGTTTGGAGCTTTCCAACAATCACAAGGCTGGCTTGCTTGGTACGAGCGAAACTTACAGTCGAATTCACGCCTTGCCATGGCTATATATACAGATGCAATCTCGACAATTCATACAATCCAGTGTCGTAGTATTAAGGATTTCACAAAAGTTGACTCAATGATGCTTGCCAACGCTTGTCCAAACACAATTATTCGCAATGCAAACGACGACATTTTATTACTATATTTGCTACCTGCTCTGTTTATACAACGTGTACAAAACGCTTTTAATCAGTCTGCATCGACGAACCATATCGTTCTAAGGCGATTTAAATTATATCAGATATATTCAAACCAAGTAATCAGAACGTTTCTTCTCACCTTGCATGATCTTCAACAATTGCAAGACACTTTGTAATGGTTGATTCGAGCCACCTTCGACTCCCAGTTGAGCAGCTGTAAGTTGCTGACTTCTTATGGCGTATGATAACGTTCGAAGTGCTGATTTGAATTGCGGTGATCGTATGACAGAATTGAGTTCAGCGGTGGTGTGTTTTGCACCGGCTGGGAGATGAGGAAACAAAGCTTGGGCCACATGAGAGTCACTCAGCATTCCACTGACGAGATCTGGTGTAATTGCGTCTGATAAATCCAGGTCTGGTTCAGATGCTAGGTGAGTGGGTAACAGGGGTGAGATGTAATTTATTCAAAACGAACTATAGCAAGGAACGTACGTGGCACTTGAATGTTTGCCAAGATACTTCGAAGTTGATCCATTTGGGCTGATTTGCTTGATGGAGCAGCTCCAGAGGCTGGTGCTGTTGTAGCAGCAGAGCGAGATGAAGTACCTCTATCGGATCTGTTTAAGTTCACTCTGGCTTATATGAGTCAAACAGCTGATGCGTACCCAGACGTTTGGCTCAACAAGGCTTGTATCTGAGCATCTTCATTCACATCAACAGACTGATTATTTATGATGTTGTTGAATTTGGCGACCAGTTCAGCATCTGTTTCTTCCTTTGGCTCTTGCATCCAAAAGAATACTCGTTGAGATATTTCCTTCCATTTCAAGACATAGTTTCGAGCGTGTATTTTGACCAGTTCAGCATCACCGGGGAAGAGAATCAAGTCCTCTACAATAACCTTGGTAGTTCGATCTTGAAAAATGACGTGCATCAAGTCATCTTCTTGCTCCAAGTACAGTAATCTGTAAAACGTTTGGAAATTAATTTCTGATATGCATTCATACTAGCATTCATGGGATATTTGAGGAAAAGTATTGGTATCTGCAAGCTTTCAGTAAGATGTTCAATTGCAAATGTTGATGGTTCAATGCGAAAAGGACGAAGACGGTGAGCAGCATACCCTTTAAGAGCAACATCTGGTTTGAGCATATTATTTTCCTTTATTAGTTTACCTGTAGGCAAGCAAGTTGAAATTAATGGACTTTCTACAAGCATTTGTCACGTTGATTCAACTTACCAGCTTTGATTTCTAGCAAATGCTTGGACGGTGCTTGTGCAGGAGTGCCAAATAATGACATACTTGTTATTTGCACTTGCTGCTTTGAATGGATTTGATGCAACTGCGACTCTATTGTGTTGGGATGTATTATGTTTTGACGATCGAAGGCTGTCGAGGAGAGGAGCAAGGACGAAGCAAGGACATGGTACTTTATTTATGCAGCTACGTGAGGTTCAAAGTATAGCACTTGCTTTCAATGTCGCAATACGTAATTTTGAAAGTCATCAGTTTTGACTGCCTGCTCCTCTGTGTATAGGACCAAGACGTGTATAAAACAAGGATATTGACGTGAATATTGGACGCTCTGACGCTTGAACCGTGTAGTACTCTGTGCTTCAATGTGTTTCAAAACGGCATGCAACGACATTTGATGTGTTCAATCACACAAGATAGAGTCTAGCAACATTCGAGAATGCGCTTGTCTTTTTGATTGAATACTCAGATTGCTAAGCAGTCTACTGTATTCATCGATTGAGATTGATTTACCTTCCAACTGTTTCGAGGAGCGTAGATGACAGTTTGCTGAATTATGTGGGCCTGGCCAGGTACTGAGATTTTGTCTCGCGTTTTGTACATCACAACAGTTGTGCCTGTCTTCTGTTTAAAAATCCTTTGGTCTGCCTTTAGACTTGCCGCTGTAGACGTGTTGGGCCCCTGAGCCCCTGTTGGAGAGCGAGCAAGAGCAACATAATCGTCCGATTCGGAAGGGTGATGATGTTGGGACGAGTGAGAAGAAGAACCCCTTTGTGCCGTCGATTAATATCAGGAGCCTTGCGAAGGAGGATGCAAACGTTGCTAGGTCATCCTTGCTGATGACTCCTTTGTTGGACATATCATTAAGGAGACTTTCCATACGAGTGACGGTTTCAAACAGCGAATTCTTTTGACCTATTTCAATGAAGAAATGAATGTCCTGGTGATCTGCAAAATGGGATGTTTAGGCACAACACTGTCAACTTGGATGTTACCAAGTTTTGGACCTCTCTTGCGCGTCTCCGGATACGAGCATGGAGCCACTGAAAGCATCTTGTTCTCAGCGTCGACACAATTTGAGCATGGCATCTACAAAGGAACGTGTGTGTTTGCTTCTTGAAGCTCAAAATCCGAGTTTGATGTCAACTCCCACCTCGCCATTGCACGTCCTTTTCTTCGTACGGCAGCGCTCTAGAAGTGAACAGGACGCTTTAATAATCGATTTTCAACTTTTAACGAATATACAACTAGATTGAATGGTTCTCGTTATGCAAAACCCCAACCAAAACCTCAAAATCATCCAAGCGCACCAGCTCACGTACTACAAGCTCTGGTCGTGACTTTTCGCTTCTTATTAGGCTAGTCCTCTCCATTCTCGAAAGCCTAGTCTTGTTCCTGCTCGACCATCATTGTAAATTGACAATCAGGACATATCAGAGCCTTACTTCGATGGCGACATAGTGGTGCAAACGAAAGCGATACAGCCTGGTAGATTTGAGCGAATCTTTGAATTGGGATGTCAGGCAACTGCGTTTTACAAGACATGAAACTGCGCACCAATGGTAAAGCTTCCATCGTACACAAAATTTCACAAGTTACAAGTATTCAAACAAAGAGTTGCACCGTGAGCGTACAAAAGTCGTACGCTACTTCGAGAAGGTGAGAAATCATGATGTTGAGCACAGCCCACTAAGTGTTTAGCTACGGAAAATAAACCTGCGTCCATTTTGTCTCTATCTTGCGCGTGAGCTCGATGACCTGTGTTCGAAGAACGGAAGACAGCTGAGACATCATGGATGCTATCTGAATGCTCTCCCTATCTGGACTAGACCTTGAACCTCAGACTACGATGCTGCAATTAGATGAGCAGGGTCTCGGTGGTTTGTGTTGGCATGCATGCAAGAGGGACACAACCATCTGACAGCCAATTTTCGTGAAAATTTGCATATTGATACGTCCCAGATTGCATTCGAGTGCTCCGACAGAGCTCCTTGAGGCCTGCTGACATTTAGTTGGATTAAGGAAGGTGAACTTTGAACATTGGTGCAGTAAAGCAAGGGGGCAACGAAGCTGTCGTCGTTCAAAAAATTCATAAGTTGTTTTTAAATAACTGAGGCACGATTTTTAAATACAATAAGTATTCTACAGTAAGTGTCATCCCTTTCCACCCAATTCCAACCTAAAGCTACTTTGGAAACAGATTCATCCTGTGCATTTCAAACTTGACACCTTCTTCCTTGTTATCTTCCTTTCGTTGAGGTTCATACTTGTTGTTGTTGAAGGATGGAAGAGAGGATCCATTCTTTGTTTGGAGGTCTTTCAAGGCATTCTTGACTAAATTACTATACACCTACATGCCGGGAATATATAGGATTAGTCTATATTTCGAGTTAGATTCATTTCGTAGCGAAAAAGATCACATTCACGGTGCCAATAATATCTTACAAGTGCAACATTAAAGAGACGACCAGTGTTCTCAAGCATTGGAAGCACGATATTCACAATATCGGTTACGGATTCTTCCCACGTTCTGATCAAATGAGGTTCCGTGACACGCAGACGAAGCACCATCTCCGAACCACCTATATGAAAAAAAATGAATGAAAGAACACGTATGTGACAACTCTTCACTAACTTACGAGCAAATGCCGTTGAAAACAATGGTGAATGACCAATAGAAAACGGACTCATATTTGCGGCATTCGTTATTGGGAAATCCTTTTTACCATATGTTGTTGGACTATTAGGTGAGAATGGCAGATTGTTGACATCCATTCCTTCAAAATGGTGTGAGGTCTTGAGAATACACAGCATGGCTCTATGTGCAGCCAAGATGATCTCTTTACTCGACACCATTGGACCGTCCTCTCCTGATGTCAGACGATAGATTTTACTGGGATCATCTTGACTATGACCATGTAGCAACATCATAAAGTGGAAGAAACTATATATGAAATCTACAGCGTGAGGAGATACCAGCCATCGTGGAGCACTAGAATATGTATATTGACTCGTGTCAACGATAGGAAGTTTCCGTGACAGTAATACGTTCAATGATTCAAATGGTTTGTAAAAGTCGTCCAGACAGTCCCACCATTCGATAAAGGAATTATGGATGGTTGCTCGTGACCGTTGTGGGTCCATGGTATTTAAGACAGCAGTGGTACTCGGAGGAGGGACAAATTCAAGCGTAGCAGTAGCTGGTTTAGCGTCACGGATTATGCTAATCACCTGTCTGGCCAGACAACAGAGCTCAAAAGAATGAGCGGCGTCAACCGTCAATTCAACACCACTACTAGGGAAAAAAGACGTTTCATCGAAATCCTGACGTGGGGTTTTGAAGACACTGTAGCGAGGCCTTCGATAGAAGAATAACACCTGTTCCATCGTCAAACTGCTCTGAACCTTCTCCTGATTCACCAGCTCGTTTATGAGAAGCAATGCTGGCTTACAGTCCCTCTGCACAAAAACAACAAAGTAAACACACAAGGAAACACGTAAGTCAACAGGAAACACAAATCAGCCTCGTGTATATTCCTTACCTCGTGCATAGTGGGTGGAAGTTGCACAATGGAACACGTGTACAAGTCAAAAGCCAACAAGCACAACCATAAAATCTTTCTTGTTTTGGCTTCTCCAACGAGCAGCTTCGGTGGCATGATAGAAAACAGTTTGTAGTGAAGGTCTTCCTGTAGCCTATGGTATAAATTCAATTTTAGACTAATCACCTCGCTAATGTAAGCTGAGAGAGGTTGACTTACCAAAGTCGTTGAGCCAAACGAATCGCTACGAAAGTGTACATATGTGCCTTCAAGCCGTTTCGTTCAATAAAGTCATAAGCTACAGAGAGTATCGTCAGCAAGTGTTGTCACGATACATGTCGTTGCGAGAGGCAACTTACTGCATAGCAAGACCAGAGTCTGTACAAGAGTAGCTGATTCTATTGGAGGAGCCTTGTCCAAGATGTCCTCGGCCTTCTTTGCAAACATTGCAGCTGCCTTCTTCGGAGACCCATACTTGTCGTCATATAGATGTGGGTGGGTAGAATTCAAAGAACCGAGGGCATATATAGCATTCATTAGATAGTCGGGATGTTTCAATGTCGGGAACAGTTTCGAGTAAAAGTAGGATTCGTCAAATAGATAGATTGAGCGTCCGAGAGCATAAAAGTAGTTTTGGATGAGGTTCATTTGAAGTTCTGTTAGTGTGCTTGACTGAGATCCCGATGAAGACGATGACGAGTCGGCGATTTGCATGACGGCATGATCGAGCTTCGTTCCGTCGGTGAGACCAAACTGATCCGCAAGAGTTGTCGAAATACGTAGGTATCCCAAGTTCTCTGCCATATTTGTTGTAGGCAAAGAACTATAAAACGGGTCCAGAAACAGACTTGGATCTAAGATTCGCGAAGGAAGTCTTGTCAGCAATGGTGTAAAGGGGGGTTCACGCAAGGTTGATTCAACTTACCAAAACCTAAACTATTTGACAACATGAATGGATCTGTTGACTGTAAAGACGGTGAAGACATCATTAACCGCTCCATAGCCTGGCCAAAAGTAGGAGTTGTCTCTGTAATCTCAACATCCTCGTCTACATCAGTCAACTTCTTTTCAGGAGATGAAGCGTATGGAGTGAGTGCCATATTGTCCAGTTCATCCTGTATGTCATAATATGGTTTGTCTTGTGGAGGCCTCGAGTATGGCAGTTGAGAATCATTACTTCGAGGCGAACTAGGGTATGGCAGTTGAGCATTACTAGGTTCAGGCGGTGTAGAGTATGGCAGCGGGGTTCTGCTTCGAGGAGCCGTGAAGATTGGCTGATTCATTATCGGAAGTTCTGGCTGATATTTACCGTACGTCACGTTCGAATCTTCTGGCTGATACTTTTGCGAGTAGTTGTTGTACTGATCGTAATTAGAGTTGATGTTGGGAACTTCCTGCTGCTGTTGTTTGTAATGATTTCGACCTCCTTGTTGATTATTAGACTGAGAGGAAGCAGCATAGTCGTCGGAATCGTAAGGCTCACGTTGCTGATGTGAGTGAGAAGTGCTACTCTTTCGCTTTGATGATTTCGACAAGGAAGATTGGGAAGGAGGCTCTACCATTTCTAACTCTTCCTTGCTGATGACTCCCTTGCTGGATAAATCAGCCATAAGAGTTTCCATGCGCTCAATCTTTAAGAGCAGGGAGTTCTTTTGGCCTGTTTTCAATAGGATATTACGGTAAGTTGTCAACTTAAGTCGGATCATGACATGACATGGCAAAGTCGTTTCTTGTACCAGGTTTTGGCCCACGTTTTTTCTTCTCCGGAAACGTGCACGGACCGACTTGCAGACCCTTCGCCACTGCTTCCAAGCAGTTAGAGCACGGCAGCTGCAGGGAGTGTTGTTGTAAGCTTGAAGCTCGAACGAGTCGAAATGTTGCGCGGATGTCAAACCCACCTGGCCATCGCACTTCCTTTTCTTGGCACGACAGCGCTCTAGTGTAAAAGATGCTTTAACTAATGCTTCTTTACGAAAAGCAGCAAGATCAACCCAGCATGTATTTGGCCGAGCGAAAAACACCTTTCAAACAAGGACAAAAACTTGAGTGGATACATACCACAAGCTTGCTGCGCTACTTTGCGCTTCTTATTAGGTAGCTGCTCATCGTTATCGTCGTCAAAACCTTGGTCTTCGTCCTCTAGTTTCATTTTGCCTAGGTACGTTGAAAGCTTTACCAACAACCCATTCAATCAGGAACGAAACACCCACAAAGAGTGCTGTGAGTGCATCTTTCACCCGCGGTTATTACATACAGCATGCAGACCTCACAAATCTATTCAACTCCCGTCCGTGTTTTCGTCCAATGGTAGCCATTCTCCAAGTGGCAACAATTTACGCGTTTCCGTTGCCAATGAGCAGTGCAAACGTGACATTTTTGGCAAATTGCATTAATATACTCATTAAACGCAATATTCACATTCCGTTTTCTTCGTTCTCCAATTTTCGTTCGTCGCATTCCTGCAACAAATCCGAACATTCGCATTCATTATAAGCAAAGATGGGCGATCACCCTCCTGCGAACGATGGGAAGGGGAACAAAATCATCCTAGAGTTTCCATATGAGAGCGCCCCTCAACCATTCTCTCAGATGCCCACTGGTTCTGCTCAACCTGCTCGTTTTCGCCAAGAATTTGGTTCATCATCAAACACTTCGCAAATGCCAGCAACCGCTGCTATACGACCAGAGAGACGCCAATTAGATGATATTCAACAGAGCATTCAACCAAGATCTACTCAGGAACAGCCCGCATCTGGTCGAGGTCAACTTCTTGCATCAAACCCAACAGCATCACGATCAAATCAGCAAGAACGATCAAACAACAATAATGCTCCTACAGCAAATCCTGGTTTCGCTCCTGCTGCATTAAGAAACTCGGGATTCTTTGGTAATATGTCTGATGATCGTAATACTATGCTGGCAAGAGATAGTAGTGGTGAATTGGGTAATGGCTTCCCAAAGAGAACTCGTAGTCTGGTCAGAGTCGGGGAAGTCAGAACCGTAGAACGACCTAAACCAATGATGAGAAATGAAAACATGGCTCCTCCTGCTGCTCGTGCTGGTATGTCTTGGATGATGTGTGTTGTAGTTGATGAGCATTCATTTTGCAAAGGAACGAACGCCAATTAGATACTGCTTCATCAATGCTTGATCAGTGATCATTTCAAACCACTGATTACTCTGGTATCTCATGCACAAATACTCAAATCAGGTGCTACCTCTACGCGGTTGGGACCGATACCAAGTAAAGACCCACCAAATCGATATACTCCTCCTGCTCCTTCTCAACGAGAGACAACTGGATGGTGGTCATTTACTGCTAAAGTCGTCACTTGTTGTGTTTGGCCAATCTGTTTGTCTGCAGCTGGTCAAAAGGATCTAGCCGTTCGACAAGCATGGCGTGAAAAGGTATGCAAAAGTGGGATAGTGAATGAATATTGAAGCGTTTCTCAACGAGGATCTACCTCCTTCTTTACATTCTTCAAACTTTTAATTTTCTGTAAACACGTCATCAACTTTCATCCAAATCGAAAATAGGTTACCTTATGTCTCATCATCTTCGCAATGAGTTGTGGATTGGGATTCATGACATTCGGATTACGTCCATTGTTGTGTCCTAGTACCCAAACAACCTCGACTTCGGATGCATACTTCAACCAAACAGATCATTTATCAAAAGTGTATAGAGACGATGTAGTCATTAATGGTTATATCTACGACTTTAACGATACAGCTGCTAGACTCGCTTATTACTCTGGAGGAACAATCATCCTCGATGCAGACTGGCATGGTCAAGATATTAGTAGACTCTTTAAACCATTCAACAGCTCGAACGCTTGTAATGCTTTTGCCATGGTGGACACCTCGTCTTGCACCATTCCAAACCCGTGGAGTCTATCCTCGCCTAGCCTTGGACCAGTCATTAATGGATTCTGTCCAGATGTTACTTGGCTAGGGCGCCCGAAAAGTTATGTTTGGTTTGCCTGGGACGAAGTATTGAAGAATGTAGCAGCGCCACATGCTTTGACAGTATATAATAGTCGTGTACTCAACCTGACGGCGTATTACGCAAATGATACAGCACATCGGTTTGTTGAAGCTTACTCAACTGCCACGCATCAACTCAATTCGTCATTGGGTCGAGATGGAACGTATCTGCTATCAGCCAATCCTAATAGTAAAGCAGCTATCGCGTGTCTAACACAGCTTTATACTGTTGGATTTATTGATTCCGAGTCGCTTGGTTGTGTCTCTGCTGACGTGATTCAAGGAATCATGCTAGCTGCTATCTTGACTGTCATATTATGTAAATTCATAATGGCTATTACGTATCACTGGTGTGTCTCGTGGCGGCTGGTCCGTCAAAATGTAGTTAGATCATATTATCGAGATGATTACCGTGACGTCCCTGATTTAGCATCACAATGGGCCTTTGATGCAAACAAGGCAGCTGGATTGGGTCAGCCTAGTCTTGCACCGTATGCACCATCAGATGATTTTTATACGTTTCTAATGGTTACCTGTTATTCAGAAGGTGAAGCTGGTATTCGAGGAACTCTAGACTCGTTAGCCTTGACGCATTATCCAGACGACAAGAAACTCTTGTTTATAGTAGCTGATGGACTCATCACTGGAAGCGGAAATGATCGTCCAACTCCGGATATAATAGTAGACATGATGACTCGTGGTGGTCCCGGTCTTGAAGATTTAGGTGGTGATCCAGAACCTAAATCATACTTGGCTATTGCTGATGGTGCCAAGCAACACAACATGGCAAAAGTATATGCTGGTCACTATATAGTCCGAACACATGTAGTACCCATGATTGTCGTCGTCAAATGTGGTCCACCGAACGAAGCCAAGATTAAAAAACCTGGTAATCGTGGTAAAAGGGACTCGCAGCTAGTATTGATGAATTTTGTGTCTCGTGTCATGTTTAATGATCGTATGACGCCACTTGATTATGACATGTTTATCAAAATCGCCAGAATCACTGGTGGTGTATCTCCCGATCGCTATGAACTAGTGCTCATGGTAGATGCAGACACCATCGTAAGACCTGATTCGTTGGCTCATATGGTCGCAGCTATGAGAAACGATGATCGGATCATGGGATTGTGTGGTGAGACTCGGATTGCCAATAAACGGGCTTCTTGGGTCTCTGCTATTCAAGTGTATGAGTATTATATATCACATCATATGGGTAAAGCTTTTGAGGCTTTGTTTGGTGGTGTTACGTGTCTTCCAGGTTGCTTTTGTATGTATCGAATCAAGGCTAGGAAGGGACCTGGTGGGCGTTGGGTCGTGCCGGTAAGCTTGCGCCAAATCAAATCTAGCACTCGAAATGTTTCTTTTCTGCTTTTGAACCTCATATGCTTTTTGAAATACAAAGGTACTTGCAAATCCAGATATTGTGGATGAGTACTCTGAGAACGTTGTCGACACTCTGCATAAGAAGAATCTCTTGCTGCTAGGAGAAGATCGATTCTTGAGTACCTTGATGCTACGAATGTTTCCACGTCGTAAAATGACTTTTGTGCCACAAGCTGTTTGTCGCACTGTCTGTCCTGATGAATTCTCAGTCTTGTTGTCGCAACGTCGTCGTTGGATTAACTCGACTATACACAATTTATTGGAGTTGGTCCGAGTACGAGACTTGTGTGGGACGTTTTGCTTTAGTATGCAATTCGTTGTTGCTGTAAGTGTGGTTAGGTGGTGATGCCAGGTTTTATCGGAGTTCAAGAAGGTCTTCCGGTCTTCTTTTTTGCAATGATGATTCTTATAACACTAAGTCTCATGTATAGTTGGACTTGATTGGGACATGTGTATTACCAGCTGGTCTACTCTTCACCGTATACATGATTGTCCAAGCCATCTTTACTCGCAGCTTAGGTCTGCTCCCTCTCGCCATCCTGATCCTAACCACGTCACTCCCAGGAATCCTAATCGTAATCACCACCCGGAAAATGGTATACGTGCTATGGATGTTTGCCTACTTGATCGCGCTCCCAGTCTGGAATTTCATATTACCACTATACGCATTCTGGCGCTTTGACGACTTTTCATGGGGAGAGACCCGGAAAGTTGCTGGTGAAGGAGTGTCTGCTGAAGATCATTCTACACGTGAAGGGGTATTTGAAATCAACTCAGTATCGCTGAAACGGTTTGCAGAGTGGGAAGTCGAGTATGGAAGGTTGCCTGCTCCGAAAAAGACGGATACGGCATTATTCGGTGGGACGACTGCTGTACCTATGTTTCCAAAGGCTGTGGCTGTTAGGTCTGCTGGTGGTGTAGGAGGCACAGGTGCTGGTTTGGCAGAGGCTGCTGAACCTGATGCGGTTGTCGTTGTACGTAATCCGTCACCAGATCGCAATGGAGGGCGTAAACCGTCACCGCAGCGAAATGTAGAGGTAGCACGTAATCCATCTCCACAACGAAACGTAGAAACAGTACGTAATCCATCACCACAACGAAACGTAGTAGTCGAAGCAGCACGTAATCCATCACCACGACGAAATGTAGATGAGTCAGTACATATCCCGTCTCCTCAACGATTTGTAGAAGAAGAACGAAGAGCACTAGAAGCCACTGAAAAGAAGCTTGACTCTGAACGACGAGACCTTGAGCGACGAGATCGTGAACGTGAGGAAAAGAAGGCTCGAAGAGAACGTGAAAATAGCAAGAAGGAAGGAGACCGTGAAACTCGTCGTGACAAGGAACGCCAAGAGTCGTCTTCTCGTCGTCGAGATAAAGATTCAGGCACGTCATCTAGTCGTCATAGAGAAGATACAACAACAAAGGAAAAACGAGATCGTAGTGCTACCAATAATGAACGTAGTAAAAAGGAACCGTCCGCTGTTTCTGCTAGTAAAGAGACTAGAGAAGAGACTCGAGAACGACGACGACAACGACATGACGAAAAGGAAGCTCGTAAACGTGAACGTGAATATCGAGATGCTTATCCTTCCAAAGCTAAAGGTGATGACGTCGTACCCATATTGAGGAAATCTGAAGAAGATCAAGATCGTCGTAAAGCTTTATCTGCTGGTAAATCAACAAGTAATCAACCAGCACCACCATCTCTACCACCAAAAGACACCACCAACAATCGAGTAGCATTTGCATCTGATAAACGTAGGATTGTTGAAGAGTCTGAAGACGACGACGACGATGACGATTTGGATGTAAAGCCTACTGCAGCTGTATCAGCACGTCGTTTAGAAGAATCACCTACTCGTGCCTTTGTAGCTGCACCACCAAGAGGAGAGTCATTTACAGCTTCGCAAAGGATGGGTGATAGTCCGCCACGACCTATTAATGTAGCGGCAGATGGTGGTGGTAGTGTGAGGATGGCTGGTCCACGACCTCCACCATTCTAATTCAGGGAAGGAATGGCGATCCAGTACTTACAATGTAGTCTGTTTTTCTCCTAGACAACTTACATATAATTTGGACAACCAAACCAACACATATAATCGTAATCTGATGGGACAATATAATGCTATGTAGTCGTCCGAAATACCCATATAATTTGTTTTCTAATGTAAATAGTTGCAACGCAACAACCATATTGTTAACCTGAAACAATAGCCCCCTATATATTTTAACCCCAAAACAATAAACAAAACCATGACTGTCTCTATAAAAACTGCTTTGGCGTTTTATTCATGTTTGCTTGCTACACTATACTAAATCAAAATACACGACAATGATGAATCAGAGCTCAATCAATGGAGCTTCAGGCACAACTACTGCTGGAGGTTGTTGCTGTTGCTGCTGTTGTAGAGGTGCCTGATAATATCCACCTTGTTGAGGATATGGTTGTTGTGGTTGATATCCAGCATTCTGTTGTGAATAACCAGGTGCATAACCCGGTGCATATCCACTTGGCTGCCCTGCTGCTGCTAATTGTTGTTGATATTGAGGTGGCGATGAAGATTGTAGTGGTCCGCTATATCCTGGATTTTGCTGTTGTGGAGCATATGTATACGATGATGATTGTGATGGTGGAGGAGCAGCTACGACTATACCCACAGCAGGTGGAGGAGCTGTATAATTGGCATAATATGGTTGTTGTTGCTGTGCTGATTCCGGTGGTGGTTGAGAAATTCCTTGAGGCGGACCTACTATACTATTTGGATCTGGTGGGACTCCTACAGCAACGCCATCTGGTGGATAATACCCCCCTTGCGGAGGTGCTGCATACCCACCAGGCTGTTGTTGATATCCTGCATATGGTGCTTGTGATGGTGGATACATGGATGGATCATGTTGTTGTGGTGGTGGCTGCGGATGTTGTATTTGCTGAGGATATCCAGCAGCTGATCCTGGAGCATAATATCCATATTGAGATGGGTAAGCATCAGGTGGATTATGCATTGCAAGTCGTTCTTGCAGCATGGCATCATATGATTTAATAGCGTTGGTTGCCTTGTCGTGTAGAGCATAGAATGTACGGTATTTTTCATGTGTTTCTTCTAGTGATCGGGCTAGTTTTCCTTGTAGAGGTGCGACGTGACCAAATAGTGCCTGGATTTAACAGAGAAATAGAAGCATTTTTTTGAGTTTGAGACAAAAAAAATCTTGAAATCGCTGATATAATACCTGAATTTGAGCTGGATTCAGCACCTGAGGGCCACGAGCCTGCACATCCATATCAGTCCTTTCAACCAATTCCGAAAACAAGCGTACATTCTCCAACTCGGTAATAGACAAATCTAGAGGATTGGGTGCTGATGGAATCACCGATACAGATGACGAAGGACCTGCAGATACAGACATGTTGGACATTGGCCGACTTAATGAATCTGCTGTTGGCTGTTGTTGATTATTCTTGTACGACAAGGAATATTCGCTCGGATTATATGATGCTGCAGCCTGCTGCTGCTTGGTTTCTTTAAGTGATGCAGCAATAGCAGCCTTCAAATCCTCATCGTCATCTTCAGCGGCATTCGCTTTGGGGACTGGCTTGGATGGTACGGTAAACGTGACAACCTTCTTAGGTACTTGTCCGCCAGACTCTTGTAGCGACAAGGCAATAGCCTTTTCCAATTCATCTTGTTCTCGTTTAGCGACCTCGTCTATATTACCCCTCCCACCAGCAGAAATAGGTTCTGATCGAGACGATGGGGGAGACCCGATTGACGGTGGTGTAGTTTTACCAGTACCGAGTTTTGACACACATCCATCACATACACGTACTTCTTGCGTTATACCGAGATGTGGGAGTGGTATAGTCTTTGAGCTGCACTGACTACAAAACGTTTGTCCACAGTTTCGACAATGGTGTTTACGATTAAATGTTGTGAAAGGTGTTCGACAGCGCATGCAGACTTCACTGTCAGTCCATTCTGGAGCTGCGACTGTTTCGACCATGATCGATGATACTTCTGTAGATTCCACGGATGGGAAATTCAATCCTAGCGACATGTGGATAATGAGCTTGTCTTTTTTTGCGCTGTTGTTGCTTTCTCGACAAACATACCTTCTAGTTTTAATCGACTGTATGTATCCGTCATGTAAGTCAGTCCAGGCTTTCCTTTGAATGCCAAGCCCCATACTTGAAGCGATGACAGGATCTTTGATCTCACTTCTGGATTTGTTCCATACTAGGCAAAAAAAATGTGTCTCAGCGATTGGATGATCGACACAAAGCGCTCAACACTTACAGGTGCCTTGACAATCGACACTAGATTATCCACAAAATCTCGTGACGCCACTTCAGCCAAGAAATGATCTCCTCCATTCTTGACACAGATATCCGTCAACTACCAAGAAAGATGGCGTTTGAGTAAAACACTAGATTGCATTCTTGCCCAACACACTAAGCAATAAACACCACTCGTTACCTTAATAGTCAGTATCTGCACATTAGGATTCTTATGATTCAGCTTCTTCTTTAGTAGTTTGATCGCTTCTTTAGGTTGGACTTCTTTGGATTTGATCTTGTCACAGATTTCGAGATTCAATGCCAAATCTTCGCTTCCAATAGGGAGATTTTCTGATGTGGCTCGGTCTAGTATATGTAAATACGTTATTTAGATTGATTATTATAATGGTTCATAGCACGTATAGTCTATTTGAAATAAAGACGGCAACAAAGTTCAAAGTCATTGAAATTGTAATTTTACCAACGAGTTCTTCAAATGTCTTGTTGCCAAACCAGGAGGACATGGTATGAGTGACGCTGATCAAGCTGAAGTACAAGTTTCCGTTTGGCTCCTCTCTCCTTTGTGTTGTCGTGTTGATGAAATGTGAAAATCGAGAGTGATGACGCGTTGGACTCTCGAAGAATCACGTTTGATATGCGTCGAGTTTCTTATTTGTATCGTACTTTTACAAAGCGATTGCCTATCTATACTTCTATACTTCCTTCATATGTTCATACGATCAACAACCGAGAAAGACACTACTTAGTCAAACCAATCTGGGTCATCAAAGAAACCATCCATATACAATTTATCATACGTTTCACGTTTATATCCCTTCAAATACGGATCAGCATCCCAGCAATCTGTACATATGATCCCTACATCGCATAAAGCACCAAGTTCAGCAAACGCAAAACAAGACTACTTAAAAACAGAATAATGACTTGCCTCGATGAGCCTTGAATCGATTCCCCATAACAAGCGTGCACTTGACCCCACTCTTCTCACACCTCTCACATTTCAAATCAGGCAATATACCATCCAACAATTCACGCTGTCCAGCCCTCTCAGGATGCTGACTCTTCCTCCTCAATGAGCTCAATGACGGAAACGGCGTAGCGAACTCCGGCACCTTATAGCAAAAGTTATTGACTTTACTAATAATAACGTCGCAAGTCCTGGACCCATGACGATCAGTTAAGCCGAGTGGTATTGTCGTATGACGTATCTCATGAAGCTGTGCAGGCGTCAGGTCAGACACCATGACAGAGTCCTCGTTGCTGGCAAAGAAGTGACGGAATATATGTTTGATTTCTGGTTTTCGTGCTGCCCAGCCATTCCACGATGCATAGTATGTTTGGAAGGCTTGATCGTTTGCTGGTATAGCTTTGGTATCATTCAAGTCTATATCGAGTGGTACTGTGTATGGGAGTGTGGCTGGTGGTGTCCAGTTGGGTGGTTTTGTGATTGTTATAAAGCGATCGTGGCCTGTACCAGTGGATTTGGAGTGTAGGCCAAAGAGGCGAGAGAGGGCGTGAAGCTGGGATCTTAAAGTTGCGTCGGTCCTCCTGACTATAATGTGAAGAGGGTCAGAATGCATGCAGAAGGAGCGATAACAAAGCATCAAATGTTCAAAAGTTGAATCTATGACATGATTGAACGTACACTCCTTCGAAGACTCTGCCATCTCGAATATAGTTTTGAACCATAGCTTGATTTGTCCTGAATGTAGCTTCCATCCTATCAAGATATCATTCAAATGTCAAACATCTATTCATGAAAGCCTTTCACACGGTACACTATAAGATTACCTTCCCAATTTCCATAGAGTTCATCAAATTCCGACTCTGGTTGGCTGCTTGACTCCATGGGCCTTCCCATTGATCTGACTGGACAGGTTTGCAAGGAGCTACTAGGTGATGTTCCGAATTTCGAACCTCTTGATGAATTGACTTTCAATTTCACTCAGGGCGCGACATTAAATAGTTGATCTGCTGTATTCGCGTATTCGCAGGTCTTAAGTGGATCAAAGTTTTCTCGATGTCAAGTGAGCTGTAATTCAACTATTCATGGTCGATGCTCGACGAAAATCCAAGCTAGCAACGTGAATACTAACCTGTTACGCGCCATACGTCGAATTCGTCATCTTCAGAGTGTATTACACGTGACGGCTTTAAATCTCCCTCTGTAATTATTACACTTGGTATCAGGAGTAAATCAACTTCTTCTGTTGCCCTCTAAACCAGCGATATAATTTATGTTATGCAATCCGTACACGTGCAATTTTACAATGCTATACACCTATTTATTCTCCTCATCTATAACAACAAGCTGACAATCCTCACACAACTCCCCCAACACAAGCTCCTCCAACTCCTGATGCGTCAAAGGCTTCAACAATGCAACATTCACCTTCCCATTAACCCCAACAACATTCTTGGGCCTAAACGCCTCCCTGGCTTTATCAAGTTGCTCTCTACTCACATACGCAGGTGCCCGATGTCTCGTATAGAAATCAACCGGCTCGCCATTAGCAGGCATAAAGCACGGTATTCGTAATGGCGCATCTTCAATCTGGGCCTTTAGTTTCACCATCTTGTTGGCTTCTCCATGTACAAGCACTACATTTGATGGTGCACATTTCTCGATTAAGGAGAGGATGCCCTTTGCGTCTGCGTGTGCGGAGAAGGAGAGGTTGCGGATGGCAAGTTTGGGACGTATTGGTTCTGGATTATCGGGTGTGTATATTTCGGGTTGGTTGGCTAGGAGTTTGGCTCCTACGCTGCCTGCTGATTGGAAACCTGGGATTATAATCATGTTGTTGGCGTCTCCTGCCCATGCTCTCAATACCTGTTCAAGAAGGGAAAGAGTTGATCAGTTATAAGCGGAAAGCACAACCTGGAGCTGTTTTAGTGATGAAGCACAGAGAGCAAAAGAATCAAAGGAACCCAAAAGCATCCCAAACAAGAGCACTCACTTCAAGACTAGTTCCAGCAGACAACATTCCCGGCGTAGCAAACAACACAGCAGGTCCCGGATTATTAATATATTCTGGCTTCCACGGCTTTATAAACTTGAAATCAAAGGCATTCACATTCTCCTGCCCCAACTGATTCCTCAACGACTCATTCGTCCACGATATATACATTTTATAAAACTCGAGCGACTTTTCAGTCAGTCCACCCGAGAAATATATCGGTACCTGAATATTCTTACGCTTCCAAAATCCTTCGAGCAGGATACACAATTCTTGTGATCTGCCTAACGCAAAGACTGGAATCAAGACTTTGCCCTTCTTTTCGATCGTTTGGGTGTATACGTCTTGCAAAAACATGCGTTCTCGGACAAGACGAGAGTCACGGATGAGGGTTGCGTAGGTTGATTCGGTGATGAGGACGTCTGGTCTGCACTTGTCGATCCGTGCTTCACCCAAGTGGCGATCTGGGGTTGTGTTGAAGTCTCCTGTGTATACGAGAGATTGCATGCCGTACTTGATTCTAAACATGGCTGCACCTAATATGTGGCCTGCGTAGTAGCACTAGAGGAGGTGGTGTGCGTTGAGCAAACAAAAAGCGACAAAGTAATGTGAATGCATGGCAAGACTCAACCCTGAAGTTACCGTAATTTCAATATCCGAATCTGCAGTTGGACCAGGAAGTCGAATAGTCTCATCTTGTTCAATGGTGGTGACCTGTCAACGCAAAAACGAACACAAGAATTGAAGATTTGAGAACTCAACGCCCATCACGACACATCATCACTATAATGACAACACAACTAAAACACACATACTACAACATACCTTACTCAAACAGCTCCTAATATTCTCAGCAGAAAAATAATTAACCTCTCCCCTCCTATCCACAGCAACCTTCCTCGCATCCTCCAACATAATAGGCAGCATGTCCCGCGTTGGTGGCGTCATAATAAGCGGGCCATCATATCCAATAACTTCAGTCAGATACGGCAATGCTCCACAATGATCCAGATGTGCATGTGAAATCAGCACGACGTCAATTAGTTTGTTTAATGTGCCAGGTGCTGATAGATCTGACTTCAGGTAATGGAAATCAGGGAATCGGCGATGATCGGTATATCCCATGTGCTGTCCACAGTCTAGCATGATGTTTACTGGTCCAATGCGTGCTAGAATGCAGGAGCGTCCGACGTCTTGGCCTGCTCCTAGTGGGATTACTTGGATGCGGGAGGTGTATGCCATATTTTATTATGAATCTTTGGATGGCTTTGATCTCTGCTTGTTAGTTTCTATAATGTAATGGTCAAGCTTTCGTCGTTTTCATTGTTGATGAATGTTTTCAAGCTTTTTGAAGATTCTGAGCTGGACATGAAATGAAAAATGGACGCGTCAGACACCTCAAGCATGCCATGATTTATGGTAATCCTATAATCTGATCTCTTTTGGTTGTGTTTGAATTGCCATGGTCAAGCTTTCGTCATAGTCGTTATTTTGGAGTGAAGGTTTCAAGACGCGATTAACATCATTGAACTTGCTGATATGTGATATGCAAAGGGTGTTTGTTGTAATTGTTACAAAAGAGATTATATGTGGGTTTTTATATTTTATGTTTACGTTGCGTTTAGTACGGTGGGCCTGCCTTTTCCAAACTAGCTTTCATTTTCCTATTTCGAATGCATTAAGATCCCTCCCACCTCCTTCTACCTTGTATTGTCCTTTCCACCAACTGCAACAGACGACTCCCAGGATTTTGCCCAGCTTTCCAGGCTAGAGACTGCCCCCTTAATGACCTTCCTTGCCTTATCATCAAAACTTTCGACAGAGCCACGGTTCTTCTTGCCTAGTATACCTTCATCGTGAAAATCTTGCATAGTACGTGATTCCACGGCTCTGGATATAGACGTATGATCAAATGAGAATAGCAGGTCGTCGTCGTCTGATAAACGTGGAGTGGCTGCTTCCTGAGAGCTTCCTTCTTGACTATCTACATCCTCATCATCTTCTATACGAGCCAGACCTGCATCCTTGATTGCCGTTCCAGATTCATCAAATTGCGGTAAAGCTTCCCAGTTCATGTCATCCAAATCGCTACTCCATGAAGATTGTTTATATGATCTGGCAGCTGCAATTCCAATCTTTGGTTGAAATGCAGCAGCACGAGAGTTCCAAGAGTTTGTGGTAATCGAGATTGGATTTGTTTTGCGTGTTGGAGATGGTGATTGTGATATGATAAAGTGGTGTGGTTGGGTATAGGATGACACCATTTCCAAGTTTGGAATCTCGTCGGTGGTATAGCGGCCTGTTTTATCACGTATTGGTTTCATTCGGAAGCTGGGTGCGGCTTTGATGGCTTGCATCAGTTCATTCATTGATAGTCGGGCATCCTCGTCATGCTCAAATACACCTCGCATGATACCTAGGAAATAAATGCAAACATGAGCGTCGGCGAACGTTGAAAAACGTAGAGAGGGGAAACGTACAGGCAGTAGCATCGGACAGCCCAAACTCTCGATTCAGGATCTATCAAGGATTTGAATTTAATTGATATAACAGTATTTACTATACGATGAACGTGTCTCGTAATAAAGATCAATGCACTTACGTCTTTATCATAATCACAAAACGCGGCAAACGTAGGATCACTTTGCATGGCGGCTGCCCACTGGGAAAATGGGAGTTGGATCATTGTTAGAGAATATACTTTGAACCAGGGTTTTTTTTCCAAACTTACAGGATTGCGACCAGTAATCAAGTTGATCAATACAACACCCAGAGCCCACACATCGTTCGTGGCACCCCAGTATCCCATAGGAGAAGGAGACAAACATACAGAATCACTCCTCCTTAGTTTTGACGATTGACTCATTACTGATGCTGATGACGAGTCTGGAGTTGTGCGCTGCGATGTTGATCCCCTGCAAAAAACAAACATTAGATACATAACATCGTACAATATACCGACACTAGAATGTATGGCCTACCTGAGGGCTTGAGGCGATTGATACCTCAATGAGCCGACACCGATGTCATTGGAGAAGCTCTGCATCGTTGCTAGCCCAAAATCTGCCAGTTTCAATATAGGCCTTCCACCATCATCATTATCGACCTTGACCAAGATGTTTTCAGGTTTGATGTCGCGATGGTAGATTCCATTGTCGTGGCAGTGCTTCACAGCAGAACAGATTTGGAGCATCATATCTCGAACAGCCTCATCAGATAAGCCTGTTGTGAGAGTAAAGATGATGATTTACTTAATATGTTGTAGTTAAGTGTGCCACTCTACACGTAGATGACACATACCCTGTTCCTTGCTATTTTGCGCGGCCATGATGGTATCAAACAAGTCATTTGAGAGATATTCAAAGACCAGGAACAGGACATGAGGGGATTCAATCACTCGTTCCAGTTGGATGAGGTTTATATGTGGTGGCAGCATGGATAGAATGGAAGCTTCTTGGCGTTGTATGGCCAGTTGATGAGGGTTGAGATTGACTTTGAATAGACACTTTACAGCATACTAGAGGTGAAGGTGGAAAGTTTGGTGAGTGACTGTTTGTTCAGACCTTGACGAGTGTTGGGTTTAAGCGAGGAAGGGTTCTCGAGTAAAGGGCAAGATCATATTGAATTATAATAGAATGCGAATGAGACTCGACAAGGTCAACTGATATAGAGTTGATATAGAGTTGCTTGTCCGAAACATTGATTCGACAAAAGTATCGAGTGATAAGGCATCAAGCGCAGACCAACTACTCCAAAACTCATATATCTAATGCGATAGAGTCTTACCTCAGTCCCGTTGTCGACACTAAGGGCTCTATAGACGAGACTAAAGGACCCGCTGCCAATGAGTTCAACGAGCAGCAGTGTTCCATCGGGAGTATGCTTGTTGAGCAAGGCAGATGGGTTCATGGTCGGGTGTCTCTATACTATTATATCCTTGCTATGTTGTTACGTGGGCCCGGCTCTCCTCTCACTGCAATCAGTTGACTGGTCTACCCAAAGGCTTTGAATGTAGTAATCCAGTTGGATGGCTAGTTGTTGATTGCTTTAGGCTGCCGACACTTCCAACCCGACCTTGTCCTTATTCCTCTCTCTATGTTCTCCTGCTATATCATACGTTGCTGGCCGTTCTTGTTGTTTTTGGCGTTTTGGGTGGTGGATAGTAATCTGCTGACGACGTTGAACGGCAAAGTGTTTGAGGCCCCACACTTAACTCGGTGGTTGTTGGTATCTAATAGGGACGACTATTGCTACTTTATTATGCAGGCTGCGTTCCTGTCAGCGGCATATAAGTAAACTGCACTGAAAAACAACGGGAGTGGATACCCAATCCAAAACAAGACACGGATTGCGAATATAGAATCACGTGAACCCCAAACAAAGCCGTTTGTGGTTAGAAAAGATACTATTGATCAATATATATCGACGTGATTCCATCCTAGCCACGTCGTCTTGCTACCGATTCCCCATCTCCATATTCGACAACTTTCCACGATTCTGTGATCTGACGTGGTGCAAAGCGCAGTTGCTATGGGACTGGACCTAATATATGCAGATCTAGTCCCTTCAGTGGGCGTATGTCGCCTTCGAATTGCTTATGTTGCATCTCTGCGTGGGTTTATTCTCATCTGCGTACCAAACCTGCATGAACAAGCATACAAGCATACATTTGGTACCTCGTCAGTCGTGATTCTCGGAGTCAACGAGAGTCTACTTCTTGTAACTCGGATGAACCAACATCCTCTGATACGGTGTGCAAATGCTTCAAACTCTATGTGACATTCAGACAACTTTTTCGTGTTTCAACATTCGGCACACAAAACAAACCAACGAAACACAATGAAGCCGTGGATATATCTATTGTCAGTTGCTCTTATATGCACTCTGGAAGGCCAAGCAACCCCCGTACTTCCTCCAGACAATCATCTTGTCAACAAACCGACTTCCAACACTATCAGGAAATTCACAAACCAAACCATTGCTCACAATGCGGTACCAAAACTCACTAATTCAGCCCATTTGAATGCAACTATACCAATGACAGTCACTCTAACGCAGCCCTTCTTTGACGCTGTGAGTACATGGCACCGTTCTGTTGAAAAAGTATGGCTTAACACATACTCACGTCTCTCTCCTTTGTAACAGTTGGAGGCTGCCCTCATAACATCAATACCAGCCTTTGTCAACGGCTTCCACTTTGAAGACGTACATTCTGAATTCAAACTCCCAATCATCCAGAAATCCGTCAAGCTCGATATCGAGAACATGCAAGTCTTGGAAACCATACTAGATCCGGTGATACCACTAGTCATTCAAGACGGATATCTCTCATTCGATATCAATAATGTCTCTTTCACACTGGCGTCACATACACATATCAAGACTCCATTTGGTAGCTCGGATGGTAATACGACGGTGGATGTGGCGAGTAACTTGCATGCGAAGGTATACTTGACGGAGATTGATGGGTATCTGGATGCTGATATTCGGAATATGACTATTGGTGAGTTCCGTGTTTTTGGTTTGAGGGATGCTATGGTATTGCGAGACGAAGCACTTCACTGACCAAAAAACACCAACACATCCAGCATTCGACAAGTTTGATATCACAATGCCTGATGGCTGGATATCAAAAATGGTCTTATTTACAATGGACATGTTTAACGGGCTCATCAAGACCATGCTAGTCACCATGATGACTTTCATGGCTCGAAACATTATACTGCCGACTGTGAACTTGGTGCTGGGTACTCAAGTCTCGATGGCTATTCACGGACGTACTTATAATGGCTTCACAATGAGGTAGGCTCGAGCGTCGATGGTGTTTGGTCATTCGAACGTGTTGACATATTGATTTTTTTGCTTGAATGAAATCGTCAAAGATTCAACTTAACTGAGTTTTTCAAAAACGTTTTTTTGTAGCACGTTTTACATGCAGGATCCCGCACTTTCTCACAAAGATGGACTTACTATATATCTTGGACTTGCTTTTCGTCCCAATTCTTGAAATTTCACTGACTGGCTATACAAACGAATTGTAAATCGTTCATTATTTTATTTTGGAGGGATAGTAGAAATACAAATACCATACACTTGAGCACACACAGTTCAGCTTTCGAGTCCATGTTCCAATTCAAGTCTCACTGTCACAGCCATCGATCAAAGTATTCAAGCTGCGTCTGTCCGGGAGATTCAGAAAATTCCATTTGACCAAGTCCGTGTCGTCGAGTAGCCCATGTAGTAGGTGAGACCTAGACCAAGACAAAATCAGTGCTCTCCGGTATTCTTCAGATCGAAAGAGTCATGTAGGAAAGAAAAACGCCTGAGTAAAAAGAAATTATCGTCGCAGAGGTGATGGCATTCGACAGGGTCGAAATCAAGTTGCCTGATAATTGAATATCCAAAATGATCTCATTTCCCATACCATGTAGACTTATACTTCCAACCTCAAACTTGGTATTGATTGATGAAGCTTCGATGGCTATCAATGACTTTGTAGGGAGTTTCAGCGGGCGCCAATAGGTGTTTGGTGAGTTCAGTATGGGTTGGACCTTTTCTGTTCGGGTCAATCATCTCCAAAAGCCCACAAAACAACTTTCCCATTGTTAATACCACATTTTATAACAGAGATCCAGTTATCTACCCACAAAGATGAAACTGAATCTACATCATCAACTTTTACGTTCGTTCTAACTCTTGACTTGGCACAACTTTTTTAAAATGTTTCAATTACTATTTTTGAAAAGAAAAATACATCACTCAGTTCAACTTCAACTACAACTACAACGATCCCAATTCAAATTCTCACTCTTACAGCTTTCCATCAAAATATTTAATCAGTGTTTTTCCAGTAGATTCAGAATAATCGATTTGACCCAACGGTCCCTTGTTGTCGAGTGCCCATTTGGTAGGTGAGACCTAATTGGGAAATATCAGGAGATTGTTTTTGCGTCTGTTCAAATACAAAGGTAATTTACCATGAGACAAGACTCCCACATCAACAAAGTCTGACCGTCTCCTTCTCGATAAGGTCCAGCTTGCACCTTGTTGGTAGCCTTCTCGAACGCATCACGACCACTTCCGTGAGGTGACATTGGAGGTACGTAGAGTACGGCGCCAGGAGGGAATGATCCTCGGATTCCCATCACGAATTCACTTGCAGACTAAGTTTCAATTGGCAGAATGTGAGCATTTGGAGCAGAGGAAGAAAAGCTTTAAAGCGAATGCCGCAAATTGAATCTCTGTTCCAAATTCACAACATCACTCACGTTACGGTGATAATAAGGTATGTTGTATGTATGGCTCATAGAAGTCCAACGTGGTGGATCAATGTTCAATACATCAACTAGAGCAACTCCTGGTTGAGGGCCTCGAACAGTCAACATGCAGAACAGACTGGGATCCTATTAGATGTAGATAAACATGAGTTTCCAGCAACAATGAGCATACACAAACTGCAGCTTTTTTGGTCTTGGACGCAAAAAAATTCAATAACCAACTTACGGTATGATCATGAGACAAGGAGCCAATACATTGGAATCGATTCATGTCGTATTTGTATGGTGCATAGTTTCCTACATAGAGATGAGCAATGATTCAGCAAAGAGAGTCAATGTTGACACCGTATATATTGCTCGTTTTTACCATGCCATGCAACAACATCAAATGGCGAATGATCCATTTCAACCTTCCACAAATGGCCTTGGAACTTGTTGATGATAGTCCATGCGGCTTGAGTATCTTCGTAAGCAGCAACTGGAGTCATGAAATCACGAGCGTGACTTAATCCATTGGATCCTTAAGACAAATCGTGTGAAAATCTCAACAGCATAAAAACACAACCACAAGAATGGCCCAATATGATTTCAACACAAGTGACTAACCTATAACACCCAAATCAGGCAATTCGAAATGTCCATCAAAGATCTCAAGTACGAATCCGCGAGCTTCTCCTCCATCTTCCAGAGCGATACTGAATCGTAGACCTCGTTGCACAACACAGAGCTCATTGGGAGCGACCGACATGAATCCAAATTCGGTTTGAACCCTGAGACGACCAGCAGCAGGGACTATTTAAACAGAGCTTTCAGTACAAGTTGGTTCCAAAAGAGAGCAACTTCAACCCAACCAACAAAAAAAACTAGAAACGAGTATACAATTGACACTTACAAATCATCATATCCCCATCCGCCGAATAAAATGCACGATTCGTCATACTAGCATTAGCAACATACGTATGATACGCGACCCCAAACCTCAACTGAGCACTTCCAGCACCAGCAACAGTCCTCAACCCATCAACGAAATCAACCTTCTTGTCCTTTGGCATGTCGAATGGGCCATAGAATTGTGGCTTTGGGTTCATTGGTTCGCCGATTCCTGAAGCGGTGAAATCAGCTGCTACGTATGGGTTTACATCGTATTTGACGAATGATTTTTGGATTGCGATGCTGGGACGGATACGGTATAGCCAGCAACGTTGGTTTCCGACGCCAAAGCTGCGGGGGGATGTGAACACTGTTCCGGTTACGGATTCTGCGTATAGCTATGATGAGAAAACAAGCTCAGCTTTTGTTGGGATGAATAGTCTTTTGGTGTGATGTCTTTCAATTTTCATGAATTGTCATGATGATCAGGACCCTGAGATTTTCAGAGCCTGATTTAAATATTCCAACAAAACAAATATCCGTATAATCTCTCTGTACTTCCAGATCAAACCATTCACCACTCTTCGTCCTCCAGATGTTTTGACTCTGATGTCGTACCTTGTAAGGACACTTCTGAGGCTGGTTCTGACCAATGGGAAGAGCTCCAGGAAGTGCTATTAGAATAAAAAATCAACTTATACTCCTTCCTCATTCGAAAACAACTCATCGTGAATCGCATTACCTTCTGAACAAAAGTCATTTCCAAATCCAGGCTGATATTTCAACGTGTCTTTTGGATTGGACGACACGGAGGGATGAAGCATTGGACTAGCAGCCTTGACCTCTTTTGCCTGCTGCATCTTTGTTCTTGTTGCTGAGCTGGAGTTTTCGGTCAAATCAAGTTTCATACGTGATGTCACACAAGGCGGAAGAACGTGTGTGGACGCAGTTGATCCGGCGAAATGGCATATATCCAGCACCATATTATATTCATCTGGACTCGCTCATTGGCTACAACACGCATAACGGCTTTTCTCTCCTTGTTGATTTCGTTTTATTCAACAAACAATCACATCTGATGCTTAAAAACGTCTCTTCTTTTAAAAAACGAGCAAGCCAAAAAGCAGACACCAAATGTCTATATGAGGTCGCTCTTTAAGTCATTCAATCACTTTACAGTCATTCAAACACACCACAAACAAGTACCTTCTTGTGCAAATCAACCTACAGAACGCACACCTCACTTCTCAGTACTAGGACTATATTTACCACTTGGATCATGCTGTGGTGAGCTTGGCCTACGTGGAAGTAATGTCTTAGTCCGACATTTAGAAATCGCCTTTCTTGGTTCAAAAGAAAACTTACGAATACTGAGGCGAAGTTGGCCTAAGTTGTAATAAACACTTGTTAAAACAAATTCGTTTCTGATTCATAAACTTTGGGAAACTTACGAGTACTTTGGACTTGATGGCGAATACACAGACATTTGTCCTGTATTCGGCTGATATTGTGGTGACGAGGGACTGAATCCAGGCGATGTTGCTATGTGACGAAAACAATGAGCCTGTAAGAACCGTGTACACCTCAAGCCCGGTCAAGCTCTCAGTTGAACTTACGAGAGTACTTGGGACTTGACGCTATAAAACAAAAGCAAAAAACAGTTAGAGGATGACCCATTACGGTTTCAAACCCAGAAATCACTTACGGCTGTATCCTTGTGGATTGTGGTGGGGCGATGTTGGACTCATTCCAGGGCTAATGAACCAAGAAGTGTTAGGATTCGATACGACCAGAATCCAACCTTTTGCATTACACTCCCATCTTACCTATAAGTAGGGGACGTAGGACTATACGTTGGTGACGTCGGACTATAAGTTGGTGACGTCGGGCTGTATGATGGTCTAAAGAGAGCGATGGCCAGGAATCAGCATGAGCAGATTGTGACGTGTGTGAAGATTTTTTTTGGTCACTCACGATGTTGGAGAATAATGAGGACTGGCTGGACTGAGACCAGGACTGAATCCAGGACTACGAATAAATTGTGAGCACATCATGATCCAGCCTGACAATTGACAAATATCCATTATACCTGTACGACGGACTCGTTGGTGAGTATGAGGGACTTGTCGGCGAGTATGATGGACTCGTAGGAGAGAATTGTGGGCTATCAAAGAAGAAATGTGAGCAAAAGTGTCATTATTCGACAATAGTGAGCATTTTTTAAGCATATCGGCCCAAGAAACATTCCCACCACCGACAAAAACACAGGGTATCATTTTAATTTTAATCAATAAACAACAAATCATCTATAACAGATCATCTTTGACTCGTCAGCCACTAACCTTGTTGGAGACCATCCAGGCGACGTTGCTAAACACAAAAAACAGGATTAGTCATAGTTCTGTATGCACACACGGTGCGTAAGCCCCAAAACGAACGTGAATATGATGGACTGGTTGGGGAATATGATGGTGACGTAGCTAAAGTGATAGCAAATGTAAGTCGCAATTTTTTTAAATCCTCTACATGATAAATCAACACCCACGAGAATACGACGGCCTATGAAAAAAATGTTAGGATCGTTCTGTTGAAGAATCAAACTTCAATTCGGTGCGGTTATTCATCCGTGACTTACGATGTAGGGGAATACGATGGACTAGTTGGGCTCGTTGGACTGTATCCAGGACTCGTTGGACTGTACCTAATTAAATTAGCCAAAAAAGGCCGAGCGTGAGATGCTTCCTATGAAATAACATCCACAATCTCAAACTCACGTGGGCGATGTACCATCTCGTCCATTAGGAGAAGAAGGCGAATAAAATTGTCCAGGAGTACCTTGATACTGACTGTACGACCCTCCTGTACGCTCAGCATTGGGACTGAATACTATTCCAGCAAGTGGCGACATGTAACCATCTCCTGCTCGGAATTGGTTTGGTGTCATCGATCCGGAGAATGGTGTAAGTGCTCCAGACCGAGCTGCTGGTGTCATTGCTCCGTAACTGGGCGTCATGGCAGTTGGAAGGTCATTGTATCCTGTGGCCATGGCACTAAACTCGTCGGGTTCAGTTGCAACGTCTTTAAGCATTTCTTCGTTCAGCAACTAGGAAAAGTAAAGAAAAATCCGGATTAAGAAAAGCGGTCACTGGCAAACAGAAAAAAAATTGGGCAACTCGAACAAGCGGACAAGTGCACATACCACTTCAAACGCGCCAGTACCCATAGGAGCCAATTGACCCAAAATGATGTTCTGACTGACTCCTTTACAAGCATCCAATTCACCAATTCCAGCGGCTTCATACAACAACTCGACGGTTTCTTCAAAAGAACTACGTGCCAAAGCACCTGCTTCCGTTCGATTGATGCCGTGACGAGTAATCGACATGAGAATACCCTTATAAGTCATTATGTCACAAAGCAGTGCCATGTGACGGTAATTGACATACGAGGCATCAAACTCAATAACCTTCTTGATTTCTCGTAATAAGGCAGCTCGAGCTGCCTCGATTCCCAGTACTTCCATGGTTTCGGTAATCGAATTGGAGTATGTTCGAGTAGAGTCGACTTTTGTGTGAGCCAAGACATCACGGAGATTGATACCATCCGTTTCCAGCACCGTCTCATCAAACCGAACTATTTTACCAGTGGCTTTGTCGACCTGTGTAGTCTTCACACTCGAAATATATCCTCGATTGATACCAACTATACCATGTATAGCAACTTTGGATAGAATCATGGCTTCCAAAGTTCTCAATACTTCTTCTTCACTGGCAGCGACATCATCATCGTCTTCCTTGTCACCATTATTTACAATACGACAAAGAATAACTAGCTCTCCAGACTCGAAATTATCATCACAATGCCAGCATTTGATTTCATCTTCAAATTCTTTTTCGATGGCTCGTGAGATTTGCTCCATGGTCAAGCGACGATCAATCTTTCGGGCTCGAGAGATTTCAATACGCAAGACCCATGGTGACCATTGAGACGTGCCGTCATCATCCATCTGCATGTACATATCATAAATCTCACGATCGAGCGGATGTTGTGAATTTCGTGCATCTGGATCATAGACGATTTCGGTCATGGAGCATACATCGGCCAATTTAGTATGTACAAGATCAGAGTGCACAACCTTGGCAGTGTTGACGTTTTGCCTGTACTCTTCAGTCAAGTATACCACCATGGATGGTGTCTTGATGTTGGTTGCCACACTATATTCAAGTGTTTAGAGGCGGTGCATTAAATCGTTTTTTGTTTCATCTCAAACTAACTTACTTGATAATCTCCTTGAGACGAGGAACACCAAGAGTAACGTTCTTGGACGACACACCAGCATAATGGAAGGTGTTGAGTGTCATTTGCGTAGCTGGTTCACCAATAGATTGAGCAGCGATAGTACCAATCATCTATCATGCAAGAGGAGTGTGTCGACTTTATTGCTGTCTTGAGTAATAACAAGAATCTAACTGCTGTTCCAGCGCAACAAAACTCACCTCTCCAGGCTGAACAACAGACTCTGCAAACCGTCTCTTGATTTCATTCAGTAAGAATGCAAATGCACCAGCCGACAATTTGAATTCTTCAATAACTCGTCGCGAAGCCAGGAAACTACGCAAGAGACACGAGAAGAGCAATGTAGCATTCTCTTGGGCTTGAAGAGACAATTCATCATCTCCTCGAACCACTTTGAGACGCTCATCGTTTAATAATTCTCGTATGCTTCGGATTACGTCTAGTGGTGAGAGTTGGCCTGGCTTTTCATCACGGAATTGATATTGTACGTTCGTGATGAGTCTCAGCAAGTTCACGGGGAGTGGCCAATCAGCAGAACCATCACCACGCGGGAAGACCTCTTCTCGTAAGGCTGCACGATCTCGTTGTAGTTGCTCGAATTCCTGGGTGAGCAGCTCTTCGGCTTCACGATCGTCTTGATAGGATTGATAGACTTTATGCTATGGACAAAAAAAGATAAATTAGTTGGGACATGCGAAACAAATCTCCTGTGTAAAGGTATCAAACGATCTCACATCCATCAAGTTCTCACGAATAGCATATTCACCAGTCAGATCCACTCTATACTTTCGTACAAACCTAGAATTCGATTTCAGTCAGCAAAAAAAGCTGTATTGCACATCGAAATGAGCGACCACAAAACTCACTCTTTATCAGCCAGCTCCATAGTCGAAAGCTTCTGCCTCTCAACCTTACCACCATCCATACCATCCTCTCCATAACAGAATTGGACGACATCTCCTTGAGCATTTCGAACCGTACCATCATATTTCACCATGACATCTTCCAAAGCCTTGACAAGACGACGTTGAATATACCCAGTCTCGGCAGTCTTTACAGCTGTATCAATCAACCCTTCACGACCACCCATGGCGTGGAAGAAAAACTCTTGAGGTGTTAGACCTCTCAAATACGAGTTTTCTACAAATCCTCGAGCTTCGGGCGAATGGTCATCTTTAACGAAATGTGGTAGAGTACGGTATTGGAAACCATATGGAATACGACGTCCTTCTACGTTTTGCTGACCGACACAAGCCGTCATCTGTGAAATATTAATATACGAGCCCTTTGATCCAGCCACGACCATCTGTTTTACATTGTTAAAGGATGGTAGAGAATCTTGAGCAGATTTTCCGGCCTTATCACGAGCATTGTTTAATTCGTGATTGACTTTGGCTTCGAATGATTGTCGAATGGTCATTCCAGGAGCTGCCTCTAAACGACCTTGTTGGGCCATCGAGATAATTTCCTGCACTTGAGCCTTTGCTTGACTAATGGATGTGGTGATTTCACCCATAGTTTTGTAATCGGCAATAGTGTCTCCTATACCGATTGAGAAACTACGATGCAGCAACCAATAGTTGACTACACGTTGGGTGGCGTTGAAGAATTTTTTGGCCGTTTCTGGACCGTATTCGTTCATTGCAATGTGGATGATACCACCACCTGCAGATGAACCTACAGCCTTTTTACACAGTATTCCCATCACCAATTCTACCAAATAGAGGACGGGATTAGCATCATTAAAAAGACAACAAATAGTTGCGCAATCCCAGTGTATACCTCCATGTTCAATCATGACTTTGGTATCTCCAGGACTGTTGTCTCCAGTTTCCTTGTCTGGATGAGTGACGTGGAATCCGTTGTAGTTGATCATGGGGAGAATCAAGCTGACAGCTTGTTTGCCAGTCCATAATGGTACAGGTTTTATAATACAAGGCTATGTGGAATGAGATCAGTATATGTTGGGGAGCAAAGCAAAAAAATGGCTAAGAGAATCTATGTCAGTCCATCTTTCGTACTTACAGTTGGCAACCTTCCATCCCAATCAGGGACCCACATCAACAAATTCATCATGAGATCAATGTCCAGAAAGGTATCACGTTTGGTAAACTACGCAGATTTGAGCAAGTTTAGAAAAGCCTTCGTCCACTAATGCTACAGGTACAGCATGATGTTTTAAAACATACCTTACGAATACCACAAAGCGTATCTTGCACAATACCCATGACAGGTGCATTCTTTTGTGGAGAAACAATCTGCTTTGGCACCATACACAATTCCGTGATTTCAGCCATCGTCTCATACGACTGTGGCAAATGTAAATTCATTTCATCACCATCAAAGTCGGCGTTGTAAGGTGTAGTGACTGATAAATTAAGACGGAAGGTGGAAAATGGCATAACTTTGACTCTATGACCCATCATAGACATTTTATGCAATGACGGTTGACGATTGAAGATGACCACATCATCATCTCGCATGTGTCGTTCAACTATATATCCAACTTGCAAGGCGAATGAACCACCTCGTGCAAAACGTAGATCGACACGTTCTCCATTGTCTCGAATGACATATTTAGCACCTGGATGTTCATTTGGACCATTTTCTACGGCTTGCGTGAGCACCTGTATATTATGAGCCGTGACACGTTCTGGAAAGGTCATATTCTTGGCGATTGATCGTGGTACACCAACTTGGTCGATTGACAAGTTTGGATCACCAGTAATGACAGTACGAGCTGAAAAATCGACACGCTTTCCCATCAAATTACCACGGAGACGTCCTTCTTTGCCCTTTAACCGAGCTCGAATGGACTTGATCTGCCGTATTAATCGGTGTGAGAACATGCTAAATTACTCAGGAATCGCAATGAAAAAATACCGGTCGGCCTGATTTTTGAAGAGATTGGGGTACACCAGCTAGATCATTGTCCATCAATGTAGCTGTTTGGTATTGGAGCAAGTCTTCAAACTCGCGGAGCACTAGCAGAGGAGATCCATCAGCTTCATGTTTCTTCAAGGCGTTGTTTGCTTTCAGAATGTCCATGAGCTACACAGAAAAAGCGTCAGACAATCGCGAAAAAGAGTAAGAGATCAAGCGAATCAAGCTATACCTTGTGAGTCAAATCATCTTCACTTCTACCTATGCCTTCTTGATGTACTGATGGACGAACAGCCATAGGAGGGACAGGCAAGACACTGATAACCTAGAAACAACAAAACTGAGTTAGTATTCTTGTTGTGGAAAAAATGACGCTATTGTTCCATCATATGTTTCACCATCCACTCAGGTCTTGAGAAATCAGCACTGAACCCCATTGCTTCAGCATCTTCATCAGTGATAGATTGGAAGAGCTGTAACACTTCACCAGGTGAGATAGTTCGGCCTTTAGCAGCGCCTTCACCACCGTCCTACCAAATCAAATGTGTTATTTCGTGGCGAAAAAAATCCAGCAACTTTTCTGATTGTATGCTTACATCTTTCGATCCCTTCTCAATAACTTCCAACGACAACCCCTTCTTCCTGAATGCAGGTTGAGCAGCACCACACCCTCCATGAGTTGATTCCTTCTTGTCTCCTTTACCACGATTATCTCGATTATTATCAACATCCGCCATGAAATCATCACTGCCATCTTTACTTCCTTCACAGTCTCTTTTAGTTTTACATATATTCCAGACGGCATTCAATCGTTTCTTGCGATCTGAGATGAGACGAGCGCGATGGAAGCTCTGGTTTGAATCGTCTGATTTGAGTTTTCCACACGATACACAGATGCATTCCAAGACTTTTTTGATTTTTACGATAAAGCCACCATGGAAGACGGGTTTGGCTAGTTCGATATGTCCGAAATGACCTGGGCACTACAATAGAGTAATCAATTAATATATACAGATAGCCAAAAAAAAAAGAGTACAAGAACTTCATTAGAATTATGTGCTCACATTGGTTTGATCTTCATTGCAAGTCTGGCATGTATATGAACGATCCACAGTGCCCATTCTTGGATCATGCAAACCACCTAGCTTTGGTTTATCATTCTCCCAAGACTCCGAACTCTCGATTTTGCAAACCGACATTGCTTTCTGAATTTGGTAAGAGTATAACGGATAAGTCAACTTGTAATATGATCAATGTAATAGACAATATACCGTTTCTTCAGGAGAAAGTATGCCGAATTGGATGGCTTTTACAGTTCGTAAGGGGGCACTAGAGTTGGGAAATCCCAGCACACCTCCATAGGACGTGGCCCCCATATTGAAGGACCTGTATTTAATTAGGTGAGTAAGTGTGCTTGTAGCTAGATTCGAGCGAAGCTCCTTGATCCAGTTTAAACAAAAAGTAACCAATTTGTTGATGACTTTTGATTTCGACCAAAGCGGGCACAGGCCAGTTCTGGAGACAATCACGATGCAGCCGGATGCAATATCAACGCAAGCAATATAATATCCAGGCTCTTCCTTCACTTGTTTATATGCTATAATCGACAAAGATTACAAAACTCACCTGTTTTGCTTGATTTGACTAGATTCGAGTTTACAATTGATTTAATGAGACAACTAGACGATCAATCAAGTGACTCGGATGAGCTATGCACAGGTTTAGAATCTCGCCAGTTCACCTTCTTGGCCGAGAATCAATCAAATCAACTTTTGCGAAAACTGCCAGTGTAGCAAGCTTGGTACCGCTACAACACTACAATCAAGTCAAGCCAACTTACGTATTTCTTCTTTATTTTGGAATCTGAGTTCTATCTACGTGTATGAACGTGATGGACTTGAAAAGCTCACACTGTCGAAGGTGACATTAGTGACTGGACGTGAATGTGAATTCTTCTGAACACTTTTCTCTGCCTCTTTATTTCACACAAACGACACAAACATAAAAATATGTTTCAGCTTCACACCATCAACCAAACCGCGATTAGTAAACCGTGTATTAGTTAGCCCACCTTCATGAAAAGTGCAATCCATCTCCGTCTCCTGGAAGGAAAACTACGGAACACCTGAGCAGTCAAAGCAATGAGCGAAATGGTATTGGGGTAGAACTCATTATAATAAGGATGCGAGTACTATTTTTATACAAGGGCCTTTGCAAACAACATGACTCATTATAATAGAGATGCGAGTACTATTTCTATACAAGAGCCTTTTCAAACAACATGTGTTAACTTAATACAAACGAGCGCGTTGCGTGTGTCAGAGTGCTTCTCCTCAATACTCTGGAAACCCAGGATCGACTTCCCTCGTCCATGCAACAAGCCCACCGACAACATCTTTAACACCCGTCACTGAATGACGCGCAATCAAGCTCCTGACAGCCAACTGCGAATCATTCCCTCGTCTGCAAATCACATATACCTCTTTCAGTAACGATGTTTTGATTTCGTCGATTCGAGATTCAAGTTGTGATAATGGTATATCTAAATGAGGAAAAATACATCGTGAGACATCGGACCATCAGCGTCTTGTGACCCAGATAGGCACGCTTACTTGTAGATCCAGGCAGAGAACAAATATCAAACTCTATATTTTGACGCACGTCCAATAAGAGATGAGGAATGCCGGATTCTCGTACAAGAGAATATTCTTTGGCTGATGTACGGTCCTTTGGAGATAAGACGTGTTGTGATAGCGTCTGAGATAGTACAAGAAGGTTTTGTCAAAGGTGTGATCATTGATCACGATCAGTAGCAAACAGACCCCAGACATACTTTAACGTACCTTGTCATGAGGTCCAGCACCACAAAACTGCACGTAATCAATCAACCCCGTTATACTAGGCTCATCTCCACAGACAGCACAATCCACCTTCCGTTTTCGTAACTTCACACTCCTGAAAGAACACTCACTAGCATCAAACATCAATAGTTTCCCAGCATACGCAGACTCAGATCCAACAATGATACGTATAGCTTCTAAGGCCTGTATACATCCCATGACTCCAGTAACGACGCCCAATATACCACCATCGGAACAGTTGGTCACTGTTTCTGGCGGCGGTGGAGTTGGGAAGATGCATCGATAGCATGGTGAATATATGTTTGTCGATGGGGTTTTGTGGTGGTAAACGGAGAGTTGGCCATCCATACGGAGCGCTGATGCTGATATAAGGGTCTTGTGTAGTAGGACACAAGCGTCATTTAGGAGGTATCGGGTTGCTGCGTTGTCTGTTGCGTCTAGTACGATATCATACCTAATAGTGAAGAAACAGTGTTGGCTGTTTGCCTGTTGGATTACAGAGTGCTGAAGGGAGTAGGCATACTGTGATATGATCTCCATGGCGTTCGAAGAGTCCAACAGGACTTGATGATCAACCGCTTCAATAAGAGAGTTCAGTCTGTTGACAGGAGAGACAGCAAGTAAGGCTTCGGGGATGATACAGTTACATCACACCACTGATATCGGTCGTACCTCTGTACACTCAGCCTGGCAGAAGCAGCTTTCGACATTCCAACACGAGTCTCATCATGAATGACTTGTCGCTGCAAGTTACTAGCTTCTACTTGATCGTGATCGACAATCCCAATTCTTCCTACTCCAGCAGCAGCCAGATATAATATTGATGGAGCTCCCAATCCTCCAGCACCGACTACTAATATTGATGATGCCTTAAGCGCTCGTTGCCCTATGTGGTGAAAGATAGGTCATGAGCTGCACAGCGAAACAAGCTACTAAGACAAGTAGTACTACGTAACTACCTTTAACACCAATATCAGGTACAAGGAGTTGTCGGGAATATCGAGCAATGTCCCATCGGGTCAAATCCTCTGATTTTAATGTCGATGTTTGTTGAAATATGGACGATTGAAGCCCAAGCTGGCCTCGTAATTGAGCATTCTCGTTGCGAAGAGCTTCAATTTCTCGTCTCAGGTCTTGAATGGTGTCTGGAGATTGATGGGCTTCCATAGCTTCAAGTACGTCCTTCTACAAAAAAAAACTGTTCATCAGACCAGTCTTGTAGCTAGAACGAGATTCAAGATGCAATAAATAGTTAAATAGATACAAATCAACGCGTCGAGCTGACGGAAATTCGCTTCAATCTGAAAGAGAAACACGCTCTTCTCACCTTGGCAATCTTTAAAACATGTGACGAGAGTTATATGAGAGCAGACGAGTCGAAGGCAGAAGGAGAGCGCACTCTATACATATAATGGTATGTATTCGATTGCATTCCATTTGCTGTTTTGATTGCTTTGACTCTTTGGTACGCCACAAATTCTTGATTCAACTGCTGAGACTTTGAATTGGACGCAATGTAGATTTAAACGCTAGATCAAACTAGAAGATATAGTCTTTTAATACTCTGCATGCTGCCATCTGCTAAAAGGACTCACTTTTAAAGGTAAGTAATCACTATTCGCCCAACATCAATCAGTTTACAAGAAAGGAGCAAATGTGCGAAAGGAGCAGCCCCTCAGTTGGAGTCGATGGAATGGCAGATGAATCGCACCCAGTGTGTATAGATTCCATCATCACCACCATTCCGGCCATAACTCCGACGGTCTGGAGAACAATGGTGGAGGTAACTTGCGATTTAGGTAGCAAGACTTCAGTGTGAATGGTAGAGGGCTGTAGTATACATCTCCTGTAAGGCTGAGATAATAACCATCTCAGAAGAAGAGACCTTTTGACAGACCATCATTGTTCCTGTTGTTTTGAGGAGGAACCCTCGTGTATGCACTCTCCAACATTCGTGGATATGTGTCCATCCACTCAAGCAAGCGTTGTATTGCCTCAAAGCAACAGTCCGCTGGGTCGTTGTTGGACATAGTTTACGGGGTCATGTAGTGCGGGGGATTCGATCTGAATTGTGAAAGTGTGAAGAACAGATGCTACTACAGACTTCCTTTACTTTTTCAGTATCTGTTGACCTGTTAGGACATGGACTGATATGCTCATAATCAAACTGCTGCCTATCTTGTGTATAATCTCGCTGTTGCAAATAACTTGTATTTTGACACTTACATAAACATGATCACCAACATACAATCGTAACCCCCACGTAAAGTGTGCTCATCTTCAGAATACCCGCTATCCGTGGTTTTCCCCTTGCCGCAACATTCCTGACCACACGCTTACTGGCATCAAATACCCATGATGTCCCAGCATACGCAGACTTCCACAATTGAGCGAATGGTTTCTAATCCGGGTGTACGTCCCTTGATTCTCATTAAAACGCGCAAGAAGCATCTGAAAAAAAATTCCTGCTGGTATTGATGGCGAATATATTCTGTTTCCGTTTCTGACGGTATTGACGAGATTTTGGGGTGGCAGCTAGAGTTTTGTGAGTGTATTGTGGCAACCTTTCAAACAGTCTTAAGCTGCAACGAAACCAATATCAAACGATCCCAACGCGTCAAAATACATTTGTGAAACTCCAAATGGCTTGCCTTCTTCGATTCCACGGTGACGGAAAATAGCATAGATGTACCCACCATTGCCTTCTCAGAACTCTACTCCATCAACCTCACATTCAACACAACCTCTGCAAACACCACACCGAAGCACCCAACTTCCAAATTCCAAAACTGATATATTATACTGCAAAACATGCCAATGCAAAGAACTTCCACTACTCTATCCGTATGCCTTACAAGAAGCTGACACTACTATCACCAACAACAGGCGGTGGAGCTTCCAACAACTTGAGGATGGGAGGAGAAAGTACTCCGATTGGGCCTTCCTCGTACCAAGCTCGTATTTCCATCATTGTTTCATTGCCCTATTGGAGAGAGAATCAGAAACACCCCATACAGCAGAACAAAATTGGAGCAGAGCAGATAACTTACAGCAGGAAGTGTTTTAAAAGCAACCAAACTAGACTCTTGAACAATCTTAGCTGTAGCTGAATATTGTGTCTTGAGCTGACGACCAATAGATAGTTGGTGTGTGATTGATAGTGCTCGAACAGTTGCCGAGAGGTCTCCTGGAAATAGAGAATGGTCCGTAGTTTAGTCATCGTTTTTTGGCATTTGCGAGTGTGTTAAGCCATAAGCGTACCACTCATAGCATTAACTCTCGTCAAAAATCCACGAATGGCCGTGACGAGATACTCTTCTTCGTATGCGCCTCCCTCTTTACTGGAATAGACACCCTTCTCTCGTCGTTTGGCTGACTTGCGGGAGGTTTTGCTACATTAAATAGGTTTGAGTATCCATTCTTTTTGGCAAACTCGCATATTTCAAGACTTCATACCCAGTGGATCGAGTTCCACGAGACGTTCCAGTCAACCGTGTCGTAGCCAACGAAGCAGTATCATCCGCCACATGTATATCGTCCATCACATGTGCATCGAACTGAAACAGCTCGGGATGTGCTAGAGATTAAACATAGTCAATTCAACCTATTTATTTCCTTTTTACTCTAGTCTTACCAAGACGATATTGTTTATCTTGTCGAAGGACAGCAAGACGAGTTTGACACTTTTTACATGCTGCAGATATCTCTTGTAAGTCTTCAATCATCTGTGATGCAGCTATAAAGAGCATCATCAGCATTCTGAAGCAAAAAGAGATCTATGTGTAAACGGATAACTTTACCTTCAGCAATAGCAGGCTTAATCCTCTTGTCAATCAAATCAACTCGATTCGAACTATGTGCCTATACCCAAACTCTTTTCATCAGCAATCTCGTTTTCCTTTCGCAACAACCACAACCACTCACAATCCTGATAGCATCCAACCAATAAACCCCAGTCAAAAGCAGCGCCACAGCACCATCAACATCTTTAGCATACTCTAACAAGACAGTGACAGCATCTCGTATTCGACCTTGTGCAAGCTCATCCGCGAGTTCTTGTGCCATTTCAATCATGTCTTGTTCGGGCCATGATAATTGATGAGCAAGAGAGAATGCTTCTTGCCATCGAGTTGCGCGACGATAAGCGTCTAGAGCTTCGGCCCTTTTACCACATAGTTCCAAGACTTTTGGAATCGAAAACGATGTGAGACAAATATCATTGCTGGACAGTTCGTGATGAACTCACTGATGGCAGCGTCTTCAAAGTTCATTGCCTCCAACAGATGATCAGCATAGATTTCCAACATGATCTAAAGTCATTTCACTTAATACGGTCAGAAACTCCACATGAGAAAGAAAAGTGCACCTGTACAAGTACATACGCGCAGTTTCTCAGCATCCTGCTCAAACACTTCCAATGCAGCCCTATACAGCTTATGAGTCTTTACATACTTGATACACTCCTCCCAATGATCAGGCCCAGCATCACGTAAATGCGACAATGCCTTTTCACGGTTACCCAAAGCATCATCAATTCGAAACTTTTGATGCTCTGGTCTCAGTTTCTGGATTTCTGATAGGAATGGAAGATATTCGCGAGGATCCTAAAACATGATGAAAGGTGTGATTGTTCAAAGACAGACTGGTAGAGCAATTGAGCAAAAACCGGTATGGACTAAAGTGGAATTACCTTCAAAGTATGCTGGGCAACCATAACAACCAACTGTAGATCATACATGCTCAATGCAACATCATACAGCCGATTGGCATCAGCCAAGAATACGACATATTTCAATGCTGATTCAGCTGCTTCGACAGACTCTTCAACTACATATCAAGAACAGGAGCAATGACTTAGGACCAAAAAGCTTGGTGAAACTCTGTATTGACGTACTTCGTAACTGCCGTATCCTCGTAATAGCAGCTTCCAAATCAGGTGGATTCCTCCTCACAAAGGCAGTCAAAATTGTCTGCACATATTTCTTGCCATCAATAGTTTCAAGCATGTTTCTGACAGCATCACATATGGTATTTGTCTTTTCAGCAACGACTTCCGGAGCTGGGTGTTTGTATGCTGCTGTGCGGCGGTACATGTTTAGTGTTACATCTTCGTTCCTTAGGAAACAGGGAGAGCTGGAGTGAGAAATCCGAGCAAAAAACGAGGGAGAATTCAAGTGAAGACATACTTGAGACTAGACAAGAACAAATTCAAGTAATCTGGATCTTCAATTTGAGTAATAAATAGTTTCAGATTGTCCATAAATAAAGCTGGGTTGTGATCAAATAAAAGATTCAAATCGATTCGATGTTTGCGGGAATGGATGAATGCTGTTTGGAAATCCAATCTAATCATGAAAAAGTATGATTTGAGAGGTGAAGCAGCAAGACGATAGATGGACAGATATAAGGCACTACAAAAAAAGTAGCCAGAAAAATGAATTGACACGCACCCATCAAGAGAACGTCTAACAGCAGACAGCACCAACGCTCTCGGAGCAACAGTTTCCAAATTGCCTCTCGGCATCTGCAACACCAAATTAATACCACCAGGCACAGCAACTACACATCGAGAACCACGTTCAACTGCTCGATTGAATTCTCCCCATTCTGGAATGGTTCCGAAGACTAGGATATATTTTCTTAAAGTTAGAACTTGGTGCAAAAAACGGAACTGTCTGAATATCGCCTACCAGATGGTTCAGCAGACAATGGATAAAACATGGCTGTGTGTGTCATAGTCGAGACAATCAAGAATTCATCGTGAAGCGTGTATGACATGCAATCAGTTGAGATGGTGTTTTGGTTGCAGTATAGTCTGTTTCGACTTGTTAGGCCAATCATTGAAATCTAAGAGACAACAAAATGTTCAACCTAGGGGATGGAAACATCGCTCAATGAATAGTACCTCGTCATCATCTCCAAGCGTTAGGACCGAAATCCAATTACACGGTGTCGGTAACTTTGGACAGAGTCTGAAAGGATGTAGCGACCATGACTCCTTGTTTACTGCAGACAGGAGAAAAGTTCAGGCTGAGAAAAAGAGAGGTACGACCAATAGATACCTTGGAAACAAGATCCATCAACACCTTCCAGCACAGTAGTACCCGTCGATATAGAGTGATGTAGTCTTATCCATCGAGCATTACGAGCTTTGGCAATCTGATGTGAGTCTACTATTTTCAGTCCATCTTGACTCGATTCGAATACAATGGCAGTGACGACATCACTACTAGATTCAAATCGTGTACCCAAAACTATAATGAGATTAGAAGCAATCCATGCTATCTGTCTATATGCGATTTCTGTTGTGTTTGGTAATCTGTAAGGAACCGGAGTGAGAAGACGAAAAACAAACGAAATTTATAAGGAATGGATACCTGAACGTGCCAGTCCTTCTCGGCTCCTTAACAGGTTTAACAACGCTACAACTCTCAAAAACACCAACACTTCCATCACTCATCAATACAACAAAATCGTCTCCACAATGACCTGCACCGAATGCTATATTTACAGCGGCGACAGGTAAAGAGACAGTGAATGCAGACATGGGTGGTGGGATGTTCAAGTGTCTAAATGGTGTAATAAGTAGGTTTGTTCCGTCAATTACAGCGACGGTTGCAGGAGAGTTTGGGTTTAGAGATGTGCTTGTGAATGTGTCGTATGCTACTTCGATTTGTCTATATATGCCACCTGCGAGATAGTTACCGTCTGCATACAAGAATTTGAGTCGACCGTTTTTGCTTACTTTTCTGAACAAGATGCAACCGATACAAGACTTCAGGATCCCAAGTCAACCCAACAAATGAGTCTCCTGGTAGCGCATTAATCTCTTGCTTGAGATACCAATGATAATTCATAGTAGTCCATAATTGAATGACTGATGATGGTTGATTCGAATCTTGATCATCTCGTTCAAGCCAGACTGCGAGGATTGTCGAGTCTGCATTCCAAGCTAGTTCTCGTACCTAATATGAAATTATTACAAGGATAAGCAAAAGGCTTTACCACAAGTTGAGACTATTGCTCACTTTAGTAGCATGCGGCTGCCGCAACTCGAATTCACCATGTCTCAATCCATTCCTTTCAAAGAACACAACATCATGACGATCCTTTATACATTGTGTCGACGCAATCAAGTTGCCTGACGGTCTAGAAAGATTCAACAGAGCGATGAGGAAAAATACATCGATAACAGGCGACCATGCTGAAAGCTCGGTCTCACCTCCACGACAATACACACTCCAACCCTTCCACAGCCTCAGATGTACTCTGCAACACACCCTCTCTCGAATAAACACGCACAACACGCCTCATCATGACCTCATCAATAACAGAGCACGACAAGTATTGGGCATCACCACGCCATGATAATCGTGGTTTGTTATCATCGTCAGGAGATAAAGCGTTTACGATATCGGGTTTCTTGATTGCAGCAGCTGCTTTACCAGCAGATCCATGGAATTGGGTTTCTTTCTTGCCCCATCCAAGTGCTACTTGTGCGTCTTTGATAAAAGTATGCTTGTTAGCAAAAAAACTATTGTACAGAACGTTTGATGATGTCTCAAGCACCTTCACCAGCCTCATTGACATGTATAGCGACTTCCGATATAACATCATAGTCTCTGCTCATTAGTAGCAGAGTCCACCGTCCAGTGACAATAGAGAGGAGATCACCGTCTGGACTCCATGATGAACATAGTATTCCACCTTCAACTGTTCCGACTACCTCATGCTACGACGGAAAGGTCGATGTAAGCAAAGTTGCGTTTAGATGAAGAGTTTCAGGTTGTTTTTTGTCCAGCTGTACAAAATCACGATCCCAAATCATACCTGATCACCCAATCTCCCATCAACCGTAGCAATCAAACAGATATCACCACCCTTCAACGCGACAAACACAGACTGCGACTCTGGCAAATACTGCAGCGCAACGATTTCATCGACTTCATCAGAAGCTAGCATGAAAGCTTCTTGAATAACCACTGCATCGCTCTATATAGCAATGTAAATTAGTTAATATGATCATAATAAAGTCAAATCAATCGTAACAATGGAGCAAACAAAGACAACAATATTGAAAAGATGACATGCATGCCTTTTCGACTATCTGAGCTTGAATGATTCTACCACCATTTGAAAACCATGCGGTATGAGAGTCAACGGTGACGTGACAATCACGTATAGATGTCGAGTGCTTGCCCGATAGTTCACTTAGGACTGTTAAACTCCTCATTGTTTTTAGATCGCTTGGATCGTCTGAAGAAAAAAACTTGGTTTTGTTCAGACTTTGTCCCAAAGAGCCTAGAAGAGATGGCAGATAGAGTAAGCTTAAATATTTAATTGCGTTCATCGTAATTATATGCTCTACCTTTCTTCTAAGCGTCTAAACCAGTTCTGACTCAAACCACTTGTTTTATCTCACAGGGACGAGCTCAAAGTCGTGGAGGCGGAGGAAGAGGCTCTAGCAGAGGCCAATCATCTGGAGGTCGTGGTGGTCGAGGAGGTGGATCTGGAAATACTGGTGGTGGTGCTCGTGATCAAGGACCTAAACGAGTTGAGTTCAACATCAATCCATCGTAACTGGCCAGACATACTTTTTGCTCGAGCTTCTGGGACTTACTGCATCGCTTTCTATTGATGTAGGAAGCAATCATTGATCTCGCAAAATACATGGACAAGCAGATTCGAGTCAAGTTTATGGGTGGACGTGAAGGTAAAACGAATAGATTGGAGTGGGTAACTGTATTTTTTTGTCTGTCTCTCATCACTCAACTTGATTCTAGTCGTTGGCTCATTGAAAGGATATGATCCGTTACTCAACCTTGTGTTGGATGATTGTGTTGAACATTTACGAGGTGTGTTATTATTCTCAACTCTGCTCATCAAAAAAACACAGAGTCCTTCATCATCGATGACAGTATCTCTCTGACAAGACCAATCTTAATGCTTACTGACGATACTGAAAACACAATAGATCCCGAAGACCACACAAGACTAACAAAAGAGACCAGGAATCTGGGACTACTTGTATGCCGAGGAACAACTCTAGTCTTGATATCGCCTGTAGATGGATCTGAACAGATACCAAATCCTTTCATGCAAGCGGAAGATGAATAAATGTAATCCAGTACTTTTCTTGCATCTACTCTCCTTTTTGTATAGAAAACATTTAAAAACTACTGTTATAAATGCAATTGACTGCTGGTCTATATATGCAATGTTTCTATTGTGTGGATGATATGTGACAGAGTGCATACTAACTATGTTACAGAGAAGTCTCTGATGCTCAAACAACTTATGCCGAGTTCCTTTGTCCATATTTAGCAAAAGTCTGAGACACCACCAGAGGAAATACAATGGTAGCATCAGCATACACTTTAACAGGTTTAGCAGAAGCCCGTATCTTTCCCCACGATACAGCCTCATCCGGACGTGCACCAGCATCAGATCCATCATATTCAGCTCCAGTGTTAATGTACACTGCGTAATCAGCTCCATTTCTCTAACAGGAGGCAAAGACAAGAAGGTGAACAACATGCAACAAAAGCACTAGCGATTCTGATTGTATTACCATAAGATTGGCATTCGATATATGGTGCTTGACCACACCACCACCCAGTATAATGACACCAGTCTTTTTGGCAAACACGGCCTGATTGTTTATAGATCTAATGTCACTGGCAATGTCTATAACCAATCCGGGGTTTCGATATGAGTGGAAGTAGATCATGTCTCCGAGTGAGCCGTCTGTTAGCGCAGGTGAGTATATCGGTATGTTGTTCTGTTGTTTGATATGGAGGTGTGTTGGTTTGGCGTGGCAGAGGAGGCGAAAAAGATATTGCATGGTCGACCAATGTTACCTTGTAAGCCCAGTACGCTATGCTCTCCGGATTGTCAATAGCTTTACCCAATCGCTGTATGATTTTAGACGGTGACCATAGCTCGTCCTATGTAATCAAACGAATCAGCACAGTAACGTTGTAAAGTGCATCCAGATTCCACTGCATACCTTATTTTTTTGGTCATCCAACATGCCATCCAAAAGAGGCATGACCCAATCTTCAAACTTGCAATAATTGTCATTGGGAACCAACAGATTCCCAATCCGATTCAGTCCCTTCTTGCGTAGTTCAGCACCATCTAGTTCGAATTCTCCTACGTAGGTCGGGCCAAGACATTTGATGAGGTCTTCTTCTACGCCTCCTGCTGTTGTCACTATTACGTCCACCTGTAAGAGAGGCGAGTTGGTGAATTGGAAGGTATACAGGTGACGTAGAAAGCAAAGGGAAATACCATGGAATGCTGTACAAGAAACCGAAAAATCTCTCTCAAACCCGACGAGACCAAATTCGAAGTATACCCCAGAAAGATTTTACATTTCGTCTTCTCTCGTGTTTCAGGATCTTTATACTCTTCAGTCTCATCTGGAGATATCGCTTCTTGTGATAATCTCCACTTGATCTATTGAGTGAGGTTAATGAGCTAGACGCAAAAAACGATGCTAGCTATTCGACGGTAGGCATTGCGACCAACAACACTAGATCTCCTCAACTCATACCATTTGATTAATCTGATCAATAGCTTTACCAATAGCGCTAGCTTGATACCCTGTAGTCATGTAAGATTGCATCAGAGTATCCAATTCGACGAGTTTGTTGAAATCCACGCCTTTAACCACTTTAGCTCCTTCTGGTACTGGTTCTGAAGGTACCAGGACGGCTTCCATTGCGCTTGTTGGTGTGCTTTGTTGCCTATCTACTGCCATCGTATCTTAGGCCTTGTAGCTCGTGCTTCGATGGTTTTTTTTTTGAGCTCCCAAATGCAATTTTGAACCGATCTGTGTTTGTCTCAAAATACTAGCGTATAAAATAATTGAAAATCAAGTAATAACGCGTCAAACGCGTTGGAACATTTGTGGTTGGTCATCGTTAATAAATGTTTCAGAATTGACGTCAAGCTGTGCAAAGAAAAAAAAGTCAAATCAAAAGAACAAGTTAGAGCTGAAGAAAACAGCTTGAAAGAGCGCATCAGATCAGGCCAGAATCGGTTTATGTACGCGCACAAGTACGAGAAGGTATGTCTATAGGCAGTGATTGCACTCGTCACATTCTGGTGGTTTTGTGTGGGAGACGAGCACAGTTGCAAAGTGTGGTATAGTCAAGCGCTATTGAAATATACTCACACTTTTCTTGTATAGGTTTCCAACGACTATATAGCGGACCAGTAAGCTTATCGACATCACTTTACATCTGAACGTCAAACATTGCTCCATTGCACCCTAACGTCAAACTTTTCTTGGCTACAGGGTTTACAAGAGCTTCATAGCAGCTTAAAGCAAAGAATCATCAATAGTACATAATTATATAAATCTAGGCAACCATGACTCCACTAGCTCGTTTTGCAATGATGGCTCGAGCGTCATCACTGTCAAAACCCAGCCTTGTACAAACCAACTTGATGCAATCATCATACATCATCAAATCATCATCCTTCGCAACTCTAACTCCCGATAATCTATCCGCCTTGACACCTCCATCCGCAACCACAAAGGAAGAACCTCCCATGTTGCCAGCAACCTTAACATTCAAATCAGGCCAAATCTTCCACGGCACTTCATTCGGTAGCCCCTTGACTCGCCCCATCACAGGTGAAGTAGTATTCACCACATCTCTAGTCGGATACCCAGAGTCAATGACTGACCCAAGTTATCGTGGTCAAATCCTATGCTTTACTCAACCACTGATTGGAAACTATGGTGTACCAGGCTCTGTAAAAGATCAGTTTGGTCTACTTAAATACTTTGAGTCAGAGGGTATTCAAGTTAAAGGTATCTTGGTTAACGATTACGCTACGAAATACTCTCATTGGAATGCTGTCGAGTCGTTGGGTAAATGGTGCTCTAGGTATGGAATTCCTGCCATTACAGGTGTAGATACCAGAGCCATAGTACATATATTGAGAGATAATGGATCCACTTTGGGTGAAATCCGTATTGGTAAAAACGAAGGAGCGGCATCAACAGGCATCACTGTTCCTGTTTGGGAGGATCCGAATGTTAGGAACTTGTCAGCTGAAGTCTCGGTTAAGGATAAAGTCGTATTCAATGCTGGTGGTGATGTCAAGATTGCTCTCATCGGTGAGTATTCAACGATTCTTTTGCACTCCAGTTTTTCTAATAAAACAGCTCTTTGAATAGATTGTGGAGTGAAACAGAACATCATCCGATGCTTGGCCAAACGAGGTGCAGAAGTCACCGTAGTACCATGGGACTACGATATTACGTCTGAACCTGCCTACACTTATGATGGTGTCTTCATCTCCAACGGCCCTGGTGTAAGCATTGGTTTCTTTGTTGACAGTAGTCTCTCGACCGGGCGCTTGCTCATTCTCGCTTCCTTTAGGATCCACGAACATTGACTAAAACCGTCGCAAACCTACAAAAACTCTTCACCACATACTCATCAACCAAGAACCCAATCCCCATCTTTGGTATATGCATGGGCAACCTCATGATGGGTCTAGCGGCCGGCTTCCCTGTATACAAACTCCCATTTGGTAACCGTGGCCATAATCAACCAGCTACAGATCTCTTTACTGGAAAGTGTATAATCACATCCCAAAACCACGGATATGCAATCAATGTAGAGCAGCCATCTAGTCTATCAGCAGGTTGGAAGCCATTCTTCATGAATGCTAATGATGGTAGCAATGAAGGATTGAGACATGAAGTGTATCCATGGCAGAGTGTACAATTCCACCCTGAAGCTAAGGGTGGTCCTCTAGATTCAGAGTATCTGTTTGAAGGGTATTTGAATGAAGTTCGTGCTGGCAAATTGGCCCGTAAACCTGCATTGGTGGCCGAGTTGGAAAAGAAGGGTGTTTCTTCGTCTGGACGAGCAGTCAAAGTATAGAATGATATAAGGGACGACCTCATAGTAGTAAAAGCTCGATTTGAACGTATTTTTTGTATTGGATATTGCTCGATTACAAATGTTCAGAAGGAAATACTGAACGTTTGTTGCTTATGTCGTACTCGTTTGATTCCGCCTCTCGACTTCTAGGACAAACAACAAGTCTATAATCAGACGAATTCTGATGGGACTGGTTCCTATTTGTACTACAGAAGCCACTGTATCAGACGTTTTCAAGTCCTGGTGGTAAGGGGCGTTGAATTACAACAAAACACGTCCAGATCCATGCGCAATTGAATGGAACGACGTGTACTAGTACGCTGCATAGTAATAGCACGCTATGTGCTGGTTTGTTGATCAGTTTAAGTGCTTTGCTGTCCTTCTGGCCCAGATAACATACTGATATTTGAACAAGTCACTTGAAAGCTACTGTTTCGACACACAATACGACCATGGAGGAAGATCCAGATCAGCAGCCATCCACCAAAAAGATCAAATTGAACGATGGTAGCTCTGCGACTCCGTCTACTATACGCGTAGACGACAATGAAAAGAAACCAACATTGCCACCAACCAGTAAAAATGCAGCTTCAGACTCTCTATTAACTGAGTCTCAAGTGGGAATTACAGCATGGATGAACCCTGATATGCCTGGATTTAAAGGAATTCTCAAGCATCGGTGAGTTGAAGATCATTTGCGACATTTTCTCCTTTTCAACATCTTATCGAAAGCTTCGCCAACTAACTTGAATTCATAATTTTCTCAATAGATACACCGATTTCTTGGTTAACGAAATCGATATGGATGGTCGTGTGATGCATCTCACGAGTTTGAAGGCCCCATCTTCGGTGTCTGAGAAGGATCAAGATGAGCCTGCTAAAGCTGTACGCAGAATTGCACAAGCCCCAACACATTGAAATGACGGATTTTTAATGGTATCCTGTGATCTTAGGCCCGAGACGATGGCAAGCTTCTGGAAGACCTTGGGGCTCTGGTTTCTGCACAGGACGTTGAACTGGTGAAAACCATGCTTCAAGCTGGAAAGGGTGTTAGTGAAGGAGTCACGCTACAGGTATTCATCAAGTTTACAAAAACATGTCTTTGTTTCACTGAGCTAAAATAGTCTGACGAACATACAACTCTCATTTTTTTGGCCTTAGCCCGAGTCAGATAAAGCCAAGCGTACAAAGATCCATCGAGTATTTAGTACATATTTGAGTGGAATAGTTAGTACCAACACTGTAGGTGTTGATGAAATTCGTGTTGAGTGGGGTACTTCAAATCGTGACAATCGAGGTGCGTGTTTCAAGAGACGTTATCTGACAGAAATGCCCTTTTTTGCCTGGAACGCTCAACTCAATCTTGGAACATAGGACGTGGATCAAGCAACAAACGGAAGAAGTTATCCTGGGATGAACTTGGAGGCAGTTTCTGTCATTTCCTCATGTTCAAGGAGAACAGAGAGACTGTGCAGGCATTGGAGTCGATTTCGAAGATGGCCAAGTAAGCATCAATACAGATTCTTACGATCTTTTTTTTGGTTTCACAATTTCGACTCTCCTATGCACCTTTGTAAAACAAAGGATTCAATCAAAGAAGATGACATTCGCTGGTACAAAGGACAAGCGAGGCATCACTGTTCAACGTGTCGCTGCTCAGTTTGTCAATGCAGAGACTTTGGCAGGCCTCAACAAGACTTTGAGAGGCATTCAATTGGGTGATTTTCAGTATGTACTGTCATTTGTTTGTTATCCATGTCGTTTGCGTTCTCATTCTTACACTATCTAGGCACAAGCAGCACGGTCTGAAGCTCGGTAGTTTACAAGGCAATCAGTTTGAACTTGTGTTGAGGTTTGTAATGCTACGACATACATTACACTCGCTGGTCGTTTTTGCTCATTATTTCTTTTCCTTCTTTGCAGAGAGGCTTCAGGAACACGAGAAGACATAGAAAAAACATTGAATGCATTGAAAGCAAGTGGTTTTATCAACTATTATGGAATGCAGCGATTTGGGACACAGTCGGTGTCCACTCATTCCATTGGTGTCAAGCTTCTGAAGAGTGATTGGCAGGGTGCCGTTGATTTGGTTTTGATGCCTAGAGAGAGTGGTAAGCGTTTCTACACGATGCTTTGGTATCTGGTTAAAGGAAGTCAGTGCTGACATCTGACCGATTATTCGCTTTTGTTTTCCTTTCAGATTCTCCGGACATACTGAAGGCTCGACAAACCTGGAAGGATACTCAAAGTCCTAGAGAAGCATTGAAACTGTTTCCGAAATGGAATACTGCTGAACGAGCAATTTTGGAAGCTTTTAATTCTAGGAAGTCGAATAAGGATTGTGCTGGTGCTATGGCCAATGTAAGCGTTGGGGTTGTTGTATGATGTCGTTTAACCTCCCTTTTTTGGCAACCTGATAAATGTTTAATATTCTGATTCATGATTTATAACCAGATTCCAAGACATCTACGTCAAATGTATGTACATGCGTACCAATCATATGTTTGGAATCGTGTTGTATCTGCTCGAATCCAGAAATTAGGTCGAGCGGTCGTACTTGGAGATCTGGTATCGGTGCCGTCATCCACCACCACATCCACATCAGCAGATGGCATCATACTTCCCGCAACGAGTACAACAGAGGAAGAAACCGACATTCAAGTGATACCTGAAGACGAAGTATTCGAACCAACAGCACGTCCAGACACTATAAAAACAATAAATACCGAAGTAGAAGCATCACAATACCAAATTACGGATATAGTGATTCCACAACCTGGATATGATGTTAAATATCCACCGAATATGCTTGATACGTACAAGGAGATTATGAATGAGGACGGACTTGATCCATTGAATATGAAGAGGTCGATTTATGATTATTCGTTGCCTGGATCATATAGGAAGATGGTTGGTGCTGTTAAAGATTTCGAGTGGTACGTTCGTGTATTCATTCCAAGCTAGAACTTTTTTTGCCCGTCGTGAGTTTGAGTTTCAGCTTCTAATTCGGATTTCTGGATTGGTTGCTTAGGCGAATTGTACAGTATAGTCATGCAGATGCAAGCCTTACGCTGACGGATCTCGATAGACTGAAGGGTCTCAAAGACCTGAAGATTGGTATACGTCTTCTCTAACTGATGCTGTAGTCCTCACGTACTCAAACCTTTTGTTTGACTTAGAATCTGGTGACAAAATGGCCGTCATTCTCAAGTTCTGTTTGGACTCGTCTACATATGCTACAATGGCACTTCGGGAGGTCTTAAAGACAAGTACTACACCCTCATTTCAAGCTGGTTTGTCTTCAGCATAGAACGTTGAAGCCGAATTTTTTTGGCACTTGTTGCATTATGAGACAACGAACAAACCACTTTTCTTCAATTGTATAAAATGATGTCATGTTGCAATACATAGTGATGAAACCTCAGCAAGCATTCCTTGTTTTGAAAATTGTAGAGCAACTCTGAAGCATTGGTTTGGTTGACGCTCATTTGCTTTGAGTCTCTATTTTCTTTTCGAAACCTCTACAAATTTACTTCAACTTGCACAGGTAAGATTTGAACAGTTGCAATGATATGACTTTGTAGGGCTTTTTGGCAACTAAGACTTTCTCGCTCTTTGCTTACTCACGATTTTCAAGCAGATTCCAAGACATTTACGTCAATGGTACCTACATGGGTACCGACCGCATGTCTCGAATCGTATCTGCTCGCATGCAAAGACTGGGTCGAATAGTCGTACCAGATGTTGTTATTGTTGTGCCATCATCAAACACCACCGCAAGTGGAGCAGCGGGCTCCACACTCTGGCTATGATGTTGCGATCTACCGAAGATGATTAATACGTACAAGGAAACTCTAAGTGAGGATGGGCTTGATTCACTGATCTTGAAGAGAACGAGATACGATTACACGCTGCCTGCATTGTATCGAAAGATAGTTGGTGCGGTCAAGGATTTTGGAGGTAAAATACATACAGTTGAACGACAGAGTCTGTTTTGTCGTTGCATGAGAGTATTCTAACATTGGGATTCCCTCGTTCTAGGAACCGTCTACGGTCAAGTCGTGCTGATGCAGACTTTGTTGCATTATAGACAAACACTATAATTCAGTTGTATGAAATAGATGTATTGCAATATATATTGATGCCAACATCAACAAAAAATACATACAGTTGAACATTTTGGATTGCGTGGTTATAGCCTGCTATGTTCATGTTCATGCTTGTATTCTGAATCAGTGGGTATCAAAGCTGGATCCATGCCCAGCGTCTTCATCTTGACTGCGATTTCAAACAGGTAGTCATAGCATTCTGTCATTGTTTTGGCTATGATAAGAAATTGAGGTGAAAAAAAGAAGGCAACTTTTGAGATACAATCTCCGGAAGAGTGCACCAGTTCTTTCTACATACCTTTCTGCCATGTCTCACCCCACACATATACACCATGCCTTCTCACCAGCACAGCTTGAGAATCTGGATACTTTTGCATTGCCTACAACAAAGGAAAACTCTCAGTAGTTGTACCGGACTGTCAAACTTGACATCTGTTAACACTTACCACAGCCATCCTCTCCTTCAAATCCTCTTCTTCCGCAGTATTCTCCACAATGGGTACCTCCAGCGTCTCCCAATACTTGTAATTCCGACCTTGACTCTCCTTCCTAATGCCCTTAATCATTTCCTGATGTGTAATCCTAAACACATTCCTGTCCTCCGCCCTTTCAGACATTCCAGCCAGCAAGGTCACCATAACAGCATGTTGCGAGTGGGTATGGATTACAGCACCAGCGTTCCTCATTGTGTAGGCATTGTAGAACAGGGGAGTGCACTGTGATGGTTTGAAGTTTAGGGAAGGATGTGGTGATTGTATTGGAGTTGGGATTGGGAATTGGATTGGAGGATGTGCTGGGAGGACGTATAGGTGGGAGGGCTGGATGCGTTCTTTTTGGACTCCGGAGGGAGCAATGTAGATTTTATTGTCGTATTTGATGGTGATGCCTCCTCTAGTAGAGTGATTTGGACATGAGTAGAGAGCGAAATATGTGGTATCATACATGCACATATAAATAAATTCATTGTAATAGCCAGGGCATACCCAGTTCCAGTCACCCAATTGAGCTGATAAAAGAGTCGACAAAGCTCTGGTATAAGATTGAAGGGATGGTCTGGATCATTTGTAGCGATAAATCCATCTACTAGCGCTGTCTGGTCGGCAGGTGGGTCCTTGGCCTCGCTCTTCTTGTCTCCTGTCATCGCTGCTTGAAACTATGAAAAATCGCACTTTTGCAAGAAAATCACACTTACCGCACTTTGGACGCAAACCACAATGGGACGATATATAGAGCCGGCGGTAACGTCTAAAAGACTAGTATCATTGCATCTCACGCTACTCGCTGCTGATATAATATTCACTGTCGTTGGTGAACTATATCGAGATCAATCTCGTTTTTTCATACCAATTTACGGGTATGACACCTTGCTTCAAATCTCATCGAAAGTTCACCTATAATATGCTTAAACCAATATTAACTGACTCTTTTCTCAATACTATATGATATAGGATCCAAGTGCTATGTGTTGCATTCCAAATTGTCTTGTTTCTGGCGCGGATGAGAACAACACATGCTGGACGGTCTGGACTTTCAAGAATACCATACCGGCAATTCCAAAATGAGATGAATTGCATCTATCTGTACTTTATACTGCTTGCTTGTTGGAGAGGTCTTGCTCTGGTGAGTGTTAACAATGCAGCAAAAAACCCACAATATGTCGATCGTTTGTATGGCACTTTGCTCACAAGTCTCTTTGCATCTAGTACTCACTACTGAACAATGGAGCGACACTATGGAATAACGCCGTATATGCTGTCTTTGTTTTGGCAAGATTCGTTGGAGCTGTGCCATACCATGCTTCAGTGCAAAGTGTTGCTGTTGAACTGTGTCATCCGAAATATCAGGGTAATTCTGTGTGGTTGCGGGAACGTATACGGGAAGGATGGTAGATAGTGGAAGTTTTTCTGCGGCTGAAATATAGATCTCATTGCTTAATCCAGTGATTGTGGTATTCCAGTTGGTCAAGTGACAACGATTTTCAAGATGAACATCCATTACCAAACTCAGCACCACCGAACACATTCCCGACGCTATTGGATTTTCTAACGAGTCCATATTTGAGTACAGAAATGATGCGTCTATGGATTCGTACCAATCTGTAGCTGTAGTGATGATGTATTGAGGCAAATACTGTATCTACATGCTATTGTGTGCTGTTTTTTTTGCTCCGATCAGACATGCACATCGACCACCATGCACGTCAGAGTTGTCGCATCCGTAGACCGAAAATGATCTTTCCCTCCTCAGAAATAACGGGTCTGTACATGGTATCTCACTCGAGAATGCGGAAATGACAGAGTGGAAGAGAGAAGGTTTGCCACTCGAATTACTTTCAAGTATACGGTGAGGATTTCGGGCATGCATTGTTGCCTACCAAGATATTGGCGGAATTGCTTGAAGTTCTTCAAGTTCCGTTACTAGATAGAAAGAATGCACATCAGCAAATACAACAAATTAATACTTTACGAAAGGATTTGTCGGGTGTTCATCAACTGATGTTCTCTGTAACGATAATAAAAAACTACCATTACTGCACATTTTCCTTGGAAAAGAGTCGGTGTCGTATGGTTTCACGTATACTTTGACACAAAAGGAGGCTCCCTCGCGGAAGCCTCCCTTTCGCGCAGAGTGCAGCAGCAGCTGGTAGTTGTTGGAGTTATTGGAGTTGTTGTGGAGTTGTCGGAGTTGAGAGAATTGCTACGATTATTATACGTTATCAAAACGCCACCCTGTCGGATGGGCTTGACACCGCCCTGTCGGATTTCCTACGAAATCCAAGTTTCTGGTAGTGTGGCCTAATCGATTTTTGTTACTCTTAGCCTTTCCATTACAGAATTCGGTTGCTTAAGACACCTACCATGAAAAGCAGACGAGCTACTCAGGCAAAGTTTATCGACGAACTTTTTGCTCTTTATATACCCCTTACGGGGTCATTTCAAAATACGTTTTGTTGCTTGCTTGAAATGTCGTTCTTTGGTGATGTTGATGAGACATATTACGAAACATATTACGAAACAGCTCAGATTTAGACGAACTTCACGCGATTCAGTTGTCGCTACACGATGCCAAATCGAGCTCGAGATACCTCGTCAAAATCATGTTTGACAACGACCATACTCCGACGTTGTTGAGTCAGACCAACAGAATGTTGACGAGATCATTTCAGCTGAACCAAGACAAGTTTTAACTGATCAGAAAACGTACAATCAATCTCAATAAAGCAATACATGCCACACAACCGTCCAATGTGTCGTCCAACGGGCATCAAAAAGCCAGTTTGGTGGTTTTAGGCTCAAAACCGCCATTGAAGACAATGAATTGCTATAAACTAATGCTGGATTTCTTGGGTGCTTGAAGTCTTGATTTGATTGTCTACGACCTCTTCCAGATAGAATCAAATGTACTTGAATTTCGGCTGAAAGCACCTTCATAAAGGAGAGAGGCAAATGTTTCGGCGGTTGAATACACGAAACCATTCCATAATCCAAGTCCAGATGGTTGCTTTCAGCCACGTGGTGCTCTGATGACAGAAGGCAGTAGCACCAGGAAATTGAATGCAAGCACAATGTATTAACTTCGTATACTCTGAAAATCACGTATTGGCGTAAGTATCTCCATTCGTTATTTGCATGTTTGATACCCGGGTTTGGTCTTCTGAGACGTGTCGTTACGATAAAACGATAAAAGTCGAAACATCAAATGTGTTGAGCTTGGAGCTTGAGGAAGGCTTGTTTGAGTAGCGAGACAGTCTACATGTAGTGACAATACACTATGTAAGTACATATGCAACACACAATTAGCACTCAGAGTAGAAGGTAATTGCGGGTTTGCCACGAGCATAATGGAAATCCAGTGACTTTCCGGTTAACCGCACAAATAATCTAGCTAGCTCCGACCACTTGCAAGCACTTGCACTATATTCATGGATCCTAATTGCTAGCTAGTGGGCTCCCTAACTAGTACTCTGGCAAGTGGACATGATTCATTAATTCACACCAACTTTGACCAAATCTGACGGAACGTTGTAGCTTGTAGCAGGTTACAAATGAAGGAGATATCGTTGAAATCTTGATCGGAAGTCTTGCTCTGTTCCGCCTTCCCTGGCTCTCTTAGACCTCACTCCCACCTTCATTCATTCGGCCGATCGGATCATAACTTCCATGAAGAAAACTACTATTAAGGTGCCGTTCATCACACAAGTGAGTGGTGAAGTTCATCCATGAAAATCTTTTAAAAATCCAAACCAACAATAGTTGTATACATCAAAACCCTCAAAGCAAAATCTACACAAACAGCAAACACGAACAGCCATGATGACCATCACACCGTACTCTCCTAGATCTGTATCACAAGCAACATCCTTGAAAAGGAAGGCTTTATTGTTGGACGTGAACCTTCGACAAACTCAATCGCCTACAATGTCGCCTTCGTTATCATCACAAGAATCCTCACCTGCCATCCCATACTCGAATTACATGCAAGGGTTTCCTAATTTATCGCACGTTCCTCCTGAAAGCGTTTCTCAATGGGTAAGAAATCAAAATTGCACGCAGATCTTCCAAGGGGGAAATCGTACTTTCTTCAGACTCTACCCCTTCTATTAGTTCGATGATCTTGAAGACGGTGACAATATAGTCAAGCAATTATCTCGCACATCCGATTTCGAGAAGATACCCGTAACAAGGTGCTGTTGCCAGCAAAGAAGTGATTTACCCCGTCGTGAAAATAGTATTGCAACGCCAGTATCTCTGCACACTGGCCAAAACAGAATTGCTTTACCAAGCCGTGAAAGCAGTGTTGGAGCACCAGTATCTCCTTTAAATGGTGATACGATGAATACTGAAGCCAACCGCGCCGCAATCACCACCAACAAGCCTCACGACTACGACGATGTCATGTCCATAGACGAGGAATCAGTATCCTCCGACTCCTTCCATCAACCATCAACACCCACCAATCCACTCAAGAAACGCCGCTACCTAACCGCTGGCAGTGGCCGAGTCACCAAACCTTCCGTCGAAGTATTCATCAAAGTATTCGAACAAACCTCGTATCCCGATACCAACGTTAGAAAGATGCTGGCTGAGCGAATGAATATGACACCACGGGCAGTGCAGATATGGTTTCAGAATAGACGGCAGCATGCAAAGGCTTATGGGTTTCGTGAAGGGTTGTTGAGTAAGAAGAGACCTCATTCGTATAAGGCACCGACTGGACCGAATGATGTTGCGGAGAGGTTGTTATTGGATGTTGCGATGTGGTGTGATGAGGCTGGATTTTGAGACAACAGTTGGTGTATGTGGTGATGAAAGGTTTCTTATGAGTGTTGGTGATGCACTATTGTTGGGATATGAGACACCTTACGCCGTCAATAAATATGCTATCTGAATGCAAAATATCTCTACTCTCGGCAGCCTTGATATCTTTTGAAGGTGAAAACAGTATTGATGTGTTGAGTTTGGAGCTTCAGGAATGCCGTTTTGAGGAACGAGATAATGCGCGTACAGTTGAAGTGCATTGGTTCCCTACACAAATAGAACACAATCCATAGTTGGCGTCGGTTGTAATCGCTAAAATCAAATGTAAAATCATACACAGTGACTGTTTTATGTTGTAATAATGATGAAAGCAAGTCGTCAGCATGAGGAAATTCAAACCTTTGCTGTTTCTTAGTATTAAATTTATCAGCATATTTGGTTTGCAAAACAGCCGTGATTGCTACCTTGCTTATCCTTTTAAATCTAACTGACGCCAAACACGGTTAGTAGTCAACTGATAACACTCAAAGAAACAAACCCTCCCGCAAATGACCATTTAATTTGATCCTGTATTGATTGGTAGCATACTACATTAATAGATTTTGCGACAGGCTCGCCAGTGATCACCCTCTGTTGCTCTTTAGCCGAGTTTGGGAATTCATTCAATGGTACTACGAGCATGATAGTCGTGACCACGGGCGAATAAAGGCGATATCACTGGCATTATCTGCACGATCTTGCCTTCCTCCTTGCCTTGTCGGCTGCTGGGTCGGACACTTTATGGTGTTCATTCATTGAAATATTCATTCATTAATCTTTTCATCAATCACACCCTCCAAGAGCTTCGACAATCTTCAAGCAGCATTCCAACATCAACATCCTACAAGATCACCAAAGGAATGCAATACAGTACCATGCCTGCCTTACACGAATTCCACCCTGGACACCTCAAAATGCAAGATAGCAAGGCTCTAGATGTAACTCTTGGCCAACTATTGTCGCCAATGCCAGCAGAAGCATCACCCACCTTCCAGTACTTTAATTATATGGATGAGGCATCTGATGTGACTCCCTCTGCAACCGCCAGTCGCTCTGAAAGGGTAAGTAATGCGTGATGCGGTGAACATATTAAATGCTTGGATTTAATTACTATTTGCACACCCAACTTTACACGTCCTAATCCATTTTCTCCTTACTTCAATTTAGTCTGAATATCTTGATGAAGGCTGTATCGGCTTCATGGATCTCATTATGCCCGATCTGGAGCTACTCGCCGCCTGTGCGTCGCCTTCAATAAGTGATGAAGGAAGATCCGACCAATATAATTGCACAATCATCCCAGATATTGACATTGACGCTCAATGGTCATTGTTGCCTCTGCCTTCTCTGGAAGCTGCCAACCCTGTCAATGTCATGGACGTCTTCAATTACAATCTTGTAAATGTCGACAACACTGTTGGAACCGAGGTACTACTGGCTGCTCCTAGCCCAGTGTATGATGCTAAGGATGTTCCAGCTCGTATAAGGGATCGTAGAGACTCTGCTCTGGATATTGCGGCACCCATCACCAAGAAGGTAGTTAAGAGGCCCACCACAGTAGAGGAAGAGGAAGACACCACTTCTGATGGAGAAGATAGCAACTATAGTAACGACTCGGAAGACGAAAAACCAAGAAAGCAAACCTCAAAAACAGCAAACCGTCGTAAAACCAGCAACCACGTCACCGCTGGTAATGGTCGAATCACCAAACCATGTGTTGCAGTATTAAGCAAAGTACTGGAACAAACATGCTATCCAGAAACTAGTGTAAGGAAGCTGTTGGCTGAACGGATGAATATGAGACCAAGGACGGTGCAGATATGGTTTCAGAACAAGAGACAGTATATGAAGGCTAGTGGGGTTAGTGAAGGGTTGAGGAACAAGAGAGGAGATCCATACAAGATACCAACAGGAAAGAAGGTGGTTATTGAGACGTTGGGTGAAGATGTTGAGAGGTGGTGTGATGAAGCTGGCTTTTAAGTCAGTTGTACTAGGTGTTTAGTAGTAGTATGACTAGTAGCTCTAGTAATAGTCTACAACCAGAGTAGTATTGTCTGATCCACTTTATTGCTTTTGCTTCGTCGTAAATAAATATCCATATCTGAATCTAAATCGAGTCAACAAGCGCTGCATTCACTTTGAGAAGTTGGGAATCAGACAAGAACCGTTGTTTAGCTCATTGACTTGCGTGCACGTCTTCAGACTCTTGTCCGGAAAAAGCTCAGGTTGTTTATTCAGTTCGAATCGTTGCCGCAACTGAGAAAACCTGAGGTTTGCTACTCTGCGGTGAAGTAGTAAACCTCCACGATGAATTTTTTATAGGCACTTAGTCCCTGCTCGCTCGCCCTTTTCTCTTATGAAGGCCTCCATCGCTCTCAACACGAACTTCATAATTTCTGAATTTACTTGACGGATGCTTGAGGAAGCCTCGTCTGAGCAGCAAAACGAGAAAGATGCCGCTGAAACGTTTGTCCCGAGTACATTTTCAGACAATCATTTGCATTTGGAGCAGGAGGGGAACGCGAAATCACTCCAAACACTTTAATCCAGTGACTTTCGTTTTTGCTCACAAATTCACGAACAATTTAGAATTCTGTCTGAATCTTTTGGTACATTTATGATGATGTTTTGTTATTTGGTGGTCTCCTCTCACTAGTGCTTAGCCAAAAATGTGCTATTAATTAATTCATCCAATCCCAACACATATCAAAGTGCAAGATGGGGATACGGGCAACGAGGGCAGACTTTACTGCTAGTGTATCACACGATCTTGCTTTCTTACTATCGTCTCCCTCCATACTACTCTGCGGAGCCTTTATTCTTCATTCATAATAATCCTCTATCGTTTTTTCCATACACAATAGCGACCTCGTTAATCATCAACCTTTTAAATGAATGAAACCCCAACAATTAAATCCAACATCAACATCCTACAAGATCACCAAAAGAATGCAATACAGTACCACGCCTTTACACGAATTCCACGCTGGACATCTTAAAATGCAACATAGCAAGGCTCTAGATGTAACTCTTGGCCAACTATTGTCGCCAATGCCAGCAGAAGCATCGCCCACCTTCCAGTACTTTAATTATATGGATGAGGCATCTGATGTGACTCCCTCTGCAACCGCCAGTCGCTCTGAATGGGTAAGTAATGCGTGATGTGGTGAACATATTAAATGCTTAGATTTTCTTAACTATTTGCACACCCAACTTGACACGTTCTAATCCATTTTCTCCTTAATTCAATTTAGTCTGAATATCTTGATCTAGGTTGTATTGGCTTCATGGATCTCATTACGCCCGATCTGGAGCTACTCGCCGCCTGTGCATCGCCTTCATTAAGTGATGAAGGAAGTCCCGACCAATGTAATAGCACAATCATCCCAGATATTGACATTAATGCTCAATGGTCATTGTTACCTCTGCCTTCTCTGGAGGCTGCCAAGCCTGTCAATGTCATGGACGTCTTCAATTACAATGTAGTAAATGTCGACAACACCACCAACACTGTTAGAACCGAGGTACTACTGGCTACTCCTAGTCCAGTGTATGATGCTAAGGATGTCCCAGCTCGTATATGGGATCGTAGAGACTCTGCTCTGGATATTGCGGCACCCATCGCCAAGAAACTAGTTAAGAAGCCCACCATAGTAGAGGAAGAGGAAGACACCACTTCTGATGAAGAAGATAGCAACTATAGTAACGACTCGGAAGACGAGAAACCAAGAAAGCAAACCTCAAAAACAGCCAACCGTCGTAAAACCAGCAGCCACGTCACCGCTGGTAATGGTCGAATCACCAAACCATGTGTTGCAGTGTTAAGTAAAGTACTAGAGCAGACATGCTATCCAGAAACTAGTGTGAGGAAGCTGTTGGCTGAACGGATGGATATGAGTCCAAGGACGGTGCAGATATGGTTTCAGAACAAGAGACAGCATATGAAGGCTAGTGGGGTTAGTGAAGGGTTGAGGAACAAGAGAGGAGATCCATACAAGATACCGGCTGGGAAGAAGGTGGTTATAGAGACGTTGCGAGAGGATGTTGAGCGATGGTGTGATGAAGCTGGACTTTGAAAAACAAGTGACTGTGATAGGGAAGCTGTTTGTAGTAGTAAAATAGTAGTAACTTTAGCCAATGTAGTAGCGCTCTGAGCACTGCTATCTTTGCATATATAAACCCTCATCTGAATTCAAATCAAGTCGCCAAACACAAGTTTGGTAAAGTCGGCATCAGAAGTGAAGGGTGACACCCCGATGCAATCGATTGCTACATGGCCAAAAATCGTGACAGAAAATCTGCAGGCAAAGTCTTGAATATCCTTGGCATCAGACTTCCACATCGAATCTCCATGGAATTGTGAGCTTGAAACACATTCAAAAAGGGAGAGAGGGAGAGGTAGGATCATCTCTGTGGCTTAATACATGGTAGCATCGCATAGTCCACGTTCAGATCCTCATACATATCTTGTTCGGCCAAAAGCGCGCAAATTGAAGCTTAGATTAGAACAAGATGCATCTGAAGACAGTTTGAGTAACTTCTGACGATAGCCAGTGTTAAACTGGACATTGTAAATAGGTTGCAACATTTTATCCGACAAAGATCAACTTAGCAGCACGAGCAGGCTAGCAAGAGGAGAAACTTGGTTCAGGTTTGGTTCAAATACAGGAACTGCTAGGAGTGTTTCTATACCTTCTACTACGCTCCATACACGCTCCATACACGTTCCGTACACGTCAGATAGCGTTTCTGGATTTCGTCAACGTCCCAGCCTCGAAATCCAAATGCCCGTCAGGACGTGTGATTGATTGCTAAACCGATGACGTAGTTTCGAAAAAACAATTCAAGTAGTTGAAACGAGCGTTTGTCTGTAAGAAACATAGAACGAGGGACCCAATACTTGATCGTAAGTCCCTTCATTGAATCATCTGTTCTCTCCTTTGCTGTTTATTTCTACGCTGAACTGTGTTAAAGTTTGATTGGATCACAAAAAAACAATCTGTGTGCTTAAATGTCGCTGTACTAAAAACAGTTCTGCTTGTTTAAGGGATCGTCTATCCAAAACGATGAAGCCACCAGTCCAGACGCTAGCTGGAACATCATTCGGCAGCTTCTCAAATGCACTTCCAAGCCCCAGTTTTCTGTTTGAGACGGCGACACCTGGAAGACTGATCGCATCACTGGGAGAAATGACGCCCTTCCCTCCTCGAGAGACCTATAATCCATTCGAAGCTTCATTTGCTCCATTGCAACCACCACATCCAACAAACATGAACACACAATCTACGCTGCCACCAAGTGCTGCAATCATATACAACCGTCCAGTATCCGCACCAGCACCTTCAATACCAAATACCTCAGGCTCAGAGCATCAAAAACACCAACAGCAACAGCAACCGACCGTAGTCATAAACAAAAATATGCGAGCACCAACTCCCCAACCCATACCAATCGAAGAAGAATCTCCCATAAACGACACTCCAGATTCCGCTGCATCGCCACGGGCTAGACGACCATCCGCTGCTGCTCGTAGACAATCCACTGCTAGCACTACAGCTCGCAAACGTAAAGCTGTTAAACAGGAAGTTGAAAAGCCAGCACCGGCCCCACAACCTGTAGTTGAAGAATCATCGCCTGAACCAGTGTCTGCTAGTAGGCGATCATCGGCTGCTGTCATGACGGACGACGAGAACGAAGACGAGCTGGACGATGACTCGGATGGTGAAGATTCTGTGACTGGGCAACCATCGTCTCGTAAATCAAGTAAGCGTAGGAAGAGTACTAATGATGGGGATAGTGATGATAAGAGGAAGAAGTTTCTTGAGAGGAATCGTATTGCAGGTACGCTAGAATCAAAGTTCTGGTTCATTTCAGAGTTCTCGTTCTTTAGATGCCAATGTGATCACCACACTGATACTGCCACGTCAATAGCATCGAAATGTCGTCAAAAGAAGAAACAATGGGTACAGGAACTCGCAAAGAAGAACGAGCAGGTCGCTGACCTCAACAAGGAGTTACAAGATACTGTAGCTCGACTCAAGGACGAAGTTTTGCATCTGCAAAACCAAATCATGCTTCATCGAAATTGTCAATGTGGATCAATTCAAGATGTATGTGTTTGACATTGTTTTTGGTTATTCATATACTGAATTTTTGCTTTAGTATATTGCTCAAAAGCCAGCTGCTTTTGACGCCCCAGGCTTAACTTTGCTGTCATCAACAGTATCATCAAACGATTCCCAATCGCCTGAACAATCATAAAAAAATCAAGATCTGTGCCGATTTGAGCACAATCATATTATGTTTTTAGTAGTAGTCTCCACACACTTTGTTGTTTCTTAAGGAAAGAAAAAAGACATATAGGTAGTCATCAATAGTCAAACTCAGACGTTTTCTGTTTCCTAAAAACGCGAACTTCTAATTTCGACGAAAGCTCAGAGAACACCCTTTAAGTTTGCTCAAAGCTACTCCATACATCATGAGAGCATGTATTAAGCTACGGAAGTCCCTGAACGTTACTGCTTGTTTAAAGCTTCAGCAGACACTTATAAGGGTAAATGTGCATTGTGAACGTTCGTGCATTTCACGACACGGACCTAATACTTCATATCTAGAGAACGTATGCTGCTGCTTCTACATCTCAGACCATTAATCAGCTACCTGCCTATCCTGGAGCCGACATAAAATACACACCAACATTAACATCAAAATCATCATATCCAACAATCGAAACATTCCGAATCCTAAACCCAGAAGGCGAAATAGAACCAGGCGCAACAGATCCAAACTTGTCACGAGAAACGTGTCTGAAGATATATCAGTCGATGGTGCTAACCGAGATAATGGATTCGTTACTCTACGGTACGTGATGCTGTATCATATATGAGGCACTGTGTCTGACGCTCATTTCATCATAGAATCAAATCGACATGGTCGTATCGGCTTCTACATGTCGTCGTCTGGTGAAGAAGCCGTGGCCGTCGCATCTGCGGCTGCTCTGAAAAAGGACGACCACATAATCTCGTCGGCTAGAGAGCAAGGCAGTCTAGTGTACTTGGGATTTGAGTTGAAGCGCATTGTGGGGCAAGCTTTTGCCAATGAAGCTGATTTGGGTACGTGTCGCTTGGGGAGCAGGAGAGATGTCTGCTTGAGATTTCATTCGGGACTAGCAACTTACCTTTTTTGGCAGGGAAGGGACGACAAATGCCAGTGCATTATACATCAAAAGACCTACATTTTCATCCTGTAAGTTCGCCTATGGGGTCACAGCCACCGCATGGAGCTGGAGTTGGCTACGCGCTGAAGGTAGAGTCAACAGTTCTCAGTGCAGCAAGGAGAAGCATGTCTTTAATGTTTTCCATGTATTGATAGAGAAGTAAGAAGGATGCTTGCTGTATATGTTTCTTTGGTGATGGTGCTGCCAGCCAAGTAAGCTCGTGATGAGATCATTTTTTTCTGTGTCGGCTGGAATCAAACAAACCAAATCCTCATAGGGTGATTTCCATGCCGCTGTGAATATGGCTGCTGTGCATGGTTCCAGGACGATATTTCTGTGTCGGAATAATGGTTTCAGCATATCGACAAGGTAAGGCTCTTGCTTCAAAGAATAGGGATACGGGACTTGAAGGTTTTTTGTGCATGTAGGACTACAGAACAATACATAGGAGATGGAGTTGCTGCACGAGGTATTGCACTTGGGGTGGAAACTATGCGAGTGGATGGGAACGATCCATTAGCTGTGTACTCGGTAGTATCGAAAGCTAGGAAGCTGACTGTTTCTGAGAATCGGCCTATACTTGTTGAAGCTATGACGTATCGGTAAGGAAAAAAAACTGAAATTTACACACATGACGAACCAGAGTCAGGCTCAAACTCTTCTATTCTTTCAAATAGATTGTCACACCACTCAACATCAGACGACTCTACCGTATACCGCCCACAATCAGAGATTGATCTCTTCAAACAATTATCGCCCATACTAAGATTCAAAAAGTATATTGCTCGAGTTCATGGATGGACAGACTCTGATGAGTCGATACTTCAACAAACTAGTAGGAAGCGAGTTATGGAAGCCCTCGCTGAAGATGATTCTTTGATGCGGCCTGAAATCAACGATCTGTTTACGGATGTATATGATACTGTGCCTGCTAATCTGAAGGAGCAGAGGCAGGAACTGAGAGATATGTTTGCTGTTAGTCCTGTGTTGAGGCAGGAAGCTGAGAGACATAGAGGTGGTAGTGATGCGTTGTAAACTAAGCAAATAGAGGATCTTTAGCTGGTATTGGAAAATGTCTGCATGATATGATTGGAAAGACCAGAAATATGTTCGTATTAATCAGGAAAGGTGGGGGAGACGCTTGTATAAAAAGCTGTAGCCACAGGCCAAAAAAGTAAGTCCTCTGAAACGTGGGGAGATTTAAGACGCAAGACGTGATAAATGCGAAGCGACGGACCAAAAGCTTAAGGCAATTGTAAACTATGTTATCGCGATGCGTCCTCCGCGTAATGTCCTCCTTCCTTGCCCCAGTTCGATGTGGGTGGTGCTCTACATGCCTCTCATCAAGTTAGGATTTGTAAATATTCTTGTGATCTCTTAGCTAGCTAAGCGGACTGAGAGGAAAGAATGAAGACGATAACGAGGCGTTCCTGCCTTTATATATTCGCTACACTGGCCCTGGTTACTACGAGTATTGCTCAGAACTGCAATCTAAGTGAGTTTCTAGATGATGATTTTGTGATTGTGAATGAGAGTGTAGTAAATCAACACAGAAGGAAGAGTGGAAGACGAATGAAGAGAGCTAGATGATTGAGTACATGATATTGAGGGGACTTCGTCGTCTCAAATTGCCGGAATCTATGAAACCTCTCATCGAAAACGCTGAACATTTGAGGACTTCATTTGTGTCTCCAACGCAACATGCTGGAACAAATCTTCATTGGGGGCCTGACTATCTTAGCTTGATGAACTGGAATTATTTGTATTCTCATCCAATGGCCTTTACTAACTCAACCCCCATCCAAACATAATAGCTGTCCCCGCAAATCCATTGACAACAGGTCTCGCAATGCCGTGGAGTGTCGACGGCTGTAAACAGGACGATGCCGCTCAGTCGGCATTTGTGGAAGCTACCCTATTCAATACCAAAACAAACACCTTCCGAGTATACCATCCCCTCATCATTCAAAAGGGATCGACACCACTAGCTCCTCCGACACCCATCACTGTGGACGCGAATGAGGTAGTAGGGCTTTGGTTTGGTGCGAATGGTAACCTGCTGATTCTGGTTGATTCTGGAGGGTCGTTGAAGCAGGGTGTTTGTGGTATGTGCTCATCATGAAATATCGCTGGTGGAGTTTGTGGTTGTAACTGTATCAGCCAACTCTTTGTCTTTCTTAGTAAACGGATTAGACGGAAGTCCATTTGGACAGTTTGCACATTGTAACGCTATCGCTTTCTGGACTGCTACGAATGCTGCTATTAAAGCAGGTGCCTTGACAATTCCGCCGCTGGGTAATGATATGATGGGCAAGCCGTGTCCCACTACTCGATCATTTGAACATGTGGATCAAGACCCGGCCGATAATATTGTGACATCATATATTACGATGGGTGGGATGTTTGCACAAAACATTCCACAAAACGTCGCGAAGTTCCCAACTGCTACTGTATTGGCCAATCCGGGAGATAATCGTTTGCTTGATGTTGCAGTCAATCCGGCTATAGGTATGTTTCAATAGGTGCACCAAGTAGCCAAAAAAACGGGTGCTCAGTGAGACTCACCCACCTGTCTTTCTAGGATGCAAACCATTCACAGCAATAGACGCCACCGACCCCTCCGGAAACACACAAACCGGCTCATTGGCTCTCAACGAACTCTCAGCTGCTGCTAATCAGGCTCCTCCTATAGCTTACATGCAACCTGGTTGGTGTAGCCTTAATCATCAGGCCGAGCCTGCATCTGAAAGTCATATAAATCCTTTTTTTACTAGGAAATCCAATGACGCTGGACGGAAAGGGAGCATACAGTGTCCCCAAACTCAATCTATATCGCATTGCAGTCAATCAAGCCCCCGTTGATGCAAATGCTAATTTGACTTCAATGGACATATCGTACTGTATGAATCTACTCAATATTGGAGCGCCGTATGTTCAGGCTTATTCCAGTCTGTTTGCGGCAAAGAAATCTCCTACTGCTGGTAATACGGTTTGACGATAAATTTGGAGACTTTTTTTTGTTTTGTGTGGCAGTTGGCTGACTGATGAATACTGTATTGACTGGCCATCTCTTCCTATTTTAGTGGCCACCAACTTGTTCACATTTATGGTGCAGCGTTATGCTACTGCATGGTAAGCCAATCAGTACATCAGCAGACACCTTTTTTTCTGCGTGCTAGTCTAACACAACGTTTTATTCCACTTAGGACCAATACAAAAGTAAAAGTTGGACACTTCTAACTCCATGAGACGACATCACCACAGTCATTTCAAACACAAAATGAAGATTTTTAACTTTCCCAACTTTCTCAAACAGTGTCCAGATCTCATTGGAACAGGAATCATGCCAATCGAAGCTATCATGGACGCCAACCAAGTCTGTACTGGCGGTATCTTCCATTTCGCAACGGCACAATGTCCTGCTACACCAATGACCATTAACTCTCCAACGATCATGAATGGTACTGCGGCACCACCACCTGTTGCTGCTGGTGGTGCTCCTGCACCCGCTGCTCCTGCTCCAGCAGCTGCTACTGGTTCGACTGTAAGTGTCTTCTTGTGAAGCGCAAGAAAAGGCCCATAAGACGGGTAAATCATAGTAATTCTAACAAAGTCCATCTTCCAACCAGGTTCCTATATTGGTTAACGCTCCATGCAATGCTAAAATCGCCGTACAGTATCCATCTACGTGCCCAAGTGGTCCTATGCGTCTCAGTGCTCGTCAATTATCCAGTCTTCAAGAATCAATGGTGCAACAAGCTGTCAATGAGTTTGAAGCTCGTCTGCATGCTATTTATCGTGAGCTTTGAATTTCTGTCTCTGTGTGAAAAAATATAAAAATATATATTTAGTTGGAACAGTGGTTTCATGAGGGGTTGAAAGCAGTATCGTTCTTTGTAAATGTAAGCAGGTCAAGGCATCTTGTTGGTAGTGGTGCACTGTACGAGTTGCTTAATAAAGGTAGTTTGAAGAGAAGAGAGCTGGGTCGAATTGATGAAATGTGTTGCTGTCTGAAAGTGAAGGAGCGTTCATAACTGTTGATGGCTCCAGAATCTTAGTACCTGTACAGGAATTGTGTGTAAATTTAGACCGGATTTCATTCGTAACTTGCTTGTAGGTGCTGATTCTCTATATGCAGCTCCTTGTACAGATGCTCGGACAGATCCCATCCACAACAATGGTATAATAACCTGGATACGATGAATGGTATCCGGATATTGATTGAATGGGGTTATTAGCATAACAGAAAAGAGGCTGTGGTCTCCAAACTTGAACGTTGGGAAATAGGACGCAAGACGTGACTTAGGGGGGAAGGACAGATTCAGCGCTTGATAAAAGAGTAAGATATAAAATTTCAATGCTATACGCGCAACTGCAATGTTCCTCTTCGCGATTCCATATATGTGTAGCTCTAAAGTTGTGTGGCGTCCCTCACCTTGTCCATGTCATTCTTATGACATAAAATAGCTACGCAAAGTCAATAAGAATGAAGACAATAACGAGGCGTTCGTGCCTTTACATACTAGCTACGCTAACACTTGTTACTACGAGCATAGCTCAGAACTGCAGTCTAAGTGAGTTCCCTGATGATTTTGAACGTGAAGTGCAGCAGACGTGAAGCAACGTGGAACCAAGACTTGGAAGACTAAGAAAGAGAGCCAGACGATTCAGCACATCTTATTCAAGAGATCTAGCCTCTTTATTTGGTGGAACTTATGAAGAACCGTGGTCAAAACCTCGAACATTGTTACCTCTCCAAATAACACCATATTGGGAGGAAATTGTTGATTGCAACCCAACTCAGTCTTTCAATTTCATTTGGGAACAATGACGGAATTTAACTATCTGCTACTCCCTTTTCTCCGTCTGTTTACTAACAATTACGTCCAAACATAGCTGTGCCTACAAATCCGCTGACAACAGGTCTTGGAACGGCATGGGTTGTCAATGGTTGTAAACAAGACGATCCAGCTCAGAATGCCTTTGTGGAAGCGACCCTATTCAACACGAAAACAAACGCCTTCCGAGTATACCACCCGCTCATTATCCAAAAGGGCTCCACACCATTAGTGCCCCCAACACCCATCACTGTTGACGCGAACGAAGTAGTGGGTATTTGGTTTGGTGGGAATGGTAATTTGGTCTTGCAGGTTGATTCTGGAGGGTCGTTGAAGCAGGGTGTCTGTGGTATGTTGCGTCCATGGAGACAAGTTGTATCCGTTGTATCTCACATCTTCAATCTACCTCCCTTTCTTTTTCTCAGTGAATGGATTGGACGGAAGCCCATTTGGACAGTTTTCTCATTGTAACGCTATCGCCTTCTGGACTGCTACAAACGCCGCCATCAAAGCTGGAGCGTTAACAATCCCACCGTTGGGTAACGATATGATGGGAAAACCGTGTCCCACTACCCGATCATTCGAACATGTCGATCAGGATCCTGCCGATAATATAGTAACGTCGTACATCACCATGAATGGAATGTTTGCACAAAACATTCCACAAAACGTGGCGAAATTCCCAACTGCTACTGTATTGGCCAATCCGGGAGATAATCGATTGCTTGATGTCGCAGTAAATCCGGCTATTGGGTGTAAGCCATTCACAGCTGTAGATGCTACCGATCCAACTGGAGCCACGATGACGGGCTCATTGGCTCTGAATGAACTGTCGGCGGCTGCGAATCAGGCCCCTCCTATCGCTTTGATGCAACCTGGTTTGTTATTGTTGTATTGCCGTTTAGCCCGACCTCATATCTAATTCTGATTTATCTTGCTAGGAAATCCAATGACGTTGGACGCAAAAGGAGCATACAGTCTTGCCAAACTCAATTTATATCGTACTGCAGTCAATCAACCTCCACTCGATGCCAATGCAAATCTGACTGCAGTTGATATATCGTACTGTATGAATCTTCTCAATATCGGTGCTCCGTATGTTATGGGTTATTCCAATCTGTTTGCGGCAAAGAAGTCTCCTACTGCTGGTAAGCATCATAGTCATCATTTTCATATCGACGTTTTCGTTAAAGGTTTCTGACAGCTGAATGTCGTATTGGCCGGGTTTCAACGTTTTAGTGGCGACCAACTTGTTTACGTTCATGGTCCAACGTTATGCCGCTGCATGGTAAGCTATACTTGAGCAGAATTGTCGGGTTATTCTTGGCACGATAATCTTACCAGACATACGATTCATTTAGGACTAACACGAAGGTACCTTTTTGGTCATTTCTCAACATTGCAAGATCCACACAGCAAAAATTCGTCATAAACACTCAACATCTCCAAAATCCGCACTTTTCCCGAAATAGTGTCCTGATCTCATCCAAACCGCAATCATGCCAATCGAAGCCATAATGGATGCAAACCAAGTCTGTACAGGCGGTATCTTCCATTTCGCATTGGGAGGAACATGTCCTGCTACACCAATGACAATCAACTCTCCAACGATTATGAATGGTACTGCCACTACACCCCCTGCTGGTGGTGGCGCTGCTGCAACTGCTCCTGCTACTATTGCTGGTGCTACTGTAAGGACTTTTCGTTGGGCTGGGGATCCATAAAAAAGCTTCATAGAAATCGTTGCTAAAGCAGGTATTCTGACACTTTCCCATCCTCATTTAGGTCCCTATACTGGTGAACGCTCCATGCAGTGCTAAAATTGCTGTACAATACCCGTCTTCGTGCCCAACTGGTCCTATGCGTCTCCGTGCTCGTCAATTATCTAGTGTGCAGCAATCGTTGGTGCAGAAGGTTGTGGATGAGTTTGAGGCTCGTCTGCATGCTATTTATCGAGATCTTTAAGTCTGTGTGGGAAGAAAATTTAGTCAGTTAGAACAATCTTTTGTGTATTTTTCGCTTTCGTAGTTTGTTACTTCTTTATAACCAAAAACACCCTGAGTAAAAACGCCTTTAAAAGTTCGTGACAACCACAGAAAGTGTGATGGTCTTTGTTTCACCATATGTGCTTGAAACTTTGAGTGTACTTGGCTCTTGAGTGGCTCTGTAACGCGGCGGAACTTTCAAACAATGAAGATCAAGGTGCTTGAACTCTGCTGACGATTGGCGAAAGCACGAAGCTACTTTATTGTTCAACTAAGCTTCACACGAAATCACAAGGACCCTTAAGCATTCCGTGTCTCTTCCTCCTCCGACACGAATTTAAGAGCAGCATTCTTCTCCTTGATCTTGTTAAGTTGAGCTTCAGCTGTTGAATCGAATTCCTCCCTTTGTTTGACGACTTGAGCAATCGTACTATATGAGAGGAAAATTAAGGTCAAGAGTGATGAAAAAAGGAGTGCAGGTGATGGCTATGGAGCTTACGTCTTGAAGCGTTCAAATTCACCATCGAATCTGTCTTCGGCTGTTTGTGATGCAGTTGACGATACGAATGGATTTGCCTAAAGGAACCGGGTTGACAAATGAATGTCTGCTCAATTTTGACCTTGTGGAGCTGGTCCAACCACGACAAAATAAAAGAACTTCAACATCATTCTCAACGCAATTACCGCAAACGAAGCTCCAGCAGTATTCTGAACATGAGTTCCACCATATGGTATATACATCGTTTGGTGTGTCTGTGCTTCCTGTTCACGAAATGTAAAAGAGTTTCAGTTTCATCGATATGCCAAAAACAGTGTCACGAATACAACCACACCTCTTCAAGAGGTTCACCAAGTATCGACTCAATAACTGAAAGTGGTCGTTCAGCCGGGACGACAACAGTAGCGGCGGTGGCTGATTCCATTCTCAATTCCTCCATGCTTGTGATTGATTGAATCGAAGGGGATCGCCTAATTAAATTAAAAGAGTCAATAGGTATCCGATGGTATTGTGCTTGGGATTTGGCTCATACGCTGATTGGCCCTCCCTGTAGTATGAGAGATTGATGTGAGAAAGGGGGACAAAAAAGAAAAGAAAAAACGTCTTGAAAGTATGAGGGCTTACGTGTCTGGGAACATGGGACTTCTCTTCTTCTTGGCTCGTTTCTCTGCCACTGCTCCCTCAATTTGAACACTAGAATGATAGAAAGGGGATTGAGAAATGAATCCAAGAACAAAATCTAATAAACAGTGTCAAGAACGTACTCTTCATCATCATCAGACGTCGAAGGAGATGGTGCAAATTCATCATCGTCGATGAGGTCATCGTCCGCAAATAGCACTTTGACTGTGTTTCGTCGTAAGAATCGTACTTGTTCCTTGTTGAGTTCACGGTAGAAAGTATCGGGCTTGTTCTGATGGAAATTGTTATCAGTGTTAGTTGTACTTCCGTAGCTCTTTTTTGCCTTGAACACCAACCTGCAACAGTTCATAAAAGTTTTGTCCCATGCAGTCTTGTAATGTCTTTGCAACGATAGCATGTCGTTCCGTCAAAAACTAGGAGCGAAGAAGGAGTATCGATGAGCCAAAAAAACCCTCAGTTTCCAACGTTCAATCTTTGTCAAACTTACGAGCAAAGTATTCGTAGCAAAGTGCTGACTCTTTGGATACCCAACGTTTCCAATTGTGTTGAGTAAACCGCTCACAACTTGCATTTGAACCATACGAACACCAAGCGCATCTGATGTAGCAGCAAAGGACCTAGATTTCAAACAAAAAAATGAGCACTGAGTCCATCGTCGCACGTTTACATCTTAACGAACAAAGTTTCTCACCCCAATAGTTTAGAAACATACGATTGCTGTTGATAAACAGCTGTAGAAGCTTCCAAAACGATTTTTGCGTATTCTTCACTCTTGTCAGATGAATTGCTGAATTGTGGTGGAGGACCGGTAGTCGTAGCTTCTCTTGTCCAAATATCTAAGATAATTCCGGGTGTTAGTGTTTTTTTACCAATCGCGTCTTAGGAAAGGGCTAAAAAAACAGTATTGAACTACATTAAATCATCAAGCACCCACCATCAGAGTGATCATCTCCCGTGGGATCAACCGATATTTTCAGTATAGATACTAATTGCGAGAGTAAAGTGTCTTGAAGGGTTGATCTCTTGACAAGTTCTTGGAGAATGTCGTATGCTGTAAATTGAACGTTGTCAGTACTAAAATGTGGACTATTAGCTTGGTTTCTTGCAAGGTTTTGACCTTCTATTTGGACGGTGGGATTTGGATGTTTCAACAACGCCAATACAGATTCGACAATAGATGGGTTGAAAGACGGTATCGAAGGCTACATCCAAAGAAGAAGTGAGAAAAAAGAACTTGTCAATTCAGAATTAATAAGCATACCAGTAGTTGTCGAAGCCCCATGCCGGCTACTTGCTGACAGATTGGATTGGGAGAGTTGGTCGTAAATATGGATAGTAGCAATTTGAACACTTGACTGCTGTATTTGGGATTGTTCTAGCCAGGAAGCAAAAAATTCAGTAAAGGTAGCGGGTGCGGTATGGTAGTGTTCAAACATACCGTTCCCATCAAAACCAACACGTCCCGTGTCGGCTCGCTAAGACCTTGTGAACGCGCTTTAGCTAGGCATTCTCCAACTGCCCTTATGCCTTAAGTTCATATTGTGAGTTTCGTTGAGCTGGAAGTAAAAAAGGCACAAAACTTGCCCACCATAGCTTTCACAAATAAACTCCTTGTATCGACGTCCTGCTTGTGCAATGTTTTTCAATACTTGTACGGCATCAGCCTTGTCGGTCTAGTAAATTATATTAATATCAGATTACCGAATGATATTGTGTGTCGAATGCCAAACGAAGCAAGTACCTCGCTGACTTGTTTCAACCCCAGTATCTCAAGCACAGTTAACACCCCCCCGATTTCCATGAATTCGGCCATAAATCGTGGGGCATCTGTAGCGCCAACAAACACTGAAATTACGCGTAGCTGTAACGATAGGTCGTATCCCAGCAAGTACCTATGTGTAGGTTGCAGACTTAACAAACTGATCTGTGATTCCCCGCATGACAAACGTACGTGAGCCTCAACCAAGCAGTAACTCGAGTCAAGAACAAACTAGCTCCATTCCCTAAATCACGTTCAATCTGAGGTCCAGTCTTGTTGCTGTTTGCGAATAGGAACTCTTCCAGTATCTTTTCACGAACGTTTCGACCTCCCTATACCAATTGAATCTGTTAAATCAAACACCGCCGTCAACAGATCGTAACAGTCACTTACCATATCCCAAGTTCGTGACAATTGCAAAAAGTGCGAAGGTCGACATGGTTTTTTCGGAGCAGATGTCTTGACGGTTTGTGTTTGGGTGCTGAGTGGTTCAGTAATACGAAATCTTCGATAAGCGTCTGCGACCATATTTGTCCTAGTGTTTGAGGCGCGCGCTGTAGAAGCAGTTTGCTGAATACTTTCCGGTGATGCGTACTGCGCGGAAGCACCAAGATTTAAAACGCCAGTCCAAGATGTGTCAAATCACCAGAATAATCAGATATAGCGGGTAAGATGACAGATGTTATTTGTAGTCGAGTCTTGTGGTTGATACAAAGGGATTTGGGTTCCAGATGTCGTTGATTCTGACGTCAACAGTCCAAGACACGGAAACGACAAATCATTGTTATGAGTTTGTAGTATAAATATACACGTCTTGAAGATCTTAAATGTCTTGAATACCTGCATCCAACCAGTCTTCAGTCACATTTCCCAAATCATTCACCAAATCCATTCGTAGCAAAGAGCAGCAGATAGGAAAGAGAGAAAGAGAGCATACAGCAGGATGGCAGACTCGAATCTGCGTGTTTGGGTCGAAGACAATATGGTCAAATTGCTTGGAATGTCTGAAAGGACTCTTGTTGACTATTTCATTGCTCAAGGCACGTCTTAATATCTTGTTGGTGTTGGAATGCATCATGTACTCGACGATTTCTTAACTATATTTACCATTAGCTAAATCATCCAAAACATCCGACCAACTACTCGCATCTCTGCACGCTGCTGACTTACCGACATCTGACGAAGCTTCAAGATTCGCGAACGAGCTATACAGCAGAATACCAAGGGCTGCTTCTACTGCTGCTGCCACTCACAAGAGACGCAAAGAGACAAAGGAGACACTGGGCTTACTACGCAAGAACGAAACCTTTAAACTACTTCTCGACGATGATCAGGACACACAAAGTAGTGAACTACAACAAGATAGCAAGAGAAGGAAGAAGGAATCCAAAGCTAGTAGTAGCAAAGATCAGGCTAGTAGTAGTAATACTCGTGATGAGAATGACGGTGGCAAGAAACGAAACCTCAGACATCGTTCTCCTGATCAAGACCAATGGCAGGCTGATGACAATGAACCTGCTGTAAAGAAACGTAAACGATCCATCTCCGCCGAACCAGCATCTGACGCTGAACGGGATCGTGAACGAGAAAAAGAACGGCTACGAGATTTACAGGAACGAGACGAGTTTGCCGAGAGGCTGAAGGCCAAAGACAAAGAAAAGACGACTTCCAAACTAGTAGAAGATAAAAGCGCTTCTGAAGCTGCTAGGAGGCGGCAACTCGGTGCTGATAAAGAGGCCCGTAAAGGTGTATTAAACGATTTACGTGAATTGTCTCGTCAGGAATATCTAGGCAAGAGAGAGGAGCAACGGCTCGCTCTCTTGGAAGCTGCCATCGCCGATGAAGAACAGCTCTTCAAGGATGAAGCGCTGACGAAACGTGAACGTGACGACCTGGAGTATAAAAAGAAACTGCTCAAATTGGCCAAAGAACGCATATCTATAAGCGACAAGGTGGATGGGTATCATATGCCAGATGATTATATAACAGAACGGGGTAAACTAGATAAGAAAAAGCAAGAGGCTGCCCTATATCAACGATATCAAGAAACAGATCCATCCCAATTCGTCACTGAACAAGACCAATGGGAACAAAATCAAATCACAAAGTCGCTATCCAAACCTGGTACTAGTAAAGGTCCTGGAGCCGATGAGACAGATTATGACTATGTATTTGATGAATCTCAACATATTGATTTTGTGGTACAAAGTGGTCTTGCTAAATCCTCGACAAAGGAAGATGCAGAGCAAGCTGAACTCAAGAAAATGAGTGATGCTCAGCGTAAAGAAATGTCAATGCAGCAAATACGTCAGTCTCTACCGATATTTTCATACCGTGAACAGCTGCTCGAAGCTATAGAGCAATTCCAAGTAGTAGTCATCGTAGGTGAGACAGGATCAGGCAAGACAACACAAATCCCACAGTATTTACATGAAGCAGGATACACCAAGGATGGTAAAAAGATTGGATGTACACAACCACGACGTGTTGCTGCCATGTCTGTAGCAGCTCGTGTAGCGGATGAGATGAATGTAAAAGTAGGATATCAAGTCGGTTACTCGATCCGATTCGAGGACTGTACTTCAGATAAGACTATAATCAAGTACATGACTGACGGCATGTTGCTACGAGAGTTCTTGACTGAACCTGATTTAGGATCCTACTCTGTATTAATCATTGATGAAGCACACGAGAGAACGCTACATACCGATGTCTTGTTTGGTCTTGTAAAAGATATTGCCAGATTCAGGCCCGATCTCAAACTGCTAATCTCATCAGCTACCATGGATGCCCAAAAGTTTTCAGATTATTTTGATGAAGCACCGATATTCAATATTCCTGGTCGTAAATTCCCTGTCGAAGTATATTACACCGCTGCTCCTGAAGCCAACTACCATGCCGCCGCTATAACAACCATCATGCAAATCCATATTACTCAAGATGCTGGTGACATCTTGCTGTTTTTGACGGGACAGGATGAGATTGAAGCGGCTGAAGAGTCACTCAAACAGATATGTAGATCACTAGGTAGTAAAATAAGTGAATTGATAATATGTCCTATATACTCTACACTTCCGGCCGAGCAGCAAACAAAGATCTTTGAACCAACGCCAGAAGGAGCACGTAAAGTCGTCATCGCTACCAATATCGCCGAAACATCCATCACTATCGATGGTATAGTCTATGTCATTGATCCTGGCTTTTCCAAGCAAAAGTCTTATAATCCACGTACCGGTATGGAGTCTCTAGTCGTCGTGCCGTGCTCTCGAGCCTCTGCCAATCAACGAAAAGGACGAGCAGGTCGTGTAGGTCCTGGTAAATGCTTTAGACTATATACAGCTTGGGCATATCAAAACGAACTGGAAGAAAACACAGTTCCCGAAATCCAACGTACAAATCTTGGTAATGTAGTACTGTTACTTAAATCTCTAGGAATCAATGATCTAGTGAACTTTGATTTCATGGACCCGCCACCTGCCGAAACCTTGATTCGAGCACTAGAGCAATTATACGCTTTGGGAGCATTAAACGATCGAGGTGAATTGACCAAACTTGGTCGTCGTATGGCTGAATTCCCTATAGATCCCATGCTCAGCAAGACACTCGTAGCTGCTGAAAAGTATGGATGTACCGAGGAAGTCGTATCCATAGTATCCATGCTCTCTGCCAACAATGCTATCTTCTACCGCCCGAAAGATAAAGCAGTGCATGCCGACAAGGCCAAGAAAAACTTTTACCGAACAGGCGGAGACCATCTCATGCTCCTCGCCATCTGGAATGCATGGGTAGAAACCAACTATAGTATCCAGTGGTGCTACGAGAACTATCTCCAGCACAAAACCCTGAAACGCGTACGAGATGTACGCGATCAGCTCGTTGGACTCATGGAACGTACCGAGGTGCCTATCATATCAAACCCAAATCCAGCAGACTCGATACCGCTCCGTAAAGCCATGACTGCCGGTTTCTTTTACAATACTGCTAGACTGCAGCGATCTGGAGATACGTATCGAACTGTTAAACATAGTCAGACCGTGTCGATACATCCGTCCAGTAGCTTGTTTGGACTGGTGGGCGAGAATCCTAAATGGGTCTTGTATTTTGAGCTCGTGTTGACGACAAAGGAGTTTATGAGGCAGGTTATTGAGATTCAGCCTGAGTGGTTGTTGGAAGGTATGGCTTGTATGTCGTTGCGACGAGTTTGCGCATGTGATGGTAATATCTCGTGTTTTTTTAGTCGCACCACATTACTATAAACCCAAGGAGCTGGAAGAGGATATGAATAGGAAGATGCCCAAGAAGGCTGGAAAGTCTTCGGAATATGCTAAAAAGTGAATACTGGGCTGGCTGTATGCTTTTACAATCGCAGATTTGATGTGTAAATAATTATATTTGTTGCCGAATAACAAAAGAATATCAGATCATAAAGAACAATCCTATTGTGATCTGACTCGAAGTAACATCAGGATTGATACTCCTTCCCAAAAATATAAACGGATTTTCACAGCTGCATACAGCCGCGTCCCTGGAGCTCTCGTAAAGGGTCAGGATTGAAGGACTGAAGGAACGGGCGACAGGTTGCAAGACTTCTGTACCTTACAGTGGACTTGAGGTGCGCATACCCTTCAGCCATGAGCAATGTATGTAATAGTGTATACACATCTTCATGATGCAAGCGATTGCTGTATCGAATTATACAAACAAGAAGGATGTATCCACCAACACAAAAAACGCTGAAATATTGTGCACACTATCACTTTTTCAGCATGACACAGTCACGCTCCTCAACTTACCTGATATTGACGATCCGGAAACAGTCCTTCTTCAGCTCCCTTTTGCTCTTCAGCAGTCTCTTTCGTCTGAATAGCATTCACCCTAATTCGATACAAGGCAATACCAAATGTCTCGCTAAATTCAAAGACATCGTTTAGGTCGACATCTCGTCCTTTCTGGGTTTTGGTGAGGATTCGTACTTTACCACATGCTAGAGATTGTAGAGTTCGACTCAATTCTGTGAGTTCGGTGCGTGTTTGTGACTACTTGTCGGAAAAGGAGATGCTGCCAGACACGACACCATAACGCCCTTTCGGTGATGAGCAAGATGGTATAGCACTGAGCTAGCAGAGAAGTCCAAGAAGCATGTTGCTAAAACGTGACATTTGTTGGTTGCGCATTCTAAACGTAAATCAAAGTTTGAATAATCACCTTTTTCTGCCAAACACAAAGAAACCATCATCCTACTTCACCGAGGTTCAACTCGACACACATCCCATGCATTGTGCTCATTTCACACAACAGCAACAGCCAGATGTTGAATTTATACTTTGTGCCGTTTTTATTTTCATACTCTATAATACATTTTAGTTCTCTCTTCTTTAAAACACAGTGATGAGGGGGCAGCAAAATGCAAAAAGTCTTGTGGTTCTTCTCAGGCAAGATAATGGTACGTCATACCATCATCTCCTCGTTCCAAATACTCGCGTTCAATTAATGATTCGATTCGTTTCTTCAGATCTTGGGGCTATTAAGAATAACATCAGCACAAAACAGGACACAACGATCGACGCATACGAGACCGCTTGTATACCTTGATAGGGAACTTGAGTTGCTCATACAATTCAGCAATGAGTAATGTATGTGATAATTGTTTACGCGTTTTCATAATGCGAACAATTGCAGCATCGACCTATATGCATAACAAGTGATGTTTTAATCCCCAAAAAAAACCGTAGATTTCCAGATTACAAACATAACTTTTTCGACATCACACATTCACGCTCATCAACATACCTGATATTGACGATCCTGAAACACTCCTTCCTCAGTCCTCTTTTGCTCTTCAACAGTCTCCTTCATCTGAATGGCATTCACTTTAATTCGATACAAGGCATTGTCAAATGTCTCATTGAATTCAAAGACATCGTTCGGGTCGACTTCTCGTCCTTTTGGGGTTTTAGTGAGAACTCGCACTTTACCACAAGCTAGGGATTGTAGAGTTCGACTCAATTCTTTGGGCTCGATGCGTGTTTGTGATTGGATGTCAGAAAAGGATATGCTGCCATGGATGGTGTTGAAGAGGAGCATTACTATGGCTTGGAAGAGGGATACGGAGAGTTCTTTGACGCCCTAAGAAGCGCATTTGTGAGCCCTGTATCATTTTTTTTGTTCTTGTCCGACGTGCTAAAACCTATACCTTTGGGAATGATGCCTTCAACACACAATGACCCAGTGAGTTGACCCAAGTCAGTTTCTTTCCAGAATGTCGTTCTTCGTAATAGCTCTTGAAGACATTTTGACATTTTTCCAACTAAGGTGCAAAGAATGATTCAGTATATAAATGCTGTCAATGATTGTTTTCCCACAAATGCACCTCTGTTGGCAGCAATGCTTCCGCTGGAGGATATGTTGGCCAATTGACAGCTGTCAAGACACTGACACCCAAGTCAATACTCTCCAATTGATTCTTGTGTTTGGGAGACTAAGTTTGAAAACGGGAGTTTAAGAATCTTCCTCTATGGCAGTTGACCCACATAATACACATACAGCATTGAATGATATCATAATATCTTTGGATAATTCAACATCCTTGAACATTCCTTCCAGTTTCGAAGTGAACCCAGCACCGCATTCTATGCGAAACGAATCAATTCAGCTGAACAAATAAAGTGGGTGGAGTCACACATCATACCAGTCTTGAGCTTGATCAGCATGCTCTTCTCAGCATCAACAGATCCAGATTTGTTCAACAATAATCGTTTCGCCAGATCCTTCTTGTAGAAGGCTTCAAAGACATCCTTGCCTAAAATCAGTCAAACACATTCAGCGTTTTGTAACTTGGCCAAGACCAAAAACCATCAAGACATACCGTGGATAAATCTAAACAAGACCAAACAGCGATCCAACATGCTCTCAACCTCTTCTTCCGTGACACCTTTACCGCTCTTGAGCAAACCATCCAAGTGCTTGGCAATCAATTCAGCAGGTTTGTTTTGTCTTTGATTGATGAAATGTTCAAATGATTCCTTCATTGAATTGCCAAACAATTCATTCTTGGCAAATGATGTGACGAGCAGATTGTCTAATCTGAGCTTGAAGGCTAATAGGTCTGTCACCATTGTTGGATCTCGAGAGGGGTCATTGACAAGTGTTAGACCGCTTTTCTATATATGAGAATGAGTAGAGTTAGGAAACCGGACTCATAGATTTATCTTCTAACATCGGCTTTTCGCTGGTGTTTGTCGTACCTTGATATGTAAACCAAAGGCTGTTCGCATTTGGTCTAATGCTTGTACGCGACCGAGTAGCTGATATAATCGACTCAAGTCATCGGCTCGATCGTGAATCATTAAGTCATCAAAACCTAGTAGACTTTCCGTAAGCAACTACAAAAAAACGGTAACGACACTATGTAGGATTTACCTTTCTCAAGCAATAACTTGACACCCTTCTTAACCAACTCAGTTTCCACTACAGTAATAAGTGGTTTCCTACTAGCCAAATCCAAATATCCTGATAACTGTGAGCATCGGTCTGTTTCTTGTCTCAATCTCTCTTCCACATGTCTTAGATATCTTGCGACAGATTCGGCGCCAGGAGCTGCTTCCAATTCAGCAAACTGTCTATCGGCTTCAGCTCGATAATACGTTTCAGTCCGATCCAAGAATGGTGTTTCAAAAACTGAGACGTAGATTCCTAAATCCATGAGTGCACGGAAGAGGGTCTTTAATAATGGTTTTGACACCACCTCACCATCCCTGTGAAATGGAAAAATAATAAATATGCGAGAGAACAAAAGATTTGGCAAAAATTCGAAGATAGGTCAAACCTTTCACGTCGAATTTGATTTAGTAACCCCTCAACAGCCTTCTTCTTGATGTCCGGAGCCCCCATTACATGCTTTTTAAACAAATCTAATCCCATTTCCCATAATGATAACAACCACGATGTCTGTAATACATATGTACGATCCAGGTACAAAAAGATACTTCGTATCAAAATCTAAAAAAAACCAGCACGATTGTTAAGACGGAACAAGACCAAAAAAATGATCACCCATTTATAAACAATACCATTTGCTGGCAGTGACTAGTCCACACAGTCTCTAATGCTTGCAGAAAGTGTTCACCTTCAGTTCCATTCCTAGTTTCAAGAAAAGTCAATGACAAAAAACATTTAGTTGACATGCCATAAGTTACGTTTGAAGTAAGGCCACTTGTGACTGTACATGCTCTTCACATTCAGCCTGCAGTTTCGTATATAGTCCACTCGCCATCTTGTGTAGACACAAGTTCTCACATAACTAGAATTCACAAGTGAACTGATTAGCCTTAAATCTCTTTAGTTGTCAAGTCATTGGGAACTACCTTGTACAACTCTTCCTTGCTATCTGGCACAGGTTGACTTTCGTGAATGGCGCGTACAGCACGTCGTAATGTCTGCCAAGTATCAGCTTCGTAGTTTACAGGTAGTGTGGGTTTGTCTATGTGGTGGACAAAAAACGAATGAGATCACCGACGAACAAATGGAAATCATTCAAAGATTCCAAAGCTTACTTTTGAATCCTTTTATAATCAGCTTCTTCGGACCACCAGAAGATACAGGCGAAGCACTATGGTTTACAGCACCTACCATTCCACTCCCAGGTCTTGATCCCCACCCATCAGATACTCGTCGTCCAGCATCGCCGAATGAAGAAGATAGTGTACCTTTACCCTTTGCATTAGCAGTACTCGTATTATTACTGCCAGACACGACCCCATCGAATAATGCATTATCCGATTGCGAGTGTATCGGTGATGAGGTGAGATCGTAAATCAGTGAGCGAGCAGACATGGCAGCCGAGTCCTTTCCGTCCGTCATATCTTTCTGCGGTAAGGATACGTCCTGTTGAAACTTGGTTCGTTTTGAGGAAGTTGTTGAATGGGTTGCTGATATTGAATTTGATGTTGAATCTGTTGAAGGGCGTTTAAAGTTGAATCGGTCAAGAGTCGACTGAGTCAGATTTGATGCCGAGGAGGGAGATGAATCGATTCGAATGTTGGCTAGAAAGTCGTTAAACTTGATTAGTTAGTTTATTTGATGGAGAACAAGTTTGATCCAATAGAGGGTTGTTTAACGGGAAAGGACTAGGCTCTTCTCTATAATATACATGGTTGACATACCAGTAGTCGTTGCTTTGCCGCTATTGCTCATTGGGACCTGGCGAGTGCATCAAGAACGGTTGTTTGCAATAATCAAAAGCAAATCTAATAAACGAGAGCTCTGCATGAAAACTGGATTGGAAGAAGGAAGGAATACAGCCTAGAATACGTGTAAATCAACAAATCCAGGTAGCTCATTACCAGTCCAAACGCGTTTTGACCCTCGCAGACCTCTGAAAGTCACAAAACGATGTTTAGTACAAAGTTGAAGATTTCAGCAGTTTGAGAGGTCTGTAGCCCAAACCACGGCGTTCGCACTCGTATTCGGTATCTTATAATAGTTTGAAACTGCTACGTATCTCGAAGAAGGGGTTGGTGACTTGGTTGTTGTTGGCTGGTAGGCGCTTTGCGACAACTGAACACTTTCGCTTCACGAAACAAATTTCACAACACACAGGCTACCACAACGTCGATCCAAAGAAAGGATCTCATTAGTTGCTCAACTGATGCATCATCAGCTGAACTGAAAGCCATCTACGTTGTATTGACGGGCGCCTGCACTTTGCTACTTTACTAAAACATGGACGAGGTATGGACAAACTAGATAACATTATGATTACAAAGAATATACTGAAACATACTTACATGCACTCAAACAGGAGTATCCGGTGTCAGACAACGACGAGAAGCAACACATTCCAACCACACAGAGCACATCAGATGCAGTATGTTCGTTGTTGATCAAGTACTACATACACCAATTTACTTGACTGGAACTCAATTTAGACACTTGCGCAACCTGATTTGCTGTCAAACACTAACCTCTTTGGAGAGACCGTCTTGTTTGGGGAGCAAAACCTCCTGGTAACTGGAACGTTATCACTTACAGAGAGGTTATTTTTCATGCATTCCTGTTTGATATGTTAAGCGCCATTCATTACCTAACAGCAATATCATCTATAGTCCTCCTACTCCTGACTCTTCAACCGTCCCCAACCAGCCAGTCTTGCAACCTCCTCTCCACCAGTTGCAGGGAGGAGGTCCATCTTACGGACCGTATTCTACTCTTGACTACTTCCCCCGGGTTAACACTTTGGCTGACAGATCTGCTGATACTTGGGCTGCTAGATCTGCTGATACTTCGGCTGCCAGACTTTTGTTTGACCCCCCAACTCCTGGCGCTTCGATGCCAGGAGGTCTGGAGCCTCTTTTTCCAGACACATCAGACTTGGTGCTTCGAAGATCAAGTCGCGGACCGGACAATTCTCCTTCTGGGAGTCAATCAGTACCAACACTTTGAAACGTTGTTCATTACTAGTTGCTGGCTAATTTATTTTCGTTCTGCGTAGGATGAAGACGAATCAGGGAGTCGTCTCACTCGGAGTGACGGCGGTAGCCGAAGACCTCGTTACCCACTTGGCAGATTCTCCATGAGTAGTAGATCGCCTCCGACAGGAAATCGGTAAGAAGAGCCAACCATTACAAAAGAGGCAACCAGTACGAATTCTTGTAGTGGCCGTCATCCCATTGACTCGTTCGTAACTATAGGACTCCCACGTTTGACGACCAGCGAGGCTGTGGAAAGAAGAGATGGTCGAGCCCAAACAGGTAAATCAAAGACTGTAGTGTCAGCTTTCAATATTAGTAGCTTTCAGTATTATTTTCGCCCTTCATCAAGCCCATGCAACTAACCCTCTTCACCCATAACCTTGATAGTCGGAATCGCTCTCCTGCTCAAATGCAGGAAAGTGACGACGAAACGGTGGACGATGGCGACTACGATCCTCATCAGAGATCAATCTCTCAACCCAACCTTCAATCCCCCCGTGGATCAAAAGCCTCTCAGAAACGATTCAGATGCAGACTCTGCACTGACCGATCTTTCGACAGAGACCATGATTTACGTCGCCACATGAAAAAGTTCCATGAAAGAGACCCAGGTATGCAGACACAATTAAATTGCAGTTTGAGACGTATTGAGTTGTCTCATACAATGTCCGCAATAACCTCACCATCAGAAACTGTTGTAAACTAGTTACATGTACCTGCGGCAAGGGATACTCTCGCTACGACATCATGGTGTCAAAGCATCTCGACCGATACCCAGACGACCATACCCATACATTCAAAATGAAGGTGACATGCAAGTGTGGCCAGAGGTTTGCTGACAAGGAACGTCACGAAAACCACGTCAAGGACGCCGTCCGTCGAGGAGAGAAGAGCGAGGACCACATCATCGTGAACTATGAATAGCCCTCAAAACTAAAAAAAAAGTAGACGTCATCTTCAACATCAGCTCTTGTAATTAGTATAAAGCCCCTCTGTGGATAAAGAATGATAATATACCAGCCCTCACAAATTACCAGTCAGTGCAGGCTTGATCTTGCGGTTGGAATTGTATGGAGAAGCTTGAATCCATCCACACAAAGGACAGACGCGTATCTAGGAATCGTAACAATATTGAGTTTGATGTTCACGAAACACAGAATTCGGATAGATGCACTGCATACCAAATAACCGTGTAAAGACTTGCAACTGATCCAATGAGTAACGACCATATCTGTCTGGTTGTCCTTACACGTGTCAGTCATCGGTTGGAAAATTGTGATTAGGAGCAAAAGTGACGAGAGCCTAACATAGCCAGATCCAATCCTGAAAAACGCCTCTTTACGCGTTCTAGATGCCTATAATGGACATTATACGCGAAGATGTGGAGGAAGGAGCCGCTACAATGACTAGTTTGGATGTCTCGACACTTGGAAGTGACTGGCAGACAGAATTGTTGGCCATCTTCAAGAGCATCGACAGTAAATTCGAATTGATTTTATGTTATATCTATTGCATTTGCTCGTTACTAACTCGTTTTCATCGATAGCAACCACTATCACCAAGCAAACATCAACATTCTTGAGCTACTTGAAGCTCCTGATTCCAAACATGGACGCTACGAGAGCCACGTCTGAATACTGGCCTGAGCTCTTAAATCCAATATTACTACATCCTGAATCTTGCTCTCCAAACATGTACAATGATGTGGTGTCTTGCACTATTTTGCTCTTGTCGAGAAACAAGGACGTAGTCAACACTGTCATGGACCAGTATTTACAGGATCGCATGCGTGCTCTAGAAGGCAAACGGTATTCAGAGACGGAGAAATCTCGAGCCGCTTACTTGGCAGAGACGGTTCCTTCACCATATTGGGAAACTAGGTCGAATCATGCTCTTGAACGGGTGTTGCTGGATTGGGTTGCCAGTTGCTCTTCTCCTCAAGTATGTCGCTGGTGTGTTGTAAGCCGGTGAGAGGCGCAAGGACAGGAACGAACTGATTTTGGTCTGTTTGGTAGGAATTCTTTGAATTGATTGCTGATTACGCTGTGAATCCAGAGCACAGGCTATATGTATTGACCCTGCTACTTGCTTATTTCCAAGCTGGTCAGGTTAGTCTTAGGGTGTTAATGTTGGGAAGTTGCTGCCAAAAAAACTAGCTGTAGCTGATCATTCCACACTTGCGACTAGGACCTACAGCTGAGGACTATCATCGACACTAGCCTATTTGACTTGCTCGTATCTAGTGCGATGGTAAAAACACCATTGCATTTTCATCTGCACAATCTTGTTCTTGACATTTTTCACAATCATGTAGCACGAGTCTCATCCTGCACTATTGAGTACTGCCTTGGCAGCGCTCACATATTCATTACCTGCCGTAGCTATTCGTATAACAAACCGTCTCGACCGGCTAATGAGTGTCCTGATACGAGTCCTCCAATGGGAGGCCGAATTTAATGTGTTGATTCAGCGACAACCAGAAGCATTCGAACAATCACCATCTTCCTCACTCTCGAATTTCGCCGCAATCCAGGACGCTCTGCCCATCAAAGCCGGTGCTGTCGCAATGTCTAGTGCATGGGACACACAAAGAATGTATATGAACTTTTCACCTGGTAGTAGTAATGCAGCAGGCAATTCGTTTGGTGGTAGAAGACAACTTGGTGGTACTAGGAGACCTAAGAGTACAGCGAGTAGTGAAGCTGGAGACGAGTACTATGACGATGATGATTCATTATCGGATCGTCGTAAGAGTGTGGCTTCTTCTGACATTAAGCGTACGTTGTTCTGGCCATTTTTTCTTTGGCTGTCATTACCTAACGCTTTCAAATAATAGTTGATGACGAGTCGACTCATGCATCACACTACATGCAGAAACTCTTGTCAGCTTCCACCAGAACTATTCTGAAACGACGAATTGATGATTATTTTACGACATTATATGGACTGTATCCATGCTCGCTACTCAGGGTGATACGAGAATGGCAGTCCAATCCTTATAAGCTAACAGAAGATCCATTCACGAACAATTTCGAGCCAACTCAAAATCCTTTTGCCGCTTTACAATCAAGTCAAAATGCAGATACGGATGAGATGGATTCTGTTGGTAGTGTCAAGGATCGATTTACTGTGAGTATTATATTCAAATAAATTTGTCTTTTTTTGCTCCAGACTCAAACGTTATACTGCCCTGTCAAATATAGGATCTCATAGTGGCACATCGAATGCATCAAAACCTGATCTTCCACACTGAAGAGAGTGAACGAGCATCTTTAGCTCGATTCAATGACCTGGAAGCTGCAGAGATTGCAGCTTCTTGTTTTGAGCTTCGGTCACCTTTAGAAGCCTCAACAGACAATATGCCATCAACACCTAAATCAGATGACGTTGTTGGTATCCATACTGTTTATGAATTGGGTAATGCTTTGCGGAAGGCATTGAGAGATATACCAGTAAGTCAAACCTGGATCTTTTCCAACGAATTGGTGCCTAGTTTTTTTCTCTCTCTACAGCATCATGCTTTGTTGAGCACACCAACATCTCCAATACCGATACCCAAACCAACTGTGGCATCACATCCTGATGGATTGAGACTACATGTTTTGGTATTGCTATCTGATTTGTATTTGGAACGAGCTTTACGATCACGTACTATTCATGCGCAAGTGCAGAGTGTCAAGAAAGCTACCGTCAAGGAAGATGAAGCTGAAGGCTTTTTGAATCTGGTATGTATAGGACTTGCGATGCTTCTTTATCGACCGAAGATCCTGATCCTTTTTTCCTCTAGATAAATCACATTCAAAAGCAAAATGACGAGATTTCCGACTTAAAAAAGAAGGAAGCTTCTCAACGTGAAGAAGCCACCATTATTCGTGAGCGAGCTCGAAAACATGAAGAAAGGCTCAGACAACAGTTGAAATCAGCCAAAGAAGAGTCAAGATCAGCTCTAGCTCGTGAAAAGGAAGCTGCTGCTAAATTGGCTACCACGACCAGATCTGTTGTTGCTACTCCTAGTGTAGAGACAGATACTGCCCAAACGATATTTACGTTGGAGAACGAAGTGGCGTCTATGACGGCTGAGTTGACCAAGCTACGAGAATCTGAATTGCAGTTTGATGCTACTGTTAGGAGGTTTGCTCTTATGTATGTCGGAGCAGCGTCCAGTCCCTTGAGAGATGATTTACGAGATCAAACTACCTTTTTCTGCCGCAGGGAATCGGAAGCATCCAGCCAACGAGAATCAGCACGAGAAATTGAAGATCTTAATTGTCGTATTCGGGAATTAGAACTTCAAGTTGAAGATTCTGAACGTGAAATTGAGGGTCTCAGGAAATACGCCAGGTCAGTGAAAGCTGTTTTTCACGCTTCTGCGCGCTTTGTAGCACGTTTTTCGCCCCCCTCGCTGACACTGACTCTGATTCATATTTGTTGGTTTTTATAGTGATGCATCATCACGTCAACAGATATTAAGCACACACGTTCATCATCTCAGTCGTCTAGTCGAACGACGAGACAAAGTCTCTGAAGAACAAGCGAAGATTATGGGAAAGTCATCATTGGCGGCAAAAGAACAATTAAAGGCTGCTGAAGACAGATATGCTACTGTGAAGGGTATTAATGCTCAAATGGAGGTAAGAAACTGAAGACGTTGTGGACTTGTGCAAGGCTTGGATACTGAAATCCGAACGATTTTAGGCACGATTGGTTGATTTGTGGAATCAAGTGGATGGATAGGGAGTTGTGATTATGTACTTTATTGAGTAAGTTTGTATATAGGGCTTCGCACATTTCATTAGACAAGTGTTTGCATCATCGCACTGACAAGGTTATGTTACTGTTGTTGGTCTTCGTCATCATCATCAACAGCTGTAGCTCAGCTTGTTTTGGTGTCGGTATAGGAATGTGCTTTCGTTTCTTGCAAACATGATGGCAACGCTACAAAGGACGTGCTCAGCCTGTTCAAGGGGACACTAGCAGTATTCACATTCGAGACTGAAGTGGCGTCTATGACTGCGAGTTGGCCACGCTACGAGAATCTGGATTGTAGTTTGATACTATTGTTACGAGGTTGGTGTTACGAGGTTGCTCATGTAAGCACATGTACAGACAGTTTAGACCTCTGTCACATGTGCTGCAAACTACAGGTTTGAGTCTGATGAACGTCTTTGCCAAGCATTTGTGTTCGCACGGGGAATGGGAAGCCTCAAGCCCACGAGAACGAGCACGAGAATTAGTGGACCCGAATTCTCGTATTGGAGACGTAGACCTTCAAAAGTTTGAAGATTCGGAACGTGAAACTGAAAGTCGCAGGAAATATTTCTGGTCAGTGACAGACATTGAGGGGTTTATTTTTTCTCCTTCATTCCGCTCATTCGTGTCTCCTCCTCTCCTGCAGTGATGCTTCATCACGGCAATAAGAAGTAAGCGCAAAGGTCATTCAAGTGGTCTCGGCGAGATAAAGTCGCTGAAGATTCCGAAAAAGTCGTCATTAGGTGTTCTCTGTTGAAGGCCGCTGAAGATAGATATGCTGATGTGAAGAGCATGAATGTTCAAATGGAGGTAAGCGCTTTGCATACCGAAGTTGTCTTCGTCGTTGCCCAATACGTGTTTTTTTTTGGTCTTTAGGCACACTTGGTTACTTTATGGTATCAACTGGATGGAGATTTGTGGTTATGTACGGTTTTTTGAGTCGCTTTGTATGGGCACTGCACATTTGACTGGACACGCTTCAAGAACCATCACAACACCGAATAAGATTACTACCACAGCTCGACTGCAGTTTTGAGGCATCGATGATAGCTTCAGAAAAACTTTGAGGACGTATCCTTGCTGATTAAAATGAAGTGTATGTATTGTATCGCTGGAAGTCTCTGACCACAACCCTTTCAACGACACCGAAAACAACCAGTTTCAAGTAATGTGAGAACAAGAGGTACGCACTGTATTAAAATTATACAAGAGGCCAACCAACTAACCACCACAAATCATCGACCCTAGATCTCAAGCCCAATACTATGCAGCAGCTCATCCAACATCCGCATCAACCTAGCATACTCTAATTTATTTTCCTCCTGTTCAAGCAACCGAAGATCAATTTCCGGATCTTCTACCACTCCCTCGTCATCTTTTTCTGTGGACACCAGAGATCGCCGTATAGAGCGTTCAGCAGATGATTTCGGTTCTGCGGTTGACATTGTCAGTGCAGTGACGAGATCTGCTTCGTCGTCTGGGTCTATTTTGAAGCGTCGTGCGAGGTAATATCTGGGTATAGCAAAAAATAAAGTCAATAATTAAGGACGCTTCAGAGCGGTTTCAACAAATTCTACAATCAATTCAATTTATGAGACAAGAACTCTACCTCAAATCATCCACAAAAATAACGGTATCAGCACCCTCATCTCTCGCAATCAGACTCTCAGCACTTTGTTGAATGAGCTCCAAAAAGTCTTCTGCTCCAATATGTTCCTCTAACGTAGCAGCAAATAGCCTCGTCGCGTACTGTTCCAGCCTAGGCAGATTTAAGTGCCATGACGCTCTCAGTAGAGCGTATGAGTCAACTGGGACGTTGTGCAATGTCACAATATGTGCAACTACTAGTGACTTCAGTCGATCCAGTAGTAGTAGATCGGCTGTGTATAGAACTGCAAGTGATAGTGTAATCGATGGCAGAGTGACACGGTCGGCGTACTAAGCGTTATAAGGAAGTCAGTAGGAGAAGTATGCAAGAGTAAAATGGACAACTGTACCAAAAACTCCAAGACAGCCGAGAGCACATCTGGATCAGACACTGCTCCTAATGGCACGACTGGCAGTGCTTCTGAAGCGTTGACCATATCGGTTGGGGTGTTGTTTCGGATATCAGAGAATCGACCTGTGCAAGAAAGGTAGATTTGTTACAGAGCATTTGTTCAGAGACACCGCGCACGCCGAAGGTATAATGTGCAGTCGACAAGACGTACCTGAGAGCATAGCCTCAAAATACTCTGAGCGTCTCAAGAAGGCTCGATGGCATGGAAACATCCTATGCGAGACCTTTAATATCACATCTGGATGACATGCAGTCTACATCGAAAGCATTAGACGAAATGGTGCACTACACCACAAAAAATTCAACCACATCATGGAAGTCATACCAAGAAAGCCATAGCAACGTTCGAAGGCCTCAACGAATTCAACACCCGATTCTTCTTGGCATCAACTCTTTGCTCAGCCTCTACATGTATCGCCTCATTCACCTCACTATACATGGCAGACTGCATATGTCTCTCCCGCACCTTTTCAGTCTCTTCTATCGTTTTCGTCCTGAGCTCATCAAATTTCGCCACCATGATATCAGACGATTGTCCCGTATGACGAAATCGTCCTTCTATCGTCCACCGTGATCCACCATGACAAATCCAATAATACAAGGACCCCATATGTTTTTGGACTGAAACCATATCTCGTAGCAGGACAGCTTGCGTCTTTCCGCTAGATGCTGTTGCTCCTCGTCGTATATGCGACATGGGCGTAGATACTTCCTCAGTAGTTAGCGCCGAATACAATTCATGTAACTTCCATTGCTTGCACATGAATATCCAATCGTCTTTCAGCACTGGTGGGATGTCTCGAGCCACTTGTCCGGTATACAGATACAGCATGACGGCCCGGAAGCATTCCGGATGCACCCGTCCGTTCTTCACGGCGACAGACGCGACATCTCTCCACCGAGTTGCGAGTTGGGCTGCGAAATATGTGGATCGTGCGGCCAGTATGGATTTATGAGCATGCACGCTCTTGCCTCCAGAGAATTTGAATTCAATGTCGGCGTCGTGGTTTAGTGGGTTTGAGTAGAGCGCGTATAGGAATAAGGCCTAGCCATTGTTGTACCGATTTAGGAAGGCCAAGCAAATGAAATGCAAGCTTGTATTCAATACCATGTCAGACTGTGGATCCACGGCCTTGTTCAAGCGATGAGACAGCAGGAGCCGTCTGATGTCATCAGTCAAGGCTCCATACAAGCATCTCTCTCCCCTGCGAAAAAAGAACAGCGTTAGTGAATTCGAAAATCACTCGTTGCAGATCTCATCGACCGATTTTGAGATAATAGAGCAGAGTGGCTTAATATCTAATGTATTCGATAAAGATCAAATCAAGACGAGGCATACTCGAAAGTAGTAGGATCCAAAATCGCTCCTGACTTTAGCAGGTACTCGACAACACTGATATGACCACATAATGAAGAGTAGTATAGAGGTACGCAATCCCTACAAAGAAACAAATGAGAATGTCAGCTGTCAGATCCTGAAACGATCACAATATACGATGGTTGAAAACACCAGGTTCTCAAAAAGTGACATTAACCACAGAGCATTCATACCATCTATCCCTCTTATTGATCGGCACATCTTGTTCAACCAATACTTTGACCTAAACCCGCAGTTTGAACGGTTTTGTTCAGCTCCTCGTCGTCATTTGTTTGAATGTGTTTGAATGCCACAAATCACGATGTTTTGGTTCACATTACCCGTGACAGATTGCCAGAGCGACAGGCCAAGCACAGTTCATGAAAGAGCGGGTGCTCTTCGACTTCCAGTTCGTAAGGTAGAAACACACTTGTCGCTCTCCTATGTTTAAAACTCAGCGTCTGGATCTTTGATTGCTTTTGTTATCAACTATGAACTTACATATCGCCGGATTGGACCTTGACAAGCAGCGGAATATTCTCTTGCAAGCAGATGTAAACTTCTCTGCGAACGATAGCTCGATGTTTCTGACGCTTTCGTTGTTCGACTGTCTACAAACGCCTGCCAACAACAGCCATCTAAAGACAAATTTGCAACCAATGTAATTTGATTTAATTTTACTGTGTGTGCATTTTTGAGGTTGCGATACTACATACAAATTGAAAGGTAAAATGTGCATTTGATCTGTTTTATAATAAATTCAGAAATCCAACAAGACGGTATCATCGCTGCCAGCTACCGATTCTGCAAAATCATACTCGTCGTCTGATTGAGCAGTAGTGGTGGTATCTGTGGCAACAGACACAATTGATCTATCAACAACAGGATTTAGTCAAGACCGACAAGCTTATGGAGAGTATTCATCAACAACTTACTGTGATAAATGGTCATCATTGTCTTGTGCTTCTTCTTCTTCTGCTTCTTCTGAGTGAGAACTGGAAGGTGGCAGTTCCGAGAAGGCTACAACGAGGCTTTTGTGAGAATAGTCATTGGCGGACTTTCGATCAGAACTTGCAACTTACAGCCAAGGGATTCAATATCATCTTCCATTTCAAACGTTGGAACACAAGTATGAGATGCTTGAGATATGGGAGCTATCGAGTTCGAAGAAGCGTGAGCAGAGTCAAACCAGAACTTTAAAAACCATGCCAGCTGTTACATTGTGGAGCTACGGTAGGCTGGAAAGTAACATCATTGGAATGGTCATCTGACGACGCCGAGGCTTCATGAAACTCATCCCTAAACGAAAAATAAATATTGTTGAACAGAAAGAAAAATGTATCCATGAGATCAGCGCTTACGTTGGGGAAGCAGATTCATCCATGGTGCTATCAAACATAATGATTTCCTCTTCTTCTTGCACTCCTTCATCCACAACGCTCCGTTCATCAATCACAGTATCGGCAAACGGTTCTACTTGGATACCAGACGAAAACACTCGCAGCGTACGTTCAACCATAGGACTCCTCATAAACAACCCAATACCAGACCAGAATCTTTCTCGGGCTCTCACGATCCCCTCTGCAAAGATATCAGCGATTTGACCGATAGGCTGTGGAGGAGGTGCTAGGATGCTGTCTAGGTATGGTGGGAGGGGTGCATCATTTTGATTTGGTATAGCTGAGAGGACTGCGTTTTCAAGCTTGGACGCAACGATGACTGATGCTAGTTGTATGGTGTTGGCAGCTTGGGATACGTTGGCTTCTATGGCTGTTTCTGCCAGGACTCGATCTGGTGTTGAAGAACAACGAGCGTGAGTATCTTGATTCGGAGCGTGATTCTCTCATTGGCAACGGAAACATTGAAAATAATCGACTTACAGTAGCCAAACTCATTTGATATAATGTCCCAGTTCGAGTACTGAGGTCCATCATCAACAACAGGCGCCTCATCAGCTGGAGATCGTGGCTGAGAAGAGCGATCATCATTGGACTCGTGTGAAACCTCTTCAGTTTGTGTGTGCTGTGACATCCTACTACTAATAGACTCTTCATATACTGGTGTAGTCGATACGCAACTAGTAGACTCTTCATATACTGGTGCAGTCGATACAATAGATTCTTCATAAGCTGGTGCGGTCGATACGTCTGTTGGTGTTGATGCATCTACGGTAGTGACTGACGGCAAGGTCTGTTCGTGTTCAGAGGCACTGGATCCAGTAGCGACATTGATTCTCAGATTATGTTCAGATGTCATGTCGTTCATGATATTCGCAAGATCCTTTCGAAGAAGCGGCTTCCAGGTGTCTGCATTGAAATCAACAACGAAACTTTTAGATGGCAGCCGTTCAGCCCAAAAGCAACATATGTAGCTAGGATAAGTAAGAGTACGCACCTGATACGAGATAAGTGAGCTGCAATATGTTGGTACTTGGAATCTCGAAGACCGTATGAAGCTTGTCACAAATCAAGTGCAAAACCTCATCTTCTGTTCTCAATGGTTCAGACAGGGAAAACCTTCTGAACTCGCCGTTATAGAGAGCCTTCACTTTAATCATTTTATAGCTCTGGCGTCAGCTGGTAGGCGATTTTCACACGAAAGCCTCCAATCGTTTTGGTGGATTTTTGCTTTTTGTTGCGAATATGGACACGTGAATATTGTATAATTGGCCGTTTGACGAGATTTTTGGGCGATATGAAGTCTCATATTACTATTGAACGTATTGAGATTACCAATGTATTGAGTGTCATTACACGAAGCTCGTGCTTTGTATGTGAAAACAGTCTTTACGACACTGAAGTGTCTCACCTTGGAAGGAACGAGCAAGCAGAGACACAGATCATTGTTATATGAACGCATCAAGATGAAATGAATATTAGTGGTCGATCACAATACTATTGGAACTGCGTGTTTAACAAAGTTGACAAGCTTCGAGGCGCACAGTTCCATCATAGTCACCATGGAACCTGATCTTGTAATGATCAAAATTGTTCACGCTTTAACGTGAAAAGTGTAATCGGTGCTCTCTTTGCCGATCAGTGTAGAATCGTAGCAGCTTGAACCAACATCAAGTTTGCGATGTTGGATGCTAGCTAGCGTCCATCACGACTTTCGGAGGAACAGCTTCGCGACTGTGAATTCCAAACTAGAAGACGCAAAAAGTGAACATTCTACTACCGTTAGTTTGGTGGTTGACAGACGAAATGTTACTCACATCCTCCCCCGGTCTTTTCATTTTTTGTCCGAGATAAAAACAAACGAAAACAAGGACAATACCTCGTATCGAACGATCTAACTTTAAGCTTCCATCTTCAGTATCCATGATGGATCAAAGCAACGCCAGGACTCTTATTCTGTCAGGAGTCGCTGCTGCGGTGGTAGTGCGCTTCCTGTTCCATCTTCGCAAAGTTTACACCTCCCCACTCGCTACACTTCCAGGACCATGGTGGCTGCCATTGCTCGAGTCGAGAACGCTGATAGCTATTGGCTGTACGCTAAGCGGGTGGACTGTGTATCCTCTAAGTAAACAGATCTGGGTGTTCCAAGTTAACGACCTCCGAGCATTTGATGCTCACACAAACCATGACTTCTCTTGCAAATTATAGAACATTTGGCCGTTCATAGAAAGTATGGACCTGTTGCCCGTGTGGTATGTGATCAGAGTGTATGTTCAAGACGCTTTGGTTATGATTTCTGACCTGCGCTGTTACTTCTGTAGGGTACGACTTGGATTAGCTTGGCAAGACCCGATATAGCTCGTTATATCTTGCAGTCAGATGCTATAGACAAGGTGTGAATCGATTTCGAGAGTGTTGACAGTTGATAAGCAAAACGTGGCTAACACCAAGTTCGTCTTTTCTAGCCAGCGTTTGTGTACAAGACCTTTAGATATAACGAATACGGTGGTACGACTCTGAAGCTATCGCCTCACGCCTTCATACCCATTTTCACGCTTTTCTCGTTGTAGACAACTTGTTCACCGCACTGGACCACGGAGAACACAAGAGAATGCGTAAAGCCATCGCTCCAGCATTCGGCATTCAGCATCTTCGAAGTGTAGAAGGAGGCTTTTACGAAAACTTTGGTATCCTAGCTACACAATTAGACAAGCTCATTGACGCCAGTCCCAATGGCGAGATACACGAGAATGTGTGGCAGAAACTCAAATTGTTTATGGCTGATTGTCTAGGTGAGTACCTTTAAGTCATTTCTCTAAATCGCCATCAAATGGGACTGAATTTCACCTCTTGATTCTTCTCATAGGCGACAGTGCATTCGGCGGCAGTTTCGGATCAATGACATCCACAACTGGTAAGCCTACGAAAATCATAGCAATACCTGCATGCCAAGTATGAACTGAAATTCCACTCTTTATAGGCGCCGCAAAAGTTCCAGATTTAGTCTATGCCATCTTTTCTAAAAAAGTGCTCATGTCTGTATTAAGCTTCTTAAAGTATTTCCCAAACCCCATTTTGCATGATGCTCATGCAAAGACGTCGGAACTGGCTGCGATTATTGAGCCGTTGATTGATGATCGTATTGCTGGAAAGACTAGAAGAGCTGATTTGCTACAAGGTATGTGTAGGAGTCCATGACTGTATGATTCTTTTGAGCACGTAGTTTTCTCACCCAGGATGAGACTGATTTGGGGTTTCTCTGTAGTTTTGGTTGACGGTGCAAGCGCATCAGACACAGACGGCCCTCTGGGTGATGCAGAACGCTTAGCCCGAAACGAAATCGTGTCAAACTCGCTCCTCTTCTTATCGGGAGGAATCAACTCGACATCACGAAGTAAGACAAAAAAACCATTTATTCGAAATTCTCATGTCACATTTCTTATTAAAATCTCTACGTTTGTTCTGCAGCCATGGCATTCATGCTCATCAGTCTAATCCGCAACCCCATCGCATACAAGAAACTGCAACAAGAGATTGACAATACCCCCGTTGATCCATTAACGGGATACATACCGCCCGAAGTCTGTAAACAGCTACCATACCTGAATGGTGAGTGCAAAAAAACCCACGGTCCTTACCAATGGTCATGTCAACGACCATGTCCTCACGAAGCACTAAAACACAACGTCATCTTAGCATGTATCAACGAAACCTTACGGCTGCACGGCGTAACCTGGGTTGTTCGAGACCTGAATCGCGACGTCCGTTTCGGTGAATTCTTCTTCCCGAAAGGTACCAGTGTCATGGTGCCTTTGTTTGTCTTAATGAGAGATCCAGACGTTTGGGAGAATGCAGATGCGTTTATTCCTGAACGGTTCTTGGATGGGTCCAAGAAGGATGCTGCTGGATGTAAGCTTTAGATTGCTGTTCTGTTATTTCTCCTGCTTATTTTTGCTGACTTCCATATGTCTTTCTTTAGTCTTGCCATTCAGTACGTCTTTTCGCCACGCCAGATATTGCGTTCAAACTCGTCTAAACATTTATACTAACTCATTCCCACACTCATCAGGTTCCGGCGAATATAACTGTATCGGACGCAACTTTGCTCTCAACGTGACAAAAATCTGTATCGCCAATCTGCTCAAACGGTTCGAATTCGGCGACGTGGATCCAAACCATTCTTTGGAATTGATTGTAGATGGCTTTACCAGTTTGAGATACCTGCCATATATGATGACGGTGCGCAAACATCGAACGGTTGAAGAGTAGCAATAGTAGTAGTAAAAGTAGCGGGAAGTAAACGTAGTGGGACAGTTTTGGGTGTATCAAGTACGGGACTGTGAATTGAACACGTTTTATATATTTGTTTGTTTGGCAAGCATCGTATATTTATTCCTCAGAGAGTGTGTTAATATATATGCTTTTATCTATTAAGAGCAAACTAGCAATGATTCTTTGTTGGCTGATATAATTGTGGTCGGGAGGTCTGCGTCATGCCTTCGAAATCATTCACGATCGATGGTAATCTCTCGATTGGTCTGATTCAGGATGTAGTAGTATTGGATTTAAGAGCTTAGGCCAGTATTCAGACGCGGCTCTCGTAGCGTCCGTGTTTGGAATCAGGAGCTTCAAGTAGCTCAAGAATGTTGATGTCTGCTTGGTGATAGTGGTTGCTATCGATGAAAACGAGTTAGTAACGAGCAAATGCAATAGATATAACATAAAATCAATTCGAATTTACTGTCGATGCTCTGGAAGATGACCAGCAATTCTGTTTACCAGCAGCAACGTCCAAATGGCTCATTGTAGCGGCTCTTTCTTCCACGTCTTCACGTACTTGCCCATTATAGCTCCTATAACGCGTAAAGAGACCTTAAATACACTTCCTTCTTAACTTTCTACCATTCTCCCTCACGTCGACAACTTGTAATTTGACAGGACTCACAATTTTGGTGAATGTTGGATTACCGATTATGAGCGCACCAGTCACATCTAATGGAGTCGCAAATAGGATTGTACAACAGCAGAGGTACTGATTTGGAGCTCTTCCCGTTGCTCGAAATTCTACTGACTGGAACAAACTTCAATTCCAACAGTGATGCTGAAGCAAGAAAGGATGGAATGCATGTATTAAGGACTCCGTGGGTGTTTTGGTAATAATCTTGCACACTCGTTGCAGTTTCGTTATCTCTGGCAATCAGCAACATCTTGTTGTGTTTTGTTTAAGCATCAAGCCATTCCACAGGATCTTTCAACCATCAACTTCTTTGACGCCGTCTATCGAGAATCAAGCCAACGCCATATTATCGTATATACTAGGTTTATGCATCGTCCTCCAGGTCAAAAGATCATATCAGACGACTATCTAAGTGGTGTTAAAGAAGTCGGCACCTTTGCTACCATTGAGGAGTTCTGGGGCCTTTATTCAAGAATGAGAAGACCTAATGAGCTACCAAACATTTCCGATATACACTTGTTTCGAAAAGGAACTCGTCCTGTTTGGGAGGTGAGGTGAAATGCATTGACTAGAGCTCGGTTGTTTTCTTAACTTGTCTAATTCTGTAGGACAATCCAAAAGGTGGAAAATGGATTGTGAGTACTATCACTGCACCTGGACTGCATACCCTCCACAGAAACGTCACAACAGTTCTCGAAACTTGGACTCATCCTACTAATTTGGCTCTAGGTTCGGCTCAAGAAGGGACTTTCAAGTCGCTATTGGGAGAATCTGGTGATTGCAGTCATTGGAGACAATTTTGGTGATTCGAGCGAAATAACTGGAGCAGTTATCTCGATAAGAAACAATGAGGACATACTCTCGCTATGGAACACTAATGCTAGCGAAGGGAGAATCGGCTTGAGAATAAGGTATGTTCATAGTATCAGCATCTTATACCATATACTTGGAATGCAAACGTCATGAATCCCATACAGGGATACGATGAAGAAACTGCTCGATCTTCCGGGCAACTGTACCATGGAATACAAGGCACATACTGCTGCTTTGACCGACGGCAGCTCCTTCAAGAACACGGTAAGCGATAATAGTTGCACGATTGTCGAATTCAGCAATGAATCGTGTCTAACAGTTTGGTAATTTAGGAAACGGTAAGGCATCCGCCCATCAATACGATACTCCCATTCTTACTAACATTGATTATGTCGTTCTAGTATCGTTGATATTTTGTATATAACAGCAACACATTTTTGCAACACGATTTTGTATGAAGATCGCACAAAAGCGTACTGATTTTTGGTGTGTGTAGAATGCTACGACGCGATCCTGCGACCACATCCACACCATAGACCACGTCTCCGTGATCCATGCGATTTCCGTTCTATTTTAGTAACGGCTAAGCTGCATTCGCTTGTGTTACAGCATTTGTTAGCTTTCAAATCTGAGAAACAGCATAGAAAACAATTCAATAATGTCTACAACTCCAGCAAAGAAGGGCCCCAAGATGCTCTATCGCAACCTTGGAAACACCGGTATCCGGGTTTCAGTTCTCAGTTTGGGAGGATGGTGAGTTTTCAACATTTTCCACGGGTTTTTGGATTATTCACACGTTTGTCGCTAGGGTTACCTATGGAGGCCAAGTCGGAAATCGTAAGTGTTACAGTGTAGATTACGATGAGCTGTATATGAAACACCGACCGCTACAAACAATTTGTGGTGTTTACCCATCAAACGATTTCATGGATTTCCATCGAGCCAAACTTGAATTTGAAACGCATTGTCGCTCCTGATTTGCTAATTCACATCGTGTACACTTTCTAGAGGTCGCATTCGACTGTATGAAGGCATCATACGATGCTGGCGTCAATTTCTTTGACACTGCCGAAGGTAATTGCACTTTTGTCAAGGCTCCGTCAAATTGAAAGCATCAAATTCATGTTGTGATTTACGTTTACTTGCAGGTTACGCCAACGGAGAATCAGAAAAAGTTATGGGTGCTGCCATTCGTCACTTCAAGTGGCCACGAAACACCTTGATCATCTCGACCAAGATCTATTTCGGACCTGGTGTCCGTGATATGAATGGTATGGGCTGGAACGCCCGAGGATTGAGCAGAAAGGTACATCTACGTCCATTCCTCTTTGTCGAGTCTTTACCACCGCTTGATTATTTGCACATAACATTCAAAAATCCTAACGACATGCCATTATCTTTCTAGCACATTGTTGAAGGTCTTGACGCCTGTCTGGAACGATTGGGCCTGCCATACGTCGACGTCGTATTTGCTCACCGTCCCGATGACACTGTACCAATGGAAGAAACCGTACGAGCCTTCAACCACGTCATCAACCAAGGAAAGGCTTTGTACTGGTAAATGACGGAGTTTGATCTCGACATATGGAACCAATTGCTTAAGATTTCGTTGTGCAGGGGAACATCTGAGTGGTCACAAGAACAGCTTACTGACGCTTGGGCTGTTGCAGACCGTCTTGGCCTCATCGGCCCTGCTTGTGAACAACCTCAGGTAAAGTCATACTGCTATAACGTATGGATTATATGGACATTTTCTGATAGTCGTTAGGCTATCATAGTATTCTATGCTGGTCCGTGAGAAGTTCGAAGCCGAATATGCACCTCTCTACAAGAAGAGAGGTTTGGGAACCACCATTTGGTCCCCTCTTGCTAGCGGTGTCTTGTCTGGCAAATACAGTCAAGGTATTTTTGGAGTTTTTTTGTGGAACTCCTTTAATGGACCCAAATAGTGAAACCATACCTCTACTTTCAGGAAACATACCAAAAGATTCCCGATTTGCCATGGCTGACGCTCAGATGCAATCGGTACGTCGAGGGTCTGAACGAACACTATCCCAAATCAACCCTTCTAATTCTCAACGGTTTTGATTAGATCCGAGCCCGATACACCGAAAACGCTGAAGGGAAAGCTAACTTGGCTAAAGTTGATGCGTTGGCGGTATGTTCTTGCTTGCACGCTTCCTTTTTCACCAGACGCAAATGCTGACACACTATCGCACACAGCCAATTGCCAAGCGCTTGAACTGCTCGTTGTCTGCCTTGGCGCTTGCCTGGTGCGCTAAGAACCCTAACGTGTCTACTGTAATCATGGGTGCCTCCAAAGTCGAGCAAATCCATGAAAACTTGACTGCAATTTCAGTCATTCCATTGTTGACTGATTCAGTTATGGCTGAAATTGAGAAGATTCTGGCTAACAAGCCAAAGCAAGCTACTGCCCGATTCTAGATACATGGTGCAGTCGTAGAATGAATAAAACCCTCAATGTGGTTGTCAGCTGTTGATCAAGTCCGGTTTTACGAGTTTCGAAGCGATGATCGCGTTTTAATGGTTAAATCACATAATTCAGTCCCTTTCAGAGGTGGAAAAGATGTTCAAAGGTCGTGTTTCTTGACTTTCTTTCGCGAAACTCAAAACAGCACCAAAACTTGATTTTTAAATCCATCAGCTCCGCGCAGCATAGAGAAAGTCGAGCTATTTCTCTGCTAATACTCACAAGGTAATCGTTACGCTGACTTCCATTGTTCCTTTCGTGTTTAGAAATCAAGCATTCATCAACAAAGCTCATTCCATCATTTTTTGACTCTAGAAGCATACAGCAAAGAGAAGGCCGCAATTAGATATATCTCTGAGTTCTGAACTCACCAGGTACTGTTTTAGACCTGCCTTGCATCGTTCTCTATGGCTAAAAATTCAAACATTACCAATAAACTAATTGCCATCTCTCCTTTCCAGCTCACAAGCTCTGAACGATGGCTGATAAAGCACAGCAGGCCACCCAGTATGGATATACTGCCAATTCCAATTTGGTTCTGCAGGCTGACCGCTCAGCTTTGCCTCGTCGAGATCAAGAACCATCTGGAGAATCAGAGACATTGTATGGTAAAATCGACCCCAAGAAGATGGGCGATCGAGCCCAGAGAACGTATGGCGATGAGAAGGCTCGTATCGACAAGAAACGCAAAGATCGAGAAGATAAATTACATCGACAAGGCCATGAACGTGAATTGAAGAAGGGGAAGAGTAAAGCTGACAAGGAAAAGTGAGTTACAAGATCCATCCAGGTATATATATTATGTATATGAAGTTCTTATTTGCTTTTAAATGGTTTAGATTCATGAAGGGTCATGGATTGGATGTCTTGGCTGCTACAGAAGATTTGGAAGGTGTCACCTACCGTCCACGAACCAAAGATACCGCTCAAACCCATCAGCTCATGCTTTATTTTATGGCTGAACAGCTGGGCGATGTACCACAGGATGTAATAAAAGGAGCTACAGACGAAGTCATCCAAATCCTAAAAGAAGAAACCGCAAAGGACTTTGACAAGAAACGTGATATTGAAAGGCTCTTGCAAGATATCAGAGGATCTGCAACTGTCTTGTCATCAGAAAAGTTTGCGCATCTAGTAGGTCTTGGTAAAAAAATCACAGATTACCGAGCAGACGAAGCAGCTGAGGCTGCCGCTGCCGTATCTGCCGATACAGGTGCTAGGAAACTAGATACCATGGATGATGAATATGGTGTTGCTGTCGTCTTTGACGAGGAAGAAGAAGACGAAGACTCGGACGATGAAATGGAAATCAAGGATGATGACGATGATGAGGAGGAGGATGAAGGACAGGATGCTGAAGCTACTGCCACGTTACGAACTGGTAATCGTGACGACGAAGACGAGGAAGGTGATGAGAATGCGGATGACTCGACTATAATTATACGATCTCAGAAGATCTCGACTCGTGCTTCCGGTAAATCCGCAGCTTCTAGTAGTACTGAATCTACCGTCCTCAAAGTCCACGATGTTGATGCCTTCTGGCTCCAACGTATGGTCGTAGCACGAGTCTCCAATGTCAATGAAGCTCAAGATATGACTGATCGAGCTCTCCGAATCCTCGAAACTACACCGCCATCTCGTCTCGAGACCCAACTATTAGATATCTTTGGTCTTGGAAATTTCGAGCTTGTAAAGCTCTTGATCTCAAACCGTCATATTGTATTATGGTGTACTCGTCTTGCCCAAGCCCAAACACCTGAAGCTAAAGCCACCATTGAAGCTCGCATGCGTGAATTGGGTTTGGATGATATATTAGGCAAACTAGCTTCTGCACCTCAAGAACGGACAGACGATGGGTCGCGCAAAATTGGTGGTTTTATGGATGTAGATATGGAAGATGCTGGACCTGGTGTGGCTCCTGCTCATCAACGTGTGTCTGGAGGTCTAGCCCCACGTCAAATACTAGATTTGGAGTCGTTGGTCTTCTCATCTGGTGGACACTTGATGTCGAATAAGAAAGTCAAGTTGCCTGAAGGATCATTCAAACGTAGCAAGAAGGGATATGAAGAGGTTCATGTGCCAGCACCCAAGAAGACCCAGGCAAATAACATTCCTTTGGTAAGGATGATAGTTCCCTTATTTGCATTTTGTTGCTATGGCTGATAATTTTCGCAGTTGTTTTACCTTGAAAACCGAAATCTAATCTGCTCTCCTTCTCAGGTACCTATAACTGATCTACCAGAATGGGCTAGACCAGCTTTCACAGGAACCAAGGATCTCAATCCAGTCCAAAGTAAAGTCTTCCCTACGGCCTTCTATAGCGATGAAAATCTCTTACTTTGTGCACCTACTGGTGCTGGTAAGACCAACGTCGCCATGTTGACAATGCTGCACGAAATTGGCAAGCATATCAATCCATCTACTGGTAAAGTCGACTTGGACAACTTCAAGATTGTATATGTAGCTCCCATGAAGGCTCTAGTCCAAGAAATGGTCGGAAACTTTGGCCTGAGACTCTCACCATACGGAATAAACGTAGCTGAATTATCTGGTGATCGTCAGTTGACTAAGCAGCAAATTGCTGAAACTCAAATCATCATCACCACGCCAGAAAAATGGGATATCATTACTCGTAAAGCTACGGATAGATCGTATACCAATCTAGTAAGGCTTGTCATTGTTGATGAAATCCATTTACTACACGATGAACGAGGGCCGGTATTGGAGGCTATTGTAGCACGTACTCTTCGAACCGTAGAACAAACTCAACAGCCATGTCGTTTGGTCGGTTTGTCTGCTACTCTACCCAACTATGTAGATGTCGCTGCCTTCCTCAGAGTCGATATGAAGACTGGTCTCTTCTTCTTTGACGGTAGCTTCCGTCCATGTCCTCTCAAACAGCAATATATAGGTATTACGGAAAAGAAGGCTACGAAACGTTTCCAAACCATGAACGAAATCGCTTATGAAAAAGTCATGGAAGAAGCTGGCAAAAATCAAGTCTTGATCTTTTGTCACTCTCGTAAAGAAACAGCTAAAACAGCCAAGGCTCTCCGAGATATGGCTTTGGAAAAGGATACACTGATGCAGATCTTGCCTGCTGATGAAGCATCCCGTCGTATCTTGCAGGAAGAAGCCCCAACAGTGAAGAATGCCGATTTAGCTGATATTCTTCCATATGGATTTGCCATTCATCACGCTGGTATGACGAGAGCAGATCGAACACTTGTAGAGGACTTGTTTGCAGGTACTCACGTCAAAGTATTGGTATCAACTGCAACCTTGGCTTGGGGTGTCAACCTGCCAGCCCATACTGTCATCATCAAAGGAACCCAAATATATTCTCCAGAGAAGGGACGTTGGGTTGAATTGTCGCCTCAGGACATATTACAGATGCTTGGTCGAGCTGGCCGACCTCAGTTCGACACCTTTGGTGAAGGTATAATCATAACAACAAACCAGGAATTGCAATATTACTTGTCTCTCTTGAACGAACAGCTTCCCATCGAATCACAGCTAGTCTCAAAACTGGCCGATACTCTGAATGCTGAGATCGTACTTGGATCCATACGTAATCGTGATGAAGCTGTCCAATGGCTTGGATATACATATTTATACGTCCGTATGCTTCGTAATTGCACCTTGTATGGTATATCTCCCGACGAGCTAAAGGAAGATCCGGTCTTGCTGCAGCATCGTGTGGACTTGATCCATTCAGCTGCTACCGTCCTCGACAAGCACAATTTGCTTAAATATGATCGTAAGACAGGCAAATTCCAAGTAACCGAGCTCGGTCGTATTGCTGCTCACTTTTATATCTCGCATTCTTCCATGGCCACCTATAATCAACATTTAAAACCTACCATGTCGTTGATTGACTTGTTCCGAGTCTTTGCCTTGTCGGATGAATTCAAGTATATACCTGTACGAGAAGAAGAGAAGTTGGAATTATCCAAGCTTTTGGAACGAGTGCCTATTCCAGTTAAGGAGGGCATTGAGGAGCCTACTGCCAAGATTAATGTGCTGCTTCAGGCATACATCTCGCAGCTCAAACTTGAAGGGTACGTTATGACACATGTCAAAATAGCTTTTTTTTGCATACTGACGTTACCATAATTTTGTTAGGTTTGCTCTCATGTCTGACATGGTATACGTAACTCAGAGTGCTGGTCGTATTCTTCGAGCCATCTTCGAAATATGTCTTAAACGAGGATGGGCACAGTTGAGTCGTAAAGCCTTGGACATGTGCAAGATGGTTGAAAAGCACATGTGGTTGTCCATGTCTCCGCTACGTCAATTCTTGGGCATCCCATCGCTACAAAAGAATGTACCTCAGCTGCTAGAAATCATTAAAAGATTCGAACGTAAAGAGTTTCCATGGGAACGCTATTACGACTTGAATCCTCAAGAGTTGGGAGAATTTGCTGGTATGCCCAAAGCCGGTAATGATATACATCGTCTCGTGCATCAATTCCCTAAACTGGAAATCGATGCCAAAGTATCGCCCATATCTCGATCCATGCTTAAAGTAGAATTGACCATCACTCCCGACTTCCAATTTGACGATGCTGTACATAGCAATGGATTGGCTGAGTCATTCTGGATATTTGTAGAGGATGCTGATAGTGAGAATATTCTCTTCCATGATACATTCTTATTGAAGAAACGATATGCAGGTGATGCTCATCAAGTGGACTTTTATGTACCATTGTATGAGCCACTTCCTCCCAACTACTTTATATCTGTAATATCGGACAGATGGCTTCACTCGGAAGTCCGTCTGCCTGTATCCTTTAAACATCTCATCCTTCCCGACAAGTATCCACCACACACAGAACTCTTAGATTTGCAACCACTCGCCGTATCCGCATTAAAGAATCCACTATTCGAACGACTGTATAAGGATGATGTTGATCGTTTCAACCCCATCCAGACTCAGGTCTTTAACTCTTTATATAATTCAGATGATAACGTACTAGTAGGAGCTCCGGCTGGATCAGGCAAGACGATATGTGCCGAGTTTGCTCTGCTTCGACTATGGGCCTTCTCACCACGAGCACATGCTGTATACATGGCTCCGTATGAATCCGTAGTAGAAACTTTGGCCTCTGAATGGAAGGTCAAGTTTGGTAGTCTCATGGGTGGTAAAAATATCGTAACATTGACTGGAGATGTGACTGTAGATCTCAAACTATTGGAGAAGGGAGATGTCATTTTCACTACTCCTGAATGTTGGGATAATGTATCTAGACGATGGAAGAAGCGTCAACGAGTACAAAAAGTCGGATTATTTATAATCGATGAAATCCATCTTATTGGAGGTTCTGTGGGTCCAGTCATGGAACAAGTCGTATCACGTATGAGATATGTAGCTGCTCAATTAGGTGAAGACAAGTCAATCCCACCAGAAAAACGACACAAGATGCGATTCGTCGCGTTGAGTGCTTCGTTGGCTAATGCTAGAGATGTCGGTGAATGGATTGGAGCTCCTCCAGCCTCTGTCTTTAACTTTCATCCCAATGTACGACCAGTGCCTCTCGAAATCCACATCCAAGGATATAATGTACCGCACTTCCCATCTCTCATGATAACCATGGCCAAACCAACGTATCTTGCTATAACGCAACTACCTCGACCCTCTCCCACCATAATATTCGTCCCATCTCGTAAACAGTGTAGTCTAACAGCCAACGAATTACTCATATTCTGTGCTGCAGATGACCAACCACGTCGATTCTTGCACGTTGATGAAGCCAGTCTCCAACCATATGTAGAGAAAATAGATGACAAGGCACTGGCTGAAGTCTTGCCTTATGGTATTGGCATCTATCACGAAGGTTTGTCCAAAAAGGATAAGAAAACTGTAGAGTCGCTTTATGAGACTGGTGCTTTGCAGCTTGTTATTGCATCTCGAGAAATGAGCTGGGGCATGTCGCTTGACGCTCATTTGGTGGTGGTTATGGGTACGCAGTATTATGAAGGTCGTGAGCACCGATACTCTGATTATCCAATTGCTGATGTATTGCAAATGATGGGTCGGGCTTCTAAAACTGAAGGACAGGATGGTGGTTTGTGTGTACTAATGTGCCAGGTGAGAATTTACTGTCTTTACGAGCAGATTCGCATTCACGATACATTTTTTTGCCTAACATAATTAATGAATTGATTAGGCCGTAAAGAAGGACTTTTACAAGAAATTCTTGTTTGAAGCCTTGCCCGTAGAATCTCATCTCGACCGGTTCTTGCACGATTTCTTCAATGCTGAAGTCGATGCTCGAACAATCGAAAATAAACAGGATGCAGTAGATTATATGACGTGGACATTCTTGTACCGTCGTATGGCTCTCAATCCCAACTACTATGGCATGCAGGGTGCAAGTCATCGACACTTGTCTGAAAAGCTGTCTGACTTGGTAGAATCGACATTGGAGGAACTAGCCACATCAAAATGTATATCAGTTGAAGGAGACGATGTATCGCCAGTCAATCTAGGTATGGTAGCAGCATACTATTATGTCCATTACGCCACCATCGAGACCTTTGCTCTATCCCTAAAAGCAACCACGAAATTACGAGGTCTGCTTGAAATAGTATCCCATGCCGCCGAATATGAAACCATACCGATAAGACATCACGAGGAAACCGTCCTCAATAAAATCCATGACCGACTACCCGTAAAACTCGATAAGGATTTCACGTCTCCACATACCAAAACCAATCTATTACTCCAAGCCCACTTTTCCCGTATCCAGCTACCAGCAGATCTAGAATCCGATCAAAAACTAGTATTAAAGAAAATCTTGTCTCTCATCCAAGCCTGCGTAGATGTCATATCCTCTGCCGGATGGCTGCCCACAGCACTAGCAGCCATGGAATTATCTCAAATGTGTGTACAAGCCATGTGGGATCGCGATTCTGCATTACGCCAAGTACCACATTTAACCTCCGACGCTATCGAACGTCTCAAAGCCCTCAAAGTAGAAACCGTCTATGATTTAATCGAAATGGACGACGACGATCGCGTAAACGCACTTCAAATAGACGATCGACGACTTATGGAAGTAGCTAGGTTTACCAACAGATACCCAAACATTGACGTCAGCTTTGAAGTCGATGAGGAAACAGTCGCTCAGGGTGGTGTTGTCACTGGACGTGTTAAACTCGTCCGGGAAGGTGACGATAACGAAGAGGAGGCGACAAAGAAGAATGAGGTTGGACCAGTTATCGCGCCATTCTATCCATCACGTAAAGATGAGAGTTGGTGGCTTGTTGTAGGTGATCCAAGGGATAAGACCTTGCTGTGGATTAAACGTACCACGCTGCAATGGAAGGCGGATGTCAAGATGGAGTTTGTGGTGCCTGATGGTATGCCTGTGGGTAAAGCGGGACTGCAATTGTTTTTGATGTGTGACTCGTACTCTGGTTGTGATCAGGAGTTTGAGTTGAAGATAAATGTCACGGAGGGTGAAGGTAGTGAGGATGAGGATGGGATGGAGGTTGATGGTTGAGTGAATTGGGAGGTTTAAAGAAACGATATAAACCCATGCATGATCAGTATCAAAATATTTTGCTTGTGAATAAAAGAGTTTATATGACATTTACAAAGGTCTACGATAATTGCAATGTTTCATCCGTCTTAACCACTGATATAGCAGCCGTACCTGACGGTAAGTGTGGACCTCGACTGATGTATATGCTTTTTACAAAAAAATCTACTACTATAATTGCAATGTTTCATCCGCCTTAGACGACACCGGTTTAGCAGCCGCGCCAAACGTCAAGTACGGATCTTGAGATAACGTAGCTACATCAGGTCTCTGCTCCTGCGAATATTCTAAACACCGTTTTATAAATGCTTTTGTTTCAGACGACACTTGAGGAGTCGATGGGAACTCGACAGTACGTCCCTCATGAAGTATAGTATTCTCACGTAAAATGGTTTGCTGAGATTGGTTCTCACCAAATGGCTTTCTACCATAGAGCAGTTCGAAGAATATCACGCCTGTTGCAGAAAGAAAAAAGTAAAGACGATGGTGTATGTAAATGCCGAAACCCGAACTGATTAAGAACATACCAATACTCCAAACATCGACCTTTGACGAGATCTTGACTTCACCCTTCCTCCAGAAACACTCTGGAGGAAGGTAGTAAAAGGTTCTTTTGAAAAAATCACATTGAATTGTATTAATAGACGTTGCAAGACGAGGAAGAAAAAGCCAGTTGTCACGAACCCAGTATTTGCCGACGTGAGAGCAATTTCTCGTGCACCTCCTGGAGGTTGTGCGACACTTGGCGCATCATTTTCGATAATTTTGGAGAGGCCGAAATCCGTTATCTTAATCTCCATTTGTGGATTTAGAAGTATGTTTCCTGGTTTTAGGTCGAAACTTTTTGTAGAAAGGTGTCAGAATTGAATTTTCACTTTCAAACTACTTGGTGGTAAGATGCCATGAGCTTACTGGACTAAGGTCAAGAAAGGAGGTGGTTAGCTAGAACAACACATAGCGAAAAAGGTGTCCGCACAGTTCACGCATTCAAACTTACTGATTGGCGGCGTCAATTCCGAAAAGTACTTTAAAGCACTCATGACTTGTATTATAATGCTCTTTGCAAGCCTTTCTGAAATACTCTTGTATGACAACAAGTAGGTGTCGAGGTCACCGCCTTCACATAGCTCGAGCACGGTGCAAAAGCTTGAATGGTCGATTTCAAATCTGCCGAAATAAAATCCATGAGTATGTTACTCGAATCAGACAAGTGACTGGAAGGATGTCTCTTACACGTCAAACAGCCTCACGACTCTTGGATGCACTAGACTCTTGTGTATACGATACTCTCGCAGAGCATGCTTGGTATAATTTCGTTTTCTTTCTTCAGACCATGAAGAGTGTAGTGAATGAATTCTAGAATAATTCAAAAAACCATGAACTTACACACACTGATTATTGAGAACTCACTTGCGGCTATAACTCACTTGCACGCCACTTCTCGAAGCTCAACAAGATCATAGCCCTTCCAAACTTCAGAAAATCCGCCACTCCCAAGCAATTCAAGCAGAGCATAGCGCTCATTGAGGACTGGATGAGAATTAAGTGGTGACTGATCTTCCAAGATCACACGATGCACCTCTCGTTGATGCAAGTCTCGTTGCAGCCTCAATTTTTCAAATTCTTTCTGTAAGTCAGTGTCTTCCCTTTTAAGAGCATCTTTACGTAGCTTAAAGATTTCATCGAGTTCAGCGAATTGAGCAGATGATATTGGTTCTACTTTGACTGCAGAGTCTCCACCTTCTACTGGTCTTGCAGTTTTGCGTTTGGTAAGGAGTTTTCGTTGCTGATCTATATCATTCTTCTCCCTTTGTATCTGAGCGAGTCTAACGTGAATAGCTTGGAAAGCATGGCCTTCTTGCCACCTAGTCACATTGCTCGTTAGAAGATGAAAAAAGAATGAAGCCGGTAGCTAATGCACTAACTTTGTAACTCACCTCTCAACGTATTCGATGCCGGCTCGTTCAATAACTAGACGTGCGAGCCTTCTAGATTCTACGTCCATCGAGGCCCGTTTCTCTGCAGCCATCTTGTCAGCCTTCTCTTTGAGAAGCGATGACATCTTTGCTCGGGCCTGCCCCCATTGATATCGATTCGAAAGTTCCATATCATCGAGCATCTACCAAAGTGGTGGATGTCAACCAGTTACTACTTCGTCCATCGCAATTCGACATTACCTTTCGACATTCTCTTTTTGTCGTTTCAGAATCAGCAGCTCTTTTGGCACATTCGGCCTCAAGATGCTCAATCTGCAGCCTACATTGATCACGTTCACGTTCAATCTTGTCCTTGTCAGATTCGAGTTCCGAGACTCGTTTCCTCAAGTCATTCAATTTAGATTCCCAAATTTGATCATTACGTATTACTCGATCATCTGCTGCTATACCACCATTATCATCAACGGGATGTTCCGTTAATGCAGGACTCCTTGTCGAATGAGACAAGAAACCGGCAGGTCGTAGGAAGTAGTCAAATATTTTTTTACTAGGAGCGACACCATCTCGACTCGGTGGTTCATTTGACTCTGTTAACGGAGGCGTTCCTCCGCGACGTTGTTTTCTTGGCGTGTTTTCGGCAGACTCTTGTTCGTTGTCGTTCGAAACGGCTGAAGCATCTGAATGGGTTCGCTTGTGTGTGCGTTTATGGAGTGGTTGGGAAGCTGAAGCGACAGATGCAACTGCTGTAGCTAGAAGTGCAGTGCTAGGTGATCCTGCTGACGTGACTTCCTGCTTCCTCTTTGCCTTTATGCGGGAATATCGAGCTCTACATTGACCTGTAGTGGGTTCAAAAGCAAAGCTTGCGGTCAGTTATATGAAAAATCGTTTACAAGCACCCAGCTTATCACGTACCTGATGTTCTATCAACCAGCAACGATGAAATCTCTTCCCAATCAACATCATTTCCACCCCGCTGACTAACCCCCTTCTCCAATATCTCATCTTCATCAGCAGTGAATCGTCTAGTCTTCTTCTTGGTCTCTGGTAGTGGAGTGAAGGTCTCCTGTTCAGCAATTGTTGGTTTTACGACATTACTTAGATACAATCTCCATTCGTCTAGATCGACGTCATTCCCATGATCTAGAAGTTTATCATCGCGATGTCCTACAGCCTTGAATGGGGTTTGATGTGGTGAAGACCACGTTTGGATGTGTTGATGTTGGTCGATGGCATTATGAGAATCGGTATCTGTTGGCGATACACTTTGTGCCTTGTTTATGATGAATTCAGGAACGGAATCTATAGCGCCTGAAGGTGCTGAAGCCTGGCCGAGCATCCTGTACTAGGTGAAAATGCAGCTTCAAAACAAGTCGATTAGCGAGTGATGCGAATAGATGGATGACAAGATCCAACCCGCAACCACATCGGTAAACTGACGTACTTTTTGATCTACAATGAGCCGGTGCCAGTTCCGTCACGTTGTGTGATGCTATGTCTCTGCGCTTTGAGTTTGCTGCGACTTGCGATTGGAAGAGGGACGAATCTTTCGAGCCATGACACGGTCGAACGGTACAGGGACGCATCGTCTGAGCTCCCAATGTTAATACTAATTATTTTTAGAGTCCCTCAGCGGCTTGATATGACGCATAACAACAATGCTGTCAAGATGCAAATTCCTGATAACAAGCGTCCAAACACGTAAATTCAACCACTTGACCTCTTATAAGTCATATAAATCCCTCTAAACTATTTATAGTACCCATGTACAGCTTTCAAGCTGACTAGCACATCGTCTTCCAAAACTGCAGATTTCAATCTCAGACTTCCTAGGACTGGACCGTAACGGGAGCTAAAGGAGGGAGGACAACTTGCTCATAGGTAGTCCATTCGTAATTCATATCGGATCTCTTTGCTTCTCTCTTATTCATACATTGACAAACAACTTGTCCAAAACAGAAAAAATCGCCAATGTCTAGCCGATCAACCTCAACTCCAACCTCGGATGTCCCGCTAAACGACATTCCTCCCAAGAAAGTCGTCACTATACTCAATCCAGCCGACAAACAATCCAAAGTCCCTAACGGAAACGGCATCCAACAACCAACAAACGACACTCCAGACACGGAACACGAGCTGGACAGTGGAACTGACACTGATGACGGAGGTGATGAAGAGACTATAGGGCTGCTAAAGTATGATGGAATGAATGATGATGTCGAACCACCACCAGAGGAGTCCGTGCCAAAAGGAACGAAGGAAGGAAGTACTATCAAACCTAAGAAGGAAGCCAAGTTTGCAAAGATATTGTCAACAATGTCTACTGACACCAATGTATCAAGTGTGATTGGTGTGGGTAGTAATACAGGTGTCTGTGTGGTGTGTGGTAATCCACTGCCAAAACCTGTCGAGACACAGACATTGCTTGTCAAGAACATAAAGGTACAGAGTGTATCGTTTTGAGGATCTAATTTCTGTACTAACACTCCCACTTTGCTCATCTTAGCCTCGTATACTTCGACAGTTGAGGCTCATGTCGCCTCACAAGACATTCAGCTCCCATTCTAGAGTGTGTATTCGAGACCTGAATTTAGGAATGCAGGCCCGTATAGAACAGCTGCTCGCAGAGGATCAGAATCAACTGGCAGCGTTACAAGATAATGCTGTGAGGAATTTGACTGAGCATGAGCTGCTTGAAGAGACGTGGCAGGTAGGACTATTTACTCCTCGTAACGTTCCTTTTTTGGTCTTAGATTACCCCTCTGATCGCAACTCTACATCTTGCCCCATAGCACCAATTTGACAAAAAGAGAACCATGGGTCAAAAAGCTGCAGATTCTGTAGCCAAACGTGGTGGTTCCTGGTACTTTATTAGTGGTTTGCTAGCCTTTTTAGCTACATGGGCTGCCATCAACTTGATCCTGGCTGCAGTCGGCAGTAGTCCATGGGATCCATACCCCTTCATTCTCCTAAACTTGTTTCTATCAATGCTGGCTGCTCTACAAGCTCCCATCATCAGTAAGCTTGCTTATTGGAATGGTTGTTATTACAACGATTATGAAGCTCACATTGTGATTTACACCTATAGTGATGTCTCAAAACCGTCAAGCAGCTCGAGACCGCATCCAGAACGATTACGTATCCCGAATGACTCTTAGAGCCGAAAATAACGTCCGTCATGTAAATGCCAAGACTGATCATTTCTTGGGACATCAATGGAAGCGCCTACTAGAAATCCAAGAGATAAAAATCGAACTACTACAAACGCTACAACATCAACATAAACGATACGTCCAACGAGGTGTACGTAGTGGCTACTCGCTCGTTTCTGAACCTGGACTTCCCGGTCCGAAAGCTGAGACATGGAGTGCAGAAACACAGCCTGATGCTCATGCTTTAATGTTGCTCAAACATCAATTTGGCTTGGAGATGTATCCTGAGCCAATCTTGTTTTCTCATTGGAGTGGTGAAGGGGACAATTATCATGGTCAGTTGACGAATAGTAGGGCAGCGTACTCATCTGGTGCTCGTATAAAGAGGATTGTATATGATTTGGAATTTGATGAGTCTATGATGGCTACTCTGGATGACATATTCTCTGGTGAAGGGTCTGTGTCGCTAAGGAATGACTTTGATATGCCTCATATGTATCTCGGAGGTAAGGATGAGTTCGATTCTGCGGGTGTTATAATGGCAATTCATCTTTGTTTAACGACATGTGTGATCTGCAATGAGGAAATCGTATTTGTTTCTCTTACATATGTTTTTTTTGTGCTCACGACACTTGTTTTTCAAGGTCGAATCTTGGCATTGGAAATTCACTCAAAGGACGGATCCGTCGTATCTCATACCAACGGCGACATGCCAACCCGCTATAAACCATCTTTCGCTCCACGTCGTCGAGACAAGATTGCCGACTTTTGGAAGACACCCATTACTCGCGTAACAATAACGTACTCACCACCATGGCAAGTCGCAGTCCTAGTACTCAAACCAGGCCAAATAATGGAAAGTCTCGATGCCAATTTCTTCCCACCACACCACTTGTCTGCAAACAAGGAATTGATCACAACACCAACAACAGGTGCTGCAGCAGGAAGATCATCCCCATCAGGAGACTCAACATCAGCGCCACCAGCAACGCCATATTTATACATGTACTCTGAAGTGTCTAGTGAATCCACAACGCCAGACCCGGAAAAGTATTTAAAGGCTATATTGGGACCGAGACCGTTACCCGCATCGTGGAAGCAGGTCGCTACATGCGATTTCGTGACTCCTGGATCTTCTGAATTGCATTCTGCTAGTAGTGAATATCTGCCTATATCTATGAGTTTGGAGGTGAACTTGCATGGACCGGGTGTCTTTGTGTTTTATTGTCAGGAGACCAGAGTGTCGTTGCACGGTATGTTCTATCAAGGGAACGTATATTATTGATAGCGGGAGCCTTTTTTTAGGCTTGTTTGAAACCTTTTGAGACATTGGATCTCACCATCACTTTCTGTAGGTCATATCGAGAATGCCTCATAACTCATAGCGAAGAAGGATCCGCACGTAATACCATAATTCATTATTTTATCATCATTGAATATATCTTCATCATACCCGGAAGGACAAAAGAATGAAGTGGGAATCCATGTAGCTTGAAAGCAATCGTATCAATAATCACGGGCACATTCACGTTATATAGCGTTTTGGTGAACTGTAGCTTCGTCATTACACCACAAACTCGACGTGAATGTTCAACGATCTTCTCATCACGTCGACTAATGAAACTTTTCAAACATATGATTGCAAAGTACGACCAACCATGACTCAGTCCACTCGCATACGCTCAAAGGCACTCCACAATACAGAACCCATCGTAGCAGCATCCGTAATCCTCTCTCAATCCGAAACAGCAGCTCTCGCAGCTGAAATCGACACCCTCAAACGCGACACCAATAGTCCCATTACAACTACTCCAACACCACCAGCATTCGACAGACGAGCATCGAACGCATATCTCGGAGACTGGATACGCGCGCAGCCCGCCGTAGACGATGAAATAGCCACCGATGATTTAGATGAACCACATGTGAAGAGGAAGCATGCTATTTTGATTGCACATCCTGATGTTACGAGCTTGTATGGGATTGATACGAGGACGAAATGGATTGTTGGTGGGGTGGTGCTGATACAGGTTGTGTTGGCGTGGTATTGGGGGAGTGTGAGGCCTGGGTGGAGTTGGGGGATGGTGGGGTGTGCGTATGTCGTTGGGGCGTGTATTACGCAGGTATGTGAATATGCTATTTTATTGGAGATTCATGCATCTCTATTTCATGATTCAAGCTTACGTGGAGGGTGGGAAAAGTCGCTGTTTGAAATTGAAAACCCACAAAGACATTTCTGGTTGACTTACAGACCTGTTTTGGTCGCTAGATATGTGGAGTGGTAATCCACGAAGCCTGCCACGGCCTGACAGCCCGCACGCACCTCGCAAACCGCGTCGTAGGCTACATTGCAAACATAGGCATCCCATTCCCAATCGCCGCATCCTTCCGTCGCTACCATCTCCAGCACCACGCCTTCCAAGGTGTCGAAGGAAAAGACGCCGATCTGCCTCTTCCATTCGAATATAAACTCGTCGCGTCAAACCCGCTAGGTAAAGCTCTCTTCCTCTTCTGCTATCCGCTAATGTATGTCGTTCGTGGCGCTGTGAGGGGAAAGACACCTGCATTCTGGGAATGGGTGGGGTTAGCTTGGACTATAGTATGTGATGCAGCTGTGTATTGGTATTGTGGTGGGTGGGGACTGACGTATATGGTGCTCTCGTTGTGGTTTGGATTTGGGTTGCATCCAGCCGCAGCACATTTTATTCAAGAGCATTATACGTTTGAGGATGGACAGGAGACGTATTCGTATTATGGGGCGCTGAATTATTTGTTTTTGAATATTGGTTATCATAATGAGCATCATGATTTTACAAAGGTATGTGGTATCGAGTGCCACGTCTTGAGTGCACGGCTCCCGTACCATTTTTTTGGCTCAATTCACAACTTACGCCAAACATACACATTTCACTTCCTAGATACCATGGTCAGGGCTCCCAGCACTACGCGACCTCGCACCTGAATACTACAATACCGTGAAATACCACATGTCGTGGACCAAAGTCCTGATTGACTTTATAACACGACCAGATGTTGGCCCAGTGTCGCGTGTCCAGCGGGACTATGATGCGCACAAGAAGGGGCGTAGACAGATCATAGATGTGATGGGGATGATAGATTGATTGATACAAGACGGGTAGTAATAATAAGATGAAAAATGGTGTTCCATGCTCTCTGTAACATATATCCTTTAGAATATTATATTAGTGTGGATGATTTTCTGTGGGCGGGGTAGAGAGAGTGTGCGGTTTGAGGTTAGTGTCTCTTGTTTTGTGAAATCGACCGAGTGGTCGATCGACCTGTCAGATGTGCAAGCTGCGGAAAGGGAGGGAAGACTGGGGATTTTGATACTCAAAATTTTAAGTATGATTTACCGCGTTCAGAGCGCCCCGTTGCAGCACAAAAGTTGTTTTCACGTGGGCCTCTGTGACTGTCTTAATTTTTTGGACGGGGTTGGGATTGTGTCAAGCTCTTGTTTAATAGACACTTTACAGACTAGGTAGAATATACAAGACTTAAAATCGACGTGTTCCTAATAAAAAAATCCCCTTCCTCGTTCTTCCATTTCCCTTCATCGATGTTCCAACATACACACACCACCCAAACTAATGCCCAAACTGCCTCGTTGGCGAGCCTTGCTAAGAATGGATGCCAGAATAGAGCCCTTCTTCAACCTGTCAGCGCAGGAATCAGCTCGCAACGCAGATAACGACACATCCGTCGCAAGTATCGTAACTAGGTCGGGTGCTGATGGTATTTCTGCCAAAGTCGCTAAATTGAATGAACCAAAGAAGGTGGCTGTCGATCTCGCTAGTCTTAAAATGCCTGGTAAGTGCATATACATGCGGTATTGTTGCATCGCTGTGTTGGGGGTTTGGAGCTGAAATGTTGACATTTTAATGTTTATTTTTTGGGCAGAGAGGATTGAAGACGAGCTACCAAGTGCATATACCGAAGCCACAAACAATGTCCTCGTCGACCGTGTCCTCCTGCTTCCAGGCTACGGCGTCCCAGTGCCCGCATCACAATCACGTAAACTGATGGAAAACTATTTAAAGGCATCTTCACTCCCTCGCCCTTCACGATCATCCTCACGAGACTCGATCCCGATAACACCCGTACCTGTAACGCCAAAAAACAATGCTCCCAACGGCCACAGCCCGCTCCTGAATCGAGTCATGATGTCTGAACCAGTCGCAACTGCAACAACGACTATCGCATCTCCAATAGCACGGCCGACGTCTCCAGCATTCAATACTCTCGAGTCCTATAAGTCGGCGGGTAAAGACGAGGCTGTTGATTGGATTGTGCATGTGAGGGGGTGGGCGGTTAGTACGCGGCAGTCGGCACGACGCAAGTTTATTGTTGGCCTGACGAGACGGTTGTTGGGACCTGCTGATTCGGGATTGACTGTGGAAGAGAAAAAAACGTATGAATCTCGAGTCAAGAATTTCGAGCTGGCTGAACTGAAACATGTTGATATCAATGTACGGGCTGCAGGATTAGCGCCAGTGTCTGCTGGATTTGCAGACGAGTCTGGGGTATTCAACACGTCGACAGATATATCCGATACGTCAAGAGAACGTGGCAGTGTAGATTCCGCGTCGATGGATGTCCTTGAACTGAATGTCGGCGATGTGTTTAATTCAGGTGCTGGAGGCACATTCTCAGGTGCGATACTTATCCCTGGTGCTATTGTAGAGAGATGGAGGCACGAGAAACCGGGTATGGAAGAGAAGAGGGCTGTGAGGTTACATGGCCTTGTGGATGAGAATAGTGGGAATGGGACTACGTCGCCTGTAAATGAAAGTAGGATACATCTGGACGAGAATAGGATACGGTTGACGGCTTCGACTGCTTCGCAGCCGCTGCTAAGGAGCTTTTCGCTGGTGGAGCTGATACCGGCGCGTGGTGTTACAGTTATATCGGATATTGATGATACTATCAAAGGTACTACGTCGGTTTCATGCTACATTTTTTAGCTCTGCTCTCAGTTTAACTCTTTTCATTCCAATTACTGTTCTAGAAAGCGACGTATCATTAGGCATGTCTGCAGTATTCACCACCGCCTTTTTTGAAAAGATGAGAGAAGTAAAAGGAATGGCTGAAACGTATCAGTTGATGAAGGCTGGTGGATTTGTGTTTCATTATGTTAGTGCTGGTCCATTGCAATTGCAGCCGGTATGTGTTTGTGTGGTTGTGGTTAGCTGCAATAGTTTATCTAAAAACGGGGCATATTTTGGTTAGATGCTCGAAGAATTCCTTCGGCGGTATGGCTTCCCAACTGGATCATTACATTTAAGGAGTCTACTGAGTACGAGTGATGCAGATCCGATATCGTCTATGAGTTTCAAGGTGAAGCTGATACGGAGGATGTTAAATGTGAGTTTGTTCAACACATTAGACTTATTAGAGCACAGATTTTTGTTTGCATCACAAGCAACACTCGTACTGTCAACACCAAGTCTAACCCTCAATCCCATCTCCCCAACACAGGAATTCCCATACCGCAAATTCGTCCTCATCGGAGACAGTGGCGAACACGACGCCTCTGCTTACAGCACCCTCGCACGAGACTTTCCCGACCAAGTAAAACGCATATTTATACGAAATGTACATCCAACACTATCAGATGCCCAAGCCAAAGTATCCAATATCGCCAAAGGATTGGCTAATGTCACTGTATTTGATGAACCTCATATTATCCTGAATGATGAAGTCGTCGTGAAGCTGATGAATGAAGCTACGAGTACGGCGGGGTTTGAGATGGTTGATTTGCCTAGTAACCATTGAGAGGGGAGGAGATTTAGCTAGTTAAACATTGTTAGTTTTCTTTTTTAAGATATAAGTATTATGAAAGGATGATAGTGGTGTGTTGTGGTTGAAGTGGTTAGTGAGTGGATTTTGCACTGTTGGGTGGTACATTACATGTACCTCATTTTTTTTAGCATTGGTGAAAAGCATTGCCTCTTTGATTTTGTGACTTTTGGATTAAGGCTAACTGTGATTACCTATTTAAAGAAAGGACCCAAGAGGGACTGTTGATGAGAGTATTGCTACTGGCGGTGGCAATGAAACATGGACGTTGGCTTTTGATGGTGGTGGCGAGACCAGGATGCCAACGTGAGAGTCATCTGATTTGAATAGGATATGACTGCTTTGACTGCTTCTCGGTCTCTGCTGCGGGTTCGTTACTTCAACTGATACCTAGTGCAATGGCACAATTGCAAAAATCTTTAAGTTTTTCGTGACTGGAGGAAATTCGAGATATGAACGTTTTCTGAATACGCTTATAAATCGCTTTTGAGGTCTATTGACGTGCCGAAGCTCGAAACTATACTTCCGAATCTGCTCGCAACCACAACAAAAATGGACATATCTTTAGTTGAGAATGTTGGTTTTCACAGCAAAATGGGATTAAAGTGTATGCCTCCTCGAGCACTGAGTGAAAATGCAGGTGAATAACGACCGCGTCGTTTAGAGGGATCCTCGGAAAATACAGCCCAATGTTCTGGGGAATCCTCACGAACCAGTTCAAGAGAAAAGTTACGAATGATGTTTGACATGAATACGACAGCTAGGTGTAAGAGTTTGAAATCAGTTCAGACGAAGCTATCCAACCGGGCAGCAAGAAAAACGTGATAGTATAAAACATTCCACCAAGTAGGGCATTACACTAACCTTCTTGTTGAGCCCTACAGCAAGATAAAAGATATTTGAATTAGTAGTTGCGGCTTGCAGACCAACAAGCTCATTGTCGCATTTGTGACTCACATATTCATGCCCAAACATATACGGGGCCTAGTAGGAATTTTTTGAAAAATTGGTTCGTATAAGTCGTTACGGGCGAAACTACTCTCTTACCCAGCATGGAAGTGTGGAAACGCGAATTGATTGGGCTTGATCAGATGTCCTTCCCGATCAATCCATCTAGTCAATAAAAGTCAGGTCACGTATCTGATCATGATCGAGGCGAAAAGCCACTCAAAATACCGTTCAGGCCGGAAGGTAGCTGCATCAGGTCCCCAATAGGATGTCGAGTAACCCATAACGTAGGGTGATAAGAAGATGGAATCACCTTTTTTCACAGGTGTTCCGGTTCCCGGAAGGACACAGTCCGCAGAGGCTGTTTTCAGATTGAGTGGAAGGTTTGCATGGAGACGCTGCAATGATTAAGCGTCAGTCTACTGAACAAAGCATTATAGTCCTGGCAAGGAAGCAAAAAGCAACAAGTGGCCCCACACAGCATACGTACTAGAGCTTCCAAGAAGGTTGCATTCGTGTACTTCAATTCCTTGAATGTTTCAAAAGTGTATTGACCGTCTTTACCCAAAACAGCAAGTAACTCAGCTCGACATTTCTTTTCGACTTCGGGATTCTGAGACATTCGCATGAACGTCCACTATGAAACGGAGGCAGATTGGCTCAAATGTAAATCTACTAGCTTGCGATCAAAGCCCTTACACCCAATGTTTGTGCAGTTGTATCTCGACCTGCAACGATGAAACTGTCAAAAGTGGGAATTAGGTCAGGAGAGCCCTTGTTTCTCTAAGAAGGCTTCTCTTACTTTAGAGTAATATCACGTAGTTGAGTGTCTGTCAATGGTGTTCCGTCATCATTTCCTTTGCTTATAAAAAGATCCAAAAGGTCTGAACCTTTATGACCAGCCGCAATCTTGTAAAATTGTAAATACACGGTATTCAGGCTCATAAGATTCTCAGGTTACCTTGGCGCGCTTCTCATCAACAACTTGCTTTGCAAAGTCGTTCAGAATCTTCAGATATCCATCCATTTTAGCACGATCACCGTTAAAATACTCCATAAAGGGCCAAAATGGAATAATGACTCGTGTCGACGTGATTTGGTTGGCTCCATCGAGTGCTTGCATGAAAGGTTCAAGTGGGAGGCTATACACACCATCGGCGTTGATTTCACCCTTTCCTTCTATAGCACTTGTTCTACGACCCGTTGCAATGAACGTGAAGCTATATGCAGTAAAATGGTCAGCACCTGGTCTACGGCCCACTGTTGCGTTGTCTGCCAGTAAGTTTTGTCCAAATCGGGTTCTGTGAGTACCTGTCAAGGGTAGTCCGTAATAACAAATCTTGCAACTCGATTATCCCACCCATTGATGCTGCAGTTCGAATTTGGCCTACCAACTTTTGTGATTCTTCAACAAAGACGTTACTGAACAAGTCGCTAAAGTTCTTGGCACTGCAAAAAAGAAGTATCAGCACACACGCAAGCCAAAAATGTGTTCAGGAGGATATCAAATAATTTACTTAAAGATATTTGCACTGACTTTACGAGCCATGCGCCACTCTTGGCCATCGGAATTGAAAATCCCATGGCCGAGGAAGTCATTAGCAAGCTCACGAAACTTGTCACCCTTTTCGAACAAGTATGGATCTAGAACGGAAAGGAAAAATGCGTGAGCAGAACTAGACTGGCGCAGCGCGAACTATTGTGTATGCTAGCTGTGAGGAACAAACCACATACCTTTGACGATGAATTCCACATCTTGCACGTTCACAGTTAACATGGAATTTTGGAATGGAAGAGTAAAAGCGGCTGCTTCCCCAAGCTCTCTGCATTTGTCCTGAATGTCAGAATCAGAAGATTATGTTAGTGTGGCTTCTTCGACACATGCGGATTCAAGACAATGTTTTCCAAGCATGTCAGAAGAAGAATATAGTACAAGTTCAACATGTGTAGACGGAAGACAAAGTCAAAAAATTGACGGCCCCGTGGCCAACACGTATAAGAGGTAAACTTGACAAGTAAAGTAACGTACAACCAGCCATTCAACCCTATATTCATTCACAGCAATCATTTCTAGTGCATGACCGAGTAATGGCGAAGGATTCTTTAATAGCGGAAGGCCCATTGTTTTGGGATCTCTTGTTCCAACAGCACGATCCTTGTAATGATAAACAACTGCAGCAATGCCAACTACAACAGCTCCAGCAGCCAATGAGATCGGCAGCGCATAACCGTGGTTCTTTCGGACATTAATCCCCAAAGTCCCTTCCATAGTTGCGACACTCCAAGATGTTGCAACAAGTAAAGAAATAGATGTATGCAATAGCTATCACTCTGAAGGAAGGACCTTAGTTCGGGTGATGAATGATATAAGCTGGCTCTGTAATCCTCCTTCAGCTCGTCAACGTGGGGTCCTCTAAGCTAGTTGCAAAGTTGCAAGCTTTTCCTGCAACAATCATGTGGGAAGGAACCATCAAGATGGACAACGATCTGTCAATGCTTAGAAATTCAAAATACAAGCAACGCCTACAAAGCGCCAAAATGAGACCTGGATTCTTAACGTTGGGATTGTCCGCTTTGGCACGTTTTTCTAGTGAGATCAATTCCTTTTGTTATATAAGCGATCGTCAACCGCACAATTGATGGTTACTTTACTTTTTTCTCTCGCTTAGGTTCTGAACGAGATTAGCGTATTTCTCGATCAATCGGTACTGTGCGTTTTTCATTCACAATGTCACTACATATCACCCTTTTCCGCCTTTAGGGCATCTACCCACCAAATCCCACGATCTCGGCGCGTTAAAGGACGTATTATGGACTACTAACACGTATAACATATGCATCTACTCTCTGCTTTACACGTCCACTAACTGGCTACCTGCTATTTATCCCACCGAACAAGTCCAACTTCCACACACTATGAGAAACAAGAACGTGAGTTTGAGAGAGCGGCGATAAAACGACGTCTGTGAGAAAGGTCAGGAGACTGACATGTCTCAGAATTCTCACTCAGTACTCAAACAGCAACATCTCGATGTTCACTCCTGGTCCGAAAGCCATAATACATCCCAGCTTCTTCGCTCTTAAAGCAGCGTCCTTATTGTTCAGTAGGGCTCCATCATTCTCCTCTGTGTCACTTTCATTCTCGTCTTCTAAATCCTCAACTCTCTCACCCTCCAGCCCACGAACAAACTCATCAATTACAAACCCAATCGTTGCCGAGCTCATATTTCCGTAGTTCTTGTATACCGTCCAGCTCTCCTTCAAGTCTGCTTCACTCAACCCCAACGCGTCTTCACAGGAAGTCAAGATTTTCTTTCCACCGGGGTGTAGTAGGAATTTACTGATATCCGACCTCTTCAAGTTACATTTGGCAAGGAAGGATTCAATTACAGCGGGTGCCGCGTGGCCGACTCTGTCTGGCACGAGTCTATGGATGATAGGGGTATAGGCGGGAGTGAGTATTACGTTGAGAATGGCGGTGGTGTCAGGGAGGGTGACGGTGGCTGCTTTGAGGATTTTAAACCGCGGCGTCGTAGTTGGGAATGCGGTGCGTGTCGATGATGCTGTTGGGGTTCCGGGGGGAGTGAGCAGGGAAGGGTTGGATTTGTCTGGCGTGGTGACGATGGCGGCGAAAGCACCGTCGCTGAAGAGGAGTGCGGCGATTTGCATTTGCAATGATGGACCTGCCTGCACGGGCAGAAGTGAGGGAGAGGACGTGAGCTCTGGAAGAGTTGAGGGTAAATGGTAGTTGCTTTTGAATAAATACCTTGTATTTGTCATCGAGAGTCTGATGACATTTAAAAGCAGAAGCGAGCAGTTTCAATTCAGAATCAGTATGATTTCACGTGCACCCTAATCACTGGAACTTACATGTACTGTGCACGTCTCAACAGCAACTACCAATATGCGTCTCGTCTCTCCCTTTGCGTACGAATCGTGACACATCTTATGAGCATTCGCCAGTCCTTTCGCACCTGCATGGCATCCTCCGGGACCAGCAACAGTCGGGACATTGTGAGTTTTGGCCTTGTCGGGTAGATTTATAGCCTTTTTAAGGAGACTTCATTGGAGAGGAATTATTGGAAGTTGAAGTTTAGGAGAGAGAGTCTGAGCAAAATGGCAGTTTCATAACAAACTCACGAAATCTGTTCCATAGGCATTTTGTCCAAGTTGTACACCCAACTTATAGTAGTGAAGACTGCGAAAGGGGGAGGTTTGTTAATATTCTGTTGTCTGGCCACAGAGCACTAACAACAACGAGATTGCTGATTATTTACCTAAATCGGTGATGTCGCTCATCTCCAGACCGGCGCCCTTTACCACATCAATACAGTGCTGAGCGAGGACGGGAAGCATAATATCAGTCGAGACATTGAATCGTTGTCTTAGGTTCATTGGAGCCATCCAATAAAAATCAGATTCTTGAAAAGACAAAAACGATGGTGTCGCGAGTTAGGATCTGGGGGTAGATTTCACACGGTCTGTGCATCTGTAATACATTGCCACGACAACAAATAAAACTTACTGAGGTCTTGCCAAGTTCGACATGTCTGAATCCCACATACATTGGTCAAAAGAGCGAAGCGAAAGTAAAGAGTCGGCATCTTCTTTCCCCACTCTCGAAACAGCTGTCCAAACTCCCCTTTGCCCTTTTGTAGAATGTGTGACGGTCTTAAAGGCTGTAAAGTAACCATTTTGGAGTTGGACACATCATAGACGATTTCAATTTGCGGGGGATCTGGAAATACCAGCGTTGAAGTCTGCGGATGAATGAGGGGGAATATGAATAAGATATAAGAAGAATGGACCTTGCGATTTTGTCCCTAAATGGTCAACTTGTGTCAGTTGGGCAGGCGTTTCGTACCTTTTTCAAACGCTCCCGATTCTCGCTATACTCGAAAACCGCGGCGACAAATAAAGCATATGCTCCCTGCCACATAAATCTGATCTCATCTATTCCACATTAGAAGGGTTTATCAGTCAACTGAAATCAGATCGGAAGCAAAAACCCCCAGACGAAATACATCAAATACTCGTTGAACAAATCTTGGCGGACGTACATAGCGTTTCAAAAATCCACATACACAGGGAGTCAAAGAAATATCTGAAGATTCCATCCATAGAAGATTCACCGGATCGATGAGACTTGACTGGTGCTTTTGCTGAGATTGGACTGTGATGGCCGTCATTGCCAGAGTTCTTTGAAAATACATTTTCAACGTCCAATTTAGCAGAAAGAATTGTAGGTCCCGGGAAGGGCATAACTTGTCGGGCACCTAGTGCTTGCTGCGTCATGTTGTTTTAGAAGCAGCAAACGTACGTCAGTATACCGACTAGGGTCAATATTCGGACACAGTCAATAATACTAGACACGGCCTCGTTCTTTTGTGCCTTCTCGCTTTATAAAGAAGAAACTGATATTATGCTTTCTACCCCGCTGAACATTGAACCCCAGCGTTTCAGTTCCCGCAAAGTTGAAGCCAAAATAGTATAAGAGTACATCAACAACTTTTATCAAAGGGCAATTCGTACGATGCCGATTTTTGGAAACCGAATTTTGGTTGTGGCTTATTCTGAGAGCGAATGGCTTGATCGCAATGAACACCTCGATAAACAGCATGAAAACGTTTTAACATAATTCAAGGAATCTAGGATAAGTGTAGATCGACGTGGAACCCTATCTGTCGCGTCTTGGCTTTGATTCTTTCGTGTTCCAAATATGTTGACTAGCTAAACCGACTGTACTTCGTGTATTTGGAATATCAACATTGTACTCCTCTCACTGGAGGAGAAGAAACTCAAGTGTTTCTCGAGTTCGAGGCCAACCTAACCTTCACTAGATAAATGATAAATCAGTTCGTTTTTCGGTGCAGAAGTAAGGACGTCACATAATGATAGTAAAAAGGTCACCTCAATCTCGCGTGGGGTGGCGATTATAAGTCCCATCGGATTCCTTATGGACACGATCTCTTTCAAATGCCACCCTGTACTCTCCAACAACTTCATCCACTCTGTCGCTGTTCTCTCACGGCTGTTAAACATGCCCTGCATATGCAGATCACTACTGCCCACTAAGTAACCGTCCATGGCTAACAGGGAAGGTGAGTCATGAGTATGACGAGGGACGACCATCTCCAACATGACCTGTAGCTCACCATATTGATGACGCATGACAATCTCAATCAAAACCAAATACTTTGGCCTTGGCTTGGCAGCGTGCAGGACCGACAATATTTTACGAGCCGCCTCATCATCCCAGTCGTGCAGAATCGTCCTCAGAATGCAAACGTCTGTGCCCGGTACCGATGAGAAGAAGTCGCCTAGAAGAAGGCGAAGTTTGTCTTGATTCATTTTTAATGCTTAAACAAAAGACACAAGTGAATTACCTGGACAGAATCTGACACGATCCACCAGCTCAGGATGCTTGGACGACCACAAGGTCTGGGACAGCTGAAGGACGTTCGGACGATCCATTAGCAGGCCCTTCACACCAGGATATTTTTTCAGAAGTTCAGCCAAAAAGTGCCCAGCTCCACCGCCCACGTCGCAGACTTCAAGCCCACGAAATCTGTTCCAGTCAAAATCTGTATGAAGCAAGCGAAAAAAGTAGCTAAGAAGAGATGCAACTCTTCGCTCGACAAACGATATGTTCTACAATCATTTTCCTCCCAATAAGGTCATCGTACCATGCAGAGCCGGCTTTTGGTTGAAATGTCCCGTATTGCCCATAGCAGCGGAAAACGTTGCCAACTTCTCCTGATTCCCAGGAAGTTCCAAGTAATCCCAAAAGTTGACACCAGCCCATTTTTCAAAGCTTGACACGTTTTTGCCATCCAGTGCTCCGTTGCCATTACTTTTCGTATCCCCATCGCGATCTAATCCTACGTTGCCTTTATCCCCGTTATGCCTGGATTTGTAAGAAGACTTGGGTGATTTTGCAGAAGACTTTGGCACGATGACACACTCGTCGTATTTTTCTTGAGCTTGGTACCCGTCGCTAGACCTAAATAGCAAAATGAGGGTTTAAGTAGATAGTTGTGAAATGCATCTGGTCTACGATGCGAGAAAAAGTTTACATAAAGAGAACAATGTCTCGGACTGTCCCAGGATGGTCAACACGCAAAGTGCCCGAGATGTGGTTGTTGCGATAAATTTTTGGAGCCGGTGAATAAAAGATATGAATGTATGTGAGAGCTCTCAGACAGCGATCTAAAGATGCAGAAGCGTTGTGGGTGAGATGGTAGTGAGCGATTGACGTGACGGCGGCGAAAATGTGAACCATGGCAGCGAAAGCAGGGAGCTCCAGAACACGAATTGTAAGATTGAAACCGTACCTAGAGCATCAGCATCTGCGCCAACCTCTTCAGCCAACACGTTTACATGCATGCCTTGCGGGTGCTTGTGTAAGACATCAGCAACTTTCAGCTTTGCAACGACCAGTAAACTCTTTGAATGAATAAACCCCATAGAATAACGGAGGATTGTCAGATTTGCCGGCCATAAAAAGTCCTAATCGTTTGAAGAGTGAGCGTCAGTGAGATATTCTACTCGCACACAATCGCCTTCATTCTATGTCCCTTACTACGAGAGCTCGGAGGGCGTGGATGATACCAACGAGGAAGTAGAATATCCACGGAGGTGGGAGCAAGTTGAAGTAGTCGAACGACCTGTCCTTCGTTCTCATTATGTTGGGCTGCGACTTGTGCAAGCAGAATCAGGAAGAGTTTAAAAGGGACCCTTTAGCGAAAAGGAATCTAACCTTGGCCAAAAGGTGTATAAATCAGCTAATACAATAAACTCAACCCAAGACTTTTGAGTCCTTCCAAGCTTTCGTTGTAAGTTGCATTTTTATTTGTCATTTTTAATAGAATAATAGTAAAGGGGAACACTCCAACAACACTCCAACAAAATCGGCCAAATCTATAATTTCCAACCAATAAGCGAGTCCTGCCCCCACGACTAACAGAAACTGTCTCCCACAAAAACAAATATGAAACATTTCTTTTACGTGCTCCTTTCACTTCTGCACGCCGTTTATAATTCACGGTCGTCCTATTCTGTTCCGGAATCACCATCAACTGGCCCCACTTCTTTGTTTCTTTGTGAGTCAGTACCTGCTTCAAAAGGCCCTATATGAAATTGAAATGATAGGTTAGACACATAAATGTAAAGTGTGTTGCATATGTGTCACGTATGAAATTAAAGCGAAAAGGTAACTCACAGTTTTGATTCCCATCAAACGTCTACAGTATAATCACACCAATCCAGATCAGTGGTATCAACATTAAACGCTTGATCATCCTTCAGATCTGCCATGAGTTCCGTCATATTGTCGGCTACGAATGGACCCTTGACGCACCACATTTGTCGTAAATCGTCTTTGATTTTATTCCGTTGGGCATAAATTTTGCCCAGGATTGGTTTTTAACGGACAACTACAAGACCTGCATCTACGACATATCCAAAGAGAGTCTGCGAGAAGAACTCGTGGATATGATGTATAGTCTTGCTCTTGTGGAATTCAAAGTTTGGTTTCGTACTTGACGATTTAGTTTACCATGCTTGGCAACGAAGAATGGTTATTCGCCAAACCATTTAGACAGAGCGACTGGATTTATACTATAGCACAAAAGGGATGACATATTAGGTGACATCCTTGACGGCGACGCAAATGAAATAAGACTCACTCTCCAGAACAACAGTGGTAGATGACTAGTTCGTAAGCAGGTGACAGAGTAGTCTTTTCATCGAGTTGGTGGTAGTGTTGGTGGAAGTTGCTTCTAGCCGCCGAAACGTGTCAGCTTGTGTGTCATTAAATTCGTCTTTCGGACAAGAAGAAACTCTCGCATCCTTGTTCTCCTCATATTTCCCCAGCTTACTCTTTACGGGAGCAGAAGCACCAGCGTGAATTGTTTCAGTATTGGAGGGTGTCAGTAACAGTTTTGAGGGCCGATGAAGCAGCATTGAAAGCCGGGAGTGGTGCAGAAGGAGCAACGAGTGTGTTTTTAATAGCTTCTCGCTCCCAGACGGTAACCAGACGGTGATTCAGGTATTTGACTGGAGGAAAATGCCACACATTGTATATAGATGGATTTGTGAGCAAAGAATAAAGACAGACAGAGGGCGATGATTGACCTCAAGCCATGATTCACCTCAAGCCCAAAAAAACGACAAAACGTACTACTTACTCGTAGATGCAGAAAGTTGGTTACAAATGTACTTATTTTTCACAGCCAACATAAGTCCCGAGTTGACTATTCATTTCATGATCGTTTAGTTCGTTTCTGTTTCAATTGATCCCTCCTTCTCTTGTCAACATAGTGCCACATGAACGACAGCGCCAGAATGGAATGCGTGATGCCCGTTCCCAACGCCCTCATACTCCACGTGTCATTATGAGAAATATATGGAGCATCTAAATACGGACCACTCATTACTTGGCCATGAATGAATCGAGAGACAGATTGAGCCACGACTGCAACATGATATATGAGCATCCCCGCTCCAACTGACACATTCTCCTCCCCCTTCCACCAGGTATAGATGCCTGGTATTGCGCCTAGACACAGGAGTGATATGGAGAATGCCTCGACCACCTGTAGTTCCTGTGGTGTTTGCAGCCAGGGGAGCATGAGTGGAGGGCGACTGAATAGGAGTGGAGGAAGTAAATTAGCGAGGCCTGCGTAGGCTTCGATGAGTCCAGAGATTAAGAATACGTTGTATCGGTTGGCGATGAAAGAGAACATCTCTGATGGCGTGGGCTAGGCGTGGGGTCTTAGAGAACGAAAAAAGAAGTTTGGGAAAATGTATTTGTCAAGTCGGTTTAAAACAATCATCTCTTTGCCCGTCCCGTTCATAAATCATAGCCAGAGACTTCTTCATGATTTCACGCATGTAGGGATTCCCTATGGTGCGTCTCTGTGCCTCGAACATTCGCCAAAATCGATCAGCAGCGACTAAGGACCAAACGCCTACTAAGTGCCTTCACACCTGGAAATCAAATACAATATACGAATAGATCCGTCTGCAAGCGATTAGCATACAGTACCTTCTGGTCGTGGTGTACGAGCTTCACTTCAGATACTGTACTGCTTCGATTTGGTAATAAGTTGCTCCATGACCGTTACTCTGGTATGGGGTTGTTGCCGATCTAGAGGTTTATCACTTATCGCTTCGCAAATACCCTTTCTTAGACCTAGAGCCGTGGAACAGTTACAGTTTACAAATGCTTTGATGTGAAACCATTTGTGTTGCCACTTTGATAAGAAGCCTATTGTGAAAAGCGGCGATACCACAACCGCATATTTTGAAGATATCTGGAACGTTTCTAGTACACTTTCAGCTGCATCTCTTCCTCTACGTCTTCCTTTCTGGTGCAGCAGCGCTTCATAACAATCCAAATGTTTCAACAACTCTATTGACTGAATTTGTTTCTGTTTTTAAGGAACAGCTACAAAAAAATTCTTGTGTTAATATATAGAGATGATGGGTTTACTGCTCAGCAGTAAAATCCCAAATTCCAATATGGATTTTTAAAACAGCCCAACCCGTTCTTGGGCTCCTTCTTAGTTCTTGTCATGCTTGTTTTGTTGTAAGGCTTGGACGTCTGCTTTCGTCATCTCGATCACCAAATCCTATTGATTGTATGGACTATTGTTAGTATCCTGCAACGTGAAGCAATCAGAACGGCCACTACACCGCAGGATACAACTCACATTGAATCCGACCTTCCTAGTCCATCCCAACAGTTTTGATGCTTTGGTTGGATCACCCCAAAGCAAATCGACTTCAGTAGGACCTGGAAACCAGAAAAGGCCATATGTATCTAGCAGTATGTTGCGACGTGCAAACCCAACACCAAACGACTTACGGTAGTATCGTGGATCAATTCTAACTTTAATCTGACCAGTCTTTGAATCCTTTCCAACTTCATTTTCATCTGCTCCTTCCCAGTCAAGACTGACGCCCACCTCAGCAAATGACTTTTCGACAAATTCTCGAACAGTGTGGGTTTCGCCTGTAGCCAAGACAAAGTCATCGGGTTGCTCTTGTTGTAGCATTAGCCACATGCCCTGTTGAGTGGATTTATTGGCGGTAAGCAAGATGTGAAACAAAAAAAAGTACTGGCCAGGTACGAATGCCCCCCATCGGACTCACTTCAATGTAATCACGAGCATGACCCCAGTCACGTTTGGCATCAATGTTACCCAAATACAAGCATTCTTGATATCCCAAATGTATATTTGCTACAGCACGAGTGATTTTACGGGTGACAAAAGTTTGACCTGTGATTTAGTAGTTAGACGATGATTCCTTAATACAAAACTTCCTGATGGCCTTCTTTTTACCTCTTCTTGGAGACTCGTGGTTGAAAAGAATACCATTGCAAGCATACATTCCATAAGCCTCACGATAGTTCTTTACAATCCAAAAGGCATATAACTTGGCAACACCTTCAGCAAAGAAAAAAGCAACAGAGTCATTTAATTGTGCATTCAAGACAGCAGACACAAAATGATATAGTTACCATAAGGACTTCGAGGGTAGAAGGGAGTTGTTTCTTTCTGTGGAGTTTCGACTACCTTTCCATATAATTCTGACGTGGATGCTTGGTAAAACCTTACACGGTTTGATAATCCACATGTTCGGATGGCATCCAGTAGTCTTAATGTGCCTAGACCGTCGACATCGCCTAACACCAAAAAAGGGAAGCGTCATCATCCGTGTTGTCTGTGAATCAAACGCTTCACCCCATTACCAGTGTATTCAGCCATATCGAAAGAGACCTTGACGTGCGATTGAGCACCGAGATTGTACACTTCGGTTGGTTGTACTTTGGCTAGGATGTGGACAAGATTGGTCGAGTCTGTCAAGTCTCCATAGTGCAGAAGCATTTTTGGGCCTATCAGCAGATATGCATATTAGATACTTCCAAATTGATGATTTGTCTAGCAATCAACGTACGGTTGTGTTGGTCTTGATACAAGTGTTCGATACGGCCCGTGTTGAAGGACGATGAGCGTCGAATGATGCCGTGAACAGTGTATCCTAATACAAAGACAACCATTTAATATACGAAGGTTGTAATCGATAGTCCAACTAGCACACCTTTCTCCAATAAGAATTCAGTCAAGTAAGAACCATCTTGTCCAGTAATGCCTAACACATTTGCATTGGTTTGATGTTAGCCACTTACACGCCAGATGAAGTCAACAAGCAACGACAATATGCGATATACATCAAAAGAAACAGCGAACTATCAAACCATACCAGAAATCAAGGCAACTTTACGCTTCTTCCATTCCTCATCGGATATCGAATTGACCAGACCGATTTCACTTGGTTCAGCGACAGCGTGTGAAGTCATGTTTTGTCTGGTAGTTAGGGATAGATGTGGACTTGATAGCGGACTGGCAGTACGTAGCAGTCGATAATCTATGTACGGGGCGAGTGGTTCAACTGGTATCAATATCCAAGCAAAATTGATGGAGAGAATGATAGCTGCGAGGAACTGCGATGCGATGTAAAGATAGTTGAGGCACGTGGATAGTGGATTGAGAAGGTCTTGAAGATGATAAATCTAAATAGTTCTGGGTTGAACGTCTCTTCTTGGACGTGTTTTCGGCGTTTGAATCGAGAGTGGTTGAAGGTGGTTGATGCAGATAACACGCATTGAAATAGCGCGAATGTAAGGATGTAAATATGATTTAATGATGCGTTGGCTCAATACGCTACGCGTGCGCCGCAGATCAAACATCTCTTTGCGGTGTAAGATGAGTGAACTAATTCCACCCATTGTAAACGAGGAATTGTAGCAAGATACAGGAGCCACAGTGAGCAAAATAGTCCGGCATCATGTTCATTACGTGACATTAACGCGAAATCGACTGTAATAAAGAGTGATCGCACCCTAAATCCATCCTTTCCTTCCTCTCTTCTCCCAAAAAATTTAAAACCCAGTTAAGTCCGAACAAAACATACATAGCCAGAACTACTCGCTTTCCATTGAAAGATCAGCACAATGGAGCGTAAAGTACTTTGGACGCCTGCTCCTAGCAATGCATCAACGGAGCTTAGCAAGTTTCAAGCTTTTGTTGAAAAGGAGCATTCGGTGCACTTTCGTAAGTCATCACAGAGGAATTGTGGTGCTGTTTCAACAATATATACTAACATTCTAAATCATGTATAAGAATCATACCAGGAGCTGTATCAATGGAGCACAGACAACACCACACAATTCTGGAAAGCCTGTTGGGACTATTGTCGGATCATTCACTCGCAACCTCCGAGCGAGATCCTAGATGCTACAAAGACCATGGATCAAGTGCCCGAATGGTTCAAAGTACACCAACCCTCAATGCTGTCTTGGATCCATTTCGTCGGCGAACTGATTTTGCGTTTTTGTCATCATATAGGGAGCTCGTTTGAACTTTGCCGAAAATATGCTCAAATACCGAGACGACCACGTAGCAATCATATCAACCGGAGAACAATTGACTCCATACTCGCTCACATATGCAGAACTGTATGACAAAGTAGAAAAAGTCGCTAGATCACTTCGGAGATCTGGTGTTTTAGTCGGTGATCGCGTAGCTGCATACCTGCCCAACACGGAACATGCCATAATATGCATGCTGGCCGCTTCTGGTGTCGGGGCAGTGTTTTCAAGTGCGTCCCCAGATTTCGGTGTACAGGGGACGTTGGACAGGTTGGGACAAATTCAACCAAAGCTCTTGTTTTGTGTCGAGTCTGTATACGAGGACGGAAAGCTACAGTCTGAAGTTGGCAAGCTGGTTGATATTGTGAATGGATTGCCGAGTTTGGAAAAGGTTGTGTTTTGTGGAGATGTTGGTGATGATGCTTTGAGAGTGCCTAAATCGTAAGCAATCCATATTCTACTCTTGATTCTTTTTTTGCTAGATAAACTCACACGTTCACCTCGTAGGATGAGCATGGACTCCTTCATACTACTATCCGCAGACGACACTACTCCGTTCAACTTTGAGCAGCTGCCATTCGATCACCCACTTGTCATCATGTTTACCAGTGGCAGTACCGGCAAACCGAAATGTCTGATACATCGTGCTGGTGGACTACTATTACAACATCGAAAGGAACATCTGATTCATACGTCAATGTCACGAAAGGATGTCTTTTTGTATTATACGACAACTGGGTGGATGATGTGGAATTGGCAGGTGTCGGCGCTCGCTGAGGGTTCTACATTAGTTCTCTTTTCTGGGAAGCCGTTTCTGCCAACTCCAGGAGTACTGTTTAAGGTTGTAGAAGATCACAAGTGAGTGCATTGGGAAAAAATACAGGTCGACTTTTTTTTCGCATTTTCCCAAACTGACGCCCCTGTTTTAATATCAGAATCACCAAACTTGGAATCAGCGCCAAGTACATACAATCAATACGCGATGCCGGCCTCACTCCAGCTAAATCATACGACCTGTCTTCCCTCGACACGATATACTCTACCGGCTCGCCCTTATCCTCTGAAGGATTCGATTACATTTACGAATTCATCTCCCCTAACGTAATGGTATCATCCATAACAGGCGGCACAGACATATGCTCCCTATTTGGCGCACCAAACACGAATATACCAGTTATTCGGGGACAAGTGCAGTGCAGAGGACTGGGAATGAGCGTTGACGTGTGGGATGATGAAGGGAAGAGTATTGTGGATTTTCCAGGAGAGCTTGTCTGTACTCGTGAGTACCTAGTGTGATTGAAGAGATTTTTTACATATCGCCTCACCAAAAGTTTTTTAGGGCCAATGCCATGTATGCCTATCGGATTCTTGAATGATTCAGATGGATCAAAGTATCGTGCTGCGTATTTTTACAATCCAAGATTTCCAAATGTGTGGTTTCATGGTGATTATGTGCAGTTGGATTCTGTGTATGGTGGTTTGGTGATGCTGGGTCGAAGGTATGTCAATGCGAAAAATCCCGCCTGAATACAATTTATGGTACTGACACCACTTTGTTTCCAGCGATGGAACATTGAATCCACGAGGTATTCGTTTTGGAAGTGCTGATTTATATACCATTGGTAAGTTCAATATTATTTTATTTTTGCCACCCTTCGAAACGCTGATGAAGTCCGATACTTAGTGGAGGACTTTGTGGAGGTGATGGATTCGCTGGCTGTTGGTCATAAGGCGTCTAACAATGACGAGGTAATGCATGGGCCAGCTCTGAGCAATCCCAATTTTTGCTCACACGAATGTTTTGTTAGGTCGTGGTACTGTTCCTCAAAATTAATCCCAATTTCACATTCTCGCAAGAATTGGTTACTCATATCAAGGAACGAATCAGCAGTCAGCTATCATCAGCGTAAGCACTTTTAGAAACGTATACAACCCTAGCAAAAAAATCTCTAAAGACCACTATATATAGGCACGTCCCTGCAATAATCATGCCAATCGCCGACATCCCCTACACCCTCAGCGGCAAGAAGACCGAAGTTGTCGTAAAACGTCTCCTAGCAGGCACACCACCAGCAACAACTTCCGCCCTCCGAAACCCAGAATCCATCACACACTTTTTAAACCTCGACCTCGACACCCCCATCACATCAACATCATCCAAACTCGCCAACGACAACATCGCAATCGCAATCTCCGAAATGGCAGCAGCAGCTATAAACCAGCCAGCTCTATCAGGACTTGATTTCAGTTTCGCTGAAGCTGGATTTGATTCGCTCACTGTGCTACGAGTCAAGACGTTTCTGAGTGAAAAGTATCAGTATCTGATTGACGCACATGCGTTGTTGCTCTTTGGGACTAGACCGTCGACGCTGTCAAGGGATATTAGGGATGCGGCGTTTAGGAAGAATGATCCTGTTACGACGGATGTGACGGTGTCGAATGAGAAGGCAGGATCTAAGGGGCAGACAGGGTCGTATGAATTGTCGTTGGCGGTTCAGAGACTGGCTGGTGCGTGGGTTGGTGCTGCCTTGTTTCATTTGCCGATTGTGCCAGGGATACTGAGAAGGAGGATATCGTTTGAGCTGAATACGTTGTTTTTGGGAACTGTTGCTCTGACGAGGGAAGGGGAAGCTGTTGATGGTGATAGACTAAGGAAAGCGACGACGAAGCTAGCCCAATTGGTATGGATTCAAACTTAATCTTGAAATTTTTTACTCTGTGTACTCCGTGTACTCACGACACTCAACTTTTTCTTGCTATTAGCATCCCGCACTTCGAACACGCGTCGACTTTCTCGGATCCAAATACGCAAAGAACATTCTCGAGCCCATTGCTCGAGTATTAATGCCAATACAAACTACAGCCGTCCTGAATAACCCAGAAGACTCCTTTAATCTCATCAAAGCCTCTGAAAAGGCCATACACGATATAGCAGCTATTCAAAAGCTCGCAGCACCAACATTCGCAGGCTCGAAACGTATGGGTGTAGTCATCTGGAATGAGACATCGTCGTTTGTGGTGCTTGGACTAAACCACATAAGCTTTGATATGGAGACACGGGAGATATATATCAGACATTTGAAGATGCTGTATCAGGATCCTGATCGGAAGGTAGTAAACCAAGTTTGCGGTCTTGCAAATCCATCTTTTGGAGTCTCAGCTCTTTTTTCGCTAGGACATATATCCAAGCAAACTAATGGATTGGTCCTTCGTATGGGCAGCAGCCAGATCCCATTTTGAACCTCTACCATCCAGGTTCCCTATAACGCGCGTATCCAGTAAATCCCTCATAACCACAAAGATTGACTACTCTATCCTAAGTGTGAGAATCCCACAGGGAGTAGCTGGTGTTGATTTAATGGCTTCATTGCTGGTACTCATGCTGCAAATCATATGGCCTATTACGAATAACAAGAATGAAAGGAGTGTTGGGTATTTGAGTTGTATTAATGTCGCCAAGGAAGGTTACAGGTAATCATGAATGCATCTTCTTACTATTTTTCTTGTTGAGTCGAATCGACCAAAACTCACACTCTGGTTTTTTAAAGCGGCAACGGCCTCATCGAAACATACTCGATCGTTCAAATCCCGGAAACACGCACCCTCCAAGCGCTCCTCGCAGCCTTCAAATCCCGCAAGACATACCTCCTCACCGACCACGTCGCGCATCCACACCGCTACACGGGACACGTATTCATGAATATGCGTATCCGGTCACACTCGGAACCCGACACGTCGCTCAAGAGTCTCAATCGGAAAAAGACATGGCCGATTGTTGCGGGCAGCATGTTTGTGCATTTTGATGTTTGGCCGGGTAGTGATAGGCTTACTGCACAGTTGTTGTTGACGCATGATTTGAAGAAGGGCGTATGTGAGACGCTTGGGAGTCGGTGTCAGCAGACTTTGAGAGAGGTGAGTGCTGCAACGAAAACCCTGTCTTTGGTGGGTGTATAGTGCATCGCACTTGCTTATTGACCAAATTGTTTCCTTTAGTGGGGTTTAAAATCTGAAATCATTATGACGGGAGAACTGCCTGTTTTGGGTTGAGCTTGGATTGTGGTTGTAAGAAGTTGTGAAGTATGGACTGTTGATCTCGGAAAAAAGTGGGACGTTATTTAACGTGAAGTAGTCTGTATTTAAGCAACGTTCGATATTTAAAAGGAGCAGAAAGTCTATGTAAAACATGCCGTATGGTGGTGGTTGCTTTGGCACTGGTTTGGGATGGCTGTTACGCTCATTGGGTTTACGCTTGCAGAACCAAAGAAGAACACGGCATATCAATACTGAATGAACTTTTCATATATTTGAAGCGTTTCAACGCATCATTTTCGCTGCATCTTCATGAAATTACCAGCGATATGATGAAATTAGCAATTGCAAGGGAAGGTGGCAGTGCTTTAACTATCAAACCATACTTGGTCAAGTTCACTCTAGCGCGTCGTACAGCGACCGATAATAATACAAAGAGCCTCAAACACCCCCTAAACCTCCCATACATCCTCGTCGAGAAGAACAGAAAAACCAAAAACGCCACTCAGAAACAACAGCAAAACGTAAGCAAACGTCCGAAAAAGAGAGATAAAGAGCACACAAATTTCCTCCGTGGGTCAAAAATCTTAAACAACTTTAGAAGTGGAGCATCATGGAGAGACGGGTTCTGTGGTCGCCAAAGGCTAGATTTCCCTCAGAGCTTAAACAGTTTCAGGCTTATGTGGAGAAGAGGCATGCCTTGGAGCACTTTTGTAAGTAGTAGCTCTTTGCGCAGAGAATCCGGCTCGCCAACCTTACTGACACCTGCGCACGATGTGTGTCTATAGTGACGTATGAAGAGTTCTGGCAATGGAGTGTCGACAACTTGGATGCATTCTGGAAGGCCGTGTGGGATTACTGCGAAGTGACTCACTCGGCATCTCCATCTGAAGTTTTGCAGACTGGTGTGATGATGGATGAGATACCAGAGTGGTTTAAGGTAGGCGGTTGTATCTCTTTGTTTTATAGATTATACGTGGGCTTTTCATGTACTGATCAAGCTTGTTTTGCACTCGCAGGGCGCACGTCTAAACTATGCCCAAAACATGCTGAAATATCGGGATAACCACATAGCAGTCATTTCAACAGGGGAACAGTTGACTCCACACTCGCTTACATATGCAGAGCTGTATGATCAAGTGGAGAAGGTCGCTAAATCGTTGCGCAAGTGTGGTGTGAAGGTCGGAGATCGTGTTGCTGCATTCCTCCCAAACACCGAATACGCCATAATATGCATGCTGGCTGCTTCTGCCGTCGGTGCTGTGTTTTCAGGTGCATCGCCAGATTTCGGTGTGCAGGGAACACTGGATAGATTAGGACAAATCGAGCCAAAGGTGCTGTTTTGCACGGATACGGTGTTTGAAGATGGAAGACACCAGTCTCAGATTGATAAACTGGAGGTTATTGTGCAGGGATTGCCGAGTCTGGAACATGTAGTGTTTTGCCCTTTTGATGGTGTTATTCCAGAAGAGTCGTTTAAAGTGCCTAAATCGTAAGCATTCCACGTCTGCTCGCTTGGGCTTTTATGCGCAATGAATTCTAACATATTTATCCTTTTTGTAGAATGAGCATGGACGCTTTCATACAACTATCCGCAGAAGACAGCGCTCCATTCTACTTTGAACAGCTACCCTTCGATCACCCACTCGTCATCATGTTTACTAGTGGAAGTACCGGCAAACCGAAATGTCTTGTACATCGTGCTGGTGGACTACTATTACAGCATCGCAAGGAACATCTGATTCATACGTCCATGTCACGAAAGGATGTTTTCTTGTATTATACCACAACTGGGTGGATGATGTGGAACTGGCAGGTTTCTGCTTTAGCTGAAGGTGCAACTCTAGTTGTATTTTCTGGTAAACCATTCTTGCCAACTCCAGGAGTGCTGTTTAAGGTTGTTGAAGATCACAAGTGAGTGCATGGAATCAATCTCCGTCTCTACTTTGACCATAAGAAGATTTTTTGCGTTTACACGCACTGAACACTACCTCCCACCTCTTCAGAGTAACCAAATTCGGAATCAGTGCCAAATACATACAATCAATACGTGATGCAAGCCTCAACCCCTCCGCTTTATACGACCTAAGCACTCTCGACACAGTCTACTCGACAGGCTCTCCACTATCTCCGGAAGGATTCGAATATATTTACGCTTCCATATCATCAACCGTCATGGTAGCATCTATAACAGGTGGCACAGACATCTGCTCTTTATTCGGCGCACCAAACACAGATCTCCCCGTCATTTGCGGTCAGGTGCAATGTAGAGGGCTTGGAATGAGTGTTGATGTATGGGATGAAGAAGGAAACTCAGTTATTGACTCCCCGGGAGAGCTTGTTTGTACTCGTAAGTACCTTAATCGTTCTGGAAAGTTTTCCTTTTGTGCGGCATCTTACAAGTTTTTTAAGGACCAATGCCATGTATGCCAATTGGATTTCTGAATGATTCAGATCACTCAAAGTACCGAGCTGCATACTTTTATAATTCCAAGTTTCCTCATGTTTGGTGTCATGGTGATTATGTCCAGCTTGACTCTGTGTATGGGGGTTTGGTTATGTTGGGTCGAAGGTATGTGAAGTTGATTCAGTGCCAAAAGAACGCATTTCTCAGATACAAACCATGTTACTGATCGCACTCTCTCGCTAGTGACGGCACATTGAATCCTAAAGGAATTCGATTTGGAAGTGCTGACTTATACAGAATTGGTATGGCAGATTTGAGGTTTACTATCTCGCACAGTTCTGATGCATCCGTTTTCTATCACAGTCGAAGACTTCCCAGAAGTATCTGACTCGCTTGCCGTTGGATATAAGAGTCCTAAGAGTGAAGACGAGGTAAAAAATATCGATACACTTTGGAGCCTATATCAATCAAAGCGATCTCACAACGTCATTCTATACAGATTGTCGTACTCTTCTTAAAAATGGAAGCTGCCTTCACATTCTCTCCGGAATTCGGAAACCTGATCAAGCTACGGATTAGAGAACAACTGTCTCCAGCGTAAGTTCAAGCTTGGACTCTTGATAACATGTTCTTAATCGACTTATTTCTCGCCTGAAACGTTTCTCATTAGACATGTCCCAGCCATCGTAATGCCAATCGACGACATTCCATACACATTAAGTGGCAAAAAGACAGAAGTCGTAGTGAAACGGCTCTTGGCTGGAGTACCACCAGCATCAGCCTCTGCCCTCCGAAATCCAGAAGCCATAAAATTCTTTTCCGACTTGCAACTCGATAAAGTCATTTCATCAGCACCAATGGTACCAGCAGACGATGAAATCGCGATGGAGATATCTAAAATGGCATCAACAGTCATCAATCAACCAAACTTGGTTGGTGGTGATTTCTGCTTTGTTGATGCTGGATTTGACTCGTTGACAATTCTACGCGTCAAGATGTATTTAGGTGAACGGTACCGATACCTTATTGATGCTCATGCTTTGCTGTTACCGGGCACAACACCAACGAGTGTCGCTAAAGATATAAGGGAAGCGTCAACTCGGAAGGCTGTGTACGGAGGTGGTAGTAGTGTATTTGAAGGAAGTGATGTCACGTTAACTGAAGCCAAAGGTGTACCGTCTCCATTCTCGATTACAGGTCCAATCGTGCCTGTAGTAGAGTCATCATCGTACGAGCTTTCCTTGTCGTCACGTCGAATGGCTGGAACGTGGGTGTCTGCTACATTCTTGCATCTGCCAATCTTGCCCAACATTCTTCGTTGGAGGGTAGCACACGAGTATTTTGTGCATTATCTGGAAACTTTGCCATTAGCTCGAGATGGTGAAAGTGTAAAACAGGCTCGTTTGACTATGGCGCTGACTAGATTGGCTGAATTGGTAAGTTTTCGTGATCGAGTCGATAGTACTCGGAATGTATCTCATCTTTTTCTTTCTTTGTAGCATCCACCATTACGTACGCGACTTCAACACGTCGGTACTAATATCCTGTCAGAGACTATTGCCAGTCTGATAATGCCGATAAAGACTACTGCTATACTGAATGATCCAGCAGCCTCATTTACTCTGGTCAAAGTGCCCGAGCACCAAATGTATGACTGGAACGCTCTGCACCGTCTCGTCCAGCCCACTCTATCTAAAGGTCGACAAATGATGGTCGCTGTATGGAGTGAAAGCTGCTCGTTTATTATACTTGGAATGGCTCATATGGCTTTTGACATGGAAACACGAGCTATCTACTTTAATCATCTGAAGCGATTGTACAAGGACTTGGACAGAAAAGTATGCAATTTGCCGTCTTCCCCGTTTTGCCTCTATGTTGACTCACCGCTCCTTTTTCAGGATGTTTACCCAACGCGGCTGATGGACTGGCCATTCGTGCTATCTGCAGCTCTAACACGATTCCAGCCATTACCAAACGATACACCCATCACCCGTATAACATCTAAAGTACCAATCCTCACAACAATGGACTACTTTACCATCAATGTCAAGATTCCAAAGGGACAATTGGCTACAGAGATGATGGCTGCTAGTTCAGTCGGAATCTTGAAACTCATTCAGGATTCTACTACTAGTAAGGGCGAGTTCTCTATGGGGTATCTTGGAGTTGCTGATGTTGCTAAGGATGGATATAGGTAAAGCATACTGTCTTGTCAACCAGCATTTTTTTTCACTCTCTTGTGTTATAGTGGAAACGGTACAGTAGAAACATACTCTGTCCTCAACTTGCCAAAGGACATCAACCAACAAGAATGCCTCGCTGTATTCAAAACTCGCAAGACATATGTAGTGCTAGACCACCTCAAGCATATTAGACGATATGCCGGCATGGTGTTTCTCAACTTGCGGGTTCGTTCAACACCAGAACCTGAAATCCAAATGAGATCGCTATGCACAAACAAGATTTGGCCCAACAATGGTGGTTCTCTTTGGATGCATTTTGATATATGGCCTGATTCAGATGTAGTGATGATCTCGTTTTGGGTATCGCATAATCTGAAGGGGGGTTTGCACAAGACGTTGGGTAGTCGTGTTCAGCATTTCTTCCATCAGGTAAAAGATGATTGAGATGTTCAAGGATAGTTTTTTTTGCTGACACGGTTCTTTTTGGTTAAACAGTGGGGAATGAAATCGGATATGACTGTTAATGGCTCATTGCCAGTACTTGGCTGATTAAAAAAATTAGGACCTTTATTTAGATTGGGACACATTCTTAATGGACAGACATCCAGCAGTATTTAAAGGATAGAAAGATGGAACACGTGTAAAACAATGAGAGGAAGAGACTCGTATCTAAGTAATCTTGAGAGACTGTTATTTTATTTTGGTATTTACGTAATAATAAAAGAATTGAAAGACAACCTGCAACGCATTTTGAGTGTTCATAATCAGTTCAACTGAGAGAGCAGTGAAGTTAGTGAGGTGCCATGGAAGGACTTGCCAGTATCCCTTCAGAGTATCAGTTGGGTTGTGTAGTTGGGCACTTAGTACAGTCTGGTCTAGGGCGAATGCAACGAATCACGTGAAAGTACTAGCATTGTGTTGCAGATGCTCTTGATTCTTCTTTACGGCAGTTCCTCATTCTTCAAAACACGGACGCCTGCCTCAAACTAGCACCATTTCAAGTGTTGTTTCTCGCATTGGGAGACTGCAAGGGTGAAAAAGGAGTAACCTCAAAACATAAAGGCACGTCTCGTTTGGGCGTCTTTCCCCTCGTCTGCCATATTTTGCTCCTGTTTTGCTGAATACACAGCTGTCCAACAAGAAACGGACAGGGATTGGTGCAGAGGGGATATAGAAACAGGATCCAGGCCTCCAGTCCAGCACCGGTAAGTATAGATAGCATGGCCGCCTGCTCACCATCATTCTACATAATACCAATTGTCGTTTTAGTAAGCGATTCGGCCAACTTACTCACCTTTTGTTTTTCTTCGCTGTAGGCCACGAAACGGCTCAAGCAGCTATGCCATGGAGGAGAATCGAATTATTCATCGCCCATCCACGCCTCTGCATGGCATATCTTTCCCAGCAAGATACTGACATCAAGTGTAGTAGCTCATCAACCAAGTTACTTTTGCCCATGGAGCATAAAAACTGAATGGACCTAGGACTATGACTCATCCCACCGTCAACAGATGGCATCTGCAACTAGTGGCGATTCGCACGAGATGCCATGCATCGTGCCTCAAACACTCTTCCCCATCGTGATCTATAGCCATCCAATCCGCAAGACCGCGGTTGGTGGTTGTGTCTTAGGGTCTCTTGGCTTCTGGCTGAGATGATGCCATGCAAAGCGAGGTGGCGTAAAGGCATAGAGTGGATCCACGTTTACGTGGTTGGCTGGTACTGCTGGTAGCTAGACCATAAAATCACCAAGTACCGGAATTTGGGTAAGTGTATTTGAGTTATATTGATATCTCAACATTGCTTTTTTGAACATAGGTAATGCAGCCAATGCCGGTCCCAAAAGACATCGTTTCAGTCGTTCTTTAGTGAGTGTCTTCCCTTCCTCGATTGAATCTCTGCCAAAGATGCAGTTTCACAGGGCGGATTGCTTGCCTAGCCTTACCAATAGTATATCCACAGCATCTTCACTCACAAAGTGCGACATTGCCAGTGGTTATTGTATCGGATGCACTGCTACTGTAGTCCCAGTCAGTGCCATTACTACGTGGTGACAGATACCAAAACACGAGCATATTCAAGGTGGATGATTTTATAACCGACACATCCGATGCCAGGTTGCCTAACTCCTTTTGCAGCACTTGGTCCAAGTATTTCAAACCCACATAAAGTCTTTTCAGTTTAACACGACGGTTCTACGTCCTTGAGCAACTACTTTACCACCTTCACGATATTCTACGTAGTCTTGCAAGACTACATAGTTCGACCGTTGTGGGTCTTTTTGAATAATTCATAGTATGCGGTAGCCCTTAAGCCAGGCGATACTATAGGCAAGATAGCTCTTGTGCCGGGAATTTTGGGCATCTCGTTACCATCTTCATCTAGCAAGATGACTTCTTCTACTTGGCCGCTCACAGGTGTATACTCGATTGCGGTATTGGCAGTAAGGATGGTTGTAGGTGCGAATTCAGTTACCAATGAAACCCACATAAGTTCGGTCTGCAAAAAGAGTAGCAATTAGTCACTCCATCGTAAAATAATCAGCAGACCAAATCGCATTCCTACCTGTGACCATTTAGCCCGTATAGAAGCCTTTGGAAACAGACACCAAGACTCCAAGCCGCCATAAAAGCGGCAGGCGTCACTATTTCACCAACTAGAATAACTATAGCTATATTATCGACTACTCGAGCTCCATCGATGGCGTCTCGTACTAGTGTCAGTATGCTGGGAGTGATGTGCACGTTTCGTACACCGGCATCTAATGACTTTATATAACCTTTCGAGGGAGTGGTTTCCATGGCTGCATCAGGTGGAGGTAACAACAGAGTTGATCGTACGTATGGAGGCATTAGATACAGTTGAAGTTGCGTATAAAAATGTAGGTGCTGATGAACTAATCTCCCATGCTTGTTGTTCTTTCTGAAGGCGCATTTTTGGCGTTTGACATACATGACTTGCAACCGAGGGAGTGGTTAAACGTTCGCGAAGATACTTTAAATACTATCTTAAATATTTTAAGAGTCACATGTCACCTCTTCAAGCTACAAATACACTCCAATATTCCGACTTGAATAGTTTATGATATAGGAAGTCCCTCTGCTACAACAGCTTCAGCCCGTATACCCCACTATAGGAATGTGTAATGTTAACAACAGCTTCACAAACCGACACACTTCCAAACAATGATTATACAAAGCAACATACCGATTCCAAAACATCCAAATACCGTCCAACCAGCGTATCTCTAACATCCTTCTTAATCCACCTCGACTTCATAATCGTAGCAGAAATCCGTCCCTCATTAGGAAAAATATCAAAATGCGCCCACACCATCCCCTGACTACTAGGCCACGTAGCCTGTGATATATCCCTCACATGCTGATCCCTCGGATGATGCTCACCATCATGAGTCCGCATATTCAAAAACACATGTGACCTATACTTGTTGATATTCCTATCTGGCACAAAATACGTCTTGCGTTCCGAGAAGGATTGCAGTGCTTCATCTAGCGTCAAATCACGGAATGGGATATTCAAGATATGGTATGTTTCGGCGAGTCCGTTACCGCTGTATCCTGGTTTAATTACGCCGAGGAGAGAGCAGAAGCCGATTGTTTCAGAGTCTGGGAGTGTGCTGGCTGGACGTAGGATTTGGAGGAGGCCGGTTGCGAAAGCTCCAATCATCGTTTCTGGGTGTGCGAGACGGGCCTCGAGTGTAAAGTAGTTTACGGATATTTGGGGTGGGATTAGACCACGCATTTTGAAGATGGGGATGTCGTTTGGTAGAGTTGGTAGGCTATTAATTTTCAATACAACATGTTAGTAAGACGAGGTCAACCCCACCAGCAAAAAGGACATCCCAGGACAAACTTATGTTTGATATCAAACTCACCGACGTGTAGATTCCTCCGTCATCAATTTACGGGTTAGGATACGATGTACTGGAATGTCCTGTGTAAGGGAGAGCGAGGGAGATTTGAGTTAGATTTAAAAACCTTGTCGATACACGCAAAAAAACACCAGGAAGTAGCCTTTGCAAACTAAAATCAACCCAGCAGCACAACTCCACAACAAAACACCCAAACCAACCACCATACCTTACGATCCAAATCCTCATAAAGCATCTTCAAATGCTCCTTATACAACCGATGAGTCTCCAACTCAAACACCATATGTGACATCCCCAAGTATGCGAAACTAACTGTGGGACATACAACCACCACCAACATGGTATTCAATCTCGACAAGTCATACTTTAAGATTCTTTGCAGCTTGGTGTGATCAAACATGACTTTTTCAGATACTGTGATGATTTTGTGTCCTTTGGCTTGAATCACGGCATAGTTGGTCATGCTTCCGAAATTTTGGGCGATTACTTGTGGGAGGCCGAATACGCCGCCGTAGAGTTGACGACTCCGGAGGACTGGATGCTGGTAGGGAATGTGTGGGTTAGATGGTCTGAATCATTAACCGTCCTTAGCGAGGCTTCTTTTGCAATTGCTGTTTGTCTCACCTTTTGACAGAGCAACTCGCATGCCTTGTCCAATCGTGGGATGTCAATCGACTTTGTTATGTCCGGTTGGAATCGGTAGATGAACTATGAAACGAAAATAAAGGTCAAAAAAGGCAACCCGATTAGGCACGAACAGCATATACAAGCAAAACGTCTCACGACATGTACTATACCTGAATATTGAATTCATAAATGATTCGACGACGATAATGGTTGATGATCGCACCAGCAAGAGGTATCGGGATCTCTTGATCGATATAAACAGCCACACATCGCTGTGCAGTCTGCGGCACCTCATAGACTGAACCAGTAGTGAATTCTTTGCTTTCATCAGCGTTCTGTGCATCTCGAATAGCTTTGGCAATAGTGCTAGGTTTCGTGTCAGGTTCCAGCAGCATCATAGCATCAGTGCGATATTGATGTTTGTTGCGCAAGTAGAATACAAGTCTCATGACACTGAATGAGGTAAATCCAGCTTGGAGGAGGTCGAAATCGTTACCACGTAAACGAGAATTTCCGATTAATGTGGCGCAGAATTGAGAGATGTCGTGTGCTAGAGCGTCGTTTGTGTCTAGTTCTGTGCCGGATGCTTCCATCGAGTCGTCAATTACTTGGTCGGCTACTTTCTGCAGTTTGGCGAGATGGCGTTTATATGAGACTGTCATTGGGAATGCGTCCATGTGTTTGCTGATGTGTATGTAGGCATTGGTTACCCCAGCTTGTTGGATTGCTTGTCGAGCCTGTACCAATACTATATCCACGGCATCACCACTCACTAAGTGGGACATTGCAAGTGTCGTTGTATCAGAAGCACTGCTACTGGAATCTCGTGGACCATTACTATGTGGTGACGTATACAACAGCACAAGCATATTCGACGTGGATGATTTCATAACCGCTACATCCGATACGAGATTGCCTAACTCCTTTTGTAGTAGCTGATCCAAGTATTCCAAATCCACATACAGTCCATTGAGTTTAACACGACGGTTACTACGACCCTTGGGAACCAATTTACCACCTTCGCGATATTCTACGTAGTCATGCAAGACTAGCATGGTTCGACCGTCGTGCGTCTTTTTGAATGATTCTGAGGTTGATGAGTTGAGAGCACCATAGTATCCGGTAGCCATTAAACCAGGAGAGACAATGGCCAAGATGGCTCTTGTGCCGTGGATTTTAGGTAGCTCGTTACCATCTTCATCTAGCAAGATGACTTCTTCTACTTGGCCGCTTACAGGTGTATACTCGATGGCTGTATCGGCCGTAAGGACAGTTGTAGGTGCGAATTCAGTTACAAATGAAACCCACATAAGTTCAGTCTGCAAAGAAAAACACAGTCAGCCACTCTGACGTAACAAGACTCCAACAAATGACTTTCGTACCTGTGACCATTTGGCTCGTATAGTGGCCTTTGGAAACAGACTCCTAGCCGCAATTAAAGCAGCAGAGGTCACCATTTCACCCGCCAGAGTGACTATATCTACATTATCGAATACTCGAGATCCATCGATGGCATCTCGTACTAGTGTCAGTATGCTAGGAGTGATGTGCACGTTTCGTACACCAGCATCTAATGACTTTATATAACCTTCCGAAGGAGTGGTTTCCATGGCTGCATCAGGTGGAGGTAACAACAGAGTTGATCGTACATATGGAGCATTAGATACAGTTGACGTTGCGTATAAAAATGTGGGTGCTGATGCCAGGTCACGTAGGGCGTATTGCTTTAGAGCAAATGCAGGTATAGATAATGGAGCACCGTGTGCGATTGTCTTCATTTTGATGACGGTTGATTTCGGGATTCCTAACATAGGACAAGATTTAGTTTGAAGAGCAACTTCGTCATACCATGATTCCTGTTTTCCTGTACCTGTAGTTCCAGATGTATGAGTGATCCAAGCATACAGCGGGATCATATCAACAGATTCATTGTACGTCTAGATCAAACATAAGTCAGTGGACATTACCAAAGTTGCATAGATTTTCTTTTTATTACGTACCTGTTGGGAGACTTGAGAAATGTCGACAGACAACACTCCGGGCATATCAACTGGGGTTCCCAGAGCCGAATACACCATGACATGGATATCAAGTCTTTCTGCAAGTGCCTTCCGTGTGGAGGAGCTCCAATCCTTGTTAAAAACACATGCTGTGCCTCCAATCAACCATATGGCATAGACACCCAAGACAAAGTCAATCTCTGCGGTTACATGCATCCCGTAAACCCGCATGATCTTGTTGGTGGACGATATCCTCTCTCCATCCTTGATGTTGTCGGAATGGGAAGTATTGCAATTGATCAACAATTGTGCTATCTGCCGAATCAACTGCCAAGCTTGCGAGTAGGATATAGTCCTGTTGCCGGCTTTGAGGAATGTCAAATCAGGCTCTTCACGAGCTACTTGGATGAGGACTTCGAGCGGTGTCTGCATTTTTGTTCAGCTCCGAAGGTTTTTCTAAAAAGTTGGAATAGTGAGCTATCCGTTCCAGCGGTCGCTCTGCGATGATATCGTGAGAAGCAGGAGTTAGTGCATGGGTATAGACTTACTGCCTCAAAATCGTTGATCTGGTTACTTTGCCAGTGGAGTTTCGTATGGTAGATTTTTAGGGTTGTCTGATGCTGGATGAGTCGGTAGTAGTGACGTGGATGCCTTTTTCAAAACAAACGGGCAATCCAGCTGATCCAACGTATAGAATTTCAGGTGACCTCTCTCCGCGCCAGTAGCTGCAATACTCTCCCAGCTTTTGTATTGATTTTCTGGTTGTTTGACGGTTTGTGTAAGGTTGCTTACGTTGAATGTCCAGCATGCAAGACATACACATCCGCAAATCAAAGTAATGACAGGACTCATCATCACCATCTGACTTGAGAGTAGAGCATAGCAGTTGCTACTTCATCGACTGCTTGTTTTTTGTTTCTTGATCTTTGATCTCTTGATGGTCTTGATCGGCGACACTTGTCGAGGAGCATTCGGAGCAATTTAGCACTTTACTACGCGTCTGGAATCTAATTAACTTGAAACAATCTTCCACCATGTCAATGTCACGTCCTTCATTCAACCTACCTTCCATTGTCATCAAAATCTATGTCACACTATCGCCGCGGCAACATCCAAAGCTTTTGCATCAAGAGACCTTCTTGAAAGATGCAAGAAGTGATAATGCGAGTCCAGAAGCTGCTTAGAAAGGTCCCTGCTTCAGAAGACAGGCAAGTTTCTATGCTGAGCAGCTTCTTAAACTATCATTGTCAAAACATATTTGAATACTCAACCAACATCGTTCCTTGCTTGATTCATGTAGGATCTCAAAGGATATCGCTTCAATCAAAACTGTAAGAACTGTTCATGCTCTTTGGCTAGGTGCTTTGCTTATTCATTCGACAAAGCTTAGCTCCTGACATCTAATGACGATTTAACTCCTTTATTGAATCGTCTTGGAGCTGCTATGGCAGACACCCAAGATCCCGCTATTCGAATCATTATATATCGACTTCTAGTGCTCTTCTTCACCCTCCCACTACGAGAGTCCTTGCCAGCAAATCATATTGAACAAGCATTGACTATCTTTACGCATGGTGTTGATCGGGGAGAGGACCAGGTCGCTGTTGGCTGTACATCCATGTTGGAATTGCTCAACTTTGTCAGTCGAGCTCAGTCTGGAAAGAGCACCATGAGAGCTGTACGTATAAGATGTAGATGTTTTTTTGACTGGGTATCTTATCTCAATTCTGTGACTTCACAGGCACTACAGTTACTTTCTCGATTACTTCACAAGTGCAAGCCAAACAAGAAAATTGCTTCCACTGAAGCTACTTTATTGGCTTTGGCAGATCGCCTATACTATGGAACTGGTATCCAGCCGTATCGGCTCTAGTTGTTTTTGCGCTAACACCAACATTAATTAGACGTTGAATGCCAACTACTACTCATCAAGATTCTATTCCAATGTGTTCCCAAGGATTTGGACAAGGTCGCTTCAGTTGCTTTGATTGATCGATTGGGATTCGACTTGTCAAAGGTAACAAAGTGAGAATCACCCATTTATGTGAGTAATGAATGATTCACCTTACGCAATACCCTGTGTAGATCCGTGCGGCAAAGTTTGGAGAGGACGCTCGTGCGCAAGTAAACGCCGTCAATCAAAGTCGTGATGAGGATCCAACAAGGTTGTACTCGCCAGGTCATTGCTCTTTTATCGCTTTTCCTCTCTAATATGAATCATTTTTGGTAGGCCTGTTTCTCTCAAAGTCGTCACTGTATTATTCGCCTCGGACAAGCCAGAATTAGAGTTGGTATGTTGTTCTGTCGATGAGGGTTTTCAGATTTCAGACATTACCAATAATATTAAAATTTTGTAGAGACATGAGACCTTAAATGGAGATGCTTGGCTGGACTTGAATGTTGAAACTGTTACTTGTACGTGGAAGGATATGGCCGTAAGTAATCAACAAGGTCGAAGACAGTTCTATTGCTGACACTTATTAGCTTATAGATAGACAGTCGATACGAGAGCATTACAGAATGGTCTTATGCTCCAGATATGACTTATGTCAAGTTTTCATACCGAGATCCACAAGCTCAGAAAGTGAGAAGTCTACAAGTGGTGTTTGAGCGTCCTGATCTGGGTATGCTTTGATATTGTGGTCACTTTTCTACGCTTCGCTGCTAATTGATATTCTATTAGAACGAGTTGTAGAGAAGGTGTTCACAAGTCACAATGTATCGGTACGATATCTGACTTATTTGAATCAAGTGGCATTCATTCACGTCCATACTTTTTTCTTTGCAGTCCAAGAAGCGGCCAAAAGCTTCAGTAATATTTCGACCAACAGCACTATCACAAGTACAACAACAGCCAGCAGCACGACCACCAGAACTACGAAAGTCTGATGTGCCAAAGAGAGCTCCTCATACACTAACACCAAAGACTGGTATGCGACATCGATCGTTACCCACATCATTCTCACCTGAAGGTGAAACTGATGGTGATGGTAATGCTACCGGTGGCGATGGAATGCGTGTACTAGATACGCAAAAGGAAGAAATGATAAAGCGTTTAAAGGAAGAAGCTGTTGCTGGTGGCGCAAAAACTAGAACAGGTCAAATCAGCAATGCTGCCACGAGCCCACTATCAGATTTACCTGATGATGAGCTTACATCACCACCACCAGATAAAGAAGCAGCAGCCGCAAGTAAAGAAGGAGTGAAGTCACCTGTCGCACGATCAATTCCAGCGGCCTTCCGTCCACTTCCTAAACGAACACCCAAAAGTGCTTTTCCACCTTTATCTAATATTCGAAACGTTCGTAATCCAATACCAAAAGCTGCATCTGCAACTGCAGCACCTCCTCCTCGTCATCCTGCAGCCGCGGCTGCTTCTGCTACCAATACTGCTGCTCCAAACAACAGGAATGTAGTCGACACGTCATCTCGTCGTCTTGTGGTGAATCTTCCTCCTCCACCACCAAGGAATGTACAGCCACCAGCTCGTACTACTCCTCGTCGTCACGAACAGCCTCCTCAAGCGAGGAAGCCTGTTTCGATTGCTCGACATATCAGTACTCAAACCTCTGGATTGCCTAAAGAGGTCAATGATGCGAAGATGGAATCTGATCCTCAACAAGTGATTGATATTGATGAGGATGACGAGGATGATGACAGTGATGATGGTGATGATGTTAGTGGAAGTAATTATGAGCCTTCAGCAGTCAAGGTAAAAGTTACCTCATTTCTGCATTGAAGGAAGCATTTATTTGGGTCATCCTAACTTTTCTTTTCAATCGTTTAGAAGTCCAAAAAGCATCCACGAGAACAGATGAATGTCAACAGCAAGGCTGTAGGACCACAGCCTCGTCGTCACCCACTACCTCGTCGTGAATCTCCTCTTCCTCCTCCTCCTTCACCGGCACCTCGTCGTCGAAGCAATAATAAGCCATCAATAGTACATCATCAGGAAGGTGCAGTAAAGGGAAAAAGAAAATGCAGTATAGTTAATGAAGAGCCCATAGAAGGAGAAGGAGGAGAGGATGACGAAGATAATGACGAAGATGGTGCGTTTGGTATTGCTCGACATGAAGAAGCACCTCGTCGTGCCAAAGAAAAGAATAAACGAGTACCATTTGCAACAGCAGCAACTACTGCTGCCAGTCCTGAAGATAATGAAGGCTTTCAAGACAATGACGATGAGGAAGAAGGAGAACAAGAAGTGAACAACATCAACAACAATAAGAAGAAGAAACAGAAAAAGGATGCTCAAAGTCTTGATGATCCTGAACGTGAAGAAGAGGAATCACCAACTCGTCTTCCATTCAAGAGAGCTTGGCATGGTCTTGAAGCTGTATGTGGTGTGCTTTATCCTTTACGAGGCTTTTTGGCCGACCAAGATTCCCATACGTGCTCACTCATCACAAATTCATGTATAGGCATTACAATGCAACATAACATTCCGCCTCGCCGAAGTATCAGCAGCTCAAGAAGAACTTGCACAAATGTGGAATGCTGAGCCCAAAACATTTGTACAAGACGGATTTGCATATATGGAACAAATCGTTTCAGAAACTATTCCCAGTATGCAAAAGCTGATTGAAGAGCCGCCAGCTAGGAAGAAGCCCAAGCTTGACTTTGATCGATTTGTCGTGAGTTGGAGTGCAACAGTCGTGTTTTTCGTGGAAGAAAAAAATCGACGGCGCAGCGTTATCCATTTCTTGTCTTTACTAGGCTGATAACAACCGTCTCTGGGACACTATGTTGGGGTTAAAGTTTTACTAGCGCAACGTTTTATCTAACCAATATTCACAACACACTCTGTTTTATCATTACTTCAGTGTTTAATTATTGTTCTTATGTATTTGATGCTTTACTTTGTTAGATGTACGGTTATGGTTGCAATTTGTAACAAAGTTGAATTATAAATATGAGAATTGTTTGATTAAGAATCTTAGACATCTCCCTTGTCAGGGCGTTTAAAGTTAATAGGCCCAACCGTCTCTGAAAAGGCGACACAGATGTGTCGTTCCCGACATATTAGCATTTCCAGCATGGTTGAAAGAACTGTCACGTACACGGCACTCTCCTTGGACTATTTGACCGACCTTGCCCAACGGAGCATCAACGTAAAGTCCTACAAAGACCATTTGGTTGATGACGCGTTAGCAAGAAAGAGCCAATATGTTATTTTCAAAACGTATGTCCAGTTACCGCCACCTTCAAACACACCTGGATACTAGCCATACCGTATATACGAACCTTCCCGAGATATTAACCTTCCACAGCTCTGACAACGTGACTGTAAAGCCGACACGGATAAGTCTCCTTCTAGAAGTAAATGTCATTCTCACAGGCTTAGGCTTGACAGGACTGTGGTGTGTACGAGCACAATCAGGTTGTCTAATAGCGGATCAAACAATGTTTATAGAGGAGATGAATAAAGGTTTATAGACACACAAGAAAAAGAAACACTATATACACTCACTGGGATGTGTTTCGCATACCACCACCACGGACTCATTTTGATCAACCAAAAATCATACTACACAAGTCTCCCCCAAAGGACATTTACTGTCCACAGCTCTGCAAGTCTCTATGGAGCCTACACAAATAAATCCAACTCCAGAAGTGAAGGCATTGTCAGGTCGTGAAAGCAGTGTCGTTTACGAGGCAGTCTCCTCACACACATTGTCTGACATGTTTTCCGAGTGCGTTCCTCTAAAGACAATGTGATGAAAGATGTATTAGCCAAAAAAAATTACTACAGCTTTCCTATTAGTACTTACCGCTACCACATCGTGACCTTTCCGTTATCATACTATGCGAGCCTTCCCAGGATACTTAAAGTTCATTGGTCTAAACGTCTCTATAAAGCCCACACAAATGAGTCTCGTTCCAGAGGTAATGGCATTTCCAGCATGCTTGAAGGAACTGTCATGTACGAGACAGTCTCCTTGTTCTATTTGATATAGCTTGCCTAACGGAGAATCAAAGTACGTTCCTAATAGCAAAACGCGGTGAAGTATGGTGAGCAAAAAACACTCAAGTAACGTTCATGATTCTGTGTGTTTCTTACCACCACCATCAAACTCATCTTCCCCATTCAACAAGACATTCAACGATAACAAACTCCCATCTGTATGCAGATCTAACGCCCTCTGACCATCCGTAAACTGATATTTCACAATAAAAAGATCCAAAAACACTAAGTCATCATCCTCAAACCCCAACTGCCTCCCCACCGGATTCAGCACACGTTCCGTTAACGTATGTCGTATCATGTCTGCTATATCAACGTCTAGCTTGTCTACTTGAATGTCCACGGTTGTATAGCTCGAGTGCCTGTCAATGCTGAATGTGTGTTTTGCGACTGATGCAAGTATAAGAGCACATTCATCACGAGTCCAAATACGTGATATTACTTTTGGGTGCAGCTTTACGGATGGATTTAGCACGTAATTGCGTCTCCTGGCCTCGATGTTAGCAGTTGGTTGTTGCAAAAGTTGATGTCGAATTGTTTCGTGTTGAGCTCGACGTTGAGCTTGGATTTCCAGTTCGGCCGTGTTTAGATCCGAGAACAGGTCGATATTGTTTTCTGCGTCCATGGTTTGGTGTTGGTTTGACACGTCACTCCCCCCTCTCAAAATAGCAAAGTTTGTTGGCAAAGTTGCAACGTGTTGAATGCGCTTATACCAGCACTTACATCCCAATAGGCAGATATAGACTGCCACTTCTTTACTAGAATGCTGATACGGCAGCCGATACTACGAACGCTACGGACCAATCCCTCACAATGGAACTGGATTCCATCATCGCCATCGTCACTGAATCTAGTTGTGTCAAGTCAATCACGTCTCATACACTCTAGACTCCTACCACCTGCAACAGCAACAACGAGTAATATACAGCAGCCATGGACTCGAGCTCCGAATCGCCTTATATCAACCACACCATCACCCCCACAACCATCATCACTAGTCCAAACCGCACTTTACAATGCATCACGGTCACAAAACTATAACAATACCAGTATTTCATCACTCTTGCTAAGGAATAATGCTCGACGTTTCGCATCGGATGCTAAAGCTGGTGCAGCTGCAGAAGATGGTGCAGAGACACCACCAGCAAAGAGAGGGTTGAAGGAACTTATGAAGGAGTATGGGCCTGTTGCTGTAGCTGTGTATTGTGCTCAGGCTTTTGTGGTGTTTTGGATTTGTTTTGCTTCGATACGCGTGTTTGGGGTTGATGAAGAGAAGGTATGTCTTGCTTTGATGTTGTCAAGCATGAGCTTTCAGCTCTGTATCTGAATATTGTGCTGTTACCTTTACGCAATTGCTCATGTATACATCATTGAATTGAAACGCTCGTTTGCTCTGAAGCTAACCTTTCGTTTAAACCCTTCTAGCTATCACACATATTCGACTACATCAAGAAAACACTCGGAATGGCCGTGAAAACCCCAGAAGAAAAACGTGAGGCCGCTGCAGCACGTAAACTAGAAGCTGAAGGACGTGAAGAAACAATGTCTGGATTCCGTAAATTCATATCATCGCCTGCATTCACCTCCTTTGCAACCACATTCCTTCTCGCAACAGCAATGACTAAGCTGTTTCTACCTATAAAACTAACAATAACGGCCGTGGTTACTCCTATTGTAGCGAGGAGGTTGCGGGCTGCTGGTATAGATCTGGGAATGGGGTATCGAGATGCTGCAAAGAGTGCGTCGGATAAAGTCAAGGATCGGATGCATCAGCTTAAGGAGTAGAGGTTTGGAGGGGACAATATGTGTATAAAAGGCCATTTCTATATATATAGACATTATATATCTTTGGATAGTAACACGACGTGTTTGTAGATTCTTCCCAAGTTCTTTTCGTTTTTTGGGTTGACAAGGGCAGGGAATGAGAACATGGATACGTGAATTGTTTAAATCCGTTGCATAGTAACGCACATTCACCATAATTTGGGCGTTCGACACGTCCTTATTGGTGTTGTCGTCATCAAAGCCAAAAGGTGCGATTTTCTTTTGGGCACTGAAAAACTGCTTTCAAAGCAAGAAACACCCAGGAACGCCAAAAGGGACTACTCGTATCTATTACCAGGTATGTGATGCATTGATTGTCCTCATTAGATCACGTTTTCATCCTCTGTTTTGGTCTTTCGCAAGCTTAAACTCGAATCACTCAACATTACAAACTCAGCTTACACTAGAATATAAACAAATGGCAAACCCACCACATGGAGGAGTTCTAAAGGACTTGCTTGAGCGTGATGCTCCTCGCAGAGAGCAACTATTAAAAGAAGCTGATTCGCTGCCTTCACTGACACTCAATGAACGACAGTTTTGTGATACTGAGATGATCCTCAGTGGTGGATTCTCGCCTTTGGAAGGGTTTTTGAATCAGAAGGATTATGAAAGGTATTTCTATTTGTTGTTGCTTTAGGGAGTTTGATGTGTTGGAGCTTTGTTCGGCAAACTTGTTTGAATGTTTGATCTAATGCCTTTTTTTGCTTTTTTTGCTACTAGTGTACTCAAGGAGTTGAGATTAGCTGATGGAACTTTGTGGTCTATGCCCATCAACTTTGATGTCAGTCAAGAAGAGGTGTGTATCAAACATGAGTCTTTGCGGAAACCGTTACTGTTGTCAGCTACGAACAAAAACGCTAATCGCATTCTCTCGCTTTAGATTTCATCACTACACATTGCTGCTGGATCACGTATCGCATTAAGAGATCCTCGTGATGATGCTATTCTTGCCATCTTGACTGGTAAGAACCCAGTAGAGCTCCTTTGATTCATTCATTGTACATGTGAATCTAACTACTTTTTCGCTATTGCAGTTGAGGATATCTACAAGCCCGACAAGCACAAGGAAGCTGAACTTGTTTTTGGTGCTGACGATGACGCACATCCAGCAGTCCACTATTTGCATAACTATGCAAAGGACTTTTACGTGGGTGGTAAATTAGATGCCATCTCTGCACCTAATCATTATGATTATGTTGAAGACAGAAGTAGGTCCTGTTTACACCCTCCTTGAAAACAGTTATTTTCTGCACGATACATGTGAAATCAGCTGTGGACCACAAGTTTCTGACATAATCATTTTCCATCAAACAACAGACACACCAGCAGAACTCCGAGCATGGTTCAAAAAACTAAACTGGACTCGTGTCGTCGCCTTCCAAACCCGAAACCCCATGCATCGTGCCCACCGTGAATTGACAGTGCGAGCTGCACGATCACGTCAGTGCAACGTCTTGATTCATCCAGTAGTGGGCTTGACGAAACCTGGTGATATCGACCATTATACCCGTGTACGTGTATACAAGGCCCTGTTACCCAAATACCCACAGGGAATGGCTACATTGTCGTTGTTGCCATTGGCTATGCGAATGGGTGGTCCACGTGAAGCTGTTTGGCATGCTATTATTAGGAAGAACCATGGATGTACACACTTTATTGTTGGAAGGTAAACAATCGTGCAGCCGCTTGGTCCTTTTTTTGTGGCTTTACTCGTGCCCATTCTCACACACTTTCATTACGTAGAGATCATGCTGGACCAGGAAAGAACTCTCAAGGAGTAGACTTTTATGGACCTTATGATGCCCAAGAAATGGTTGAGAAATATAAGAATGAATTGGATATTGAAGTAGTGCCATTCCAAATGGTGGCCTATCTTCCTGAAACTGATGAATATGTGCCAGAAGATGAGGTGCCTAAAGGTACAAAGACTCTCAACATTTCTGGAACAGAGTTACGTCGTCGTTTACGGGTATGTGTTTTAAAAGACGATTTGTCGATAAGACTGCGAAAAGTTTTTTTCTCCCTGTCCCAAAACACTAAATGAGACTCGTCTTTCACATATATAGGCAGGAGCACCAATCCCAGACTGGTTCACATACCCCGAAGTCCAACTCATCCTCCGCTCAACCGCTCCACCACGCTCAAAACAAGGCTTTGTCATCTTCTTTACCGGATTCTGGAACTCTGGTGCCAGTGCCATAGCACAAGCACTTCAAGTATCCCTCAACCAATCTGGACAACGCCCTACAACTCTACTCCTCGGCGAAACAGTACGAGCCGAACTATCGTCAGAACTCGGATTTTCAAAATCGGAACGTGATATAAATGTATCGAGGATTGCATTTGTGGCTGGTGAGGTTGCTAAAGCTGGTGGTGCTGTTGTGGCTGCTCCTATAGCACCGTATGAGGCTGCGAGGTTGAAGGCTAAGAAGACGGTCGAGGAGAATGGAAGTGGGTTCTTTTTGGTGCATGTTGCCACGCCGCTGGAGATTTGTGAGGCGAGGGATAGGAAGGGGGTGTATGCGAGAGCTAGGGCTGGTGAAATCAAAGGTATGAAATCATTGACGATTCAATAGTTCCTTTATTTTGTCATTTTTCATGACTTTGGGTGCCGCGTCTGACGTGGCGTGTACATGTTGGAGAGCCAACGTTTATATGGAGAATGAAGAAGTTACGAGCATCGTATAATTGGCATATTCGAAATGCCGTTTTTTGCTCGCATACTCACCTTCTACTTCACTTTTAGGCTTCACAGGCATCGATGACCCATATGAAGCTCCTTCCAAGCCAGACTTGAAAGTCGACGCATCAAAACAATCAGTATCACAAATCGTGCATGAAGTCATCCTCTTGCTAGAAAAGGAAGGTTATATCGGTGAACGTTAATTATCAAAAGAGTCGAGAGCAAGCAGGTTTGCCTCTATCCAAAAGATTTGGTGATCATTTTTTTCGTTTGCATAAATGCCCATATATAGACCTGAACAATATAGAACATGTTTTTCAGTCTTCAAACATTGTGTTTTGAATGTGAGTTTTAGTGAAAGAAGGAGTTAGTGAAGACGGGAGAAGATGCTGGTTGGGTGGTCGCTGTTCCGCATCGAGGATTATGGACATCTTGTAAGCAAGTTGTTTGGTTGGTGTTTTTTGGAGTTTTGTCATGCCTCACTAAAAGGAGCCTCGCTAAACTTTATTCGTTTAAGCTCTGTAGATTTTCCTCTATTATCGCTTCTCTCAACAACACTAAGGAGAACACTGTTCATCATGCTTCTGTGTAGAAAATTGCTCGATTCTGAATCCCTGATTGTTTCAGAGCAGAGGACCAGGAAACTGTTTCTCAAGAGACGAGCCCATACGGGCGAGATATGGTGAAGGTTGTGGTCGTTCTGTACAGTTTCACTGACTGGATTCAATCTCTGGGTGTCAACCGTTAGCCGCTCTTCTCAGCACCAGTATGTAAATTGAGTAGTCGAGACCTGCTACTAATGGAATTTGCTTGGACGTAATGTGCTTGGAGATAACGGCACGAGCGGATTCTTTACCATCGCTTTCACTTGATTACCGACGATTGCATACCACCGAGAAGATACTTTGTGATGGCTTCTCGTCTGTGCAAAGATTTTGAGAATTGGAATGATTATGGGAAGCTTCGTGTGATGTGGTTCTGGGGTTGGAGGGATGTTCGGAGCCTGGTGAAGGATCGGCCTAGAAACCCATCATCTTGTTTTAGCTCCAAAGTGATTTCAAAATCGATACCAAATCAACGTTGACAATGGCAGAGTATCAAAAAATTCGGAATACGAGTCTGCAAAAGCACAAGTCCTAAGCCTTGAGACACCGATGACTTGTACATAAGCATCTATAGATTGTCCTGCTACTTCAGCTGGTGTCTAGAATAAGAGGGAGAGGAGAGAGGTTTCATGAATGTGGAACAAGCATGGAATTAAGTCGCAACCAGACTATTGGGCAATGTTTCCTAATTGGAATAAATCTCATTCTCAAACATTACGACTGGGCATGACCAACCTTTCGAATACCCCGTGGTCTGACTACATAGGCGAATAAGCTCTTTGTATCAGTACAATAAATTCAGGCCAGCATTAACGATCCAGCATGTTCCACCATTCGCGGGACATGGAGTGAGTCTGCTCTTCCTTGTAAGAGAGCTGCATCTATGTGCTTCAGATCTCTGAAAAAGAAACACACACAGCATGCTCGTATAATCTTAAACTTCTGGTCTTGAATCTTGTGTATCTCGCGTACATGAATTCGTCCAAGAGTCTTTCAATGTTGAATGTTGTGTCGAGAGGGTTGAAGTCGACGACCTCTACGAAGGTAGTATCAAGTGAATTCACCAACCCTCTGTTTTTTTCTTCTTTCATGTTTAAGTGAACGAATGTCACAAAACCTACCTGGACATTCAATGCTCGTGCCTTTTCTAGATCTTTGCTCGTGAGTTCCATTCTAACAAGTTCCTTCAATTCAGTATGCGGCTTGGCAACAAACATGCTTTGTGTAAGGTAGTCAGAAAATGGTTGTGAAAATGGTTTGTATTTTTTGTTTTGAAACTTATGAGAAATAGGTAGAACAAAAAACGACAGTCAATGAAAACCGAATGCCGTCACCGATTAAGCCGCGATTGCAGCGGATATCTTGTCTATGACTTCACGAGCAGCGAGAGGTATCTTGGTGCCTTTTTGAAACGAAGACAGCAAAATGTTAGGAGTGCACAGATCAATACAAGAAAAACCCTTCCATCCGTCTCTTCCAATATCCAAAGAATCCTCCACACTCGTTACTCCGAAATACACACAACCACCTTTCTCCTCGTTATCTTACCAGGTCCAAAGATACTAGCAACTCCAGCCTTGTACAAGAAATCGTAATCCTGCTGAGGAATAACTCCTCCAACAACTACAATCTTGTCGCCAGCGCCAATCTTATTCAGTTCAGCAATCAAGGCTGGCACTAGTGTCTTGTGTCCAGCAGCTTGAGACGAAACACCAATAACGTGAACATCAGCATCTATAGCTTGTCGTGCTACTTCAGCTGGTGTCTAGAACAAAGAGAGAGGCTTGGTGAATGGCGAACAGGCATGGAAAAACAAGAAACCAAAGTGTGGGACAGTGTCTCCTGGTTGTAACAAAGTCATTCCGACCCGACCACATCTTTCACCAACACCATATTCTCATCGCAGAGCCAATATCATATAGGAGACACACTTACTTGGAATAATGGTCCAATATCAACGTCAAATCCAAGATCAGCGAATCCAGATGCAATAACCTTGGCACCGCGATCATGCCCATCTTGTCCCATCTTGGCGACCAGGATACGTGGTCTTCGACCTTGCTTTTCAATGAATTTCTATAAAAACATAATGTGAGGATGAGAAACTCTCGAAGTTGCACGAGAGAAAAAGTACGAGTACATTAGAATACATCGTGCCAACACGTACATCAACAGATGACAACGTCTCAGTAATCTCAGTACTGTCTCCGTACTCGGACTTGTATGCTCCACTGACTACTCGGACTACAGGGTTGTGACGTCCCCATACTTTTTCTAATGCCATGGATATTTCACCGAGTGTGCATCTTGCCCGTGAAGCCTGTATTTGCATGTAAGTGCAGATGTATATGTGTGAGTTGAGACGTTGCGACGATTGAATATTTTCGTTTCAGTAAGTCGATGACGTTATTTTATGCGTAGATAAAACCAGTGGTCAGCGTTCTCTCGCACCTCAATAGATAAAGCTAGAAGATTACCCGCGCCACCTTTAGCACATTCGGTCAAGGCATTTAGTGTAGCTTCAGCCTTTTCAGTTAAACGGATTGGGTTAGGTTGGCCAACTCCAAAGAAGAGAGAGAATCAAAGCAGCAATACCTTAGCGGAGTCACGGTCTGCCTTCACCTTCCTAATCTTCTCAACCTATAGACATGGTAAAGGATATAATTAAGTCATTGATCTCGAGAATTTGTTCAGCATACGCGTTAACCAAGCAATATGAGTTGTTTTTGAAGTTCGACCAAATCCTTGCATCCAAAAATATCCGTGTTCGATTTTTTGTCTTTACCTGAGCAGTTCGCACAACAGTATTGTCAATAGCCAATACATCGATTCGATCCTCAACCTCCATTCTGAACTTGTTTACACCCACAATCACCTCTAAAGACAGGAATGGATTAAAAAACAGTGATCTGCTTATACAGTGTGGCAAACAATCTCAAAATCACAACTCCCAATCATTGGAGATGTGCTTCTCCAAAACGCAACACTCAAATCAACCTCACCTTGTCCAGAATCAATACGAGCCTGTCTCCTTGCAGCAGCTTCTTCAATACGGAGCTTTGGCATACCGGTATCTACGGCTGCAGCCATACCACCTAATGATTCGACTTCTTTTATGATTTCCATGGCCTTGTCACAGAGAGCATTTGTAAGAGACTCCATCATGTAACTGCCGGCCCATGGATCAGCAACCTGTTTTGCGTAAAGGAAAGTAAAAGATGTCAACGTCACAGTTTCCATCAGCCGCAAGCAAATCGTATACGCGTACCTTGGGAATCATAGCTTCATTTTGAAGAACAAGTTGAGTATTTCTAGCAATTCGAGCACTAGTTTCGGTAGGTAGTCCAATAGCTTCATCGAAAGCGTTTGTGTGAAGACTTTGCGTACCACCCAGAGTGGCAGCCATAGCTTCAATCGTGGTACGAATGACGTTATTATAAGGATCCTGGTTACATCACAGCATTTTGACATGAGTTCGCAGTCGCAAAAAAAAAGTTGGTAATCCTATACGATACCTGTTCAGTCAAAGACCATCCCGACGTCTGACAATGCGTTCTCAAAAGGAGCGACTTGGATGATTTAGGGTTGAATTTCTCCTTAATCAGTGTAGCCCATAATCGACGAGCAGCTCTCAGTTTGGCGATTTCCATGTAAAAGTTCATTCCAATACCAAAGAAGAACGATAATCGAGGAGCGAATTCGTCCACAGTCATACCGGCTTTGAGACCAGTATTCACATATCTGGGGTGGAGGTCGAAAAACGACGACGTGAGCTCGACTTGACATCAGGGCCGAAAAAAGGGCACAGTAATAAATTTAAACGTACTCAATGCCGTCAGCCAACGTGAATGCCAGTTCCAAGGCATTATCAGCACCAGCTTCTTGAATGTGGTATCCAGAAATAGAGATGGAGTTGTATTTGGGCATGTTCTGAAAGCAGGGAAGCATCAGGTCCATATGCCTTTTGCAGAAAAATAGTATTTGTTCGAAACCTTTAACGTACCTTGGCAGTGTACTCGAAAATGTCACCAATGAGTCGCATGGATGGGTGTGGAGGATAGATAAACGTATTTCTGACCATGAATTCTTTTAAAATATCGTTTTGAATAGTTCCTGATAGTTCGGCTTGTTTGGCACCCTAGTTGAATATCAGAAGATATTAACATCTTGTTTTTTTTTCGCACTGGATGATTCAAGCTATCTGCTGTGATTTCTCGTACCTGTTCTTCACCAGCGACAATGTACATGGAGAGAATCGGAAGTACAGCTCCGTTCATGGTCATGGATACTGACATTTTGTTGAGTGGTATTCCTTCAAATAGTCGCTACGACAGTAGATAGAGTTAATTGAAGATAAAACACGATCATTCACTTGTCATGCGACAACTTGACGTTGTAAAGTTTTCTCTCTCATTGACGGGGAACTCCATCATATATGACTGGTGGTGCTATCCTCCCATTTAATATACCTTCATATCTTCAACAGTGTCGATGGCGACACCAGCCATACCCACATCACCCACAACACGTGGATGGTCACTGTCGTATCTATAGTGTAGCGAGAAGATTTCAGGCAAAGGACAGCGATGATTCGTAAGCTGTACTGGTGTTGACTTTTTACCCTCTGTGAGTAGCCAAATCAAAGGCAACACTGAGACCTTGTTGACCAGCAGCCAAGTTCTTTCTGTAAAACTTGTTACTTTCTTCGACGGTACTGAATCCAGCGTACTATGTATGATAAGAACCGATGGTGTGAGGAGGGAAGGTGCAAAGAACCATTTGGATGCCCAACCTGTCGAACAGTCCATGGCCTGAATGTATACATGGAGGCATAAGGTCCTAGAATAGGTTCAAGGGACTTCAGGTCAGAATAGCGCTCCAGAATTGTCAACAATTCGAGAGCAAGAGTAGGAGCTAAATGTGGTCTTTGTCGCAACGAATCGAAGACCAGTAACTCTGTGCGACAAATGTCTCTTCTGCGTAGACATGTAGCCAGATCATCTTGCAAACATAGACTTCTGATCTCAAATCTGGCATACCTCTCGTGTATGGGAATTTTCCGGGTATTTCGTCAACGAGGCCTTCAATGTCGGCCTTTGTGTAGAGCGGCTTAACGTCGATACCCTGTACGAATATAGGATTACATGAGTACTCTAAAGGTGTCTTTTCTTTCGATATTGACCGGATGAATGTGTCTGCACGTACTTCAGCAGTATGCCATGTTAATGTCTGTTCTGGGTCTTTGCCCTTGAGTTCCTTTTTGACTAGTTCCTTCCATTCGGGATGTAATGGAACAGCAGCATACGTCCTGACTGCCTTCTACCATGTCAGATAAGATGGGGTGTGAGTGGTCATGACGTCGAAAGTTAGAATTGTGCGAAAACATGCAGCAAAGAGCTATGAACAATAGAAGCAGACAATAGCCTTCATTGGTAAACTTACGTGAAGCCCGGCAGCATTCAGATGCTTGCTTGCATGTCGACAGCTAGAAGACAACATCTTGCTTTTTTGAAAAAGTCGGGAGATTGGAAGCTTCACGACCAGACGTTGTAAGAAAACGTCCCGTCGCATAAGGTATTTAATACGCTGTTGACGCAACGAATTCTACCATGAATCGCGTGAATTTACGTTCAAAGTTAATTTGTCGAAATACATACAATTTTTCAATGTTGCCCGAAGCCACGCAAAACACCTTTTCTGTAGCATCAGCTGGCAGTAGATCTAATTTCGATTCGAAAATTCAATTCGAAAGATGGATCTATCATCGAACTCCTCCTATTCGAAAACTGTGGGACATTTCCAGCGCTTCACGACCACTCTCATCCCTCTCCTTCTCACAAACATCCAAGCATCAAGTTTGATGCGGATTCTTATTCTTGATGCAGTCATATTTCAGATGCGCCGATTGCGGTTAGCATCTGGTGAAGTTTGTTGGTTGCGTGCTCAGAGATTCATTTGACGGTGAGATCCAAACATCTTCAGAATTAGAAATACTACAACCTGTAGACCCGAATCCATTTCGACAACGTTTTGAACAGATGCTTTGCATCAAAGTTCTTTGTTTGCAAAGTTTACATCTTTGGTGCATTCACAAAAAACGATCTGCGACCCAGTTACACGCATATCATTACGGTACACGGTCGGCTCCTTGGTCTGTGCGTCCATCCTTTCTATGGCTGCACCATTCGGCGACTCGTCAATGACTGCAAGCCAAAACATGTCGGGGATGCGTGAGGCCTGGACCCAGCCCTTGTTAATACCCTCGAGTTCATAAAGAATCATGTCATAAAGCAGAGAGAGCGTTTGTCTCAACGTGTCTTGTTTCTTACCGACTTGTGCCCGTACCTGAGAAAAGGAGCATATCAGGTTCGAGCATGTTTGGTTTGTCTGAATGTAATTGACAAACTTACAGGAATGCTGGCTCGTTGCGAATCTTCAAATTTAAGGCTTGATTTCATAGACTTTGCATCTCTGGCCAAGGTCCAGCAGGTCCTAGACAGAGACAGCTTGACGATCCAAGCTACCGTCTCTACAGAAGTGGCAGCCCCATCTCTCGTGGATCTCTTTGGCAATCTCGCACTTTCCTATGTTGAATTGCAAGTAAATGATGAAGAAATCATACCAGCACATTGTCTTATATTGAGGCACACTTCGAATGTATTTCGAGACATCGCATTTCGAAACCTTTATAATAACGGAAAGCTGGTCATGAATGGCAACAACCGTCCGCAAATCAAAATCGACCGACTGCTCGTCTGAATGTATCAACAAGATGCTGGCCTACATGTATGGGAAATCCATTTCTGAATGACTACCATCAAAGCCACATCCTCAATACTGCAGACTACTATGATTTACAACCCTTGTACCGTGCAATCGTGCGCACAATCACATCACAAGACTTCAGTACAGAAACCTTACTGAAATTATTGTCTTTGGGACGGGTGTATTCTCGAGACGACAGCTCCTTGAACGCGGCTGCTCTCAAATGCTTGACCCAAAGAATGGGAAGAAGGTAGCTGGCTCTCAGTCTTATAAGGAATGGTCTCATGATGGAAACAACCTTGAGTTGTTGGCAGAAGCATTTAAAATAGGTATGGAAGCTACTTGTAACTTGAATTTGTGTGTAGATCGGTAGTGTTGAGATCTCTGACGGAGCTTGTTGATATGAATCGGTGCATTTGTGAGAGTTGTGCTTCATTTTTCCATGTTTATAAACCCTCGCAACGCAATCATGTAGTTAAGTCTTGTCTCGTAATTCAAAACAAGGAAGCAACGCACAGAAAATGAGCCTTCTTTTCCATTCTCATATTATTGAAAGCATAATTTTGTCGCAAAGATATGTAGATTGCTATTCAAACGACTGTTTTGTTGTTGTGAAGTCTCACATTTTTGGCGCATTCACAAACAACGATCCCTTAGCAGACCCAGTAACATGTACATAGTTACGGTAGATGGTGGGCTCGTTGGTATGTGCATCCATCATTTCTATGGCAGCACCATTCAGCGACTCGTCGGTGACTGCAATCAAAAACATGTCGGCGATACGTGAAGCCGGGACCCAGCCCTTGTTAATACCCTCTAGTTCATAAAATATCATGTTAGAAATTGGAGTGAGCGTGTCTTGAAACAAGAGATTGGTTCATACCAAGGTGAACTACAACCCTCTTCTTTAAATCGTTAAACACTTCAGCATCAAGACCAGCTGGTTTTTTAGTTGGGTGTGTCAGGTTTGTTGGAATTGCTCCTGGACATCTGATGTCCAAATCGTAGATAGAGAGTGTTAGAGAGGGTCATCAGAAAAGTACTTCGAATACATTATTGCGCTTACGAGAAAACTTACACGCAATTGAAACGCATTCCTTTTGGAAGTGGATTGCCTAAATCAGCTTGGCCTTGTGCCCATACCTGAATGCGAAGAACATATTAAATTTAGCTGTTGGATTGAGCAACAACTTACCGGAAGTGACGCAGTCATTCCAACTACAGCCCACTTTGAGGCTGCGTATGAAGGAGATGTATAAGGGTATAGACCAGCGATGGATGCGGTTGATACGACACAAATCTAAGGATAAATTGTCAACAACCGTTGTCCAAGGCAACCGGTTTTGAAACGAGACAGAACGTACAGGCTTTCCAAGCTGCTTGGCAAAAGTAATAGCCAATTGCGTTCCAAGTAACACGGCGGTGGTGTTTATGTCAATGCATCGCTTCACGATGGAGAATGGAACTTCGGGGCCGAAACCTCCCCCAATTCCTTGTAAAAACAAACCGTTAGATAGAGGCAGCAAAGCCCGAGACAGTGCTACATACCAGCATTGTTAATGACAATATCGAGCCTCTTGTATCGCGTAACAGTCTCCACAAAGACAGCACCAAGCTCGTGCTCCAAGGTTACGTCACAGCGAATGAACAGAGCTCTTCCTAGTAATGGGCTTGGTTAAACAATGTTCGAAGAAACCAAAATCAGTATACCGGTTCTTACCGGCTCCAAACTCTCGTTCAAGTCTCGCCTGTGCGGCATTGCCTTCCTGGGTATCAATATCGGTGATGATGACAGTGGCTCTATATGAAAAGAAGTCAGAACTATAAATTTAAAAGGTGTGAATATCATGTACATACCCGTTTTTAGCGAATAGTAACGCAGTCAGGAAGCCAATTCCTATGTGCAACATAACGCGGCTAAGTTTTGATGACTCCGTGCATCTTCATATAAGGCAAATGGTACCGTTCTGGGCAGCAGCGCCAGTTACGATGGCGACTTGTCCGTCAAGTTTCATGGTTGTTTTGTGTTGAGATTCCACGGTTTACAAAAGCTGTCGAGAGATTGTAAAAGACGTGCGAAACAAGTCAGTTTCTTAATCGCAAAAGGGAATTCAAAAAGGAATTCAGACTTTCGAGCATTCAACAATACAAATCACTTACGTTCTAGTGTTTTTCTTATGGTACCTTAACAGTGTGCCTTGTGCAAATAGTGTGACGTCTGTGACGTCGCGATGAGCACAGTAGATCCAACAAACTCTAGTTAGGGATGCACGTTATACTGGCTTATATCACGTGTTTCTTCAACGTATTATGGGTCTATATGTTAGTTTGTAAAAGTTCGTCAAAAGGAATTGCAACATTGCAATAAAACGCAGATGAGTGTCTTGTTGAGTTTCAAGCCAAGGAAGGGAGGAAAGTGCATCAATTATTGAACTTAACGTATATCAGGTCTTGAATGCTGAAGAATTGTTACCAGGTACCATATCGATTGGACCATGGATCGTGCCGTGTTTATTTGTCGTATAATGTGTAGATCTTTGGAACACATTTTCACATCAATTCTCATATTATTCTAACGAGTAGTTTACTACAACGACATTTATCCCCAAGAAAACATCTTGCAGCAAAGCTTCACAGCTTTTGCCCATTCATGAACAATGCTCCCTTGGGCCCACCGGTAACATGGACGTAGTTACGGTGAATAGTCGGCTGGTTGGAATGCGAGTCCAGCATTTCTATCGCAGCACCATTAAGCGATTCATCGGTAACTGCAAGCAAAAACATGTCGGCAATACGAGAAGCAGGCACCCAGCCGTGGACCCAGTCGTTTTTGTGCTCGTCTAGTTTCATGAGGTTCATGTTAGAGAGGACGGGAAAGTGTGAGAGTGTTTTGAAGTACAAGGTTGCTACTAGTTTCATACCAAGGTAGGTTTTTATATTTTCAAACACTTTAGGATCCATTCCAGCCGGTTTCGTCGGTAGGGTTGTCAAGTTTGTTGGAATGGCTCCTGGGCAGCTAAGATTCGAAGCAGATAGAGATTGAGGAATGCTACTCAAAGGAGACTTTGCATTTCTAGTTTTGCAGTTCACAAAAAGCACTTACACGCAATTAAACCTCATTCCTTTTGGAAGTGGGTTGCCTAAGTCAGCTTGACCTTGCGCCCATACCTTCATAAAATGATTTACAACATGGTAAGAGCATGTTTGGTTTGTCTCTGCATGTGCTTGCTAAACTACTTACAGGAAGTGACGCAGTCATTCCAACCACGGCCCACTTTGAGGCAGTGTATGGAGGAGATATATAAGGGTACAGACCAGCAATTGAGGCGGTTGATGCGACACAAATCTAGTAGAAGTCGTGGTGAATGGCTGTGTTGCAAATGGTTGGACAACAAGCACGGAACGTACAGGCTTTCCAAGTTGCCTGGCATACGTGATAGCCAATTGAGTTCCAAGCAGTACAGCGGTAGTGTTGATATCAATGGTTCGCTTGACGATTGAGAATGGAACTTCAGGGCCGAAACCACCACCAATTCCTATAAACGTCAATTATTAGGAGATGCTGGTTCGACGAATCAGTATTCGAGAGCTCTCGCGTACCAGCATTGTTGATGACAATATCTAGCCTCTTGTAACGAGTAACGGTTTCCACAAAGACTGCACCAAGTTCGTGCTCCAAGGTTACGTCACAGCGGATGAATAGAGCTCGACCTAGTAATCAATATGGTTACATAGTGTTTCTCATAAACATCGCAAAAAGCATGCGCCATGCTCACCGGCTCCGAATTCTCGCTCAAGTCTTGCTTGTGCGGCATTTCCTTCTTGAGTGTCAATGTCGGTGATGACTACAGTGGCTCTACATGATAACAAGGTTAGAATACAATCGACCAGGTTTACAAAATCATATAAATACCCATTGTTAGCGAATAGTAGAGCAGTCAAGAATCCAATTCCTATTTACAACACCACCAAGTATGAGGATCATGCATTGTCGCGCAAAGCAATAGTGTACCGTTCTGGGAAGCAGCTCCAGTTACGATGGCGACTTGTCCGTCAAGTTTCATGGTTGCTTGGTGTCGAGATTTTACGGTTTGCGTCTAGTTTTTGTCGGTCAAATGTCAAAGTCAGTGGTCACAAGAAGGAATAGATCGAATCATTCGATGAAGTCAACTTACTTGCTTTGAAGTTTCGTTTCTTAGCTTAGATTAACCCAGTTAATTGTTCAACTGTTGTTGCGATGATTGAGTTTGAAGATAGTGCGACATCGCGGGCACAGTTGATCCAGAAGTTCTGGTGGTCGATGCACGTCATTGTGATGTATTGTACGTGTTTCGGAGTGTAGTCAAGGTATAGACGTTAGTTTGGAAGAGGTTCATCGCGCCAACATTGCAATCGTCTAAACGCAGATGCGTGCCATGTTAAATTTCAGGTATAGACCGGGAAAGGAGAGCATCCACAACTGAACTTAAGGTACAGACTATCTTGGAAGTTGAATATCTCGCCCACGTGTCATATATATTGGAGCTTGGATCGTATTTCTTCTGGCTATCGTGTACAGATCGTTGGTACACCTTATACCATATTGACTCTTTCGATAGATTCACTGTTTTCATAGACGCGTTTTGCTTTTAAGCGTACAAGACACGTTCAAAGTGCCTGGTGCGTCCTATCTCTCCGTTTTTTTGCAAACACAAGGCAAATGTATCACAGCTGTTGATTCTTCGTAGTTCTCCGTACTAGGACCGAAGCCATCATGTTCAAATGACGCCTCGACATCTCATTCTTCAGCTGATACGTTCAAGCATCGCCTGCCAGATCAAGAAAGCTCGATCACCCAATCTGTCAACTCTGCCAACAGCTCCTTTCACGGCTATATGCCATAATTGGGCTCATACAAGGACATTTTGGACTCGTACGGACTCGAATGTATCGGCCGAGCGTCCTCTCCCATGGCGGAAATCTTTGGAATCTGGAGCTCACATTGACACTGTTTGGAATTTGTTTGTCTTGGAAAAGAGTAGTGCTGCTTCATCAAGTGCAGATTTTACTGTGAGTCTTGTTGGTTGGATTGAGATACGTTGGTGGCTGTATGAGATAAGAGGTGACGTTATCGAATACTGAGGTAGTCTTGACACTTTTTTTTCTTGTAGGCATTACTCAACCAACTCAAGAACAATGTCGACATACGCTCTGGCATACGAGCTAAATACGTTCTAGACACCATGATCCAGCAAAATATCACTCCAACTAGAGACGATCTAAACCTAGGTCTCGAAATCTGTCTCCGACAAGCCAACCTAGCGGCCAATGCAAACGCTGCCGAGTTATCAGAGAGTATTATCGGACTATACCACTTACTAGGCCTATATACAGATAGTAAAAGTGAGGAATTGGCTATATCAACACATTGCCAGGTTGGAAACGTAGATGATGCACTTCGATATATTCGAAAGTGTATGCGGACTGGACGTGCTCCTACGAGAGCCTCTTGTAAGGCTCTTATACTGGCTCTACTGAAACAGAATGGCAATGATTTTGTTAAAGTCAGATTGTATTTGGAGGGGTTGCATGATGCCGGGACTGATGTTGGGAGAATATTCTTTTCGCACTGTTATGAGTGTCTTTTTGATGTTGCTCTTGATGGCGGAGACAAGGCAGGAGGGTATAATATGTAAGTTGAAACTTGTGCATCGGACGAGGTTTCATGTTTTTTATTGTTGATTCTAACGCTGTAACTTGAATTGTTTTCTAGCTACGAGACCATGATGTGGAAGAATCTAGAGATTCCCGGCCGAATCTTTCTCAGAGTCGCATCTAGTGAAACAAGCCAAACGGATCTAGTAAAACTCTTGATTCGACATATGTGGTGGATGCACAAACGTAATCGTGAACATCCACCTTTCTCTATACAATTCGATGCCAAATCAACCCGAAGAATGGACGGGACGCGATGGAAACATAGCTCAAGTCACTCGACCTTGCCGTATGATTCCAAAAATTCCATGCGATTCTGGAAGGTATATCTTGATGTGCTGCCTAGACCAACAATACCCACGGAAGACGATTTAAGCATATCCGCCAAGCAGCACATAGAGAGTGAAGCGCACAAGGCACTATATAGAGTGCTTCTACAAATAAAAAGACAGGACTCGAGTCTCGACAAATCCATCGCTCTACAGATTTGGAAGGATGTTGTGGATGTATATGATGTCGATACGCTGGGAATGTGTCTGTCAGATATGGCAGATGCCCGAGTCTTGACAATGGACTTTGCGAGCATAGTGGTAGACAAGATCATCGCTATGAACGATTTAAAGAATGGGTTACAAGTGATGGAGTATGTAGCCCGTCACCAGATACACCTGCCAGATAGGCATCTTGAAAAGCTGTTTAAGCGAGCAGTGTATGAATCGAAACTGCCTGCATATTTGCATACACTGTCCCGAGTAATCATGCTTGGTAACAGGTCGAATCTATCCTTTTTGGCCGATTATATTAGCCAACAGATGCAGCGTGGAAGGCTACTTTTAAAACTCAGAAATCATCCGACTAGCAAAAGTAGCAGACTCACGGCGTACGCTTTGGTAGACTCGCTGTACTCTGTCATGGCATCCGTAATAACAACTCATTATGTGCCAATCCCTGATTTGGACATGACGGATCCCACCACTAGATTACCACCTCGCCCACCGGTACTCGACTCAATCCTTAAGGCCATCCCATACGCCGTCCAACGCATCGGCAGATACAACAAGCTCCATATGATACACGCAGCGCATACAGCCACTCTCACATATCTAAACCGGCCAGATATATACAATCTAGCACTCCTCATGGAATCATACTGCAAAAACGGCCTCGTATCACTCGCATGGGACATGCTCCTCACAATGTGGAGCGACAACACACTAGAACCCATGTCCATGCACTATACAATCCTCATACGAGCATACGCGGCACGGTGTTTGGGAGACGATGCGAATCGGGTGCTTATACATATGATGACGATGGGCGT